GCAGTTAAACTACCGGTGGTCTATTTAGAAAATAATCAAAATTGTGGATTAATGCTTTTTGTCAGATTTGTTTAACACAACATACTTTCCACCGCAAACTTTTCAACTTTTTTTAAAGTGTCATGAGTTTATTTAGTTCTTCAAACGCGCTCTAAAGTATCCAATTTTGACATCACGTTATTGATGAAATACGCTGACCCTTCGTTTAATGACTAAGCAGTTTTTAACTATACAGCAATTATTATACCTCACAACCATATCTGAAGATTATTGCTTACTGGGTAAAGCTCAAATCTATACCGAAAAGTCATATATTAAAGTTATATAATTCTTACGCTTAAACATGATATGTCTTAAACAAACCATTGTCGATAGAGCTTCCTCTGAACTTCATCGTGCATTTCCTTTTGATAAATTCAATAAAGAGATAAGGCAACAACAGCCTTATCTTTGCTTTTACGATATCATGCGACAAAATACCTGAAATAATAGGACTTAGCCGAAATATTTATTTCAAGAGAATGCACTGTTTGACATTATAAAGTCATTGTTAAAGATGGATTTCAAAATAGCAAATACCATGGTGAATGGTGATAATAACAATGTAATAGTTCTTAAAAGAACTGTTTTAACCAGAACACTAACTCAACAATTCAAAGAAACCGTTATTTACAGCTAGAAAGAGACACTATGCATTTAGGCAGACTACTCGTCAGGTGTCAACGTCTGCTAAATGAGAACCTCCAAATCATGCTATATTTATAATGTTACAAAAGGTCAATGTCATCCCTATTTTTAGAGATGACACTGAAAACAGAGACAGATTAAACACGTAATCTTTTTGTCGGCAAAGGACAGGATTGACGCGTGGCTGGAATAACGAGCGACTTTTTTTTATTCCAGCTACGCGTCATGAAGTCGGTTTTATTTAAATTGACTAATCCTGTCCTTTGCCAATTTGTCAATTTCGATTATTTTCTAAATAGACCACCGGTAGTTTAACTGCGTAAGCTAATTCAACTTATTTAAGTAAAATGTTCGTCGAAATATTCATTTCCTTGTGTCGCTTGCCGTGATGTTGGACCAAAAAGATTACTAATTCGTAGCATTAGGAAAAACTAAACCATACATATCAGTCTAAAACCACAAACATACATGTTATATGTATTGGCTAAAATAAATAGGAAGTATGCCACACCGTTACAAAGTGTATTATTGAATAAAACAATAATTATTGCGAAAATTCACAACCATGTATCAAAGATCAACAGTGGTACCTAAAATCCTTTACATAATAGGTCTATTTTAATGTTCAATGTGTGTTTGTAGGAAAGAACAAGCGATCACAACATTTTTGGCAGACAAGCAGCAATACTTACTAACTGCAATGAAGCACAAATCCACCACAATAGGCGTTATTATATTCTATACGTACCTGTGTATTTATGCTGAGAATATGCTGGACCCGGAAATAAAGATCTACCAAAGTGCGAGACATTTAAGTACCTCGGGACCACCATCCATCAGGATGGCGGTTGCAAGACTGAGGTTGAACTACGGATTAGCCGGGCATGGAATAAATGGAGGAGTTAACGGGAGTGCTCTGCGATAAGAAGATGCCGAAGAAACTGAAGATCCTCATCTACAAAACGGTGATACGCCCAGTGCTTCTGTATGGGAATGAAACATGGCCTGTTACAGATTACCTAGCAGAGAAGATCAGTGTATGCGAGATGAGAATGCTACGCTATTGTCTTGGAGTCAGCCTGGAGGAGCTCAGAACAAATGAAAGCATAAGAGAAGAAGCGAATGTCATGAGTATACTGGAATTTGATGAGAAGAAAAAGACTGCAGTGGTTCGGACATGTGTGCCGGCGTGAAGAAGATGTAGACATTCGGAGAGTTTATGAGATGCAAGTGGAGGGGAGACGGAAACGAGGACGCCCAAAGCATCGGTGGAAGGATACCATCAGGAGAGACATGCAGCTATGTGGTGTCAAAGAAGAGGATACCCAGGACAGAGCAGCCTGGAGAAGTCTGATAGAACTGGGTCTCCGGCAAAGACCCGCTACCCGATTAGGACACAGCGGAGAAAGGTGACCTAAGGTGACCTGTGTATTTATATAATGGACATTTCCATTTACGAAAAGTACGAAATTTCAAGTTAAAAAGCCCAATCAATTAATGAAGTACAGCTCATATTAATGAAGTGACTTCCATCATACATTCTTCTACTATCTTCTTGATAGTCTTGCTTCTAATTTGCTTTACATATGCGTCGTCGCCTCCTATCGTTTTACAGCGGAAATCATTCGCTTTTGTCAGAAGTGGAAATAAAACCACATTATAATACACGCAATCATGAAATAGGTACGCATAACGTACATATACCTAACTTCTCGTGCTATGACAATGGCAGTTAATGAGAGGATTTTTAACTTAAAATTTTATCCATTTGTTATAGGTAGGTTTTGGTGGTTGTCCAAATTAATGAGGGCCCCTTAGAGCAAAAGATCTAATCAAGAATATACTTGAAGGTTGGTATTTTGTAGGGTTTTTTATTATAAATTGCTTTCACTGGGGAACCTTTTATATCCTTTTGATATGCTTCGTTGTACACATCTATACAAGAGGAGTATTGCTGATTAGTTATATCAAACGGACACACTTTAAATACAAGTACGCCTAATAGTTCAATATGTTTAAATTTACTGTTGTGATAATAAAAGCAGGGTAAGAAGATCGGAATTGCATCGGAATCATAGCAGAAGTAAGTGTACAAATACTGTAGAGATCATTTCTGTACGAAATGTCTGATTTGTGTACTAGGCATTAAACAAAACGATCAAATCTATTTTTGAATGAATGAATGAAAGTCTTTATTTTGACACTTTGGCCTCGTGAACTGAATTCAATTTACACGAGGGGCGTGCCTATAAATACAATTACATAAATCACATTGCAATGAAATAACAATAGAGCTAAACGATAGGTTTAAATTTTACAAAATATACAGCTATACAATAAATATATACATCGTTATTTGTCTAAAACTTCGGGGTTTTTTTTTCATTCAGACGACTTTCATTTAATATTAATGATGTGACAAGGCTTAGGACATATACAGATAACGTTATTTTCAGTTATTACATAACACTAAATTTATTTCGCAGTTAATAGAATTCTGCTCTCCTGTTCAAATTTAGCGAAGAAATTGTTCGAACACATTACAATGGTTCTAAAAATGCACTGTTTTTATTGTTGTGTTTTCTCAAAAATTTATGATATTCACTACAAGCGCAATTTAAACAACACAAAAAATAAGCTCTATCCACTGCTGTGTTAATTTTCTCTCATAAAACAACATAGTCTTTTTGCGATGTAGTCTTACAGCTACGCTCAAACTCTCTAATTATTTTTACGAAATTCCCTTGTCGCGAGTTCTAAGTCCGACAGTCCTTAGCTAATTCTCCATCATGTTGATCATCACCGTAATCCTTTTTGTTGTCGCTATTTTTTACAGTCGCGTGTAATTTCATCAACACATTGGAGCACGTTTATCAATCGATCTACGGAGTTCCTCGTCGAAACTCTTTGAAAAACGCCTATCTTCCTGTTTTGAATTAACCAATAATACCACGTGTTTTTTTAAATTAACAAATCACAACAAAGCTTTGTGAATAACTCCGTAACTGAACGAATTCAGGCATTGGGTTCACTTCGGTAAAAATGTTGCAATTTCTTTAAAAGGAAAGACATTTTCACGAAATTGTGAAGTTGCAATCGACAGAAGTGAAAACTAAGGTGGAATTAAGGTGATTGGCGCTGGCTTGCTTGTTATTCGAATTCCGTGTCAGATTTTCTCTTTAACACGACGAGGTTAGTTGCTAATCCACTGAAATAAAATAACAACAATGACTTTAATTAATGAAACAGAGACTTTGTCGTGGTGACAAACTTAAAGATGGATTTCAAAATAGCAAATACCATGGTGAATGGTGATAATAACAATGTAATATTTCTTAAAAGAACTGTTTTAACCATAGCTTCTTATAGCAAATATATTCATCGATTCATGCAGTATTTGGAAAATAGAAATGTTTCGTATAACATTTGAACAGCAAGAAACCTTGAACGATCGTGTAGAAAGGATAAGGCTACCGTGAAAGTTTTTTGAAAAGCAAGAAAGGTAGTCTAATACTTGAATATTTTTCCAAATTAAGTTTGGTACGACTTGAGAAACATTTACGGTATTTCTAAACAATGCACTTCAACATCTCGACAAAGAACCCATGGTGCCTACATGATCGAGTGGATTACTTTGAAATGTTCGTAAGGCAATTAGAGAATTTACAACTGCTATTTTTGTGAAGTTGCATCAATAAATGTTGATATAGCAGGTGCTAAAAGAAATTTGAACTGGAAAATCGTTTTCAAATAAATTGCTGAAATATCTTGTTATGAAAATAGTACGAAGTTCAACAAGACTTCAAAAAGGCAGATTTAAAAAGTTTGTGGTTGTGCAAAGCAAAGTTGGTGTCTTAACTAGAATAGACAACATTTATCGTTAATCTGCTCATTACGAAAAGATGTCTCTCATTTTATTGCCGATGTATTTGAACGTGTTGACCAAAAATAGAGATCGTCAACATCTGTGAGTGCAACGAAGAAGAAATGTGGTCAATGATCGTGAAGAGACTTGTTAAAAAGTTTTGAAAATTACAGTTAAATTTACGTTAAACAAATGGTTAATGATTTCAACCCTACTTGATAATAATAGAAAACAGTGATTAAATGTTAATGAAGAACAATGCAGGAAATGGTAGAGGAGTGATAAATCACAGAACACAAGAAGAAATGAAAAGATTGGTTAGTGTTTTCAACCCTACTTGATAATAGTCGATAATTTGGGCATAATCCTATGAAAAGCAAGAGACCTTTACTGATGTTTGTGAAAAAGTACAGTTGATAAGATACCACAAGAAAATAAATCCAATGGCTAGAAACTATTAATGTAATGTTGTTGTGCGAATGACAAAACTGACAATAAAATATTATTTCTTTACAACTAAATGCTTTGTGATTTACCTCTTAGATTCTTGAAAAAAGTTTATGGTTTATTAGTTTGTTTCATTGAATGTTTACTTAACAGAATATATAAATAGACTAAATTTACGAAGATTCTTCAACGCAATCAGTGGTCGAGTGCAAGTGGTCAGGTTTCTCAGATTGAGGTGTGAGGTTCGAATCCTTCGAGGGTAGTATGGTGTTGTGCATTGAAATTGTGGTGAACGATAGTCAAACTGGTCAGGATGCCGGAGTCAGCAGCGATGCTAGTGGGCGTCGCGAGGATAAAAAACAATCACCACAATAATGATAACTGCTACCACCATGAGAAAACCAATGGTTGATACAACAACTACAACAACTGGTACGTCACTTGATTTCGGTGCAACCCGTTGATCTGTAAGTTTTTTATTAAACACAAAAGAGAAAAGGTTGATCATACATATTGTTCAAATCGATGCGGGAGTTTTATTATACATCTTGATCAAATTTTTCATTCTAAGTAAGACGTACAACAAACCTGTTTTCAGTTTCTTGGAAGCGCGAGCCCAATGAGAACGACTTATATTCACATTATACTCATTCTTGGAATAAATTACGAACTCGTATTCAGTGTTCGATTTCAGATCTTTAATGGTGACATTCTCACTTTCGATGTCGGTTTTTGACGGTATAAATCTTACACTGGGATCACACGCCTTAATACACAAGGGCAGACTTCCTGCTCGATGAACACTCGAAACAATCCACTTCATAAATCACGATCTTGCTACTTAGAGATTCGTACAAAGTAGGAGGTTTCCATAGCAACGTGACTGACCCGTGATCTTTATCTTTATATTGGAGTTCATTTACAGATGTTGGGATTCCTATGTCAAAAAATAAAATATTATTGAGATGGAGGTGGACTTAAGAAACACATTGGGCACTTAAGTTAGACATAATTATATGAAAATATATAACTAAGTTCAAACTTTAGCTAAGTTTGTTTCATTTTCAAGGTGAATGCACAAAATTGCTTGTCCAGCTTAAATTTCTGGTAAAAGTAAAATTGCCTTTCAAATTTTTCAGTTGCTCCAATTTATTCATTGTCAAAATATATTCAAATCGTCTGCAACAAACTGTTCAATGTAGAAAACAATAAGAACTGACCACTTACCGTAACAGGGACTAGTGTAATTTTCTCCAATAAATCGAAAATGATTTTCTTCACATGAGCAGCCTTGCTGATTATCATTGCTTATGGAATTTTTTGGGCATGGCAAGCATCTTTCATTTCCAGCTTTGTCTTTGTAAGTGTTCTTTTCGCATTCTGGAAAAACATATAACACAACATAAAGAGTGCGGTACCCTGGTGAGTGTGCCCCCCCCCCTCCTACTTTTTCCCTAAGATAACTAAGATAACTTTGGCTGGCCTTCTTCTTAAGTGTGAATTGGGGCTAAGTGAGACGCAGGTTTCCATTATTAAAATATTATTACTATTAGGAGTTTTAGCTATATTGACAAAAACTACCTGTAGGTTATTATAAACATGGGTCATAGACAAACAACAAACAACAAACAACATTTGTATACCAGCCAGTATTAATCCCCGCCAGGGGGGTTGACCGGTCCGTGAACTTTTCTACGCCAAACATGGGTCATAGAGAGAAAAACAAAATCTATCGGATATTTAAAAAGAATAAAACTGGTATTATTCCTTTAATTACACAAATAATGACGATTTCCCCTCTTAATTACTTAGATGGTTACAAACTTACTTTCACCAGCTTGTAGTTGTTGAATATATAACGTCCACAAGCATAAACTGTACAATACACGAAGCGACATTTCTTATGACAAGTGTAAACTTGCTTGTTATTCGAATTCCGTGTCAGATTTCTCTTTAACACGACGAGGTTAGTTGCTAATCCACTGAAATAAAATAACAACAATGACTTTAATTAATGAAACAGAGACTTTGTCGTGGTGACAAACTTAAAGATGGATTTCAAAATAGCAAATACCATGGTGAATGGTGATAATAACAATGTAATATTTCTTAAAAGAACTGTTTTAACCAGAACACTAACCCAACAATTCAAAGGAACCGTTATTTACAGCTAGAGAGAGACACTATGCATTTAGGCAGACTACTCGTCAGGTGTCAACGTCTGCTAAATGAGAACCTCCAAATCATGCTATATTTATAATGTTACAAAAAGGTCAATGTCATCCCTATTTTTAGAGATGACACTTAAAACAGAGACAGATTAAACACGTAATCCTTTTGTCGGCAAAGGACAGGATTAGTTAATTTAATTAATATCGACTCCATGACGCGTAGCTGAAACAACGAGCGGCATTTTTTTTATATATCAAAAGGATATAAAAGGTTCCCCAGTGAAAAGCAATTTATAATAAAAAACCCTACAAAATACCAATCTTCAAGTATATTCTTGTTAGAGCTTTTGCTCTAAGGGGCCCTCATTAATTTGGACAACCACCAGAAAACTTACCTACAACAAATGGATAAAAATTTTATGTTAAAAATCCTCTCATTAACTGCCATTGTCACAGCACGAGAAGTTAGGTATATGTACGTTATGCGTACCTATTTCATTATTACGTGTATTATTATGTTGTTCTATTTCCACTTCTGACAAAAGCGAATGATTTCCGCTGTAGAACGATAGGAGGCGACGACGCATATGTAAAGTAAATTAGAAGCAAGACTATCAAGATAGTCGAAGAATGTGTGATGGAAGTCACTTCATTAATATGAGCTGTACTTCATTAATTGATTGGGCTTTTTAACTTGAAATTTCGTACTTTTCGTAAATAGAAATGTCCATTATATAAATACACAGGTACGTATAGAATATAATAACTCCTATTGTGCCGGATTTGTGCTTCATTGCAGTAGGTAAGTATTGCTGCTTGTCTGCCAAAAATGTTGTGATCGCTTGTTCTTTCCTACAAACACACATTGAACATTAAAATAGACCTATTATGTAAAGGATTTTCGGTACCAGTGTTGATCTTTGATACATGGTTGTGAATTTTCGCAATAATTATTGTTTTTATTCAATAATACACTTTGTAACGGTGTGGCATACTTCCTATTTATTTTGGCGAATACATATAACATGTATGTTTGTGGTTTTAGACTGATAGGTATGGTTTAGTTTTTCCTTATGCTACGAATTAGTAATCTTTTTGGTCCAACATCACGGCAAGCGACACAAGGAAATGAATATTTCGACGAGCATTTTACTTAAAAAGGTCGAATTAGCTTACGCAGTTAAACTACCGGTGGTCTATTTAGAAAATAATCAAAATTGTGGATTAATGCTTTTTGTCAGATTTGTTTAACACAACATACTTTCCACCGCAAACTTTTCAACTTTTTTTAAAGTGTCATGAGTTTATTTAGTTCTTCAAACGCGCTCTAAAGTATCCAATTTTGACATCACGTTATTGATGAAATACGCTGACCCTTCGTTTAATGACTAAGCAGTTTTAACTATACAGCAATTATTATACCTCACAACCATATCTGAAGATTATTGCTTACTGGGTAAAGCTCAAATCTATACCGAAAAGTCATATATTAAAGTTATATAATTCTTACGCTTAAACATGATATGTCTTAAACAAACCATTGTCGATAGAGCTTCCTCTGAACTTCATCGTGCATTTCCTTTGATAAATTAATAAAGAGATAAGGCAACAACAGCCTTATCTTTGCTTTTACGATATCATGCGACAAAATACCTGAAATAATAGGACTTAGCCGAAATATTTATTTCAAGAGAATGCACTGTTTGACATTATAAAGTCATTGTTAAAGATGGATTTCAAAATAGCAAATACCATGGTGAATGGTGATAATAACAATGTAATAGTTCTTAAAAGAACTGTTTTAACCAGAACACTAACTCAACAATTCAAAGAAACCGTTATTTACAGCTAGAAAGAGACACTATGCATTTAGGCAGACTACTCGTCAGGTGTCAACGTCTGCTAAATGAGAACCTCCAAATCATGCTATATTTATAATGTTACAAAAGGTCAATGTCATCCCTATTTTTAGAGATGACACTGAAAACAGAGACAGATTAAACACGTAATCTTTTTGTCGGCAAAGGACAGGATTGACGCGTGGCTGGAATAACGAGCGACTTTTTTTTATTCCAGCTACGCGTCATGAAGTCGGTTTTATTTAAATTGACTAATCCTGTCCTTTGCCAATTTGTCAATTTCGATTATTTTCTAAATAGACCACCGGTAGTTTAACTGCGTAAGCTAATTCAACTTATTTAAGTAAAATGTTCGTCGAAATATTCATTTCCTTGTGTCGCTTGCCGTGATGTTGGACCAAAAAGATTACTAATTCGTAGCATTAGGAAAAACTAAACCATACATATCAGTCTAAAACCACAAACATACATGTTATATGTATTGGCTAAAATAAATAGGAAGTATGCCACACCGTTACAAAGTGTATTATTGAATAAAAACAATAATTATTGCGAAAATTCACAACCATGTATCAAAGATCAACAGTGGTACCTAAAATCCTTTACATAATAGGTCTATTTTAATGTTCAATGTGTGTTTGTAGGAAAGAACAAGCGATCACAACATTTTTGGCAGACAAGCAGCAATACTTACTAACTGCAATGAAGCACAAATCCACCACAATAGGCGTTATTATATTCTATACGTACCTGTGTATTTATGCTGAGAATATGCTGGACCCGGAAATAAAGATCTACCAAAGTGCGAGACATTTAAGTACCTCGGGACCACCATCCATCAGGATGGCGGTTGCAAGACTGAGGTTGAACTACGGATTAGCCGGGCATGGAATAAATGGAGGGAGTTAACGGGAGTGCTCTGCGATAAGAAGATGCCGAAGAAACTGAAGATCCTCATCTACAAAACGGTGATACGCCCAGTGCTTCTGTATGGGAATGAAACATGGCCTGTTACAGATTACCTAGCAGAGAAGATCAGTGTATGCGAGATGAGAATGCTACGCTATTGTCTTGGAGTCAGCCTGGAGGAGCTCAGAACAAATGAAAGCATAAGAGAAGAAGCGAATGTCATGAGTATACTGGAATTTGATGAGAAGAAAAAGACTGCAGTGGTTCGGACATGTGTGCCGGCGTGAAGAAGATGTAGACATTCGGAGAGTTTATGAGATGCAAGTGGAGGGGAGACGGAAACGAGGACGCCCAAAGCATCGGTGGAAGGATACCATCAGGAGAGACATGCAGCTATGTGGTGTCAAAGAAGAGGATACCCAGGACAGAGCAGCCTGGAGAAGTCTGATAGAACTGGGTCTCCGGCAAAGACCCGCTACCCGATTAGGACACAGCGGAGAAAGGTGACCTAAGGTGACCTGTGTATTTATATAATGGACATTTCCATTTACGAAAAGTACGAAATTTCAAGTTAAAAAGCCCAATCAATTAATGAAGTACAGCTCATATTAATGAAGTGACTTCCATCATACATTCTTCTACTATCTTCTTGATAGTCTTGCTTCTAATTTGCTTTACATATGCGTCGTCGCCTCCTATCGTTTTACAGCGGAAATCATTCGCTTTTGTCAGAAGTGGAAATAAAACCACATTATAATACACGCAATCATGAAATAGGTACGCATAACGTACATATACCTAACTTCTCGTGCTATGACAATGGCAGTTAATGAGAGGATTTTTAACTTAAAATTTTTATCCATTTGTTATAGGTAGGTTTTTGGTGGTTGTCCAAATTAATGAGGGCCCCTTAGAGCAAAAGATCTAATCAAGAATATACTTGAAGGTTGGTATTTTGTAGGGTTTTTTATTATAAATTGCTTTCACTGGGGAACCTTTTATATCCTTTTGATATGCTTCGTTGTACACATCTATACAAGAGGAGTATTGCTGATTAGTTATATCAAACGGACACACTTTAAATACAAGTACGCCTAATAGTTCAATATGTTTAAATTTACTGTTGTGATAATAAAAGCAGGGTAAGAAGATCGGAATTGCATCGGAATCATAGCAGAAGTAAGTGTACAAATATTGTAGAGATCATTTCTGTACGAAATGTCTGATTTGTGTACTAGGCATTAAACAAAACGATCAAATCTATTTTGAATGAATGAATGAAAGTCTTTATTTTGACACTTTGGCCTCGTGAACTGAATTCAATTTACACGAGGGGCGTGCCTATAAATACAATTACATAAATCACATTGCAATGAAATAACAATAGAGCTAAACGATAGGTTTAAATTTTACAAAATATACAGCTATACAATAAATATATACATCGTTATTTGTCTAAAACTTCGGGGTTTTTTTTTCATTCAGACGACTTTCATTTAATATTAATGATGTGACAAGGCTTAGGACATATACAGATAACGTTATTTTCAGTTATTACATAACACTAAATTTATTTCGCAGTTAATAGAATTCTGCTCTCCTGTTCAAATTTAGCGAAGAAATTGTTCGAACACATTACAATGGTTCTAAAAATGCACTGTTTTTATTGTTGTGTTTTCTCAAAAATTTATGATATTCACTACAAGCGCAATTTAAACAACACAAAAAATAAGCTCTATCCACTGCTGTGTTAATTTTCTCTCATAAAACAACATAGTCTTTTTTGCGATAGTGTAGTCTTACAGCTACGCTCAAACTCTCTAATTATTTTTACGAAATTCCCTTGTCGCGAGTTCTAAGTCCGACAGTCCTTAGCTAATTCTCCATCATGTTGATCATCACCGTAATCCTTTTTGTTGTCGCTATTTTTTACAGTCGCGTGTAATTTCATCAACACATTGGAGCACGTTTATCAATCGATCTACGGAGTTCCTCGTCGAAACTCTTTGAAAAACGCCTATCTTCCTGTTTTGAATTAACCAATAATACCACGTGTTTTTTTAAATTAACAAATCACAACAAAGCTTTGTGAATAACTCCGTAACTGAACGAATTCAGGCATTGGGTTCACTTCGGTAAAAATGTTGCAATTTCTTTAAAAGGAAAGACATTTTCACGAAATTGTGAAGTTGCAATCGACAGAAGTGAAAACTAAGGTGGAATTAAGGTGATTGGCGCTGGCTTGCTTGTTATTCGAATTCCGTGTCAGATTTTCTCTTTAACACGACGAGGTTAGTTGCTAATCCACTGAAATAAAATAACAACAATGACTTTAATTAATGAAACAGAGACTTTGTCGTGGTGACAAACTTAAAGATGGATTTCAAAATAGCAAATACCATGGTGAATGGTGATAATAACAATGTAATATTTCTTAAAAGAACTGTTTTAACCAGAACACTAACCCAACAATTCAAAGGAACCGTTATTTACAGCTAGAGAGAGACACTATGCATTTAGGCAGACTACTCGTCAGGTGTCAACGTCTGCTAAATGAGAACCTCCAAATCATGCTATATTTATAATGTTACAAAGGTCAATGTCATCCCTTTTTAGAGATGACACTTAAAACAGAGACAGATTAAACACGTAATCCTTTTGTCGGCAAAGGACAGGATTAGTTAATTTAATTAATATCGACTCCATGACGCGTAGCTGAAACAACGAGCGGCATTTTTTATATATCAAAAGGATATAAAAGGTTCCCCAGTGAAAAGCAATTTATAATAAAAAACCCTACAAAATACCAATCTTCAAGTATATTCTTGTTAGAGCTTTTGCTCTAAGGGGCCCTCATTAATTTGGACAACCACCAGAAAACTTACCTACAACAAATGGATAAAAATTTTATGTTAAAAATCCTCTCATTAACTGCCATTGTCACAGCACGAGAAGTTAGGTATATGTACGTTATGCGTACCTATTTCATTATTACGTGTATTATTATGTTGTTCTATTTCCACTTCTGACAAAAGCGAATGATTTCCGCTGTAGAACGATAGGAGGCGACGACGCATATGTAAAGTAAATTAGAAGCAAGACTATCAAGATAGTCGAAGAATGTGTGATGGAAGTCACTTCATTAATATGAGCTGTACTTCATTAATTGATTGGGCTTTTTAACTTGAAATTTCGTACTTTTCGTAAATAGAAATGTCCATTATATAAATACACAGGTACGTATAGAATATAATAACTCCTATTGTGCCGGATTTGTGCTTCATTGCAGTAGGTAAGTATTGCTGCTTGTCTGCCAAAAATGTTGTGATCGCTTGTTCTTTCCTACAAACACACATTGAACATTAAAATAGACCTATTATGTAAAGGATTTTCGGTACCAGTGTTGATCTTTGATACATGGTTGTGAATTTTCGCAATAATTATTGTTTTTATTCAATAATACACTTTGTAACGGTGTGGCATACTTCCTATTTATTTTGGCGAATACATATAACATGTATGTTTGTGGTTTTAGACTGATAGGTATGGTTTAGTTTTTCCTTATGCTACGAATTAGTAATCTTTTTGGTCCAACATCACGGCAAGCGACACAAGGAAATGAATATTTCGACGAGCATTTTACTTAAAAAGGTCGAATTAGCTTACGCAGTTAAACTACCGGTGGTCTATTTAGAAAATAATCAAAATTGTGGATTAATGCTTTTTGTCAGATTTGTTTAACACAACATACTTTCCACTGCAAACTTTTCAACTTTTTTTAAAGTGTCATGAGTTTATTTAGTTCTTCAAACGCGCTCTAAAGTATCCAATTTTGACATCACGTTATTGATGAAATACGCTGACCCTTCGTTTAATGACTAAGCAGTTTTAACTATACAGCAATTATTATACCTCACAACCATATCTGAAGATTATTGCTTACTGGGTAAAGCTCAAATCTATACCGAAAAGTCATATATTAAAGTTATATAATTCTTACGCTTAAACATGATATGTCTTAAACAAACCATTGTCGATAGAGCTTCCTCTGAACTTCATCGTGCATTTCCTTTTGATAAATTCAATAAAGAGATAAGGCAACAACAGCCTTATCTTTGCTTTTACGATATCATGCGACAAAATACCTGAAATAATAGGACTTAGCCGAAATATTTATTTCAAGAGAATGTACTGTTTGACATTATAAAGTCATTGTTAAAGATGGATTTCAAAATAGCAAATACCATGGTGAATGGTGATAATAACAATGTAATAGTTCTTAAAAGAACTGTTTTAACCAGAACACTAACTCAACAATTCAAAGAAACCGTTATTTACAGCTAGAAAGAGACACTATGCATTTAGGCAGACTACTCGTCAGGTGTCAACGTCTGCTAAATGAGAACCTCCAAATCATGCTATATTTATAATGTTACAAAAGGTCAATGTCATCCCTATTTTTAGAGATGACACTGAAAACAGAGACAGATTAAACACGTAATCTTTTTGTCGGCAAAGGACAGAATTGACGCGTGGCTGGAATAACGAGCGACTTTTTTTTATTCCAGCTACGCGTCATGAAGTCGGTTTTATTTAAATTGACTAATCCTGTCCTTTGCCAATTTGTCAATTTCGATTATTTTCTAAATAGACCACCGGTAGTTTAACTGCGTAAGCTAATTCAACTTATTTAAGTAAAATGTTCGTCGAAATATTCATTTCCTTGTGTCGCTTGCCGTGATGTTGGACCAAAAAAGATTACTAATTCGTAGCATTAGGAAAAACTAAACCATACATATCAGTCTAAAACCACAAACATGCATGTTATATGTATTGGCTAAAATAAATAGGAAGTATGCCACACCGTTACAAAGTGTATTATTGAATAAAAACAATAATTATTGCGAAAATTCACAACCATGTATCAAAGATCAACACTGGTACCGAAAATCCTTTACATAATAGGTCTATTTTAATGTTCAATGTGTGTTTGTAGGAAAGAACAAGCGATCACAACATTTTTTGGCAGACAAGCAGCAATACTTACTAACTGCAATGAAGCACAAATCCACCACAATAGGCGTTATTATATTCTATACGTACCTGTGTATTTATGCTGAGAATATGCTGGACCCGGAAATAAAGATCTACCAAAGTGCGAGACATTTAAGTACCTCGGGACCACCATCCATCAGGATGGCGGTTGCAAGACTGAGGTTGAACTACGGATTAGCCGGGCATGGAATAAATGGAGGGAGTTAACAGGAGTGCTCTGCGATAAGAAGATGCCGAAGAAACTGAAGATCCTCATCTACAAAACGGTGATACGCCCAGTGCTTCTGTATGGGAATGAAACATGGCCTGTTACAGATTACCTAGCAGAGAAGATCAGTGTATGCGAGATGAGAATGCTACGCTATTGTCTTGGAGTCAGCCTGGAGGAGCTCAGAACAAATGAAAGCATAAGAGAAGAAGGAATGTCATGAGTATACTGGAATTTGATGAGAAGAAAAAGACTGCAGTGGTTCGGACATGTGTGCCGGCGTGAAGAAGATGTAGACATTCGGAGAGTTTATGAGATGCAAGTGGAGGGGAGACGGAAACGAGGACGCCCAAAGCATCGGTGGAAGGATACCATCAGGAGAGACATGCAGCTATGTGGTGTCAAAGAAGAGGATACCCAGGACAGAGCAGCCTGGAGAAGTCTGATAGAACTGGGTCTCCGGCAAAGACCCGCTACCCGATTAGGACACAGCGGAGAAAGGTGACCTAAGGTGACCTGTGTATTTATATAATGGACATTTCCATTTACGAAAAGTACGAAATTTCAAGTTAAAAAGCCCAATCAATTAATGAAGTACAGCTCATATTAATGAAGTGACTTCCATCATACATTCTTCTACTATCTTCTTGATAGTCTTGCTTCTAATTTGCTTTACATATGCGTCGTCGCCTCCTATCGTTTTACAGCGGAAATCATTCGCTTTTGTCAGAAGTGGAAATAAAACCACATTATAATACACGCAATCATGAAATAGGTACGCATAACGTACATATACCTAACTTCTCGTGCTATGACAATGGCAGTTAATGAGAGGATTTTTAACTTAAAATTTTATCCATTTGTTATAGGTAGGTTTTTGGTGGTTGTCCAAATTAATGAGGGCCCCTTAGAGCAAAAGATCTAATCAAGAATATACTTGAAGGTTGGTATTTTGTAGGGTTTTTTATTATAAATTGCTTTCACTGGGGAACCTTTTATATCCTTTTGATATGCTTCGTTGTACACATCTATACAAGAGGAGTATTGCTGATTAGTTATATCAAACGGACACACTTTAAATACAAGTACGCCTAATAGTTCAATATGTTTAAATTTACTGTTGTGATAATAAAAGCAGGGTAAGAAGATCGGAATTGCATCGGAATCATAGCAGAAGTAAGTGTACAAATATTGTAGAGATCATTTCTGTACGAAATGTCTGATTTGTGTACTAGGCATTAAACAAAACGATCAAATCTATTTTTGAATGAATGAATGAAAGTCTTTATTTTGACACTTTGGCCTCGTGAACTGAATTCAATTTACACGAGGGGGCGTGCCTATAAATACAATTACATAAATCACATTGCAATGAAATAACAATAGAGCTAAACGATAGGTTTAAATTTTACAAAATATACAGCTATACAATAAATATATACATCGTTATTTGTCTAAAACTTCGGGGTTTTTTTTTTTCATTCAGACGACTTTCATTTAATATTAATGATGTGACAAGGCTTAGGACATATACAGATAACGTTATTTTCAGTTATTACATAACACTAAATTTATTTCGCAGTTAATAGAATTCTGCTCTCCTGTTCAAATTTAGCGAAGAAATTGTTCGAACACATTACAATGGTTCTAAAAATGCACTGTTTTTATTGTTGTGTTTTCTCAAAAATTTATGATATTCACTACAAGCGCAATTTAAACAACACAAAAAATAAGCTCTATCCACTGCTGTGTTAATTTTCTCTCATAAAACAACATAGTCTTTTTTGCGATAGTGTAGTCTTACAGCTACGCTCAAACTCTCTAATTATTTTACGAAATTCCCTTGTCGCGAGTTCTAAGTCCGACAGTCCTTAGCTAATTCTCCATCATGTTGATCATCACCGTAATCCTTTTTGTTGTCGCTATTTTTTACAGTCGCGTGTAATTTCATCAACACATTGGCGCACGTTTATCAATCGATCTACGGAGTTCCTCGTCGAAACTCTTTGAAAAACGCCTATCTTCCTGTTTTGAATTGACCAATAATACCACGTGTTTTTTTAAATTAACAAATCACAACAAAGCTTTGTGAATAACTCTGTAACTGAACGAATTCAGGCATTGGGTTCACTTCGGTAAAAATGTTGCAATTTCTTTAAAAGGAAAGACATTTTCACGAAATTGTGAAGTTGCAATCGACAGAAGTGAAAACTAAGGTGGAATTAAGGTGATTGGCGCTGGCTGAAATCGAAAACCAAATTCAACTGTCATGTTAAAGAAATATTTTGATGATCATGAAGATTTTACCGTCAGTGCTATAAATACAATCAATATAAATCCCCCCTGACTGTAATAACGACTGGTAGTTGTTAATCTTTATTGGGATTTTGGGTTTTTGAACAAATCAAGGACATATAATGACTGTTAATCACTGTTTTGTAATCCAAATTCTGCGATTGCTTTAAGAACAAATAAGCCCAATACCTCAATATATGTTTTTATTATTCGTGTGTCTTCTGTGTGGACGTCTTCACAAGCGTTGTAAACCTGTGATTTTTAATGCTTGTAAATAGCTTTGCTATGAATCTTTACCGATATCATATCGATTTGTAATCGTCAACGGTAAATCACATTGAGTAGGAACGTTTCCTCGTTTTTTCCGTCACCATCGTAAACAAACACGAGAATTTTAAGTTGAGCAGCTGATTGTCGGGGTTGAAACCGTAAACTAATACTCTGAGCCTCACCTGGACCAAGCTGAAAAATATAAAAAGCCTAAAGCTAAATATCTTTGTGTCATCTTTCATGTAACAAAGAAGATTTTAGGCAAGGAAGTAAAAATAATACTGAATATATAAAATTACATGAAACGGGATCTAAATTGGTGCTCAATTTCTACAGAAATTATAACAAATAAGTGATAAAACGTGTAGCCGAAAAACTCATTGGAAATAAAGGATGGAATGAAGAATAATCTTTTAAAAGAAATACATATTGACTTACATTTAGTGTAGTGTTTTCTAGATGAAGTACATTATCGAGGTTGCATTTTAAATAAAACGTTTTACCAACTTGATACGGGTTGATGAACTGAATCCTCTACAATGTGAAAGAACTATTGATCAAAATGATCTCATCAGCTATAGATCTTTGCCAGCCTTAGATGCTCATATATGCTCAGCAAAGGTTTAGTGGGACCATTTGATAGACTATAGTCAGATATACGTATAATAAGAAAAAAGGCATGAGATGTAATTTTTACCTTACGAGATCCCTTTCCTCCGCCCAGTTCAACGTTTATATCGAAGGTCTTTGAAATAACTGGTGGACGAGATGTAGCACAGACTAACCATGATCGAAGCAATTGGCTAAATTCTGTGTCTGGAAGATAAACCTAATGCTTTAATAACACTGTAGAATGGTGTTGCACCATGACAGTGGTGAAAATGCAATGCTAGTTAGCACTGAAGGATGATGTTGCACCATGATAGTGATGAAAGCGCATTGCTAGTCAACACTGAAGGATAGTATTGCATCATGACAGTGGTGAAAACATATTGCTATTTTACACTAAAGGAAGGTGTTGTACCATGATTGTGATGAAAACATACTTATTGCTATTCAGCGTAAAGGTTGGGATATCTCACCAATGGAAGAATCATGTAAAAACAAAATAACGAGGTACACAATATAGAAAATATTCAAAGAAAAAATTACCAACAACGTTCACGATTATCTGCTTCAATCCGGGCGTGCAAGGTGTAAAATTTAAGCTAACTTCTTGAACTCCATTTGCCATTAACATGAAGGGATCAGATGGTTCAACCTAACACAAAAGGTAAAAATCACATTGCCATAAGTCATAACATACGTCAGAGAATAAATAAAAGAAGTTCCACCTGGAGTTCCGCTGGTAGTGAAGAAAAACATTGAACAAGTCGTGATGAATGTGTACCGCGAAGTACACAAGATAAGCGACTGCTCTGTCCTTGTGTAGAACTTATATCTAGCCTAAAATAAAATTTCCATGTTATATGTACCTTTTATGGATAAAATCAACATTTAACTCCTTTATTATTAATTGTTTTATGGAGAAGGATACCTTTGCAAAGAATGAACGTAGAGTTGCCATGTTTGCTTGGGTTTGATGTGAAATCGGTCTCTGAAAATGCAACGAAAAACTCCCACTAAATTCTACTCCAACTTGGAATCGTTCTTAGTAAACTCTAGCAATTGGGCACCATTAAATTAACTTACGTGTAAACAAATAAAAAAAATCTTCTCACAGATGGTGAAGCTCCACATGGAACTTTCAAAAAGATATCTTGTGGTTGATCCCTGCCCTACGAAAAAGAATAATTAGACTATAACTTGTCTATGGAAGAATTACAACAGTAAATGTATTTTGTAACGTACATTAGAAGTTGTATTACAAATCACATTGATGTCACTGCAGCGAACATGCATCTCTCTTGGTACTTCACCATCACGAAGGGGCTCATCTAAAATTTACAATTTATTTGCAAACGTAAAATTTGACGTTTTTTATGAACGTATTGTGGTCGCAAATGATGTTGACATTGATATTATTATTATTGTGGCAGTCAATACGTCGTTATTTTGGCAATCACATGCCTGCTAATGCATGCCAATGTGGTAGTCGAATGGTTTTCTTAAAGTATGTTTGTTCTGGACTGTTAAATCTAAAGGTCTGATCAACGGCAAGTGGCTGCAATTCGACTTTAAGTGAAAGAATCGCTAGACGTTGTTGCTGTGGTGTTTCAAATACGACCTGAAAACAAAGTTAGTGAAAATTTAAATTAGTCTTTTGAAAAGAGAAATAAAAAAGATGATGGTTGAGTGAAGTACGTTGAATTGAAAAGGAAGTTAAAGAAAAGGACTTTACAAGAATTGTGAGTTTGGAAACGCGAAATAAAACTTGGTTATTGTATCATTTGCTTTTACCTTAATGTTGTAAGAAAGTTCCTTTTTTTTGACAACACGTCCATTTTCATCTTTGGCGTGTAAAATAGATGACGCTTGTTCACTGGTTGACTTGAAGCTTTGATATTTGAATGGTATGTTTACGGTTTCTTGCGAACGCATAAAAATCTCGGGGTAGCCACTTTCAGTGGCCAGATTAAACATGTCTTCTTCGATGTCTGAGATAAATGATTTTGACAAACATTTCTTGAGACTTCATGTTGAGATATTATTATGAAAATGAAACGTAAATTTACTCATGCTTACTGGTTGAAGTTTGAGTCAGCTTCTTGTATTCTTTCCATTCTTGGGTATTCGAAACTACCCTGGAGAAACGGAGACGAGTTAGTCATGTCTTGGCTAAAAGCATCATCAAGCTCATGCAAAGCAAATGTGAAATCATCCATTCTTATGAACTAACATTAGTTCATTGTCATCACACTGTACGATAACTGTTGACTCCGATGCGTACGGGTTCTTCAGAACAAATTCAAAAAACACAGCTTGACCAAAACTTGGATATATAGTATGTGTTGTTGTTATATTCCTTGAAAGTAGCTCCATGATGCCTTCCTTTTTCCATTTTTGTCTACAACGTATTTCAATGAACATAATCATCTCACTTATAGATGAAAATATACGTTGTCATGCATATGTATACGTCGTCGGTTTACCGATACATTTGAACTGTTTTCAAATCCCTTGCTCGTTGAACTTTTTCTTCCTTGATGAGCTAGATGATAAATAAGAGAAAAATCTTTTAGTTTTTCATCATTAGTTTGATCTAATAGTTCAATCAACATTTAGGTAAATCAACTAAAGTAAAACAGCGAAAAGTCCAACAGGCTAAAACTCCATCATACAATGTGTGCAAAAAGAATTTTTTAATTTGTGAAAGTAAGGACGTGTTATAGCAAAGAATTTTTTAATTTGTGAAAGTAAGGACGTGTTATAGCAAACGTTACGTGGGTTGTAGTGAAAGGCAGTCCTTTTTGTGTTTTTCTTATTGCCTGCATTCTCTCCAGCTTTCTGTAAAAAAAAAGTTGAACAATCCATAAGTGAAATTGTACATACATCACCCCTCGTGCATATATACACTAAACAACCTTTGTCTTACGGCATCTGATTCCTTGATTGGTCTTCCGTCTGATGTACCTTTCTTGTTTGCATCTCTAGACAACAAAACTCTCGCCAACTCTCGATCACATTCTTTCATAAGCTTTGCTTTCGATCGCGTGGGAAACGCTAAACATAGTTAAGTTCGAAACACATGGCACATTAGTCAGTTGAAATTCATCGAAGCCCAACATAAGTCTTCTACGACAAGGAAAAAAATTTGACATCTCGGTGGATTGCAACCACTTCCCAAGCAGTCAAAAGGCCAGGAGACATTCGCCATGTTGGTTGAAATTTTAATTGTAAACAAGAAAAATCATTTGTCAAATTCAACCACCATGGCTGCTGTGACGTAACGTTAAAGCCACCAATAGGTGATGGACATCAGCAGCGATTAAAAAAAGTTTTCGCTTCAGCCACAATCAAATGTATTTGTTAAAGCTTTGATTGTCGTCGAAAAACAGTGTTTGAAGTGTACCTACCGTACTGCCCTTCATTGATGTCTGCTTTGACAACATAACGCTGTTTTCTCGGTACTATACCTACACAACAATATACAAACTCAACATGTGTAGAGTGTCGGTACTATACCTACACAACAAAATACAAACTCAACATGTGTAGAGTGTCGGTACTATACCTACACAACAAAATACAAACTCAACATGTGTAGAGTGTCGGTACTATACCTACACAACAATATACAAACTCAACATGTGTAGAGTGTCGGTACTATACAAAAACAACAATATACAAACTCAACATGTGTAGAGTGTCGGTACTATACCTACACAACAAAATACAAACTCAACATGTGTAGAGTGTCGGTACTATACCTACACAACAATATACAAACTCAACATGTGTAGAGTGTCGGTACTATACCTACACAACAAAATACAAACTCAACATGTGTAGAGTGTATATAATCCAAAAGAATAAAGGTGGCTAAGTAAGAAATCGCACAAAAGAATTTACTTGGACTTCTTACAAGGTTTTTCCGATTTGTTTTCACTTGGATGGCCAATATTCGCAATGCGTAAATATAGTTTGTCTTGAAATTTCATTGCAGATCCAGCTGACCTCAAACCAACGTTACGAGTCTAATGGGAACGAAAACAAGTCTTAGTGTTGAACTTCAACATATAACGAAAACTATAAATATACAATCATCATTCAAACAAACAAGGTTTGATAGGAATAAGAAAAATGGCAGTTATTGTATAATCATTTCAATAATCATCACTTCCGTCAATGGACAACAAATATTCAATATTTTCGTAGATTGTTTGGAATCATGTCCATCATATGACTTAGAAGTACGGTATATTTTGTACATACTGCTTCTCCAGTGGCGGGCAAGTGTTCGCAGTAGTCCGTGGATAAAATATCCAGCTCGTGCATAGCTTGCACTGCTTCTTGGCCTTGACGAAGCAAATGCTGGAAGAATTAACGATGAGATAGAACGCACCAAATGAAATATAAGATAAACAGTTGAAAGCGTTTATACTTTTAAATCCAGTGAAGTTGATCCAATCAGCAATAGCGATTCACCATTCCAGACGTCTATGTAAAGACGATGATTTTTAAGGTAGTTCCATAATTGATACATCTCCCCCGGCAACATGTCACACGGATCGAAAAAATACTTGAACTAAATATGAAAAAAATACAAATTTAATGGCTTTATCCAAGATAATTACTTTCAAGTTTCAACAAACTTTTTAAGAAATACTCAACACATAAAGCTGGATTGGTTACCTGTAATCCTGGATTTTTATCAATTGTTCCGTCACTATCAAATTTTTGTAACAAACATGGCAGAAATGACTGGTTTTTTGCTTGATTTTCTACGTCAATTAATGCCAACCTAATATTACGATGAAAATTTCCAACGATGCATTTGAAAGAAGTAATGAAATATGAGCAAACATAACGTTTATAATGGGTAACGCAAAGAAAGGAGTTTCATCAACATTTACCTTTCAGTTTTCACTTCTGGCAATCGATAAAACTGATATGTAAAGAAGACAGTGTGATGGAAACAGGCAGATAAAGCAAAAAACTGAATAATGATTTCATTACAATGTCGAATGTCTGTTTGTTCGTATTTCAAATCATACTGACGAACAACACTTGGGTCGATGTTGATTGGTGGATTACCATGACGATCAAGAATCTTTTGGAACTGGGCACTAGTCAAACGTCCATGACCGGCACGTGATAACGTGAAAGCAGCTCTATATATACAATAGATACGTATGTCCTATAGAAACCACAGAAAGGAAATGAAGACAACTCTTTTGACACATACCCTGATGCTAAGGGAGGACGAATCAGAGGAGAATGATGTTCGGAAATTCCAGATACACGAGTATCCACTAGTATATCTTGTGAAATTGGCGTTTGAGTTGGCTACAGAGAAGTAACAGAAGTTAATTTTTAGAAAATACAATAATATACTAAAACATCGATATGTGACAATTGAATGTAGGTCAGCAATACTCAGACTTAAATTAACATCTTTTTATCATTTAAATGCATCCCAGGTTTTTTAAAAAGACGACATAGCGGTAATGATGCATATGAAAGCAGTGAAAATTTCCTTACGATTTGCGAAGGTGGTCGATAAGGTGGAAAATCTGACTGAAACGATATAGTTTCTTCGTGTGGAGATTCTGTGTCCTTATATGGTACACCTGGGGAACTTTGTCCACCAAAAACACTATTGCTCTCCGCGGTTCCCATGGATTCCCGCGTGGAATGCCTTCGTGAGCTAGCGCGTGAATTTACCCTCTTTTGTTCAGTTTTTTTCTTGGCTGTGAATCGAAAGCGAACAGTATCTTTAAATGTCTGAAAAAGAAAGATGGCATAAATTTGGTGGTTAAGATCTTTAAATGTCTGAAAAAGAAAGATGGCATAAAGAGTAAAGTTGTAGAACAAAGAAATGTTGTAATTTTATGGCTACTGAAGTGTTTAGTTTAAATAATTCATAAGTTTTGTTCATTTTCGTACGATTTTTGTGTCTCATAAGTCACTGAAAAGTGTTATGAAACAAGCAGCTCTATAAACGTTAATGGGACAAATGCAGCACTTTCATCCACCTCGCCATGTTCTTCCGTACTGGTAAAACTAAAATAATAATTGGCTGAATGTTACCTCTTTTCTTTGCGGTCCGAACCACGTGAACACATTTCCAGGGTGATAGTGATGCCCTCCTTGTAAGACCAATGTCACATTAGTTTCCTCTGGGTTACCATCCTTGAATGGTTCCCAAATTCCTTGCCGAACGCAAACATTAAACGTTTTTGAACGTACTAAACTTCCCGAAGGCAAACTCGCGTTGTTTCTCCAAGAAGTCTAGGAAAATGAAACACAGAGATGAACTATGCATCAATTACTGTCTTAGCAACGTATAGCATGTTGGAAAGATCAGAAAGACAAGTATCTTTGCAGAGAATCACGGGGACAGAGTCACAAACGCTTCACTGAACGTACGTGGCTTATGTTAAATAGTGATGATTTCCGTACCCGTTTTTTCTTAACGTCAACGGTGTTATCAACAAGAACTGGTTTTGCAAATTCCTCAGACATGACGTAGATGAGTTGGAAAACAATAACAAACAACTTGTCAGCGACTAAATCCGACAGATTAAGTCGACTACGCAATATCAGTCTGGTTATGTTCCCTGAAACAAATTCGCACAATCAATTTTTGGTCATTGGTGTTCATGTGATGAAAAATATAATAACTCTCGCGATTTCGTTGTAATAAATAAATTTATCTAATTTTCGAAATTTACTTTGAAATTGACCCTTACCTTTCAATGAAGACATGGAGTTTGGTCTGTTTCCTATCGTAACTTGACCTGTGTACTCTGGGTCCAACACCATACTGTGTGGCTTGCTGACAAACGTCCATCCGTTATGTACACCAACCTTAGAGAAGAAGAACAATTCATTTATGCATACATATTGTATGTTTATGGAGCCAAACTTATTGTATGGTACTTTTTGAGGTTGTAATTGAACCTGCAATTTTCTTTCAACGATCTTCACACTCGGGCAACCTTCTTGAACATTACGCTGTATGTGTAACAGAATATTTCAATATTACATTCAAAGTTTCAAAGAAAAGAAAGCCTTGCTCGTGCTACCTTTAACATTCTGTCAGAATTTAGATCATCTGTTAGTTGCTTTTCAAAATCTTCCACAGAAGGGTGAAGACCAACGTACAACTATAAATATAATGACGTTAAACAGAGAGCACAAGAGTAAGAGGAATCAGATATGACCGTTCTGTCGTCTATGTGCAGGATTAAATTAAGAAAGTTAGCAAAGCATTGATCATGGGCACCTTGTCAACGAAGAACGCTATTGTCTTCTCAAGACGAGGTTTATGTAAGATATCAATGACACCGTTTGCTAGATATGGAACATTGAAGATGCATTGCGTTGAAAATAACCTCAATTCGTGTAGAATTAGGAAAAAAATCTGAAATCATGTACCATCTGGCGGTCCTTCTCGAATTCCCGGAACTATATCGTCACCACCGATCAAGACGTTTTCAGGAAACAGATGAAGTGCATTACCTAAACTTGAATGGCGGGATAGTTGATAGACCAACTGACATCCAGGAATTGCCAGTAACCCTGGAAACTCTGAATGAGAAAAATCAGCAAAAAGATGAGTATATATATGTGTGTACAAATCAAATTCATGACGATCCTTGGAGAGTTAGTGCTTTTTCAAATCCCTAATCTTCGAAGGATAATCAAGTAAAAAAGTTTCGAGAGAGAGCTGAAGGTACCTTCCAATGGTTCGTTCATGTAAAACAATGCTTGAACAGTTCCAGACAGAAACGTCAATCTGAAATTGTGTTGAATACAGCTCAATTATTGGCTTCATTTCATGCGTTGGAAAGATCACATCGTGAAAGACTTTGAAAAGACATACATCTTTGAAATGGAAACACAAAGCATACGTAAAAATTTTTCTATAGTACTTTATCCCGATGATTTGATAACTTGCATCTCACCTGTTAATAGCGATGTCATTTGTGGTTGAGGAATCTTTCATTGAAATGGTTGAATCAAAAATTCTCAGAATTCCCCAACCGCAAGAAAAGGTTGTTCTAGTTGATTCGTCTTAAAACACAGGAAATTATTACAGCTAGATTATGTGGCACAATGAAAGTTGTGAAAATCAGATATCTTACCCAATGCAATCAACTCAACTGCACCAATGCAAGTAACATCACTCAGAGGAGAATGAAAATAGACAGCCTACAATGAAGGTGTATGATGAATATGAAGACAAATGGATATGAGAATCTCAAATTATAAGCCCAAAGAATAGCTAATTGATTCTGTTTGATGGTATTCTCATACAATTTTTGAAATAACTAAATCCTGAATAAGCATGCATTTTCTGATGAATTTTTCCATTACCTCATTGCAAAATATTTTGCCCTTATTCTCATCAATTTTCTTACATGGAAGATAAGCGCCAAGCCATGTGCTCCCAAAGAATTTCTTGTTAGCAGCGTCATAAAGTGTGACACGAACTTGAAACTCCACTGAATCATGACGCTTTAAGTATTGAAATTGTTGAAAGTTAATAATCTTGAAGTTGCTGTTTCATAAGCATAGATACGTATGAACAATTAAACATAATGCTTAAATGCAGGGTAAGACCTAAATGTTTATACTTTTATCTCAAATTTTATGCGTGGAATAAACGTAAACTACAGCAATAAAATTGTATTAAACAGGATACTAAAATTTCTGATTAAAAATGTAAACTCGAGATAAAAGAAAATAACACTAAACGGTTTGTTTACACGCACAATGCAATAAATTACAAAGGTTTATTCATCCTATTTTTACATACAACAGTGCTTGGAATTGGTATTCCTTCAACAGATTTAATTTTCAAACGATAGGGAATACTTTCAATATCTTCCTTTTCTTGTCGAGTCTTGTGTAACGGCACAGAACGATTATTTTTAAAGAAACTGTGCCAAGATTCTTCTTCGTCACTTTCATCGGCCATGTTGAATTAATTTGCCGTAACCGGGGTTACTTTACCCGTGTACTTTAACCCGGCGTCAGACGGGAGTTTTTCAAGTAAAGCATTGTTCTCCTGGGGGTTAGACGAAATAAAGTAAAAGGAATTTTCTTTTCAATTTATTTTGGATGTATTTTCTACTTACGTCAAGTGGCTGTACTTCTTTGTGTCAGACGTGTCCGTCATTGCATTGTCGTGTATTTTCCTTAGTCCTTGTTCTTATGCTAAGTTATCGTTCGTCACATTCTTGCTATAAGCATGAAAACACATAAAAGTACAGTTGAAAATACGTTCATTAAATGTTTATGAAGAACAATGCAAGCACAAATAACAGTGTGAGTAAAAATCGAAGTACACAAGAAGATATAGAAAAAGATTGGTTAATATTTTCAAGATTACATGGAAATAGCGAACAATTTGAACATAGACTGATCAACAGCAGGACGCCTTCACCCATTTTTGATGGTTGATGAAATATCGCACTGAGAGGAAGGCTAACTTACATAAATTTGGGAAGCGATTCTCAACGAAAACTGTGCGCTAATTTTTTTTTCGAAAGCTATCAATGCAGAGTTGGCACGACGTCAATCAGAAAAAGTGATGAATATACTGCACCATACTAAACATTAGATGGAAACCGGGATGCTAACGAAACCCAATATACATGTTTAAAAGAGTTTTCCAGTTAAAATTTCTTTTAGCAGCTGCAATCAATGTATTATGTGATAGCATCTATTGGTTGGTATCCATTGAAAAAAGCTTCTTCTAAATTTATTCTGCATTGATAGCTTTCAACGTTAGCAGTGCAGTTTTCGTTAAGGAATCCCTTTCAAACTCACTTGATTTGCTTTCTCCTCTTCTTGTGGTATCTTATCAACTGTTCTTTTTCACAAACATCAGTACAGGTCTCTTGCTGTTCATAGGATCATGCCCAAATTATCGACTATTACCAAGTAGGGTTGAAAACACTAACTAATCTTTTCCTTTCTTCTTGTGTTCTGTGATTTATCACTCCTCTACCATTTCCTGCATTGTTCTTCATTAACATTTAATCACTGTTTTCTACTGTACTTTTCTATGTTTTCAATAAGTTTCTTTAAGACCATAGGCTCCATTTCTTTTTCCGTTTATTCAAAGATGTTGACGATCTTGATTGCTTATTAGCACGTCAATTAAAATGCATTAGCAGTAAAATAAGGCGTTGTTTGGTAGTAAGATGAAAAATAACGATACTTGTCGTCTACTCCAGTTAAGGCTCCAAGTCATCAACTTTGCTTTCAACATCCAAAAATGTTTTGAATACGTTATACCTGTTTCGTACGAGCGACAAGTTTTTACCATGACGCCTTCAAATTCATAAGTGCCACAAACTTGAAGTGAATGATATCTTTTTGCATGCTGTTATGCATATCATTATGTATTTGTCATTATGTATTTGTATCACGTCATTTCATTGTTCGTACATGAACAAATTACCGAATGTCCAAAAAATCTAATCCTAAAAACAATAGGTAGTGTTGCAAAACAAGGGCTATGTTATCTCAACCTTGAATACACGTAAAATGCAAATTACAATTGACCATTGTTTTTGGCATTACGTAAATCATTAAACAATAATATTATTCAGCTTGTCAAATAAAACAAGTGATATCTTGTTCGCCACTCTGATGAAGGGTGTATTTATTTTGAGAATAAGGAGGGAGGGTTGCATATCAAGACTATATAAAATAATACAATTCGGTTCGAAAGAACCTATGCTGAGGAGAGAGTAGGCGTAGGTTGAGTGCATTGGCTCGTACAACAAGTTCTGTAATCTATATTTATCAAACCGAATGTATGAATTTAACCTTACCCCGTCAATTCATACCCATATCATCAAGCTATTAGCAATTTGTAGCCATATTTTATTTCTGAATAATTTTATACAACTTTTTATTAACGTCATTAAAACGAACTTAGACTATGAAATAAAAATGCTTACGTATGATCTTATATCTAATGCTAAATCTCGTACAACTTGCTTATCGGCTACGGCTTTGTGTACGCTAGTCTACTTGTATTGTGATGAATAATGGATGTCTTGGACGAACGTACGTTCTTGCATGTATACACGTTTAATTTAGAAATGCCATTGGGCAGCATCAACAGCACCATGCATGAAGCGATCTATATGCAATCATTAACTACAGTTTTATACTTCTAAAGATATCTGCTTTTTGAATGGTGGCTTTCCTCCGTTTTTCTTTGCCTGCAAATTCTTGATGCCTTTCATTATCTTATTGCGATGTCCAACTAAGGTTATACCCCACTCCTTAAGATCACCCTCCTTGATTGAATGCAACTCACGAGGTCTTTGGTAACCTGCTGCTACAAAATACTCAGTGTATTCAGCCATTTTTATGGATTCCAGCCAACTGCGCAGCGCATACGACAGGTCAATATCACCTTCCATTGTTTTCGGTTTTTCAATCCATCCATCCAAAATTTTGTTTATTTCAGTGAAGTTAGGTCGCTCTATTCGCTCTGTCTTCCAACATTTCATCATCAAGTCATGAACACCCTTTGGACAATTCTTAAAAAATAGAAAGTTAACATTTCTTTGATGCACGTATTGTGTTTTCACTTTTTCATTTCCAACATTCAATCATGAATATTGCAAAGATATTGAAGTGGTAAATCTCGACTATCACTTACCAGAGGAGCGGGAAGTCTAAAACCATTGTCTATCTCTTCCATAACCTTAATAAGCATAAAACTCACGATTATCGCTTTATCACAAACTCTGATTGATTTACATCACGTTATGGTTGCTTACCTTGAAATTATCCCATTCCCAATATGGTCTCTCAGCAAACGACATGATCTCCCATAATAAAATACCAAAACTCCACACATCGCTGGCAGAGGAAAATTTACGATACTTTGTTGCCTCCGGGGCTGTCCATCGTATGGGTATTTTTCCCCCGGTCGTGGCATATTCTCCACGTGATGATTCTTTTTCCTCGAGCTCACGTGACAAACCAAAATCGGAGACTTTACAGACCAGATTTCCATCAATCAGTACATTACGTGCAGCTAGATCCTGATGAAAGAAAGCATACTTGAAGCATACGATAAAACTAAATTCAGTTGAACACATCACAAAAAATGCAAAGAATTTTGAATATGAAGCAACCACTAGAAGTACGAAAAATTAATTATTGCTACGATGTTTTTTCGTCATCAACTTTCTCACCCTATGAACGAAATTCATTTCAGCCAGATACTTCATTCCAACTGTCACTCCTTTGGCCATACTAATCAACTCAAGATGTGATAATCTACCATCGTTGGCCTACAAAAAAGTCGGTTCATAACTTGGAACATTCACAGTGCATAGACGTACTCTATTATTTAAATAAATAAAAAAAATGCTTGCAACGTCTTCTTATCCATCTTTCAGATGACCAGTAAAACTTTCCACGAAACTCAATACCTTTAAAAAGTTGTCCAAAGAGCCGTTAGACATGAACTCCATCACTATCATCCAAGGTCTATCTGTTGGACAACAAGAACAGAAGAGTCATTACAATACATGAGTTTTGGGGATTTATCAAAATAACAATATTTACATTTTGTCACGACGCCCTTCAATTTAAGGACGTTTGGGCAATCAAATTGTCCCATCACTGAAGCCTCTAAAAGAAAATCCTCTCGCTTTTGGCGTCGTATCTTTCTGTGAAAAAATATTGGCCAGTTTAGTGTATTTTTGAGGACGCTATAAATGATTTCCTATAAATTGTATTAACCTTCAGTGTCTTGACTGCCACTGGATGCTTTTTTCCAAGAGCACCAGTCATGGACCCCTTGTATACTTCACCGAACTCTCCTGAAAAAAATGAAAAATCCATTGCAAGATTTGTAAAAAGACATCATTTTTGAGTTATTTTCCATTGTTTATGGAACAGTTCCTGCCAAGGAACAATCCAAATGTTCTCACCTTTACCAATTAGCATCTCCAAATACAAAAGTGATGCGTCAATCTCTGTTGCAAACTCAACGATCGCATCTTCCGGTTTGTCGTAGTTGCTCGGATCCACGTACATCTTTTTTCCAGTTGTTGGCAACTCCACTACAAACAAGTTGTAAAATAATGAATTGAGTGAATTGTAAAAGACCTTATGATCAAAGTCTTGCCCAAGAGATAAAAATAAGCAAATTTATAGCTAACTTATAATTTTTACCTCCATTTCTTAGAAGTGCCTGAAATAGGTCACTTTTTTGTTTTCTCCTTCTGAAACAATGACATTAAGTTTGGATGACGATAAAGAATTGTTTCTGACAATACATTCATTAACCGCGTCATATTTACCGAATAAAAATGAAGAAAATGACAACAATCAGGATGAGAAACAAACAACCAACACTGACAATTATTATCAAGTATTTGTTTGAATTGCTGCTTGATTGGGGCATTGGTTCATCTGAAATGAGAAAATGCTCAATGTAATAAAGGAAGACGGAGAAGTACAACTTTTTAGGATCATTACCATTATTGTTTTTTGCGGTGTAAATTTCACTTAGGATGAATTTATTGAATTGTTTTGGAATGACCGAGCTTAGGATATCTCTAGGAGAGATCTTGAATTGATAAATGTTTCCAGTCACTAATCCAGACACAATAACGAATGTGTTTTTGATATTTTTCTGTCCTGGATCGTACTTCAGTTTTGGACAGTGACAGGTTTTGTTGCAAACGTAGCATTCGACGTCATAAACAAGATTTTCACCATTGAAGCTTACGTTAACGGGAGCGATCCAACTAACGTTCACCATGTTTAATTCACCATTTACTGCCATGATCTTTGGTTGAGATGTAATCTCTACTGGAGCTAGTTATTAACAAAGAATTCTAAACAATCTGAAGTATTCTGTAAAATATGGTTAAATTCCAATCAATAGACAGTTTGGTGTAAAAATAGCCTGGCGTCGACTTTTCATGGCAAATTTTACTCATTTTTTTATGAGGGCAACGAGAAATGTGCAGTGCATGCTTTGAATGTGACATGTTGCGTAAAGCTTATTACACGAGAAATATTATGACTAAAACAGGATGATTTGGGAAATTACCATAACATCTTGATATTTTTTTGTTTCTTTCATCTTGCTTAAGTTCATAGTATCCCTCTTTACACGAACATGTTGTTTTTTGCTCTCCACTTGACGTGTACAGAGGGCATTTTATACACTTGTTGTTGGTGACATTTTCTTTGTAATGATCAATCTTGCAAGCTTCAAAAGAAAAGTGGTTTAAGTTAGTGATATGAAGCAATATATGGTACGGTCTAAGTATGGTGAAAACATTACTTAGAGATAAGATGAAAACAATAAAATAGAGACTTTGTCGTAGTGACAAATCTGAAAATAGTTCTAAAGATACCAAATACCATAGTGAATGGTAAATGTAATATAATAATTTGATAGTTCTGAAAAGAACTGTTTTAAGTAAAGAGCACTAATCCAATAGTTCTAATCTAAACGACACGATGCATTTCGGCAGACGAAATGCATCGTGTCGTTTAATTTAGAACCATTACGTTAGTGCTCTTTACTTAAAGCAGTTCTTTTAAATACTATCAACTTATTATATTACTTTTACCATTCACTATGGTATTTGCTATCTTTAGAACTATTTTAAGATGAAAACATTGGTATTCTTTCAAAGTTTCTTTTACCTTGGCAGCCTTCCTTTGTTGGCTCATATCCTTTACGACAGAAACAAGATGCATTTTTTTCTAGAAACCATGTTCCATTGCTGTGACAGTAAGCTCTAAGACCGCTCGTTTTTGTCAATTTCTCTGAATTAGTTGAACAACTACCATAAATGACCTTTGTCCCATTTGGAGGTGATAACGTTCTCGTTAGCAGAATACTGTTTTTATATTTCTGCTGGCAAACGTAGTAGAAAATCTTCATACGAAACAAAGTGCCACAAGCTCCTGTAGACTTAATGCCAAATGTTATGTCGTTAAATTTTTTCACTTGTATTGTAAACATTTTGATGAACCGTTCTTTTGATGTTTCGTTGCCAGTGATGTTGCCCAAAAAGTTGAAATTGTTATTGAAGTAAATGCTATTATTTTCTTTCTCCTCTGATTCTTGATTAGAAGGAAAAGGGATCACTGGCTCACCATTTCCATTGTAGGTAAATATTTCAAAACCGTCTCGGAAACAAATTCCATCTTCGTTATCGCAATTCGCCATTTTTGAGTCAATTTCGATGAACATTTTAACATCATCTAATGTTTGATTAATTTTCAAAGTTTCTGTCAACAACCACGTTTCTGTTTTTCCTCCATCTGCACAAGTTTTAGCTTTGCCATTCTCTTTGAAAAACTATAAAGACATAATCATTTCTAAATATATGTTTAATTATAGGATTAGAGTTAAATGTAGGATTATGGTCACAACTAGAATTAAGGTTATAAGGTAAAGATCAAAAAAACAGGATTAATGCAGATCCCACTGACAAGTTTTATTAATTGTGTCTGTTGCAAACTATAAAATGACTCAAACGAGGAATAGCTGACAGAAGAAGCTCTAGCGTGAAACATTATCAATGTATCGACGTTCTTACAAGTTCACCGATTCCATCGAATATTAAAGACGTTTTCATCCAAAATTCAAATGTTGCATCCTTTAAGACAACTGTCAAGTTGAGAAAATACATTAAAATTTACAAAGATTATAAAACTACATGATCATTTTTATGTAAACTTAGTCATTGATTGCTCTCCTTACTTTTCTCGCCCATTGAAATTTCCAGCAGTAAATAACTGAACACAACTCTCCCTGGAACAAAAATCCTCATCTTTCTTGAAAAAGTGTGATACCTGAAACGAATTTTTTAACCCACAGAATTAGAGCAACATACAAATGTTATTTGCACGAGTTAGGGATATAAAGTCATCAAAAACCAACGTGAGGCTTTCCACTTCACTATTTTCATTGCTAGAAGATGTTGGCAAAAAAATGTCACATTTCACTGAGTTTTTATTGTTATGTAACCATTTGTTAAACGAGATTGACGAGACTGTAGAATTTGACGCTTGCTCTTGTTGTTTAGGCAAGGCGTCATGTGGTTAGCATGCTAATTTCAATTTTCAAATTTGCCATAACGAAAATAATCAGCCAACTCAGTAATGAAATTTACGTCAATTCAGGTAGCGTAAATTTTATAATTGCTCCAGAATATTATGGTTCAGTTATTATATTTCATTGTCAAAAAGTAAATAACTGAAATCGATCCTAGTTGCTTGTGGTTTCTAGTTTCATTCACTGTCAATATTTAATTGTCTTTGAAATACGTATGACAAAAGAAATACTCTCGAGAAAATGATGGAATAGTCAGAAGTATTTGATCCATCGAATAATTTTCTTTATTCTTACACAGGTAATTGATGTCATCAGTTACCTTTCAATTTTGTAAGCCAATAATTATTTGTATGGATTAATGGCTGAAGCGCCCTTAACATAAAAATACAAACACAATAATAGATATGCTTTGAATTGAAGTTTAACAAGCGTGCTCTTTATGCTCCGATAATAAATAATTTTGTTGAAGAAAATTATTCCTTCCTAATCGGTAAAGGAATACTGGAAAAAAAGAACAAAACGATTCATATGCTGTTTTCAACAGATAGATCATATATTATAATCACAGGTTTTTGTCGGCGGAACTTAGCTATAAGCGAATATTGACATTCCAATGTAAAATTGTGACAATTTGTTGTGGCAGACTTTCCACAAAATGATAGTTTGTAATTTCGTGACGATGGATAATTGACTTATCCTCTTTAAATGAAATCCACGTACCTATATTTGAACAAGATATGTCCTTCACCGCAACTTGGCAAATACTAACAAGACAAGAGTCTTAAATATTGTTTCTTCGTATCAGTCGAAGCCAAGGATCGTTGCCACTCTTCAACAACAAGTTTTCGCCAAACGTGTTTCTATTAGATGAAGTTATTGAACGAAAACATTGAATAAAATCATATACATATACTTTTATGCTTACGATAATATGTTTGTCTAAGTCATTCTATTCAAGTGTGCAATTAGTATTAAAATATGCAAACTACAGACACTTTTTACAACAGCAGAACTGAACAAATAAAGATGTTCGACTCCGTCACGGATATTGTCGAACTTTCACGATTTTTGTGACTTGAAATGAATGAAATGTTTGTCAACTTATTAAATAGAGTAATTTTTATTTAACATCGACATCACTACATTCACACTTTTTAAAGGATAGGATTTTTTTCTAATAAACTTTATATATTTGGTTGTTGAATACCAAACGGTATGGAAACTCTAACAATTTGTGCAGGCAAAACTGCTGTGGTTAGCATTTAGTATTAATTTTGAAAGGAATATTTTCATTTAAATTTCGCTACTTTTTATTTACATTTGAAATTTGTGGATAACCTCACACTCGGCTCAACAAGTTGTTTCCTAAAAGACCAAAGCAATTATTCCTTCACCCTAACCTTTCAAAATCCAAATGTCGTGTTTTTCATTCGAGAAGCTTTTAGGTTTTGCCGAGAAATACTTTTTTCATCTTACGGGATTAATAAATCGTTGTGAACTTATTGCTTTTGAAGTTATTATTATTGATTTGCCATGGGAACGGGTTGTAGAAATAATTGCAAAGGAAACTGAAAACCTAAAAATTGAATTCGTCGATCTTTGGCGGCTATCTACTCAGTTTAAAAGTTTAAAATTTTATAATGCATTACTGTATGGATAAAAAAGATAGCATGCATCTGTACAGTGCTATGGTTTGATGGGAATAATTATATTATTTAATTTTTTCAATGTTTTATTTTAGGTCTGAAGATGGACATACATGGCTATGTTAATTATGCATATGCTAATATAAACATTTTTTTTTAATCATTACGTGTTGCTAAAATTATTTTAACGTACGTTGTGTTGGTTTTTCTCACTGATCTGATAATAGACTGGATATAGCTTCTATAGGTAACAAAAGTGAAGCCTAATTATATATCCAAAATGCACTTCCGGGTACCACAAGAAATACAAATTACTATAGAAATGTATGGCAGATAACGTTAATATACAAGGATTTTCGAATATTTAAGGCATTTCGTGACCTTTTACTAATCTCAAACATCTGTCATGGATAAAACAAGTTATGTTAATCATTTGACATCAAAATGATACCAATATCTGCAAAATATCGGCGCTCGTGTTCAATTGAAAATTGCGCGTGCAAGAATCGAATTTTGCCCCATCGTTGCAAAGGCAAGATAATTCACAACTCATTTTCTAAGTTCAGAGGCAGTTATGATCTAGAATGAGTTTCGATGCTTAAAAAATTCGTTTAGTACCTTTCTTTTATCATTCTTTATTATCTAGACATTGTTGTATGTAACTTTTGCCGTGACTTCATTAGCTGAGTACTGTTGTTGTAGGAACAAGACAAATTTACTAAGCTTTCTTCCTCTCTTTATTCTTATTTTCATTTCTGTTTTTTATTTTATAAAAATAATACAATCGCCACACCTTGCGGTAGCATTTGTATATAGCCATGAGTAAGTATGGTTGTTATTGACAAAAGTATCCAACATTTTTGTCAATTGCAGTCTATACCGTAGCATCAGGAATTGTATTCCCATGTGGTAAACTGCCATCTGAAGTTAAAAGCACCTTTTGTTTTATTGCATAGTTGAATAACAATAGCTGTTGGTTTGAATCCAAGTACTCATGTCTTTTAAAGGCAGAAAAGAATATTCACTTTAGTAATTTTTTCAACCAACAGCTTCTTAACAAGTAGGGCAGGTGGTTTTCTTTGGCAGCATCTGCCTATACTCACTCATTCATGAAGGCCATGTCCAAATGTATTAGCAAAGCGTGCTGATTAAATTATATCTGTAAAATAAAAACAGAAATGAAAATAAGAATAAAGAGAGGAAGAAAGCTTAGTAAATTTGTCTTGTTCCTACAACAACAGTACTCAGCTAATGAAGTCACGGCAAAAGTTACATACAACAATGTCTAGATAATAAAGAATGATAAAAGAAAGGTACTAAACGAATTTTTTAAGCATCGAAACTCATTCTAGATCATAACTGCCTCTGAACTTAGAAAATGAGTTGTGAATTATCTTGCCTTTGCAACGATGGGGCAAATTCGATTCTTGCACGCGCAATTTTCAATTGAACACGAGCGCCGATATTTTGCAGATATTGGTAGCATTTTGGGGTCAAAATGATTAACATAACTTGTTTTATCCATGACAGATGTTTGAGATTAGTAAGAGGTCACGAAATGCCTTAAATATTCGAAAATCCTTGTATGTAAACGTTATCCGCCATACATTTCTATAGTAATTTGTATTTCTTGTGGTACCCGGAAGTGCATTTTGGATATATAATTAGGCTTCACTTTTGCTACCTATAGAAGCTATATCCAGTCTATTACTAGATCAGTGGTTTTTCTAAACAAAAACAACATCTTTGTTCTTCTCTTTTCGTTTTTGTCGAATTGAGAAGATTGCCTTGTTTAATTTATTTCCATAACCAATCAGTGTTATAACAAGTGAAATCAAATCTTTGTCATCGAGTTTTGCTATAGCTATCTGAAAGTTTATCATAAACAAGTTTCATGAAAATTATTCTGATGGGTCATGTTAATCGAAGCCAACTACGATCCTGTAATATACATATACATTTGCTTTAAGTATTTTCAATTCATGAATGTTAAAGAAACACAAGAAATTTCTTAGTTTTCTTACCAATTGAAGTTAAGGGACGTTGAATACGATATTATCCTTTGTGTCAAGAGAGCATATCCATTTATCAACAATGGCAATAATCTTTGCAAAACTAGGGCGCTCACGTCTTTCTCCTCGCCAGCACTTTAGCATGAGCTGATGAACTTCTCTTGGACAGCCCTAAGCACATGATATAACGTGTTACTGAGGTTAGTGAATTGTATAGAAAGCTATCTTTTGGAGTTTTTCCTTCTACATCTTCCCTTACCTTCAGATAGCAATCCAAAGATCCATTGCTCATGAATGACAATCAATTGAAAGATTGGGACCGCAGAGAAGATAAATATCAACAGTCATGACACCTTCAACTTAGCAATGTTTTGATTGTTGAATTGTCTTAAATTGAGGCTTCTATCATGAAATCCTTTCAACTCTTTCTGTTTACCTTTGTGTCTACCTTTATGTCTACCTTTATGCCTACCTTTATGGCCTACCTTTGTGTCTACCTTTATGTTTATCCTCGTTTATTGCGGGTTAATGACGGTTATTTGTACGACCAACAATTACATTCCATCCCAGAATATTAATATAGACGACATAAGCCACATTTGAAAAAATCGGCATGAACGACATAAATGACGAAGAGAGACGTAAACGACATTTCAAAAGAACGACATGAATGACAAAAAGACAACATGAACGACAGGAAGTAACCTATCAAGTAGTAAGTTTTTGTGCAAAATATAAATACTGAATATAAGTATTGAAGTACTTCTCACTGAGATACATGCATTATTCATTAACGCACAGATATTTCTAAATCCAGGTCCGCAGAGACACAATTCATAGGTAAATGAATCTAGTTAGACGCCATTTTCTTGAATGCGCCATGATGAAAGCAGTTATTTATCTTTTTTTAGATCAAAACTCGTGCGATGATAAATGCAAGGGAAGATCATTCAGCTGCAAAGCTTTTTGTAGATAGGTCACTCATAGTTTACAGCTTTACTATGCTTTGCCTCTTCGTGTATACGTTGTTAAAATGAATAACAAACAGTGCAGGAGTTTTTGGGAAAATACTTAGCTGCCTTCAATGTATTTGTTCCTTGTTTTTACTAACAACAATATACAATTTTGTATTAGGTAAATTTCAATTAATATTATAGTCCTCCTCATTATATTCTTGGACATTATTTACATTTTATATGTTTTATACAGGCACTAGTCTATGGTCAGTTGTACCCTCGTACCTATTATTATAACGTCATAACTCGACTTGTGTAAGTTTATATATTCTAAAAGCAACTACTGTAAAAGTTTTTATTTGTAATAATCTTTACTTTGTTGAATTGAATAATTTGAAACTATTACCTAAAAATTTTTAACTTCAATTTTATCGTATCACACCTCGTACGTTGTTTCCAATTTGATTGGCATACATGTTTGCAAAGAACGTTAGAGCCGTTCTTCTCAAATGACAGAAGTCGTTTTAGGAAGTAATGCTAACTCTTGTCTACTTTTCCTCATTCGTAATGTTTCAATACCTTTTAAAATTTTATTACGATGTCCAATCAACGTGATACCAAGCTGTTGCAAATCTTGCTCTTTGAAGTCAAGAATATCTGACTGTTTACTATATCCAGCCTCAATAAACATAGCCTGGTATTTTCCCATCTTGATCGATTCCAGCCATTCGCCTGAGTTGAGAAAAAGTTATTTCTATTAGACTTTTCATTAATTTATAGCATTGTAATGATATTACTTTGCATTGGTCTAATTTAATGAAGATAAAAATATCCATTCACTGACAGCCATTTACATGGATGTCACTATTTTTTGAATGTCAAAACAACACCAAGTTGACCGTTGATGTTACCTAAGTAACAATTGATCTAGTAGATTGTTTCAACCTAAAAAACACATGATGTTACTAACACATGCTGTTTTATAATAACCCAAGAATTAATTATTGATATACGTGAAAAACATGCTTTGTTTATGAATTTATATATCTTGTTAAACATTACAACACTTGCCAATCGTAACGAAGAAGTCAACGTCATTATCTAACGTATCTGGGGAACGCAACCATCTATCTATGACAATATTTATTTGAGCAAAAGTTGGTCTTTCTGCTCGCTCTTCATTCCAGCAACGAAGCATAAGACCGTGTACACCGTTAGGACATTGCTGTGGAAGAAGAGAGGCAAACATAACGATCATTGCAATCTAAGTATTGTCATGAAAACTGTTTCAAAGTTTAACTTACTGGTGGTGGGGGCAAACGATATCCTCCATTTACTTCTTCCATGACCTAAGATTAAATAATGATAGAAAATCATTACTTCATCTCCATAAAGTCCGATATCTCACACCGAAATGCTGCAAGATTTGCGTTTGTTTCATAATAACTGGTGAAGCACATTAACTTTCTTAAAAATTAAACATTTTTCTTACTTTAAAGTTGTCCCATTCCCAATAAGGCCTCTGACCAAATGACATAATCTCCCAAAGTAAAATTCCATAGCTCCAAACGTCGCTTGCCGTCGTAAACTTACGATATCTGATTGCTTCAGGAGCCGTCCAACGAAGAGGTATCTTTCCTCCCTGAAAAAACAAAGTATTGAAAAAGAAAGTTGTCAAGGACTTCATAGAGTTGTTTTATGACGACTTACACTTGTTTCGTACTCTCCCGAAGAGTGGGATTCCATTTCTCGCGAAAGACCAAAATCTGATATTTTGCAAACCATGTCATTGTTCAACAGGACATTTCGTGCAGCCAAGTCCTTAAGACGAGACAATGTCGAAGATGAGAGAGTAGCACTGAAATAATGACATTCAATGAACAGAATTAACAATTCCAACTCACCCTGTGAATAAAATTTATATCGGACAAATAATTCATTCCTTCAACAACGTCCTTTGCCAAGCGTAATAATTGCACTTTGGACAATATGCCATCATTGATCTGAATGGAAGGAAAACACATACTAGTTTTCATTCCTTCTTTGAGAGGAAGCAAAATCTATTTATAGTATTCTATTACTTGAAAACGTGTCTTTTGCATTTTCTCTCGCCTGTAACAGAGAAAAAATGGCTATTTACAAAAATGGATATTGAGGAAATAAAAAGTTTTAAGCAAAAATACCTTTTTAAAATAAATATACAAAGAAAGATCATTACTAACAGCAGAGACGCAACAATAACAACAACAATCACAATAAAAACAGTGTTATCACTTTCTTGAATTGTTGGGGCAATTACATCTAAAAAGCAACATCATCAACCATCATGAATACTTTTGTATCAGAAAATGAATTAGTGCAAAATAACCAACCTTTAAATAACCATGGCCATCATAATACTATAAATTAACTGGATTGAGTCGTTGAAGTTTTATTTTCTTGGAATTCAATTGCTTTGATTGCCTTCATAATTTTATTACGATGGCCAATCAGTTTGACACCCATGGTCAACAAGTCTTCGTTTCTGATTTTTGTCAGCTGATATGGATGATCATAACCTTCGTCAATGAATACATTCATATAATCGCCCATCTTGATAGAATCCAACCAAGGCATTCAAGTCAGTCTTAAAATATACGATCTTTAATATGTATTTTATGGCTTTTCAAGTGCATGTATAATTGCTTTTCAATCGTTGACGGACTAACAAAACAAGTAACTATCTCACCTGTGAGAAGCGATATGTTCCTTTTTGTGGAAACTACGACATCCAACAATTGAACGATTGAAGTGTTGGCATTATAAAAGAAATGCCAAAAAAGATATCGTCACAGAATATGGAACTAACGATATCCATATTCTGTGATATCGTGTTTGTTTTTGAGAAATTCTTTGTAATTTACTATAGTCACCAGAGGGAGGTCGAGAATATTATTTTTCTGCAAAGCGATCATTTCAGCGGAAATACGTCCGTTAGACGGCAATTTTTTGGCGTCCTCGCCCCAGTACAGTTAGCCGCTCCAGTTAACTCAATGGCCCTAACCAGGACTCTTAAATACTTACCTTGTGCCCTAACCACCCTGCAATCATAACGCAAAAACACAAGTCGTACAAACATTGCACATTTTAGCCGTCCATTTATATTGTTAATTTGTCAAATAAAGTGATATACATACGTTAAAATGTGCATCATTATGGACTATGTTCAAAACGATGGGGCAATACTGAATATATGAATAGACAGCAACCACCCTAATTAACGTTTTAGTTACGCCCGTGGACTTGTTGCTCGAAACTCACGATTGACGACTTATTGTAGATTCTTAAAAAAGTGATTAATGATCTGATTTATAAATATACTCTTTAAATAAAATAAGAAAAGATGTATTGTGAGAAGCTGTAATGCAAAAATTTTAAAGTTGTTGAATAAAAATTTTTAAACTTTACCACATTAGGACCTTCTTCTCGTAGCACTTTGATACATCGGAATATATCAAGTACATGCTCTGTTTGAATACGATCTGATTGAATAGCCAATTTCAAATAGGTCCCAATCTTATGTGCACCATTGCAATAAAGTTGTTTAAATGTTTGAACACAAAAAAGAGGAGAAAGAGCTTACCTAAACAAACAGGACATCATTAATAACCGAAACTAGAAGTCATATGTTTTGTTAAGCAATCAAAAAGCGAAGCTTTTGTCAAACTATGTCAAGGGCACAAAATAAGAAGTGTTATTTTCAGAAAACCTCTCTTTCCATGGGTACCATGTTCTTTTTGACGGGTTTAGATTTTAAAACTTTTCTTGAAACTTTTTATTGGGTCAAAAACGGAGGAAGATTAATAACTATGAAGGCCCATTATTACACATGTATGTTTTACTTTGTTAAATTAAACCATTTCGAAAACAGCAGGAAGTCTGGGTACCAGTATTTTCATTGAAACTGTTTTGAGGGGCCCCAGCTTGCGTTCCGAACTCATAATTATAGAAATTGAAACCTCTGATACGAGAAATGATAGCAATACAATTGCAAGTTTTTACAAAGTCGATGATGATTTCAACGGAAATCACTCTACGGCAATTCAACAAAATTCAACTCTTCTACACAACAAAAGTTATGTATAAATCATGTTTTATCTAACTCGAGCTGGCTGTTTTCTTTGTAGTTATAGTGTTTTTAATTTGTCTTTGTTTTTAACTACACCATAAAGGCGATGTATTTTTACGTGTTTTATTTGTACTCAGACTTTCGAAGTGGTTTATTTAATACGTCATTACGTACACTAATTCCTTGTTGCTCTTTCCTTTCATTCCCAGTGATTGGTAACCATCACTTTCTTTTTTCATTTGCTTTGTATCTAGCTCTTCATAGGCTGCGTCGTGCACGTTTGCATGTAGTGGCGTGTAATTATCCTCTTGATTCATTTGTGTTGTTTCTAGTTCTTGATAAGTCGTGTCATCTTCGATTTTCTGATAATATAGAGAATAATGATGCAGTTAAAGACAGCGGAAATGCTTTGCGTGCTTTTCTGGTGCTAAACTTCCAATATTTGCTACGGAGTTTAGAGTTTGTATTCTGGGTAATTTTTGAGAAAAGCTTCTCTCAAATTTGAAATATCGTCTTTCTTTTACTTTAATATCATTATTTCTTTTTATTTTTCAGCCTAGCCTTAATTTAGCGTTGATGGACAAGAGACGGAAGGCAGAGAAGACATTTTGCTGCATTAACAACCTAGCATGCCACCATTTTAAGCCCAAAATGTTGATTACATGGAGAAAATTAAAAAATACATAAAAGCAAATATCAATGTTAGTGATTGTGAAGGAAAGAATGAGATAACGATGGAAAACAATAGAAAACTGAAATTGTTTAGAGAAATTACAAGCACTCCCCGTAATGTCGTGCAGTGCTCATTACGACGCAGTATGCAATAATAATTTTGCTTAAAGGACTTAGTCTTGTTTCTGCATCTGAAGTTTATCTTGACAAATACAATTGAGACTTACCATTGCCGTGTTTTGAGTTTTGTTAAGAACTTTAGGAATGGGTATTTCGTACTCTTCGACAATGTTGACGGTTAAATGTTTCTCTTCCTTCGTCCTTTTCTTGTATTTAACAGGCGCCATGTGCATACCAAAATCTTTCTTTCGAAGTTTTTTGCTATAAAACCCAACTAATTACTTCAAAAAACTTTAGCATAGAAAAACTGTAATTGATAAAAATATTCCAACACTTTTAAGTCAGTTGTGATCAAGCAAATCTTATCAGGTAAAGGGATACGATTAATATATCTTTAAATATGTTCCAAAGCTAACTTGAACATAGGTTTTGCAAATTTGCATAGTACTTAAATTAGTGAAATCGTCTTATGAAATTATCTTTATTGGTCGAAAAGAAATGTTCGGCTTTAAGCTATTGCTGAGCAAAACATTGGGTTGTGTTCACGGATGAGAACAATTACAAAATACAAACCACAACACAAAGATGACAGCAAGAAAAGTAAAAAGAACTGCACCAACTGCAATACCAGCAATTATACCTAAAAAGAGAAAGTTTATAGCAGTAGGATGGCTCGCAGATTTTGTCAGTAAAATCTCCCTCAGTAGTCATTATGTGCTATAAGTGCTGCTAATAAATGAACTTTTCTCATGAAGTTTAAGTTTCAGTCAAACGAGAGTCATTGTCCTGATAATTTCCAAGAAGTTTTATAAAAACGATAAACAGAATTTTTGGGTGCAGTCAATGTATTGTCTTTATGTATTACGTCGTTTTTCGATATTAATGTCGTTGTTCCCATTTCCTACATTCAATCCTTTAGCGGGACGAACGATTCTTCAACACTTACATTGGCAAGAATAACTTAACCTGAGCACTTCAAGATTTTAACTAGAAATATGTCGCTGTTCATATTACCAAATAGACGCCATCTTCGGTCTGCTGCGTTGGCTTTCGGGTCTGCTGCGGTGGTTCTCGTACTGGGTGCTATAGATAAAGTATTACGTTTTGATGACGTAACCCAGACGTAAATTTCACTTAGGATGAATTTATTGAATTGTTTTGGAATGACCGAGCTTAGGATATCTCTAGGAGAGATCTTGAATTGATAAATGTTTCCAGTCACTAATCCAGACACAATAACGAATGTGTTTTTGATATTTTTCTGTCCTGGATCGTACTTCAGTTTTGGACAGTGACAGGTTTTGTTGCAAACGTAGCATTCGACGTCATAAACAAGATTTTCACCAATGAAGCTTACGTTAACGGGAGCGATCCAACTAACGTTCACCATGTTTAATTCACCATTTACTGCCATGATCTTTGGTTGAGATGTAATCTCTACTGGAGCTAGTTATTAACAAAGAATTCTAAGCAATCTGAAGTATTCTGTAAACTATTGTTAAATTCCCATCAATAGACAGTTTGGTATAAAAATAGCCTGACGTCGACTTTTCATGGAAGAATTTACTCATTTTTTTATGAGGGCAACGAGAAATGTGTAGTGCATGCTTTGAATGTGACATGTTGCATAAAGCTTATTATAAGAGAAATATTATGACTAAAACAGGATGATTTGGGAAATTACCATAACATCTTGATATTTTTTTGTTTGTTTCATCTTGCTTAAGTTGATAGTATCCCTCTTTACACGAACATGTTGTTTTTTGCTCTCCACTTGACGTGTACAGAGGGCATTTTTTACACTTGTTGTTGGAAACATTTTCTTTGTAATGATCAATCTTGCAAGCTTCAAAAGAAAAGTGGTTTAAGTTGGTAATATGAAGCAATATATGGTACGGTCTAGGTATGGTGAAAACATTACTTAGAGATAAGATGAAAACAATAAAATAGAGACTTTGTCGTAGTGACAAATCTGAAAATAGTTCTAAAGATACGAAATGCATTGTGTCGTTTAATTCGGCAGACGAAATGCATCGTGTCGTTTAATTTAGAACCATTACGTTAGTGCTCTTTACTTAAAACAGTTCTTTTAAGAACTATCAACTTATTATATTACTTTTACCATTCACTATGGTATTTTTTATCTTTAGAACTATTTTAAGATGAAAACATTGGTATTCTTTCAAAGTTTCTTTTACCTTGGCAGCCTTCCTTTGTTGGCTCATATCCTTTACGACACAAACAAGATGCATTTTTTTCTAGAAACCATGTTCCATTGCTGTGACAGTAAGCTCTAAGATCGCTCGTTTTTGTCAATTTCTCTGAATTAGTTGAACAATTACCATAAATGACCTTTGTCCCATTTGGAGGTGATAACGTTCTCGTTAGCAGAATACTGTTTTGATATTTCTGCTGGCAAACGTAGTAGAAAATCTTCATACGAAACAAAGTGCCACAAGCTCCCGTAGACTTAATGCCAAATGTTATGTCGTGAAATTTTTTCACATGTATTGTAAACATTTTGATGAACCGTTCTTTTGATGTTTCGTTGCCAGTGATGTTGCCCAAAAAGTCGAAATTGTTATTGAAATAAATGCTATTTTTTTTCTTCTCTGAGTATCTATTAGAAGGAAAAGGGATCACTGGCTCACCATTTCCATTGTAGGTAAATATTTCAAAACCGTCTCGGAAACAAATTCCATCTTCGTTATCGCAATTCGCCATTTTTGAGTCAATTTCGATGAACATTTTAACATCATCTAATGTTTGATCAATTTTCAATGTTTTTGTCAACAACCACGTTTCTGTTTTTCTTCCATCTGCACACGTTTTAGCTTTTCCATTCTCTTTGAGAAACTATAAAGACATAATCATTTCTAAATATGTGTTTAATTATAGGATTAGAGTTAAGAGTAGGATTATGGTCACAACTAGAATTAAGGTTATAACGTAAAGATCAAAAAACAGGATTAATGCTGATCCCACAGACAAGTTTTATTAATTGTGTCTGTTGCAAACTATAAAATGACTCAAATGAGGAATAGCTGACAGAAGAAGCTATAGCGTGGAACATTATCAATGTATCGACGTTCTTACAAGTTGACCGAGTCCATCGAATATTAAAGACTTTTTCATCCAAAATTCAAATGTTGCATCCTTTAAGACCACTGTCAAGTTGAGAAAATACATTAAAATTCACAAAGATTATAAAACTTATGATCATTTTTATGTAAAATTAGTCATTTCTTGCTCTCCTTACTTTTCTCGCCCATTGAAATTTCCAGCAGTAAATAACTGAACACAACTCTTCCTAGAACAAGAATTCTCATCTTTCTTGAAAAAGTGTGATACCTGAAACGTATTTTTAAACGCACAGAATTAGAGCAACATACAAATGTTATTCGCACGAGTTAGGGATATAAAGTCATCAAAAACCAACGTGAGGCTTTCCACTTCACTATTTTCATTGCTAGAAGATGTTGGCAAAAAAATGTCACATTTCACTGAGTTTTTATTGCTATGTAACTATTTGTTAAACGAGATTGACGAGACTGTAGAATTTGACGCTTGATCTTGTTTAGTCGAGGCGTCATGTGGTTAGCGTGCTAATTTCAATTTTCAAACTTGCCATAATTAAAATAATCAGCTAACTCAGTAATGAAATTTACGTCAATTCAGGTAGCGTAAATTTTATAATTGCTCCAGAATAATATGGTTCAGTTATAATATTTCATTGTCAAAAAGTAAATAATTGGAATCGATCCTAGTTGCTTGTGGTTTCTAGTTTCATTCACTGTCAATATTTAATTGTCTTTCGAATACGTATGACAAAAGAAATACTCTCGAGAAAATGATGGCATAATAGTCTGAAAAAAATGATGTCATGATAGTCTGAAATATTTGATCCATCGAATAATTTTCTTTATTCTTACACAGGTAATGATGTCATCAGTTACCTTTCAATTTTGTAAGCCAATAACAGACCTGCCAATTCTCCCGGTTTCGCCGGGAGACTCCCGCTTTTGCTGCATTTTTCCCGACCTCCCGACAAAGATACTAAATCTCCCGGTTTTTTTAAAGCTTAGGCTTTTAGAAGTTTGTTGGCATTTTTATTCATCGCATGGAAAGAAATACTCGATGAATAGCATTCAAAACATAACGTATTGTAGCCCGGTGCGCCGGGAACTGGGCATCACATTGATTTTCGTTTTTTCGTATAATTATGTAACACAAAATGGCTGCCAGCTAAAATTTTTGTGCATAACACTTGAGGTAATCATTGCCTTTTGCCTAATAAATCAATCTAAAAATATGTCGTATACAAGAATAGAAAAATCCAGTTTTTTTGCCAGATCTCCCGGTTTTTCTGCATTAATCTCAAGGTTTTGTGTTCCTTGGGGTTGGCAGGTCTGCAATAATTATTTGTATGGATTAATGGCTGAAGCGCTCTTAACATAAAAATACAAACACAATAATAGATATGCTTTGAATTGAAGTTTAACAAGCGTGCTCTTTATGCTCCGATGATAAAAAAATTTGTTGAAGAAAAATTATTCCTTCCTAATCGGTGAACGAATATTAGGAAAAAAAGAACAAAACGATTTATATGCTGTTTTCAACAGATAGATCATATATTATAATCACAGGTTTTTGTCGGCGGAACTTAGCTATAAGCGAATATTGACATTCCAATGTAACATTGTGAGAATTTGTTGTGGCAGACTTTCCACAAAATGATAGTTTGTAATTTCGTGACGATGGATAATTGACTTATCCTCTTTATTGTCGATTTCAGTTAAGTTTTCAAATGGCGGTTGCCAAGTTACTTTCTAATGTTGCGAACTACATTTTCAAATATGGAATATTCGTTATGAGCTTGTCAACTTGAGTTGACAAGTTGTGTGAACTTGAGTACTGAAGTTGGGAACTTGAGTACTGAAGTTGTGAACCAAAGTTGCGAAGTACTGGCAAACGCGAAAGGTCTTTGTACCCTGTAGACATTTGGCAACGAATCCCTTTCAGTAAGCAAGGAAAAGCTTTACCAATAGAAGTAAGAAATGAAATACTTGAAAGGTGATTAAATAACCAGCGTTTGACAAACATTTTGAAACAACTAAATCTACCGTATAAGACTCTATCAAATATAATAGATCTATGGGTAGATACTGGTTCTATTGCACCTCGCCAGGGCGAACGTGATGTTCGAACCACGCGTACAGATGATGTAATAGTCCGTAAGCAAGGAAAAGCTTTAGCAATTCTAATCCGTTTGGCGGCCCTCTAAGAGTGTTATCATGCGATACGCCGTTTACATTATTTAAAAAATTTACAGTAAATGTGGCACTAGAAGAGTATCGTTGGATTTTAAATGCAGGAGTACCCTGCATACTGTGCCCTCGACGTCTGTTGCCACTCGTAACAAATACAGACGACTCATCAAAGAAATGCATACGGTTGCAATCAATCAATGAAATATTTGCTACGTAGGCTTCTAACTTCTCCATTACGTCCGGCCGTTCTGTCTCTCGAGGAATTTAACTTATTATCTTGTAAGAGTAACCAAGATCTTTTTTCGAAATTCTACTAATGGATGACCTGCTAGGTATGTTTGCTGGAAGGCAAACTTTGTTATTTTCTAGGTGTTGCTGAATCTTTTTTTCGTAAATAGATGGTTTATTAATTTTTAGATATTCAGCGTATGCAATAACATCATCTGTACGCGTGGTTCGAACATCACGTTCGCCCTGGCGAGGTGCAATAGAACCAGTATCTACCCATAGATCTATTATATTTGATAGAGTCTTATACGGTAGATTTAATTGTTTCAAAATGTTTGTCAAACGCTGGTTATTTAACCACCTTTCAAGTATTTCATTTCTTACTTCTATTGGTAAAGCTTTTCCTTGCTTACTGAACGGATTCATTGCCAAATGTCTGCAGGGTACAAAGACCTTTCGCGTTTGCCAGTACTTCGCAACTTTAGTTCACAACTTCAGTACTAAAGTTCCCAACTTCAGTACTCAAGTTCACAACTTCAGTACTCAAGTACACAACTTGTCAACTCAAGTTGACAAGTTCATAACGAATATTCCATATTTGGAAATGTAGCTGGCAACATTAGAAAGTAACTTGGCAACCGCCATTTGAAAAGTTAACTGAAATCGACAATAAATGAAATCCACGTACCTATATTTGAACAAGATATGTCCTTCACCGCAACGTGGCAAATACTAACCAAACAAGAGTCTTAAATATTGTTTCTTCGTATCAGTCGAAGCCAAGGATCGTTGCCACTCTTCAACAACAAGTTTTCGCCAAACGTGTTTCTACATTAGATGAAGTTATTGAACGAAAACATTGAATAAAATCATATACATATACTTTTATGCTTACGATAATATGTTTGTCTAAGTCATTCTATTCAAGTGTGCAATTAGTATTAAAATAAGCAAACTTTACAGACACTTTTTATAGCAGCAGAACTGAACAAATAAAGGCGTTCGACTCCGTCACGGATATTGTCGAACTTTCACGATTTTGTGACATGAAATGAAATGTTTGTCAACTTATTAAATAGAGTAATTTTTATTTAACATCGACATCACTACATTCACACTTTTTAAAGGATAGGATTTTTTTCTAATAAACTTTATATATTTGGTTGTTGAATACCAAACGTATGGAAACACTAACAATTTGTGCAGGCAAAACTGCTGTGGTTAGCATTTACTATTAATTTTGAAAGGAATATTTTCATTTAAATTTCGCTGCTTTTTATTTACATTTGAAATTTGTGGATAACCTCACACTCGGCTCAACAAGTTGTTTGCTAAAAGACCAAAGCAATACACTAACCTTTCAAAATCCAAATGTCGTGTTTTTCATTCAAGAAGCCTTTAGGTTTTGCCGAGAAATACTTTTTTCATCTTACGGGATTAATAAATCGTTGTGAACTTATTGCTTTTGAAGTTATTATTATTGATTTGCCATGGGAACAGGTTTGAGAAATAATTGCAAAGGAAACTGAAAACCTAAAAATTGAATTCGTCGATCTTTGGCGGCTATCTACTCAGTTTAAAAATTTTAAATTTTATAATGCATTACTGTATGGATAAAAACGATAGCATGCATCTGTACAGTGCTATGGTTTGATGGGAATAATTATATTATTTAATTTTTTCAATGTTTTATTTTAGGTCTGAAGATGGACATACATGGCTATGTTAATTATGCATATGCTAATATAAACATTTTTTTTAATCATTACGTGTTGCTAAAATTATTTTAACGTACGTTGTGTTGGTTTTTCTCACTGATCTGATAATAGACTGGATATAGCTTCTATAGGTAACAATAGTGAAGCCAAATTATACATCCAAAATGCACTTCCGGGTACCACAAGAAATACAAATTACTATAGAAATGTATGGCAGATAACGTTAATATACAAGGATTTTCGAATATTTAAGGCATTTCGTGACCTTTTACTAGTCTCAAACATCTGTCATGGATAAAACAAGTTATGCTAATCAATTTGACATCAAAATGATACCGATATCAGCAAAATATCGGCGCTCGTGTTCAATTGAAAATTGCGCGTGCAACAATCGAATTTGCCCCATCGTTGCAAAGGCAAGATAATTCACAGCTCATTTTCCAAGTTCAGAGGCAGTTATGATCTAGAATGAGTTTCGATGCTTAAAAAATTCGTTTAGAACCTTTCTTTTATCATTCTTTATTATCTAGACATTATTTTATGTAACTTTTGCCGTGACTTTATTAGCTGGGTACTGTTGTTGTAGGAACAAGACAAATTTACTAAGCTTTCTTCCTCTCTTTATTCTTATTTTCATTTCTGTTTTTATTTTACAGATATAATTTAATCAGCACGCTTTGCTAATACATTTGGACATGGCCTTCATGAATGAGTGAGTATAGGCAGATGCTGCCAAAGAAAACCACCTGTCCTACTTGTTAAGAAGCTGTTGGTTGAAAAAATTACAAAAGTGAATATTCTTTTCTGCCTTTAAAAGACATGAGTACTTGAATTCAAACCAACAGCTATTGTTATTCAAGTATGCAATAAAACAGAAGGTGCTTTTAACTTCAGATGGCAGTTTACCACATGGGAATACAATTCCTGATGCTACGGTATAGACTGCAATTGACAAAAATGTTGGATACTTTTGTCAATAACAACCATACTTACTCATGGCTATATACAAATGCTAGCAAGGTGCGATTGTATTATTTTTATAAAATAAAAACAGAAATGAAAATAAGAATAAAGAGAGGAAGAAAGCTTAGTAAATTTGTCTTGTTCCTACAACAACAGTACCCAGCTAATGAAGTCACGGCAAAAGTTACATACAACAATGTCTAGATAATAAAGAATGATAAAAGAAAGGTACTAAACGAATTTTTTAAGCATCGAAACTCATTCTAGATCATAACTGCCTCTGAACTTGGAAAATGAGCTGTGAATTATCTTGCCTTTGCAACGATGGAGCAAATTCGATTCTTGCACGCGCAATTTTCAAATGAACACGAACGCCGATATTTTGCAGATATTGGTATCATTTTGATGTCAAATGATTAACATAACTTGTTTTATCCATGACAGATGTTTGAGATAAGTAAAAGGTCACGAAATGCCTTAAATATTCGAAAATCCTTGTATGTAAACGTTACCCGCCATACATTTCTATAGAAACGTACTTCTTGGTACCCGGAATATCAGATCAGAATTGATCTTTGTTTTTGTCGAATTGAGAAGATTGCCTTGTTTAATTTATTTCCATAACCAATCAGTGTTATAACAAGTGAAATCAAATCTTTGTCATCGAGTTTTGCTATAGCTATCTGAAAGTTTATCATAAACAAGTTTCATGAAAATTATTCTGATGGGTCATGTTAATCGAAGCCAACTACGATCCTGTAATATACATATACATTTGCTTTAAGTATTTTCAATTCATGAATGTTAAAGAAACACAAGAAATTTCTTAGTTTTCTTACCAATTGAAGTTAAGGGACGTTGAATACGATATTATCCTTTGTGTCAAGAGAGCATATCCATTTATCAACAATGGCAATAATCTTTGCAAAACTAGGGCGCTCACGTCTTTCTCCTCGCCAGCACTTTAGCATGAGCTGATGAACTTCTCTTGGACAGCCCTAAGCACATGATATAACGTGTTACTGAGGTTAGTGAATTGTATAGAAAGCTATCTTTTGGAGTTTTTCCTTCTACATCTTCCCTTACCTTCAGATAGCAATCCAAAGATCCATTGCTCATGAATGACAATCAATTGAAAGATTGGGACCGCAGAGAAGATAAATATCAACAGTCATGACACCTTCAACTTAGCAATGTTTTGATTGTTGAATTGTCTTAAATTGAGGCTTCTATCATGAAATCCTTTCAACTCTTTCTGTTTACCTTTGTGTCTACCTTTATGTCTACCTTTATGCCTACCTTTATGGCCTACCTTTGTGTCTACCTTTATGTTTATCCTCGTTTATTGCGGGTTAATGACGGTTATTTGTACGACCAACAATTACATTCCATCCCAGAATATTAATATAGACGACATAAGCCACATTTGAAAAAATCGGCATGAACGACATAAATGACGAAGAGAGACGTAAACGACATTTCAAAAGAACGACATGAATGACAAAAAGACAACATGAACGATGGGAAGTAACCTATCAAGTAGTAAGTTTTTGTGCAAAATATAAATACTGAATATAAGTATTGAAGTACTTCTCACTGAGATACATGCATTATTCATTAACGCACAGATATTTCTAAATCCAGGTCCGCAGAGACACAATTCATAGGTAAATGAATCTAGTTAGACGCCATTTTCTTGAATGCGCCATGATGAAAGCAGTTATTTATCTTTTTTTAGATCAAAACTCGTGCGATGATAAATGCAAGGGAAGATCATTCAGCTGCAAAGCTTTTTTGTAGATAGGTCACTCATAGTTTACAGCTTTACTATGCTTTGCCTCTTCGTGTATACGTTGTTAAAATGAATAACAAACAGTGCAGGAGTTTTTGGGAAAATACTTAGCTGCCTTCAATGTATTTGTTCCTTGTTTTTACTAACAACAATATACAATTTTGTATTAGGTAAATTTCAATTAATATTATAGTCCTCCTCATTATATTCTTGGACATTATTTACATTTTATATGTTTTATACAGGCACTAGTCTATGGTCAGTTGTACCCTCGTACCTATTATTATAACGTCATAACTCGACTTGTGTAAGTTTATATATTCTAAAAGCAACTACTGTAAAAGTTTTTATTTGTAATAATCTTTACTTTGTTGAATTGAATAATTTGAAACTATTACCTAAAAATTTTTAACTTCAATTTTATCGTATCACACCTCGTACGTTGTTTCCAATTTGATTGGCATACATGTTTGCAAAGAACGTTAGAGCCGTTTTTCTCAAATGACAGAAGTCGTTTTAGGAAGTAATGCTAACTCTTTTCTACTTTTCCTCATTCGTAATGTTTCAATACCTTTTAAAATTTTATTACGATGTCCAATCAACGTGATACCAAGCTGTTGCAAATCTTGCTCTTTGAAGTCAAGAATATCTGACTGTTTACTATATCCAGCCTCAATAAACATAGCCTGGTATTTTCCCATCTTGATCGATTCCAGCCATTCGCCTGAGTTGAGAAAAAGTTATTTCTATTAGACTTTTCATTAATTTATAGCATTGTAATGATATTACTTTGCATTGGTCTAATTTAATGAAGATAAAAATATCCATTCACTGACAGCCATTTACATGGATGTCACTATTTTTTGAATGTCGAAACAACACCAACTTGACCGTTGATGTTACCTAAGTAACAATTGATCTAGTAGATTGTTTCAACCTAAAAAACACATGCTGTTTTATAATAACCCAAGAATTAATTATTGATATACGTGAAAAACATGCTTTGTTTATGAATTTATATATCTTGTTAAACATTACAACACTTGCCAATCGTAACGAAGAAGTCAACGTCATTATCTAACGTATCTGGGGAACGCAACCATCTATCTATGACAATATTTATTTGAGCAAAAGTTGGTCTTTCTGCTCGCTCTTCATTCCAGCAACGAAGCATAAGACCGTGTACACCGTTAGGACATTGCTGTGGAAGAAGAGAGGCAAACATAACGATCATTGCAATCTAAGTATTGTCATGAAAACTGTTTCAAAGTTTAACTTACTGGTGGTGGGGGCAAACGATATCCTCCATTTACTTCTTCCATGACCTAAGATTAAATAATGATAGAAAATCATTACTTCATCTCCATAAAGTCCGATATCTCACACCGAAATGCTGCAAGATTTGCGTTTGTTTCATAATAACTGGTGAAGCACATTAACTTTCTTAAAAATTAAACATTTTTCTTACTTTAAAGTTGTCCCATTCCCAATAAGGCCTCTGACCAAATGACATAATCTCCCAAAGTAAAATTCCATAGCTCCAAACGTCGCTTGCCGTCGTAAACTTACGATATCTGATTGCTTCAGGAGCCGTCCAACGAAGAGGTATCTTTCCTCCCTGGAAAAAAACAAAGTATTGAAAAAGAAAGTTGTCAAGGACTTCATAGAGTTGTTTTATGACGACTTACACTTGTTTCGTACTCTCCCGAAGAGTGGGATTCCATTTCTCGCGAAAGACCAAAATCTGATATTTTGCAAACCATGTCATTGTTCAACAGGACATTTCGTGCAGCCAAGTCCTTAAGACGAGACAATGTCGAAGATGAGAGAGTAGCACTGAAATAATGACATTCAATGAACAGAATTAACAATTCCAACTCACCCTGTGAATAAAATTTATATCGGACAAATAATTCATTCCTTCAACAACGTCCTTTGCCAAGCGTAATAATTGCACTTTGGACAATATACCATCATTGATCTGAATGGAAGGAAAACACATACTAATTCTTATTTCTTCTTTGAGAGGAAGCAAAATCTATTTATAGTATTCTATTACTTGAAGATAATTATCCAGCGAACCATTTGCCATATATTCAATTATGATCATTCTTGGTGTACCTGTTTTAGAAAACAACAAGTTGCAATCATTGTATACAGCGGTTTCTCAAGAGTCATTAGTCTTACTTTTTGTAATAACTCCTTCCATTCGTACTACATTTGGATGGTCAAATTGAGCCATTACAGATGCTTCTAGTAGAAAATCACGGGCACTTTTTGCAGATGATTCTGGCTACAGAAAAAAGGAAATTTAGAAGACGAAACTAGATTTTTAATTTGATTAGATAACAAAAAAATATTTATTCAAAGGTCAGATAAAATACCTTCAATGTTTTAGCAGCAATGGGAGTTTTCTGTCCGTTACTAGTTGTAAGCTCTCCTTTGTAAACATCTCCAAACTCTCCTGTTGCAAAAGGAAAAGTTAATAAATGTTGGTGACTTTATAACCTCAATATACACATACCTCCACCGATCAATCTTTCCAAAAAAATTTTATCAGGGTCAAGTTCGTTCGCGAATTCTTGTATAGCTTCTTCTGGATTGGTGTAGTTTGATGGATCAACGTACGATTTGCGACCAACAGCTGGTAATTCAACTAGAATCAAAGAATATATTTCAGGTGTTAAACTGGTGAAATTTTATAGTATATTTATTTTTATGTATCTTACCGCCCTGTTTTGGGAGACATGGAAAACGAGTCTTCAGCATTTTCCCTCGCCTGTAACAGAGGAAAAATGGCTATTTACAAATATGGATATTGAGGAAATAAAAAGTTTTAAGCAAAAATACCTTTTCAAAATAAATGTACAAAGAAAGATCATTACTAACAGCAGAGACGCCACAATAACAACAACGATCACAATAAAAACAGTGTTATCACTTTCTTGACTTGTTGGGGCATTTCCATCTAAAAAGCAACATCATCAACCATCACGAATACTTTTGTATCAGAAAATGAATTAGTGCAAAATAACCAACTTTTTCGAAGCGGAAACAGTTGAAAGATTTTCTTAAACTTCCATTTCGTTCTTGATACACCATAATTTAAGCTGTTTTTTGCGTAAACTTGAAAACTGTAATTTCGGGAGGTTGTTGAACTTCTTACTACCACAAATGTCTCAGTTAGATTAAACTGACGAGGAATAAATTCCACTTCACATCCCTCCTTACAAACGTCAGTATTTTCACACACGAAGCAATGGATATCGTAGATTACAGTTTCATTGATCAGATTCTTGCTCTTGCTAACACTTGTCCAACTTATTGTCAAATTATTATCAGATATTTCGGCTTGGAGTGGACCAGGTATTTCTGGCAGAGCTAAAAAAACATGGTACAATTATAAGATATTCTAGTATGGCAATATTAACGCTCAAATTGTCTTTTGTTTGGTTGACTATCAAATCTATATCAATATACCAACATATGGACGGTATATTTTTTCAAGTTTCTAGCTATATGTAAAGCATTGACGGTATTTTACTAAATTTATTGCTGATTTTGCTGCAGCTGTTATATTATTAAGCCTGTCATCATATAAATCTTCGTTCTACCAAAAAATGGTTGTAAAAGAAACCGGTATACAAAAGCATAGGCATAAAACATCCTTTTCCTGTCTATGAAATATTGAGCTCTTATCAAGTGGGTGTGTTCGATAAATATTGTTTTAACATGATATATCATGTACATTACCGTAACATGTAGAGAAATTGCCTTGATTTATCTTTGCTCTATAAAAACCATCTTCACAAACACAACTTGTCTTATTTTCGGTAGCGATATTTCCAAGAGGACAATTTTTGCATTTGAAGTTAGCCACACTCGACTTGAAACTGCGATTTGAGCAACCTGAAGAACAAAAAATATATAATCAAAAACAAATTTCGTCATAGTGATAGTGACACATGAGTTATTGTAGGTTATTTCTTATTAACTTTTTTTCTGAATTTTTCGTGTCTAAATATTCAAGAGCGAATCCAGGATTTCATTCATGGATTGGCGCGTCATTCGGCAGTGTCGTATTGTCAAAAACAGTGACACCGAGCTGACAACGAGTGAAAACGTTGGGCACCGAGCGTAGGGTGGGGTGCGCACTTTCTGTGTTCCCCTCCCTGGACCCGTCTCTGACATTGTTTTTTGGCCCTCGTGAATGTTTTTTTGTCACAATTGTTCAGTCATTTTTTGCACTCAGTATCTATCGACAATCCCTTGCTCTTCTTATTTTCTAAAGCTTACTTGTACATCCCAATGACGTGTTTGGCTCATAACCTTCCACACACAAACATTTCAAATCGCCATCAATATTCCAGGATCCATTGCTGTTACATTGGCCTTCTAATGTGGTGAAATTGTTTGTAGGAATTGCGTTGACAGAGCAGTTAACCCAGACGTTTTTAATTCCATCTCTCGGCGCTGAAGTCTTTCTCAACATAACACCGTCCATAAACGTTTCATTGCAGTAATAAGTGTAAATAATTATTGAGGAAATCCTTGCGCAAGCGCCTCTCGATCGGAAAGCTAACGTGATTCCTCTTTCGTTATTTAAAGTGAGGGAAATCGTGTTGGTTTGATTGGAAAAAGTGGTGTTTGGTTTGTTGTTGCTGATTATTGAACTGTAGAATTTAAATTTGCTGAAAATGTCATCCAATTTAGGGCGGTCATTCTTGAAAGTTTGTGTCATACCACTTAAGTTGGCATATACGTCAAGGCTGTTGTTATGACAGTCAGCTCTCTCTCCTCTCTGATTTATACATTCCTTGAAACCTGACACAATATCGACATGGACTGCATCGACATTCGCAAATAAGGTAAGATTGATGTGTTTTGTCATAAACCAAAAGTCAGCCACATCTCCATTACCACATGTGGTTACTGTAATCATTTCGCTTTCAGGCTTCTTGTTCCACTGAGAAAGAATATTTATAACATAACCATCAAAAACCTGTTCAAATCTCATACACATGCGAAGAGGATGAACACAACACCAAATATGCAATAAATAATTACTTACGTTTTCACCACCCTTATTTTCAAAACGAAAATTCTGAAAACTTCTTCTGTCAAAAGCATCATCTTCAATAATTTCTAAAATATTATTTATCAAAATTGAAAACCTCTGAAAATCAAATAGCATAAAGGTTATCAGTAAACAAAACCTTCGTACATTAAAATACTTTGGAAGTAAGTTCTATTGCAAAGAAATCAAATGTTTACCTCTAACGCCATTACACACACAAAGACAGACAAGAAATAAAAGACACTTCATCGTCTTTAGATGTCCTGAAAAATGAACCAAATACTAAAGTTGCAAGGAATTTATAACGCAATAAACGCACCCATAGCCAAAGGAATTGAATCTAAAAAAGAATTAATAAGTCCGATAATAAGACTACGTTTAGTGTCACCATAAAATCGTGCGCATGGTGACGATGTTTAATAGCTTCATCATATAAATAGACTTTGGTGAATTAACAAAACAAATGTTGAAGTTCATAAATTCTGCTTTTTAAACTGCAATTTATTTTTGAATTCTAACTCTCGAGCTATAGACATAATGAATATCCCATACACTGAGGCATACTTGTTACACGTTAACACATGGCTAGACTTTCCTTCAAAGCTTACATCAATTTGAATAAGTTCAATGAAATAAGTCAACCAAAACTGTCTAGCAATTATCCATTGATTAAGCGTAGATTCCTATCGTTCTGAAATACGTAGTTCACTAACCTGGCTTTTCACGTTTTCCTTGTTGGATATCTAAATAACTAACGTGTACAAAGTCATTTTATTCACTGTGTCAAACGAGTTCGCGGAAGCAGAAAATTATATAGATTTTATTTGATTTGCTTTAAGGACGTCGAATTCTTTAACAGATAAAGAGCCGTAATTGAATACAGAAAATTTCTCTCGTTTGTTCTTAACACATATTTTGCCTTGTATTGATGGACTCTATAGTCTCCCACACTCTGTTTTCTTTGCCGGAAACGACTCTATACATTAGCTATTCGAACACAAAGTACTCAATATATTCGTGCTTAGTCACTGGTCGTTAAGATGAAAATGGCGATGTTAACCTATTAGTCATATATTACAGAGAAAACTAAAAAAACATTTTTTGTTTGGTATATTACTGCCACCATACATTTTCATTCTTGTTCCTCAAAATTCCACTGCTAAACGCCATGATATATTTATCATCCTTGAATCATTGAATGTGTGCATATAGGTGCCGTGTAGTTTCCGGATGCATGAGAATACAACGCGGATGTGATAGGAAAGTTTACCTTATCTCTCTATAAATGTTTCTTTGCTTCCATTCTATCGATTAAATTAATCTGAATCTTAATCTTACACTCATGATAAATTTAAGATGAGTTGTATGGTGAATAGCATTGTTTTCACAACTTGATTTGTACTGTTTGATTTTTGTCTTAATGTAAGTGGGCGGATAGAATAAAACACGCAGTAGTTATATTTTAACTCATGTCTATTTCATGTTATAACCAGGGGGAATTTTTTTTCAAAAAACAAGTTGTTTTTCCTTGTGTTGACTTTTACTACTCTCTAATGGTAAACGTAGTTGCATTTGTCAAATGGCAATTTTTTAAATGAAATGAGATGAAAGCATTCATTTCCTTTATTCGAAAGTTTCTATTGCTTTATATATTTTCATTACGGATATATTTAAAGCAGCACAATCGATTATCCCTATCACCACTAGCATTGTGCAAGTTGCACACCTCAATGGACAACTGACCGTTTCACATTCATATTCGAAAAGGTCTTGTAATGTCCACTTATGGGATCAAAAAGACAAAGTGCAATATTGATCATTAGGTCAACTTGCCAAACATATCTGTTACCGAAGAAATATCTGTGTGGTGAAAGAAATATTTGTGTGGTGGAGGAAATGTCTGTGTGGTGAAAGAAATGTCTGTGTGGCGAAAGAAATATCTGTGTGGTGAAGGAAATGTCTGTGTGGCGAAAGAAATATCTGTGTGGTGAAAGAAATGTCTGTGTGGTGAAATAAATATCTGTGTGGCGAAAGAAATGTCTGTCTGGTGGAGGAAATGTCTGTGTAGCGAAAGAAATGTCAGGTGGAACAAACTAGTTGCAACTGACAGGAATCAACAGCAGCTTCATCCTAATGATCAAAAAGAAAAAACTTTTTACGTTCAATTCGGCACTTTTTTAAGCCATGTGCAATACAATTTAACTTTGAATGGTTTTATTAAGTTACATTTACTCAAAATCATAGTTGTACTCACTACTTGATTTTATACTTGCACGAACAAAGAATTTTTTCGAATACTGAGTGTTTGTAATGAAGCATTAATTGAAACGTACAATGATCTTGGCGTCGTATCATTAGAATAGTTATTTTTACTGAGTTTAAAAATTACAAAAAACAGTTTAAGTGGGGTTAAAAGGACTAAGAAGCAGTCAAATTAACAAGGTGGCTTTTGGGCATGGTTTTATTGCATTTAACATCTGCTCTTAAACCTACAAAAATAGTATTGAGTTTTTGTTAGACATTCTGCACTTTCATTGGCCATCATCATACTATAAATTAACTGGATTGAGTCGTTGAAGTTTTATTGTCTTGGAATTCAATTGCTTTGATTGCCTTCATAATTTTGTTACGATGGCCAATCAGTTTGACACCCATGGTCAACAAGTCTTCGTTTCTGATTTTTGTCAGCTGATATGGATGATCATAACCTGCGTCAATGAATACATTCATATAATCGCCCATCTTGATAGAATCCAACCAATCCCCAATGGCTGAAAGTGTTTTTAATTTTTTTAAGGCATCAGGAGATGAAGACCATTCGGTTAAGGTTTGTTTAAGAAACGAGAAGTTCGGTCTCTTGTTACGATCAGCCTTCCAACAGGACAACATCAGGTTATGAACAGCCAAAGGACAATCCTAATAGCGATACACCAATCACAGCTAGGTTACTTTGTTTCCAAGTTCTTATTTTTCCAAGTTCTTATTTATTCAAGTTTAAAGACAGCCACCTCAAAGTCTTTGCACAACAACACAATGCCGAAGCCATGATTTTCAAGGAGGAGCATTTAAAGGGAAGAGGGTCATTGTAATGTGTGCATTATGCATGTATGCTCTACGAACAATGCCGAAGTCAGGCTGATCAGTTAGTCCTGATATGTAAATTTTAGATGTTTTTCTCAATGTGGAAAAAAAGATTCCTGACTTCTAAAGAAATAAATGTTAAACTTGCGGGCTAGCAATGCATATATCGACTAACCTTTGGCGGAGGAAGCCTATATCCTTCTTCAACTTTATGCATGACCTATATTTAAAAGAAAGATTTCAGCAAATAAGTCTCCATATGAAAAGTTTTGTCATTGCTGCTTTCGCTATCTAACTTTTCTTTTCATCACAGGTAAAAGCAAATCTCTGTTACGTGTGAAATGTCAACGGGAGCACGATGTTATGGTTCTTTTTTTAAAGTGTTTCATACCATGGAATTGTTCCATTCCCAATAAGGACGATCGCCAAACGACATTATTTCCCAAAGTGTGATACCATAACTCCAGACATCACTGGAGGAAGAAAACTTGCGATAATTAATAACTTCTGGAGCGGTCCATCTCACGGGGATCTTTCCGCCCTAGAAAAACAAGACTTCTCAATTATTACAAGTTCAACTTTAGTGAGAAATGTTATCACTTTGGCATTTCATACTGCAACTATTTCAGCAATGTTGTTTTTACATTAGCGTATCTGCATGGCAGGGTGTTTGGCTTATTTACAAAGACCACATGTATACATCACGTTGCTCTCAGTCAGAACCAATTTTAGTTGATGATTGATTTACGTTTATATATTGATTGGAAAATACTAGAATTCAGAAAAAACTTACAGACATGGAGTATTCTGCTTCAGAGCCGCCATTTTCCAAGTAACGTGACAGACCAAAATCTGCAATCTTGCACAACATATCGTTGCTTAAGAGAATATTCCTTGCAGCTAAATCCTGAAAGAATTTAGATCAATAAGTTTGAATTCTCACATTGCTAAATTCTAATTTCATTACACGTATATTTTTAAGCTGTGTTCATCAAAGTCATTGTTAAAAATCTTATTAATAATAATTCAATAAAGGCATAGACTCGATGCCATTAAGATGTTCTTACCCTGTGAATAAAATTCATTGAAGATAGATAAGTCATACCAGATGCAACATCTCTCGCCATTGTAATAAGTTGCATCTGTGTCAAACGGTCTTCGTTTGTCTATTTGGTTAAAAAAATTTATCAATTTAATTAAGGTTACAATAATTTAATTAAGAGCAATCGCGAAACAGTTAACATTTTTATTCACTGTTGAAGGCATACATATGCTTTAGATGTTAGTATACAGTAAGAAATTCAGTCACCTTTAAAAATTTATCCAGTGAGCCATTAGACATGAACTCTGTGACGATCATCCGTGGCAAAGCTAAGGAAAATATTCAAAGATAATTATAGGATTTTAAGTAATGAAGACATATTTTATTTCTTCAAGATAATGATGAATGTTACAACAACATGTGATTACATTTCGTAACAACGCCTTCAAGGCGAATAACATTGGGATGATGAAATTGTCCCATGACAGAAGCTTCTAAAAGAAAATCTTTTTCATCTTTTGTGGTGTAATCACTCTGCTCATAAAATAAAAAAAATCCTTGTTATGGACATATAAACTAACTATGTTTTTCAAGTAACATCCGCACTACTTGAACACTTTGATATTTTAATGGGTATCCCAGAATCAACCTTTAGTGTTTTCACTGCAACTGCCACGGTCTTTCCACCGATCGAATTCATTGCTCCTTTGTAAACATCGCCAAATTCGCCTGCCGTTCAAAAAATCATAAGAAATTTTAAAATAGTATGACAAAGGAACTTTTCATGCTGTATACGGCATGCCTACCTCCACCAACATGTTTTTTTAAAATCAAAATGCATGGATCAAGCTCGTTGGCAAATTTATTCAAAGCATCTTCAGGATCGTCATAGATTGTTGGATCCACATAGCATTTCTGCCCGACGCCAGGTAACTCGACTAAGTATAAAAAGTAATGATAATCAGTATATGTAAAGATTATTGTAGATTTCTATATTAAAGTAACCGTGAGCTAACCTTCATGTTGTATATTTTTAATTATTAAATGTCTTCCGTAGTTATTATTTTTCCTAGAACGTTCGAAAAAGTTGTTAATGAAAGTTTAATTTAACTCTGAAGATGACTACCGCTAAGGTCGTCGAAACGTCAGTCAACAACAACAAAAATAGTCCTTCTCAGGACTATACCAACCTGGACGATCTACATTTACAAACATGTAACGATACTCCCGGGTTCAAACCATTTACTTTAATCTTTTTCTAATTACGAGAAAAATTTTTGATGAAAGACAAAAGTCTATCCTATTATTTCTTTAATTACCTCTTTATGAGAAAAACAAGAAATATGATAATCACCAACAGCCCTCCACTGGCAATTCCAGACACCATAACGATGTCAAAATTCTTCCTTTCATTGGTGCGTTTAGACTTTGATATATTGCTGACAACTAGTTTGTGAAATGAAGAAAGTTGTAAGGAACTACAATTCTTTATCATAATTTATCATTTATGTAACTGTTGCATGGTGTTAAACTATTACGCAGAACACGTTTCATGAATGACCTATCTCTGCTGATGCAAAAAAAAAGTGCATAAAATACCTACCTACAAATCTTTCAAGAGTTATTTCCGTGTAATTCCATTTACTTTTATCAACTAAGTCATTGATCGACGTTTTGGGAAAAATTTGCAGTTTATATACACAATCCAAAGTGAAATTTGATATTTTCACTTGCGATTGCGCGAGGTTAAGTTTTCTTGGTTGGTATTTCAAATAGTCACATGATCTGCTACAGTGACGTAAACGACGAGATACTGGACGACATTGAATGTCATAATGCAGAGAATCTTTAAGTTCTTCATCCACACTAGGCTCTTGCCAAAATAACTCGACTCTTTTCTGTGCAACTATTTTCTCAATAACGACCTTGAGTTTCTCTGTGATTAGTCCTTCACAAGCATTGAAATTTGAAAGTTATAATATGCACAATATTACGATTTAAAAGTTAATTTTGGAACTGCGTAAAAGTTTCGGTATTTTATATAATCTTTTTACTTCTATGATGGACATCTTATTCAACCTTATCTGCTATATATTACCCCTAACGGTTGTTAAATGTATATACGCTACTGGCTGTTAAATTTAGGTTCCTGTGTAAAGGGAGGAAAGTGCGATTACTAACGTATTTCCTCAACAACCTACCAAAACAAGGTGACTTTGTGGGATCTAAGTTGATAGCAACATGGTAGTTGCCATTTTTACACTGACAACTTGTCCCATTTGACGTGTTTGTAGCTTTATTTGGGCAAAGCTGACATGGTTTCATTGAAGACGTTTGCTTGAAATGATTGACTGGACATGCTGTGAAAGTAAAAATAATACATAAATGAAGAAGAATGTGTTAATATTGAAAAAGTTAAAGGATAAATGACCTTGGATGAACTTTCTAGTTAAGGTCTGTGGTTCAATGAAATGAAATTAAGAAATAAATCAAATTAGCACGTTCCTGCCTTCCGATACACGTAGTCTTTCCTTCCCAAAAACAAAAACAATGAGAATGAAGTAGCTTTTGATCCTAAGCTGACAAGAATTCCGGAACCGAAAATATTCAAAATTTCAAAATGTGGTTTTGCCCAGCAACCAATGACATTGCTAATATCATGTGAAATAATGACAAGCACACATTGGGATTATCAACATAAGTATTTGGATGATGAGGTTTTAATGTATTTATTTCACTTTATTATTGTGTTCAATCTGTTGCTTGAGATATACCAAACAATGTCGCCTGGTGTTACAACTCTAATGATAATTTTTTGTAGCAGACCACCATCATGGCGGAGTTGCACGTCAAGAATGACATTAAAAGCAAGTGATTTTGCATGAATGTAAAGCTTGGTTGCAAAGCATGACAAGTTGAAGTGCTGAACTATTGAAAAACGCGTCATTACAGAAACTACAAAGAATATATCCATTTGTAGCATTAGGTTTTGTTATATTATCAAAATAAGAAATCTCAATAAGAAAATTTAGAAAAGGGCGTGACGATGCGGTGAAAATTTTCACACACGCCAGGAAGTACTTAAAGCCACCTAGAAAGACACAATAGTTTTTTATAAAACAGGAAATATATATGTTATAAATTTGGATGATGAGGTTTTAATGTATTTATTTCACTTTATTATTGTGTTCAATCTGTTGCTTGAGATATACCAAACAATGTCGCCTGGTGCTACAACTCTAATGATAATTTTTTGTAGCAGACCACCATCATGGCGGAGTTGCACGTCAAGAATGACATTAAAAGCAAGTGATTTTGCATTGAAACCACCGACGAGATCGATAATACCAGAGTATCACAAAAAACATTTATTCAAATGGCAATTGTACTCAAATACCTCCCTTAAATAACCATGAATTAAAAAAGAGAGGAAATCTGAATAAACAAAAATGCTGTAAACAGACCACTTATCTCTCGGAACACGGAAAAAGTTGAAGTGTCTTATGGAAAGGTTTTTTACAAATTTTCGACATATTCATGCAATTATCATAGATTTTTCAATATTCTATGTTGTATCATAGAGTTCTTTCTTTATGCATCTACCTACATTCTTACAAGAAAATTTTCCAATGAAAAAAATAAAACAAAAAATACATTTAGTAGTTATATACTCACGAATGCACTTCTTTTCATCATTCAATTCGTGACCTTCTCGACAGGTACATGCCATTGTTACGTTCCATGTCCCATCGTATCCACAAAAACCTATCCATCTTCTCTTTTGATCAGATTTAACGGGACAAATTCCTTCAACTTTTTTCCATCCATGAACAGGTGATCGAGTTTTTGGAAAATTGATTCCATTTAATTGAACGTCATTGCAATAATAATAATACAACATCATTGAATAGATTCTTGTGCACACACCGACTGCCCTTACAGCGATTGTAATCTTTGTGGCATTGTACTTTAAAAACTTGAAAACATGTTTCAAAATTTTTTTGTTTCTCTCAATGGCTGTGTCATTATTAACGGTGTATAAATAAGAGAAGTTTACATCGAAGAAATTCTTGAAAATGTCTGATGATGTATCAGGAAGCTGGTTCGTTCCGTTATAAATGTAAATACCCAGAGATTTATTATAGTCTGGTCGAAAACTCGGCATCGTTTCCATAGCAATATAAATTGTGTCAGTGTAAGTATCTTGAATGGTAATTGACTTTGTTATAAAGACATAGTCGGTACCAGTACCACACGATTCTAAATAACCATCCTTCAACACCCACTGAAAAGACATAAATACATACAGATGTCACTAAAATTAATAACCTTTTTCGCTAACATACATGAAATTGGCGTATGAAAATAATATCTTGAACGAAGTACAACTAGAAATAGAGTTCTTTTACTTACCGGATCTCCAGACGATTTTGGATTGAAATCAAAGTTTGAGAGAAACAATTTTCCCATATTACCTGTCATAATTGTGACTAGAAAAAATAACAAAGTTTAGTTACATGCATTTAATTACCTTTGATGTGAGTTTCATTTTACTCGTATTCAGTCATAACAATAATATCAATAATGCTAAAATTTGCACGAAACATGATCTAAGACATATGACAAAATTTATGACTGACTAACCATTTAAAGCAAAAGAAATGCCGAGGTTGAGGAGAACAAACAATGTTACACCACCAAAAGAATGTGATAGCAAAACATATTTTGATGTTTTTGCCATACTTCCTTTCTCCGCGCAATTTAGCCTGAAAATACTGAAAATAAAGCAAGTACTGAATAAGAGAAGCATTTATTAGAGATGCAATTAAAACAAACCAAGAGCAGGAAAAAATACTGTTTGAAAATATTTGTTTTACCACACGTACAAAAACACGCTCATTAAAACGTAAATAAGCTACAACAAAAACATAGAGGGCATGAATGTAAAGCTTGGTTGCAAAGCATGACAAGTTGAAGTGCTGAACTATTGAAAAACGCGTCATTACAGAAACTACAAAGAATATATCCATTTGTAGCATTAGGTTTTGTTATATTATCAAAATAAGAAATCTCAATAAGAAAATTTAGAAAAGAGCGTGACGATGCGGTGAAAATTTTCACACACGCCAGGAAGTACTTAAAGCCACCTAGAAAGACACAGTTTTTTATAAAACAGGAAATATATATGTTATAAAAGCTGGCTAGAAGCTTCTTTAGACATTTTGAGATCTGTGATTACTGTAGTTTGATGTTCTCGATTCTTATTGTTGTAATTGGTCGATAGTACAATAGAATTGAAGCGTAGAAAAGCTATTTCATTTTGAGAGATCACCCACGTCCCACAACGCAGTTTATCGGTGCTATAATTGAAGATAATTAAGTAATGGCGTAAAAACCAGCTTATCAAGACTATCGATATTGTCTTAGTTAAATTTGAAATAAAATTAAGAAGTTAGTGATATTGAATTTCGCAATTAAATGCGTGCAATGCTTCAGGAAAACGTCACCTTGCATGGTCAGCTCGATGTTAATACTTCAAAGTTAGCATATATTGTAGAGAAAAATGCTTTCTGTAATGATGGATAGTCATGATTCATCATAAAAAATTTGCACAAAACAATAAACGCCAGTTTAGTTTGGTACAAAAATAGCGGCTTCAATAGTACTTCACATTTGTCATTCACGAATATACATCAAATAATTATAAATATGAAATTCTTTTAACTTATTCAGCTCAGTCTTACCCAGTACCAGGTACTGTTTTTCCAATTTATACACAATCATGTAAGGTTTATCTTTACATTAAACAGGCCGAGAGAAAAGTTAACAGACATTAAATTGTGATGATGCAGACGTAAAAAATACAAAGAAATCATGTGCCATGATCGAATATAACCATGAAGTAGAACAAGCGTATACTATTGTGTATTTATTATGTAAACAGTTCATAGTGAGATGATTCTAGCAAGTCAGTTTTTGGGAATTTTAATCATTCAACTAATTGATTATATCCAGTTAATTCACAAAATCTAAACACATCAAAATCATCTGAAAGAGGGAACCTGTCACATACTTCACAAACGTAATCATAGATCGTTATCACCTACATTGTAATCCACGTGTACTATTCTTTATTTTCCACGACAAAAGCACACACCAACTCTTATCAGTGTGTTCACGCGATACGACTCATGGCTTAACTTTCTTCTGTGAGTTCTCTCGCGATAACAGCAGCGGATGTGATTAAATAATGTTCCATCGGTTACGAAGTTGACGCGCCTTAATTTAATTCTATTCAACGATGCTTCAAGATGAATGTCGTAATTATGACATAAGTATCATGAGACAGCTTGAGGTTTCCGACATTTATGCGACCATCCATGAAGCCAAACTCTCAACCAAACTGCCGCTGACTTCACAATGAGTCATTTAATTGAAGAGACAAAAGTAACAGGAGACGAGTATAGTATCACCTTCAGTGTATTTACCGTAGGGTGAGTTACATGATAAACATGTGGAAATTACCAAATGAATGCGTTTTTTTTGGGAAACAGCTGCGAACACAGTCATTGCCATATCCTTATAATTCAATAAAGGTCAAATTCATGTCTGATATGAATCATTAATGATACTTTACCTTTAAAACGCACAAAGGAATTCAAAAATATCAGTTTCTTCTTTCGTTTGTCTGTTTGATGTCTGGATTGTCTTCTAAGACTCATTGTTTGTGACAAGCCTCAAGCGTAACTTAATTCACAACAGGACAACCGTTCACACCACATAATTCAACCATTCTCACACAACGACTGGTTGACTCTAGCTAATACTTCATGACAATTTAGTGTATGCTAGCAGCGGAAGTAATACGTGTAACTCAGAAGAACCACGCATGTCATAAAAATAGTCCGTTATTACAGAACATGTTGACAAATCATGAATTAAATTTTTTCTTTTCTACACATGTGGTACTTATCCCTCAACTTTCCCGCAAAGGAGTGCAACTTGATTCTCATCTATATGTTTATTTTACCGCACACTAGAAAAAATACAATGGTGTTTGTTGTATACCAACTATATCACGTTATATAATTGATGTAATTTGTATTTTCAGACGTTTTATCAAACTATGCATTCATTTCAACTAACTTACGTGATGTATAAAAAAAACGTACAAACGATAAAAATAATAATTCATAGAATCAACTTATTTTTTCAAAAATTTTTTAGTGATGTAATAAAATTGCATTGATTTGAAACATTTTGCCAAACATTTGTTACATTTAGTTACACTCGTCCAGTAAAAATTTAATTACTGACGGAAGTGGATGAAGTGATGGTTAGTTGTCATATAGCAAATCGTTTCTCTCTGACATACCAATCGAACTAACAAGGCAACAAGAAAACTCGACGAGAATGATTGAAGCAACAGAGAAAACTATACGAGAACCAGTTTTGAGTAGTCCAAAGGCCCAAAAAGCAAAACGTATTGCGTTTAGGCCCTGTCCACACATATCTGCCTTCTGTATAAAAATACAGATATTTTTTCCTCCGTTTCTGAAAAAATTTACGTCTGTCATTTTCAAACACAATCGATCAACTTCTCAATTATTATTGGACTGGACTTGATTGTTAACGTCATTGTTTTCAAAAACCTCAATTTTTGCCCATCTACACGTTAACACAAGTTGGTTGAAAAATCTTCACTCAGCACTCTGTATTCGAAAACCTCCGTTTATGGTCACCAAAAATGATATTTACGTGTAGACGCAAGGCCAAAACAGAAGAAAAAACCTCCGTTTTCAAAAATATTCTCATACGTGTATACGGTGCCTAATTGTTACTAAAATTTTTAAAGTTAATACACAATTATAAATATTAGATTAGTTTACGTGTCGGGAAATATTTTTGTTTATTTTTCATAAAATATCAACAATAAAAGGCGGGCGCTGATTGGTTTATAGCACAGTTTGCATTAGCCTGTGCAAATTGATCTGAGCTCAATTAATTAAATCGATGAAAGAGAATTTGCAAAGCAATCATGAACACATCTTTGTGGAAAAAATTTTTGTTTCGCATTATTGTCATTTTATAAAAAAATAAAAGATATCTTTTGTCTTTGCACTGGCTTATGGAAACCTCGGAGACGTTTGTAAGGACTTTCGAAGAGGTACAAACCATTGATCGTCGGTATGGGCTTGAACTGATCTGCTATTGAGTTCTTCCAAAGGTCTCCTAAGTTTACACAAGTCTGTGTAAAAACCGAGTATTCATTTTTTATTCCTTAAATATTTGCATTTCTGATCTGAAAAACGCACCAACGGCTTAAATAAAAACTTCAAAGCCCACTGCTACTCTGCTAGATTTGAACTTAATCTTAAATTGGCAACATTCATAGCATCAGTGCATAAAATATGAAGATTTAAAAACTATAGATAAGGCAGCATGGCTATATTTTTGGGTCCAAGTACTTGGCAAAATTTTATAACCTATAGCTATCACGTAATATTTTTCAGTCAAATAAACGAGAATTTTTGCAGAGGACATTGCTGTTACATTTTTCTTTAAACACGATACCAAATACTTTTAAGCTTTTGTGGCACGATTTAGTTTTGAGACAATTTTTTATTTCACGACAATTTAACATCCCTCGACAAAACATTGCAGGTATGCTGTTTGTTTTTATTTAAAAAAATTATTTTAATACATGGAAACTCGACATGAGCTTTTTTGCTCATTAAAAAATTATAGAAATGAAATAAATTTTCTTCAAAGACGACGCTTCATTTAGATAACCAAAGCTTTATTCAACTTATCAATGTAAAATGTGTAACATGTTTTCAAGGTCTTTGAATATTCTTTCTATATTTTTACGCTTCGCAACGCTAGTTGAAATTATTGCAGGAAAACAGATATCCTATGTTGATTCTGTTACAGTAACACGATATGGTGGGTCTCCGACAGATACTTTTCGATTGAGAGTTGATACAGCTGATACAAGCAGCTTAACATATTTAAAAGATGGTTTCGCCCAAAACGTATCAGGAACCTGTGGAACACTATCATTCGATCCATATGAAAAAGTTTGTATTTTTGAATGTCAATGCAGTAAAAACACTCCAAGCTTTGATGCATTTGAACAGAAATGTATTGCAGAAAATGTTTTGAAAAAAGGTGAGTCCTATAAAGATAATATGAGGCAACGCAAGAGCTATATTTTAGCAAACTGTGAAACAAGATATTCGTATTTTGGGGGGCTTAAAATGACCAACACTTTAATTTTGCAATGGATCGCAGTTGATGTTATTACATTATGCATCTGCAATTGTATCCTGTTGCTTGATTGTAAAAGAATTATTTTTTGTACACAGAAGTCACAATACATCATCAGATTATAGATTTACTTTGCTTTTGATGAAAAGCCTAAATGAATAAGACCAAACAGCACGAGGTTTCGATATAAGACTCGTCATATTTTTCTTAAAATTTCAGTGGCAGATTCATAATATTTTTGTAACGGTTTTAATAGAAGGTTCATGATACATTTCTCAATAGCGCATTATTTATGTCCCATTTTCACATTCAAAAAATAGATTGTAATTACGTCAGCGGCTCATGGTCTTGGCATTTTGGCTGGAATTGGGATGGTGAAGAAAATTCGCTTCCAATACTTGACGTACAATCCTACGGTTTGACTGCTGCAATAAACGTTTCAGCCAAATTATACGATAAGTGTACAATAACCTTCGGAGAAAGATACAGCAAAGATGGATTATGGAAACCCATTGATTTGAGGTTTTCCGAAGAAGAAAATGTAGTTTTCTTTGAACTACACGAAATGTGGCATTTCACTTGGGTATGCATGAAAAAATTTATGAACAGTTGTGATGTTTACGTGTAGATGTACTCACGTCGCTAAATCATATATCTGTCATTTTACCATCTTGTTTTTTTTTGAAGATTATTTCTGCGATGAATGACAGTGAAAAGCACAACATCGAAGCATCGTTTTTACGGATACATATTACATGCATAAACGATAAGGCTTCCAGTCATGAGATCGCATTAAAAGAAATTTCATCTTGTTTTGTCTTAAAAACAACTGGAAATGTAACATGTAAGTGAGCTTAAATTTTTCCAGTCAAAATGTCTGTGTATTTAACATTGACTCGGGTAGATTATTTTAAACTTTTTCATCTCACATCCACGGACGTAGAAAATGCATGGAGAAGGGGCACAGAGAGGGACGATCGCCCTTCTTTGAAAATTTTTGTATATTTCCTTAAAATATAAACTTTTTATCTCTCAAAATTTTAATTCATTTAAAAACATGAGCAAATAATTCTTTGCATTTTAGGAATTATGCTTTTTTATAAAATTTCTAGAAGAATAGGAATATTAAAAACTTCTTATCATCATCCCCTCCCCCGCCTTGAAAATTGAAAACTTTCATATTTCCTATCTCACTGAATGAATAACGATTTTTTTAACTCATATGTCACCTAGATCCTCAATCCATCGAGTCTATTTTTTTACAGACAAATACACAAATAAGTGCAAATACACTAAAACAGACAAATACACCAAGGCAACAGCAGCTGATAAACGGACTACTACAACATCAATTGGGAAGGACAAAACAAAGTCGTCGGTCAACATTCTGACATGGATAGGAGTTAGCATCGGTTTGGTCGTTGTTCTATTTGTTGTGCTATTCATATTGTATTGTTTTTTGATTAAAAAATGCGGTCAGTCGACGAACGTGGTTGGAATTAAAGAAAGCGTCAAGTTTATTCGTGGCAATAATCCTGAAACGTCGCGAGTGAAATTTGTTTGACTCTCACCAAAGGATGGAAATAAATTGGGGATAGTAAAAATGAATTTTATTCATGTTACAGTTGAAAGCATTGACCAATAGTAATTTGATTTTTTTGATTTCAGACCTTTCTTAAAAGATTCTGCGATTATGCATACAAATATATTCATGAATATCGTGTAAGGGTAAAAAAAACACGTATAAAGTATATGGATTTATTTATAAATCTAAGAAATTGATGCAAGAAAGCAAGGGCATTGGTAATTTTTTTTTGGGTGAGGGGTATTATTCATATATGCATGTTTTACTTTATTAGTTTCAATTGAAATCAATTGTGGTTACGGATTATAAGATATGAATATATGAATATAGCCCCCAAATTATCAATGTTCCGCCGTCACTGCAAGGAAGATGAAAAACATTTAAAAAGCACATAGGTAACAATGGCTTGTTCTGAATAGAGATGAACTGGTTTCATTGTCTAACTTGTATAAAACACCCATTAGATTGCACAGTAAAATTCTACAATTTCATTTTATAACTTGTCAATTAAGCATCCGTTTTGCACGAGACTATGTGAGACTGTTTCCATGACTTAATTTTTTTATAGATAAAGAAGACATATCGTCGTAGTTACAAAACATCTTACTTATATGCTATATATTGTTATTTTCGTGTGTTTAAGAAAACTGAAGATGCAAGGGAGCAAATGGAAAGAAATTTTTCGTTTCAAAGCACTATCTTACTCGTATTTACCGTGTGCGGTATATTAGTACCTCTACGGTTTGCGTTTCGCGGAACAAAATTATTGTGCGAAGAAGATCATTATAAAAAGATGGTGATAATTTCCTCCATATTCTCTCGTTCAGCTCGGAAAGAAAATCAACGCCATCACAAGAAGTTACCAAGCGCTTCATTAAACGTTATAAAAAAGCCTCCAACACTTCTTAAGTCATTAAAAATCTTTTATTATTGGCCAATAGAAGACTGATAAAATTTCTCCAGCATATTTTAAGTAAGTCACAAAAAACCTCGCTTACCATGAAGTATAAACATGAACAAAATTCGCCTATCATCTGTGTTTCAAAGGATAACACAGATTATATGGAATGCGTTGGAAATTGCTACCCAAGAGATTGTCATGGGATGTCACATGACTTGATTAATATGGTCTTTAATGTGTATACAGATGTAGTAACAAGTGAGAAACGGTTAGTTGTACGAGCAAAAAAGATTATTTGAATATCTTTTATTAGTCAGTGTAAATTACATGATTTATTTCTCCAGAAAAGCAAACTTATTGCAATGCCATATAAAGATATCATTTTAAATGAATAAGGCGAGGAAATGTTAACTGTATTATTTTGAACTGTGATAATTGGTACGAATCTACCATGAAGAATCTGCGTTCAATCTCAAGATTCTTCCACGACCTTATTTTAGAATTAAAGGTGTCACAAATGTCTAGCATTAACGACTTACAAATTACTGATGTGCAAAGAAACATTTCATGAACGAAACGACTCCATAATTTTAGTGGATATAATTTCAAAAAACAACGAACAGGAATGTTGCATATTATGACACATACTATCTTTTCTTAAACTCTTTGTTGGCCCCAGAGTTTCATCATAAAATAGAAAGCAACCGTTACGTTAGTGTTGTTGCTAAGCGACAGACAAAATAGTCACATCATTTTATGGCAAATGTGGAAAGTGTGTATGTTAGATATAACGAGAAACATCTAACTATTATTATTTCAAAATACGGATATGACAACAAGAGATTAATGGAAGAATGTAAAAAGTAAGCAATATATTCCTGTATACTGATTTTAATTTTCTGCACTTTTATTCATGAAATGAAGAAAAGGCCTGTCATTGGTTGATTGCAAAGATCTTAATCATCAATCCCTAACATCGTTTTTTTATGATTGTCTTAGAGCAACCGACTGCCAAGTATAAGAACTGTTCAAAAAGAGGGAGTTGTTTATACAAGAAAGACAATACAAAGGGCAGTAAGCAAAATAAAAAATCTCAACAGCATCAAATTTTTTATGGATCTTCACATCATTACACCAGACACAATACTACATCTTGACAGAAAAGTGAGTTGAATGCAACATGCTTAGCCATTCAGAAAAAAACATTGCTAAGATAGTAAAATCTACATGAATCTTTATATATTAATTCACATTGTCTTTGGTAGCATACAAATCAAGGCAAAATAGCATTTAACCCTGTTTTATTTCGCTTGTCTCATTGTGGTTCTCTTCAAAGCATTTTGAAACCTCTGCGAGAAATTCGGGAAACATTTAGCTACGACATATTAGGTATATAGAAAATGCCAGAGCTGGTAAAGGCACACAAGTACCAATAAACTAACAGAAGAATTTTTGTAATAGGTATTTACAAATCTGATTGGAATAGATTAGATCGTCCCATGACAAAGAGAGCGAACGAATGGGTTCGCAAAGAATGGGTTAGCTGGCCTGAACATTTAAGACTTCAAATTGCCAATTTTTATCGCTGTCATTTTTCAAAGACAGGACTTTGAAATTAGAGATGTTCATAGAAGGTGATTAAAGAACAAGGAGCAAGGACTCACTAAATATTGGACTCGTCTTGTTGACTTTTTAAATTAATTATCAAGTTTTTTAGTTTCATTATAAAATATTCTATGAATTGATTTATAGAAAGCATTATGTAAAAATTGCTGAGAATTAGCACATTTGAAAGTCTGCGATCCTTTATCCTAAACTATTTGCTCTGTCATTATTTATAAATGTGCGACATGAATTATGCGTTAGCTAATTATGCAAATGTACGTTTTAGGAGATCACCTTAAGAATGTACAAAACACCAAAGTTATCAACAGTTACAAAAATTTGAAAATGTGGCGAGCATTTGATGCCACGCAAATGGCTGCCTTTTATGAAAAATTGTTGAAGAAGACTGCCATCCTCATCATGCCACTAAAATAAATAGATAAAAATTTTTAATCGGGAGGCGTGCCTCCAAAATAATTCTTGTCGCCACGGTATGCGAAATCTTTCAAAGACGAAATGTCGATTCATTAATAAGATGTTCAAACCAAAGTTTATTTGATTAAATTATTCCTTTTTGGAATATTGTTGGCAATATCATCTAGTATAAGTTATTATGTCATTGATAATAACCAATAGATGTAATCAATGAAAAACAGCTAACAATAATTTTATAATAATGTACGTTTTGTACAACCTACAACTTCGATAAAATGAAACTTAATGATATCACAACAAAACATTATACGAATAAGAATTGCTAAAGGAAATCCACTGCTCATAAACATAGAAATAATAAAAATGCTGCACAAACCTGTATGTTATTCCCAACAGAAACCAATTGCTTGCGGGCGCCACCGAAAGCTAGGTCTGTTACCCATGAATCATTATGAGAGGTACACGAATGCAATATTTCACCGTTTCCGAGACCTAAGATCTTATTTTGAAAAAATACAGGAAACATTGTTATAATAATCAAAACAGATTGATTGAGAATTCAATTTTAGCCGTGCACGTAAAATAAAAAATGAAATAAAAAACAACCGTTACAGTGCCATCATCACTGCCGCTCGCAAACAACAAGTTGCTCTTGTTGATAGAAAGAGATCTAATGACGTCATTTCCACATGATATCTCAAATGATTTCTGCCCATTTTCGACATTCCAACCCTAGCAGACAAAGCGATACATAATTTCAATCAGATTACATATCAATCCTAGCCCTAATCCAAGCCTAACCAGGTTTGACTTGAATCCTAAACCATTACTTCAACGGTTAATCCAATCTGAAACTGTACAAACCTTTATGATGTGATCAGTGGAGCCGGTCAAAATTGTTTTGTTATCGTGTGATATGACACATTTTGAAACCCAATTATTTTGCTATGCTCGCAAGAAAATATAATATTTCCATTCTTGCTGTCCCAAACCTATAATGAAATTAAAACTACCGTAAATTACAGTCTTAAAACATTTCAATGCGTGTATGTATGTAGCTTTGGTCAAAAATGAAATATTAGGTAGAAATAAGTGAATAACAGTAAAATTAATATATTTATAAATCTTATAGACCTTAGCAAAACCATCTCTAGAAGCTGTAAGGATTCTCTTGTCATTTTGAAAGAACAACGCCTCTGTTATTCCGCCATCGTGTTTTTTCTCCTTCATCAATAAATTCTGGCCTGTTTTGCCATCCCACGTCTGATAAATTAATGAAAAAAATAAATAAATTATTTGAGTTATTTCATACGGGATCAAGCCATAACGAGGGAGGGGGGGAATTGGGTGCACGTGCAGCGTAAAATTTCTGGTTACAGCCCTGGGTATCCAGTTGACATCATTAATCTTATGACAAGGTGTTTATATGGTGATAAAAACATGGATGAAACTCACCATAAAAGTTTTGTCTTCCGAACATGACAGAAGGACAGAGCCGTTGATACTGTATGCTAACAAATTCACACATTTATCATGTGAAACCAAGTTATGGAGTAGACGGCATGTTTTGCGGCACAATATCTGAACGAAAACATCCCACATTTATCATTTAATCAAAGTATAGAATAAAAGAGCTCAAAACTCTCACTTCAATCAATCCTGAATTCAAACCAACAGCAATGGCGTGGCCATCACCAGAAAACAAAACACAAGTAATCCTTTCAGTATGTGCATCACTTTGGCAAAGGTATTTTCCTTCGATTCCCTCAAAACCTTTAAAATATCAATAAAAATGTACATATTCAAAATTACTCTTACAAATATTATTTTACAAAAACAATTGAAACAAATCAAACAATTTAAGTACATTTAAAGTACATTACCTTCACCCTATTTTCACTGTCGGCAACGGCAATTGATGACAACAGCTCTTCTTCAAAGAAAACATCAAAAACTTTCCTTAATCGTATAACCTTTGATGTAACTGCTTCAGCAGGCCATACCTACATTGACAGTGACAAACATACAATACGATGTCTTAATAAAAATTGTGACAAGATGAAGTCTTTAAAGACCTTGACTGTTTCATCCGAAGAACCGCTGACCAGTTGCTTTCCATTAGGCGAGAAGTTTACAGAGTGGACCCAATTCTTATGCCCAAAGTACGTGTTCAAATGGTTTTTGAGCTCGAAATCCCACAGCTGGAAAACAACAATAAGTCCATCACTTTTAACTATGTGTACAGAAAAATGAGCAATGTTTCACTTAGTAGATAGGAATTCCTTACCTGCACATTATTGCATAGTGCAACAGCAATTTTGTTTTCCACAGAAGACAATGAGAAAGCCAACACTTGCTCACCAATGTCAATATCACTAACAAGTTCTCCTGAACTACTATTTATAATCTATGAAATGAGCGATAAGATTAGCTCACATTTTCACGTACATGTATCATGATGAATCTGGTCATTGGATTGAGCATAAAACTAACCCAAATATGTCTCCCTGAGCTAGCAAACACTCGACACCCATCAATATGAAAGCAACAATACGATACAAATGAGCCCAGCTTCTTGGTGGTCGCCAAACATTCTCCAGTATCACTTTTCCAAACCTAAATCACGAGTTGCTCAAAGATTACACAAAAAAAGTGGACGCAAATAAAAGGTCCACAATGTTGACATTTACCTTCACAGTTTCATCATTTGAGCCAGAAACAACTATTAAACCATTAAAGGAAAAACTGCACCAATTCACGACATCGTCGTGACCTTTGCAAACAGCTTTGGTAAATCCTCTGCCACTGTCCCAAACCTTAGAGATAAGCTATTTTAGTGAACACATCTTTATGTTTCAAACAAAGGTAAAGAGCATACCCTCAGTGTTGAATCCGCTGAACATGATACAACTTCATTTGATGTTGGTGAAAATGCAGCGCAGTGAACATCCTGTTTATGTTCTTTATATTCAACTTTGACAAAGCTATTCACTCCCAATTGCCAGATCTATAAGTACAACAGTTTACAATACAAAATAAAGCAATTCCTGCTAATAATAGTAGGAAAAACAAACACAAAGCTTTTTTGCTGTATTACCTTCACACATTTATCATACGAAGTGGTCAAAACTTCAGTGTCGTCTTTGTTGAAAGCACAACATGTTATGATATCATCACGACCGTCAAGTGTGTGAATAATTTTGCCTGAAACTGCTTCCCACACCTAAAGATTAAAGAAATAAGACACATAGACGAACGTAACATCATTTAAAAAACCAAAAACCTATATCCACCTTAACTAACCTACTTTCACATAAGGTAACCCATCTTTACTACACCAAACCATTAAGACCTATCTTTACCTTAACTTAACCATTCCCTTAAAACTATCTTCACCTTAGCAGTTCCGTCTGATGACGAAGACAGAATGTATTGACCATGAGAAGAAAAAACACAGCAATGAACAGGACCATTGTGTGGTTTCACTGTCATTTCCAGAGTTTGGGCATTCTGTTTGTTGCTGGAGAAAAGCACGAAATGTCTGTATTTAATTCAATCTTATTTCATTTGTTTATTAGTGTAAAAGCAACGTGTAAGGTGTAAACATGAGTAATCTTTTATGTGTAAAAATCAACATATAATATGTAAATAATATTAATATGTAAAAGCAAATTGTAACATAAAAACATTTCCAAACATTTCGTGGGTAAAAACAAAACAAATGCGTTTGATCACACTACTTCAAAATTAATGTTCAAAGATCTATCTGATACAGAATGATATTAAGACACTTTAGAACGCCATAGGCGTATTTACTAACATTGAAAATGAAAAATAAAATCAGCATACTGTAATTCGGACACTGAAAATAAATATGAACTAACCACCAATCCAGATAAAGTTTTCCTTCATCCTTTGACCTTCTCAAGGCTTCTTTTTTGGCCTGCTTGTAAGCATCACTGTCTGAAGGTTCACTCAGTGCGATTTGAACAACATCCGGGAACGGACAAACCGTAAACATGTGAGCATGCGTTCTCACAAAATGATAAAACTCGTTGACACGTTTCAATTCATTCTTCTATTAAGACAGTCAATGAAATTCTGTTACAGCATAAAAAATTAATTCAATATTAATTATATGGTATATAACAACCTCATCTTCCTTGACAAATGTGAAAAGCTCAAGGAAGTCGTTGATAACGTCGGCAGGTCCACATATTTTCAACTTATTTGTAATCCACTCTCGATTCGTAAGAAGTTGGATTGCATCTCCTTCTTGTTTTGCCAAAAGCATGTGATGGACAAGATTTGAATAGACATAACCGTCATCTTCTAGCGTCCAGTATAAACCTTTAATAACGTCACAAAGTAACTAAGTGAAATAAAGTGTGACTCCTTTGGAGCAATGAATTTGTAAAATAAAATTCGAACGTTAATCTGTGATGTAAATTGAGACTCCTTTGGAACAATGAATGTGTAAAATAATGTTTGAACGTTACTTTGCAAGGTAATATGAGACTATTGTGGAGCAATGAATGTAGGAGGCAGGTATACGTTGATGAAACAAACCTTCACAAGCCTTTTTATAACATTCCACAAGCTTTTTGTGTCTTTCTAAAACATTATCGCAGTTTTCAACCATGTAATTCAACTGCAAGTTGTGGACGTAATATACTGTTGTGTCGTGATCGCAAGATTGTTCTGCATAAACTAACGATTTGTTTATTAATTCTTGCATTATATCTTCAACTTCCTCAACCTGACAAATATATTAAACTAATTAGCAGCTAACATTTACAAAACAAAACAACGCTTGTACTGTACTGTTAAAATTTCAAATCAAATCAACGCCACTAAAGAATCTTAAAATGCATTCAAAACTTGTAAAGTAAAATACACTGTTTATTCCTTACTTCCATTTCCCACAATCGACAAAATAAAGAGGTGGAAGCTTTGATTGAAGAATCAAATATAACGAAATCATAGATCTTTTCCCTCAAATCCTCTTGCAAATCTTCCATGCTCATTGCAAGGGTTTTATTGAGGTTTGGATAATCGTATGCAAATTTATTTGGCTTCAGTTTACTGAACTTGTGCTCGTGCAATTGTGAATAATAATAATCCCAACGAGTGGGGTTATCACGCAACAATGCGCCAATTATGCTAACAACCAAAGGATTTCCATTACATTCTTCGATAATCTTGTTCGCTGTTAAAGGTAGCTCTATAATGGACTTTTTATTAGTCCATTTTCTAAAAATTTCCATACACTGTTCATTGCTCAGTTTCTCGGAAACCTTGACTGGACATCTCTTGACTTCAATGTTATCCGCAACACTGACATTACGTGTAGTCAACAATACACGAGCTCGAATGTCAAAAAAACGAGCGTCGTGTGCAGTCCATACATCATCAAGAACAAGGAGCGTTTGAGGATATTGATCAGCAAATACACTTTTCAGATGCTCGCGAGCCTCTTCCAAATTCTGCGGTCTGTATTTGTTCTCGTCAAGACGCGTGCAAAGATTCTGCATCTTCATCAGAAGTTTCTGTTTGTTCACAAGACCAATATGCGCCCACACCACTCCCCCAGGAAAAATTTCGTCTAGTAGAGAGGCACTTCTTAAAGCATCAGCTGCCAAAATGGTCTTTCCACTTCCTGCCATCCCATGAATGACCACCCAGGCATCTCGATCTTTCAAAGATCGTAGTGCAGTGCGCACACGCTTTATCTCACGTGGTCTAGATATGAAAACCTGAGGTAGCTTTGGCACACCACCTTTTAAAAGTTTTTCCGCAACTAAAAAAATTAACATTCATTAATTGATTAATATTTCCAAAATCAAAATATTTCGGAATTGAGTGTTTTGTATATTTAATGAATATAGACAAAGAGATATGACTGTGTTAAATCTTGCCAAAGCACATCAAACATTTAACTGACTGTTACAGGACCTTCATACAGCATGACCTTGGTCAACTGTTTTTAACCTTCCCTTACCAATCTTTTCAGCATCAGCAGAAACTGATGGAAATCTTGATCTCTCCAATCCTTCATTCTCTTGCAGTATTTCTACTAGATGAGGATAGTGTGACTCAAGAGCAGACAGAAAATAATCAAATGCTTTATCTCCCCGGGTCACAAGAAGATCCAGCAGTTTGTCTGCCTGGAGTCTAGATGTTTTCTCAGACCGAATCATTTCCAAATCATCATCATTGAAGACTAAGTTTGATACCAAGGGAGATGAAATATCGTCAACAAGTAAATCTTCAACAATTGCTTCTCTATTTTTGTTCAGAATATCTCTATGATCATTGGTCATGGTAACTACAGTCATAAGAAATAAGAAAAATATATTTAAAATGTTTAATTTGCAACGCATTATGTGTAATGTAACATGTGACAATGAAGTAACATTGAATATTTATTACCAACATTTTAAAGTTCTCAGTAACTAAGACATTTATAAATTATGCTTGAAAATATACTTGAACAAAGATAACAATGGCTTAGCTATTCAGCTTCATGTCTTCAAGCTACAGTATGACAAGAAACAATCTTCACCATGGTGAAGAACTTCAAGCTACAGTATGACAAGAAAACAATCTTCACCGTGGTGAAGAACTTCAAGCTACAGTATGACAAGAAAACAATCTTCACCATGGTGAAGAACTTCAAGCTACAGTATGACAAGAAAACAATCTTCACCATGGTGAAAAACTGTTTTGACATTTAATCGAAAGCCAGAATATTGAAATGTGAAAATGAGTCTCTAAACTCAATAAAGCATAGCAAACATTTAGCGATTCAAATGACTATACCTTCGCTGTTTGAATAATTATAAACACCATGCACATCTTCCTCATTATATGAGACTCCATTGACGCCGCCAGAGAGCAATTGCGCCAAATGAGGATATTTTTCTGTAAGACTTTCGTGGAATGCAGAAAAAGCATCATAACCTTTCTTTGGGAGTAGATCTAAAAGCTTTTCCGCTCTTTTTCGAGTTGTTACTTCAGCTTTGATTTCTTCACAGTCACTTATATCAACAATAAATTTTGCTTTCAACTCTGTCAAGACATCATCCACGATTAAGTCTTGGACAATTGAAATTCTACTTGCATTAAGCAAGTGCTTATGTTCTTCCAACATTTTGCTTTCTAAATGAAAGTATCATAGTCAGCAAGTCTATTATGAGAATAATTTCTTGGATTTACTTCCTTCATAGGACCTCACATGACTTCCTTTCTGTGTCTTGTTTTTTAAAAACAGCCTGCTGTATTGTAGATCAGTCACTTGATAACATGTCACTACTTCATGTTAAAAATTTGTAAAATCTGTTGGCAAGTGGTAAATGCAAAATAATGGAACAATAAAATCGTTTTAGTCTAACTGAACAGATTTTGTTTTTAAAAGCCTCTTTCTCAAAATATGCTCTATAGGCTGTAGTGTGAAAGGGCTTTTTCTGATACGTGTTATCTAGTATGTGCATTCTTGGCTCGATCTTTTTGAAGCCATTTACTAGATAAACCTTCCAAAACTTAATTACCAAATCCATTCAAAATTACCAGTTTCTCCCAGTGATTTCTCATGCTTCTTGACGTAATTAATCAGAATTCTAGCTTTAAGCCGAAAATTTGAAATTAATGAAAACTAATAAGTAAGAATTTCCATTTTACTGTCAGCATTTGAAAGATAAGTGGAGTTTTCCGTAGAATAACTAAAAAGGCGTTCGACTTGTGTTTAGCAATTACTGAACACAGACTGAATGAACTTTGAAAAGCAGTTGTTTCTATCTAAATCTAATAGCCAAAATATTGTAAGCTTTCGTGAAAATAAAATGAAATTTCATTGTATAAAAAGTTGCTAAAGTTTACAAAAGAAATTTAATTTACAAATCTGGTAACACTGACTATAGCTATGTGCTATTACAATATCAAATATTGGAACAATGTGACTTTGGAGTCATGTGACTTTGGAGTCATGTGACTCTTGAGTCACGTGACTATATTATTATTAAGTAAATATATATCTAAGCTTTATCAACGAAGTTAACTATCACATAAGTTACAGCTGTATGGACATGTAATTTTCATCACATCTTCGTATTCTGTGCAATATCCTTCAGATGCAAAATAGCTACAAAGTGAATCGATGTCACTGCATTCTGAAAAAGTATATTAAAAAATAATCCCTTTTGGTATTTTTCAAGGTTGAATATAACAAACAGTCATACAGAAAACATGCCGAAATTCTATTACACATTAGATGTTACGTGGGGGAATTCAAAAAGCAAATCGTTTAATTAGATAACTTCCTTCAACTAAACGACATTTTTTCTGCATCGATAAGAACAGTAATCGCAGGAGGGACGTGAAAAACCATTTATAATATTGGCTGTCAATGAAAATTAGATATATGACATGAAACAATTGAATGGGTAAAGGAAACATACTGTTGGCACAATTTTTCATCACTATTATTATATAACACAACAAAAACTTTTTATATTCCACAGTAACTTGACTTACTTGGAGGTGAAGCAGTTTCTGGGCTGAAAGAGAAAAGAAAAAAAATCATCATTAAAAGAACGAATCTGAACAAAAATTGTGAACACATTTGTTTCAGAAAGACAAACAGTTTTGGTTACATTTAAAATCTGTCATACTAAGTAATAGTTCTGTATTACACATACATACATCAACAAAATCTGTTAGATACAATTAGAATCAGCTAACCATATAATAATCGCATTCCATTGATGTCATCATCATGTAAAATTGGTTCTCCCGGCACAAATTGATAAAGAGGATTCATTATTGAACCAAGAACAAATGAATGACCCAAACCAAGAACATGACCAATTTCATGTACCAGGATTCTTAAGAGACAATAATTTGTACTACACGATGTTTTAAACTCCTCTGCGTCGTCCAAATGTATGCGACCATCTTCTGGGTAAAACGAGTGAGCAAGAATTGGGCCAGTGCCGTCAAATGCTTGATGATCTCCATGATTTCCTTCCTCAAAACTGTTGAAAAGTATATGGACTAATTATTAGGCAATGTAAGTTATTTTTAATGTCAATGCAAGTGCCGAGAGTGATTGTGGGACTTCAAAAACACTATAATGTTTTTCCTTACGAAATTATGATATTAGCCGAGGATGAAACTGACGCAAGAGTAAAATTCAGTTCAGGAACGACGTCCGTCCAGACTTTGAAAGCTGCAGCTGCAATTGTAAGTTGTTGTTCAGTCGTCATATCAGAAGTGTATTTTAAAAAAGCATATGTAAAATTATTGATTCGCCAAGCAGGGTTTAACTGGTAACGACGTTTCCTTCGCGATTCAACATGTGTTTCGAGGTCTTTGTTACCGCATCGAGGTGATTGAAAACTTGTCAATTTTTCGACGTCATGTAGTCAAAGCGAAACAGAATTCTGACTTTCTCATAAGCTTCCTTTTGTTCATTATGATCCTCCCGGCTATCTTTGTGGAAGTGTGTAACCATACGCTGAGAAATAGTTCTAGAATAATAGAACGTTGTTTTTTAGTAAACAACGTACCATGTAAGAGCAAAGTTTTGTGCGTAGCTACTATAAACATCTGATACTTGAAAAATAATTTAACTCTATATATTGTGACAATAGAAGAAAGCTGGAAGATTTTCCACACTTTTAATAAATCTCTCCATCAAAGAAAGTTTAAAAATTGTTGAACATGTTTCATATACGATAACAAGTGCATAGTGACATGTAATAATCCACAAGAATTTAATAAGCAAACAAACCTTCCATCGTTTGTATGAGCGATTTTTTTCCTTTAAAATAACTGATCCATGTGTGTGAAAGACTAAAAACACGATACAAATGCGCAAAACAAATCTTAATTTCATGGCTGGTAGCTAAATAACACTGTGCCAAATTCACATATTCTGTGACATGCACGTGAATTGGTCATAAAATATATTAGACAAAAAACGATTGAGGACAAAAGTTTCATTTGTTTCCATTGTGTTAGTTTAACACAACATAATATATATCATTAAATCCAATATTGATTCTTTAACAGAAATCCTTTTTTATGGACGTCGTTATCACATTATAGGAAATCGTCGTCCAAAGTGAGAAAATTTATAAGTCTATTAAAACAAAGAAGTTTAACCACCAATCGATTAAATTCCTTAAATAGTTATATACAAACGTCAAAAGAAAAGTTGCACATCAAACGACAAAAGACGAAAGGTATCTTGACAAGAATATAAGGGATTTGCCTCAGTTAGAAATAGGAAAAAAGATGAAAGTCGAAAATCATAAGAACAAGATGTGAGAGGCTGAAAAGTGCGTTGGGAAACTGTCTTTATCGATCCTTTTTAGTGCAAGTAAAAGACGACATATTGCGTAGAAGTAGAGTGGCTTTGAAGTTGGAGCGTGGTAATAGAAAGATAGCAAACCAAGCACAGAGGTAAGTAAAGTAGAAGAAAGTGAATCCGAGCTGAGGTCTCAAGTGGAAAGTGCGCCGCAGACAAAATCTACACACAAGAACTGATGAAAAGCTCCAATAAGCAATCGATTTCTACACCAAATATTTTCACCTTACTTTTGTGGTTTCTGCAGAAAATAGACTGTATCCTTTTCTTTTGTGGAAACAAAAGAACAGAATGTGATAAAAAGACAAGCTTTAATAGCTCTTAAACAAGTAAAATCATGTACAGTCCTAATGAAAAATGTACTATTAAAAAGTCAACTATCATAATCGTTTACTTTTGATATGAATAATGTGAAAGATGAAAAAGAGTATAATTTTATGGAAAAAAAAGATTTTTAAAGAGACTAGCACAATCGCTACAGTGATGCATCAATTTAGATGTTGCATGCATGAAACAGGAAACCAACTTGTAGCATGTTGTTTGTGAAACAATAAATCAATCGTTAATTGTCAAGCAATATTTATAATGTCGAGCCACATAAGTAATTTGTTTTCTGATGATGTATATACTTGCTCTAGAAGAAATAAATACATTTTTATGACGGCATAATGAGGATTGTAATGTGCGTCATTTGTAGAAGAAATTTTTACGTCACCGAGACCTGATTTTAGATGAGGACTGGATAAATCATGCACCAAACTAAAGACATAATTGTAAATATTAGAAAACTACATTCGACTGTTGTCATCATAACAAAAAATAACTTTTTGCTAAAGGCATTCTATTTTTCACCAATGAATGATTATTGAACATGGCAATGAATGAACATGAAAAGCTTTCTTTTATATCAGAAAGAATTTAGGACGATGGCAACAGGCTGGTTTGAGTTTTTCGTCATAAAACAAACTTTACATGCAATTAACTCAGCTAGTAAGATATTCTTGCAAAATAGAAAATTAAAAGTTTCTTAGGTTTCTGCTATGTTATACAAAACAATCTTTTTCAATAAAAGCTCTCAGAATAATGGTCACTTTTTTCTATTTTTTTGCCACACAGCAGTACCCTTGTTCTTTTACAAATCAGGATCGCACTACGATGAAGTATCCAAACGTGTGTTTTTTCATATTTTTCGTTTACTTCATCATCAAAACGTTTCAGCCATCTTTGAACAAGCGCATTTGTTGATGAATTAGAAGGCTCATCTTTCATTAAAGAGCAACGTCGTGGCTGTTTCGCTGGTATTGACCATCGACGATCATTCATAGACGAACCAAACTTCTTTTGCTGTAGATGTGGTAAACTCGTCTTTCTCGCCGACACTGATAAAGCTTTCTCCGAGCGAAGAAATTCGTTTCGTATTCGACGTTGTTCCTGTTCTATGGAAGAGACTTTTCCCTCAAGATTTTTGAAAAGAATTTCGTTTTTTACCATGAGACGAGAAAGATCATGATTTTTGCTGTTACATGTCGCTATCTCTGGAGCAAGTGATTTACGACGAACTCTATGTCTGTCACTGTGAATCAGTCGTTTAGCTACTTTTACTTGAACCTCATGAAATGTCTTGTCCATCTACAGAGATAAAAACAATGTCGATTCTGAATTTGACTGTCGTAGTCTTGTTGCTCATTCGTGCAATGTACTTTTTCTCTTTGTTGAGTCATTATATAAATGGTCGTTAAAACAAATGCTTAAAATTACCTTTTTACAGCTATTTTATTGTGCATGGTTGATCTCCTAAGAATAAAGCCAAAGTAAATTATTGCAAAGTAAATGATTTATTTTCCCTAGTTGCTGAAGAAACAAATTTGGTGCTGTCGTTTCGTACAAATCTCCTTTGATGTTTGTCAATTAAACCTAACCCAGACCCCAAATCTTCTCTGTCCAAGCATACAGCACAATTTCGTGCTAAATGTTTCAAACCAGCATGCAAAATATCCTGAATTTTGAAATACCAGCTCTTCCACTCAAATCAATTTAATTTCCACGTAAAGTCGGAAATCAGTATAACTGAAAGTCATTAAAGGAATATAAACTAATGCATTTCTAAGTAAACAGAAAATTCATTATCTCTGACAATACAATATAGTTTATTCGCTTGTAATAAATAAGAACAAACTGAGCAGTTCATTTTACTTATTTACTTATCAATAATGTAACCACAAACGTGTCTCACAGCAGCATAACAAATACCGTTAGTTACTAAGCAACAAAAAATGTAGTTGCTAATTGGTTGCTAAGCAGTTAATTTCAAACATGAAAAACGTCTCAGACTGTCGGATAACAATAATGGTAATGGGTACTGTGGCGAAGACCTTGGTTCATGTGTACATGGTGATTTTTAAGAACAATAGTGTAATATAGTCTTACTAAAACTCACTAAACTACCCAACTTGTGGATTAATTGTGACTTGGGCGACTGAAAGATGGTAAACACTGACAGTATTTACAATATGGATTTACGATCGTTAAGATGGCGAGCCAAAAATCGTTTAATGAGCGAATTTTTGCCTGACATTCAACAGAGTCAAAGAAAATTAGGCTTTATTTACAAGGTTCAACCATTCAATTACAACGCAGAACATTTTAATACAGTGGAAATAAGACGGCGACCCGCGAACAGTGGACGAACATATCCGGACAGGAAAGTAGCAATGAGGTCTGGACACAAAGCAGCTAATGAGATTGAACCGAGACCATTATGGAGTATAAAACACCTCAGTTTTGTTGAAAGTGATGTTGCAACTCCATGTGATGAGTACAATGTTTACACCAGGTTATGTTGGTGGCGTGTAAGGGAGAGTGGAAGAAAGACTGGGAATAATAGGGCATCATTCAAATTCAATAACCTGAACAATTCCTCCTTTTCAAGAACGCAATTAGCAAAAAATTCACTTGCATTTGATAAGTGAAACTGGTCATAATAACAAAGGATCCCTTTCGGTAGAATTTACACACATCATTTTTTCTCTTTCTTTTCAAGAAAATTCATGAGACATTTCCAACTGCCAACAAAGGCAATAAAATTTCACAAATTTGTACGCGCAGGCCAGTAAGCAGAAGACGTGCATTTAGTATGCTAAAAATAATCAATTTCAAGAGACGAAACAGCTGCGTTTCGCAAGAAATTTATTAAACAATTTTTGTAATTAAAAGTAGACGTGTAGTTGTATGAAAATACCTGTTACGGTATATTTTTAGCATTTACGTGTGCCGGTGGCTGTACAACGTAATGAAAGAAATATCCGTCGGTACATACGAACATCTCGATAATTATAGCAGAAATATCAAAAGCTGTAATTGTCTTTCGATATCCTACGTTTTACGTATTATTATTCAAATTCATAGCAATAATTAGTAGGAAGGAATCATCACCAAAATTAAACAATAAAAATACAACATATGTTCTCTTTAGAAAAAATCAAACATCTGAAAAACTTCAAGTGAACAAAAAGCCAAATGGCCAATATCTAACAGGCGAGAATAAGACTACAGCAAGCTTTTTTCATGATTCAAAAAATATGAGGTTATCTAAGACTATCTATTTTATGGTCAGGCAACAAATATAAAAGAGAATTAAAATACAATAAACATATGAAAATGTATTCAATGTATGCGACAGGAAATATCACATTGTGCTTGTGTCTAACATCACTGTTCATTTCACATTCCTAATCTTATCGAACATTCAAATGAGTCAACACGCATTCTTTGCAATTTGACGATTTGATTTCTAAACCAAAAGATTTCTAAAATGCAGGAGAGTCGAAAATGAATTCCAATGAGGCAATCGACGCAATCGTCGGTCAACAAATACCACAAGGACAAGATATGTCTGAGTGTGAAAAACTTTGGACATGATAAGGTTCTGCCAGTGTCATGAAAGTTGAAATTTAGTTAAATCTTATTTTGCTTTGTCTAGATCATTAAGACTGTTTATCATAAAATTCTGTGTTTTTGTATAACTTCTCAAATTTCAACAACAAACAACGTCTGATACACATATGGTATAATACACACTCTTTCCTTAGCAAAGTGAAGAATTATATTTCACTAAACATGTGAATGTGAATTATGTCTTTTATTACAAGGATAATTATGTGTATGTACAAATCAGTTAAACTAACGAGTATTTTTCTTCGATGAGCAATTTTATCAACGAGACTCGAATTTCTTATTTTCACATGGCAACAAGATTTTTTCACAATTATGACTGAAACATTAAGCGGGTGGAATTTGCAAAAATTTTATAAACACTCAATTTCACGTGAGAATATTTGAAAATCATGTGCATGTAAATAAAGCCAACATTAACAGAACAAGAAGAAAGACAGGAAGCCGCCAAAAATCAGAATACAATCACACAGTTAAGGTAATGAACAAAATGATGGATCGGCATACTATATAACATGGCTGAAATCTTCATTTAGTTTTTGCGGGATGACAATAAAGAAAAATTGAAATCATATGGTCTTTCTCAACACAACAAAAGCTGTATGGAGTTGGGTAAAGATGTTTACTTTTTGTAACATTATAATATATATACGTAAGAAAAGCATGTCATAACGCCTCCGTTCATTACAATAATCTTCAGTTCCTGGCGGACAAAACACTTTAATTTTTTCTTCTTGTGTTTTCAAAAGTGTGAACATAATACACAAGATGTACTATTAAGGACAGTAAAGCAAGGAATTTTGTTTAAGGGATACAAAAGTAGTGCAAAGGTGTTATAAATCGAACAGGAATAAGAAAATAGACAGAATACCAATCTAAGTTTATTAATAGATTTATTTTCACTTTCTTGGCACGATAGTATCTTTAGAATAAGCGATAAAAAAATTTCGTTGATAAAAATATTTTTTATGCCATGACGAGCAACTATAATCAGTTGGATCCATTTTTGTTGATGAAGACGAAGGTGGTGTAGGCGAAGCAATACATAACAATATTTCATAAAAGCATTATTTTTACAGACTGTTTATACATACGGCAACATAGATAATAAAATTTACTTTATTGTATCAAGAATTTCAATGCGCTGTACAATTATTCGTCAATGTTTAAATAAAACTTTTAATTTTTCATGTAGCTATGCATGTACGTGTTTTCATCGAAGCATAAAAACATTTGCTTGCCATTGACGAGTAAAGTTTTAAATAAAACAAAGACAGCAGGTGGTTATTTTTTCTAGCACGAAAGTCTACACACCCTCCCTACCCCAAAAAATTTGCGCATGAACTGATGGGCATTAAATTAAACATTCCATTCGTTTTAAATTGCGTATATTTTACGCCGAGCGTCGGCGTAGATAGGAGCTTCACTTAAAATTTAAACGTCTCTATGTTAGTGCCAAGTTTAGTTGACGATATCTCAGAGATATTGTTTCACGACATTTTGTTCTTATAGTCACCTTCGAATGGTTGCCGTCGAATAAATTACATCAAGAGAAAGCTGCGAGATTTTTGTGAATTGTGAATTCAATCATTATAAGTTGAAGAATTGGATTATCTCGCAGTATCTTCTTGTCTTAAAATGAATGCGGCAGTTTTCCATCAAGCTGTAGCGGATGGCGATGCTACTCGAGTAAAATTTCTCATCAATCTTGGCCAACAAGGAAGAGTAAATCAACGCAATAAGCAAGGATTCACATCTCTTCAACAAAGCTGTAAAGACGGAAAATATGAGGTTGCTGAAGTTTTGTTAAGCTATGGCGCAAATATCTCCGCCACAGATAAGACAGGACGTACTGCTTTGCATCTAGCGTCGGCTGGTGGGTTTTTGGATTTGGTAAAATTATTAATCGCTTCGTGTGCAGATGTTAGCGCAAAAGACAACGAAGGCAAGTCAGCCATTGATGTTGCCAAGAGCAATGAAATCATAGTTTTCCTACAGAAAGCAGGTAAAGAAAAACAACCAAAAACACAAGGAGATAAGTCAGAAGACTGGAGTAAGAATGTTACAAGTCTACCGCCAGGTTCACGCAATTCTTTGGTTTCAAACTCATCCTCGGACTCAGGTGTATGTGTCGACGATAATCCAAGCGTACGAAACAGCGAGAACAAGCTATCAAGACCAAATGGATACGGGTCCAATCGTGGTATGCTAAACGATAACCGTGTTGTAATGGGGGTTTTACATGAATCAGATGAATATGTTCATGAACAAGGTCGGGAGAGGGCGCATACAACTGAAGATATTGGTACTAAAATGGATGTTTATCAAGAAAACCGATCCAGGAGTAAAACTTTCGATGGCAGGGAAACTTTTCTACAAGAACAGTTTAGCGAGCGATTAAACGATAGAATTATCGAAAGAAATCGACACGTAAACGGTAGCCATTTTAGTGCAGGAAACGCTCAAAAAGAAAATCAGCGTGAAAACAAGTACTTGAGAGCTCAAGCGAGCATAAAAACGAACATTCGTGCAGGGAACCGTCCACCAAGATTTCGCAGGAGTTTGTCAGAAAGAATGCCTTCACATCAAAGACGAAATTTCAACGGTCATAGGAATATATCCGAAGAGCTTGCAGCTTTGAACTTATCTCGTGTCGAACCAGATCCTGAGGATTATTATGAAGAGCATACCGGTAATTTTGAAATGTCTGCACAGCACAACCCTAACGAAGATTTAGGATTCGTAGAAGACATTGTGCAGGAATGTGATGATTATGGTGGGTGTAGCTATGAGCCAAGAGTTTATCCTAGCACATCGATGAAACTATCCAGAAACGGAAATAGAATGGTGGAATTTTATGCCGATGAAGTGGGCAAAGAAGAGTGGGGTTATGAACGAAGAAAAGGTAGATCAAACACAGTACAGTGTAGAAAAGCGTACATTAGAAATGACTTTGACGACTCAAATCAATATCATCGTTCTCAACCGAGGCAAATACAAGATTCTAATCAAAAGACCCACGAAATCTATCAAAGTTCAAGAAACAACAATCAATATCGATTGACAAGTGATAGATATCAGGTATCACGAAACTACTCTCACCTTAAGGTACCTGACAGTCATGTGGTTGAAGAAATAGATATGTACAATTCAAGAGGTGTCAACACTCGCTCCATGACACATGGCAATGTCAACGGATTGATGAGACAAGGCTCGGGATGCTCAGACACAGCTGTTGCTATTTATAAGCAACGATCAATGAGGAATCGTGAGTATAACAATTGCTGTAACAGAAATTATAATTGTTATTATGAACAAAATTTCTCGCGTGGTCTACCAAACTATGAAGAAACAATGCAGCGATTACATCATTATAGAGAATCAAAAAGCCCTACATCTCGCCAGATTTCACAAGTATAAATATGAACAAAATATCTTGTAGTGATATATTAAAAAATAGCACAATATCATGTATTTATCTAAGAAGTTAAGTGATGTATTATTTACTTTGATTTACTTTGAAAAATATAATCATATATGTTAGGTATATTTTAAGACAATCATAAATAAATTGCACAGATACAATTCATTATTTGCCAATGATTGCCAATGAGTTTGTTAAAATTATAAAACATTTCAAAACCTGTAAATGTTATTTCTAAAATAATATCTGATACATGTAAAGAAGCATTGTCTTAATAATAAAATAATTAAAAAAAGGAAATGGGTTGAAATATAGGTGTGACTGTGAAGGAATGGCAAAACCTACAATTATGTAAGATAAAAAATGTTCTTTTATATAAGTTGACGCACACGGATGTTATAGGAATGATGATGAATTATACAGCCTTTCTTCTTAAAACAATCACAACAGACACCATACGTCAGAAACTTACTTTGTTCCTAATTATTTTATGGTTGTATTTTTTATCTAAAACATACAAACTTGGCATTTTAAAAAGCGTTATGATAATCTACTGATAAGGTCATACGCTTTATAGTAAAACATCAATACCATGTTGTTGTGTAGTTCAGTGAGCTTTAGAGCAAAAATTGAAGAATTTCTACGATAAAAATCCACTCCCTATTTTTCATGTTATATACATCGAAGAACAGCTAAAAGTACACTACAAATGTCAGTAGAGTATAGCAATATATTTTAAAAGGTTTGCTATTTTGTCTCAAGAAGACAAATTTGTCTCAGCCTGTATGTAATATGTTTTTCTTCATACTGAGTCCAGTTTAGCTCTAATCACGCCATATTTTGGCCAAGAGCTTGTATCATTCGTAGCAAATGCAAGGGAGAGCATTATTTTGTTTTCTGAAAGAGCAGAAACATCCCAAGAACTTTCGTCATTTGTCGTTCTTTGTGTATTAAATACTTAATGATTGTTAATTATCATTAATACAAAGATCTTGAAGCCAATATCAAACAATAGAATAACAGAAATTGTTCAACATAATTTCAGACACGAACGTCAAACGCTGTTGGCAACAGACCTTAAGGGGAAACACTTCTTAAGATTGAGAACAAGCGATTGCAATTATGTAGTACAACAAAGAACCAACACGAACTTTAATTTTGGACTTTATACCAACAAATACTAGACAAGAATGTCAACGATCAGCTAGTTACATTCGTAAGTACGATAAATTTTATATTCTAATTTATATGACTTTGAGCACAATATCATGCAGATATTAAACACATTTAATGTAGCACGTGCAAGTTTTGGCTTACAATTGTATTTGTTTTTTCTACAATAACAATGCAACGACATAAATAAGCAGTTAAAAATTTTAGATCAAGTGAAAATCCTTCATGAGTTGAATATTTACATTGACTGCATTGTTTCCGTACATTGATTTAAAACATGTGTTCACGATTGTTAATTTTGTTTTGGAAACTTGGAAGGCTGCATAGAGTGGTATTTATAACACGCCTTACAGTACATCATTTTATAATTTCAATTCTGCGTTGGTAAGATGCGTGTATTGGTATTTGGTAGTGTTGACCATCTTTATTCACGTTTAAAGGATTTTTTGTAAGAGTGGGAAGCTTTTCATAGATAACTCGATAATTTAAGATTGTATACGAGAAGAAAATCTTAGTTGTCTTTGATTGGAAAAAATTCCAACTTTTTCATTGAATAGCACACATTGTTTCTGGGAGATTTTCGTTTTTTAAGATTTATGGTTTTCTTTTAAAAGTTCAATTAATTTTCTTGATTTATGCTAAACAGTTGTTGAAGAAATCATGCCATAGTAAAGACATCGTAAAACAAAATTTTGTACAAACAATTGCATTTGGCGAACACCGAGGATTATAAAAGTCAAAGACAAGAAAGTTTGCGTAACGTACAAAAAAAACAAACCATTTAAATCAAAAATCTAACAAATGGATAAACAATAAAACTCTATTATCCCTCGACAAATTTCATCAAGTTACACCAAAGAAGAGAAAAACAAGTTTTAAATATTATTTGTTGGACATGTTTACACAGCCCTTCATCTCCACGTTGTTGTCTTTTGTTTACCATCTCTACCTGGCTTTCCAATATTCGTTCCAGATCCCTTAGATTTCACGTCGCGTCCCTCCCCTGTCTCGTGAGACGCTAGTTCCTCGTCATACAACAGTTCGAAATTGCCATACACATCAGTTGGAGGAATCTTATTCCATCGAATATCCGGGACATCGCCAGTTGGCATGACAATATTGATGATGTCATTGATAAGATTATACTTCATGACTCTATCAGATGTTGTTGTTGCCGTCATGGATGGTGAAGCGTTAACCTAACGAAACAATTCAGTCACGTCTTAGTTCAAAGTATCTTTTCAAACTATGTTTAAACGTGCATGAACTTCATGTAAGCACAAAGAGACTAAACAATAATAAGCTCAGTATACCTCTATTAGCCAAGGTTTTAGGTTATTGTCGATGATAACATCATAGCCATAGCATTCAAAACAATGACGATCACTGTTCATTACATGTTGAACTGACTTAAGTGAGTGAACAATCAACCAATGTATATCATCAAAAAGTTTTCCTGCCTTCTCGTGACCTCGGGTTCCTTCGAGATATCTTCGTAAGTTCTCCACAGTCCATTTTCCACCATGGGTGGGATTATACTCGTCGCCATGTTTTTGAATGCTCACATTCGTGAGGTGAACAAACATATTATCAAGCTCGCTAACATTTGCATTATACTTAACAGTACAAAACCGACAGAACCCAAGCTTATACAGATAGCATTTCAATGGACGATACGATGTCACAAGAACATAAATTCGAAGATCAAATTTTTTCCACCAATCAGAAGAGGATTATCAATATATCTGGAAATGACGTAAGTGTCCTTGGAGATGGTATAAGACGGAACACCTGAACGCCCGTCTCGTGACCATCGTTTAATCTGCGAAAGACGGTTAATTAGAAAGATACCGGAGCCTTGTGACCTCGCTGCAGGCTTCATAATCCATGTACTTGATGGATTTTTGCGGAATTCCTCAACAAAAAGATTGTAGTCAGCAGGAAGTAGGAAAGTAACTGGGATGAAGTCCAGGTATATATAGCGACCACATTCGTCTTTTTCAGCTGTAATTATATCTAACATCAGTAAAAATATATGCAGCCAAGAAACTGTCATAATTCTTGGATTGCTATCAATTTCTGTTGAATTTTCCAAAGGCTTGCAAAAAATATGCCTTAGAAAATAATGACCTTCATCTTTGTTTAATAATTTGACAATGTCTGATTTGAGACAAAATGGTCTCCTGTAATCACCACATTTGTGTTGACTTATCTAAGGATCCTCCTGATTGTTATATTCACAAAAATGATTTGAATTTTTCTTTTTCCTTTATACAACACACGCAAGTGTTATATAAGGGATGAGAATCATTCATTAAGTGACTTTAAGTTCATAACTACATCACAAGTAGCTTCACCATAAACAGATTATTTCCATAAAAATTGGCTTGTTGTGCATGTGCAAAGTACATTTTTAATGACAGTAAAATTCTTCTTGTTGTTGGACAGAAAATTGAAATGGTATATATCTTTAATCAAAGAGAAAATATGACCACAAACCTATTAAATTTCCTTCCTTCTCAAGTGACTTACGATATCGCTTGATGTTCTTCACCATAAGATCTTTACGTGTTAGTTCATAATGATTTGGAAAATGATTTAGAATTTGATCATCATTTAGTCGAAATCCAGTCTCTACATTGAAAATGCTGCGAACAGTATGAACGCTAGCCCAGTAAAAGTTCCAGTCATCGTCAGGGTCACTTGATATCCAGCCACGTTTCTCAAAATTATTCACGATCACAGATTTATCAAAATCTGATAAATATTTCACAGTAAAACCTCTTTGTAAGGACATAATTGCTGACTTGGTTTCAATAAGGAAAAAGGTGTAAAATCGTATTCAAACACTGCACGCTTCTCGTTGTGTTGCTATTTGCTATTGCTATATAAGAGATTTCAACGAAAATTATACCTTATAAATCCGTAGAAATTGATGTAGAACTTTTATTTGAAAATTCAATAGCGAACAACATCATAAAGATTCTTAAAATTATCACCATTACTCGTGTACGCCAAGTAAACAGACAGACACATGTTATAAAGAAACATACATCAATGACTTTATTGAAATGGAAACACCGATAAAATGGCAGGGGGGTGTGAAGTATTATTGAACACATTACAGCTATTTCTAAATGTTTTTGTTTTTTTAACGCTTTAATGCCAGTTATAACATTAATTTCATTGAACTAAAATCAAAGAGTTGTATAATTCTGGCAGGTAAAAGTTATAAAACGAATGCACAACATTAAAAAAAGTGAATTACATAAACCTGTTACCCCTCCCGGTGATCTTGGAAAATTGAGAAGTTGATAATGCAACAAGATGGCGGCTTGTGTAAGTCATGAAGAAATTCGAAAACTTAAAAAGAAGTTACGACAAATAGAATGTTTAGAGAGATTAGAAAGAGATTTAACGCAAGAGGAAAGAGAAAAGGTTAAAACTAGATTAATAAAATAATGGTTACCAGATATTTTATTAAATTCTCTACTAGATGATCGTTCCAAAACAATACCTTGTACAGCTTGTAGCTTTGTACTACATACTTGTAGATATGGTGCTGTTTACTTCCCTGTCATGCAACCATTTTATCCATACTAGTGAATAGGCTGATAGGCATCTTTGGATAGACAGATAAAGATGGACGATTGTTTAGCTTTAAAAAACAACAAAATATTTCCAACTAGGTCTCCAAGAAAACTGAAGTTGCTAAGCTCTTAAGCGAGAAAATTCGCGAAAGTCAAGAAGGAAATCCCTACGGTATGGCATTGAAAATTTCAGAAGCTGAGAAAGTTCCCGATTGTGGTCAAGTCAATGAGAAAACTCCCGCCAAAAAAGAAGTCAATCGTCAAAATTTATCAAATGTTTTGCAAACAAAACCAGAAGGACTAGGATGTGAAACAACAACTCCAGAAATGAATGAGAAACATGAGAAAGCAAAACAAGTAGGTAAAACTGAACAAGATTCGTCCATTGGCAAATTTTATCAGAAAGCTAAATCGCAAGGTGAAAACCCTGTCAACAAAGTAAAAGAAGTAAATGAGAAAACTGAAACAAATAAAAAGAAGCTAAAAAATGAATGGAAAGATAGGAAATTTACAGTGAGATGTTTGGAAGGTCATCATGGACCTATAACATCCATTGATTTGGATGGCTCAACTCTTGTATCAGCAAGGTTTGTATCCAAGCTCTTATAAGCCTATAGTACTATGAATGACTTTGTTCGTTTGAACATTGCAGCTCTCTAACGTTGCGACAAAGACCTCACAAAGAATGCAACAATTTTAATAGATATTCAAACAACGTGCTCAGCAGCAATGTTTTCAAATGAAGCGTGTTCTGTTTGAGTCCCTCATTTTTCGTGTTTAGTTGTGACTCGACAATAAAAGTTTGGGATGCAGATTCTGGAGAAGAAGTTTCTACCTTGCGTGGTCACACTGGTGCGGTATCATCTGTTGTTTTGGTAAAGACAGAAAGAAGCCAAGGTATTCCAACATTGATAGAACTCTAAAGTTAGCTATACAAGTATTTGTAAATTTCTTCTTCTCGTGGCCAAGAGAGCAATACAGAATACATTGGTGTCTCTGGCTCTCAAGATTGTTCAATAAGATATTGGTCGGTCGTTAATGGCAAGTCATTGTTCAATTTCTTAAGTATAATGGCCTAAAAAATGTTTTACAAGATTTCAAACTGTGCTATAGGAAAATCCGTACGTTCTGTATACGCTTATTCACCAATTTCATGTTTGGATCAAAGGAAAGAGTTGCTGTGTTCTGGGTCAGGTATAGACATTACGTCTTAGTTATATGGCCAAATCACTACGTATTTCCTTTGCAAAAAAAAACTTTTATTCTAAACGTTTAGAGGGTGGTAAAGTTGAGATATGGGATTTAGCGACTGGTAGCAACATCGCCTCGACTACATACACAGACGATGATGGTAGTGTAACGCGTATTAAGGTAAGATGCATAAACGTCTGCTTTTTGTTTTTGTCCACAATTCATGTCATATCAATTCACATCAATTTACCCACACTAACACTCCAGTTCCAAGGAGATAGTGTAGTTGTAAGTGGCTCATCGACTGGTCAAATCAAAGTATGGGATGTACGACAAACCTCACTCTTTCCTGTAACATTTGCACGTGATCCAAACATGACATTCGTCAAACGAGATCGTGTCCGTTGTCTTGCCACAACTGATGCTAATATCTACTGGGGAGATAATAATATAAAAGTTCTAGATTTGAAAGCAGGTAATGTTATTCCAACACGACCTTTCTCTCTCCTTCTCACCTTTAAGACTTAACTAAACCTTTCGTTTTAAATTTCAGGCAAAGTTCGTAAACTAAAGAATCGCCTGTCAATTTATGGTGTAACAACAGAGCTGTTAGTTCATGATTCACTACTGTTTAGTGCTGGGCTCGATGGTGCAACAGCTCGAACACATATCAACGGTATGTAAAGTTATTTCATTGAAAATGATGGTAAGAGACGTGGTTAGCGCTTATTTCAATAACTTTCTTAAGTAAGAACATTAGCCAACGAAGAATACCTGGGAACAATAGGTGATGAGATGACAACCAGAATTGCAGGTTTACGATGTGTTGATACGCACAATGAAGACTCATTGCGTCATCGCATTTGCACCGGTGGAGATAAACTAATGATTTATGACCACGTGAATGGAAATAAACTTCGAAAGACAACAAGGTATTTGCATGCCATGTCTTGAGCCTCTAAATTTTCTCAACAATCATTGTTGCGCTTTTCTTATCTTTTCGCTTCATTTCTAGATATGTGCAAGACCCATCCTTCATCACATCACAACAAATCAATGGATATGCAAATTCTGAAGATATAATAGACACAGACTCCGCAGAGGATTCCAACGATGAAAGCATATATTCTTCCTCCGATGAAGATAATGACCAACAAACAAAGGCAACGTTGACTAAAGAATCCTGGTGTACAATGTCATGATATAAATTAACCATCGTTTATTTTTCAAATAAATTAATTTTAAATCACCTGGGCTGAATTTCGTGTACAAGAGAGAGCGTCCAAAAGCTCAAAATTGAAAAGAAATTTAAATAGAAGTATGTATTAACTCTTCATAATAAGATAAAGCATCATTATATTAAGCTATTAGCAAAATCGATTGACCGTACGAGGACTAAACTTCACCAAGGATCATCCATTTTTACGATTGAAATACAATTGGATAGAGTCCCATAATTGTTTTCCTCTTCTTCCATAAATTCTTCCAAATATTCATTGGCGTCATGAAATAAAGGGTTAGATCCAGCAAGAACTAATCGACAGGGTAGGCCATCATCGTACAAAGCGTAATGATGAATTAGGGAAGAAACGTCAGAAAAACTCTTATCGAAACCCTGAAAATGAAGCATTTTATGTGAGTACCTACTAAAAGATATATCTGTATCTGTACATATACTGTACGTATTTAAAACTTTTGCAAGTAAACTGCACTTAATCAGTAAAAACGAAAGAAATATGCCCAAAAATTTTATATGTATAGACCTGCAGCTTCAATCCACCTTCTTCAGACTTTATCAAGTAATTTCCAAATCCAGTAGGATTAATTTCACTTATCGCAACCTTCATGGTTAAAGCATAGCAACCTTTATAACTTTGACTGTCGCGAACAAAAAAAGTTCCAGTGTCTGAGGTTTGCAGCATTTCCATGACGATATCGCTAAAATGAAACAAACGTTGACTTCATCGTTATTTCGCAGTGAAAATGTGACAAACTTTTCTATGAAACAAGTACTTACCAGGACATCCCAGAAAAATACCAGTGTGACAAACTTTTCTATGCACTTACCGTGATACACCAGGAATATACCAATGTTCATCTTCCAACGCAAGAGAAACTGTTGGCTCATTTGCAACTGTTTGTACCTTCTCATCTATGTTCTGTGCTGTTTTTCCTTCAGTCATTCCAGTAGAAGAAGAAAATCTGGACCGATTAGGTAAAGGAGGAGGCGCGTCTTCATTACCTACAAGTAACGTTGCAGTTACCTTAGAAAATACGATCTTTTCACTAGCAGGATTTGACCTTGTCGTTAATCCTTTCTGGTGTTTTATTATTGGACTTAATTTATGGTCAGCTTTAATTATTAAGTTTACGCTGGTCGTCAAAATTCATACCAATAAAGCTTCTTGCTAAGCCAATGTTAGAATCCGACGTACGTCTCTTTGGTATTGGTGGAGGACACCTATTTCCATGAATACTTCTTTCATCATCAAATGTGAAAGTATTTTCGGCTGGTGGAGCTGAGGGTTTTACAAATTCCTGCTCCCTTGTAACAGAAGATGACATAAATGTTTCAGTATTAGATCTACTAGAACGTGAAGGCAATGGAGGAGGTTCTTCTTCTGTCAGTGATAAGTTAAGTGAAAAATGTTAACATTATGATTCACCATATTTCCTGTTCGACATGAATTATCTGGTGAAGAAAATCTTCGTGGTGCTTTTGGAGGTGTCCTTCGTCGAGGTCGTTCTGCTGCATTCTCTAAAAGGTCTACCTTTGCCGTGTCATCAATAGAATGTGACCTTGAAGGTATTTTAGGCGGAGGCCTTCTCCGAGGCTTGACCTTTCCATTTTCATCAGGAATCGCTGGGCTAGACATTGTATTCATAGGTGGTAAAATTGTCGATTTATCAACGGCTCTCGATGTAATACATAAATCTGTGGAAGACGAGCTTGGACTTTTTTCGGGGAGAATCCCCTTATGGCTCACCTCTGTTTCATTACAAATTTCTTGAGTTTGCCAGCTGTGCATTTGCTGTACAGAAGTTGCATCAGTTGAAATTTCGGTAAGAAATGCATCCTCCGTTAAAAAACTCTTTTGGGATACATTATCTGAATGCTGATCGATGCCTTCGATCGTCGATAAATCGTTACTTGAAGTCCATTCTAAGGAATGTCTTGCATTCCCTGCAGGTGTTGGCTGCCTGACGTCAGCATGGCTTACAATAGAACCAATTGGTTGATTTGCTACTTGCAAATGCGCAGCGTTTAGCGTATCTATTTTATTCTGTTCTCTTAACTCAACTACAGATCTTGCGTGGGAGTTTCTTTGATTGTTGTTCGTAATAATGTGACCCTCGGCAATCTAAAAGATACGCATCAAATATAATAAAAATAGTAGCTGTAACAGATATAAACAAAATACCAAACCTGATGTTTTGCCCAGCGTCTACCTTGCCCTCGTTTCTGAGCAGCCTCTTCCAACTTGTCACGCCTTCTTAGAGTATATGCAAATGCCTCCTTGAACAGTTTGCCTAAGGCAGCACTTAACCCTTCAGCGTGATTCTTTTTCTTGGTAACAAAGGTGTGACAAACAACCTCCATTTCTTCTCCTGGTTGATGGCTGACATAAGCAAAAAGTTTGCTAGTATGTTCCACCGTTGAATAAGAAATGCGCCTGAGTGTGTGAGCCATTTTGATAGTCTACGTATAGTTGCGATAGACATACAGATAAATAATACATACAATGTTTGAACATGTATTGGGAATCCAGGCATGTTCAGCATTTAGATTGGAGATTTCTCGGGATTGAAATTGTTAATTTTATCGACCTTTAAACGTACTTGTCATTATATATGAAAAAAATGCTCTTTGTATTGGCCGCATCCTAATGTCCGTTTTTACAGACAAACCTCAACTACGCAAGGCAAAACGAAGCAAAGCTAGCAGAATAATGAAAATCAACTTTACACGAACCTTTTCGTCTAAAGATAACACCTCAATTCCATTTGGGGAAACCTGAAGACAAACGGGCATGCCATCCAACAATTTCTAAAAGTTCAAAATACACTTAAAATGCATTTTCTACAGGACAAATTAGTATCATTTACATTTACACTTAGTTACCTTAGAGCAGTTTCGCAATTTTTCATCTACAAATTCCTTCTGGTCCGTAATAGACATTTGCTGGTCTCTTTTTTTAACAAGGAAAGAGCCGACATACTAGGACATAAAACAAACAATTCAAAAAATTTGGGAATACAATCTCTTTACAAAGAAAAGCTTTGTTAATGTTTTGGGGTCAATGAAAGAGTAGTTCTCGAGTCTATTGAGATGAAACGACGAATATAATTCGTTGAAGAGGATGATTATTTATAAACCATCATAAAGGTTATTTCATGTTTGCCGGTAAATTACAAGACGCCACGATCACAGGAAACACACGGGATTCCGATAAATTGCCTATGTGTAATTTCAGGATATTAAATGAGACACATACATTTATGTAAAATAAATATGACGAGATGAGATACTGTTCTTCCAAGTCATTTAATCCAGAATGTTGCAATATAAAGGCCTTGTTTATCTCCTTTCATATGACATAAGGAATAAATAAGGCATTGAATACATTGCGCAACATTGGTTTTATGAGTGAATAATTGACACAATTCAAAAAGTACTATGCTACTGAGAGATTTTAAATCAAAATATTAAAGGTCTTTGTACAAACAGGTCAAAGCTTGCGTATTCATCGAATCGATTAATTAGCACTTGAATGTAAACAAAATACTTTATCATGCTTTAAACTTCACTATTTTCGCACAGTTTACCTGACAGTAAAGTGCCGACGTTTTTGTGGTCTTATTTGTCTTTAATCCCATAGCTGCTACATTCAAATTCCTCTTCACGAGCAGGCGAAATAAAGCAAATTTGATGTTTACAGGAGGTCAATGTGTACATACAACGATACGTGGAAGATGTCATTCAACCCGCGCATTATACACGCGTTATGTGTTGTTATGTCAGAACCTCGCATTTATAAGCAGTTATTGTCCCAGTTAATACTACAGTCAGTTCACATCATAAAACTACTGCTAACAAAAGTTATCGAAGGCTCGTAATGATATAATCAATTACATAAATAACATAAATATAAACAATTGTAAAATGGCGTCGATTAGAGCACTTTCCATTGGAAAAAAATTGATGAAACCAAAGAAACTACCGGTTATTCAAGTAAGGGAAGACCTTTACTAAATACTTTAATATTTAAGATGGTAGATTTTTTTATGGATTTTTTCCCAGCACTGCCATATTATTCAAAAGCCTACGTCGTTAAAACTTTCATGCTTAAAATTGAACTAACAATAAGGAACATTTCTCTTTTTACATTGATGTAATTACTGCCGCCATATAACAGTTCTAGACTTATCCTTTTTATATCTCATTGTTGTGAGTTAAATACTGACAATACACTCACAAATCACAAATACTTGTCCTGTCACCGGTCACGTTTTTAATCTATCTTTAATAATCATTGCAGGCATTTACTTCAGCGTCGACACTCGCAAGCAGCGAAAAAAGAATGAAGACATTTTCCGTATATCGATGGGTGATTATAAACGCTATCTGATTAAAAAAAGTTGCCAACAAATGACAATCATTGCTCTTTTTAGAATCCAGAAAAAGATGGTGATAAACCTCGTATGCAAGACTATGAAGTTGACTTGGACAGGTCTTTCATTAAATATAGCCAATACTTGTTTTATGCAGTGATAACCATTGCTTCACCATTGATTTGAGTTTCTTTTGTCATGTTATTATTCATAATAATTTAGTTGTGGTCCTATGGTGCTTGATGCTTTGATTAAAATCAAAAATGAAATTGATCCAACTTTGACCTTTCGTCGATCATGTCGTGAAGGTGTGTTACCAACCAATGCATGCTTCACCAAATCAGAAACTTATAAAGGATTGTAACAAGTGCCTGTTCTTCTTACTTAGGAATTTGTGGATCATGTGCTATGAACATTGGTGGAAAGAACACATTGGCATGCATCAGGTGGTCATTGAAAGATGATTATTTTGATTTTTTTAATTTATTTATTATAAGTTTTTTTTATATAGTCGCATTGATGATACGTCCAATAAAAAGGAAAAAATCTACCCCCTGCCACACATGTATGTCATTAAAGATCTTGTTCCTGTAAGTGCCATGGATCTGAAAGCAAAAAAACTGCCACATATTTTTAATTCAGCTAACCACATCTCTTTAAGGACATGACCCATTTCTATGAACAATATCGTTCAATAAAACCATATCTCATGCGCAAAGATGACTTGGAGGAAGGTAAAGAACAGCTTCTTCAAAGTGTGGAAGATCGTACCAAATTGGTAGGTTATGGTTAATGATACTCATCATCTTTCTCCTTACAACAATCAGAAAAAAGAAGTCTTATCACTTTTTTATTTATTAGGATGGACTATATGAGTGCATACTATGTGCTTGTTGCACAACATCATGCCCAAGTTACTGGTGGCATGGGGACAAATATCTTGGTCCAGCTGTCCTTATGCAGGCATACCGTTGGATGATTGATAGCAGGGTAAAATATGAATAAGCTATACGATTCTCTTATATTTTTTAAGTGAAACAAAATTTCTTATAGAAAGCATGAACCTAATATGTGAAGATGGCTTAAAGGGGTTTCCTTGCTTTTTCATTTCTAGGATCATTATCAGAATGAAAGATTGGCAATGCTTGATAATCATCACAGTGTATATCCATGTAAAACAATCATGAATTGCACCATGACGTGTCCTAAGGTAACTTTACACAATATTTACCAAACGTGTCACCCAGTCTTTACAACTTTCTACTATGTGCAATAAAACATAGAAAAAACAAACAATAAATATTCACAACATTAAGGCTTTGACCTACCACAAAAATATCAGTAATTTTCTCTCAATCTTCTAACTGCAATAATTTCACAGGGGTTAAATCCAGGTGAAGCTGTTGGCAAGATCAAGACCATGATGGCATCATACGAGAAACCTAAGGAGGCTGCCATTTAATGCTTTAAATAACAAAGAAACAGATTACATTGACAGTATAAAGTTCAATTCTTGTTTTCATAACAATAACAGTTCTATGTTGAATGTGAAATACTACAAATGGAATACTTAATCACTATGTATTTATAACAGGATATAATTTTGTGTATTGTTAAGTTGAATGAAATAAATTTTTTTCCATTGATGATAATACATATTTCTTAACATTATTTCTTACCTCTTCGATGAACTGTTTCCTCTGTATTTAACTGATAATTTCCTCTTCAATGAACTCTCTTACCTCTTATTCCATATTTATTTTCAAAATGAAACCAGATTTGTGATTTCCTCTGAAGAAAAGACAAATAGTGAAAATGGATAGTTTGTAAACTTAACAAGAGGTTCAAAGATACAAACATACCAACGATGTGCATTTACCCTCAATCTCTCTTACACAGTTAGACATTCTCTTCATGTTTACTCATAAAGGATGAACAGTTCCTCTCCAATTAGTCAACTAAATGAGATTCAACTTGATGGAAGGCTTTTTTCTTGTACTTTTGCCTTTCCCCTCCACCACTTACTCTCTCTTGTCGCCTCTATTCTGGTTTCACGCACTTTCAATTTCTTCTGTCCTTCTACATCATGAAGCCTTGATGCAGAGAGCTATGTTTGCACATGAGAATGTTAAAGCTATCTTTTGTTACTTGCCTACAAATACTGGATGCAACAGCTCAATTATTTTCATAACTTAAACATTTTCATGTAATATAAAACTTCACACATATATGGCCTTGAATTACTACAAAACAGTAATTCTAAATCTATGCTTGTATAAGAGTATGTTCTCTAAACTAAATGTCTAATATCTGTTTTCCTCACAAAACTTATACAACATTTTAAAATTGTTCCCTTGCCAACCACATGTATTGGGATAAGCAATATATCATCAAATTCTTTCAAAACCTTTGATCATGTCCTCCTTCCATCCCACTTGATCCTGAATGACTCATTCCCATTCCACTTGCACCATTCATGTTGCTAAGCATAAACTGTGGAGACATACCACTACCACCAGCTGAACTACTCATACCACTCGTGTTCATAGGTGAACTCATATTACCTCCCATACCTCCAACCATGCCAGCTGCCATCCCCTGAGCCAAAGCTGCCATATTCCACATTGCATTCATTTGGTTAGCAAAGGCACTGGTCCCACCACGATCAGGAGTATTCATGTACGGTAAAATATTACCACCCCAAATTCCTGGCATTTCACGAGTATGGCTTGGACTTTCATGAGCATTTTTAGCATGCCCTTTACTTTGAGCTTTTGGTTCTGCTGGTGTGCAATTTATACGAGCACCATTCAGAACATGTACACGGGCAAGTACATTACGTGCAGCCTCACTGGATGCAAATGTAACAAAACCAAACTGCCTAAAAGGCTGTGGTATATACACATCAACTAATGTACCATACTTTTCAAAATAGGAGTGAACATCTGATGCAGTGCAATTGCTGGGCAAACGTCCAATAAATATTTTCCGTGGTGCATCATCCTTAAAGTAAATCGTAAATTAACAAAATCAACAAACATTTTTCTCTGAAATTTAAAACTACCTTTCCTTTGGGAGACCTAATGTCGACTCTACGACCTAATATGGTATGTGTACGTGCCAGAACTGTTCTAGCCACATTTGCATCTTTAAAGCGAATAAATGCAAATCCTCGAGACTGTCCTGTCTGCTGGTTACGTTTCACCTAAATAAAGTTTAAAATTCATCAAAACTGAAACATGTTTAAAGAATAATGCCACAAAAATATACATCATAGTTTGAAGCGCAAATGTGAACCATTACCCCAGTGTGCTTTATTTGTATAATAACATGTTTGGGTTAAGTTAAAGTTTGAGTAGCAGACACACACTTATACAAAAGAGATGATATGTCCCTGAGACATTGCTAGATAGCAAAAATAATCTCTTCAATGAAAACTTATTGCATACTCTTGATAAATTAGAATCAGTTGCCATTATCTCATCTTACTTCGTAAAAGTCAAGTTCTCCAAATCGAGAGAAATATTCAAATAAATCTTCATCTTTTGCTTTCCATGAAAGCCCCAGAACAATCATATCGCTCAGTAAATCTTGATCCGTCTCCATTGAGTAGTTCTTCATAATTTTAGAATGTGGTTCACGTCCAGTGGGCGATTCTTCGTATTTTCTTTTGGATGAGCTGTCTGCATCTGCTGAGTCTGCACAACAACATGAAGTGAAAAAGTTGAGAAAAATTCTACTTAATACACAAAATACTATAAATAAATATGCATTAAACCTGTTTTCACCGTTACAGCTATATACAGTGCATTCCCCCAACCGTTTACGGGAGGATAAAGTATGCCATTTGCAAGTCTAACTCCACGCCATGACTGTGTCTCTTCGTTTCGAAATCGTAAACCAATGCTTCCTGGAAACTGTGCTTGAACTGTAGACAGTAAAATTGTGCCATCTTCGTCACTAGGTAGTTCTATTTCCTCCTCTGGCATTTGCTCGTCTTCAGCAACACGAATATAGTCACACATAGTGTTTTACGGTAGTATAATGAGTATAATAAAGAATCTATAACTATAAAATGGCTAAAACAACATGGCCGACCTTTATTAATTTATTGTTAAAATATTCATGTTAATGTTCACGTGATTTAAGGACAAAAATGGCGGGGCGAACTAGGAGAAAATATATACACAATAAACAAGCATTTTTTCGAGATTGTGTAAGTCACAGTGTATGGAAAATACAAATGCAGTTTTCAAAATTATAAACATTAATTTAATTTAAAGACTTTTCTGTGAGGTTCTTATTCCGTTGTAATACCAATAATCAACTTTCAAAAAACAATAATTTTCTTAATTCATAGACGACACCTGCATGACAAAAAGATGAAAACTACTGCAATTTGAGTTTTGATTCAGACTCTTTAGAGATTAACGACACTTTTTGTAGAGTTGAATGACCTTGTAAACATGTTTACCTGATTGGGGTGGGGGGAGAGAAACATGTTCATTTTTACGCTCAATTAGCAATTTTTGAGACCGCACATAGAATGACACAGAATGCCCTACGAACTTAACTGTAATAACATTTTATTACATAATAGTTGAGTCAAAACGTGATGGCGCCGTGTGTAACGGTGTGTTATTGTCTAAACGAACACAGCTGTTTGATGCATGCCAAAAAACAATGAACATTTTCATTTTTTCTTCGCAATAAGCGCACAGAGTACACAGAATGCAACAAGATGAGAACTTTCAATGGGAACAGACACTCCATCACAGATGCTACGTGTTAAAGGAAAATCATGTAAGAACCCCTTCTGCTAGACTACAGACTAGCAGGGCTCTGCAGACTAGGCCATTATCCGCTATGTTTATGCATTCAAATATTTCCCTACTTTTAAAATACATTATTTAAGCTTTTGGAATTTATTTTACGTAGATATAAATGTGCGATAAAAATAAGAACAACGTCAAAATATTTATACACTTAAAGAATTTGGCTTTCCTTCTTTAAAGTGGTCACTTACGCCACGGGAAATGAATATTTTCACAGTGTGTGGTTGCATTACTGGCCGAGCCATTGGGCGAGCCATTGCCACAATACACATAAACAAATAGTTATATGGACTTAATCATTCGTCACATAATGAGATTCATAACTAAAATTGACGCTGTCTAATTTGCAAGAGTCGAGAATCGAGTACATCGCGTGGTGTACAAAGCATTTTTCATATTTTTTTACATGAGAATTTCAATGAAAGCAAATCGTTTTCTAAAAAATTCTTTATATATAACGTTTGTACTACCCTTCATGAGCATGTACGTTTAAAATTAATAAAGTCATGGGAGGCCAACACAGTTATGTGTAAATTTTATCACGCCATAGTTGTTTTTTTTTGTTTCCTGTCTATTTTTGAAAATATTTAAGTCCTTGAAAGGCCAAAACATGATTATTAATTATATATTTATGGTAACAGCACCTTAAGTACATTAAATGCATCAGGTTTATTCAAAAATATTGACTATAAAGTATCCATTTCATTTTTTAAAGAAAATATTTAAAAAATATAAAGCAACGTTTGCCATTGTGCTTCTTTTGTTTACTTAGGAGATTCGTCAGTTAAGATATATTCCAGTATAAATTATCATTTAATTTATCGGAATTTAAATTTCACTTATGATTTAAAACCGTAAATGGCAAATACAGCATCTATTTTTGAGACGTACTATCCACACTTGTTGCTTGTTGCTTGTTTTGACACATCCAACAAAATTAGATGTCACAAAACATTTCTAAACAAGACTGATTGCTCTTTTCCTCTTCGAGCGGAAACGAAAAACCGTCTAGGCATGCTTGGAATTTCAACACCAATTGCGTATTTTATTTTCGCGCAGGTTAAACATCAAAACACGTATTAGATAGTCATCTGCGTTGGCATATCTTTTCCATTATTAATATTCAACGTTTTTTGTCTACATTAACGTGTACACTTTGCTGTTTGCAAAGAGCTTACCTTGAGCTCTTATCGTATGCCAAGTATGTTGTTTACGAGTTTTGAAAAGATATAAATACCACACGTGTTCATTGTTAGGGCGCCTCACAAGAATTTAGATAGTGATGATATTTCAACCGAGAGCTGTTCCTAAAATCTTGCCTAAGATTTTGTTTGACGGAAAGTGATACAACTTCAGGGATTGAAACATAGAGAAAAACAACATCACCTGTCGTATAGCAAGCAGTCTTTCAAACTCATCAATTGTCAGACAAAATAATAACTACTGGCTTTCATTCCGTGACGTCGACCGCAGCCAAGATAGCACCTTGGCGATCATGCACACAGATGGTTGAAAGTCTTGGTTATAATGACAACGAAGATGCCACAATCTTACAACAGTTTTAGATGCATGTATTAAGAGTTTGGGACACGATACTGCACTTGGTAAGCATTATTATTGACAGCGGGTGGTGAACAAAGTTTTCATTTTGTCATAATAACTTCGGAAGGGCTTCTGACTAGCACAAAAACAATGTCAAACATCTGCTTTGAAGCAAGTTCCTGTTTCTATTGAGAATAAGTCACACAAAGGTGGTGCTTGTCTCAGAGTACGTACAAAGTCGATTCTTCGTTTCTTGTTTACTACGCAAAGTTTGGAAGATCGCTGCCGGCTCCTGTTATAAGAAGATGGCGTACCCAAACGGGAACTCCACTAATTTAGAAGACTATTATAACAGCACGTCAGGAGAACGAGTTGTTCAGGCATTTCTTATGATAGTATTGGCTCTCCTAAGTCTAGCTGGTAATGGCATCGTAGCTTTCATTGTTATTTTGCAACAGAGATTACGCTCGCTGTCGAATATTCTATTGGCAAATCTTGCTTGTGTTGACTTGGTAAAGAGCGGAATTCTTATTCCACTGTTGACGGCAACAATAATTACTCATCCTTCAGAATCACCCCTTAAAGGACGAGTAGTTTGTTTGATATTATTATCATTTAGTGCATTTGTCGGTACAGTTACAGTATTGGCTTATGTTATAATTTGCATGGATAGATACATTGCGGTCGTTCATCCCATAGCATATAAACAAAGTTGGAAAAGCAAGACGTATGTTCGCTGTTTGTTTGTCGTCTCACCTTGGGCTATTACAGCAATAATTGTTTTTCCTACCTACATCGCCACCCATATAAACGAAGATATTGGTGACCAAACATGCACGCGTTACAGAGCGAAATATTTAACTAGGACAACGACCACAGTAACATCTCTTTGCATATTTATCGTTTCTTTATTTGCCTTAATTGTGCTCTACGCATTGATCTTCAAAAGTGTTAGACAGCTTGCAAAACGACGAATTCAGTTCGTGAGCGCAGAGAACTCGCACCGCGTTGAAGAGCGAGCGCGAAAACTCGAAATTAACACAGCTAAAACGACTGCTATTACCGTTGCTGCTTATATATTTCTCTGGATTTTATATATGATAGTAATTTTACTACGGTATCGAAATTACAAATCATTTTGGTTAGATTTCCTGAGCCTATTTTTTCAGTACACAAGTGGTGTCATAAACCCTTTTCTTTATTTTGCGAGAATCAAAGAACTACGTGAAGGTCTGAAGAGAGTCCTGAGACCGCGGGACTGGCGATACACAAGGTCTGCGTCCATGACAGAGCGCTCAAGACGTGTATCGTCTGGGATTAATCTACGAAGTCCTATTGCTAACCGCGATGTTAGGTGTGACGAGAGCTCTGTCATTTATTCTTGCTCTGGAAACTCCAAGGAAGATAAACAAGTAAATGTATAGGATGAACATAACATTAAAGACAGGATTGAAACTCAATGGCAACATTGTATAGTACAACATGTTAATAAGAACTTTAGATTTTACTGCAAATATATTTCCCACATAATGTTTTGAAACGATCTGAAATAATTCTGCATCAGGGATACTAGACTATTGATAATGCTCGAACGTTAGCAGACGAGTTTTAAAAACTTCCAATTGCGTGAATGCTTTGTCTAACAAAAACTGTTTCACTTGAGATGTTTTTACAGCGTATTGAACTTTTTGTTTAATCCGATCACTATCAAATCGATTTTGCGATATTGTTGTCACTGATTGAGTTTTTTCTTTCAATTTTTGTAATAATGTTCATTTTGGAAAATATGCATATGCTTTTACAGTGATTGTGAAGACGTAAAACGACAAAGAAAAAGTTTAGTATAGTTATAAGTACGACTTCATCAAGAGCAAAGATAAGAACTATCGTGACTGAAGATGCGCAATGTTCTAAACAAGCCAAGATATATTTTGTTTGTTTGGGAACGATATTTGATTGAAATGATTGACAGAATGACTATTAAATAGCTTAATACGCATCCGAAGAACGCAAATACACCATTTAATACATGTCAAATGAAAATCAAAGCGATATATTTGATAATTTTGGGCTCATCATCCAACAGCGAAATGTCAAAAGTTATATCATAATACAATCTTGTCAATGAGACGTTACATATGCCACACTCTCATTGAACTGAAAATTAATGTATAAAAACCTTTGTTCAAAAATCGTCTGGAAATATTTCATGGGGCTAAATTTTTGTGTTACACAGCTGTTTATGATGCTCAAGTTATGACAACGCGAAATGTTTTTCTCATTTTTTAAAATATTTATTAGCAAGGGTTGTGTGAGCAGATGGCTTGTCAATGTTTACCTTTCGTGGCCGCATGATTCAACAAATTCCGCATGAAATTGAATCTTCAAATTCATTTCAATTTTTGGCAAGCATATATAAAGATTTGTGCCGCCACGATAAGATGATAAATTTTTTTTATCAAGCTTCAACGTAAACATCACATTTTTTGTGCTACAAGGAATTTTTTGCAAACAACATTTATAGCTATCGATTCGTTTACTTTTGAAGTCTGTCCTCGTTTTCGAAATTTTATCTTTTTGGTAATTTTATTTATTGCAAAAACAGGGCGAGACTTAGACTAGAAATTCCCCACAGCGCACCAATTAGCACATGGATAAATCAAAGTAATAAATTTGATCTAGAAAAACAGCTCTCGTGCACAACCACGTGATTGTTTTTTCCCCTTGTTACATCACACGCATGTTGTGCTCTACATGTTATAGCAAAGTAAATATGACATTGGACTTATTTGTCTCTTATTTGCTGTGACTTCTGACTTTTATATCAACGACCTGAACACTGGATCTCATCGAAATTGTTGGAGCATAGAGCATGCAATTTGTGCTCTCTTCAAAATTAAAATCGTGTATAATGTGGTGTCTCAACTTGAACTTTTGAAATTTCAACAAGCTGTAGAAGTCTGATAGCCAGTAAATAAAATTAAAGACATACTCTTCGATCATGCAGCATTGCCTAGAAAATGTTCCCAAAGCCGACCACTATGTATAACTAGACAATCAAAATAAAAGAAATATGAAGCACTTCATTCTCTATTAGATTAAACTTTCATTTTGTATAACAAGCAGAAAGTTTAGTCTTTATTTCACATCCAACATTTGATGCCACATTTTTTTATAAATAAAGAAGAATTCCATTCTACATTACCATGCATTCTCCTTCAATGAAACTGTTCAGTGAGTCAAGTAAGTTTTTAAGAAATTCACTTTTCTAGCTTAGTTCTCATTTTTTTCTTTCTATATTAGTTTGTGTTGTAAGTTATACTGCAGTATTATTGTTATTTCAGTATATTAGTGTAATTAAGCTTACTTTATGTCGATAGTTAACACTGCACACCTGACATTGACTGAACCGTTGAGTCATAAACGATTTAATGCACACTTTTCGTATTGTTTTATTACTTGAAAAAGATGCAAGAGTCAGCATTTAAACGTTGTAAACTAATAAATTAGAATTTTACAATTGATTTATCTTGTAGGGCACAGAAAATTTGCAATCATGATATTTATTCAAATTAGTGAAATCACGTATTGTATTTCTTATTCAAAATGCCACATCATAATAGCTATGCAGTTTGAATTATGGCATTACGTCATCTTATAGAGCACCATAAACTATAAGTGATAAAGTGACCTACCTACCCAATTGAACAGTTAGAATAGTGGATGGGAAACATGTAACAATGCAATGTTGGCAAAAAGTTACTTTGCATTTATATTAAACAGTGGCTCTAGTCCGCATAGAAAAGTATTTTTCTTTCATACTGAAATAATTTTACTTATTTATTGACGATGTTTTGAATTATATAATCAGTTGCTAGAATTCTATAGAAAATGACAGAGTTTAGTTGTTCGTAAAGTTCTACCTGCTAGCACAAAACTACTCATAGTATCCGATTTCAAAAGGCTGATCTTCGAAATTCTGCCTTCCAGCTTCGTCGTATTCATTCATTTCTCCAACATTTTTCTCGAGCATCATGTTATTCCATTTTCCCTTTAACAAAAAATGAAATAAAATCATCAAGTCTGTTAACACATCAACCTGTGCTCAATTGTCGAAGTGAAGTAGATATTCAATAGGGGAAAATTCTTTGAATTTTGAAAGCATTAACAAATCAGCAAAAGAAGAGAAACATCTGGCGATAGAGCTCTTTCATGTACAAAGACACAGCAGTCACCTATACTTACCATGGTTCTTTTTCCACATAATTTAGAGTTGTGGCTGCATTGACGCCTACATTGGTTTCCAACCGTGAAAATTCCAATACACAACAATATAGTATACAAAGTGAGAGCTTTCATTTTTTTCTCTGTACGAGCGTTGTATTTAAATAAAATGAAGCTTTGTGCACAAATTAGGCAGAAAACTGTCTTATATATGATGCAGTACATTAAAGCTGTTTGAGATAATTTCGATAAAAGGTTTTACGTTAGCAAATTATTCATTCATGAACTAATTATGGATTATTTTACATTCAAATGCACAAACATATGTTTTAGAAAACAAAGAAAAAGGAACTATACAAGCAGTTCTTTTTTAAAGAGATCTGTTTATTACTAAATGTAATGCATTAAAAACAAAAAATTTAGACATCGGCTGTTGATTCGTGAGTGTCACATATTGAAGCAAACAAAACATCAGTATAAATGAAAACGTTAATTATCTATCACAAAAAGAACAATTAAGTTACATCCTTTCAAAAAATTAAAATTGTTTCAAATGGGCTTAATGTGCCGTTCAATAGTTTACCTAACTACAACAAAGCTTTCAGCTAATATGACTAAAATTAAGCTTAAACAGTTGAGAGTATGTTAAGTTCAAATGTTGATAATATAGTTTAAATATAAAGAGATGTTTTAGATGACAATCACTCCTAATGGATGAAGAAGTGATGTCTTTGTTTTTTAATGAGCTTTATACAAACAATTAATGCATGTATAAAGACTCCATTCATACTTGTGTATAGTAAACATCAAACTCATTCGAAATAAAAGTCAAAACTTCCAGTTTATAAAAATAGTACATGTATGCAGAAAAGATAACTTTTCCGACCACAGGTCAATTATATTTCCACTGAGCTGTTATAAATTATATTCCTAAAAAGAGTATGTCATTGCCATGTTCTAAGTTCCTTGTAATACATTCTACGTTTCTGAATCGGTATCCCCTTCATATAAAGGCTGACAAATTTGATCTCATAGAATCTTGCAATTTTGCCTCATGTCAATCGAAGTGTACTTAATGTTTTACGCCATTTTCTATATGTCGTCATTTTCGTAATCATTCTGTTTTTGATGAACGATTTAATTTGATTTTCCTGAAAAAAATGTAAAGAAAATATGTAAGCGTTTGCAGACAACGCAAATTTTTTGAGACTACATAAGCAACATCCTCACACGCGTAGTGTGATAAATCGAACTCAAAATATTTGGACAAAGCAGTTCCACTCAAGGTCAAGGGCATATTATGACAATCTAGACTTCTTACATTTTGTTCACTTAAAATAGACATAATAACACAAACAGTATTCTTAGTGTTCTAATACTGTGCGTTATTTGTTAAGCCTTGAAATGTTAATATGTATACATAATTTATATCAACAAAAGGCAACGTCGAGCATAGCGGTCTCTTTTTTAAGCAAAATCTTCTGAGACGATTTGGTAATCCCAGCTAAGCTGGATCGACATCAATATAGCTTACTTAGCACGGAATTGAGCAGCTTAACAGAACGAACACACAACTGAATGCAAAGGACTTGTTGTAGACAGTTATGCTCTTCATGTGTAAAACATGATATCTACCTCATGTGCCTGATATAACCGATGAAAGATCTACGATTTATGTTGATGAAGTTCAGTAATAGATTTTTGCATATTATTGATATATCTAATTGACACTCAAAAGGGTCACTTTATATGTTAATACAGTTATCGTAAACAAGATTAAAATAAATGGAATGGTAAATTGTAACCATATGTTGAACTAAAAATTTGATGATTGTTAACATCGAGATTGTTTTAAGCTTGTCTATCTTTTAACATCACTGTCGATGGTTGACACCTGAGTCATATACATTCTCATCTGCCTAAATAAAACGATAGCAACTTTGAAGTAAGCCTCTTTTTAGAAACTTTGACAACAAAGAATTTTAACTCCTGCTTGCAAGCAATACAATGCTCTGTTTCTTTATACATTGACAGCTGTTACAGAAAATGAGTTAATAAATATCCTTGAACTCTGAAAATTTTGAAAGAAGTAAGTATATACCGGATACCTTTAAGAATGTAACATAAAATCAGCTGTCGTGAATTTGAATTAATCCATATGCAATCGCAAAAAATTAAAAAAGCAAAGTATAATTCCATTGACTCACAGACAGAAAAAATGGCTTACATTTATCCCAAAAAATCGAAAGACAATCATTATAAGATGGTCAATCTCATATGTTGTTCCTTGATATATTTCTCATAGCCAACCTTTCTATCAGTGTTGAGATTCATTTCAGGAAATTATTTTTTGTTATTTGCTCTTCGGGGGAAAAGCGATGCGATTAACTCTTAGTCACGTGTTTAAATATGAATCCAGAGAAGACAAACGAAAAAAACAATATCATAAATACTATATAAATATCATCATGTCAGCTATACTTGTGGCGAAAAATACTGTGGAATAAAAAGGAATTTTCTACCAATTTGTTTGTTGCATTTTATTTAAGTATTTTTGTTAAAAAATGTCTGTTAATGTATGACAGCTGATAGTTTCAACAAATTAAGTTCTATATTTATGAATAATGAAATAAACATTACATGTTTGATGATCATGTTGAATTATTTGTTTTAATTCACTACTCGTACATCATGTAAACTATATTTTGTGTGATGTAAACTATATTTTAGAAAATCACGGCCTGGAGTATGGAGCATCACTTCAAATGAAACGATTTATTTATTTTATAGTTTGCAATATAGTTCATGGAAAAAAAGTACGCTGTATTTCTGAAGAAAATTTGCTTTATCTTCCTATATTACTAACGAATAACTGATTTTGTAAGTCTAGAAACCTAATGTTTAAACGTGCGCAAAAGTTTACCTTCGTAAACGAGTTTTCTTTATTGTTGACTATTGGTAGTGAATGCAAGCTCACCAGACAAGTATAAGTTGTCTGTCGACAGGAAATTGTCCTATAGGAGAATCTGGGAATCAAAACTTCAATATTCTTTGACATACCTTGCAATAATAAATCACTGGACCACCACATCTTTGTGCTTGATGACGTGACACAAACGTGAAGAGAAGAATGATAACGACAATTATCTTTATAATTTGCATCTTTAAAAAATCGTTACTTTTCCAGCTTAAAGTTTCTTCAACTGCCTAGACTGGAAAATGTTAGCAACCTTTGGTGTTGCAGATTTATATATAGCTAGATGAGCTGTCAATCTTACTGACTGTTTTTGCGGTTTTGCCCACTGAGAGGGCTCAACTCAACGCAGCGCAGCTAAGATGTCTGACAGCCAGTTCGCACATAAGATTCACGTGCAATTAGTAATTTTTGGCGACAAGTTATTTCAGTCTAAGAAGATAGTCTCGATGTTTGCTAAAGAGATTTAACTACAACTTATTAAGTATAATGAATATCTAGCTTATCATTTTTCGGGTTACTGAACAGTAGGATTTTGTGGTGTGACTAAATATATCGATAAGCAAATGCGCTCATCGACTAACCACATTGCCAAACAACTCAATGAACCGGGTTTATTGAATAATCCAAGCTTCAATCACATAAAACATGCAATTGGATGATCTATTTTATGGTCCAATAATACATTTTTTTTAGAATCATGCAACTTGGGAGATCGGAGATGTAGTCAAAAATTAGTCTGAGTTTGTTAAGACGAAGCTGCTGTTGCTAATAGGTTTTAGCGTAGGAGAAAAACGATTCAGTGCTACACATTGCTGATAGGTTTTAATTGACGATAAATCACGTTATTGATGTATACTATAGGTATTTGATTGTTTACGCTAAACATTCAGTGTTCCTGACAAATTTTTCACTGTAAGATCTGTAGGGGACATTCACATGCGCCACTTCATGTTTAAGAGAAATTCTCTTCTTTTTTTATATCCGATGAAAGCTTAAATGGGGAAGATGACAATGTTTGTTGGGAGGATCTGAAATCGCATAAATACTTAAGCTGTTTATAAGACGGCTTTGTTACATAATGCACTGCAATCATAATTTTAGTCAATGTTATCTGTAAGATTTTTCTCTTGTCATCAGAAAGTTTGAGATGTAGATTACATAAAACGGCTTACGTAAAATAGTGAATAATTTTAGTAACTTTTACTTCAGAGCTAGAAAACTATTGATGCAAATTGTAACTTCTACGTTTCCACCAAAAATGTGGTGATATTTTCAGGCTTCGGTATCATAATTTTGAAGAAGAAAAAATATTTTAGACCGTACACAAGCCTGCCCCTAAAACTCTGCAAAATGCACCGAATATTTAAAAAGCTCTTAAATTCTAGATTTTTCTCTTGCCTTCTTGGCCGCTTTGGAAGCTACCGTCTACCCTTCTCAGGATCTCGTCTCACAAAATTAGACATAACGGAGTTTTTTCAATGGCAACGGCCGAATTCTTTTCATCGGACAGTTTTCATCACGTCCAATGCAGAAACAGGAATGACTTAACACATTGAAATAGCATTACTCGTATTTCCTCCACTAACCTTTTCTGTAACTTTCTATGTTTTCCGTGGACAATTAACAATTTCCACATGTTCTGTTTTTTATCAAACTCTTCCTTCCATGTGGCTTCATAGAGACGTTTTGAAATCTAAGGAAAAAGGAGAACAAAATTTTTACGTCGTGTTTGCATACGCATTTAAAATAACACTTTAAAAAGGGGAGTTGTCAATTTTTTTCATAAAAGAATTGTCGTAAAAGGAAATCTTTACTTAATAAAATGATTTCAAAATGTAAGAAGATTTTTCGTTTGTCGCCTTATATTGTTAAATCTAGTGTAAATACTTTTCGATCAGTGAAATTATTTGATTCATTCACAAAAAAATAAATACTTGAGCCGACACGTTAAGGCTGAAACACACTGGGCAGTCGCTTCAGTCGCGCGTCCAAAGCGAATTGATGCGCACGCGTCAGTCGCTTGAACGCTAGAAACACACATGCAGCGACCATCGCGACATTTACCGTGGCGTCTATTGAACATGGCGGTGATTTTAGTTTGTTACAGACACAGATATCACTTAAACTTTGTATTTTGGCCTTTATTATAGCTACTAATATATGAATATTTACTCAGTACAAACTACTATGTGGAGAAAAGAGAACAAGCCAGTTAAAACACGCCAATATGATCATAGCACATTACGCGTATATCGTGGATAATCCTATTCTGTGCATTTAGGTTGTGCATTAGGGTTCCAGTTTGTAGCTCCTATTGTCTCTATTTGATAAGTCATATAAAAACTGAAAGATTCCAGTGTGAATTCACTATATATTGCCTTCGTTTTCCTAGGATAATCTATAAATTTCGTATGATGCTTATGACAGGAAATATGATATGCATTTAGGAAGTTAAAATGTATCTATTGGCCAATCAGTGTAAAGCGACTGAAGCGACCAAAGTCAAAAGTTCAACATGTTGAACTTTCAAAGCGACTAGCTGACGCGACTACGCTACTAGCTTAGTAACCACGCAAAGCGGTAGTTTTAGACGCGCGACTAAAGCGACTGCCTAGTGTGTTTCAGCCTTTATCCTTCATTGCTAAACAAAAATGTGATTGACTTCCTTTTTGTAACACGATCTGTTTAATGGTTGCGTCTTGGCACGTCAGTAGCAGTAAATTGATAAATACATATTAAACAAAATTCGCTTTTACCATGGCGGCTCAAAATACTTTTAAATACAACTCGACGTAAACAAGGCATCAGCTTATGGGTTGAAGTGAACACAAAGAATTAGAGTCTAAAAATAAACGCTACGGTTATGTAGCCATCGGAAAAAAGATCAATAAATAGTTCGATGCAATTCCTGATACTTATCTTCGATGCTATACTTTTAATATTCATTGGTAAGTGAGCAATTAAGAAAAAGAATAAAAGAGTTTGGATACATTGGCATACTCCTATTATTTGTAACAATATTTTGTTCGTGAAACATTCACACATCATCACAATCATTCATACTTTTAGTCAACTGAAATTTGATACAATTATGTGTCTGTGAAATTTTACTTTCGTATCTTAGTAACGAGAAGAATTTTAGAAGAAAAAATTGTGCCTTGCAACAAGGAATCATGCTTAAATACGTTCATTTTATATATTCAAAATCTATAGTATTACGTTTTATTTAGTTGATTATTGAATACTTTCAGTGTGCTATAACGATCAGTTTTGACATATTAATGGTTTAGCAATATCGTCGCTGTAGCAACAACGTGTAGCATTTGACAACAATGGCCAACAAAATTTATGATAGACTTTCACTTTCACATCTTTTTTCGCTGATTTTGTTAGCTTTTTATTCAAAAAAAAATTTGTTGTAGGATTGAATACTTTATATTTTTTCTTTCACAGAGTCTGAATAACATTCACTAAAAATGACATACGTGTTTTCATCATTGGTTTTCCTGTTGTGGCTCATAAATTCACATACTATATCAGCCGAAAAAGGTAAACAAGGAATCAGTATTTCAAGAAGACATTTCCTGCTCGCTATCTTTTACAAGCATTTGATTTGCAATCGTCAGTCGTTACTTATAAAGTAAATGGTTTGAACCTGGGAGTATCGTTACATGTTTGTAAATGTGGATCGTCCAGGTTGGTATAGTTCTGAGGACTATACCAACCTGGTATAGTCCCTAAGATTGAAGGACTATACCTTTGACTCTGAAGATGACTACCGCTAAGGTTGTCGAAACGTCAGTCAACAACAACCAAAACAATCTTTCTCAGGACTATACCAACCTGGACGATCTACATTTACAAACATGTAATCGTTACTTATGGTGGTCAGAAAAATCTTCTAAAAACAGAATAACTTTGATATTTAATAATCCTTACGTCACAATATATCTTCTCCAATCAAAAACCAAATATTTATGAATTGATGAAAATGATTTTGTAATGGTGAGAGCCTCGTTTCTTGCTTTAAGAAATACTTTATGAAGGACGGTCCCTTTCTGAATGGAGGGAGAGTGCCGGCAGCAAGGATGCTGAGAAGGTAACTAAGTATTTTACTAAAAAGTAAAGTTAATCTAAAAAAATTCAGTCATGTTTGCTTGAATGTCATGCTGACGGTTTTTATGAGAATAAATTTTGAAATTATTTTCATATAGAAGCATAATTTATCATCAATTACATTCCTTGCTTGTAGTGGACTTACTACAAAATTAAAGGGATCCAGCAGTTGCTCACAAAAATTTCAAAAAGCGGTAAAAGTTGGTTCATAAGCAAAGTATTGGATTTGCCAATAGCATCATATCTTAAGATTGAAGCTAAGCCAACGAACTGTGCTGGTGATCCTTCGTGTTATTTAGACGTTTATGGATCAACGCAAAGGTTAGCTATTGCTTTTTTAAATAAATTACATCGAGATTGTTAAAAGCGGTCGTGCTAAATGGTTTGTTTTATTTTTCATGACAGAATTGAAGAAAAACATCATACTGCGAACTATCCAGATTTCATAAAAGTTTTTAATCGTACAGACCGACAAAAATACAAGAGTGAGACAAAAGTGAATCGGACGTTCACAATAAATGGAGCTTTTAAGCATCTTGCAATTTTTGCTTCAACAGAGAAAAACAATACGTCATGGAATATTTTTTCCCTAGAGATGTATCATTTTTATTGTAAGAAGAACGAAACTCTAAACTTAGAAAGAACAAACTCCAATGTATCAGATGTACATTTCCCTGTCAAATGTCGCCAGAATGCTGTGTTAAACAGTGACGGCAAATCTCAGTCAAAAACTGTCTCCTGTAGACCCAATGGAACCTGGGACTTAAGTGAAACTTGTCAATGTGACAAAGGATTTGGTCTACAGCAAAACATGAAGTGCATGCGTGAGTGATTTATGCCACAGGCCTCATTTTATTTGTTGTAATTTTGCTTCTTACATCACAAACTTAGAAACCAGTTTTTGTTAGGAAATATGTTTCAATGAATATAAAATATCAGCTTATAAATGCATTTACAAGATGAAAGTAAGATTCTTTGACTTGTTAAATCACTTTCATCATTAAAGTCTTTCTTTGATATTCTTGTATGTAAAGGCTGTGACATAGATAAATACAAAAGAACAATAGAAGATATTGATTGCAAGAGTTGCCCTGAAGGAAAGACAAATAATAAAATGCACACTGATTGTGAATGTAAAGCTGACCATTATGTTGGTGAAACAGAAAACGGAAAGTGCTATAGTGAGTATAATGAGTGAAAATATTTTTTTCAGTTTTTGATGGCCGCATACTATGGTTGAATTACAATCGAACTTCAATACTTACAACTTATTTTTATTACATCTATCACAGGTCTTCCACCTAAAATTAGTAATTTAAATATGGAAAAAATTGACACGTCCATTTTATTATCATGGTCTACACCCAAGACAAATGAGGACCTTACAATAACTTATAAAGTTGAGTGGTTCGTTGGTGCTAACTTTTCAAAGCTATGCGGTAATAAAACGATAAATACAACCAAATTCAGTTTACCAAATCTTTGTTCCCAAGCAAAGTTTAAGATTATCGTGTATACTTTGGGTAATTTAACGAATGTCAACTCATCAAAATGGAATTTTGTGGAAATGGAATGGAGCCCCGTGAGCAATGAAACCGGTGAGTACTGTGATCAAAGATAAAGTTTGTGCACAATGCAGTGAAGAGTCTCAAAGTTCTTTCAACACTTTGTGTTGAAGAGTTACTAATTATACAGTTGGGGTGATATTTATGTGAATTCAATGTTATTGCTTTTTTATCTAGGTATTAAAGATAATGTGAAAGTTAACCAACGTAGGGGATTCTTCATTTACATTGGAGTTGGTATTACATCATTCGTTGTTTTGTTAACCATTATCATCGTGTTGGTAATAAGATTGCGAAAGTAAGGATCATAATTGCAATTGTGTGAATTTTACATCATAAGATACTAATATGAATATTTCTTTCTGCAATTAACAGCTCGATTACTTTCGTACATATTTATTGAAATTATAAATTTAAATCTTAAATTCAACAAAACAACAGAAGATTACATACAAACAAAATTATCAATTATTCATAAATTTACATTCCAATATAGAGGGAAAAACAAGCCTGATGGAACGAATAACATAGGTTTTGAAAGCAGTAAGTATAAAGTTCTTTTTTTCACATTCAAAGATTAAATTCGTATTTGACAGCTGTTTTAACAAGCTTAACTTTCGCATGATTTGTTTACCTACCAATAAACAATGTACAGTTCGTACAGTATAGTTTCAAAACCATATTCTGCACCGTATTGTTTAGTATCTTTACCAGCACTTGGCCAAAAAGTGTATATAGATCCAGCAAACTATGAAAATCCTGAAGCAGCATTAAAAGAGTTTGTCAACGAAATTTGTTACAAATCATTATTGCTGGAACGAGTACTTGGTGGAGGTGAGCCTTAATTGTTGCAATTTTCAAATTGAAAATAGACAACTGAATCTTTTCGTCTGACTTCACTCTGTTAGGCGAATTTGGAGACGTTTACAAGGGAACGTTAAAAACGGACGATAGAGGAGCACTTGATGTTGCAGCAAAAACTTTAAAGGTACAGCAAACAAGAAACTACGATTAAAAATTTATTTAAAATTCTGAAAGCTTCATGAAATTTCAGCACGACGCCGACCAGAGAAGCAAGAATGATTTCTTTATGGAAGCATCGGCAATGGGTCAGTTTGATGATCTAAATGTCATCCATTTAGAAGGAGTCATCACAAAAAGTAAGTTTCCACTGTTAAATTGTAAGCTTTCACTGTTAAATTGTAAGCTTATACAAGAATATGACAAAAAGGAACGAAATTAACTTTTTTGTTTGTATGTTAAGCTGTTCCACACATGATAATCACTGAATATATGTCCAACGGCTCTTTGGACAACTTTCTAAAGGTAAACATTCTCTAAACAAATTACTACCATGCCTAAAACTATCAAAAGTTTCTTTTTCTTGTATTAACAACATTTAGCAAAATGATGGTAGCCTGACCGAATTGCAGCTTCTTGGTATGGCAAGAGGTGTTGCTTCAGGAATGAAATATTTGGCATCAATACATTTTGTTCATAGGGTGAGAACTCAATACTATCCACATCACATGTTTTATCAATGTAAATATTTACTTTATCCAATGCATGCCACATCTTTAACTTTATTTTAAACGTTATTCAACATAACAGGATATAGCAGCGAGAAATATATTGGTAAACGAAGCGATGTTGTGCAAGGTTGCAGATTTTGGTCTTTCACGAGTCTTAGAAACAGCCGACTCCTCACGGGGGGAGTATCAAACAACGGTAAGTGAAAAGTTACACTAACACATCTAAGAAAATCATGGTTAGTTATTTTATAATGCTGGGTGATGTAAATTATAAAGCTTAATGTTAGAAATGGATATGTATGTCGACACTATTCCTAGCAAGAAATCAATAAGCTATGTTGTCGAGATGCTAATTATTGTATACTAGTAATGGAAAAAAGTATTCTAGCAACTAATGATTGTATGATCGATGTATGCCTTTAAAAATCACTTTAGCAACTTGCAGTACTATAATATAGCAACTTGTAGCAACTTCAAATGTAGGGAGGAAAAATTCCTGTCCGCTGGACAGCACCTGAAGCTATCAAGTATCGTAAATTTTCAACTGCAAGCGATGTTTGGAGTTATGGTATTTTGTTGTGGGAGATCATGTCGTTTGCTGAAAGGCCTTATTGGGATTGGGATAATTTTAAGGTGATAGAGAATCCAAAACTGTTAGATTTGTTTAAGTGCATTTTTGAACTTTGTCTTTTCTATCGCTACGTGTTACTGTAGGTATTAGAACGTGTCGACGAAGGATATCGTTTACCTGCACCAAAGGTCGTTAATACTTAGAACAGTATTTTCTTGGTGATTTTTTTTTAATTACTGCTTGTTATATTTGAATGTAGTTTTTACAACTAAAAAAATTCGCATGCAGACTTAATACACTTTCGACTCTTTTCAAATCTCCGTAAACTTTGAGTGCATATCAATGATAAAATTGAAATGGACCCTTATGTAACAAGCTAAAATGCATTTTATTTTCAACAGAGCTGTCCAAAAGCAGTTCATGAACTCATGCATATGTGTTGGGAAGCAGATCGAAGTCAGAGACCTGAGTTTGCTAGTATTGTGAAAATCATCGATGAGTGGATTAGATCACCTGAAACTCTGAAATACGTGTCGTTAAGTAGAAAACGACCAGTGTAAGTAGAAGTACTTAAAGTAAAAGCTAACTGGAATTTTATTTTGTTTAGTTCACAATATTACATTCATACAATTTTACAAACAAGACACCTCGATACCCTGATACCTTGATATTAAGATGACAGTAATGGCAGTCAAAAAAATTAATTGGATTTTTTAGATCGATGTCGGGGATTAGCGATCCAGCGATGTTGGTAAAAGACTGGCTCAATGAAATCAGAATGAGCTCATACATCCCACATTTTAAGCAGGCTGGTTTTGTGCAACTCTCTGAGCTAGGAGGATTACTAGACGGTGATCTGCAGGTCATAGGAGTTAACTTGATCGGACATCGCAATAAAATGCTACGCACAATTCGTAACCTGCCTGTCTCAGAAGGGTCTAAAAATCCTACATTTAAACGGTCAGAATCTCTGAAAGTATAATCACTAGTAGAATAGCAACAGACCTAACGTATTTCAAAACTTCAGGCACTGGGAAAATATGAATGATGTGTGAAGTCAGTATAGGTATAGTGGAAACAATTTTTGAAAACTCTCAAACAATCACTAACTGTGCAAGTGGACAAATAAACTTAACGTTTAAGATAGGAATAGACAATTAATTGCTGCTAGCTAAGAAATTTAAAAAACCTGCTTTGTCTAATTTGATGCTGTATAATTTTGGAACGATAATTGCCTTAACTCTCATGTAGCCTTCTTTAAATTTCGCCACTTTTATCGAGATTTTAATGAGCGACAACTGAAGAAAGCTTTTCTATGTCGTCAAATTTCAAATATTTTTCACATATTTTAGTTCATCTTCTATAAGGAAGTGATGTATTGACTAAGCCCTTTTCTAAGTTTGTTTGTCTTGCATATCCTGCCAGCATTGTCTGCTATATCAGCTTTTAATAGTTTGCGTTATTTTGATTTGTGAATAGCAGTAAATTAAACTATCAATATTAACATATGAGTGACGGACCAAACGAAATATGTTCACTTCCCCAGATTAAATTTTGTAGCTTTAGAAAATGATGAGCATTGTTAAAAAAATCAAAATTATATATCTTGGACAGTAGGACTTAATCTTTCACAAAGGAGATTTATAAACATCAGATTAATTTTTTTCACAAAGCAATAAAGCACAAAACGTCTTTAAAATAATTGTCTATAATTCTGTTGTATTGTATATTTTGCCATAAAATTGAACAAATTTTTGACGATTGTTCGCCAAAGCTTTTTGCTGCTTTTGTACAACACTTTGTTTTTGCGAAGTCGTTTTTGTAACTCTAAAAAATTATGAATTGAATTGCAAGAATGCTTGTGTTGTTTTCTTCTCCGTGGAAAGGCGTCTATTTTAATATTTTTCCTTGCTCTCTTACGTAGCTGAACAATTATTTATCCCACGCTCATAAATGTTATTTAAACATAACAGTGATCCCAGTGGAGGTCTCCTTAAGATGATCCGAAATTTAAACAATTTTTGCAGTAATCTTCAAAGTCTAAGTTCTAACTATAACTTTCTATTATTAGAGCATGCAGATTTTGTGTGAACAGCTGCTGTCAATGTATATTGCTGTTCAGATCGGAACCATGCTTTGTAAGGAAGATTTATCGCAAATGTTTTAATCGACCCAAATATTTTTAAAAGATATTTTCAACTGACCGCGTTCATGAAACTTTCATCTTTCAAATGTTGAACGCCATTGACTGCCAATTCAAACTTTGAACGGTATTTTCCATCATTAAAATCCTTCATAATCAGAACACTTCAAATACACTTTATTGTCGACTTTTCCTACAATTTTCACGCTTTGATTCATCAATAGCGCTGTAGAATATTCATTAACACAAAGAAACAATCAAAAGCACCACATGTATATATTTTGTACAGTTGCATGGATGATGTCTGTGTCCCAACAGAAATAGTCTGTCACTGATAGTCTATCGCAACTGTTACATCGCACTTCTCTGTCATACAAAATATGTTTAAATTCATTTGAATGTCATCTGTATCTTAACGATCCTTTCTTTTGATTTTATTGAATGCACGTTGATATTACTTGAATGTTCCCCATTGTTATGCGACATAAATAACTATTCAGGTGACTCAACGGGATTCATGATTTTTCAGATTCATGAGACAATTGCTTAAATTGTCCAGCAAAGTGCGAAGATCATACCTTCATTTAAATAAATAACTATTATTGATTAGGAAATTGTTCTTTTGCTTTTTTCTTCGTGTTAAAGATTATTCTACAGCGCAATTGATAAGTTAAAGCGTGTCATTGAATGTCCAATGTACTCTAATGATGAGCGAATGGTGTAATTCATTTTAAGCAAGGATGAAAATACCAGCAATTTGTTTATTGCAGTGCGCATACAATAGAAATTAAGACTAATCAATAATTTATCATTGATATCGCAAATTTTGAAAACGCTCCATTATTGATTACCACATCAATATTTTTTCTTTTCAGTCATTTAGACAGTTGTAATATCTTTGAATAATAAATCAATTGAGAATTAATCAGAGCACGCGTTGTCAATTTCACCAACTCTCAAAGTTCATGGTCATGGCAACGACCAATTGCATGTATTGGTACCGATTATGGAGTAATTAGCTCGCTCAGTCACAAATTTCCAGATAAATCATCTGCGCTTGCGCAGTATGCCAGAGCATAGACAGTCGTCATGATCAGCTGCCCAAGTTCGTGGTCATGGCAACGACCAACTGCATCTACTAGCACCGATTTTGAAGTAAATAGCATGCTTAGTGACAATTTAATAGACAAATCATCCACGCATGCGCAGTCTAGTCGAGCATAATTGACCAATTGTTCGATTTCATAGTCAAGACAACGACCACCCGGATCTACTACCAATTTTAGCGTAAATAGCTCGCTTAATCTCGTTTTAATAGAGAAATCATCTGCGCATGCGCTCGAGCATGCGCTGTCCACTCGACTAATTATTCATAGTCATGGCAACGACTAACTATATGTACTTGCACTACATTTGTGGCAATTAGCTCACTTAGTCGCAAATTATTAAAGAAATCATCTGAGCATGCGCAGTAACGATAACAATCATCCCACAACTTTCGCACGCCTTTATATATAAAGCAAAAACTTCATATAGTAGATGTCAACTAGCAGTGGAAGCTGGGTGCGATATGTATGCAGTGGCTTAGGGGCCCACACTTCGGTGGCGACCGCACTCTCCCTGCGTACCCTGAGCAAAGCCTATCGCAGGTGATCTCAGGGTCTGATGGGCGGAAGCTTGCTATTGCATCTCCCAAGTAGGATAGCGTGGAGGGGCCGAAATCTCCTACCGAAACGTTAACATGCGGCGTTCTAGTGCCTTACATATCACAAGGTATCGGGAAGCATGGCCCGAAAACGGGGTTTTTTTTGCTTTCGAATTTTGTCTTTTTGTTTTCTTCTCATAAAATAAACCAAGCCTTGTTTCAATTAACTTCTTATGACCCTGTCTTTTTCTGACACTTATAATTAAAGACAACCTTAAACATGTTTTATACCATTTTTATCGGTTTATATCTTTCTGATTTAATTCTCTCATTTACTGTTTCTCATGTATCACGAGCAAACCATCCATATGCTTCATGGCAAACAAACAAGGATTATGTGGTTCCCTTAGTTAGCATGCGACGCTTAGTGCTCAACTATCACGGGTATCGGGAGGTACGGACCGAAAACGGGATTTTTTTGTTTTCAAAATTTGTCTTTTTCTTTTTCTTTACAAGAATTCTTCTCATAAAAGAAACTGGAACTACAACTTCAAAGGTTCAAACAACTTCTGCCTTTTTGAATTATAATTTAAACAAACTCTAAGCATGTTTATAAGTTCTTTACTTGTTACCTTTTGCAATGTAACTTTCTCATAACTCTCTCGTGATGAACGAGAGCTTCCTTATACAATATGACTCTTTCATCATGAACGAAAGCATCCATGGGCTTTATGGAAAAAAGAGATTATGTACTTTGTTATAATAGTTTCTACAAAGATAACATTTAATAAGCTAAGAAATTTGAAAATAAATATATTTGAGTTATTATGGAAATAACAAGTCGAGAATTGATTGATCATACCCATTCCAATTGGTCTGGAACAACTATTACATTTATAATTTTGGCCATCTAACCCTTTTTCCCGGGCTATATTGTTAATTAACGACAGTAACTTCATACGTCGTTCTTGCTGAACATCTTCAGGTGAAGTAGGATCACCAATAATCTATTAAGTATAAAAACATAATTTATCCATAGAATTATAGCAAAGTTACGATGGACAGATGAGAGTTATTAAAGCTATAAAACTTAAATTCAATATATCGTATAAAGTACCTCAATCCCGATGATTTCTCGTATCGAAAGGATTCTAAAGTAAAGATGAAAATTAAGATGAGAAATTTTGAAGAATTGAAGCTAGAGAATTTTTCAACAAAAAAAAAGTTGAAAATACCTGTACTACCACTATATTCTTCAATGTCTATGCTCTAAAATAATAGTCATAAAAACGACAATTTCAAAAAACATAAAAAAACTAAGTATTTGTAACATTGGTGAAAGATACAGGATGAACATGAAACCTTCTCAGAAGACGATGGAACGAGACCATAACCATTTGATGTGAACTTCTTGCTAACAAAGTTTGCGTAATCCGTTAGCATACCATGAAAACTAACTTCTGGTTTAGGCGACGCTTTACTAGCAACCTCCTCAACGTCTTCAGGACAATTAACGTCTACTGAACTGGTGTCACAAGGTTCAAATGACGATGACCAACCACTAGCCATACCTAACATGTTACCACCAGAGATCTTTCTTGGGTAGATCAAGGTTTTAGGAACTTCAGACAAGGGTTGTGTTGAGCTGAGACCTAAAAAAGAACAAATATGGATAGATGATGAAGTGGAGAACAAGAATAGAGGTTATAGAAGACACAATACGTATGTTCATTGGTGTTTCACAGGGGTATATATTACAGGATAACAATGGATCCAATTAGTCTAAGCAACTAGGTACATTTAAGCAATCCATCTTTCCGATGGTAAACACACATGTCAAAAAAACGTGATCAAATTACAAAATTCGTGCAATCAAATGGTCGGAGTCAGATAATATTTTAATGTGTCTTCCTCAATTAGAATTAAAATAGATAATTCCTTCAGGAAATAAATACTTTACTAATTTTTTAAAACAGGTTCAATGGACATCCTAAAGTTACTGAAAACAATTACAAACATTAGTTATGAAACATAGCACAATGTATTACTTGGTAGTGTATTAGATTCCAGGGTTAGGAAATTACTTGGTCATATAATGAAACTGCATTTTCAAATCTTGAACAAGTTGGACGTAAATAATATTAAATATATAATTTTATTTCAACTATGTTGATTAAATCTACTTATACTATATATCTACTATATACTTGCAGGCTACCAACACGTACGCATTGCGTATCAATTTTTAAATGTTTGCCGTTGTATTTAATACGCAGTGTTTTGGGAGATACACCCAAAGGCCAAGAAATGAAAGAAACATGAATATTCATGATAGCTAAAATAAATAATTTTATGATAAATGGCTTTGCTTAGCCCCAAATCTGGACACTGTTTTTTCTCCAAAACAAAACGAAATGGGAGGGAAAACCGGTGGATCCGGTAAAAAACCCTCCAATAAAAGAAAAGATCAAAACTTTAGAAAAATTTCCTCAAATTTTTGTAGTATTTAAATTTTTCATATTTTTGTTGTCTTCAATGATCCCGATGATCTACTTTAACATTCAGCGTAGTCAGTCAGATCGTGCGTTACAGTCGTATAAAAATTTAAATTTACAAAGCGACAAAAAAGTGGGCTGACTACCCTATTGACACAGCTAATATTTTATGATCGAACGAAAGAAACGCACGCTTTGGTAGAGGACAAAAAATGAAGGAGTACAGAGTGTTAACAAAAATTTTAGAAAATACGTAGACGTAAAACGAAAACAAATAGAAAACATATATGAATCATATGAAAAAATTATTCAGTACCAACGCCCTGACCATTAACCAGCCAATAACAATGAAAAATGAATTGACCAAAGTGACGTCATGACTTGCATGAATATCATTTTTGATGTCTACTAAACTTCAATCGATTTAAAATTTCCTATGTTGCTTTAATAATAGCTGGCTTTCACTCGTGTGTTTTGTCGGAAAAGTTAACAATTGTGAAAAATTAGTTTTACGGAAATTAGAATCTTTCAATAAGGACTCTCAGGATCTTCAGTCCAATTCATTGTCCAGCGAGGAGGCCTACAGACATAGCTACTCTATAAAAAACACGTTATAAATGTCAGCATAATGAATGATCAAAAACAAAACTGAAATACACTGAAAAGAACAAATCATTTATACCTGATTTCCAAGCGTTGTCGGGGTCAGTCTGATCCAGGCGACTTAGTCGGTCTCTTCCTTTTTTTTCACTTTACATGATATACACGTAAAAACTCTCACACAGTTTTTACGTGTATATCATAGAAATTAATTGTAACCTTTTTATCTTAGAAACTCAACAAACCCTACTTGCAGCATTGCAATTTTTTTATAAACGTTAAATAAATTAGTAAAAGGTAGCGAGTGAAAGCCAGCTATTTTCTCAAAGCAAGTGACATCTTTTCTTGACATTTTTTTTAATTTGGGTGTTTTTCATAATTAGGGTTCAAACTATAAAAATAGACCATCAGGATCCTTTTTTAGTATCTCATACAGTTACTCATACATGTTAATTTTAACACTTACGTATGTACTCAACGTACAAACCACAAGACATGGATCGTGTTTTTCCACTCGCTAGTTTCTCATCTTCGTAAAATATAGCCCGTTTTCTAGTCCAATCACATCAATGTTAATGCTCTCATACGTACATATGCCGTTATGCAATGTCCATTTAATATGCTTAAACCAATCCATACACGAAGTAACCAGCATTTATAACCAATGAAGTAGATACTGACATCGTGAATCGCCATTTCAAGCGCCTGAAGGAAAAGGGATCACTTCAATACCCCAGTTATATCATCACTCAAAGAATGTTTAGTGCAGAGTTGATCTTCTGTGAGTATCAGTTGACCACCTTCAGGTGGGTTCATATAACAATGGGGCCCATCATCATTATATGAACAAACAACTGACATCCACAAAGAATCCAAACTACAAATCAACATTCTTGGCCATGAATCACCATGACACATGAGCAATGAAAAACTAGTAAGAGTAATTGAAGTCAATGACACAGGTGGTAAAGGGACTTTCACAACTCCATCCATGTGGGATCTACAATACGAGAAAATATGAAACACATGTACGACATTTCATGATGAAGAATTCTGCATATGACGTTAGTTTGCGTTTTAAATTCTTAATCTGATATTTTTAGAATGACCAAATTGTAATATGTTTTCTGTTTGACTATCTAAATGGTAGAACATTCACCTACATTGCACAAATAGCTTTAGTGAGTTGAGTATGAACAATGCAACAAGTTTCAAACAATCAAAGGCTTAACATCGCGGTAATTTTACAGCAAAGCTTTCATGTTGCAAGGCCTAAACTAAGACTAGTTTGTTATTCCATGTAACTCATACTTACTTCGTCAGTAAAAAGAGAGAACTTACCTTTCTTACTACAACGTTCAAATGAAGAAGGCCTGTTTCAAATGTCGAACTTTAAGCCTGGTTCACACGAGGAAAGTAAGGAGAAGAACAAGCGTAGACAAAAGATAAAACAAAGATAATCAACGAAGCATGTGACATAAGCATCGACATAAGCGCAGACATAAGGAAAAAATTCCAGCATAAGCTAAGAGAAGAACAAAAGAAGAACAAAAAGATTTGAACAAAATCTCAATGTCTTTGTCTTGGTAAACATCTAGAGCAATAGAAACAGAGGGTCTTGACTTTCATGCTCATTTTACTCGTGTGAACAAGGCTTTACATGCACCGAACGCATTAAAGACAAAAGAAAATGAAATGAACTACCTCATTATCTTTTGTTTTAAATGCGTTCGGATCATGTAAAGTTCGACGTTCGAACTAGGCCTAATTTTCGGCATTATTAACATTTCTTTAATTGACGTCATGACAATTGATTATTTCTGCATGATATTACGAAAATCATAAATTAATTAAATTTATTCAACCTATTAAATAACTCAAATATTATTCTATTATTTTCAGCTAGTTGCTCTTTAGCAATTCATTTGTGCTGCTTGAAACAAATTTGAAAGCTCTTTTTATTTAAAAGTTATGTTAACTAGAAGCACATAGTTATATTATTTTTTGGTTTCTTGGTTTTTATAATTTTTGAAGACTTTCAAATGGCAAACAAACAATGTTCAAACACACAATTTGCTCAATTTTAGAAATTTCATTGAACTCATCAACAAAGTTGAAACTTCATAAATGTTCACAACACAAGTATGTACCTTACCACAGTTGGGCAAGCATTGATATATATCCATTGGTGGTGCCAGTCGGTGGATGCACATTACTTGGGATCACCTTATCTATTTTTAATAGTTATCTTTACAAAAAGATTGTTTACATTTTAAGGCCTTAATTATGTTTACAAAATTTCTTATACTGCCTTTATCTTTACAAAGTTGTTGACAGAGGTGTCCTGTTGGCATTGTGCACCCTTCATCTTCGGAAAAAACCGAAACCGGCTCCTTTTTTACGTCATCTGTAGGACGCACGACATTTTTTAACCGCTTTTTAAAACCGCTTTTTAGACCGCTTTTAACTGCGCTATTTTTTCCTCATTATTTTCCGTTTATTTTGTGGTAATTTATTATTTCCCAGCTCAACAAGAATAAAGAGAATATTTTTGGTAAGTTTTACAAAGTTGTACTTAACCATACAATGAACAAATTTTGATATTATTTTTCGTCAAATTCAGGGTGGATTGGTTTTTGTGCTCACAAAAGGTTTCATCAAAATGGACAATAAACAGCAGCAGTACTCGAGACAGGCCAGTCGTAAGATCAGAGATTATCCTGATATATATTGTTATCAATTACAAAAGATTATTTTGATTTATAAAAAAGTTACTTTTATTGTAAATCATGTTTGTGGCACTTATAAAATTATATAAAATGCACTACTAGACACATCTTAATGGATTTAGGTTTATATAGGATGAAAAATTCAATTTTGAACACTGTATATTTACGATTCATTGGAAATTTTATGATCTACATCACTTGTGTTGATGTCAGTCGGACATAGTATTGCATTCGTAGAAGAGAGCCAATAAAATAAAAAGACTCTCTTGGGGCATTTGTAAATATTATTTTAGAAATACAGATCGACTAATTATAAAGGCAGAAGGTGTAAGAGTGAATAAAAAACATTGTCCGTCAAATGAAAGGAAAGCTTGGATATGACATGCAATATGCAGGTACAAAGTTATCGACAAAAATAAAAAACATTTTTAACATTGTCACGAATATTACGAGTGCCGTAACAAAGTGTTGATGAGTTTCATTGGCATTTGTCAAAACTAGCTTAAGAAGACAAAGAGCATGCCAAAAATATATGATTGAAAACTTGCTCAGCGTATCTACAAGCACCAATTTCAGAGCTCCCTCTGTCACAAATTAATTGAGAATCTGAGCATGCGTTGTCACTTCCACAAACTCTCCATGGTAACGACCAACGCACATGCGCAGTAACGATAACAATTATCCCACAACTTTCGTACCCCTTAAAATTTTGGTATATATATATAAAGCTAAAACTTCATATAGTAGATGTCAACTAGCAGTGGAAGCTGGGTGCGATATAGTATGTAGTGATTTAGGGGCCCACACTTCGGTAGCGACCGCACTCTCCCTGCGTACCCTGAGCAAAGCCTATCGCAGGTGATCTCAGGGTCTGATGGGCGGAAGCTTGCTATTGGCATCTCCCAAGTAGGATAGCGTGGAGGGGCCGAAATCTCCTACCGAAACGTTAACATGCGGCGTTCTAGTGCCTTACATACCAGAAGGTATCGGGAAGCATGGCCCGAAAACGGGTTTTTTTGCTTTCGAATTTTGTCTTTTTTTGTTTTCTCATAAAACCAAGCAATGTTTCAATTAACTTCTTATGACCCTGTCTTTTTCTCACACTTATAATTAAAGACAACCTTCAACATGTTTTATACCATTTTTATCGCTTTATATCTTTCTGATTTAACTCTCCCATTTACTGTTTCTCATGTATCACGAGCAAGCCATCCATATGTTTCATGGCAAACAAACAAGGATTATGTGGTTCCCTTAGCTAACATGCGACACTCTTGTGCTCAACTATCACGGGTATCGGGAGGCACGGACCGAAAACGGGATTTTTTTGTTTTCAAAATTTGTCTTTTTCTTTACAAGAATTCTTCTCATAAAAAAAACTAGAACGTCCAAGGATACTGCAAACGTTCAAACAACTTCTGCCTTTTTGACTTACAATTTAAGCAAACTCTAAGCATGTTTATACTTTTTTACTTGTTACCTTTTACAATGTAACTTTCTTATAATTCTCTCGTGATGAGCGAGAGCCTCCTTACACAATGCGACGCTCAAGTGCTGAACTATCTTGGCGTATTGGGAGGCATCTAGAATACCCTAAGCAAAGATTTAAAAAATATTGTAAAGGTGTTTACAAGGTATAACAGGACTTTTTAGTGGGTAGGAGGCAAATTACTTGCTTGCTTGCATAGAATTGTAACCTAAGACATGTGAATATAATTGATCAAATATAATAGAGAAGTAAGTTTTAAGTATTTACATTATGCAGAGCAGAGGGATATCTTAAGTATCAAGTTTGATAAAAAAAAATATTTAAATACTGCGACTGAATCTTTTTGTGAAATTGCTGACATGAAAACTCGTTGGAATTCTCATTTTCGGCCTTGTATCGAGCTGTTACATTTCACACAGCAGGACAGTTTCAATTGTAGTGTAATCATTTGTCTTTTAAGTGAGCACTCCCATAGACATTCTACAATTCATTTTATTAATTCATACATTGCTCATTTCTTGTAGTTTTGCACTAAATTTCTACACAATGCAAATCAAGCCCACAAATCACAATGTCTATAAATATGTATAAATGTATACTGCCAGTTATTTATGTACATTAATTTTAGAAATTTCCTTTTCACAGTTTGCAAGGTGGTGTATTAGTGAAAATTCAAGCTTAGACAGAAATTTTAAAATGGAATTAGACAGAAAGAAATTAATATCACTCATATTTGGTGATCATAAAGAAATTAATAACACTCTTGCTATGATGACATTCATGAGTATGTTTTAACCAGTCTTTAAAGCACTATACAGTGCACGAGAAACTTAGATTCATTTTGAATTCATTTCTTTGTGTTGATGTAGAGGAAATACTGGTTTTTGCAAAATATGCTAAGACAAATGCTTTCAGTTTTTCAATTACAGCTGTTTCAATTTAGACTTTTCTTCTGTCCTCTCCAACTATTTTGTTTGTCCATGTTAAAACCCTCGTCATGATATCACATAAATGTCTACATTTACCATATCAACATTAAATAAATTTTCAAGGAAACAGGCAAACAGTCATAAATGCTTCAATGATTGTGCTGGATTTAGAAGAAGTAAACGTGATAGGATAACACTTAAAGCTTAGCAAAACTTTATCATAATGGCTTATAAATAAAAATATATGAGAAAAAGAGAATACATACCTGCTTTTGACGAGTGCAGAAAATAGTTCTCGGATTCAGCGATCAATTTTTGAACATTAACTCATACAACATCGACACGTACATCTTTTTTTGTTAACCCTCTAGTTTCTAGAAAATGCCACTTATAATCACATATTGTCAATCTCAGGAATAGTTGAATAAAAATAAATGCAATAGTTGTTTTTTATCGAGTTCATACATATTTATCCACTACACTGACCATAATGCATCGCAGACGCACCCTCTCTCTTCTTCCGGGATGTAAGGATGTAATACATTTCGATAAAATAATCATGAAAGAAAGTAATCAACTCAATCAATTCAATCTTAAAGAGCTGCTTGATGCGTTTCAAAGGGCAAAACAGGACAATGAAATCATAGTTGATGAGTATGTGAGTGGTTACGTACAGCTTACATATTTCTTTGAACTTTTAGGGACGGTATTCGGTTATGTTAATTCTGATATAAATGAAAAAATTGATATTTTAAAACACTATCGTGCCGGAAGCAGCAGTGAATCATATCGAACGGTGAAGTCTATGATACTTTTTGAGAAATCCAAGAACTTCGTGGTCAGTCCTGAACATCCAAATGGCTGCAGAACTCTACTAAGACTTCATCGTGCACTCGAATTTGCCAGTCTGTTCATGAAACGATTGGGGATCGCGAGTGCGCATGACAAATCCTCCATTCTAGCATATAACTCTTATAATGAGACATTGGCGAAATATCATCCTTGGTTAATTAGGAAAGGTGTTGGTATTGCCACTTACACTTTGGGTAGCTGTGGGGCATTACTGGAAAAATGTGGAGGTGCTATAGAAAATACAGACGAAGCAAAAAGATTGTTGTCCCTTGTTTCTGTTGCTATGGATAATGTATATGAAATCACAGATCATTTGTACACAGAATTTGATCTGCATAAACTTCCATAAAAAGTTATTAATGATCAATTTTATATAAATTAAAAATAAATCGAATATATCATTAACTATAAGAAATTAAAAGAAATTTTCAGATTGTTCATAGTATGATTTAATCACAATCGCAATGAATACATATGTTTTTTACAACCTGAAAATTTTGAATTTTCATCTAATCAACACCAATTAGTATACTGATCAAATAAAATAATCCCATGTAAAGGTTCAATTCTGCCACTTTCTTTGGTAGTGAATCCAGGATTTGCCTTCGAAACAATCTATCTAAGGCAAATGCTACACGTATTGTAACCAATGGCAACAAGAAAGCAAGCTTGTAGTTAACAGCTAGAACAGTAAATATTATGTAAGGTGTGAACATTAAAAACATAAATAAAATATATGAGCCTTTTTGACCAAGTAATATGGCCAGAGTTATAATGCCATTTAGCTTATCTTGTGTAATATCACGAGTATTGTTGCTGTGTAGTATTGCTTCTGTATTCAAAACTAATGGCAAGGCATACAGCAATGGTACCAATGAAAAGCTACCACATTGAGCAACATAGGAGAATAACACAGCCAATGGTCCAAATGTAATTACAATAACAAGATCACCAAGCGCATAATATTTCAATGCAAAGCCTCCGGTATATAAGAAGGATGCCGACAGACCACCAAAAAAAAGCAAAGACATTTGAACCAAGGAAGCCGGAGACAGATAGATCAAGCCACACAAACCAAAACAACCAATGATATAAGAGACGACACCAAGTTGAACTACTTCATGTGGAGTTAGTACACGATCAACAAGTGTTCTGTCATCAGATATTTTACTATCTATACCTTTTATGTAGTCATAATATGTATTCACCAGGTTTCCTGCAGCATGTACGGCCAAGACTGCTACTGAAGTCAAAAGATAAACCAGAAAATCAAAATTTCCAGTTTTCTTGTAGCATATGGCACATCCAACAAGTACAGGTGTCATACTTGCTGAAAAAGACCATGGTCTTAATGCTACAATGTAGGAAGATAAACTTCTTCTATCACAATGCTTAAAATTTGTACCATTACTATCAGAAACTTTGTCATTCATTGCTTAAATTTTCTGAATGTTCTACTGAAAAACGCACTAAATTCCCGAAAATTAAATGATTAACATGGACAAAGAATAAACAAAGAACATCGGTGAGCATAAATAAAAACTCATAACTAATGTCGTATTTTTTACATCCTCCTTCCCAGTCTCTCAGAGCTCTACCCACACGGGACGCGTTCTTGCAGCACGCGAGATAAAATTATTACTTTTGTTGTCATTACTATTTATTATTATTATTGTGATCATTAATAATAGAGATAATAGTAGCATAAGAAACTCTTAAATTACTTGCTAATAATATACTTCGTAACTCACTATCGCTTCAGAAGTGTCGTTGTGCGGCCCTACTTTTTTACAAACATTCACCACAAAAACAGTAGTTTTTACGCTTTGCATTATTCTGCAATTCTTTAATTTCACACCATTGATAATTTTTGCTATTGTAAAAGTCTTTGCTTACATAAAGTAAGTCAAATTACTGCCGCCATGTTTTTTTTTGAATTGAAAAGAAGCTTATTTGCTTTCACGCTTTCAGTGCTTTTCAGCCAATCAGGTTACAGCATTTACAGTGCACCACCAATCACAGTCGAGAAATGTCTCGAAGTATATTATTAGTGTTATTATAATTATTTCTATTTGCATGGGAATATAAAATGACAAGTCAAAGTTCAAAGTACTAAAAAATGACCCCATTCTTTTTAGAGAAGGTAGATTACAGCGTTTCATTAGAAAACTTAAGAAACAGGGATCCATAGACTACGTATACTCGAGTATTTCTATTTTATTATTACGGATAAATGAAACACTAACGCGTCACAATTTTTTATATACGAGTACGAAGTAAATTCTACGGGAAAACTAAAAAAAAACAACTCAGAATGTGTAGTGTGTCTAATTCTAGTTTATTTTGTTTACTTATTAAGAAAAAGCAAAAGAAGAAATAATACTAATTAACATGCCTCAATTCGGTGCACTTTGCAAATATTACATTGAGTGGTTGAAGAGATGACACAAATCGACTTCATCACACGACAGCATATGGGTAGTCGACAGAAAATAGCTTTTCCAGTGTTTTAATGGTGAAGTTAGGATTAGAATGATAGGTCGATGGTGTGAACCAATCAAAGATGAAACGAACTACCGTCATCTGAGTTTGATAACATTAGTAATCTCTGGATGCAGAGAACGTCTATTGAACTGTTGTGCCTAGTATTAACCCAAACAGATTTTATTTCAGTTTACATCTTATTCTTTATAGGTATAGACCAAGACTCTTTTAATTTTGCCTGTCGTAAGTATCTTGTTCTTGAACTTAGACTTCCTAGGCACCATCATTCCAATTCTTTTCATTCAAATCAGATCCATCTGTTTTCAAATGAGTGGTGATGTCAGTGATGTTCAAGTGATAAGAAGCTCTTAAAATATTAGTTTCCATAATCTACGAATAACCTTCGAAATTTCACACATAAGATGTATTGTTACGATAGCTTGATTCATGGTGAATTATTCTTTGGCTTTCAAATAACTTTTGCTGAAGAAGTAGATATTTTTAACACGGAAAGATGTTAGCAGAGGAAATAGGAAATATGAGAAGTTGTACATGCTTTGTGCCAGGCACGTAAACGAATGAGGGCCATAGGGCGTCTGCACCATTTGAACCGAATAGAACCATAAGACAATACAAAAACTTAGTAGTTGTCAAAAGACTTCTTGTCCGTCTGAGGAATGCTTATGTTGTTAAAACAGTTGATGTTCTTAAAGAATTGCTGAAGGAGCCGACGCCTCATAATTTAGAGTGAAAAGAGGCAAGTGTTGCTATATTATCGTGCTATAAGAACTTATGATACCAAAAACAAAAGCATCAATATGAACAAGTTCCAAAACAATAATCAATCCAACGACAAGACACATATCACTTATCAAGGGCAGTTGAAAAATATCTTCAAAAACTATAAAACGGCTTATGGGTCGTGGTTTTTTGCAATATTGATATCACCGGTCGCCCTGGGAAATGTATTAGCTTGGCGAGAGACATCGCAATTCAGCTTGGTAATTTTTACCCTCACACTCGTAGTTGTGCTCTCGGCAAATTTTGCTGGGAACGCCATGCATAAATACTGCGACAGTGTCTCAAAGAAGCTCGTGCATGATAGACACAAGAAAGTAGACGAGGAGGATTATTCAAAAAGTATGGCTCAAATATGTGTACTTTTGTATATTATGGCTTGTGTGTCAATGCTCGGTCTGATGTATCTTTCACCTGCCAAGATTGAACATCTTGCTCTTCTTTTCTTTGGTGGTCTTTCAGCATCGTTTGTGTACACAGGTGAGCATGACAGTATGACTGTATGACAATGTAATGTTATACAATACTATGATATCAAATACTATACAAGCAACATATAATTCTGAGCAATGTAGTGACTTAATTAACCATGCTCCAATGTACTTATAAAGAATAAGCAAATGATATAATGAATGACTAAGTGCAAAAAAAAACAAATATTTTTTAGGCGCATGGACCCCTAAACCTTACATATGTTTGCGAGATATTCTCATCATCATAATCTTTGGACCAATTGCCGTTCTTTTCTCTTACGTCGCTCAATGTGGACAGTTTGATGTGAAAGCAATCCTCTATGCAATACCTTTGGCTTTAAACGCCGAAGCAATATTTCACAGTGAACATGCTAAGGATATGGTTAAAGATCGAGACGTGGGTACTGTCACAACAGCTACTGTTCTTGGTCATCGAGGATCTTATGTCTTCTACCTATTCTTGTTGTTTACACCCTATATCATATTCAGTGTGATGCTGATGAAGGGATCTTTTACCTTTGTGTTTCCACTAACAACATTGAGAGGTGCTTTTGATTTGGAAAAATGTTTTCGTAAAGGTAATCTGGAAGCTATGCCATCACGCACAGCAAGGCTAAACGCCTACTTGGCAATTATCTATATCTTAGTGACATTTTGAATGAAAAAAATAATGAGACAAAGATTTTTGATGAGCCATGCAACACTCTATAGTTTACTATATAGAAAATTAATCTTCATTAATGTACAGGAAAATACATCATCTGAAAAATCGATTAATTTATATATCAATTGTTCCATGGATCACAAAAAGATACGATCTAATTTTTTAGTTTTTTTACAAAATTCAGTCTTTTAAATTCCCAAATTATGTTGCCAGCATGTCATGAACACAAATAGAAGTGACGATAGATCATAAATTTGTCACGATTGGGTTTTCATTCATACAATTATGTAGACCATGCATGGAAACAATTCTTTTGTCTATTCTTGATTTCTACTAAACTATTGTGTGCTTGAAACGATGCATGCTATGTCAATCATTGCTGAAAGAGATTTCATCAAGTTTTAAATTAATCATGATTGTCACAAGACCAGCAGCTTCATCCTATACAACATGACGTGACCATTTATAAATTACTTTCTGCATTATGTCCATTGACGTCTTCCAGTAATCCTTCGGATGGGCCTTCTCTTTTAACATAAATATTCTCAGCATTATCAGAAGTGGCTTCTCCATGATTATGAATCCTTGAGCTATCGTCTTGCCTATTTACTGTTGAACAACGAACAAGTGATCGAAGTACACGAAACTTTGCAGAGGACAGTTTCTCTGATGAAACATCCCCACGTATTGATTCACGCCTGCGCTCTTTTGAATAATAATATGTAAAGTTGGCGACAATAACCGGCACAGGCAGAGCAATAAACAACACTCCTGTGATCGCACAAAAACATCCAACTAATTTTCCAACTAAAAAATAAAACAGAGTGAGCTTGCCTGCATTAATTTAAATACATCAATGTCATTCGTAAAAAGGAACGCACAGTTGAAATAACAAAAGGAACAAAACTTCTCTCAAACCTCCAGTCTTTGGAACGTAGTCGCCATATCCAACTGTCGTCATGGTGATAATTGACCACCAAAATGAGTGAGGAATACTGATGAACTTATCATTTGACTCAGCATAATATATCGCGCTAGAGAATAACACAACTCCTAGAAAATATAGGATTTTCATACTTTACAAAACATATACCATAAAAAGTAAAGAGATGTGATAAGCTCAACTTACCCATACAAAGAAAGAACAACAACAAACCAAGCTCTTTGATGCTAGATCGAAGTGTGTGTCCAAGAATTTGCAAGCCTCTGGAATATCGTGACAGTTTAAAAATTCGGAAAACTCGAACTAAACGAACAATTCTAAGCATGGCAATGGAAGAAACGCCAGAATTTGAAATATCCACAGCAATACCGATGTAGAACGGAATTATAGCAATAAAATCGATTATATTCAATACAGAAATCACAAACTTCCATTTATTCGGCGAACTTAAAAGTCGAACGACATACTCCAACGTGAACCAGCTAATACAGAATGCTTCAATGGTAAATGTTGCTGACGTGTAATGATTGTCAACATTACTATCGATTTCACTACCATTTTTTTTAGTTTGGTTTTCTTGAAATGACGGCAATGTTTCGATGCAAAATAAAGCAACAGATATTAATATTATGCTCACGCTAAATACTGCAATAACCTTAGCAAAATTAGATGTGCCTGGATGCTCAAACAACTCCCACACCGTACATTGAAACCTGTTCGTTGATTTTTCATAATTTTCCTCGAATCCATCGTATCCTTCTGTTGCTTGCCACATTGCTTGTTCACCTAACTCGAAGAACTTTACTTCATCCACAAAAATGTTCATGGGTATGGCTTCAGGTCGAATTAAGGTTCCACGCGTTTGGTAATACGTCAAAATTGCCTCAAAACAAGTTCTATTTCGATCGAAGAAGTATTCATTGTTCTCGCTATCCCAATATTTACTCCGTTTTAATTCTGAGCCTAGTACGCTATCAGGTAGTTGTTCAACAGTCTGTTTATATGTCTCGAAACGTAGTCCAGAGACGTTAATAATGAATTTCATCGGCTGTTCACTAGAGTTGAAGTCACGAAACTCTGAGTTGGGTCTAACAGGGAAAAAATAATTCATCTCGTTGAATCCAGAGTCAGAAGTCATGTTTTGCTAAACAACATATAACTTAAACACTCCAAGAACAATAAAAACTTCCTTAGGTAGAAAGTTTATGCTTACATTAATTGAATCACATTATATTAAGCTCAAATTACTAAATACTGGTATCATGTTGTTCTTTTTGATTTTTTAAGATCACTTGACCATGAAGTTATCACGTACGTAGCATATGATAACATAGATTCTTTAAACGAATCTTTGGTTGACTGTAAAAATACATTTAAAAAAATATGACTAAAAGATTTGAATATTTTCTATCGAATATAGTGTATGTGTTTATTCGTTTGACAACCAGCAATAAGGTAAACATCACTGAAGTGGCATACTATATGCAAAATAAATGAGAGTATGCAAAATAAATGAGAGTATGCAAAATAAAGTGAATCTATCGAGTTGCTGGGTAACACGTTATGTAACAAAACTTGCTAGACAATGTGCCAGATCAAACGTAGCTTGTGATTGAATACAGAAATTCCAAATGCGAACTACTGTACTATTTAAAAATAGCGCTAGTGTTAAATTTTCATTAAATTTAACATTACCAATGATACTTTGTACAAGCAATGACTGCAATCAAAATTTGAAACACGACAAAATCACACTGAAAGGAAACAAAGCCATTTTACGAATGTTTGAGTCTTGTCTCCGAAACAACTCTCAGGGTAAAAGCTTTTAGTTTCTATATAAAGAAACAAGAAAGACATTTGTTTCTTTAAAAAGACCAATCCTTAAAAAGGTGTAACATAAAACAGTGTATATTGCTTTTTCTTCTATGAATAAATTTCATTTGATCATTCCAATTATCTTCCCAGCTTTCCTTTTGAAAAATGTAAATAATATTTTGCTCCTGCTGCGAATTGGCATATAAATAGTATTTGTGATCAGTAACTTATTGCCAAATTATGCACTCACTAAATAAAGAAACATTGTTATATCCTATACCATGTTTTCTGCTATCGTAACATTTCATCAACAGCCTATTTTGTTGTAAATGAGTCCAGAAACTTTAACATCAATCCCATGAACCATTCCCCGGCAATGTTCACAATCTAGCTGTTTTTATGTGCTACATAACTTCTTTGCAATAATTGTTGTTAGAATTATATGCATAGAATGCATACATGGCTATAGGAAAACACTGATAATAACTTAATTGACTTAAGGCTTTTGATGAAGCTAGTTAAAAATCCAATTTTCAAAATGTAGATTTCGGGAAAAATTAACTACAGAAACGGTGCAACGTTGACGTCAAATCAATTTCGTCCATTACTTTATAATTAGGTTTAGTCTGTTTGAAATTACGCACACAAAAACATCTGTGAGCCGCTTTATATATTTTTTCACTTACTCGATTTTCTTTCTGTATACAAAATAAATGTTAAAAACTCCTTCGCAACTAAATTAAATGTAAAAGAAGAACACAAGAAATTATTAACAAAGCAATACTTCGATCATAGTCCGAAGAACCGAATTAGAAATTTTGCTGCAGCAAAATAATCATGCTTTCATTGCTAATAAAATGGAGATACTTGTTTTCTTGTTTTGTCCGAAATTTTGCTTCTCGTGCACAACATATGAAATTATCAACCTGTTAACAGACTTATGGATATCTCCATAAAAAATTTTTTATTGAATCTGCCAAAATGTAACACGATGGCTGAATTTTCAAACCCAAAATCAGTTTAAGCTGTTGAGATGGTGTAAAATGGTCTAACGTCTCCATCTTTTTGGTAACAGCCGATATTAACCAAGCCGTGATTCTAAAATAAATATTAAATCTACGTTAAAATTTGTAAAGAAAAATGCCTAGAAATCGTTTTCCAACATCATTGCAAATGAAGAGAACTAGTTAACTAAAAGAACTTACTATTGGAAAATTATAATGTAATCATGCGCTGTGAATTGTCACGTCTACAAGATTATTTTTTCGTGTTATGCATGCTTAATCGTACCGACAATATCAATTAAGGAAGATGTAAATTTGTTAAACTTAAAAGGCGAAATCTGATGTGTTATAAAATATTTATTCTTCAATACGATGTTGAGTTGTCATGATGGTAGTTCGAAAGCTCTATTTTCGAGGTAGGTCGAGATAAAATTAACTTTAACGCGTTCACTTAAGTAGTTCGACAGCAGCAATGCACGGCCAATATTGATTGTACACTTTGATCAATAACTTGTAATGCACAAATTTTCTTCATAGAAAAATGTATTTTATTTTATTTTCACTATTTTGTATCAGGCAATAATGACTTGGCAGGGATGAAAGTTAAAGGTGGAATGAAAATGTTGTAGCAATGTTATATTTCTAATTTCTAATGTTCTAATTTCAATGTCAGAATGTTCGAAAAAGCTCGTGAATAATGATATTGTATACTATACACTAGGGCATACAGAATGATTACTCGTAGAATAAAGTCAATTAACTATTGTTCTAATCTCAAAATCAGAATGCATAAAGTTTGCCAACGGGCAATCGTTTTATTTCATGCTCAAACAAGAAATTAGACATTTGGTCAGGTTATACATATGTGTTACAACCGAAGCCAGCTAAATATGTCAGATTTCAATGTTGATATAAGATACATTACATGACAATTTAGAAATTATTTTTCTCGTGTCACCAGCCTCTGTCAACCAAATACACCTGCCGTTTTGCATTTATGCAATAACGTAACGATCAACGTAAGAGCGTCTTTTTGTTACAGAGTTTCTACTATCCCAGGTATGATGGACTCTTGGCAAACTCTGCTGTATTTTTTTGTTGTTTTTGTCAAAGTTGTTCAAGCGAAACAGTTTTTACCGTTGGAATATGGTAAGTTGATTCATTATGGAAAAAGCACTTAAAGATAAAAACATCTAAACTTCACTCCAGCTAGTTTAGCTATAAGCAGTATTGCGAATGGAAGCATAATTGAACATCGAAACTACTCTACATCTACAAGCTTTTCACATTTTAAATAATCAGATTTAAGACGAAGAAGAAGATTATTTTTTCTACATTTTTCTCAGTGGATTAACTTCCACGAAATATAGTTTTATTTTTTCTCTTTAGATGACCCATCGTCAACAGCTTATACCAACCTCTCTAATGACTATCATAAATTTATGAGAAAACTCTTATGGGCAAATTTTCGCCGTCCCATAGGCAGTGGAAATCGTTTTTTTCTCAAGAAAAAGGAGAGGTCGTGCGCGAAAAGATGTAACGAAATACGCAAGCCTGATAGCTTTTGCCATTGTGACGTGTTATGTGCTTTATTCAAAGATTGTTGCATCGATTATTGGCCAAGGTATGAAAGTCACATGATCATTGGCATTGAGGTTTTGAAGAAAAAATGAATCCCGTGAACACAATTAACATTAGCTAATGAAGATAAATTTATTGATTGATTGCTGCTATTAAAGTGTCACTTCATATACAAGGCGAGTTATTAATCACTGACATAAACGAATTGCATGTATTCAACCTTTTGAAATAAAAATGCATTTGCAATATCGTGTTCCATATGTAAAAAACTTATTTTCCAAAACATGTTATTTCATGTAAAGTTTATTTAGTTTTCTTTTACCAGTTGTAACATAACAGCAAAGCAGTTTAACCGAACAACCCAACAACTATGGCAATGCATCAACACGGAAATTATTCAAGCAAAAAGTGGAAGACGATTAGCACCAAGCGCCTATATGATGATAAATCGTTGCCCAGCAACCCACATAAGAGCAAATGACAGTAGGGCAAGCTGTACAAATTCACAATCGAATTGTGAAAACCCTCTCGAGCATATTCCGGTAGTGGACGAAGACAGGAACACATATAGAAGTAAATATTTTGCCAGCTGTCATGGAATACGAAATGTTAGCTACTGGGGCGTTACTGTAGCGTGCCTAGATCCCATTCAGAATGGAACAAATCTCGAATACGGAAGTCCATACCTTCGAGAGAATTGCAGCTGGTATTTATCTCCGGGGGAGAACATTACATCAGCTCAACCCTGCACGCTTTCAACTCTTTGCAAAGCAGTTGTTACGACAAAAGAATCCAAAAAATTTAAAGACATTGCAAACAAATGTAAATCTTATTCCCAGATAGTAGTAGCAGGAAGTGCAGTATATAAGAACTTTCACTGTGCGTCTTGTAATGGAAAATTAGTGATAGAATTCAAGAAGCCTGCTGTCAACGTCAAAAAACCGTCGTTATCATTGTTTTTCGACTACAAAACACTTTCCCAAGATTCACAACATCATCCCGGTGAAATGCCTACAGATGACGAAACTTTACATGACGTCATACAAAGATACTTGACTGTGATTGGTTTATCATTATCAATCACGTGCCTGTTAGCTGTCGTAATAACCTACACAAAATTCAAGGTGTTGAGAACACTCCCAGGTCTTATGCTGTTAGGTCTTTCTGCATCATTGATAGCTTATCAGAGTTTATTATTGGCCAATCCTTACGTCACACCAAAAAGCCCAAAATGCAAAGCGATGGCTATCTTGTTACATTTCACCATAATTCTTTCTTTTTCTTGGATGTCTGTCATGAGCTATGATGTAACAAAAACATTCTCTCGAAAAGGTTAGAGAGAAATTTTTGAGTTACATTCACATCTTTACCTAACAATAGCAATTTTCAATTTAGGAAGGAACATAAAGTCTTCCTTTCATAAGTATGTCATCATTGCTATCGTGATGTCGCTCGTCATTGTGGGATCGGCTGTGATATTGCAAGAAACCGGTGCTATAGATATCGGCTATGGTAAGATTCTGTCGTAAAAACATTAAACTCACTTTGCCGTCTAACACAAAAGATTTGATGCTGATTGTCAGGTGTGAGAATTGAGAACAAGAAATATTGCTATCATATCCTCTCGCTGTATATCTTCACTGTTACAGTAGAAAATTTATAACTCGCGTTACATTTGTAAATTTTTCAAGGTAAAACGTCATCGTGTTGGATTGGAGGGGTGTTACCAATGATACTATTCTTCTATATTCCCGTGGGTCTTATGCTTGTCTTCAACGCATTATCTTTGATTTGGACAATAATCAGCATAGAAAATGTTAGAAAGGTAAAGCACAGAAAGTGCTAGAAATAGAACAAAAACGAACATGAAATTAAGTTGACAAAGTAAATTGACTTTAAAATATTCTGACATTACATACCATAGCTCTCTCAAGGTCTTAATAAGTCCGTGAACTCCGAGAATCGATGGCAAAACGTGAAAATATATGTAAAGCTATCCGTAATGATGGGTATTACCTGGTTCTTTGGTTATGGTGCTCCTCATAACATTGTCGTAGCGTATATTTACATCATTGTTAACAGTTTTCAAGGTAAGGAAATCATATAAACACTTAATAGAATCGCATTCAGAATTGTCTTCGAGACATCGAAGAAATGTAAAATAAATTTTAAACAATATTCTCAACATGCTAGGTTTCACTTTCTCATAAGGAACACCATGAACTTTCAATTCAACGTCCATAACAAGAAATGAGATTCCTGTCAATCGCTCAATTTTACCAAGAGAATGTCAAAGAAGATATTTCATTCCAAAATTCTGAAAGAAACGTCTAAAATTCTTCTCTTATTTCATGCTGATAGTTCTTGTATACTTTCAATCAGTTTAAACACGTCATGATTAATAAGTCATCACCTCTTACAAACATTTTTATAGGTGTCCTAATTTTCGTGACGTTTGTTGTGAAAAAGACAACAATTGACTTGTGGCGAACTGCAACATCCACAAGAAGATCAACAAAAGCAAGGCAAACAAAACTTTTCAAAATGTCCACAAATGTTAAATTGGCAACACAATTTGCATCGACTCATCAAGTGAATAGAAACAAAGGAGAAAATCCTGTAAAGCTTGGAGTTGTAAATTTGGGTGAGGAGAGTGAAAATAAATTTGATGCAAATTCCTGACTTTACCTCAAAAGGAACTTAAATGACTAAATATTTTGTTCTTATAATATGTAATGCGTAAGGTAATTATGAATGAAGTGTTGTATGGTCAATTTTTCATGCTTAAGAAGTGTTATTACAAAGTACTGTACTTGGATTTTAAATATAATAACAAATTAATTATAATAAAATGTTTTATTATTATGGAATGTACATTGAATGTGCCAGCAAAGGAATATAAAGGACTAAAGAGTATTTAGAAATGTATCTTTCATGAATAATTATTATGTGAATTTGAAATAATTCAATGAAAAAACCTACACTGGTTTGCATTACTGTACATATACAAGAGATTGATTATTTTCAGTTCTTCATTCATGCATATCCATATACACTCTCGTCACTGTAAGCAATATAAAGGAAAAAGTCTTCTTCATGATGCTCTTGGTATAACTGACCCATGGTGGCACTAGTTGGTGGTATAACATTATTTACAAAGAAGAACAGAGCATCTTCAGGACGCAAGTGGATACGTTTTCGAATGAGAAAGTAGAATTGACCAACTGAAATTTTACAAAATAAAATGACTTTGTAGTCTTTAATTATTGATGCAAGTTAAATGCATAGCTACAAAGAAGGCAATAATATACACAAATATAAAGAAGACTTTGACCAGTTGTATTATATACAAGAAGATGAAACCTAATTCTAGGTTCTAATCTTTGTTTGAAGTGTCAATAGTGAGAGAAAAGGATAAATTAAACTGCTTTTATTTTTCTAAAAAGCAAAAGACCTATTCCTATGCCTATTTCACTAAAGTGATTAAAATAAGTATTTCTCTTTCTTCACATTTTCTAACATACCTGTAAGATCTGATGGCACAAGGTATTTCTTCTTATCTAAGTTTCCAATCTTTGCCTTGGGTGCTTTTTCCACGATGACCTTGGAAGTTAGAAATACAATATTTAATTATATAAATCTACCACAACATGGCAGACTCAACTAAATCAAATTCCTCCGAAGTGGGCACTTTAGTAATTTAGAGAGACTTTAGAAAGAAATGCAGAAAAACTTTAATGCAAGTAAATTAATTAAAAGCACTCAATAAGTATGTTTAAAATCGTATCCTTGTAATGCTAGAATCGTCATGCCATCGACATGTCGCTTTGGTAAGTAGTTTATTTGTACAAACCGGGACTCTGTCAGGATACTTCGTGCGGATTTTCTCGCCCTCTGCGCGACGCTTTTCGAACGCATGTTCCTCTTTGTATTCCCACTTCATGGTGAACAATAAACAACGTCTTTACGAAAGAAGTTTTAACAAAATACTTGTAACAACACAACAACTTTCAAGAACTTTCTCTAATGAAATTGCTTCTTCCGCTTTCCTTTGCATAAATTTCTCAAAAGGACTTTTTTAAGTAGAAATGGAAGCACAAAAACAAAAAAGCAGATACGCCACACGAACAAAATGAAAAACAATCCTATTTGTTTATACTTCACGTCTTCAACTGAGAATTACAACAGTTACAACTTCACTTCAATACAACTTTATTAACTCAACATGTTTGATATATCAAATAGAATTATAGTGAAGCTTTAATCTCAATTTAGTCTATCCCCAGAATAATACCACATTAAATACCACATTAGATTGTACACAAATACTCAAAAACCTCATACGAGCATGAGACAGAAACCTCGCTTTATATGGACAGTAGATAGTAAAATGCAATGCTACAAGACTTGTTTAACTGTTGCAAGCAATTTTATTGACAAACCTAAGAGGCCAATACTTTTTTTTAACAGCAAAAAGCCGCATTTTAATATTTTTGAGCAGTCAAATAAAAAATGCAAGGTCTTGCTAGCTGCTCGATAGAAATTCATGTAATAAAATGAAAAATCAGAACCCAACTAAAACCAAACAAAACTGCTGAGAAGCAATGCACGTCATCATTCACTATTATTTTCATCCAAAGAGTAATTACACCAGTGCTTGTGACCTTCTCCCCATGCATATGTCTGACAATCACGCGAACAGTACAATTCTGGACATTTTGCACAGCGCTTCAATTTCATCCCCAGTCCTTCCATACAAGTACCACAACGACGTAATGGTTCGATACCAAACTCTTTTCGGTAGGCAGTCAAGATCTAGTTTTGAAAATAGAATAAAGTCATACATCACACTGAACATAAACGGCTATTTTTTCATGGTACAGCAATGTAATTTCACATAAATCACCTCTCGAAAATACCATCTCACGTTGTTTGCAGTCACGTCAATACGTAAACAAAATGAAATATCGTTAAGCGCCCTCTTGTAATCTTTTAGTTCCATGAAAGCTCGAGCTCGACGAAATGAGGTTTTAAAAAGAATCTTTCTTGCCTCGTCATTGTCTACGAATAGAGAAAAACATGCTCTTACACTGAAGAAAAGGAATTTTACTTTTTCAACGATTTTTACAATGATCGTGCGTTAGTAATAAGGAAAAAACCATCTACTTATAACTATTATTGTACGTTTTATCATTGCTATAAACATAATTATCAATAAAGTAAAAGAATAAAATAAAACATGGCACGCTTCACACACCTTCATAACTTCTTATAATGGCTTGAGTACAGTCTTCAATGGCTTCCTTCCATTTTTTTAGTGAAATATAACACTGCGCCCGATTGGTGAATAATACCGCTGGCAGAGCATACCTGGGCATATCAATGAATTTATACAATCTCGTACTTCAAATTAGCTCAATAAAAACGTGTAAACTGTCGCCCTTTATATATAGCAACATTTTAGTTCCTAATTTTTACTTAAAGGCCATCATATTGATGAATAATTATGTGCCAAAGAACTATCAAGACTCAAACGCACTCGCGAAAAAACTATATCCAATAGAAAAATTTTACAGTAGAACATACCAAGGTTTGTAGGCAGGATCTGGTTCGATGAGTTCCATGGGAAAGTGCTCCACTGGTGGGACATTTTCTATACCAAAAGTATAACACATAACAGCTGAATCGTATTTTTCTGCGTTGAAACGCGCGTTGCCTTCCTCTTTAAACTTTAACGCTTTGGGAAGAGAGTATTTTCCTGGTAAATCTTCGCGAAATTTTTCCTCGCTGCGATTCCACTCGCTGAAATGGAAAATGATAACAAAATAAAATTATCTAATACGTAAAATATCAAAACAAAGTTGTTTCAACTTTAGCGACAAATAACTTTTATCCAATATAACGTGGACAGTTATTTGTCGCTAGGTTTATTGAGGAAAAGAGTATGTATAAATGTTGGTTGAAACAAAATGAAAATAAGTCTTTATGTGATTAATATTTTGACACTACATTTAAAATACAAGTCAACCTTTGTTCTTACCCAGGACAAAATTCTTCAAGAGCTGCTTTTAAATGTTTGACTCCTTCCGCCGTTGGAAGCTATAAAGAAAATGGAGTATTTTTCTATCCACATCAAATCTTGAGTTTACAAGATGATGTTTTTTGGAGTATATTTTATATTCTATTTCTTAAAGCTGTTGGCTGTAAAAGGTTTTCTCATATCAGCTATAATTCCTTGGACTTTGAAACATGCATCTGAGTAAAGTTCACATACCCAGTTATATTCCATGAGAAGGAATAACTGTTCTGCCGTGATACCAATAGAGAACACATATTCTGCACCAGCTTTTGTTTGTGCGAATGATATGAGAATTTTTAGAGCCTCAGTTTGGATCTTAAACAAAAAGAGCAAATGCGATACATTTGAATTCAGAGTACATTATGTATTCATGAATTTTAAGCAGCTAATATCACCTGTTGTTGGTAGGATTGGATAAAAATAGGAAAAAGTTTTCTGTATACCTAATAAATGAAATAAATACAATATTAAAATAGCTTTGGAAGTTTGAAAGTTGTTGATTTCACGATCATTTGGCATGATGCTTTTTTAAGAAGGTATGTACAAATAAGAAAACTAGAGAAGTATGAACGAAACACAGATTTTTGAAACATTCCTTAATAAATGATATAAACAAGTAAAGAAATTTACCGTAGATGACATGAACTTGCTTTTCAAATCACTGTATCTAAAACTGAGTTCTTTAACCAAATTTAGAACACTCAATACAACTAAACAATCAGGATTGTACACTAAACAGAGAAAACAGCACAATTATTAGCCCCAGTTCTCACAGGTCATACATAAGAAAAAGCAATTTGTCTAAGTTTTACCATGCTGTTCAAGAAGATTCCAAATGTCATACTTCTTGAGCAAATCTTCAGAAGACATAACTGGTTTGTCACAAGTAATGATACATTCAAGCACAGTTAAACATACACAAAGCATAGTCTTTTCTTTCCTCCATATACAAGGTGTTGAAAACCATTTACTTAGAACCTGAACATAGGTCAGAAATATGTAATTTCTTGATGTGTGTATGTAGAAATAGTTTCAGAAATCATAAAAGACATACCTTCATGAATGGCTTTAAAGATAGAATCTCAGACTTTGGAATGTTCGAGCTACGTGTAATCTAAAATTCGATGACTTTTAATCAAGTATTTAGATCATGAAAGGAGATGCAATATTTTGTCTTTTACCTCAAGTACAATATGCCCACAGTTTTTTTGCAGTAAATTTGCCATATGTATGAAGCAATCTCTGTGATAGTCATGTCCACCAATTGGTGGATATCGTTCTTCTCTTTTTATCCAATATTTTTTACCACTATAAAACTTCTCAATAATCTCTACATCCTCAGAAGACATTGATAATTTTGAAGTGAAATATTTTTGAAAATAGTCCATAAACAACTTATCTGTCTCTTTATGCATCATATAATGAAGACAAGGTTTGAGTCCATCACATTTATGTATACTTATGCATATATCAGACTGGTCAATTGCTAAATGATGAAGAACCTCTGCAGTTTGATATACAAGCAAAGGATCATTGTTCTGTGGATTGAGAAACTGCACTAATCTTGGTATACCTTCATATCTCTGTATGGTTTTTATGTTGTGGAATCGCTCCAAACTACTTTCAATAAATTGTTTGTCAGTGATGTATCCTAAAATGTTCATGCAGTAATAGTAAAGATATTTGTTAAAAATCCCTGTCCTACTTGATTGACTTGGCTTTAGCATAATCAGACGAATTAACAATTTTACAATGTTACGATCTGACAAAAAGGTTAACAGTTTTTTCTTTTCATTCAATCCAGCCTAAAATATAATAGAAAACAGTTATCAGCAAATCTATTTTAACTATTATCGTATATTTAAAGATAATAAAGCCTTTCAATTCCAACCTTATACTGAGGTGAATTGAATATAAAAATAAAGTTATAAATTGAATGTCTTTTATTTTTTGCAAGTTCTGAAAACAAATACAACTATCAGCATACATAATAATTTTGTAACTTTAAAATCAACCGAACAAGCAAAAAATTATGAAATTGGTCCAACGAACACCACTTCAATGAAGTTGGCTAGGTTAAGAAAAACGAAAAATTATTGTAGTGAAGGTTGCCATTATTAAATGTCCATTGCGTCGCACGTAAGATAGAACTGTGCAGACTTATTGACATAGCACTTTTCTGTTATAAATGAATAGTGCACGTGTACAAGCAATGCAAGCACACGTTTTAGGCATTCCTGAGATTTGTCAAGCATACATAAACTAACATTGTTTGTAAAAAGGGGAAAATTCAAAGTCCCTAATAAAAAAGTAAACGAAGAGCATTTCTCACCACTGTATAACTTTCCAATTCATCAATCCATAAGGAAAATATAGAAATTATGGAAAACTGTGTTTCTTTCAAGGTTGAATCACGTCCGAGAGCTAATTCTATTGCTTCAACAGGGCTATCACCACCACCCAAAAACTCGAAGAGCTTTTTAAAATATCTGTTCCTTTTCTTTTTATCTGGATGTAAATATGCCTTTTCAATATTTTCTCGAGATTTGAGAGTGACGAAGTATTCAACACAATCCATGATGGACGAATGTTCATCGTGATAAGATTCACGATTTCTTCGTTTTGAAGATTTCTTCTTCTGCGAAGTTCGATATACTCTCGCCATGATTTCCCGCAAAATGGCGGCTGTTAAAGTCTAAAAGATTATGAACTCTATGTTTTTCTTTGCTTCTTTAACAGAACACGCCTGAAAATTTAATGAAACTTGAAGTTTAGAGGTACAATTATAAAATACAACACCATCTTTTATAATAAAACCACAACAATGTATTAATGAGTAAACAATGACGTTGAACTGCGTTGCGCATACATTATTTACTTTTGGGACCCAAGCCGCATTGCATTTTGGTATATTGTTATTTCCCAGGCAACTGCTGACAACGACACGGAAGACTCAAATATGGCGGTGTTTTTAGTTGTAAAGAAAATATAAAAAATTATATTTGACCACTTATTTGACCGACAACAGATTATACTGTTGTGTTTGACTTCACTTGAAAATGTTGTATGTCTCTGTGTATAAGTAATCAACGTTTCTGAGGAATGACAAAAAGCAGTAAAGGTAAAAAAGGGGGAAATAATATTAAATCAGTAAAATTACCAAAGCACCAACTTGAGAGAAAACGAGACGAGCGAGCGCGAAGAAATGCATTGAAGAAAGAGCGCGAAGCAAAAGAATATCTAGAAAATGATGAGAACTTTGTGTCATTTTCAAACCAGTTGAAAGTCATAGGATATAAGATAAAGGACATAAAAGGAGATGGGTTAGTTAGATTTTTTATTGATTTTGATCACATATCTATATAATCTACTTTGTTTTATAGATATTTGTTTGTTTTTGTAGCAACTGTTTATTTCGTGCTCTAGCTGATCAGTTGGACGGAAGTGATGATGACCATTTGCAACATCGAAAAATTGTAGTGAAGTATTTAGCAGATCATCGAGATCAGTTTGAACCATTTGTTGAAGATGATAGATCATTTGATGAATATGGTAAAAAGAGAATTAAAATAATTACTTGTGCAAACTAAAAGCATCGGCTTTGAGCTTTCAAAAATGATGACTAAAATGCCGGCTCTATATTATTGCCTTAGTCTCATAAGCTATCAAACAGAACTAAATGAACTTAATATAATTCTTTTATTAGTCAAGGAGCTTGGGAATGCCGGTACATATGGAGGAAATGATTCAATTGTTGCTTTTTCACGTTGCTATGGTGTGAACATTGTCATACATCAACTAAATGAGCGGTGTTGGGTTATTGAAGGGGATAAATATCGCAAACCTGATGATCCTAAACGTGATCTTCATATATCCTACCATAACGGTGACCATTATTCCTCTGTTCGTCGTATTGGTGATCCTATAAATGGTCCTGCATGGATGTATAATAATAAAGAAAAGGTATTTGTCTCAAATCAATGCTTATACTTGTCGTTATAAACATAGCTTTGATAATTAATATAGCATATGTTCACTTAAAGTGCTTACATATATATTTATTTTACTTGTATTGTTTATGTTGCAATGAAAACAGAAGAAAGAGACCTGTGACTTAGGTGAAAATAAATTGGCATCAAAAAAAGCGAAGATGAAGTTTAGTACATCGCCAGATCTGGAAACTGTTTGTGATGAATCCAGTGATGTTGCCATAATACAAGCTGCAACCGCCTGTCAGGTTACTTTTACAGTTCTTTCTGGGAGCTATGTTCTGTACATGTATTCTTAGCACAGCAAATGTTTGCCTTAGAAGGGACAAAGATTGTGTTCATGTATGCTCAGTTGTGCAGATTTATAATGTCAAAATCATGGTTTCTTGTTTATCATTGTAGAATTTGGAATTGATTCAGCAATCTTTGATCGAGAATAGCTATGATATTGATGCCAGCATTAGACATATTCTACAACTGCAGTCTTTCCAAGGTATAAATGCGATTGAACGTAAATCTTCATAAAATTTCCCCTCTCCCTCCATTAAAACAAGCATATTTTTAAACATACTTTTAAGATCGAGATGTCAATGATGCGGAGGACACTGCTTGTTCTTCAGAAATGACGAACTTAGAAATTGAAGAGAAATCAAAGGACTCTCGATCGACGAACACCAGTAGGAAAGCTTGTGAATATGTTGGCAAAAATAACGAGAGGCACACCGTCAAACGCCATGAAAAGGTAAAATGACCAATCAAACCGTCATGTGTCCATACTTGTTCATTTCCCACTTCAACAAGAAATTGTGTTTTTCACTGTAAGATTTCAAGTTATGTTTTCTTTACATGAAGGCGCTAGTTGTAACGTGGTGATAAGCTGGACGATGATGATCATAGATAATATTAATGTTGAATAAATTTTAGGTTGCGCCAAGTAACCGGAAGCGGAAACAAGTAAAGAAAGCCAAAAGAATGGAAGAAAAGCGAAAGGAATTAAAGAACAAAGAGTTGTCAAATAATGACGATACACAAAGCTCTGTTGCCACTGAATTTGTTGGTCTCGAGGCTCTTGCTATTTAAAGGATTGAGGCAGAAATGATGCATTTTACTACATAACTGCAGGTGATTTATTCGAAATTTTTCTATCGTTGAAATTTACAAGAAATATGAGTGGATTTTGCATCGTGATTATACCGCTGATTGTATGCCTAGAGAACCGCACATCCGTTGGAGATGAAATAGAAGAATTGGACTTATCAAACATGAAACATTTCACAATATAAGCCTTTTTTCACTTAAATATCACCGCGAACATTGCCGTTGATCATATGTCTGGAGAACCGTAGATCCCCTCGTGAAGAAACGGTAGAATTGGACATGTCGAAATGTTGGACATTCAAACTCACAGAGCCAGCACTATGTTCACGGGTTGTAAGTAAGCTTCGTACTGTAGGTAACGACGTTTCGTTGTCGTAAGATGATTGAAGTGTCAATGAACTATTGACTTTGGTTTTTCTTGTTTTTGAGATTAATTGGTCTCTTGGAACTGCAATTTGTTGAAAAAAAGTAAATGACTTAGACTTTCCATGTTTTTTTTGTACGGTAAATTTGATGTGCACATGCTGGAGATACTTACCTAGTTAAAAAAAAACTTAGTTTTTAGTGATGACTGAAGTGTTTATTAAGAAACAATCATACCATGAAACATACAAACGTTCATAACAATAAATTTCAACATACTTTCAGTTTCCAGTTCGTTTTCGCATTCATCCATTAAACCTTGTATCGATGGGAATGATAAAGATTCCGAGACGTTTAAACATGGCGCAACCATGAGAAAATTCGTTCGTAAACTGACATTATCATCGTCTTCATGAACTGCGTTGATAATACCCTTTAAATCTTCAACTTTGTTTTCATTTGGACCATCACGTTTTAATGACTATTACAAATAAAAGCCTGGATGGTAAAATATCCTAATAATACTACAATCTAAGAAATGAAACGCAACATTTTACTATCAAACTATCGAAATGAAGTCATTCAAAATGATTATCGTATTAATCATTAACTTTTCAGTTCATTTAAGTATTGAACAACGAGAATATTTAACTGCGTTTACACCTGTATTGCAATGTGAATAGCTCTCATCCAGTGATGCCTTTTTGTCTCTGTCATACACTTAACAAATTGAATTATAAGTCACGTTACGTCCTCAATGATTCTCGTCAAGTATCAAAAGTTACCTTGAATAAATAACGACCATGAGCTGCACAAACGGTGAACTCATAACTCTTGCTTTTGTGCTTCGCAATAACACATTTTGTACGACTTTCAATTTCAACACTACCGAGAAGCTATAAACGCAATTGATAATTATAAGAATGTCTTCGCTACAGTTGGCCTGAACAGGTGTTTAACCTACCTTTTCACACTTATTCGTTTCATAAAATTTCAAATAGTTTTGACAGAGAACTGCCCAATATGAGATCCACTGCATGTAAATATAAGAAAAGGTGCTTTTTTCAAACACGAATAGTTAATATACACGCAATCAGGAAGCATCTTAAAAATCCAGATGCTATGTCATGTGATTTAGTAATAATTTGAAATCCTTTATCGTAGAATAAATTTCTGCCGTAAAAACTTTAATGCGTTGTATGTAAGTATAAAATGATAAATAAAAATTTCTTCATGCGATTATAGTAAAGACGTCATCAACAAGGCTGGTCAATGGGCTGGTCCAAGTCAATACAATGTTGTCATTAAAACAATTTGTTGCCAATAATTCATGTTTCCTCTTCATACCTTTCCTTTTGCTTCTTTCTTTTTGAGAAAATCTGCATAGGAGTCATTTATAGAGTCATCATATTCGGCTCTTTTAACAGACATAATGTCAACACTGTAGCACTTTAATCAATAGCTCTGATGTTTAATGTTTATGTTTATACAAAAAGTCCAACGTTTGTTTTTCGTGAGTGGTTCTTATGTACAAAGCAACATGACTTTTTTCTCATAGAAATCACTGTTTAGTGAAGTAAAGCAAACATTGCTATTGCTAGTGTAGTACGAGTTTACATGTCAAAATGCCTAACAATCAAATATATGTCAACAAAGTAAGGTTGCCAAGGAGTGATTACTAATAAATGATATTATTTTCATAAAGGATTATCGGTATTAGTAAAAGTGAAAGTAATAGTTTACTGAAAAGCCAGCAATAAACATGTCGTCGTACTTGTTTTAAACTGGACTTGGGACTCCTAATGCAGGCGATAACAATTGTGAGGGAAAAAAATGTGATTATGTCATCAGAGTACAAGAACATGACGAATTATGCGGAAATGCGTCTAGACAAACTATCGTTGATTATTTATCTCAAAGAACAAAAATTGTTGGTCTAGACCACTGTCTGAGCATTGACTGAATTCGCATTGTTACACCAATTTAAAATGTGGGAAAGCTAGAGTCTGCTAGACTGTTTTAATTTTAGTTTTATTCACTTAATGCCGTTTGTGGTTCGTAGCAGCTTGTTCTCGAGTGAGTCCCAATTCCGAAGACTCAGCGAAGCGTGAACACGTGAAGGATTTTGAGGAATTGAAACGAGTCGTTACTTGAGTTATAAAGTTACCTGGAATTCGCTGAAAGCCAGAGCCGTTCCTGGAAGTTATGTTCATTTTATTTGAGTCAATTACTTTTAAGGTAAGACCAGAAAGGAAGTGTTAAAATATACTTGTAATTTAATGAATATTGGGTTGTTTTTATTCGACTAAATCATTTAACGCCCATCTGAAAGACTGAAACTCGGCTAGCCTGACTCAATTTTGAATGACTTTGAGATGACAATTTTATTTGATTTATTTCAAATTTTCAGTTGCTGAAAAGTTCATTCGATAACTCGTTGAAGTCCACGTAACATTGTGTTTGATATGAAATCGTAAATCTTTATTTTAAAGGCGTTTTTGTCGTTTGGCCGGCGCGACCAAAGAAGTTATCCTTCTTATTTCGCGCGCTTTATTGACATGTGGGTAAAGTTCAATTAGTGAAATGCATGGTGGAATCACGTGAACAAATTGATTAACTTGTTTTCTTCGCTTTGCTTTGTATTTGGTGTAACGAAATATGTCACCCGGCCTCAAGATAAACTTCATTTAAATGGACTCTTTGTCAGAAGAAATGGTGTTATCATTATTTACTCTGATAAGACTAAATCAGCCAGCCAAGTGCTTTGGAGGATAAAAGATTTAAGTTTTCATATAAGGTAATGTGTAAATGCAGAGGTAAGAACCACTCTATGATTATTTTTAAGATGGTCTTGTATGATTCTTGAATTTATTCTAAAAGTGTTTTTGTGAAAGTCGTTAATTCCTCTGGTTTCGCGACGAAAGAAAAAGATGTGTACGAATATTGTACACGATTTTCTTGCAATTTTTTTTTGAAGAATACCTCGCGTGAAATAACAGCGTTGTTATAAATTCTACGTTTTATAATGAATTCGTATCTCATTATTGACAAAAATAACCAGTTATACCATGAGCATAAATGAATGATATTAAGTTAAAGAGCCAGGAGCAAAATGTTTTAGTACCCCCAAAGTTGACTCCAGATTTCTGGCATGCATAAGTAAAGGAAGACACCCGCGATGAGAAATATAACAAAAAACATATATACCAAATTAATTGCCCAAAAAGAAAAGATATACAACATTTCATTGCAATATCTTCTGAGGTCATCTTTGTTTGTCTTTGTATACTTTGGACGATAGTTGGAATATACCCAAAATGAGCCAGTGATCAGCCACGCTGACCAGAATATCATGATAGCAATTATGAACACACGCCAGCAACTCAGATCTGATTCTTTGTCTTCGTCGTAGCAACAACTTTGCAGAAATGTCAGCAGCACAAGTAGTATGCCTGTTATACCGGCCACCACTAAAAATATTGGAATCTTTTTCTCCACAGGACAATCGTTGATGTAGATTGCTCCTAGATATTAGCAATGAACATAAATATCGTTTTTCAAACAAGATATAGCTTTTATTGTTTACTTTAGCATTTGAAATCAAAAAGGTTTTCGTTTATTGATTCAATTGATAACCCAGTTTAGACTTAGTTGCATACTTACCCACAATAAGGAGAACAAGATTAAAAGAAGCACAGCAAGAGCTAAACCTTCGAAAAATATTAAACATTTTAGTGGAAAAAACACGAAAGAGTAAACTTAAATTAAGAGTTAACGAAAGAGTAAACTTTCGATTATTCAAAATATTTTCTTACCCACTCTCGCTGACAGACCCATATCTGAATAATTTTGTTTACAAAGAAGATCCCAACCTCTAGGTAGCAAAATATAAAACATTTAAAATCAAAATCGTGATTCTCATAGTATAGTAATTTGTATATGTGAAGTTTGTGCATTTTGATGTGCGGTAATCATACGCTGGCGTAGTCTAAATCGCTAAAATACTATCTTAGCGCATCAAAAAACCATGAACGTTTTTTGTTAAAAATGTTAATGACACTTAACAGTGAAGTGCGCGGCTGTAAACATATGTTTTTAGATAGTTTCACTTACAGGATTAATGATTGCTTGATATGTGTGTTAATTAGTTCTTTTATCACATGAAAAATAACTTATGCGATTAAATGGCCTATCCTACCATTAAACTAACATACGCAGTTTTATTAGTATTTTTAGCATGTAAAAAGCCGTAAATGTTGGCAAATGTCGGACTCAGGCTCTTTGATCTATCCCGAATGCTCACACGCAATTTATTCGAATGTGATTGCCTAGCTCAATCAGTAAAATATACATCCAAGATTATTGCGTTATTTAGAAAAGCTTGTATTAAACTTTAAGATAATTTCAAAAAAACTTGCATATAGTTGTGAATTTTGATATTTTTCATTAAAAGAAACTTTTGAAAAACCGTGCGCGTCGTGATTTATTTTCAAAGCAATCAAAACAACGTTGATCATCAACTGCGTGATCTTTGTGTCATGCTATTTAGCAATGAAAGTGCCAATCAAATTTTACTAGAAGCTGCCCTGGAAATCCAAACAACAATCCACTGTGATCAGAAATGTTTACTCTACGCAATAAAAGCCACACACATATTCAATTAAAGAAGTTTGTTATCATCATGAATGAAAGAGTTATTATTGTATGCGTTCAATTAAATTCCGGTGAAAATTAGTAAAGATTTGTCATCGCACGTATTGAAAATACTGTACAAGTCATACATGCATATAAATTATGATAAAATATCAGTCAAATAGGATAGTAGCCATTAATTTGTAATAAATACCTCATTGATAGATAATGTCGCAAACCAATTTTACATTCACAGTACCAAATTCGGAATTGTTTGATTTTATTACCGTCGCGCGAAAAGATAGTTGTATTTACTATAGAAAACGGGCATTTACAGCACACGGAACCGAAAAACACTCGCAGAAGTAGAGATATTGAGTCGTTAATTGTGACAGGAATGAATGTAATTGGTGGAAGAATTAGCCACTTTTCAATGTAAAAATTTCACTAAAGTAAATTTTGTTGAATGACCATTCGTTTATACCGTGAGAAAGCAAAGACCATCTCATGATTTCACTTGCCTTGCGTGTGATATGTATTAATACCAGCGAGTTTCAGGATAGCCTTTGGCGAAGTGATTCAAGTAATAATGAATACTAAAAATTATCCAGCTCTTCAATTCGTCGACTTTGATTTAAAGAGAGTTCGAGCGAGGCGACCGTGTACAATACTGGACACTACCTTTGCATCAACCTATGCAGTGCAGCATCTACCACCTATGCAATCATTGTAAGATGATACGCGCTTTGATAGGACGGAAAATGATTAGCGCAGCCATCTACGGTATGTAATTTTTGGGGGTGTGTACATTAACACAAGAAGCTGGGAATCTCGTCAAGCCGTCCACGCATGTTGACAGATAGCAGCAGAATACTATATTCTGTACGCCCTGAGCTAAACTCAATTATGTGAGAAATATGATGTAGATGGAATCATGTCGTGTTTTATAATGCTGCAGTTATTCAATGATCATCTATGAAAGTCAATGTAAACGTGAGCACGTAACCTCATGGCATGTTTTTAACAACAGTGCGATAAAATGATACGTATCTATTGTGTTGATTGGGAAAGATTGGCAGAGTCTCACCAAGTCTCGCAAATTCTTTGCGTCACTAACAGCCAAAGAGCTGTGAGATTTTTTTCTTATTTCTTTCTTTCCAATTTACATCAATTTATCAACAATTACAACATGGGTCAAACGTCTTGTGAAATAATTATCTGCAATTGTGCTGTTTGTAGTGAACCAAAAGTAGAACCATCATTAAAACGTCTCTGCTATCATTTATACAACCAACGCGCTAAATGAAAAACAATCAATGCTATAGTAAATCATACAGATTTGTGGTTGACGATTAAAAAGGAAGAAAATAAAGTTCTTTGGTTAGCAGCTGATCATACAGAAGTCCTTGTGCATCATCGGTGTTTTTTAGTGGTATATTCAATTTCATAACCTTTGTAATGTCATGGGTACTGCACGCTGTTAAATTACGGCATCTCCTGCTCTTCGGAATCATTCATTTCACTAAAGCTAATACATTGGACAATCTACGCCATAAATATCTAAGTCGGTTCCTGGATTATCTGTATATTAAACTGCTGATTGAGATAATCCAAATCCCGACTATCCACAGCCTCGTGATATTCAGGTTTTCCCATGAGTGATAAAGACATGCGCAGTGTTGTCCAAATACTTTCGGACATCGTGGACGTATTTTCTCGACCTTTACGTACACCCTGACGGTAAAAAATCAAACACATGAAAATTATGAAAGAATTATGAGCTCGATAGTGATGCAATTCTCCTTGAAGAAAAGAAATTTCCTGATTGGTACACATAAACTCATTATTTTACCTTTCTTTGTATATTCAAAGACGTCAAAAAATGTTCCACGGCTTCATAAAATACTTTCAAATTCACACAACTAATTCCCAGGTTATACCGAGCGCGAACATAACCAGGGCTGAACTCCAGTGCATGACGGTATGCGTCCACAGCTTCTTCGCTTTTCCCGCCATTGGCTAAAGTGGCTCCAAGTTTATTCCATATGAGAGCATCACAGGGATTGGTCTGCAATGCTGCTTGAAAGCAATCAACTGCTTTATCGTACTCTCCCGAGAGATTGAAGAGGACTCCGAGACCGATCTAGATAATGGCATTAATAAAGACAATCAGTACCTACATGCAAAACACTGTGAAGACTGTTATGTTAAACGAGCCTAGGATGAAAACGTAAAGGATCTTTATTACATATATGTCAATATGTAAACATATTGTTCATAATAGATAATCACTAGTTAAGTATGTTTATAATAAATATAACATACCTAATTTACATAAAATATAACACTTAAAATGTTTTAATCTGTTAAAATAGGTATACATGTAAATGTGCATGATGTACACAATATCTACGTATGTATGTAAATACAATTCAATTCCATTAATTGCCTAGCACTGCATCTCCCTCGTTATTTACCAAAGATGCTTACCTGAACATCAGCATCAATATCATTATCAGGAGCAAGTTGTGCCGCCTTTATGTACAATTCACGAACTTCATTGTACATAGAATTTGACATAATAGAGCTGGTGAACGTTGGACTTTGTGGTGACTTTTCATTGGTTTTAGTGGTGTTGTCCAATAAACTACAGTATCTACAACGACAAAAGTATATTATGTGCTTAAGATGTAGAATTTCATAGAAGAGCGTTTGTAATGGATGAAATAGCAAGATTTGTGTAATCTTTTAAACGAAAGACAAAGATGATGATAGATACCTCGGATTTTTTCTCAACCAAAGTTTTAATGCATCACATGCCTAAAATGAAGAAAACGAGCTTTCGTGATGGCTTCTGCAGTTAACATACTCACACCAATTTGCATCTTTCTCTCGCCCGTAAAAGAAAGACGGCACCCGAAGCATGCAAGTCCGTATATTATTTTTCATTTGAAAAAGAAGATTGCTTTTGTGATGCTTGGAGCAGATATGGTGCAGTAAAAGACTTCTTCGGCACGATATGTTTTACCTGGGATTGAAGGGATTCATTGGTGTAACAAACAGCCAAAGCCATTAAAGCTGTCAAGTTCTCAGATTGAAGACTTAAACACCTAAGAAGATGAACAGACATGAAAAAAAGTCAAGCATTGCCTGAAAATTTATTCCTGAGTAATGAAATGTTCTTGTGGAATGAACGTTGAGCATTGCCTTCATCAACCAAAAGAAAATAGCATAACAAGACGTACTTGTTTAAAGCAGGTATTGCTAAGTTGTCTTGTTCGTTCTCTGACTGACTTGTACCAAGATACTGCCATGCCTCCGCGTGCTCTGGACGCTGTTGGACCTATAAAAAGAATTATTGAAGTGTCTTAGCAAAGTAAATAACAGTGGCTGTGCTTTAAAAGCATTGATTATATTCATACCTCGGCTTCAAAAAGTAGTATTGCACTGACAATGTCTCCTTCTTTTAATTTCTTCAAGCCTTCTTCGTAAGGATTTGCTACTGCCATCATAGGGTTATTTTCTTCAAATGTGTAGTCCTATAGACCCGCAAGTACAGAATACATCATGAAGATAGATGAAGAAGAAGAATAAATGGCGTTGAGCTACGTTAATATAACGAGTTTATAACAGTCAAAAGTATGAACATAACCTTTTCAGACGAATATTCAGCCAACCAAGGATGCTCATCAATATTCTGTCTAAAGTATTTGGAGAAATATTAATGCATGTGCGCGTACCATGTGGGATATAGCTACAGTTGTAACGTTAAAGGGAAATATCTTACCTGGCAAGATTGTACCATTCCTCTTCAAGTTTACCCCAGAAGTCTGTATCTGCCTGTGGATAAAATTATCTCTTATTCTTAAAGTGAAAGATAAACATGGCTGTAAAAGACATCAGCAAACGTCTCCAATAAAATACCTTGACAGTACTGTCGTTACGGTCATTTTCGTTTTTCTTCTGGAAAATGTCAAAAGTCACAATTAACAGAACACTTCACGTACATTTTGTTGGTGTATTAGCAATCTCTGGAACAAACGTCGTTTTAGAAGAAGTTGAGAGTTCATCAAGCCTTGAATCATACCAACAATAGTACCTCAGTATACTCGTTCAACCAATCATATTCATCTCCTGAAATGGCCGCTTCATACTCATCAACCCATCGTTCAGCAACTTCACCTGATTTCACTTCAAAGCCACTATCTACACCTATCATCTGAAAATCACGGTGGTTCATAATGAGCAAGTAACGTCAAGCAAAAGGAAGGATGTCTGTCTTCTTAAAATGTACCTTAGAATTAAAGAGTCGTGAATCTTCTGCATGTTTCACATCGGAGCTACTTGAATTTTTCAATTCTGGACGTTTCAATCTTTGACTAAAGACAAAAACCATCAATTTTGCACACTTTCAGTGGACGTTAAAAAGACAAATCTGTGTGTTGTAACTTGCAACTGACCTGGTTATTTCGTGATTTACCTCAGCTGGTCTGAAATTATAAATAGAATGTTTAAGAAAGTTAATTGAAAAAAAAAGAACTAAGCATACTCACCCTAAATTTTCTAAATATTCTGATGCCCATTTTGTGGGAACAGTTTGCTGTGCTTGAAACCTGTCTGGAAGATTGTAAAGTAAGATCAGATAAAGTTTGTTTTGTTCAAAAAAATGAAGAATCAAGATAGTAAAATACCTCTCCTTCGATCATTATGATAATAACCCACGTCTTCCTCAAATTCCTCAACCCAAGCTGAAATATTTAGACACATAGCTCACAGTTGATCAAACAAAAATATATTTAGACCAGTGCCTACTTTCTTTATGCTCATCAGTGCCAAGATATTCTCTGGTCCATGGATTCATATCTATGAAGAAGAAAATGAATTATGAAAAGGGTAGCAGCTCATAGCAGTATTAAATATTTGTATGAAAGCTTTATCCAACTTTTGCAGAAGGGCAAGACAAGCTGGAAGTTTTGAATCGTTTATTAAAATTTGAAAGTAATGAACACATTTTACCTGATGAAGGATGATGAAGGGATAAATCATCTACTTGATTGATCTCATGAAGCAAGGTGTCCATATGAAATGTTTGTGGAGCTCCATAATGTTGTTGTATGTTGAAATATTCACCAACAAGCTAGAAATTTGGATATCGGATTGAATTTACATTTTTCAATGGATGAAATTAGATAAGAAAATCAAAGAAAATGTAGAAACCTCTTGTTCTGTTGCTTCATGGAAAGCATGGTGATTCTGAGAAAATTGATAGACATTATCTTGGATGGGAATATAACACAAAATTTTAGAAAGACTTACAAACAGATCATGGTCATTGTGTGTGAATGGCTACTCGGAACAAATCAAGTTTGTGAAGGCAGTTTGAAAAGAAAGCATCTTGGCAAAGGCCTGTTACCTTTACCAGTTAAATAGCCAATCAAATGCTTCTAAAGTGTAAAAACAAATAACAGTAGTCATACAAATAACTTACCTGTGAATTGCCAAATCCTGAAACACGACTTTGAATGCCTGCCTGTGTGTCAATTATTCATTGTTGGATGGTTGTATGATATCATTGATAGATAAATCACTCAAAAATGACTTATAGTACATACTTGATTTAATGATTTGTCTTTTGTGTAATAAGAAACTAATTTCATTAACGGGTTTGCACCACCACATTCCCCTTCAACAAGATCACGCATAGCCATTGCTACTTCTCAGCCTGCATTTCATGTAAGCACATAATTTTTTTAATTTTACACGATCACACGCGATAATTATGACATAATGTGTTTTAGTATTCTGTTGTATACAATAGTATTTGCATAAGAGCTGGATATATATCTTTGTAGCTAAACATAATTTTAGTTTACTTTGTTTCATGTCAACAAAATTCATTTTATCTTGTTATCTAAGTTTTGTCACATCACAATAAACAAACGAAGATGTGTACAAACAGTAAACGAAGAAAGGTCAAAGAATACTTGTTGGGTTTAAATTTTATATGAAATACCTACCACGTCACCTCATGTAAAGAGTCAACGCTGTAAAATAGATTTCTTATAGTGTCATTTCATATTTTAATATCTGTTTCTTCACCCAGACATCGTGAAAGAACGAAAGAATCCTGTTAAGTAGTCAGTGAGTGCAAAGCATCTTTATGGCATCAATACAGTGTTTGTTGTTTGGTCATTACGCAACCATTAATAGTGAAAGAAGACTGGTACCGAATCAAATGTTGTCATGTGAACTGTAAAGATTCTATGGTGTACTATGGTTGTTGACAATAATTATCGACCATCCAAATATATGTACATTGTACAGTTCGAAGAATCAATTCAATTCCACATCAATGATCGTAATATTTATTTATAGAGGGAAAAAGTTGCCCAAAACAATGCTTTGTGGTCCTCCGATGACTGATAGTCAACATCTGCATTTCATTTCTCCCAAAACAAAAATCACGACATTTACGAATAATATAGTGATCCCGTTCTCAAGCAACGAAATTAATTATATGGCATACTGCTATATAATGGCTGTTTTGCGTCAAGTCGATATTTTCAAAAACTATAAAACTTAAAGCTACACGTTATATTGATGGTGGAGTGTACTCGAACTCAATATTAGCTCGTGATTCACCAAGAGCGTAGATCACGATTTGATAGCCTTCAGTAGGATATACAGGACCTAGAACAAGACCAAAACAAAATTAAAAGATGACTACCAAGTTAAAAGATCGGTCACGTGGCCTTAACTAAAGTTACTTCCCCGTGGCCTTAACTAAAGTTTCTTCCCCGTGGCAATAAGTAAAGTTTCTTCCCCGTGGCAATAAGTAAAGTTTCTTCCCCGTGGCAATAAGTAAAGTTTCTTCCCGTGGCAATAAGTAAAGTTTCTTCCCGTGGCAATAAGTAAAGTTTCTTCCCCGTGGCAATAAGTAAAGTTTCTTCCCCGTGGCAATAACTAAAGTTTCTTCCCCGTGGCAATAACTAAAGTTTCTTCCCCGTGGCAATAAGTAAAGTTTCTTCCCCGTGGCAATAAGTAAAGTTTCTTCCCCGTGGCAATAACTAAAGTTTCTTCCCCGTGGCCTTAACTAAAGTTTCTTCCCCGTGGCAATAGTTCACTTACCGTGTATGGTGATATCTGAATTAAAATGATAAATGACTTTTACACCTTTCACAACGCTTGATGCTTCATAACCATACGCTTTGTTGGAACGATAACCTACAACTGGATATAAATGTGTATACGTTTATTAGGTGCTGCTTTATCTGGAAAGAAGCCAGCACAAAAACGTTCCGGCGAAGCATTGTTGTGAGCGCAGTTACAAGTTGATTGCTCCTAACATTTACTATGAAATTACAAGCATTTGCTAATTCATCATTTGCTGTCAGTTGGTTGTTGTGGTCCATAATAACCAATGTCACACTACCTACCGGCATCTACTTCACGATTTTTGCGCATAATTTTGACATTTTTCGAGCCATTAGGTATGGCAACAATGATGTTCTTCCAGTAAGTGGATGAAGGAATCTCATGGTATTTACCTACAATAACTGTACCTGAAATAATAAATCATCAGATGAAAATAATAACATTTTAAATAAAATGTGAATGACCAATGTCAATAATGCACTATATTGAGTTTAGCAAACGAGGGGTGGCACAATAATGAGTTTTACAAAACGAGGAAGTGGCTATTTCTTGGAGAAGGAATAATAGGTATTTTGATGAGTTCAATTACGTTAGATGGAAAAAATTCAGAAATGACGTTCAGTTCACTTTATACCTGGTTTATACGTCATTGGTACACAAATATTGTCTACGCAAGCGCCATTTCCATGGTTACACTGTGTTCCAGGATCAACAGAGCCACGATGAAAAAAGTAGCCTGTCTCCGAATCCCGACAGTGTAAATTACATTCATCTGTAAAGATAAATGAGGAACTTGGAAATTCCAGAATGCTGATGTTTTTTAGTGTCTGCACAACAATCACCCACCTGCACCACCAAAATCATGACCCACTTCATTATAGCCTCGATTTTTGCATTGATAATTGCGATCGACAATTGATGGTTTGCATGGCTTAGAAAGACACACAATATAAATATTTTTAACATGTTTTTGTTCATGGCTCTAACACTATACCATCAATTAAAATACAGAAATTACATAAAAAAGTGAAGAAAAATTTCAAAGCAATAGGCATGAAATGAAATTTGGAATGGCCCGATTTCTCTTCTGATTCCATATGTCTACCACGAGAGCATTGAATGTAAGCGAGATTTATTAGAATATCGGGTTGGTATTATTTACCTGTGGATTACACCAGTATTTATATATCTCTCGACTGGGACCAACACATCCTCCACTAGCCTGTGGTACCAAGCATGTTCTCATTCTGTAACTGATACCGGTACCACACACTTTAGAACATGGACCAGGTTGGGACCATTCTGAGTAGCCACCATTTAACACTGACAAAACAAACATCATCGAGAATGCGCCACAACAGTACGTTCGTTGAATTGTTATAATAATATTATTTACTGATCATGTATTAGGTAGAAAAGAATATCTGATTATTTACCAATTGCATTTATAGTTGTGCTCATTGTCGTTGGTGGTACTGTGGTAGTAGGCTTTTGTGTTGTCGTTTCTGCTTCGGTGGTGGTGGCCTCTTGTGTTGTTGCTATGACCGTCGTGTTCATTTGCTTAGTTGAAGCTTGTGTATTGTTACTGGGAGGTTTTGAAAATGGCGTTTTAATATAAGGAAAGGATGTCATTGGTTCGCTGCCGAGCAATGTGCACTGTCCTTTGATGCAAGTGCCATTTTCATTGTTACAAAGCGAACCATCATCGACTGTTCCTCTTGGGGAAAAGAGATTACTTGACTTCGGCTCTTGGCACATCAGAATACATTCATCTATAAAACACGATGTATAGGCGCACAACTTTTATCAAAATGTGGGATGAAGTTGTGGGCTACTCTTATTCATAAAACGAGATGGACAGTGAGGTATTATTCATGTGTAAAACAAGAGGAAGAAACAGACTGCACTCGTCTACAAAACAAAAGTGAGAGACAGCAACTCTCATCTATAAAAGAAGCAGGACAGGCAGGTTACACTCATCTATCAAACAAGAGGGAGAGAAAGGCCACACTCATCTCCAAAACATAAGGAAGAAGCCAGCTACATTCATCCATACAACAAGAGGAAGGAACAAGCTACACTCATTCATAAACAAGACAAAGACAAAGGCTGCATTGGTGTATAAAACAAGAGAGAGAGAGGCCAGCCTCACTCATCCATAAAACAAGAGGAAGGGACAAGCTACACTCAATCATAAAATAAGAGGAAGAGAAAGGCTACACTCGTTTATAAAACAAGAGACAAGGAGAGAGAAGCAAGCTACATTTATCCATAAAACAAGAGGAAAGGACAAGCTACACTCATTCATAAAACAAGAGAAAGGCTACACTCGTGTATAAAACAAGAGAGAGAGGCAGGTTGCAGTCATCCATAAAACAAGAGGAAGGGACAAGCTACGCTCATTCATAAAACAAGAGAAAGGCTACACTCGTGTATAAAACAAGAGAGAGAGGCAAGCTGCGCTCATCCATAAAACAAGAGGAAGGGACAAGCTACACTTATTCAGAAAACAAGAGAAAGAGAAAGGCTGCACTGGTGTATAAAACAAGAGAGAGAGGCAGGCTGCAGTCATCCATAAAACAAAAGGAAGGGACAAGCTACACTCATTCATAAAACAAGAGGAAGAAACAAGCTACACTCATTCATAAAACAAGAGAAAGAGAAAGGCTACACTCGTGTATAAAACAAGAGAGAGAGAAAGAAGCTAGCTGCACTCATCCATTAAACAAGAGGAAAAAACAAGCTACACTCATTCATAAAACAAGAGGAAGAGAAAGGCTACACTCGTTTATAAAACAAGAGGCAAGGAGAGAGAGGCAGGCTACCTTCATCCATAAAACAAGAGGAAGGGACAAGCTACACTCATTCATAAAACAAGAGAAAGAGAAAGACTACACTCGTGTATAAAACAAGAGAGAGAGGCCAGCTGCACTCATCCATAAAACAAGAGGAAGGAACAAGCTACATTCATCCTTAAAACAAGAGGAAGGGACAAGCTACACTCGTTCATAAAAGAAGAGAGAGATAGAGATATCAAAGTATACTTATTTTTTATGAATTATTACTGACGCTTTCCTCCGAAGTTGTACGAGACTGGTGCAAAACCGCGTTTTTCACATTGAAGACTTCTTTCATCAACTGGAACAGGGCAGCTCTTGGAGGTAAACATGAAATAAAAAACTTGAGAAGAGTGAAATGCCAAGGAAAATGAATAAAATTTTTTTGAAATCATACGTCGTTTTACCTTACCTGTGAATTGCACCAGAATGGATGCAACCGTTCACTTTCTCCAACACAAGCTCTACCATTCAAAGATGGTTTAGGATTACTGCAGCTTCTCGTCTGGTAACTTATACCTTTACCACAGGTCTTTGAGCATGCGCCTGGTTGAGACCATTCTGTAAATCCACCATTCACACCTAAATTGGTAAAGTGATCAAATATCTAGCCAACGCAAATATTTTTTGCATTGCTCTTATTTATGTTGGCATGAGAAAACAACAACATCATGACGATAGACGCTTGTGCAAAAGTCGTTGAGTTAGAAATTCAGCCTACCATCGCAGTTTAATTGATATTTTTCTTTCATGTGTACTGCTTTGGGTACATTTTGCGAAAATTGCCCAAAAAAGTTTCCTGGGGGGAAATAGCGAGCAACAACGTATTTTTTCTTTCCGTCTGCACTATGAGCAAAACCAATGCCAATTTTTTTTGTTGATGCCCAGACAAGCTGAAACGATAATAACACCAAAAAAGAGTTTTGGTATTGCAAGAAGATTTATTTTATCAGAAAGTAATGAGTAACGCACTTGGGTAAAATCAAAGATTATTTTTCCTTCACTGCCTGGTCTTGTGGACGCTCTTCCTTGATTGAATGAGCAATAATCGAGGTCATTTACTTGTTGGTACCTGAAAAAAGTTTTTGAACATTTCAAAGACGTCTTAATGCACACAAGCTACATAAAAGATTTATGTCTTCTGCCTCACCAATGTTCTGTTGCGTTTGTCATTTTGGAAATGCTCTCTGCTGCAGCACTTGGATTGCATTTTGTGGAATCACAATATTGGAACTCATTATTTCTCAACATACTGTAAGCATAGTCTTGGGCCTCCTCGCTCAATCTTATTGGCAAAATGATTAGATCATGATTAGTTTGAGCAGTTAACAATGCAGTGATTGGCTACTTACGTTGGATCTAGAACTAAAGGTGGAACTCCATGAAGACTTCTATAGTAGTTGTGTAGATTTAATTGATCCTCTTGATACTTTTCAATGTTAAAACCGCGATTCGTGTGTCTTTTTACAATCCTATAGAATGACAAAAGAACTACGAATCAAAGAACTTGGTTGTTGCGAACCCTTACTGAAGGGAAGAACGACAAAAACTATAGATTGCTTTTACTCTCTCCGACGTTCAACATCACGTTGATTTATCAGCTTACCTTTTCATCAGTCGTGGACGTGGTTTTCCAAAAATACCAATGCAGTTGACAAAGAGAATTCCAATGATAACTCCTTTCATCATCTAACGATAAAGAATAAACTATATGCAGCCCTTTTGATGGTATTCCTTGTTTTTATCAGTTTATTGTTCATCTATCTTGGTGTGTTTTTATGTATATTATACGCTATGGTTTTTTATGATTGTTTCATCTAAGATGGCGTCTAGTTTAGTTTTGGAAAAATCAAATTCATGAGGCACGATTATATTTTTCAGAAAGTATTTGTTATTCCTTCGTGCATACGCAAAATAAGTTGCACAACATAAAAGTGTAAACACAATTCTCTGCTAATTCAGCGTTTGAAGGAAGTGTTCACTTTAACAACACGTAAAAGAAAATGATTAATTTTAATTTTTGAAGTTATTGCCAACAAAACGAGTATACATGAGTAGTATTTTCTTTACATAAAACTGTCATCAATTTAGAAATGAATATATTTCACTCACCGTGGCAAATAAGTTAACCAAACCCTCACTTGTTCGGAGTTTAGTCTACAGCAACTCTTAATAACCGAATATAGAGTTTAGTCTACAGCAACTCTTAATAACCCGACCAGAGGGTTTCTCATCCTCATTATGATGCTTTGTCTCCTTAGAAACCATAAGTATCGTTATCAATATCTAGATATTTTAGATTGTGTAATACATGTCTAGTATTTGACTGCTCTATATTGGAAAACTTTTTGTAAAAGTATGGGTAGCTTATGTAACTTTATAAAACGCAGCTCTTTTTTAAATTCAAATGCAATTTCAATGTAATAAAATTCCTCGAACATTGCGTCTATGGCTTTAGTCGAGAAAAAAACAAATTTTTTCCAAATTATTTTTTCGTAACACCTATTTAAAACTGCCGAACTTTTATTGCATCATTTAAATCAATATTATGTTTGCTGTCTCGTATTCTTGTATGTTTATTGCAAATCACTGCACAGTTTGTAAAATCAACTCAAACAATTTAAATGAAATAATTAAGTCATATTACTTTATAGGAGTAAAATTTGTATTAATATATAGTTACTATAGATAAACCACATCAAGTGAAATTAAATGAAAGCATTGATTATGTTTAAAAAGTAAGCTATCTCAAATAGTAAAAGCATCGTGTTTCAAAAACATTCTTTTCTTAAACAATGTCGCTTTCCTATTTCGTTGACTTGCGACTTGTCTTCCGGAGGGGACTGACTGAGCTCGGTGTTGTTCCAACAACTCTTCGTCCACCTGTAGATCCGTTAGGTGTGCTTGTGCCATATTTGTCAAGGCTCATTGTATTAAGGGAGTTGGATTTGCTCCTTCTTGTTGAAGAACGGCCAGTGTAAGTATTTCTATACTCCAGAGATTCATCCAGACGTCGTGACTCCTCGTCAAGAACAGTGGGCTCGTAAGATGCATCTCGTGCCACTCTTCCCAGTGATTCACCGAGTTGATTGCGTAGATCTCTAGTTTCTTCGTTCTTTGCAGCTGTACGCCTGATGTATTGCTGCTTCTTTTGAAGCTCACGACTTAGTTGGTCTTTTAATGTAGCAACCTTGAATAATTGAATTCGTAAACAATTAACATCTTTTAGTATCCTGTAAGAAAGTAATAGGCAGCTTTTTTCATGTTGTAAAATATAGGTATATCTTTACCTGTTCTTCAAGACCTTTTGTTTTTTGTTTATATGCTCGCTCACGAGCTTGAGTCGCTCTCTCTATTTGAGCCTGCCATGCTTTATTGCGCTCACTTTCTGACTCAATTTCCTGACGATGGCTTGCCGTTATCTCAAAAACTCTGTAATAATAAACATTTCAATTCAACTCAGGTGACTTCTATCGGACGAAGAATTAAAAATGATTACATTGTAATGTCACACTATTATGCACAATGTGAAAATACTTTAGAAGAAAATCACGTACTTTCTTTCAGCCTTTTCTTCGGTTTCAGCCAGTCGACCTTGTAAAAGTTCGATTTGATTAATCATTTCTTGGTTTTCTTTTTCGAGATCACCAAATGATCTTTCAGCTTCAGTTCTTTCTTTCTCTGTGCGAGAAAGTCTCTCGTCAGTTACGAGACGCTCGCGTTCCACCTTCAAACAACAAATTCAAAAATGAACACCGCAAGAGCAAAACATGTCAAAAAAGTTTTGTTATTAGTCTGATGAATTTACCTTTTCCAGTGTGCTCTTCAAGGCTTTTTTATCTTTTTCGACGCGTATCTGAGCTCGTTCAAGTTCACGTTTATCTTGCTCAGCCTGAGCTAAAGTTTTTTGCAAGGTTGCCACACGATCTTGCAGCAAGCGTTTTTCATCCTGTAATTTGTCAGTGCGGTTGATTAGTTCTTCTTCACTTTCTTTCTGTTGTTGAATGATTTGTTTCATGTTCCTTATCTCACCTTCTTGCTCTGCACGTTTTACCTGTAGCACAAGAAAATACCTTAATATAAATGCAACTCAAAATGGACGCTGGTGAAACTGTTTACCTCTGCGTTGGTCTCTTCATTCTGCAATTCTTGTATTCTATCAGCCATCATTTGATTTCTGTTCTTTCCATCCTGTTGAGCTGTCTTTAACGCCTCCATGCGTTCTTGCATTATTTTTCGATCGTGTTCATTGTTCATTAAAGCCCGCTGCAGCTGCTGTATGCGTTCTTGAAGTCCTTGAGTAGTCATATTGCTATCGTTGAGACTTACTGAAAGTTCAGAGACCTTATCACGAAAACTTGCTTCTTCTTCTTCGGTTTTTGCTAGAGCAAGAGTAAGTCTATCAACTGTTAGTTGCAGGGAAGTTGTTTTTGATTCCAAGTCTTGCTGCGATCGCAGTAAAGCGTCGATACGTTCCCGCATTGCTTGTTTTTCAGCGTCACTCTCAGCTGATTGCATTCGAAGTCTGGAAACGTCGCCTTAAGAAGAACAAAAGTAAAGTCAGCACAAAAACATAACAAAAACACTATGTTTCAGAAGCGTTTTGCATGGACGAATAAAATGATAAAATACCTTCAAGAGAGCGTTTCTTTAACTCAATCTTTGTTATTCTTGACTCAGCATTTTCAATTTGAACTCTCATTGCTTCCTTCTCTTGTTCACTTTTTGCCTCACTTTGTTGTAATTTCATCACTTTCTCCTTCAGTTGTCGTCGATCACCTTCAAATTGTCCTACAGCTTCCTCCAAGGCCTCAATTTTTTCATGTTGTGCATTACGTTCTCGTTCTAGTCGACGTATGGTATCCTCTTGCATAGTCAAGGCACTTTGAGCACTGCTAAGTCTACCATCTAACGTTCGTCGACCTTAAGGGGAAAAAATGTAATAATACTTTAACAGATTGTTAATCAGGAATTGCTGGGGAAAAAAAAGCATTGAAAAACGACACAAAAATAACAAATTTTTGTTGAAAGATGCATGAGCACCTTCGTCTGAGTCTCCGAGGGATTTCTGAAGAGCTTGCAATCTTCCTTCAGTACGAGCGCGATCTTCCTCCACTTCAGTTAAAGTTCGTTGCAACTGACCCAATTTGGCCTCTGCTTCCTCTTTTTCACGTGTGCTATCTTTTAACTGCTGCGCAAAGTCACGCAAGGCAACACGCACAATCTCAGGGTCAATTTCAGAGAGCATCTCAGCTTTGCTAGGCGAGAGTCTACGTACAGGCGACAAGGAGCGATTCTGCGTTGATGATTCAGATTCTTCTGTTTCTTTCTCGGGGCTAAGATCTGTTGCCCGGCTTCGACGAAAACCTTTACGACGAGGGCTAGTACTTCTTACTGGAGATGGCGATCTTTGGAATAAAATCAAAATACATGTGTTTCCTTGAAACATTTCTAATCCTCACAACAAAAGGTTGACAACGATAAACGAGACAGTTTAGACAAAAGTACACACTTACTGTCCTCGAATTCCCAGTGTTCTCCTCAAAGTTGAGTGAAGGGTTGCTAGCTTCATCTCTGCCTCATTCTTCGCATCTTCGGTACGCGTTAGCTGTGCTTCTAGGCCAGCAATCCGTCCTTCCGCACCAGAAAATTTCAATTTCTGATCTCCTAAGTCTTGACTTGTATGCTCCAGCATATTTTCCAGATTATGAATCTTATCTACTGCTTTTTGTTCAGCTCTACGCACTGCGTCAATGTTCATTTGAAATTCTTTTTCTTTAACGCGTAATTCTTCATCAAGCTCTGATAATCGTCGTTTGAGAAGAGCAACTTCCCGTATTGTTGTTTCTTTTGCATTATCTGTGTCAACAAGACGTTGTTTCATAATCATATTATCATGGCGACATTCTTGCAAAAGTTGTCCTTCTTTTGCAAGACTTTCTTTGAGATCTGCAAGTTCTTTTTTGTTTTTTAAACATTCCCCATCCAACAATTTTACCTATATTAAAAAATCATATTGTCTATGCATCGAAAAAAGACATTGGTTTTGCAACAGTTCATGGTCTGACCTGATTATGTACTTGTTGCAATTCTCTACGCGCTTCCAGTCTAGCTTTTTCAACTTCTCTCAAGCTTTCTCTCAAATCCCCAACTTCTTTCTGAAGTGCGGCTTTAGCTTCTTCTAAAGCGTTCATTACCTGAGTAGTCTCTTCGAGTTTTCTACGAATGTTTATCTTTTCGGCTTCAGTTTTCTTTACCTTTGCTAAGGAAAAAAAGCACTTGTCTAGGCACCAACTTGTGTAAGCATAACAAAAAAGTATTTTCGAAATGTAAAACGCAACACAGAGAACTATTCATTTACAAACCTCGAAGTTCATTGGCTGTAGCTTGCACAACATCTCTTTCTCGATTACTATCTCTCAGTTGACGTTTCTGATCAATCATCTCCTTTCGAGCGGCCTCTCGTGCTTCATCACCTTCACGCATCTTACGTTGACTGTCGATAAGTTCTCGACGAATATTATCACGTGTTTCCTCGACTAATTTTAACTGAAGCTTGAGTTCACCAATTTCACGGACATTGTTTTCCTTGGATTTTGTTAAATCGTCGACATGAGTCCTCAGATTGTTCTTTTCTGCCGTACTCGACTTGCTGTTTTAAAGAAAACAAGAAGGTAATGCATGATTATTAAATCGTTGTATTTTGATTGCAAGCATGCGTGCAAGAAATTATCTTTACATACTTTGTATCTTCAAGCCTACTCTTTAGATTTTTGACTTCTTGTTGAAGCGTTCCGATTAGGTGCTAAAACAAAAAGAAATTGAATTTTCCACAGGCTATTCAGAGCCAGTTCAAATTCATCATGTGACTTACTTTGTCTTGTTCACCTTTGTTGAATGCCTCTCGTTTAAGCCGGTCATTCTCAATGTTCTTTGCAGACAGATTTTCTTCGCTGCTCTTCAGCTTCTCTAGCAATGAAGACTTTTCGTTTGCAGCAATATGAAGCTCCTCTTGCTTTTCATTTTCAGCCATAAGTAGTTGTTCATCCCTTTCCTTTTGAATTAAGGAAATTTCGTTGACCAGATTAGCTCGCTCGCGTTCAAGTTTAAGTGTAATTTCATCTTTCTCTTCATTTGACCGTTTCAAGATTGCTTCCTTTTCTTGTTGTACCTGTAGAAGCATGTTCTCCTTCTCTCTTTTCATTTGAGCGCGTTCTTCTAAAAGGCGCTCCTCTGCCTAAGAAAAGACGGCACAAGTCTTCAAGCAAAACCACTTGTATTAGATTAAAAATACTGCAATTTATCAAAAGAGAATGTTCTAAATTCGACCGGAAAACTTTGAAGAAAGAAGTAAAGAACTATGCGATGAACTATACATGAAGCAATAAATAAATGTCTTCCTATTATTCACGATTAGAGACGTAAATGCCATCATTTGACACGTCGAAAAAATATGGATAAACACTCACCTTCTTTAAATGCAAAGCATACTCATTATGTGTAGAGCCGAGTTTCTGTTCAGCTATCTCCTGCTCACGTTTCATTTTTGATAGTTCTATTTCCTGTTCTTTCTTCACACGACACAAGTCGACAGCGATCGCTTCTTTGGCCAAATTAATTTCTTGGTTCTCTACTTCTAATGCCTCTTTTCGTAACTCTATTTTGGCAAGATTCTGCTGCGTCTCGTACAAAGCAGTCTCAAGTGATTCTTTATCACTCTTTAAGCTGGCAATGTTCTCAGCCAGCACTCTGTTCTCTCGCTCACCGCTATTGACTTGTACGGTTAAGCTGGATCGCTCTCGTGTCAGCTCTTCTTTCTCTTTCGACAATCTTACTAAAATATAAAAATATGAAAATATATAACAATATGAAAAATTAGAAAAAATGAGAAGAAACGAATCAAGTTACAAGCAAAGCAAATATAGCAGAACCATTGGTAGCTAATATCAACTCACAGACAATGTTACTTTGCCTCTCTAGTTCACGTCTTGTTTGATTCAAATCATCTGATATTATTGGCTTTTCTCGTAGAGCTTTACTCAATGCCTCGTTAAGCTCGGCACGCTCACGATTAGCCACAATCAACTCCTGCTCTATCTTCTCCTTGCTTTGCTCAGCAATACTAAGTTTTTGATCGGATGATGCGCGTTCTGCATCGAGATCAATCTTGTCTTGTTCAGCTTTGACAAGCTCGTTACGTATAGTGCTTTTCTCTTGTTCAAGTTCTCGTTTATCTTCAGCCAAAGCTTCTCTTTCGACCTCCATCTGTTTGATGATCTTGTTTAACTCAATTTTATCCTGCCCTGTGAAAGAAAACCCAAATATTTTAATTTGGTTTACAGAGGAACGAACTAAACAATACATTTTAACAAGCTATTACAAATATATTTAACATGCCTAGGCCTTCATTCAAGGATTGCAATTTAACCAGAGCATCTCTTAGTGCAATTTCTTCAGATTTCATTTTAGTTACGTCTAGTTCTAGTTCGGTTCTTTGTTGCTCGGCTACAGACAATAACTCTTTCATTTGACCATTTTCTTGTTCAACAACCTCCTTATCAAGGATCAATCTGTTAAGTATTAATCATATAAACAGTTGTCCATCAGATTGCCAGTAAAATCACAAAAAGTTACCTCGCAAGTTGCTCCTTAGTATGAACAAACTCTTCCTTGATCATTGATTGTTTATCATCACCTTGCTCAATTATACCTTGCAAGCGTTGTATTTCTTTTTGAAGTTTTGTGGTCTCGCGTTCAAGATCATCCTTCTCATCCTCTAGGTTGTCACGTTGCCTATGAAGTTCTTCATTTGCTGCTTTGAGCTTATCCAATTCACCGCTCACAATATTTAATTCCTCATGCAGTTTCTGACGAGTATTTTCCAAATTCATTTTTTCTATTTCCAAGTTCTCTGTATGACCTCGGTGACGTTCTTTGTCGGCATGAAGCTCGTTCACTTTGTGTTTTCTGATAATGACAGAGTGTAATAGCGTTAAACACATGCTGTGCGTTTATAACTAAAGCAACGTGAGCACAATATAGCTACAACATACGTGTTATCAAGATCTTCACGCACTGCATTCAAATGTTTTTCCAATTTTCGTCTTTCTTCTTCGCTTAACTCCAGTTGTTTTTTGCTCTCATTTGCTGCATCCTTTGCTGCATCAGCTACTGCTTTCATTTTCTAAAAGAAATTTTAATTGATCTCGCAACAATTGGAAGTAGTATTTCATACCAGTCTGGCGTGATTTTTTACCTGAACTTGTAGTGAACGCTTATGGATGGCAGATTGTACCATTGCCAACGTGCTATCAGCTACTGCAGGCGATCGACTACGTACAGGAGATAATGAACGCATTTGTGCTACGCGCGAAGGTGAAGGACTTCGTCGGGCAATTGTTGTTGGTATTTCGTCAAATAATTCAAGAGCTTCAGAATTAAATGATTCATCTAAACTGTCTCCTACGATAAAACATACACGACATATAAGAATTTTATATTTTCTTGAAATTGTCGCATCCTACATTACGTGCAAGAAGGTACCTTTCGTTCTTCCATCAATGAATTTTCCTGTATCTTCTGTGTCTTTATAGATAGCCTTTGCAATTTCTTTAAGTGTGTTGACAAGCAGTTCTGTTTCCTCGCGCATGGCTGCCTGACTATGTTCAGTCTGTACTTCCCACTCTTCTGTTTTTGAAGCTATTCCCGTTTCCTTTAGAAAAGATCATAACGTTACGCGCACTCCTAGCACAGGTATTCAAATGTTACAAAATTTACAATTAATGATTTCCCAAATTTTCTGTGATCTTGGCTAAATCTCTACTTTTCAAATGGAACAAATAAAACTATCTAAATAACCTTCAATGCATTGACATTGAATGACTACAATAAATCTCGACAAACACAAATTGCATTCACCCCCAGAAAGTTTACACAATGCATGATTCGTTTGATGAGTGAAAAATCTCCATGCTTATGGAATGTTTCATGCAAACATTGCACTGAAAAGAATAACGTATTTTTGAGGATGGTTACAAATTACTATTTTACAAACCAACCAAAGATTGAATCTGCGTCTTTAGGATCGCTACATCGTTGTCCTTTTCCTTTAGCAAAGAATCTTTTTCTCCTTTTTCTTTTTCAAGTTCTTGAACTCTGAAATGTATTATGAAGAAAGGAAATTTGAATTCAACTAACAATGAAAAATGATGATATACAGCTAGTTTCACCTCTTCTTATACGATTGCCCTTCTTGCGCATATTGATTTTGTAGATCAATGATTTCTCCCAACTTCTGTTGTAACAATTCCTCTACCTGATTGTTAAAATATCTACGTGACTTTTTGTGTACAAATGCTCCAATCCTCAAGCCCATGTACACTTGCCTGCGTTCTTTTATCTCTTTCTTCCTCAAGTTCCTGTTTCATATTTGAATCAATGTTTCTTCTATTTTTATCCAAGTACAAGCAAGCACCTTGTAGAGTACGTGCTGATTTGCTAACGTCACTGCGAATGACTGAAAGATCCCTAAATAGATTTTATTGAAATTATCTTTGTGTGGCAGTCCAAAACAGGGAGCATTGTCCATATATTTAACTTACTTTTGGGTGGCTGACTTCATTTCATTAAATTGACGACGAAAGGAGGTGAGAGCTTGCCACAGTGACATCAATCGATTGTGCTCATTTGCAAAATAAGCATGCTCCTCTTCATCACGAGATTCAAGCTCCTCCTTCAATTTCTTGTTTTCACCAGTCAATTTTTGCACTTCTAAAGTCATTTGCTCATTAACCTCAGTGGCATCATCCAGTTGCTCTCTGAGCATATTGTTCACATGTTGAAGACCTGCACATCTGTAAATTATTGCAATATTGTAAATGGTTCTTATCCACAAAAATGACAATTCTGTTTATACAGTTTTGTGATGAAGTTGTCAATCTATCAATAAACTGTAAGCTCCTTTTATTTGCTGACAAATATATCAGTTTGCTATAAAACACCTTTGCTGCTCCTGTTCCAGTTGAATTAGTGAGTTTTCCAAATCATTTCCGTGCTCTTCTTCTGTCTCTTTTAATCTTTCTTCTCTTTTTCTCAAAGTATCAGTGGCATCTTGCAACTACAAAAGGCAGTCATAAGTTGCTAAGGAAATATAGCATTGAATTTTCTGATTTAAATAGAAACAATAATTACTTTCTTTTTAGCATCTTCTTCTCCTTGAATTTTTTCATTCATTGATGTCTCTAGTTCTCCACATTTCCTTTTGTATTGTAAGACCTACATGGTAAAACATGAAGGATAAATTTGTAAGTCTATTGATGAAAATATGTAAAAAAAAATTAAGTAGGCATGCAGGTAGACAAAATACTACATCATATATCCTCTTTTGGAAGTCTCACTCTCAACTTTAAAGCAATGAAGCACATTCCAAATAATACCAAACTATTCAGTTGTTTTCTTATTAACCTTTGCCTGAAGTTTCTGAATGAGTTGTGCCTGTCGTTGCTGCCCATCTTGATAAGCCTGAAGCTTCCTCTTGTAACTTGCATGCTCATCATCAAGCTTATGACGTAGATATGCCACTTGTTGGACAAGATTTTCACTGCTGGTGTCAGTAACAGTCAATCCTTTTCCTCCACTCTTCATGTGATCATTCAGCTGAGAAGATGATGAGAAAGTCTTTTTACTTGATCACCTATACTTTGTCAAAAGCTTATAGCACCCACAAAATGTACTGAAGCAGAGTTTCCCTGCTATGCAAGGAAAACATCAGTTTTAAACATTTACCTGCAGACCTCCCTTGCTCATGAAAAATTTAAGTAGTTTACTTAGGTTGAAATGTAGTTTAATTCATTATGCAATTAACATAAACTTGTGGTGTAAACCACCTGTTACAGTGGTTGCTCCTCTAAGCAAACTAAAAACAGATTTGCTTCATGGGGCAAATTGTCCATATTTGAACAAAATTTCATACTTACTCGTTCACTTACGGCTAAATACTTTGACGAAATCTCATCCCTTTCAGCTCTGGTCGATGATAGCAAATCCTCCAATCTGCTGACTTCACTTTCAAGTGCACGCTTTTCTTCTGGTATGTTACCCGAAGACATTCTTGGTTCAGAACCCGAAATAGATTTGGTCACAATGTCGCGTATTTTACTTGGAACGTACGCATGTGTAGAATGATATGGTGCCTTCTCGTCCGGTTGAAGATGCTGCTCTTCCAGTTTCTACAAAAAGAGCGAGTAAATTAGGGTGCTAATCGTAAAATGTCGCAATTAATAGCGTGCGCTGTTAGTACATGAAACTGCGAAGTGTAGGATCTTTATCTGCAAATGAAAAAGTCGCAGACCTTTATAACACTTGGTAATCGCGATTCGTACGTTGTGGAATAAGGACTTCTTGACTCACGGAAACTCATCGTTGATCGTGGAGGTCGACCTCAACGGTTAATGCACTATAAACCCTTCCTCCAACACATGCTTTTAACGACAATATGCCACAAATCGACCATAAATACTACCCAAGTATTTTCCACAAAAATATAGAAATTCCTTATGCAATCATGGCTTACTAGACATATTTTGGATTATAAAGTTTAAATTTTAAATTAAAACGAATAAAACTGATATAAAAGGCAATTTTTTCGAAGCTTGTGTTTGCAAGTAAAAGCGCATGAATAGGAACACAAGTGCCCTCGAAAGGACGCTACGCTTGTCTCGCAGGTAAAATTACTATGGAAACATGACGCGAACGCCGTCACTCAAATTACCTTCATAACTGCACTGCACTATGCAGTCAAGGTTGCAAGATGAACATAATAGTGTTTTATGATACTTGCATTGAAAAAGTTCGAATGACTATTCTTCAATTACATGTCTAAAGTATTTTGTGTTTGTTAATAGAAAATCCTAGGATTGTTTTATTGACTGATTTTTCGTGTGAGTGAAAGTTTTACAGCTTGTAATGTTTATCTTTTTCTTTGATTTTGCCATATTTTTACAATACGTGGATGTTATTTCCTTACTCACCTTTTTGTATTTATTGCATTATCAAATAGCTGCTGAAAAATTCTCAAGTCAAAACCACTCTTCAGTTAATGACAGCAATTGTAAGGTAGGTCTAAATTAAGAAATTGCTATTCTTTCTATAGCACCCAAGGTTTACGATCCACTCCATAAAGGCTCATTTTGCAATATTATGAAAGGTTGACTTATTCAAGCGTTTCCCATGCAAATTGAATCACTGCGTATGTGAATGTATTATAAAATGGCTCAAATATATCCAAAGAAAGAAAACCTGTCAGAGAACACAAACAAAGTTAATTCTTTCAAACAAAGAGCAAAGAAAAATAATCTTTCTGTCATTATATGTAGTCTACTCTGGCGTCGTCGGAATACATAGTGGATCAATGCGTTTTCTCATTCTAGTTTGGAACAAACTACAGGAATTTGTATTTCTGCAAAGACTGCAATCTACTTTTGTGTTAATTGAAGATAATTTAATTTGCTTGAAACAGTAAAAGATTTTAACTGCAAACACAAGGTCCATCATAACTAACGATTCTTTGAAGCACCCGATGAGTAGTTTTGGTTCATTGTAATAGAATTTTGAAAAAATTAATTATAAACACCTCTTTTTGTTTTCAATATATAATGTACTTTCGCTAATCCACCCAAGTCACGTATGATCAGCTATCTACAGCTAAATGATTTGTACTTGATTAAGTTTTTCGGAGAGTGTGTATGTTGAAATAATTATTCAAGCTATATAGCTTCCTTACAATAATGAGAAACGTATTAAAGTATTCTTCGTTAACGGTTGAACACAACGCGATGAAAACAATAAAATATCGTTGCCAAGCAGGCAGTGATTGTAAACATATCACAGTGATATTATAAAGTTTTTTTACCTCGATATTTCTTCCCATCGAGTGATAACCGTAATCCAATTCCGTATCAGCCATGGAAGCAAGATCCACTTCATAATTATCAAGAGGTGAAATGCAATCGCTACAGTCCAAAATTGTTGTTTTCTCCATTGGATTTTTTAAAACGCAAAGATATTTTCCCTAATAAACAGTACTAACAGATAGCGACAACCTAACTGAAGCACTCATATATAAATTGATTGACCAAAGGCGTAATCAGCGATTGGTAGGCGGTCAACTTAACAATATGCACTGTTCCGTGAAGTTTTCTCCCGGCAAACTATCGTTAGCTCTACAACCTCTCAACCGTTACGAGGTGTATATATTTAATGAATGCAAATGAGTTTAACAACCCGAACATTAAATGCCAGCTCACCTATGCTAATTTTGTAAATTTCGAAATGAAACATCAACAACGCATGCCAACTTTTTGCTTTATCTCGACACAATTTTAGTCTCAAGTAATTTGTACGTAAAGGTGACTACTGTGTAACGATTACGTGATCAACTTGCCTATATATGCTAAAAACGCACTGTAAATATTTATTTGTCATTTACATTGAAAAAATAATGAAATTCGGCAGCTGACAATACATTGAAAGTATCGTCCATTGAACGCAATAAAACACGTTGTGTTAATAATCCATTGAGACACAAAAGTTTGAGCCAATGAATTTAAATTTCAGCTGACATCATCTTTAGCGTCAGACTTGACCAATGGTATCACTCCTTCCATCAAACACTGGCAGAAGAGGATTATATGAAAGAGTTCACGCTACATTTACGACAACATCATCTTCAATAAAATCCAATAGAGCCTTTGGTCCTTCTGCTTTAATATAAGCCTTGAGCAAAAAAGATTAACACTAAGCATCATTAAGAAGAGAGAAGATGAATTCAAATGAAATCTTTCCATTTTTTTGCCTTTCTTACCCTGATTAGTTCAACTCCATCCAACTGTTTACCTTCAGTCAGAGACGTAGGATGAAGAATGTAAAAAAGTCTAACAACATCGCTTGCATCAGAAATTCTATTAACACATACAAAATAATTTTGTTTGTTGTGATTACGCGATTCAACAGACTTCTAAGGAAGCTTACAAATCTCTCTTTAACATATCGACTAAGAGCCACGTTAATCTCTTGTGTTTTGCAAAGTAGTAAACCATTCCACCAAAATGTCTTGTAGATCGTAATAGATCATATGCTTGCTTCTTATGCAGATCTTCATATGTATGTTGATGAACCTGGATTTGAAACATATGCACAATTTCAGTCAAAACTGACAAATATACATTACTAGGTCAGAAACCATATTTTCAAAGGACACACCCTTATATAATCAGATGAGTCAGCCTCACATTGGACACACACAAGATCAAGAATGTCCACATGTCCCAATCTGTCAAATGCATTCTGTGAATGAATTCAAGGATGAAAAGAAGAATGAGATGGAAATTAAAAATCAAACCACAATCTCTGATATTCTGACAACCTTCAGATGTTCATTTTCTAAAACAGATGGCAGTTTGTAGCTTTGGCCATCTCTTTGATGAAAGAGAAAATTCATCCTGTCCCTTTCACTCCAATGAGCTTTGCGCAATGTTCCATTTGGTTGTCTTACAACAATCCATCGATCCTTACAGAAAAGAAATCAATAAAGATAAAGAATGCTTATATTCTGTTGAACAAATTGAAAGAAAATACCCATCAGGATAAGTAGATTGGAGTAAAGAATTGATTGGAATGTACAACATTCCTGCTTAAGACTAGATAAGCAAACAACTGAAGATGATTAGCTGTTTTTAGTAATTGAAGGGCATCGTTTTACCCTGTTTGTTGTGTTTTGGCTTATATCAGTGAAGACCATATTACACTCTGTGTATCCTTCAAGATCTGGCCTTTGCTCCAATACAATATTGGAGTCTTTTCTTTCCTCCATGACAGCAGGCATTTCCAGAAATTTCTCCACTTCTCTCTCCATGTTTTTTTCTGCCTGAATAAGGAAAATAAGATTTAAATAGAATATTAATGAAGAAAATTTTTATCAAGATAATTTATATGGACACTAAATATCATTCTGCAACTTGAAGGAAATGTGGTTTTCATATGTCGAGTTCCTATAAAAAAAGCCCCACAAACCATTGAGACTTCGTTATCTGTCATTAATCTATACGAAGGCAAGTCAACTCCACTTTCACGCCGATTAGTCAGGATCCTCTCCAAATTTCTGCCAGTAATTCTCTTCAGCAAAATTTGCACACTTTCATCTTGGAATTTAACATTAACTGAACGATTTGACAAAAATCTCATTCCATGAAATGGAGCTCGAAAAAGAGAATGTTTAAAAATTCGCGTAAAGTGTTGATGATGTATAATCACATGTGCCGCCATATTACATTTTGTGAGCAAGACGTCATTTAAGCCTAAATATAGTGTTTGATACATAAACACGATGGTCTAGAATAAAGCGCCATCATGCAAGGCATTTGAAGTAGAGATTGTAAAAAAAACGGTCAACCTTTTGTTTAAAGGACAGACATCGACAGAGAAATAAATACAGAGTAAAGTAGAGGTTTTTCCATCATCTATAATGTGTTCCTATCTTATGGAGACTGACTATAAAAATATTATGGTATGCTGATGTGCCTTTGATAAAAATATTTATATTTTACGGATAATAATGAATAAAGAATACAGAAGAAGTTATGCATGGAGTTGGAAACGCTATGTGCTACCTTTACACAAAACATTACAACGTGTGGTCGTACTGTTCTTGGTTCTGGGTGTGCTGTTTGTATTTTATTATCTTTATAAAAACCACGAACTGGCTTGGCAATCCATGAAGAATCGAATGATCGTTCATGCAAAATTATTTACGTATCGAAATACAAGTAGCAATAACGTTGACAAACACTGATAAAATAACATGACTGATTTATTTCCCAGTCAACGATACCTCTGTTATCACGTGGATAATTTGAATAGAAAAGATCGGTTCGTTTCATTCTTTGTAAAAACAAGCAACGAAATAATTTCGAGTGATATAATAACGAAAGTCTACATTAATAAATGTTCCTGCATATTAGTTACATCATTGCCAAAATCAAAATTAGAGTTTTGCACAGCGCGTGTGTGTGAATCTGGCAATTGAAACTAATTCAGGAAAAACTTTGTGAAAGAAACTAGAACAACTGAGAATAGTAAAATGTTATCGCCATCGTTTCAACATATTATGCCATATTTCCTTGACGAGTGCGGGTGATGAAGTTAAAATATTAAAACGCTTAATCATGTGAAATTTAGTGAGCAATTAGATTATCTTGCCACGTGCGTATGCATACGTGTGATAGTTTTTGTGGCAAGGTATTCTATTACTGTGCACTATAAAGGCTGTAAGTTTGTCGATTGGCAGACTGTTGGAGTTTCAAACAGATTGCTCGCTCTTCTGTCAGCTGTCGTAATGTTTTAAATATAGCTGTATTAGATTAAACCTTCTGTCAGGTTTCTTTTTGTTTTGAACATAGCTATATTAGACTAAACCTAAATTGAAGCAAATTATAACAAAGGGAGGTATACATTGAAGTTCACATAAAAAAAAACATCTTCGATAGTCACAAATAATGCCTTGTAACGCTAACTTTTTCTATTTTTAATAACGCTGCTTTTTTCGTATAAATAGAAAAATACTACAATATTTATAACTTTACATTTATATAAAAGCTTTGAGTACCATTCTAGGCACAAATACAGCTCAGTTATTTGTTTATTCGTTGAAGTAGCTAAGAAGATTTGTTTTTTAATTTTCATCCTTAAAATTCAGTGAAAATAATTCGATTTTTCAGTTTTCAAGCCTTGTACTTAAAATAATTACGTAACATTTAAATACTGGATAAATATGATTTAAATTAAAATATACTCTTGTTCTTTCAGTATATCATGGATCATTTCCAACTGAGCGTCAACATGCTGCGATCTTTTTTTATCTCAAACCATTTCCCACTAAGCTAACCAGTCCAAAGCCAATGGCGTAGGACACATGTGATGAGCCTTCGCTGGGAAACACTTGCTCTTTGGGATACGCTCTTTCATATCAACATCATTGCATAAATTAGAAACCAAAAGAGGATTGCTACCAAAAGCAAAACATATCCTTCCTGCTTTTGGTATCTTTGATGACAAAAAATATCAAGTTTTGATATTTGTTTCCAGAGATGAGCAAATATATACATATTAACAATTAAATACGAATCCTTACTTCGATTAACACTGCAGGATGTTCGATTTATGGAAGAAACACAGCATTGTCTCCTAAAGTTACTCTTAATTTGTACTCTATCAAAGCTTTTTTACCATGAACCCTCTTTGTGTTTTTTCTGTGTCAATTCCCATCTCTACACGTGTCTCTAATTAATGTTTTTCTTTACACATTGCGGGTATATTTTTGCTAACTTGAAGTATATGTACCTCAAAAGAGATAAGTTATCATAGCTTGTGCTCCGCCATTCAATGCTATCGGTGCTGTGTGACTGATCACACGTTCCATGTGAGACACCAGGGGAATATCGTACAAACGTTATTCCACATACGTACGCTCAAAGACATGAGCCGCGTATATGTTACACTGGCTTATATTGTTACACTGACTTGTTGTTACCCACACGTTCCATGAGCAATTTTTCCAGCACTTCTGCCGCGTCATCTCGACCAATGTCTTTCAACGTGAGATATAGCTTGTACACCGTAGCATCCCTCTTGGTCCCCCAACGCTCTAGGAGTTGTTGTGTGGCGGTTGTTGGACACAGGGCCAGATTGTTAATGACATTCCAAGGAAAATCAAGCATACTGGCTACTTTTCGCCAGTTACTTGGCGGATTTATGGGATTTAAATAGCTTGCTAGTTGTTCAATGATGTCGTGAGTTACATCACGTATCATTAAACCATTCTCTTGTATCCTCGGAATTTCTTCCAAAATGAAAGGACTTTCCTCGCTCGGTACTATCGTAAAAAAGAGCACATGTGAAATTTGTAATTTTATTATGAGAAAATGAAGTTTAAAAGCTTTCTTTAAAAACCTTTGATATTTATGTACTGTTGAGATGACTTACAACAACCAGAATCCATCTCATCATTAAACTTTGACAAACGTTGTCCGAGCCTCGACTCCTCTGAATGGATGATGATACTCTGTCGTTTATGTACACAACACCATAAGATAACGCCAAGAACCAATGCGATGAATAAAACCAGTAACAGTATCATAGATGTAATAAAAAATGGTATCACCCAGCTACTACTCACATTTGGACGGGCAACTGGTGAGTCCTGAGGTGTAGCTTGAAAATAAAATAAAATTGTTTGTCTGTATTCAGATCAGATATATGGGGCTTTTAATTTAATAAAAGTCATTAATTTATTACTCCTCGTCAAAGTCTACTTGGATTGATAAAGCGCACTCCCTCCCCCCCTCCACCAATAATTTTACCTCTACTTCAAGTTTTTCACATTTAAAATCTGGATTCCTCATTTGAAACAAACATCTATGAATGGATATTATACAGCCTCCCCCCCTTCCTCACAATTAAATGAATGCTCCGCGGTTCTTGTGAAGGAATCTGAAGATTGTATTATGCTATTTTTAACCGATAGTTGATAGTTCGTGACTGAACTGTGCACATGCGATTGTCATTGATAAATGTCAGAGGTGAGCGACAAAAACCGCTTTTTTGATAACCCCTATGCTGATCGTTTGCTATTTTTAATCCTTTGCTTTCAACCTGAGACACTCATATGAGTAAATCGTTCAACATTCTAAGTCAGAACTTTTGCACGAGTTATTCACTGAGAATCCAAGTTTATCATGTTAAAATGTGGTGACTAGTTTTCCTTGTGTACGAGCAAATTCACGATCGCTAAATGGCCATAGCAAAAATGGAAAAAATAAATATATAGATAGACACCTACAGTGTCTTATATTTGCTTGCTTTCAATCAAGTCCTGTTTATTTCATTGCAAAAAATAATAAAATGCAATAACTTATCGATTTTGTTTCCTGTTGATGATAATCAAAAAGTCTTACTTGCCGTTGTGATGATTTTTGTAATGTTTATTTGTGTCGTCAGAGGAGATGTTGGCGTTGTCGAAAATCGTCTTTGACACAAATTGTTACTTGTCGCATTACATCTACCTATCGTTTTCTCGTTTTTTTTACAATTAGTGCATGGCTGACACTTTTGCGTTTTGCTATCTTTGTCGCTGTACGTTCCCTAAAGTAAACAAAGGCTTTTAACAAAAAATTCACCAGCATATTTGTAGAACAGTAATATTGTAGCCTGTTGAAATCTAGTGCAAAAAATTTCACTAACCAAAGCACATTGCTTCTCTTCGCATTCTGTGTTTGTTTCATTTGTGCATAGTTTCTTTACGCCATATCCTCTAAGACACCTCTTACACGGTTGACAATAAGATAATGCATTATTATAGTAGTAACCCTCGATACAAACTCCCATTTTCCGATTTTGTGTTCTGTTGCACTCCTTTACTATAATTCTCAACGGTATATACCCAAAACATCGATTGCATTTTCGTTCACCATTGGGCGATTCCTGAAATTCACCGGGTGGACATGGCGCACAACGAGTTGTTTCATTTCTTCCTGGCTCGCAATCACCAACAACTTTTTCTCCTGCTTTGCACTTAATGCAACATCGTCGTCCTTTGGGTGTCAAATAATGGGTACTTGGGCACACCATCGAGTTGGCATAAATATCCAAAAACTCCTATGATAAACGAGAGTTTTCAATTCAATGAAAACAGTACAGTTTGTTTTGAAGGCTGGGGACTGTTGCATCATTTGGCCATGTCAACATTTAAATATATTACAAATTTGTTTGTCAAGTATCAAAGACTTTTCTGCATAACATGAGTTGCAATTCGCGAACATAAAAGAGTGCTAAGGTAATTTGACAGGTTCTTTCATGTAAAATTAATCTTTGTAAACAGTAAATGGGCTTGTGCATGGTAGCATGAGTTGATGTGCATGGTCACCATGATTATAAACTACATACTAAAGAGCATGGCTTTCGCTAAAACTGAAGAATAAAATTATTGAGGTTGAAAGATGTTCTTGCGTTCTTAGCTCTTGTAAATTCATATATATGTAACTTCAGATGCGACGCATTTGTTGAGATAAATGATATTTTGAACCTCGATCTTTTTTCACGCAAATATGTCAACGAGAGCAACTATGTTTATCAAAGCTCAAAAACAAAGTACACAAATTATTTAAAAACTTTATACAAAGTGATGATTTTAATATGTCATGCATTATCCTCAGCTTCAACTAAATCTCATTTATGCGGAAACACATGCAGTGTATTTAGATGTTATTAAAATAATGTAACGTATATAGTCCACCTTATATATAAAATTCTTGGAATGTCAGTGTTAATAAACAGTAAAAACACGTCGATATTAAAGACTGGAGGGCTGCACCCTGATAATATCAAAATTATGTTACTGTACGATAATCATAGAGAATGATGTTACGATTAGGGTATTTGTTAAATACATTTTTTCTAAATAAGCTGCACCGTGAAATTTAGAACACACAGTTTTGGAAAAACGTTGTTGTTTATTTTGGAATGTCTTGTTTTTGGTGATAGACAGTGATCAAAAAAACCACTGAAATATTATGGAATAAACGATGGAATCATATTTCCGTTTATATATATTTTTGGTTCTAACTTTAGTGTAAGGATATTCCACGAAAGAGCCGTGAACATAATTGTTTATAGCCATTGCATTAACAATGCATTAATAAAAATCTGTTCTTAACAACCTGTTGTTTATAGTAATGCATTAACATGCACAAGTAGGACTACCTGTTGGTTATGAAGAAATTGATTTATCATTTTTGCATAGTGACAATGCTATACTGGTCTGTCTATTATTACTGTTCTTACAACTGTTCGGCAAAACACGATAAATATGCCATTAATTTTCCCAATCTCGTTTGATGTTTTGTTTTGAAAATCGTCTTATTATGATGAAAGCAATCTTAGTTTATATAAATTTATGAATATGCTTTCTTGAGCGACAGTTTTCTACCCACGTTTTGTCCTAATTCTCTCAATTTCAGAACGTTTATGCAAATGAGTCGCAGTGAGTAAGACAATTACAGTCAAAACAAAACGAAAGCATGTATTATTGCTGATGTGACTGCATAATTTAACGTTGTAATTGCCCATGCATTAATAAGGTCGAACAAGAGTGTTCAAGGTCTCATACAAACTATCCATATCGTGACTAAAGTTTACTGAAATATTTTTGATTAAAATGGTTGTCGTGATTGATTCAACGATAACATTTCAAACATCTTTAAAAAGCACACATTGAACAACGAAAGGGAAACTTGGCTGTCTCCTGACACAATGCCTTTTTTATACAACCTATAATTATTGAATATTTTCTCTAAAGAGCTTAACAAATTTTTACCTAAACATTTCTGGTTATTAATAATTTGCCTTGTCTTTTATCATGAAAAATTTTCTGCATTTTTGTTCTTTCATTTCTTTTGAATGCTTTCAAACTTACTAGTATTCAACCAAATCTTATCACGTAACACCTCTTCATGAAGTAAAATGACTATTACACCGATTGCAATGATATTCAAATAAATCTTGGTTTTCAAAATGTTATTGAATATCGCATACATAGACATTGTTGACATGACAAATGTGATGAATATGCTGTTACAAAGTGAGCAGTAACTTTTTGTCATTTTGCTATTTGTACTACTTATTGTTGTGTTATAAGCTGGTCAATAGAGGCATCAATATTGTTATCGTTTTGATGCGCTGTTAATGGGAATTTTTCTGTAAAGTTCTCAGTAAAGCTTTTTGTCTATATTTTTTTGATGGTATGGTTTTTGGTTTTTGATGGTGCAAGATTATCAAAGTATCTTTCCCCACACGAATTTGACCAATTATGATAAAAATGCTACATGTAGTCAACTCAACAGATGAATTCCGTTGTATTATGTGATACAAGCCATTTACGATCAGTGAGAGTTTCTGAGATTTCAACCTGATTTTATCATGCTATTGCTTGGATGTGCTTCATGAAAAACCTGCGATTATAGTAATTGGACCCAGTTAATACTATTTGCAAATTATTATTTCTTAACATCGCGGTGTATTCAGTTATAAAAAGACGGATTAAATGGAGGACGTATCAGTCAAATCTGTCAATAATTGTGAAACATGCTCCAACTTATCACCACAATTGACGCTTTAACTTTTGTCATAATTCATAATTAGATGGTCATTCAATTGACTTACAGTTCACAAGACCACACTAGAGGAAATGCTTATTTGTCTTCACTATATATAGTTGTCAACGAAAAATATCGATTAGAATTATTTGGGCGTCCAACAATGACTAAACAATCCAAAACGACTTCGCACAGTTGGTGGGAAATCTTATACAAATAAACACAACGCTATCTTTCCCTTTGAAAGCGAACTAAAAAACTTGTTGACAATGTTTTGAGCTCAAGATCGCGAAATACATTTACCAAAACGACTGGCACAGAAATTTTGTTTGACTTACAATCTTGTAGATTTTGACCAGCAGATTTAAGATGACCTGATTTTGCCATTTAGATAATGACTTGTTTCCTTGCATTGTACTGAAGTCAACATATGTAGCAAGAGCTCACGAAGTCGTGTAATGAAATGTGCTAGCATGTGCTGTACTCACTGTCATTCACCTACCAATCACACCACAAAATGACTATCACAAGATAGTACAACTTTGCAAAAAATACACCATATTTCTATAATGTCCTCCTAAAGGTCGACAAGGTCAAAAGCTGCTGGAGAAATTAAAACAATTTTGTCAAGTTTTGATCAAACGTTAGTGGGTCATCATCTACTACGATGTACTAGTTCGGCACCATAATTTCTTGTTTGAAGTTCGATAGAGTAAAAAAAATTCATTTTTAGAAAGCTAAAAATGATATTCAACCGAATATAAGTAAAGTGTCTCTTTTATTACCACTGCGAAGCTACAACTATCTTCATTGCAATTATACAGCTGCATTGCTCAAGTGTTGTCTATTTCATCTACTTAAAATATGGAATTTCCTTTATATTTAGTTAAGAGTAGGCACTCATGTATACAGTTAAAACACTTTGCATTCTTCATTCACGAGTATTTTTCTAATGTGTTGAACGTATTCTAGAGAATATAAAAACAGTGTTATGTGGCATACCTGTAATGCTGGTAATAAGTACAGGATTTGAATCCATCGTCGTACCTCCATAAGCCTAGCATGGGTAGAAATTATGATAGATCAGTAGACCATATGCATGATACAAATTTATGTCAGCACACTATCACTCAAACAGGAATTTGTAATTTGCAGTCTGGTGGCATGCTAGCCACGCAATTTGTATGCCTTCTGATTGGTCTATCGAAAATGTTGAACGCTTGAGTGGCCAATTAAAATTTCGAAACGTGTTTGGGCAACTACTTCTAAAGTATAATTATTGTATATGAAACTACGTATGTTTAAGTAGCTCATGCCTTTAAGGCGTAACATGAACAGACTCGTCTACATTCTTAGAATATAGTATACACAACTACGTAAACACATGTTCTCTGCACTTTCATCGTGTTCATAAATACCCCATGGAATCCCCCAGTGTCTGTTTGTATTGACGGCCCATGACAAAATACGTCGTATGGAGGAAATAGGCTATATATATTTAATTTCTTCTTTGCTTATAACAATTTGTCAAGAAAATATTTCAAATAGCGTGGCAACGTCAAGATCTTTGGTTAACCGAAACATTTTAATTAATGTAATTACATGTAAATTTCATATGTCTGATATAAACAGTTCGAGTGGGTGGCGGAAATAACTTCTAAGTTTAAACCAATTGATGTTATTGCATTCAGGAAAAGGGAGCAAAACACGGAAATCGATATATGCCTTGGGAATTTTGTTTTAATATTGTGAAATGATTTATTTATAATTAGAAAATATGTCTATGCTTCCATAATAAAAATATTACGAACCGTTTTGGATCTGACTTTCAATGAATTCTTATTATTGGAAATTTCTTATAATTAATATAAGTAAAATTCACATTTAAAATGGTTGATAAAAATGTTAACAAAACTTAGAAGTCATAGAAATGATAAAGTTCCCACACTAGTCACACGGAATTCTTTATCCTTTGACAGGAAAAGACAAATATTTCAGATAAGACATACTTCAAATGCCAAAAATACACACTATAGCCCGCGCCAACATCTTAACCATATTCCTAACGATTGATTGAAAGAAGGGAGAAGCAAAAATTATAAATATTTAGAAAATTGAATGACTTCTTAATAAACCCGAGGGAAGGGAGAAGTAAGAATTCTAAATATTTAAAATGTTAAATAACTTTTTCGAAAGTAAACCAAAACATGTAAAGACGTGCCTTTTTATGACGCTAATTTAGTATATCAATCTTAGTGATTATCCTTTAATTATTAAAATTAGTAAAATCCATTCTCCGTAATCATCAATTACACGTTCGTTTCAAGTTTTATAAATATGGCAATTATCATCCTCATTAAGACAAACATTTCAAAATTCGAAAAACTTATAGTGAGCTAAATTGAACATATCTATTCAAATAAATGTAACGAGTGCAGAGAATGTAGTGAGAGCGAGTACCACAAATGCTATTCTAATGAACTAAAAATTGATCTTTGCAGAAATGTGCTTTTACAGATAGCTACTTGCGCATATGGGGCGTACCTAATTTTTCCAAATCGTTTTTAGTGCTTAGAGAGAAATAAAAAAAAGTTGTAAAAATGCTTATAATCAGCCCCAATAATAATAATAATAATACTAATAATTATAATGAAAAGTATTTTGGGTAGGCATGGCAGATGCGATGCAGTTATAAGCAGCAGACCTGATGCTTCAGGGAGTGGCGACCCTGCCTTGCCAGCTGGTTGTACATGAAAGTAAAAACTGACGCTTAATTGGCCGTCACTGGTTAGTATTTTTCTAAGTTGATGGCAAACATTCCTCCTAGTCTAAGAGCAAAATAGATTAAATTATCTATACTCCGCTATCGGAACTACACTCAGCTTGACTTAATTGGTTGTCTGCACGGAACAGACCATTATAATATTCCGAGAACAAATGTGATGGTTATTGAATTATTAGTATATATTTTCAACGTTGCTTTCTCTTAAGATTTAGAGATAAAAAGTGTTTTTGAAAATTTTTTCAAAATCATACGAACAATGTATATCTGATTAAAGGGATTGCATCACTTTCAGACTCGTGTAAAAAATCTGATCTCTTCAAAGTTCGAATTCCAATGTCTAGATATAGATGTGGTTATAATCTTGAAAGGGCATGAAAAAAAGCCTTTCGAGCCTGGATTCATCCAGCTGTTTAATGGTTTGGTGGAAAAATAACTTTTGTATCCAAATACATGACAAAATTTCATGGTCAACGTCATGGTCAAAATTCTACGTGTTATGGAAGTCTTTTATTGCAACATCAAAACAATGACGTCAAGCATACTTAACACTTTAATGGGTGACAGTATCATTTTTATAAGCATGTACTCATTGTTGTAGGCTGTCATAATGTTCATGAAAAATTCTTCGTGCTCCACGATAGACTGAAACATACCATAACAAGTAGATTGTTAGACCAATTATGATATGTGAACTATGGACTTTGTGTTAAAAACGTGAAGAGCGCACATCAGTTATCGATCAAAGATTTAAAGGAACTCTCGATTTAATACTGTCCTATGTAAATGTGTGAATAAAAATGATGTTTAAATAACCGTTTAAGTAAAAGTTTTCATCAAATGTTGATCATGCGGTACAGTCAAGCTAGCTACAGCAGGCGCATTTTATTCAAATTATCTTATTATAGTTGTTAATTTGCGCAAACAATAAAGAACTAACGAAATATTTGCTGCCAATCTCATGATAAATTGAAAGTGCATAGCAGTCTAAAATATTCCATGAAACTTAAATTTTAAATACGGCTTTAAGTTTCAAAGATCACTATAGTGGACAAATCTCAATAACTTGGCTATTAATTATAAATAACAAACTCCTACCGTTAATCAAAAATGAGACAGATCTGTCGTCGCCAAGTTGCAAAGTCTGAAAAGCCGTGAAAAGTCTCAAGCATGTATGCTGTATATGAGAAATACGTACTTTATTTCAAAGCTGGTTGGATAAAGCAGCTGTATACGTGGTTTGCATGCATTTTGCACGTGTGTCACTCATACTAAAGCAAATCGATCAATTTAAATGTACAGCGGGAAGTAACTATTAATTAATAATCTATTGTGTAATCTTATTTATGCAACTTTTACGATACTCGATCTGTTCACTTAATCATTGTGGTATCAGTGATATCACTATTTATGTTCCACAATAATTTCATTTTGGTAAAAGTGCATGTTATTCAATTTATGAAAACATATATTTTCTCTTCTTTTATTCAATTCCACTCATCTGTTAAACAAATACGTATTTTGAATGGACTATTATGTAACAGTTTGACATTTCTTGCACCTAGTACATCAAATATGACCATTCATAAACATCGTCACATGTTATCAAAGTATCATTTCTAATTAGTCAATATTTCCATATTCGTTTATGGTGACAATCTTTTACAGAATATTTTGGTATGAGTTCATAATTACTTGTTGCTGCGCACACATGCCCACCAAGAGCCCGTGTTAATTGTGAACAGTTATTCTCAAGACTACTGTGGTGTAATCGTGCAGGAGGATTCGTATTAACACTTTGGTGTAATGTGTTCAAGTATCAATCTTTTGCCGCGCAAAATCGTAAATGTTATCCAAAAACTCCAAAAAAATTGTTACAATTTTGTTAGTTTTATAAGCTATGGCATGCCTTAATTACTCTCGTTAATGCGATCAGTATGTTATATGCAACAGCAAGAAATGGGATTAAGAGATTATAATTGTTAAGATCAGATTATAGGATAATGAACAAACAATTCGTCTTGTAAAGGCTTGTTCTTAATACTTACATCAGAATAAATCTTCCACTTACAATCCCACGCTAATCAAGAATGCTGTCACTATGTTTATTGTGTACTATGTATTTGTAACGTATTAGCTTTTCCAGGACAATTGCCCGAACAACGTACATGACCTTCTATAGAAATAAATATGTTAGCTATTTGTGATAAGACGAACTGTATACGATAAAGTTACAAACATAACAAGTTGTACTGTCAGTATGGAGTTAGTTAGATTTACAAACGTTTCTGCATTGGTTTGTCATAGCATTATGATTATTGTCGGCGTTTTAGTAGTGTTTCAAACAATTGTTACACCTTTTGGGCAATTTTACAAAAAAATGCAGTCAGATTTTTTGTAAGTTTATCGAATGTTAGAATTTTTATACAATTCTGTTTACATCATATTTTTTGTAGGTCTATCAAATGATAGAATTTATATATTACTTGGTGTGCATCAACGATTTCTGTATTTTTAATTTTAATACTTATGACAAGCCCATCGAAAAAGTATACTGTTATTTAACGCTTACGATCTCAAAATCGTCAAATCTTCATGTTCCGATCAAGGCAAGAACGTTACAACACAACATGAGATTTTGTCTTGCATGCCTTTTAGTTATCATAAAGAAACACGAACAAATGTTTTTACAACAAGGCTTTCGTTGGTTTAAAATGCTTCCTAACTATTGACAGTATACACAACGCCATGCTTGTTGCAATAAATACCTGAATGAATTGAATACGCATGCGGACAAAGATAAAACAAACTCCCTCCGGGAAACTTGCTTGATTTCACTTTCGTTTACGTTGCGACAAATGAAAGCCGTGCTGAGTGTTCCATAAAGACTCCATAAATGTTGCTGCTCATAATTTTCGTCGCTATAATATAAAGCACCTGACAAATACAGTATTTGGAACATTAAAAATCATCATAGAAATTGTTTGGACATGTTCGAACAGGCCAAAACATGTCCCGTTTCTGAACAAATCATTTAATGCTGCGTTCGTCCATGGGGTACATATGGATACCTTTTCTCAACCGCAATAACACACGAGACCTTCAAAGAATATTACCGGCTCCCAATAATAAAATTGTGTCACTTGTTGTGCATTCGTAAAGCACCAAGAACAAGAGTTGACTCTATCATCAAAGAGAAGATTGTTGCTTAATGTAACTGACACTGGAAATCAAAAAATACACAGCTGTCGCACACAGATAAACTTTTGTACATGTAAATTATCAAGATGAAAGCATAATGATTACTCACTGTAAAGATACAATCGTAGGTTGGGATAATATTTGACTGTTTTGTATTTTTTTGATCATTTAATCAACTGATTAATTAATTTGAATTAACAAGTCAGTTATGTTGTTTGATTAAAACACGAAAAAATCCCCAATATGAGAATGCCTGTTTTCAATTATCAAGCAGCTTCTAGAACTCAGCAGTACTGTACTTATCAGTATTCAGTATAAAGAAACCCGTCTAAAGATATTCATATCAGAATTCAATTAGCAATTACCTCTCGTTACCTTTTAAGTATCAGAATTTAGCAACATGTGTCAGAATTGAGAAATGTGCAGCCGAAATTCAGCAATACTTATTTTCTTTCTGATAATTTTATCTTAAAGTTTTCTTATTAGTGAACAAAGGAAGACGAAAAGCTGCACGGATCAAATTAAGTGCCTATTTATCACTGTAAAAGGCACCGCTATTGTGTTTCATGCGGATTTTAGCTTAAACTTTTATACGTTAATTATTCGCCAATCAGCGAGTACAAGAAAGGTAAGAAATTACCGCCCCCTGGATAGAATTTCGTCGAAATCTCTCGGTAACCAATTTAAATTCTACCAGGTAGGGACAAATCAATCGCAAAGGGTAATTTTAATTTTTCAAATGTTGCAAATACTTGTAAGTTGCAACTGCAAAGTTGAGCACTCACTTTTACCAGCACGAATAGTAAAAACAAAACTGCGTTTTAAAAATGTTGGCACCTCGGTTTACACGAACATAAACAACTAACAGACTTAAGTCTCGCTGTTGCAGCAAACAATTTCTCCAACCGTATTGGGTCATGTGTCGTCTTATGTCATCAAATTCAAGTTTGCCCCACTTACCACAGGTTTAATTTCTTGGTGCCGTACCTGACCAAGAAAAATATCTTACACGTTAAAATAAATCAAAAATCTCGTAAGCACTTCCTTGCATGGTTGCTTGTAATTGCTGTTAAAAGCACTTTCAAAGCTCAAACTACGCCCAAAGTTTACATTTTACAAGTTTTTCATAGTTTTATTTTGGAGTTTTTTCACAGCACACTGCTTTCAAATAAACAGAAACGTAGCAAATAATTATAAAGAATAAAGCCAACATTGGTAAAATAAGATTGGGGTTGGGATCTCCGTAATTACTGGTTAAAGGGATTTGTGTTTTGACAATGAGCAGTGTCCTCTTTCATCGTCTTGTTGTGGTTTTCTCTAGCTAAAAACAGTCAAGTGGATTTAATCATGAAAATGCAATAATCCGTTTGAGAGGATCATGTAAAATATTTTAGCTGTTATGAGGCTTTCGCGTAATCTCAGACAATTATTCACCACTTTATTTTACTTCTTGGTTCGAGCATGCGCATATCTTCCCCGTTGGCTACCATATAGCCATGGCACTGGTATTAACAAAGATCCGTGATTTTTCAACTTTACTGGTCTTCGAAAATATTACTTAAGTGATTAGAGGACAGACAGATTGGTAAACGAATGTTGCATTTTAGTAAAAATATTATACTTACAATAAAATTGGTACGTAAGTCGAATAGTCGATCAAGATTCCAGTAGTAGTCATTGATTGGTTGGTATTAATTATTGCATGCGCTGTAGAAGATGCGCAAAAAATTACTATTGCTCATTTAAATTGAAGGTCAAAATATTAATAACACCTGTACTATTGAAATTTAACCATCATGTTTGTTTTCAGTAGAAATAGATCAAATTTAAACATACATCTGCAAGAATTTACATGACATACAAGGTGAACAAGCATGGCAATATGGTGGAATTTATTTTTGAGGTGAGGGGTGTACCAAAGTATGGAAACCACAACTACCACCTCCTCTCATATGTCAAATAAAGGACATGCATATTAATTGTCAAGAGGTGAAGGTTTCCAAAGAACATGTGTATCATTTTAACAAACAAGTGAAAACTATTGTGTCTTTAGTTCAACATAAATATGTTTGTGAAGACAAAGCCAATCAAAATGATGGCATCATAACACAACAAGTTAGTTTAATTTAATAATTCAGCATTTGTAAGATCATCCTTTTTGTGTTTCTAACACATAATTTTTTGTAATTCTGTGACTGATGCAGTTGTGCAATGAGAATTATATAGGGATAGCCAGAATACATTAATATAAATATTTCAATTCAAATTACTTTGCAACTAAAGTATAATTATCTTTCAATATTTCTAACAAGACAGTTAATATAGCATTCTTAATTGACAATTGGTTACTTTAATGTATTCTAACTTAGAGTAGATCCACCACAGAGGGATTTCACAACCTAACCTAGCCTGCATGAAGTTAAATCCTAAACAAAATAGATTTGTGAACTGGGATTACATGCTATTAAATCCTGTTGTGCTAAGCAACCTTGCCCTTGAATGGCTGATGATTTCACGAAAAAAATACTAACTCAGTAAAATTTTGGATTACATTAATGAAATAAAATTATGGTTATTCTTTTGAATACACAAAGAATACATAATTTGTAACATTTTCAAAAGCAGGATAAATTTATCTGTGGGTAGAATCTTTGCGCATAACACGTATATCTGTTTTCATCGTTTACTTTGCTTTTGTATATTCCTGAATGACAATGTTAATCTTCTGAATCAATTCACAGTGGACTACATCCTTTATAAACATAAAAGAATGGATAGATCAATATTAATCAACAACAAGATTAAATTCACAAAGGATGAAAAAAATATTGGAATTTTCGTGGAAAGTGGGCAATTTATCCGACATCCATGAAAGATGGTACGACGATAAAATACTTGGAGAAACGTTTTGTAGCATAAAAATAATTTAAAATGAAGTCATTGTTCATCAAAATTATTGTTTAGGGGCATCATTGGACAGACTTAGGTTGAAATTGAAAGATGAATTCAAGACGACTCTAATACAAAATTGTTCATCAACCTTGATGGTAAAATAATGGTGGTTTCATTAAAAATGATTTTTACTGTCATCATTTTATTTTTCTTTAGAGCAACCCATTATGCTTATTAATCTACATAGATGTTTGCGTCTGTAGGAAGGTGAGAAGTGAGATAACGATGGATGTGGTCAAGTGAAAACAATACTTCATATTATAGTAGTAAAGAGATCTAACCATTCATTTAAAATGTAATGATTATGTTCATGATACCTGCCTCAGAATGACGATATTTGTTTTTGACACTATCCAAAAAATGTTGTTTGTTAATAAGGCTGTTCTTCTGTTATGTTTTATTTTATTTTTTTTTTTACTTATTTTTTAAGATTCCAAAGAAATTTTCATGTATCAGTGAGATGGTTGAGAGAATGTCATACGTTGTTCATATACATGGTGTTGTTTTGTCATGGTGTAATGGAAAGGTTTTATTCAATTTGTAACTAGAGATTTATAACATGTTGCGATTCGTTTTGTTATCAAGATTGTTTACTGGTAAGTAGATGAATTTAAAGAGTTAGTTAATAGTTAATAGATAACTTATCATTTGCTACGACCAATGGATGTTTTGTGCAAGTTCCAATCTTCAATTAAGAGGCCAGAATACACCCAAAATAATTGCCTTGTCGAACGTTTTCTTTGATTCCTGAAAATTGGCATTATTTAAAATCTCCAAATATTAAACCCATATTGATGATATTTATAAGAGGCATGTTGAAATATAATTGAGCCATAAAAGGTTTGTTGAATACATGAATTATTAACATATTGATAATGGTTAGTCAATCGCGTCTAGCAATGATATCTATTTAAAATACTATTCTCAGAAAGATTATGTCAATTTGGCGTTGTGCGTGTATCCTGATGTACTTTGATGCATCATGCCGTGATTTTAACATGGCCTCTTTCTTGCCATGTGAAACAAATTGGCCGGTATCGTCTTTCATTTCTCAGTATGATATTGGCATGTTGCCCCCTTGCCTAGTGATATTTTTTGTCTGAAAAGCTTAGATGACAATATGTGTGGCGTTTGAAAACAATGGCGCCATACGAAAAGTTGAGTCGCCACGCCTAAATATTTGTGTTGTATATCTTGCCCGAGAAATGTTTATAAAAGTACACGGCGAATTTAGGGTAAGTCAGAACACATTAAAAAAAATTATGTAAAATTCAAAATACTTTGCAAACAATCCTATTGGTAAAATTTGAGCTTCAAAATACTCTTTAAAAATTTTTAACCAACAGAATTATTGCAATTGCATTTTAAATTTAAAATGGCGCTGTAATATATATTTAATGAACATTGCGATTTTGTTTTATGAATGACCTACATTTTCACGAGAATCCGTTCCTTCAGACTCGTGAAGCTTGTCTGATAAGAAGATTTAAATATCTAGTTCACCGAAGTTATGTTTAAGGAATGGCTATTTGATTTATTGACGATGAATTTTTTTGTCGGTGCTCTCGTCTTCACATCTTCGTCACAGGTTATCAAATACATCTCAGTCTCCTAATGTGTATAATAATGTATTAATATCATTTTAATTATCTTGCCAATCATTAGTTGATTCAGAGCACAATGGTGGTATCTATGAAGAATTATTGGCGGTCAATGTCTATCATCTTATTTCATTTTAGTACTATTTCTTCTTGGTATGCACAAATCAATGTCGTTATAAATACCTTATAGGGATTTGACTGTAAATCTGCTTTGATTACACTCTTTTGGTCATCACGACTGCAGAAAGCTTTTTAATGCTTGAATTTTATTGGTTCATTTTGGACAGGTTTAATAGCCTGACTTTTCGACACTGTTGATATTTATCTGAGCTACGATCTTTCGTATCGAGTTCTACCGAAGAAGCAGAAACGTTTATGATTTTGTCTGTGAAGTGTTTCTTTTGCACTCTGGAAAAATGTCGTTGCGACAGAACGAAAGGTAATTAACACGTTTGTTGTATCAATTTGCGTTGTAAGTGCTCGCGTGCTTGCTTCTTAAACGTTAATTTAATCTGCACCTTATCATGTTGTATAATCGTTATCGAACTCATCAAAGTCTTATTCTTTCTGCGTCAGTTGATTATTGTAACGTTCGTTATGCTAAGGTCGTGGTTGTTTGAGAGTTGACTTGAGTATGTCTTACGATGTCGACAGAAACCTCAAATTATTGACATCATACTGTGTATATGTGTTATAAAAGACTTGGTAAAGGACTGTCTATAATTGCGCACCAAATGCAAATTACTTAATTAGTCATTGGTATGCGAAAGTTCTAAACAGTTTTTAATCGAAGACAAAAAAAAGAATTCAAAGCAACGTTAAGATATTTATAATGATTATATACAATATGTTTATCTTGCTTTAGTTCAACAAACACTACAGATGACATTGCTTCAAAGTCTTTTACGAATTTAGCCCTTGATGTTGAATGCGAATCGAAAGAGAACAAGGGTGAGACACTATTTTTTATAATAGGAAACTTGAAACGTAGTAAAGCATAAAAAATTTAGATTTCTCAACAAAATTCAGAACTCTGATAGCTCTTTAGGGGCAAGTTGTGCGCGAAATTATTTAATAGTTCGTGTATTTTCGTGATAATACTTCTTGCTATTTGTTTTGTTGTGCAGATATGAGATAGTAAACATGAGCTTTTAAAAGATATGCCAACATTTTTAGCTGAAGAGAAAAATAATGAAAGATGTGAAAACGATGCTGCTGCGAGTAAATTGTTAATAGTAAAATAAATATAACGCGCAGCAGGACAACACATTTGTAAAAAATTGCATTTAGATTAATCATTAATGCATGTCATTCAATGGGAAACTCAAAATATTTACGCCCCACAACACATTTTTCTTTTCAATCTTGCTAAAGATTGAGAAAATTTGGCCTCATTTGACTTGTCCTTTTTCCTTTAAATAATGCAAATTTTCTATAACACCATATTTGAGTTTTCTAAAATATCGAAGGCTGCTGTTCAAACATCTGCTTTTTATAACGATGGATTTTTTCTGTATAGTCATTTGTTATGTTATTTAAAACCAAAGTGTTAAAAACACCTCTAAAATAAAACTTTGTTAATGTAATGAAAAAAATATATATTAATGTAATCTTTGTGCAACATTTGAAAATTCGTTTCTCAGAAAGTTTATATTTGCAAGGAATTACCAGCAACCAATGTCAAGGAAGTTGTGGTGTGATTTTTACTTTGTTTATATAAAAAGATGTTTGTTTTGGTTTGTTGATATAAGGTATTTTCACAATGTTTTGTGTGTGGTAGACGGTGCGGTACTATACAAGTGTAACAGTTACCTGTACAAACACAGTGTGGTTAATGATCCTTTGCGACTTTTTTGGGGTGCATCTGCGTGTGGTAATTTTTTAAGAGACTCCATGAACGTCTTAAGTTCTACATGACGCAAATTGTTTGAATGAACACCAACTGCTATATCACCTGTGGAAGGAAATGGCTTGGTCATTTAGGTTTCGAATCATATTTCTTCTGCGTATTTCCGTTTAGTTAGCTGTGAACGTTGAATACCTATGCGCTGTGTCTTTTCCTGTGACTATCGTATAAGGGTGTGTAATGAAAGCTGTTTATAATTCTGGTTTGTGACAAACGACCAAGATGTTTAGATCGAAATGATTTTCTTTAATACTTAGCTAATCATATCTGCACAACGGAAATATATTCATTTGGTATGTGGTATAAAAATTATTTAATTAGAAATATCTGGCGTATCTCGTTTGTCTCATGGTACTTGTGTTAACATTTTGTACAGATACTTTAGTTTTTGCGCGCGCCACATTTTTGTATAGTTCTCAGGTGTTTTAACGTTACTTTCAAGTTTCAATCCAGATATACTGCTGTTTTGTTAGTAGCTTAACATTGGTTGTTCATTTGAGAACAGATAACTAGTAACTACATAATGAGTCTATTAAATGTTAATCAATTTAATTGTGTTAATATATTAATAATGATGTTGACCGGCTTGATTACTTTTCAATGTCACATCTTGTTTACACTTTACTCGTCTGTTGACCACGGAAATTAAAGATCCTGTGATTATACTGAAATCTTTTAAATTAAAAACAGAAACTTTTATTAAACTCATTGCAATTGTAAAACATTTGGCATTTATTTTTAGTGTCAAGCTCGTTTTTCTCACTCAGAAATTATTGCTGTAAACCATAGACATTCAATTTAGTTTTTTAAAACCGTCAATTTTGTTCAATTTCAAAAATAAAACAATTTAATGAAGCAAACAAAGCGATTAGCATTTGCTGCGTCAACCTTTCGATGACAAATTAAGGAATTTCAATTATAAAAAATGAATTGCGGCTCAATTGTAACAATAAGTTTCTATGGTGACGACATATCTAAACTGCATGTTGCAGGTGGTTTGAGATATGACATTGATCGAGTAAGAATCGTACAGCTAGTTTATATAAGGGTGATCCATAATTTTTGTAGCTTGCTTCTTTTAAATTTTTTTGTATAATCCTCTTCAGAGTCAACCAAAAAGATGGTTGGTCAGTCTGACTGTGTTACAAACTTCAAACAAAGCATTGTCAGAAGAACTGAATCCCTTCTTAGCGGCATTGAGAGGAACATTGAACGTAACGATACACAATCTGCGGCTGTGGCTTTATGTCAAGCTTACTCTCTTGCGCCTCGTCGTACAAGAAAGCAATTACGAAGAATAGAAAGGGTGAATCTTGTAAAACTTGTAAAAGTTTTAGAAAAGTTTTTAATCGAAAATAATGGAGATTCGTCTCTAACTGTAAAAAAAATAAGCGAGCTTATTTTGTTGCCCGAAGTTGATGCGAACAATTCCGTTGCATGGCGAATACGATTGTGGATGTTGCTTGAATCAGAGGAGTACGCCGAAGTAGTCTTGAATACCAATCGCTTATCAAGCATGCCTGCGAGTAATGAAACAGCTGAGCTATATCTTATGTGCTCGCTGGCACATATGAAAACTGGTGTTAAAGATACTGGTCTCGAGCTGTATCAGACAGCAATCAATATTGACTCCATAAAGGCAAGAAAATGCATTGTTAGTATTGGAGAGGACAACAAAATGATAATTTATAAAACATTACTGGAAAAGGCATCACAACTTCATCGTAATATGACATCACTGAGCACAAAGGATAGCGTTGACATGTTGAATTATTACAGTGAGATTTGGAGACTTTGTCCCAATGATATCAACTCAGCGGAAATTTATGGCCAGCTATTGATGAAGGTACGAATGAGTATCGTATTTGTTAAAGAGCCATGCAAATCACGACAAAATAAAGTCATCATGAAATACAAAGTTGACCATTCCTCAATGTTCAGAATGGTGTCAATATTGATCAGTATAATTTTCGTTAGATAAATTGATATAATGCTCTTCGCATTTCTTTCCTCCAATTTAGGTCTTTCGATATGAAGATGCCAAAGTTATTTTTGAAGGGATTGTCGACCAACTAGAGAGTAAAGGTGATCTTTTTCAAGCAGTACGTTTTCGACTCTATCATGCAGATTGTCTGGTAAACATTGCCAGTTTTGAAGAAGCAGTGCTGGACTATTTAGAAGCCATGGAACACGATTCCTGTCTAACACAAATCACTCTTCAATCTCTCTCAAATGTGTTTGTCAATAAACTTACAGCATGTGTTATTGAGCAAGCTTCGACACTCGTCAATCAAATCACATGTGACAAAGGCGAAGATTCGGATCAAAACAATGCGGATAGCGCACTCCAGCTCTATCGTCGTCTTTATAAATTACTCTATGCAATTGACAGCGAGAATGTCGACGCTCTACGAAAATGTGCCGAATCGTTACATGTAAATATTTTTTATAATTTGTGCTTTGTACGTTAGTCATTTGTGTGGGAAATTCTTGTTCCTTTTTTTTCAGTTGAAATTAAGCGTTTTGGCTTCATAATTATTATTGCTTTTATCATCTTTCGTCTTTATAAACTTGCTCTCACTTTTACGATCTGTTTCAACTCGAAAGAATAACACCAATGGACGTATTTAGTAATAAAAATTTCTTCATTTTAGGTGGCAGGGAAGCACGAAGACGCTGTTGCTCTGTTGACGGAGGCCATTAGAAAAACTCCTTCTGTACATTTATTGTGTGAAAGAGCTATGTCTTATTTAGGAATGAAGAATTTCAAAATGGCACAAACTGATTTGGAATGTGCATCTCATCTGCAAGGTAACTCCATTGAAGTTCACTCTTGCAAGGCATATTTGAATTTTCTCATGGGAAAGGCAGAAAAAGCTGTTGAGGATTTGAGTTTTGCATGCTCTGTGAGCCCAGCCACAACCACAAAAGTGTTAAAGAAGTTCACTGAGGAGCAATATGCGATAATGACGCGAGGGATAGAGAAGTACATCCATGATTACAACAAGAAAATGTTACCGGAAATAAAAGCCAAATCTAAATTACTTATTTATCTTTGTGACTTACTTATTAATCTTTCACCAGACAAACTCGACTATTACATAAAATATAGTGATGTCCTGTTTGCATTGAACATGCGCGAAGAAGCCCAAGCTATAATGTTAAGAATGGTAAAGAACTCATCGAAAGATTGTTTACCAATTATACATCTTGCTGCTCTTCGCTTGAAACTCGGTAATGCTGAACTTGCGATGGAAGGATTTGGTAGCGTCTTACGTGAAGTAGATGAAGAACGGTTAGCCGCTGAGCTATCAGAATTCTCCAAGAAAGATCGTGCTCAAATCTCTCGAGAAGCTCACATCCGGGGTCTTGCTTTGTTCCGTGAAAAAAAATACTGCGAGGCAATAGATTGTTTTGGTGTTGCTATAGCGGCAGCGTCCTGTCATGCCCCAGACTCGTTTCTTGCACGTGCTCGATGTCTCATGCAAATGCAGCATTATCTGAAAGCAATCAGTGACTTCACTGCAGTTATAAAATGGACTCCCACGTGTGTTGAGGCAAGATGCGGACGCGCATGCGTTTATGTAAGACTTCAGGAGCACCTGGCTGCCAGCAGGGATATTTTATATAGCCTTCATTCGAACATTCCAGCAACCACTCGATATTTGGCCTCACTACCAGACATAAAACTGCGCATGGTTTTGCTTACCTTGGAAAAGTATCTACAAATTGCTTTTGCATATTGTGAAAAGAACGGCGATATAACGTCGTCTATTCACGAAGATAGCTCGATGACATGTGGGGAGTCGCTATTACTTCTCTCAAACCTCTTGATTACACTTGCACCTAATGAACCAAAATATCTGAGTATTTATGGCGATGCTTTGATAGTTCACCGACGTTATAGCGAAGCTATTGCGAGGCTTCGTGAAGTACAATTGCTTTTACCTCTTGATGTATCCATTATTGCCAGAATTTCTTTACTTTTTATTAAAGTTGATGACCATGATGCAGCGATAAATGAGTTGTCAAAAATATCTGAGGAATGGAACACTCTAACGTTCTGCATGCAAGCAATGGATGAAGGGACCAAATTTAAAATAGCTCTCGCTTCTTTCCAACACGCTGAACTTTTAAAAAAGAAAGATAATAATTCTGAAGCATTGAAATACTACACTGTAGCAGTGGTATCATCATGCTGTCGTGACGCTGGAATTTTACGCGCACGTGGTAAATGTCTAGAGAGTTTGCAAGAGTATGGACGAGCAATTCAAGATTTTAGCACAGTACTTGCTCTTCCCAGTCCTCAAGTGAGTGATTTTTGCGCTCGAGCAATCGCCTATATGATGGACGATGATGACGAGCGAGCATGCCGGGATTTTATGACTGCTATCGAGCGCGATTCGAAAACTGCACTTATCTTTATTAACTCAAAGCCAGGAAAAGATTCTGCTGTTAGCATATTTTTGACTTCAGCTCGTATTGCGCATGCACGCAAAGACTTTCGGAAGGCTCACGTGATCTGTGAACATGGTTTAATGGTTGATGAAAATGATGTCAATCTCCTTGCTCTGAAAGAAAAATGTGAAAGTAATATGCAGAAATGTATTTTAATGTAAGCAGTTAGTTGCATTTAAGAACAGCATGTGAAAGTATTATTATATGTTAACGGTTGTATGTTATTTATTTTATCCCAAAGCTTGGTTTGTTTTTAGCTCAAAAAATATGCTAAACGATTCTATTTCATCGTTTATTCGTTGTGAAATATATTTACTCACACACGACTATAGACAAAATTCGATGCTTCCCTTTTTATTGAGGATTTTGTGTTTTTCTGTCTAGTTTTAACATTTAAGAAGCAATTGAGCATTGTAAATTTCGACCACAGTTGATGAGCAAGAATGTTTTCTTGACGTGATGAAGTCTTAAGTTTCTTGTGATGTCATCCACTGCTATCAATATCTATCCACTACTATCAATATCTATCCACTACTATCAATATCTATCCACTACTATCAATATCTATCCACTACTATCAATAAACATATCTCAAATGCACAGCTACAATTGTCGGAGAAAATCAAAGTAGGGTTGCACAACTCGTACGTAGAAACGAAATTTTCAATACCTCATCAAAATATTTTAATGACAGAAAAGTAGCAATTATTAATAGATGATGATTAATCTCTGGTTGAAATGTCACAGATTTCTCGAGGATGTCTGTTCTCTAGATACAAAAGGATTTTTGTCCGTGAACAAAGTCGATCCGTGTTTCCCGTTTTCTTGTGGAAGTTTTTGGAATGGTGGATCAAAATGTAAAGTATGAGACATAAAACCTTCAATCTAAATATTTCAAACAATGACTTATATGCTCGAAAATAAATCCGTTAAGAAAAGTTGTGGGATTTCCCAAACTAATCAGTTACTGTTTTTTTTACTTCTAGCAATAGCTTAAAAGAAGTAGCCTTACGTCTAAAAGAATAATATATTGAACATCTATGCAATTTTCCAATTTAATTACAATATATCTTAAAAATAACAATTATTATTATTCACTAAAACTGGCTAATTCAGATAAAGTCACTGAAACTGACTCATATAATTGTACTAAAACTGACTGGTTTTAAAACAAACAACGATAATGATAAATAATATCAATCTGGTTGTTATTTTTACTTAATTTTTGCTTCTTTTCAGTAATTGATTTTCTTGAGTAAAATTCAATTATCTGTCGTATTTCTGGATTAGTTGTCTGTGTTAAAAAAAGTCATGTGAAGAAATATGTTTGCAAGCAACAATATTTTATGAATAGTTTCAAATATTTTTTTTCAAACTGAATTCCATAAATGTTTTGTATAATTACAGCAACCACTTTTACCTTTGCTTCTGTCTAGAGGCGTTTCATTTGGTCATCGTACGTCAAAGATTAAAATAACTGTATCTCAGCGCAAAGTTCTTCACGAAAGGCTAAGGTAAGCTAAACCAAGATATACGAATGTTGCTGAAACATGATTTAATTTGCGTATTCGACATCTTCAACACCTTTTATGATACCACTGTTAAATTAGTTTATGTGTATGTATGTCAAACGCTACAAATATTCTCAGCGATATATTTTGTAACATTTTCGTTGTTTTTCATTTTTTTCATGACTTAAATTTGGAACTAAATTTGATCCATCTGAAGAAATATTACGGCAGAAGAACATAGACATAATTATATTACAGTGGTAGGAAAAGGATTAAGTGGTTTACGTTAAGATTGTCTTTTTCTTCCGTTCAAAGTTCTTTTGTAAAATCACAGACATGCATCGCGGGAGAGATGCGTGGACCAATTGAGATATGTTGACAAATTCCTTTAAATAAAATAGTTCTAACTCCTGTATGGTATCAATTTCAAACATTCATATCGAGAGTTCTTGAAAAGTAAATATTGGCTCAGTGCTCAAGTACACTTCCGGCTTCATATAATTACAGCTAATATACCGAATGACACATAGAAAACTTCTGTTTTGTGTTTTACTACAGTTTTGAAATGTTCTTCAAAAATGTATTTTGCGTCCTTTTTTTGTAATAGTTTGTGCGGATTTTTTTATTATTTGTCGTGTTTAAGCGAGTAATGACAAAATATTCAACAGCTGGATCCCAAACTTATCGTTAGTTAGCTTCGATTAAGTCCTGTTTACAAAATTAGAATAGAATTGGTTTAGACTAAGGAAATATGGCGTTATTTATGTAAAACAGTGTCGTTTCAAAAATAAAGACTCTTATAAACTTTATGGTAAACTTGAGAAAAAGTTGTTTGGTAATTGACATTTAGCTATCTCGTTGCATCGTTAAAGTTAATGTTTTTTTAAGATTTGACGGGCGTGATGTTTTTGTTTAGCTAATTGAAAGAACTAGTTGAAATAATGCCAATAAATTTAACATGAAAATGATTTTTTGTTGTTTTGAATCTCCTAATATACAGAAAAAGATTTTCCAAAAGAGATAACCTCTTTGTATCTCTCCAAATAACCTACTGTCGTCTAAGTTATGTGAGAGTTTAACTAGAATTCAATTATTTCCCATAAAGTCCCAAAAAAATACAAACGACTAGTGCAAGTTAGAGTAAAGTTTAATGAAATCAAAGGCTTCGCAACGATCTCTCAAATTATCTGAATCTGATTCATTCCAGACGACACACACTTGTTTTTCTTTACCCTGTCTACGCCTGCTCTGTTCTACTTTCCTTGTGATATAGTGTTGCGATTGCAGTTAAATATTGACAATCTTTACAAGCAGCAGTTATATGTAATGATTTAGCTATAGGAAAAAATCTGACGCCTTCTAATGTGATTTCATTCACAATTGCTCAAAAACCCTCAATGCTTTCAATAAGCAATAAATCATTTTTAAGGTCACACTTTGGTTGTCCCATTTGCGTTGATGTTATCAACACTGTCTTTGTAGAATGTGTTTGGTTTTATAAAACCCACGCGGGACTCAACGTTAATTTTACATCATTATGATTAGTACTATATTGTATACAAATTTAAAAATTTAAAGCTGTGAAAGATTAGACTAACTTTTTTATAAATTTATTCACTTAGCTTGGAACATTTGACCTGTTGTGTTTAATTATTTTGATATTTTGATTCATTTATGGAATTAATGTGGTGGATGTAAAAATATGAATAACATATAAATAAATTTATGTCTTGTGTTTGTGTACGAATGTTATTACAAAGAATGCTTGCAGATTCTTTCGACTGATTAACTGATTATACATACATGAAGAAATTATGACGATGATTTCAACAGTCATAAGTCACATGAATCGTGTACGCATAAAAGAAACAATAAAAAGTATGGAATAAGCAAGTATAACGCACTTGGAGCTGTAAATTTGCCTGTTTAATGTAAATATTTCTGTTTGATTTGAGCACCTTAAGGTGTGGAGCTCAAACACACCGACGTTGTTTGGTTATGTGGTGTCTTCTTTTCAAAAACTCCCCTTGAACTAAGCGGCGTTACATATTATGAATAAGTATGAATGACATGCAGTAATGTTAATGAGATGAATTTTTTACAATTTTCATGGTTGGAACTGAACTATGTGCTTCTTAACCCTACGTCAAACCTTCTCAACCTTATTGTTTCCGTTCGTTGTTCGGCAGGTAATTAGCATTTTATGCGCGTGTTTAATTGGTGACGATATATACGATAAGTGGGGCCTTGGAGCATGTTTAAAACGCCTGTTTCCGAACGTAATCAATCATTCTTGGCTTAACTTGCGAATTGTAGAAGTTAGAACGAACTTATTTTAAACAAGAGGTTAGTATACACATCTGACTTATGCGATATGCGCTATTGGCGTCACAGTAATACGGTCTTGAATTGCTGCAGACCTTGCGTGTAGTCTTCTTCCAGTAGAGTGCTCTCGACATGATTGTTATACAATGTGAGAACATAACTCTTTAATGGAATATCTTTCATATATTACAGATAATCGAACGCTTGACATTTACCTATGGCTTATTCACAGTTTGTTTATACTATAATGTTTCTGTTATGTGCTTGCGCAGTTGACGCGAAGAAAAGAAGGACCAGAAATAATTCGCCGGTAAGTATTCCATCTCTATATGCTATTTCCTTTTGGAAGCATTCTCGTTAGTTTGAAAATTCCGAATCATTAAAGATTACTGTAAGTAAAGTTGGCTTTAAGCAACAATGCAAATGTTTTACACGTTCCTATAGTTGTCGGGCAAATGTACATGGTGTGAATGTTGTTATTTCAAATTCATTTAAAAATATTTTTCATTGAACAAATTTTTCATCCAGACAAATATCTTGAAATTTTTTAATGAAATCTTTTACTCAAAGTGTGCTTCACTTTCTTGCTGGTTTTTTTTGTGTAATAAATCCCTTTCGTAATTATGCCCTGGAACACAAATGGGACATTTTTTTCATGGATGTAATGTAATCTCTATAAGATTGATGGCATGCTGAGCAGTAGCTATGCGCATGTATTAAAGATAAAAAGCTACTACAAAATTCCGAGATTGTTTGTGTATCTAACTGTTGCGATTTTGAAAGAAAAGCTAAAAAAGATGTTTCCTCTTGATTTCTTAAGTATAGTTAACTAATCAATGTCTCATTTGGTATAAAGAATTTCCAGACATTCTTGTTCAATTTATGGGGATGTAAAAATATGTGTTTGTGTATGCGATCATTAACTAAATTCATCTTTAAACAGGTGGATGTTTGTGTTGTTTTAATAAGTAGTTATTTAGACTTCTAATATGAACATGATCACGAAACTCTTAAGTAGATTTGATTATATATTGTTCTATATTAAGACTTTGCTATCTCTTCACAAAAGTACATTGTTTTGACGTAATTTCATGATCTTTATGGTAAAAATAGTTTTTCTCGTACTTATAAACGGAGGTAATGATCAAGCAGACGATATCGGTGTGATCAATACATCAAAGTTTGTTGAAACGACTCCTTGCTCAAGCCATCATGCCTACAATCTTATCTTAACTGACATTCATCAAGATATCGCATTGTTAATTTTTTAAAGACATGTGTTTTTGAGGAGATGTTTGAAGAAACAGGGTGCGCATTTCATGCTAATGAGATCTGGACAAATGAAAGAACGGTCGCCTAATATATCTAGGAATATACCTATCGTCAATTTCATAGTCAAACTTTATGAAAATGACTTTATACTTAGGTATGAATTGTTGAATGTGGAATTCCAATGTACTTGAAAAGTGAAGATGAGCGGCTATATGTACTAATTAGAGCCTTGTGAAACCCAACGTTGAATCTAATTTCCGTAGGAATCTGTGTCACCTTTTTTTAAGTTGAAAATAAGATTTTAAAATACTTAAATGAAATTTCATGCCTGTTTTGACAAGTTGGCATTTACATTTTAAACAGTACCCATAAGAACCGTAACTATCACGATTGTTTACCATTACAACAAAACAAGCTTAACTGTCCGTGTTTTTAATCAATAAGCAATCTGTCTCTTATTCTCTATTAACATGACATATACACTCTTTCGTGACAAAAATTCGTGGGGTCTTAAAAATGCATGAGTCATTTATCGATACAATGTAATTGGAGCTCTATCTGATTGATAAAAAGAAAGAAACATTTTGTTAAAAGTACAAGAACCTTTTTCACATATTTTTTTTGTGTCCTGACGCTCTTCAACCTCAATATTTTGCCATTAATGATTTCCCCTATTAAGTTTTCTGCCCACCTTGTTAGGAAAGATGAAGAATCCACTACTTGTCAATAAAAAAGGTGTTATACTCTACATTGGTCTTATAAATATGTGAATTTGTTGAAAAGTTTGTGACATGATATGTGTGAAAATACTTCAAAATATTTGGGTCATCGTCTTTTTTTGTTTTTTCATTCTCACTACAATTTCCCGACCTTATTAAAGGTTCAAATATATTGATTAGTTCTTTGTTTCGCGTCTGTTCTTGTGTTGATATTTACATGTATCATATTCCACAGTGAATCCGTGAGCAGTTTTTGTTAACTATTATGCTTGTAGTTTACATTTTTCTTATTTGAAGTCTTAACTGTGATAGGTGCGTTTAAATATAAGAAACTTTCATGCATGCATTTTTTGAGAGATAACTACTTAGGGAGATATAAACACAGTATCGTAAAGATCGTTTAAGAGTAAACATGAAGTTTCTTTTGAATAGAAACTAATGTAACTGCTTGTCTTATTTAGAAATCAGATAGTCCTGTTAATCCAAAAAAGAGTTGGCTACATTTTCAAATAAAAAATCTTGCAACTTCTTATGATAGAGATTCTCCTAGAGACAACACTATGTATCAAGCAAGAAATAATGAAGTAATGATTTGTTTACCTGTGGTTTATATTTACCTTGCTTTGTTTTTTTTTGCACAGATGAACACATAGGATTTATTTTCTCTTTGGAAATATGTTCATAGCCTAAAATCTTATTTTATATATTAATAGCGGTGTAGATGTTCAAGAGGTCCACCTGGTCCTTCAGGACCACGTGGTCCGCCTGGTGCTGAAGTTACAGAAGCATATCTTATGTCAAAGTTTAGAGCGTTGATCAGAAGTGAGCATTTTACTTTGTCATGTGTAAATTAGCAACTTTTCTATTATATAAAATTTACTTGCTGTATATTTAACGAACTGACATTTCAATTCAAATAGCTACTGCTGAAAGACGTTCTGGACGAATTAGAGAAACTTCTGATCAGGTAAAAACTAATTAAGAGATTAACTCAGTCGTTTTTAAGGCAATTCCCGCTCCTATTTCCTGTACAGTTTTACAATTTGTGTATCATTACAGGCAATGGCCTTAATGGCTACCGGTGTAGCAGATTTAGTTTCTGCTTTTCATATCGAATTAAAAAACAACATTCAAGTACCAAAGAAAAGCATGGTGGAACTACGTAACTACAAAACTAACGTATGTCTGTCTTTAGCTGCTGTATTTTCATTTTCAACTCATGTGTCGTATAAATGAAATTAAAACTGCACCATAATTTTACATTGTAACTGTGTGAAAGCACTATTGATATTGTGCATTTAAGAAAAACGACAAGTTTTATTAAAATAAACATGTTTCAACATCTCATGATGCCATCTTCAGTATTATAAGGAATATTATGTATGTGATGAATATATATAAGAGTAATATGATGCTGTGATACAATTTATACATTTATGAATAGATTATTATATGGCAATGAAATAGTGGTTAGAATTAATGATGAAAGTATTTACAGGCTGAATATAATGTTAAATTATATTTTATTCATAAGTGTATAAATTGTATCACAATATCATATTACTCTTATATATATTCATCACATACATAATATTCCTTATAATACTGAAGATGGCATCATGAGATGTTGAAACATGTTTATTTTGAAAAAACTCGTCGTTTTTATTAAATGCGCAATTTTACATTAATTTCAAATATCTAGGTTGGTCAATACGGAACGTTTATCCGTGGTGATGATATAAACTTCCGCTCGGGACAGTTCACCGTTCCTTATACGGCAATCTACAGATTTTCATCTGGTGTAAATATTGCCAGGTTTAGAGATGCCAGTCTTCGACCACGTGACATGGTTAAAGTGCTGATATGCATAAACTTTCAATGCAACAGAAACACGTAAGTATGAATCACGTGTTAGCTATAGTTTCTTGCTACGTCATAGTTTAAAGCAAAAATCCTTTACACATTTTAATACAATCATGAAGTAGAGTGGTCGTCCAACTTTTCTTGTATTCAAAATTTTATAGATCATTGATGACTGTTAGTGGTCTATCTTCGAACAGCAGAGTTTTTACAATACGCGTTGAAGGTCTTCTTTCTTTAAAGGTATTATAATAATCGTGTACTGAGGATCTGAAAAGATGAAGAGTTCAATTTTTTTTCAAGCATTGATAGACTACAGTATCATATTGAGATACTTCATGTTATTTGTATGTTATCCAGGCTGGCCAACATGTATCCGTGTACATTGATAATAATTCATCAAATCCAGTTGTCGTTCAGTCAAGATCCACGTTTACTGGGGTTCTTATTGGAATATAATAACCTAAATCTACCTGTAAACCTTAAATCAATCTTATGTATGAAAGGAAATCCTCCATCAACAAAATGATATAGAATTGTTAGTTCCCTGTTCTTGTGCTAACTTCTAAGCCTGTGTTAGTTTAGCGTGTAAAATGTTTCGACGAATTCTGGAGGAAATAAGCTTATAGTCGTGAAGAAATCAATACTCCATATAATTTGTAAATAGACTTACTTCATCAACTTATTGTTCTGTTTAAGAGAGTATTTATATAAAAATATTATGATATATTGTATTAAGAAATATTGTTTCATAGTTTGTAGTGATCAAAAAAGTAAAAGTATGTTTCGATGTTTTCATTGTTTAGTATTTTACTCAATTAGCTATAGCAAGCAAAACTGAACTCGTGAAATTGATAGGAGTGACAACTGTTCCAATTTAAATCAATAACTTTAAAACAACAAAATGAAACATACGAAAGATAACTGCGTTAGACCATCAACCAATATGTTCAAAATGACCAGATTGCATCTTTTAACATCTACTATCTTTGGTATCGCTAATGTTGACTATCTTGAGAACTATGAATAAAAATAACTTTAAACAGGTCATCAGGTTACTGTCTGCTTATGATTGGAAGCCTCAGAATCGTTCTAACTAAGAATACACTTAAAAAAAGAAACGACGTCTTTCTATGAACACTTTACCTAACGAGAATTTAGCATTTCACTTTGGTCACAATCCTTTGCAATAGAAAAAAGATCAGTAAGCAAAGAAAAAAACAAATCGGTAACAATATGAACAATGCAACAAATTGTTTAATATAAAAGATTTTGAACCCAAATCCCTAAATTTTTTCTGTGAAAACCTGCTTTTTCTTCGTATTGCCAACAAAGATTAGAAAATTCATCATGGGTATACGGATAGGGATGGTGACGGCAAACTCCGAGGACTTCACGGTTAGCTCCGACAAATGGTTTCTTTCAAAATGGCGACAAAGTACACGTGTATTTCATCGAAATGTTGTGCCTTGTTTCTTATTTTGTCGGTCGTTTTCGTCGGATTTGTTCATAGCGCTGGCAAGATTCTTGTTCTTGTGGATAATGTTAACACACAGGATACGCATTCAATCTTTCTTGGCTCGTTAAAAGGTATTATTTCAAGCTTTATTATGAATAGAAATTTTACATGGCATTTTTTGAGGCTTGAGCTCAAACTTCTCCAAGACATACTCTTAATTTATTGAAATTGATTTGATATGTAAAGAACAATATGAAGCTATAATTCCTAGACGATTATGATTTCAGCGCGAGGATTTGAACTCACTATAAAATCCGCTGATGATGCAGGTCTAAGCCTGAAAAAATATGGAGAGTTTTTATTTGACCATTTGCTCTTGTTATCACCATCAGTAGAAGGTAATCTTTTATTAATATTACTGTTTCTTTATAGAAATTCATCACCATGCATTGCTTTTGATAAAGTTTTCAATGTGTTTATTTTTTCATTGTTTATAGAATTTGGAGGATCCATTAATGTGAATGCTATCATTGAGTTTATTGATGCCGGTCATAATGTTTTTGTTGTTGCTAGCTCAAATGTTGGTATGATGCTCAGAAATTGATACATGCCCAAACTGTATATGCCTGTTTTCTTTTGATGAATGTACCCTAATTTTAAAAGGGGATCCAATAAGGGAGTTAGCAGGCGAGTGTGGAGTTGAATATGATGAAGAGAAGACATCCGTGATTGACCACATTAGCTATGATGCTTCTGATAAAGGAGATGTATGGAATTGATTTTTTTCCACAAATATGCTGACATAAATTTGTAAAACATCAAAAATTTCTGAATGAATGAAATTAAACAATAAGAATTTTTTATGTATTTACTTCAATAGTTTTCTAATTTTCAGCACACAAGGATATTGTCTTCTCCTTCACACCTGATCAAAAATTCATTAATTGTTGGGGAGACTCCCATTGAGCCTCTGTTGTTTAAAGGTGTTGGGTAAGATTATTCTGTGCAATTTCTGCTGGTAATTTATGAAAATTTCATTGATACACAATCTTTTTATCATTTAGCATGACTGTTGATTCTGACAACCCACTTCTCCTTGAAGTTCTCACAACATCTTCATCAGCTTATTCATATCATCCTCATATATCTATCACTGATTATCCTCATGCTGTCGGCAAAAGTACTTTGTTGATTTCAGCGCTTCAAGCAAGGAATAATGCTCGTGTTGTATTTTCTGGATCTCTTGATTTCTTTAGTGATGAGTAAGGACTTGTTTATATAGATTAATATTGATTTATGTTCATCAGAAAATCTTTAAATCCTATTTTTCTTTGTAATCCTTTAGGTTTTTCCAATCACCAGTGCAATTTGCATCATCAGAAGGAGCAAAGTAAGTGCGATGGACTCGATTTATTGACATGATTGTTGTATGTCTTCATTTATTGAAATATATTCAGAGTTATTTATCCTTTGATTTAACCTAATACTTTATTGTTATTCTACTTTCATAGATTTACAAATTCTGGCAATGAGCAAGTTGCTATTGCTTTAAGCAAATGGGTATTTAAAGAACAGGGAGTACTTCGTGTAGTAGAGGCAAAACATCATCTTGTGGGGCAAGACATTGCACCTCCTGCATACACTATTGGAAATGATGTTGTAAGTGTGATGTCTAATTTGAAGATGAGTTGTTATTAACAAGTGATTAGACCTTGTCATTTCAATGAAATATTTCATAATCTTGGACATAGATTTATACCATTGAGATTCAAGAACTTGTTAATGGAAAATGGGAAGCGTTTAAAGGAAATGATGTGCAAATGGAATTTGTTAGAATTGATCCATTTGTACGTACAACTTTGAAGAGAAAAGGTTCATACATATTTCATGTTTTTCATACTTGTTTTTGAAAATTTCATGCAATACATGATTCCAATTAAAGTTATTTTTACGATGGTATTTTAGATGACAAATTCTTTGTGCAATTCAAATTGCCCGATGTTTATGGTGTATTTACATTCAAAGTAGATTATGAAAGAGTGGGTTACTCTTTTCTGCATAGCCGTAGCCAGGTAATTAACACAAGATTTTAATCAAGGAGAGTGTTTGTAAAAATTGTTTGTAATATTAATATTAAAGATGGCATTCAACTATCATTTCAATAATTTTTTATTGCACAACTATCAGCAAATAATACCAATATTCATTCATTATTTATATTAAAGTAATTATTTACTTATTTAGGTTTCCGTGCGTCCACTCCAACATACAGAATACGAACGTTTCATATTCTCAGCTTATCCTTATTATTCCAGCGCCTTCTCTATGATGATTGGTCTGTTTTTCTTTTCCTTCGTTTTTCTTTATCATCGAAATGAAAGCAAGACTAAAGAAGATTGAAGCAACTCAACCCACTCACGGCAGTTGTCTTAAAATTGTTCTAGTTCTGAGGAAATTTTAATAAATAGTTTTCAGTTATTGTTTCATTGTTTTCTTGCCTACATTCATTTAATGGACGTTACATCTGCGTTGTGCTCGAACCAGCTCGAACCTATTAATGTAAGGAGAAAGCTTTCTAAGTCATCTGTCTTCGACTTACGTAAAAAATTTATTTATTTATGAAAATTTTAGCAACGGCCATGTGGCATAAATTATGGCAATCCTTTGTTTGTACATTCGCGGGCCAGCTGGCTATTCTTCAACATTATGTACCAACAACAATGTCATTTTCTACCACTTGTACTTCTTTCACAATAAAATGAAGAGAAGTATAAGTGGCAGTTAGCGACATGCCGTTCATTGCCACGCACTCTCATTCATTCCAAGTTCTTGAACTTTCTTATTTTAAGTTGTTTGTTCAACAACTGAAGTCAACCTCATTGCATCACCTTCCATTTTCGCAGACAAAACGTCGTGGAGCAGAAACGAGCAACCTCATTTGTCATCGCTAAATATTGTAAGAAAAAAAAAGCAAACCCTCCCTTCTAAACTTCATTATTTAGGCTATCAATGCAACAGCAATATATCTTATCGCCAGTCAGCGAATGATTCGTTAGCTAATCTAGCATAAATGTCTTGAAACATTTTTCCAAATCTGTCGTCCTTTTTGACAAAACAGCGCTGTGTTTCATCCTATTTATAACAGTGTCATAAATCCAATTCGTACGCTACATATTACCTTGTAGGTTTGTAGTAAAAGTACAAGTGATGTTTAAAATTTCCTCGTTTTATGATGTATCCACAGAAACCATGAAATGCTTCTATGTTCTTTGCAAAAGCGACGAGTTTCTGTAAAAGGACCCCTATGTAGGTTTACAAAAACCTGTTTAAATGTTAAAATGCAAATAACATTTGAATAATGCTAAAATCTCCTTCATTGACGCTAAATTCTGCGGTTTTATATATTGGTCGTATTGGAACACAAGAGTGCACAGTTTCAAAATACATTTGAATGACAATATTTTTATGTGCACAGTTTACATGGTCAACAAATATCAGTAAAATCATTTTATATGTTCATTTGTATTCAACGCTATCTATTTCGTGAAAGTCTAAAGTAAGGAAAGAATACAAGTAGTGGATTTATGATTTATCGCAAAATATAGCTTACCATAACGGCTCAACCGTAACAACATTGTGCAATTCAATACTACCTGGTGAGCTAGGTTATCATAAATTTGTGTTCATCAAATGACGAAAAAGAAATGGGACCTTTCTCAACTGTTTCTCCTGATCTGACTGAACTTGGAGAAGTTCCACTGACATCGGCCAAAGAAAGTATTGTCAATTGTCTTTCTCCATTCAAACCGTGAATGTATGATACAATTGTTACCGAAGTGTTCATTGAAGACTTTAATTTTTACTGTCATACAAATATTAAGATAGTGCAGATATTGATATCAAGAAAAGTGCGTGCGTCCTTCTGCTATCTCTGTTTTGACGGAAGATGATTTGCATCTATCAATAGTGCTCAGCGATCACCCGTTGACACGCAAACTGACATCTCGACACGCAACACGTAAAATTTTAAAAATTATACTCTAAATATCCAAGATAAATCTTTTAAAAAGAATATTTATTTCTATAATTTAACAATTAACATTTTGAGTAATTAGACTGATTTTAACAAGCCATCGTTGCTTGCGTGACTTATTCAAACGAACTTTACACCGTCATATCATGTTATCAAAGTTCAACCAGACTTCTCAATATCTGAATTTTTAATTTGCTTCAACGGTTTGCCAAATTTCCCCCCTATATTGTTTGAGTAGCTTTCAAAATGCTCTTGTGATGAGATATCACAGCAATGACTAGTTAATTTACCTCATTGTTAGGCTGAGAAGCTGTAACGTCTCTTCAAGACTCAAGAGTGAAGTAAAAGTTTGATTCACCTCACTCGACTATCATCAATAATTTTAATTTTCTTTCTTTTACTATATTTTTGACAATTTTTTTAGAAGTCTAAAAAAAGTTTTAGAAATCTAGAAAGTTTGATGAAGGTCTTAAATCTTTGCTATCTTATCAGGGTATGTATGGCAAAATTTTATTCAGCAAAAATCTGTTACATCCGTACAAGCTATGGTAATTGTCTTCCTGAGACACAGACAACCCTTAGAATTCAGACGGTGGACAACAAGAGAACCGTTGACGTTTAGAATGTGGACATTTACATTGTAGACATAAATATCGTGGAGAGCATTAAAAAACACTTACGGTGGTGTAATGAATGAAACTCAAAATCGAAATCAAGTATCAGCCGCCTTTTTTAGAGTCAATGTCAAAAAGAACCAATTGGACATTTCCAGTGTTTACGGGCTCAGAAAGATACAAGCTCTGCATGTCGCTGTTGTTTCTGGGAATTTAATCCTAATCATCTTATCATGAATGGCATTTTTTATTTAGTTCCAACAAAGCTTGTTTTCGTATTGACATGGCATCTTCATTGATGACCAATCATTTCTCTCTGTCTTTTCCTTCACAATTCAGGAATCCTCAGAAATCCGGGATTTAGTATGAACGATCTTTCATACTCATATACTGTTGTTGGACAATAATAATAGATTACGAGGAGAAATTCCTCGATATCTGTGTATCATCTTTCACAGAATGACGTCACGGTGTTGTTTTGGGCATGAAAGAATGAATGTTCACGATTTGTCAAATGGAATGATGCAAACAATCTGCTTGCAATTTCTGCATTAACAGAGGTTCTTGATGTCTGATTTATTGGATAATTTGCACTTGTGACTTTGCAATTGCTGTTCTAAATTACAAGCTTTTACTTTCAAATGAAATTTTAAATTCATAGCCTACTTAAAAATTCTGTCATAACCGTAAATGCTTGCTTTGCACTTTTATACGGTATGTCTACTAACATGTAACTTCCTTTTGGTATGTACCTTTTTGTCCCATCATGCATCTTGCTCCTCTGTCTTTTTTTTAATGAAATGCTTACGAGCTTTTAGAGTGATGATGTTAATTTTCTTGCTTCATTCTTCTCCTTCAATGCTAATATGATTATGGAAACATAAAACTCTGTGTATGTTTTATAAAGGAAAACACCGCCACATTGTGTGCTGCTTTTTTTTGTGTTTGCAAAATGTTTTTTCACATTCACAGTGAAAAAGTGAATTCTTAGTTTCTTCTAATGGAATGCATTTCGACAATTTTTCGTTAAAGAATAAACACATTGTTAATGAAACTATACATGGTGTTGGGCATAAGCGAAAATCTAATTTCCGAACATTATAGGGGAACAATCCTCCTAAACTTCTTCCCCCATCCCTTCACCATTTGCTTCTCGGAGTACATCAGCATTTCTGGATCTTCGCCTGTTTGTGTTCAGCAATCGTCTCTCATGTGATAAAGGTAGCCGTGGGCTTATTCAACATCTTCAGGATCACAATTAAGGAAAACAAATAAGTTTGTGAAATGCAAATGCATCACGACAAACTAAAGGAACAATAAAAGATCAATTTGTTTCTTTCTTTATGTGATGCTAGCCATATATAAGTATTACAGTTCTTTTTATTTCTTTACCTATGTATACATTAAGAATTGTTAACAATGTTTATTAAATGTCAATAAAACCAACAAAGATTAATTAATCGATTACAAACTTAGGGAAACAGAAAACAATTTGTGAAAGAAAAGAGAAACAAAAAAATGAACGGTCTCGATGAACGGGAATTCCTTGCAGAGCAATCGTGAGTTATTTCCAACAGCCGCCTTTAGGAGCCCGACCTCCGCCAGGGGTAAACTGACCTCCTTTATAGAACGTCCCTCCACTTGAGCTTGACGATCTAGAACTGGTGCTTGGACTGGGAGTCATATAGCAGCCTCCTGGAGGAGCCCGACCTCCGCCAGGCGTAAACTGACCTCCTTTATAGAACTTCTCTCCACTTGAGTTTGACGATCTAGAACTGGTGCTTGGACTGGGAGTCATATAGCAGCCTCCTGGAGGAGCCCGACCTCCGCCAGGGGTAAACTGACCTCCTTTATAGAACTTTAAGCCAACATTAGATGGTGGTGTACTAGGGCTCATGATACTAGGGCTCATAATACTAGGGCTCATGGGATATGTTTCTCGAGGAAATGCTTGTGTATCCATGTAGCTTCTAGTAGCATGTATAGCAGCTTGTCCTGAAGATAATAGATAAAAAAGATATTTAGACATGCTGTACATCATAAAGGACTAATTGCCAAAACTGTTGCCAATATAAAGATCTCTTTATACCTTGAAATATACTTAGGTTCTAAACGGTCGAGTTTTATTCTTATAACTATAGTATTACCACATACACAAACTTTACTACGTCAATTCACATTGCATCGGTGTTTTGATGCTGCATAAGCATAATTTACAAACTGCATGAGGAATGTTAATTCATTGTGTGATATAAATTATTAGTGTTGACTCATGACTTGTGTTAATTTATGACGTACGTGTATCAAGTCAAATACAACTCTACAAACTTACTCTCCGCTTCCAATTTATGCATTTGTTCTTTTGCTTTGATTGTTTCATTGATTCTATTAGAAAGCATTTCTTTCAGCTTTTTCAGATCCTCGTCGACAATAGTCTCTAGTATCCAAACTAAATTGCTTGTTTTTTTTGTATAATCGCTGATCAATGTATCGGTCATAGTAGTCTTAAAATACTGTGACATCTCTTGGCTCGTTTTGTATCCTTTTCTTAACTCATTTTCCAGTGCTGATCTGAAATCATCTCCTGCTTTTATAAGAATTTCTCTTTCTTTGGCTTCTCTGGATAGAATAGCAAGCTGGTTTTCTTTTCTCTTTGAATCGAGCTCTCGATCAGCAAAATTTTCTAAATTCTCAAGTACGTCATCTTTATACATTTGCTCGAGGTCAACTTTATCAGTACTTTTTCTGAATTCGTCAAGAAGTGAATTCCTTTTTTGAGATAGTGTTTCCTCGATTCCACTTTTTACTGGAACGTGGATATTTTTAAACGCTTTGATAAGACTTTCCTCAAAATGCCGTTTTGCCTCGTCAACTACTCCCCGTTGAAGTTGAGTAATCACGGATTTTACATGAACAATATCTCCGTCCTTCATTTCTTTAACAAATTTCTCAAGCAGAAATTCTGCGTTTTCTGCATTGACAACAACAGTGCCAAAGCGTCGTGGTTCACTTACATCATCCTTTATCACACCATTGAGTTCATTCAGAGCTTCTTTGAATTCTGGTGATGTGGAATCGATGTGAAGCTCGCGTAGGTCTTCGCTTGGCGCTGGGAAAAAACAGACGTTGATGCTTTCAAAGGAAGACAGCAATTTCTTACGCAGTTGGTTTCGTTCTTTTACTTTTTCGCCACGTTTGTTTTCTTCATCAAAAATTATAGCGAATGCTTCATCCTTTGTGCCTAAAGAAAGCAGCAAAATATACAAGTTACAATCATATAGCAAACAGTGAATTTTAAGAAAATGAGCATGTTATATACACTTGCATTTCACGAGCTACTTTACAAAGTTTACCGTCATAATGAAAATCACGTAAAACGATATGCAAATGTCCAAATTTCACAGTGTCCTCTTTAAAATTCATTGACGACACGCTATTTCCAACTTCCACTAGAATTGCAAGTTCGTTTAAGATTTGATTCTTCTGCAAGCCACCTTTCCAGTTGAATAGTATAACTTTAGAGAGCAAGATAATCGGAGTCAAAAGTGTCGTATCACTGTCTATGTCTTCGTCTCCTTGTCCTTCTGTGTCCACAAAAAAAGCTCCACCACCATTTTCAACTTCCTTCATAATGCCTGCAACTTGAACACCCTTTGTGCACACATCTATTGCATCAGCTGTATCAAAAACGCTGTTACCAATTATGCAATTCATTAGAAAGGACTTTCCCTGTCTAGCTGGTCCAAGAATCGTCACGAAATTAAGAAATTTCCGTGAAGCAACATTTGAATATTGCAAGAGCTGTAGCGCAGAGACTTTAAGATTCTCGCCATTTCGCTTAATCCAAGGGAAACTTTTACCCGAATCCTTTATTCTATATATAAAAATAAATAAATTGAACGTTTAAAAAATAAGTGTTCAGTTATTTACGGTGGCTCACAAGGGACACCACACAAAATAATAAGAATCATACAAAATAAAGATATTAATACATACACAAAATACATCACACATACAAAATAAAGATGCACACACAAAATACATTATACACAAACAAAATAAAGATATACACACAAAATAAAAATATACACACAAAATAAAAATACACACACAATATATGGTCACGGGCGCTTGCAGTGTCGGATAGCTGAATACTATCAGTTTATTATTAGGTTGTAATCAGATATGTGTAGTTGTGATTTTAACATGTGGTCGACTAGTACTTGTCGTCGTATTTAACGAGGCATGAGGTAGAACTTTTCTGTCTGTACTTCTAAGTAAAATATGATAATGCCAGTTTGAACAGTGAGTAACATTGAACTTAGTGGAAAGCGGTTATTTGACATATTCCAATAATTACACAGTAAAATTTCTGAAACTATTGAGTTTCAGTTCGTTATGCATGAAAGCATGAAGCATGCTTTTATTTCCACATTTACTTTCTTTCATTTTTCAGAAATTATTATTATTATTGGCTGAAGTCTATTCTGCCCGTAGAGTTATAGAATTTGTAAGAATCACGCATATGAAATATACAGTGTTACGTACGTAACTTTTTCTTTTAAATAAGAGTTTTATCATCTCATTCATCTGATTGCTGTAGTATACAGCGGGTTTATTGTAAAAGATTTATGAAACAAAATAAAAATTTAAGTCTTACCTTATTGAATCCAAATTCATATTTATGGTTTTCGCACAATCTGCGCGAATTGCTGGTTCACTGTTCTAAAACTTCACACTAACGATGGGACTGTATTTTGAATATAAAATTTTAACACTTCAATAAGATATTTACAGTGTTGTGCACGATTTTACGTTCCAAGCGTTGGTTCTTCGCGATACGGAAGAATTAAATTGATCTCGTTAAGATTGCGGACAACCGTCAATCCTAGAACTGCGTTTTCGAAATTTATTGCCTTCTGCAATACAACTCTAATTCATCAAATTTGTATGACCAGTTCATACACCAATAACTACAACTTTTCCGAACTCCCGAACCAACGCTTCCAAGCAATATTTATGTGTAATTATTCGGAAGTGGTTTTTGGGCGTCTACATGACTTGCAACTACACCATTCCGTTTATACCTACATCCTACCGCAATGACGCATTGCGGTGAGAAAGTGTTCTCTCACCATGACTATACTATTTTACATCAACATAATATCCGTTATATCTTATAATCAAAAATATGACACAGTCACACACTACATAACATAACCTGACAATTACAACACAATGGTCTTTAGAAGAGCGTTTTCTATACACTATGTGTAAACGTTTGGGTTAGTAGTTGATTGTTGTATCTCCAAAGGGGTTTGCTATAACCCGGGCGATGATCGGGGACGCGTCTATTAGCTTTGTGGTCAGCGGCAGAAGCCTTTACATAATAATCGCTAATAAGTACAATATGTTCCTTGTATAAAATTCCATAACATAAATCAAGACAAAGTATATAGCACAGTGCCCACATTGTATTATATGTTCATTTGTCTTTTACAAAGCTTGTTTTCGTATTGACATAGCATCTTTATTGATGACCAATCATTTCTCTCTTTCTTTTTCTTCACAATTCGGGAATTCTCGGAAATCCAGGATTTGTTATGAACGATCTTTCATACTTATATGCTGTTGTTGAACAAAAATAATAGATTACGAGGAGAAATTCCTCGATATCTGTGTATCATCTTTCACATAATGACGTCACGGTGTTGTTTTGGGCATGAAAGAATGAAAGTTTACGATTTGTCAAATGGAATGATGCAAACGATCTGCTTGCAAGTTCTGCATTAACAGAGGTTCTTAATGTCTGACGTATTGGATAATTTGCACTTGCGACTTTGCAATTGCTTTTCTAAATTACAAGCTTTTACTTTCAAAGGAAATTTTAAATTTATAGCCTACTTAAAAATTCTGTCATAACGGTAAATGCTTGCTTTGCATTTTTATACGGTATGTAACATTATATTGTCTACTTACATGTAACTTCCTTTTGGCATGGACCGTTTTGTCCCATCATGCATCTTGCTCCTCTGTCATTTTTTTTAATGAATTGCTTACGAGCTTTTAGAGTGATGATGTTAATTTTCTTGCTTCATTCTTTTCCTTCAATGCTAATAGGACTATGGAAATATAAAACTCTGTGTATGTTTTATAAAGAAAAACGCCGCCACATTGTGTGTTGTTCTTTTTTGTGTTTGCAAAATGTTTTTTCACATTCACAGTGAAAAAGTGAATTCTTAGTTTCTTCTAATGGAATGCATTTCGACAATTTTTCGTTAAAGAATAAACACATTGTTAATGAAACTATACATGGTGTTGGGCATAAGCGAAAATCTAATTTCCAAACACTATAGGGGAACAATCCTCCTAACCTCCCTCCCCCATCCCTTTACCATTTGCTTCACGAAGTACATCAGCATTTCTGGATCTTCGCCTGTTTGTGTTCAGCAATCGTCTCTCGTTTGATAAAGGTAGCCGCGGGCTTATTCAACATCTTCAGGATCACAATTAAGGAAAACAAATAAGTTTGTGAAATGCAAATGCATCACGACAAACTAAAGGAACAATAAAAGATCAATTTGTTTCTTTCTTTATGTGATGCTAGCCATATATAAGTATTACAGTTCTTTTTATTTCTTTACCTATGTATACATTAAGAATTGTTAACAATGTTTATTAAATGTCAATAAAACCAACAAAGATTAATTAATCGATTACGAACTTAGGGAAACAGAAAACAATTTGTGAAAGAAAGAGAACAAAAATGAACGGTCTCGATGAACAGGAATTCCTTGCAGAGCAATCGTGAGTTATTTCCAACAGCCGCTTTAGGAGCCCGACCTCCGCCAGGGGTAAACTGACCTCCTTTATAGAACGTCTCTCCACTTGAGTTTGACGATATAGAACTGGTGCTTGGACTGGGAGTCATATAGCAGCCTCCTGCAGGAGCCGACCTCCGCCAGGGGTAAACTGACCTCCTTTATAGAACTTCTCTCCACTTGAGTTTGACGATCTAGAACTGGTGCTTGGACTGGGAGTCATATAGCAGCCTCCTGGAGGAGCCCGACCTCCGCCAGGGGTAAACTGACCTCCTTTATAGAACTTTAAGCCAACATTAGATGGTGGTGTACTAGGAGCTCATGATACTAGGGCTCATAATACTAGGGCTCATGGATATGTTTCTCGAGGAAATGCTTGTATCCATGTAGCTTCTAGTATGTATAGCAGCTTGTCCTGAAGATAATAGATAAAAAAGATAATTAGACATGCTGTACATCATAAAGGACTAATTGCCAAAACTGTTGCCAATATAAAGATCTCTTTATACCTTGAAATATACTTAGGTTCTAAACGGTCGAGTTTTATTCTTATAACTATAGTATTACCACATACACAAACCTTACTACGTCAATTTACGTTGCATCGGTGTTTTGATGCTGCATAAGCATAATTTGCAAACTGCATGAGAAATGTTAATTCATTGTGTGTTATAAATTATTAGTGTTGACTCATGACTTGTGTTAATTTATGACGTACGTGTATCAAGTCAAATACAACTCTACAAACTTACTCTCCGCTTCCAATTTATGCATTTGTTCTTTTGCTTTGATTGTTTCATTGATTCTATTAGAAAGCATTTCTTTCAGCTTTTTCAGATCCTCGTCGACAATAGTCTCTGGTATCCAAACTAAATTGCTTGTTTTTTTTTTATAATCGCTGATCAATGTATCGGTCATAGTAGTCTTAAAATACTGTGACATCTCTTGGCTCGTTTTGTATCCTTTTCTTAACTCATTTTCCATTGCTGATCTGAAATCATCTCCTGCTTTTATAAGAATTTCTCTTTCTTTGGCTTCTCTGGATTGAATAGCAAGCTGGTTTTCTTTTCTCTTTGAATCGAGCTCGCGATCAGCAAAATTTTCTAAATTCTCAAGCACGTCATCTTTATACATTTGCTCGAGGTCAACTTTATCAGTACTTTTTCTGAATTCGTCAAGAAGTGAATTCCTTTTTTGAGACAGTGTTTCCTCGATTCCACTTTTTACTGGAACATGGATATCTTTAAAGGCTTTGATAAGACTTTCCTCAAATTGCCGTTTTGCCTCGTCAACTACTCCCCGTTGAAGTTGAGTAATCACGGATTTTACATGAACAATATCTCCGTCCTTCATTTCTTTAACAAATTTCTCAAGCAGAAATTCTGCATTTTTTGCATTGACAACGACAGTGCCAAAGCGTCGTGGTTCACTTACTTCATCCATTATCACACCATTGAGTTCATTCAGAGCTTCTTTGAATTCTGGTGATGTGGAATCGATGTGAAGCTCGCGTAGGTCCTCGCTGGCGCTGGGAAAAACAGACGTTGATGCTTTCAAAGGAAGAGCAATTTCTTACGCAGTTGGTTTCGTTCTTTTACTTTTCGCCACGTTTGTTTTCTTCATCAAAATTATAGCAAATGCTTCATCCTTTGTGCCTAAAAGCAGCAAAATATACAAGTTACAATCATAGCAACAGTAAATTTTAAGAAAAATGAGCATATTATATACACTTGCATTTCACGAGTTACTTAACAAAGTTTACCGTCATAATGAAAATCACGTAAAACGATATGCAAATGTCCAATTTCACAGTGTCCTCTTTAAAATTATTTGACGACGCTATTTCCAACTTCCACTAGAATTGCAAGTTCGTTTAAGATTTGATTCTTCTGCAAGCCACCTTTCCAGTTGAATAGTATAACTTTAGAGAGCAAGATAATCGGAGGTCCAAAGTGCATATCACTGTCTATGTCTTCGTCTCCTTGTCCTTCTGTGTCCACAAAAAAAGCTCCACCTCCATTTTCAACTTCCTTCATAATGCCTGCAACTTGAACACCCTTTGTGCACACATCTATTGCATCAGCTGTATCAAAAACGCTGTTGCCAATTATGCAATTCATTAGAAAGGACTTTCCCTGTCTAGCTGGTCCAAGAATCGTCACGAAATTAAGAAATTTCCGTAAAGCAACAGCTGAATATTGCAACAGCTGTAGCGCAGAGACTTTGAGGTTCTCGCCATTTCGCTTAATCCAAGGGAAACTTTTACCCGAATCCTTTATTCTATATATAAAAATAAATAAATCGAACGTTTAAAAAATAAGTGTTCAGTTATTTACGGTGGCTCACAAGGGACACCACACAAAATAATAAGAATCATACAAAATAAAGATATTAATACATACACAAAATACATCACGCACATACAAAATAGAAATACATACACAAAATACATTATACACAAACAAAATAAAAATATACACACAAAATATATTATACACACACAAAACAAAAATACACACACAAAATACATTATACACACACAAAATAAAAATATACACACAAAATAAAAATACACACACAATATATGGTCACGGGCGCTTGCAGTGTCGGATAGCTGAATACTATCAATTTATTATTAGGTTGTAATCAGATATGTGTAATTGTGATTTTAACATGTGGTCGACTAGTACTTGTCGTCGTACTTAACGAGGCATGAGGTAGAGCATTTCTGTGTGTACTTCTAAGTAAAATATGATAACGCCAGTTTGAACAGTGAGTAACATTGAACTTAGTGGGAAGGGGTTATTTGACATATTCCAATAATTACACAGTAAAATTTCTGGAAACTATTGGGTTTCAGTTCGTTTTGCATGAAAGCATCAAGCATGCTTTTATTTCCACATTTACTTTCTTTCATTTTTTCAGAAATTATTACTATTATTGGCTGAAGTCTATTCTGCCCGTAGAATTATTGAATTTGGAAGAATCACGCATATGAAATATACAGTGTAATGTACGTAACGTAGTTACTTTCTCTTTTAAATAAGAGTTTTATCATCTCATTCATCTGATTGCTGTAGTATACAGCAGGGATTATTGTAAAACATTTATGAAACAAAATAAAAATTTAAGTCTTACCTTATTGAATCCAAATTCATATTTATGGTCTTTAAAAGAGCGTTTTCTATGCACTATGTGTAAACGTTTGGGTTAGTAGTTGATTGTTGTATCTCCAAAGGGGTTTGCTATAACCCGGGCGATGATCGGGGACGCGTCTATTAGCTTTGTGGTCAGCGGCAGGAACCTTTACATAATAATCGCTAATAAGTACAATATGTTCCTTGTATAAAATTCCATAACATAAATCAAGACAAAGTATATAGCACAGTGCCCACATTGTATTATATGTTCATTTGTCTTTTACAATGCTTGTTTTCGTATTGACATAGAATCTTCATTGATGACCAATCATTTCTCTCTTTCTTTTTCTTCACAATTCGGGAATTCTCGGAAATCCGGGATTTGTTATGAACGATCTTTCATACTTATATGCTGTTGTTGGACAATAATAATAGATTACAAGGAGAAATTCCTCGATATTTGTGTATCATCTTTCACAGAATGACGTCACGGTGTTGTTTTGGGCATGAAAGAATGAAAATTCACGATTTCTCAAATGGAATGGTGCAAACGATCTGCTTGCAATTTCTGCATTAACAGAGGTTCTTGATGTCTGACTTATTGGATAATTTGCACTTGCGACTTTGCAATTGCTTTTCTAAATTACATGCTTTACTTTCAAATGATATTTTAAATTCATAGCCTATTTAAAAATTCTGTCATAACGGTAAATGCATGCTTTGCATTTTTATACGGTATGTAACACTATCTTGTCTACTAACATGTAACTTCCTTCTGGCATGGACCTTTTTGTCCCATCATGCATCTTGCTCCTCTGTCATTTTTTTAATGAAATGCTTAGGAGCTTTTAGAGCGATGATGTTAATTTTCTTGCTTCATTCTTCTCCTTCAACGATAATAGAACTATGGAAATATAAAACTCTGTGTATGTTTTATAAAGAAAAACACCGCCACATTGTGTACTGTTTTTTTTTGCAAAATGTTTTTTCACATTCACAGTGAAAAAGTGAATTCTTAGTTTCTTCTAATGGAATGCTTTTCGACAATTTTTCGTCAAAGAATAAACACATTGTTAATGAAACTATACATGGTGTTGGGTATAAACGAAAATCTAATTTTCAAACATTATAGGGGAACAATCCTCCTAACCTCCCTCCCCCATCCCTTCACCATTTGCTTCTCGGAGTACATCAGCATTTCTGGATCTTCTCCTGTTTGTGTTCAGCAATCGTCTCTCATTTGATAAAGGTAGCCACGGGCTTATTCAACATCTTCAGGATCACAATTAAGGAAAGCAAATAAGTTTGTGAAATGCAAATGCATCACGAGAAACTAAAGGAAATAGGTTAACAATAAAAGATCAATTTGTTTCTTTCTTTATGTGATGCTAGCCATATATAAGTATTTCAGTTCTTTTTATTTCTTTACCTATGTATACAGTAAGAATTGTTAACAATGTTTATTAAATGTTAATAAAACCAACAAAGATTAATTAATCGATTACGAGCTTATGGAAACAGAAAAAAATTTGTGAAAGAAAAGAGGAACAAAAAAAAACAGTATCGATGAACGGGAATTCCTTGCACAGCGATCGTGATTTATTTCCAACAGCCGCCTTTGGGAGCCCGACCTCCGCCAGGGGTAAACTGACCTCCTTTATAGAACCTCCCTCCACTTGAGTTTGACGATATAGAACTGGTGCCCGAACTGGGAGCCATATAGCAGCCTCCTGCAGGAGCCCGACCTCCACCGGGGGTAAACTGACCTCCTTTATAGAACGTGCCTTTACTGGAGTTTGATGATCTAGAACTGGTACTTAAACTAGGATCCATATAGCAGCCTCCTGCAGGAGCCCGACCTCCGCCAGGGGTAAACTGACCTCCTTTATAGAACGTCCCTCCACTTGAGTTTGACGATCTAGAGCTGGTGCCTGAACTGGGAGCAATATAGCAGCCTCCTGCAGGAGACCGACCTCCGCCAGGGGTAAACTGACCTCCTTTATAGAACTTTAAGCCAACATTAGATGGTGGTGTTCTAGGGCTCGTGGTGAAAGGAGATGTATGCTGAGGTAGTGGTGTCTCAACATTAAATGGTGGTGTTCTAGGGCGCGTGGTGAAAAGAGATGTATGCTGAGGTAGTGGTGTCTCAACATTAAATGATGATGTTCTAGGGCTCGTGGTGAAAGGAGATGTATGCTGAGGTAGTGGTGTCTCAACATTAAATGATGGTGTACTAGGGCTCATGGGATATGTTTCTGGAGGAAGTGCTTGTGTATCCATGTAGCTTCTAATAGCATGTATAGCTTGTCCTGAAGATAATAGATAAAAAGATATTTAGACATGCTGTACATCATAAAGGACAAATTGCCAAAACTGTTGCCAATATAAAGAGCTCTTTATACCTTGAAATATACTTAGGTTCTAAACCGTCGAGTTTTATTCTTATAACTATAGTATTACCACATACACAAACCTTACTACGTCAATTTACATTGCATCGGTGTTTTGATGCTGCATAAGCATAATTTGCAAACTGCATGAGGAATGTTAACTCATTGTGTGTTATAAATTATTAGTGTTGACTCATGACTTGTGTTAATTTATGACGTACGTGTATCAAGTCAAATACAACTCTACAAACTTACTCTCCACTTCCAATTTATGCATTTCTGCAGATAGCACTTTCATTTCTGCAAATTCTTCTTGTTGTTTTGCTTTGATTTTTTCATCAATTCTAATAGAAACCATTTCTTTCAGCTTTTGCAGATCCTTGTTGACAATCTCTGGTATCCAATCTAGTTTGCTTGTTATTTTTGTATAATCGCTGATCAATGTATCGGTCATAGTCTTAAAATACTGTGACATCTCTTGGCTCGTTTTGTATCCTTTTCTTAACTCATTTTCCATTGCTGATCTGAAATCATCTCCTGCTTTTATAAGAATTTCTCTTTCTTTGGCTTCTCTGGATTGAATAGCAAGCTGGTTTTCTTTTCTCTTTAAATCGATCTCGCGATCAGCAAAATTTTCTAAATCCTCAAGTACGTCATCTTTATACATTTGCTCGAGGTCAACTTTATCAGTATTTTTTCTGAATTCGTCAAGAAGTGAGTCCCTTTTTTGAGATAGTGTTTTCTCGATTCCACTTTTTACTGGAACGTGGATATCTTTAAAGGCTTTGATAAGACTTTCCTCGAAATCCCGTTTTGCCTCGTCAACTACTCCCCGTTGAAGTTGAGTAATCACGGATTTTACATGAACAATATCTCCGTCCTTCATTTCTTTAACAAATTTTTTAAGCAGAAATTCTGCGTTTTCTGCATTGACAACAACAGTGCCAAAGCGTCGTGGTTCACTTACTTCATCCATTATCACACCATTGAGTTCATTCAGAGCTTCTTTGAATTCTGGTGATGTGGAATCGATGTGAAGCTCGCGTAGGTCCTCGCTTGGCGCTGGGAAAAAACAGACGTTGATGCTTTCAAAGGAAGAGAGCAATTTCTTACGCAGTTGGTTTCGTTCTTTTACTTTTTCGCCACGTTTGTTTTCTTCATCAAAAATTATAGCGAATGCTTCATCCTTTGTGCCTAAAGAAAGCAGCAAAATATACAAGTTACAATCATATAGCAAACAGTAAATTTTAAGAAAATGAGCATATTATATACACTTGCATTTCACGAGTTACTTAACAAAGTTTACCGTCATAATGAAAATCACGTAAAACGATATGCAAATGTCCAAATTTCACAGTGTCCTCTTTAAAATTCATTGACGACACGCTATTTCCAACTTCCACTAGAATTGCAAGTTCGTTTAAGATTTGATTCTTCTGCAAGCCACCTTTCCAGTTGAATAGTATAACTTTAGAGAGCAAGATAATCGGAGTCAAAAGTGTCGTATCACTGTCTATGTCTTCGTCTCCTTGTCCTTCTGTGTCCACAAAAAAAGCTCCACCTCCATTTTCAACTTCCTTCATAATGCCTGCAACTTGAACACCCTTTGTGCACACATCTATTGCATCAGCTGCATCAAAAACGCTGCAGCCAATTATGCAATTCATTAGAAAAGACTTTCCCTGTCTAGCTGGTCCAAGAATCGTCACGAAATTAAGAAATTTCCGTGAAGCAACAGCTGAAAATTGCAACAGCTGTAGCGCAGAGATTTTAAGGTTCTCACCATTTCGCTTAATCCAAGGGAAACTTTTACCCAAATCCTTTTTTCTATATATAAAAATAAATAAATTGAACGTTTAAAAATAGGTGTTCAGTTATTCAATCAATGTCTTATCGCTAGAGCATTTCTGTCTGTACTTCTAAGTAAAATATGATAATGCCAGTTTGGACAATGAGTAACATTGAACTTAGTGGAAAGTAGTTAGTTGACATATTCCATCAATTACACAGTAAATTTTCTTGAAGCTATTGGGCTTCAGTTTGTTATGCATGAAAGCATCGTAATGCTTTTATTTCCTCATTTACTTTCTTTCATTTTTTCAGAAATTATTATTATTATTGGCTGAAGTCTATTCTGCCGTAGAATTATTGAATTTGGAAGAATCACGCATATAAAATATACAGTGTAACGTACGTAACTTCTTCTTTTAAATAAGAGTTTTATCATCTCATTCATCTGATTGCTGTAGTATACAGCGGGGTTTATTGTAAAACATTTATGAAACAAAATAAAAATTTAAGTCTTACCTTTTTAACCCCAAATTTAGATTTCTTTTCCCAACTGATTTTGCATTCATATTTATGGTCTTTAAATGAGCGTTTTCTGTACACTATGTTTAAGCGTTTGGGTTAGTAGATGATAGTTGTATCCAAATGACCTGCTGTCTGATTACAATTAATATTAATGTATGCAAGAATTCCGACTTCCAGAGGAACAAATTGCAAGGCAAGCTATAAAATTGGAAAAAAACCAGATCAAATCTTGGACAACCGAAGTACTAAAATTTTTCGTTTTTCTATCCTACGCCAGAAGCCAATCGTTTGCTTTTTCTTTGACTCCAGACTTCTATAATCTAGCAAAAAATGATACGCGACATACCTTAGCAACGTATGTTCTTCCTGTAGAAACATTTGTGTCATAAAAAGAAAAGACGATGGTAGCAAACGTTCTAAACTCGTGATATAAAGTAAAATTTAAATCAAATTAAAATTTTTCAATTGTAGCACAAGTTGCTACCATTTGCTAAGCTATGTGGAAAAATACAACTCTTTCAGGACACGCCTACTTTGCAATTGCTGAATGTTGTATTTAGACTTTGTAAGGCAATTATTTACATGTTTGTAAATGTAGATCGTCCAGTTTGGTATAGTCCTGAGGACTGTTTTTGTTGTTGTTGACTGACGTTTTGACAACCTTAGTGGTAGTCATCTTCAGAGTCAAATGGCAATTATTTACAATAAACATACGTCCTTTAAAATAGTAAGTAGTACTTAGAAATTTTTTTTTGTAAGTCATGCGGAAATTTAAAATACATTTCGTTGTATAAATTCAGCTGGTTTGCATAATTACATATTTATTATCATATAATCCATTGACACTACGTACATGTACATAGTTCAGTGGCTATTTATAAAATTTGAACATTATCGTTAATATACTTGTTTTGTTCACCAAAATTTTTTAATCTACAAAGTTTTCATTTGTAATGGGATATCATATTATAAGTATAGAACCTTTAGTACAACTTACTGGACTTGAAGGACCTGTTATTCGGCTTTTAACGGGAATTTTTATAGGTAAGAAGCTGTAAGCAATTATTGTTGAAGTTGCAGACAGATCTATTGTAAAATCATCTCATTGTCTTTTGTATCTTTCTATAGCTTATCCTCTTGCTTTGATATACAGTTTAACACTGTATAAAAAGATCCCACTTTGCAGGTACTGTTAAACTTATGTTAAAACGTGCATTTGCAGATTTCATAAAGCTGGATCATCTATTAAACCATCAAAGTATATAAATGTTTTATAAATTTAATAGTACTGCAAAACAACGGACTTTTTTGTCTGTTTTATTTTTGCTGCATACTACATTTCCCCTATTTTTGGTGAAATGTCACAGTTTTTGGCTTTTTTGTAGCATGTTTCTTTTACAGTGTGTGGATTATTACTTGCAGTATTTTTGTACGGTATGTCTAACAATGTTCAATTTTATATGCATTAGTTCAAGAAGAAAATAACTGGTAGTTTCTTTTTCCACCACAGGTCTCGAAGGATTCCACACGCTAGTTGCGATCATTGTGCAATACATGATTATACAAGTGATTGGACCAAATTATGTGATGGTGTTAATTAGTTTTGTTTTTCAAATGGTATGTTGGTCTTTTGCAGTTTTTTATATGTGATGTTGATACAAAACTGTATCCTTGTAATGTGTATGCTGATGGTTGTATGTATAATGTATTATTTCCAGGCATATTTGGTTATTGGTTATATAGTCTATTCCACTGAAAGCTATGATATTGACTGGACTGTTGCACAGTGCATTTTGACTTTGCGCTTGATTGGTAGGCAATGTTAAATTTGAAAAAGTTGCATGTCATCATAAGTTTGTGAATAAATTTGTCAATTTATAATTTTTGAAGGAGTTGCTTGGGACAGGTATATGATGGTGCTCAAGACATGGTGTGTATTTAAATATTTTTTTTTGTCCATTAATTTTATATTTGCAATGAGAACAAAATATTTTCAGTAAAAATGTTGCTTGTTGTAGGAAAAACTTCCAAATGATAACAAAGAAACTGCTTTAAGTACATCTCCAGGATTACTCGAGGTACAAAATCATCAAAATATTTTGCTTAATGGCAGGAAGGTTGTAAGAATAAGAGTTTATTTGCTTGCATGTTTTTGTGTAAACTTGTGGTAATCAAGAAATTTCAAATATGTCAGATTAGTTGCACATAATGCATGCTATAATTTTTTAAATTTTGTAAATTTGACTTGAAACTGATCATGTTTCACTGTGGGAAATTCTTTTATTATTTTGACAGATGATGGGTCATACATATTTTTTTGGATCATTTGTAGTTGGACCACAGGTATATTGATGGTTGACAATGACCACAGTAATAAATTATCTTTTTATCATGTTTATGCATTTCGTATCATTTTTTCTTTAAGTTTCCTATGTCAAGATATCTTGCATTTGTTAAAGGAACTTTAGTTCCTCCAGAACTTGATCAACCATCTGTGAAGTTAGTAGAGATATTTCTTGTGTAGAAAAAGCTACATAACATTGTCCAAAATGCCCCAGTGATGTTGAATGTTGACATGTTTCTTTTGATGAAAACACAATCCAACGCATTCTAACATAACTCTTACATTATTTTATGTAATCTTATTAGCAGTTCAAAGCTTTTGGTATATATTTAGGATCAATAAAGGTTTACTGCGTTTAGCTGCTGGTGTTGTCTATCTTAGTGTACATGCTGTGCTGGAAACTCAATTTAACAATGACTTTTTGATTTCAAAAGAGTTTGAGGTAATTTTCTTATATTGTATTATGAAGCTCTTTAAAAATCATACTTTGTTGGTTTTCATGTCTTAACATAGCTTTATAAACAGTTCTTGAGTTAAAGCGAGTTTTATAAAATCTTTGTAGATCTGGTCATTATTGAGAAAATTGTTGTACATCACTGTATGGGGTAAAATATTGTTGTGTAAATATATTGCAGTTTGGCTGATTGCAGTAAGTATATACATACTTTATTAACATCATTTAATTGTTTTTGGAAGTTGAAAGTTGCAATTCTACGTGTCTCGTCTTTATTAACATCATTTAATTGTTTTGGAAGTTGAAAGTTGCAATTCTACGTGTCTCGTCTTTATTAACATCATTTAATTGTTTTTGGAAGTTGAAAGTTGCAATTCTACGTGTCTCGTCTTTGTTAACATCATTTAATTGTTTTTGGAAGTTGAAAGTTGCAATTCTACGTGTCTCGTCGTCACTCAACTATCGTTAAAACCATTTTATTTTTTATTTATGTAGTGATTTATGTTCTTCATTTCATATGTAGGAAGGCAGTTGTATTATGACAGGATTATCATATAATGGGAAGACAGAAACAGGCGAAGCTCGCTGGGATGCATTGAAAAATTTTAAAATTACAATCCACGAAACTGCAATTACATTACAGGTATTTCAAACTGAAGCGTTGATGTTGCAACTTTGACAACTGCAAAATAGCTTATGGAGTTTTTCGTTGGATTTTCACATAAATTAAGATCAGTTTTCGTTACACATATACATCTTATCAAGTTCATACCTTGACTACGTATTTTTTTTCAGGGTGTAATTGACTCGTTCAATGTGAACACAAATCTATGGATGAGCAAGTTAGATATAGTTTCTTTTTGCTATAAATTTACGTCAATTTAAGATTCTTGTAATACCATCAAATTTAGAAGTAGCGTCTTGTACTAGTATAATATGCATTTGGAAAACATCGTTGACATGTTTTGTAAGTTTTGATCGTCCACTTTATTTGCAACTTTAGATACGTTTTTAAAAGGCTGAGGTTTCTTGGGAACAAGACAGTCTCGCACATGACAACATTGTTATTCTTGGCAGTTTGGCATGGAATATATATTGGATATTTTATTAATTTTATTTTTGAGTATTTCTATGTAAATGCTGAAAGACAGGTTTGTACTTGATAAAAGTTGTTTTCTGCAGTTTTTTAATGCCATGCAGATTGATGTTTTCTAATATTATTCATCGAGATGTACGTAAAATTTTTATTCGCCAGTTTGTTTTCTCAAAATCAACATTTGACGAGTTTTTTTTGATGAAACACAAAACGTTAGCATGAAATATAGGTAGACAATTAAATCATTGCTAGTTGACTTGTTTTCACTGTCGATTTGGTGTCAAAAAATTACCAGCAAATTTTAACAGGAGACTCATTGCAGGTTTAAAGGCCTCTGTAAGCAACATTTTTCCTTGATTTTATAAATAGTTTCACTCCATGCTGGCACCGTTTGAGGAAAGAATAGACCCCAAAGGATTGTTGTTCAAGATTCGTTGGATTACCATGTATTTTGTCAAAACTTTAATACTTTCCTATTGTCTGGTAGCCTTTTCTCTCCTATCATGGAGCAAAGTTTATCAGGTAAAGTACTGAATGTCACATGTAGTTTTTTTTGAAAGAAAAACACAATTTCACGGTCTCATATTTTTAGGTTTATAGCACAACATATTTCGTCCCACATCTTATTTTGATCGCTTGGATTGTATTCTATCAATTTGTTTACCCGTCTCTGCGATCACCACAAAAGAAGAAAGATTAAAGAAGATAGAGTCTGTGTATTTTATGTTTTAACATGTTAGCGTATTTTTATTTTTATCGATTTTTCATCCATTTAAAACATTTTTCCCTCCGAATCAAAGACTTTTAATCAAGTTGAGAGAACGTTTCTTTTATGTATATTATAATACTATAATGTTATATATACATTTTAAAAATGTAATAAATTTATTCTGTAAAATATTGACTATAGTGGATAGTATTCCTAAATAATTCCAATTCTCTGTCAGATACAGCAGTCAGCCCTGACTTGCGCCAAGGCCATACTCATATGACCATACTGCTATGTCAAGTGACCAGCGGTTATCCACCTAACACGTGTTATGCAATGATGAACGATATTTTATCATACATATAAAATTACATGAAAGGAGACACGAAAATGTCTTGGTTATTTGGTTTAAACAGGCAAACACCTACCTCAAACAACCCACCACCGTACCCTCCTGCTTCTGGTGGAAATGATCAAGGAAATAACTCTGGTGGCAACTCTGACAGCGATGGCGCTGGAGTGGATGACGGTAAAGGGGGAAAGTCACCTGTGTGGGCTAACTTTGATCCCACAGGTCTTGAACGTGCAGCACAAGCAGCAAGAGAGTTAGATAGGTCCAGTAAGTACAAGTTTTTGTTCATTTTGTACAGAATTTGTTATGCAAATAGGACAAGAAATCTATGACTTTACTACTTGTTGTAGCAATTTGGTTTTTACAATTCTATTATTGTTTTTAGAACATTCTAAAGATGCCCTGGATTTGGCCCAAGTTCAAGAGACAACCAAACAATTAGAAAAACAGGAAAAAATAAAGGTTTGCTATCACGAGTAAATATTGCTATCATATAAATGAATGGTATTGCATAGTTATAGGAGTACTTCAATCAGTGTATTTATCATTATGATATGAAAAGATAGCAGTTATTCAGGAATGATATACCTGATAGTATCATGGCTGCAAAATGACTAAGTCCTAATGTTTTATCAAAAAAAGAAGGAAAATTTGATGTTAGTTAAGAACTAAAAGCTATGCCTACTTCAACTGAAAGAACATTTGACTCATAAATATATTTGCATATTGGAGAAACACTAGTAAATGTACTAGAGAGGGATTTATAAGAGTTTTCAACTTTAAAGCAGGTACTTAATTTATCTTTTATTCACTGTGTAGATCATCACTTTTGTTATGTATCATAACAATCATTGCAAAAACACTATTTAGACTTCATTGACAGAGGCATGTGATTATTTATAAAATTTCTGATTCTATTTTTTAAGGAATATGAATTGGGAATCAAGCAAATAGACATTGAAAGGATGCGAGCAGAGCAAGAAGAAAGGAGAAAAACCTTGGCAGAAGAAGCAAAACACCATCAACAAGTATTTATTACCAATGATTTATCATTTATCTCTATTACTTTGTGAACAATGACACTACTTTATTATGCTTTCTTTCCGAATTCCTTTCAATAACACGGGGGGTTGCAAACATCCCTTAAAGTTAATCTATGAACAGGCTGTATGTGGCTAGTCAGGCTTAAATTCAACACTTGGATGGTTTCTGACAAAAAGCCTGAGAGTAACTGATTTGTTAACAAACACTAAACAGTAATTCTTTCTTTTTGTAAATAATGATTAGTTTTTTTTTGTCTTATCAACAGAAAGCACAATATCAAGATCAACTTGCAAGAAAACGTTATGAAGATCAGCTATTGCAACAGGTTGGCCAATGAAATGTGATTAAAATTTGTTTATATTTGACCATCAATTGGTATTATACATAATCCAGCGTAGTGTTAACGATGAAAACTTAAAGAGGCAGGAAGAATCTGTGAAGAAACAAGAAGCTTTGCGGAAAAGTATAAGGCAAATTAAAGTTAACTTTTAAATGGTCATTGATAAAATAGTTTAAATGTTTGTTTAAGAAACCATTGAATATGAAGCTCAACTGAAACATGAGAATGATATGAAACGTCTTCAAGCAGAATTGAAAGGAAAGTAGGTATCTTAGCTAGTTTGAAAATTAATTCTTTTAAACGACGAGCTTGCAAGCAATAAAATTACACTGTTGTTTCTCAAGAGCTAAAATTGAACGTGAAAATCGAGACATTCGTTTGGAGCAAATAAAAGTTGAAGCTTCAGAACGAAGGCAGACAGTACTGGAGTCAATAAAGTAGGTTCAGAAGAATTTTTTATTTGTAGAAAGATGATTCTTATGTAACAGTAATACATATAATTCAGGACGGCAGGAAGCGTTTTGGGAACTGGTATCAATACATTTATTTCTGATTGGGATCGAGTTACTAGCGCAGTAAGTAGAAAAAGACATAATGCCATTTGGTTTTTTGCGTTGAAGTCAATTTCTGTTACTTCTGTATAGGCAGCCGGAATTACTTTGTTTGCGTTGGGTATATATGCTGCTAGACAAGCAACTGGTGTCGTTGGGAGGTACATACCTATATATGTCGTGCAATTTAGTGATCTTGTTAGGTTCATCCGTTGTTGCCAAAAAAAATTGATGGTAGATATCCAACTCAATCCTTTTGCCAGATATATTGAAGCAAGATTAGGCAAACCTTCATTAATTCGCGAAACTTCAAGATTAACCGTCGTTGGTGCCGTTCGACATCCAATAATGGTTTGGAAATGTTTGCAATGAATTAAATAAAATAAACCTTTTCAAAAGCAGAAAATCATGTTAATGCCTGATTATATTTTTGTATTTTTTATTTAGATGGTAAAAAGATGGCTTACGAGACCACAAGACACTATGCAAGGAATAATACTACAGGTTTTTATTGTTGATTTTAAAAATGTTGAAAGTGAACATAAAATTTACTTAGTCGATGTAGATCGTCTAGTTTAGAGAGTCCTGAGAAGGACTGTTGATGTTGAACAACCTTAGCGGTAGTCATCTTTAGAGTCGAGAAAAGTTACTTAATGTTTGATCTTCATGTTCAATGTTTTATTCAGTCATCATTGGAAAAGAGACTTCAAGAAATTTCTCGTGCTACAGCGAATACAAAACGTAATGGAGGAGTTTATCGTAATCTATTGTTTTATGGTCCTCCTGGTACCGGAAAGACAATGTTTGCTAAGGTTTGTGATTTGTATTCTTTAATCAATTTGTATTTTCTAATAACTATGTTTTAGAGTTTGGCAAAGCATTCTGGTATGGATTATGCTATCATGACGGGGTGATATTGCTCCAATGGGAAGGAAGGCGTAACGGCAATACATAAAGTATTTGATTGGTCATCGAGCAGCAGTAAAGGTGTCTTACTTTTGTCGATGAAGCTGATGCATTCTAAGAAAACGTAGTACGGTAAGTTGATAAAATGTCATTATATGATCACTTTATACCTTGATCACCGTAAGTGAATAAACAATGCTACATGTAGGAAAGTATCAGTGAAGATATGAGAAGTACTCTGAACGCATTTTTATACAGAACTGGTGAAGCATCCAGAAGGTAATGTTTCTACTTTGAGGATTTAAATAAACATATTTATACGGTTGGCTTAAAGTCAAAATAACAGTAGTTGTATGAACTTTTGTAGTATTCTTGGATGTTCTCGTTTATTTTATGAGAGGAATTCTCGTAAACAAAAAGACAAATATCGACAACAAGACAACAACTGGTTATTTACCCAAAATTTATAAGTTTTATAACGAGTCAAAGTTATTAAGTCAATGGATGTTTGCCTCATGATACATGAAGCAAAATGAGAATTAATTTAGAAAGGAAATGAATGGATGAAACATTTTATGGTTGATTCAAAATGAAGTGTTTTTTTTCAAACTTTCACTATGATTCAGAGTTTTATGTTTGTGTCTTACGTCCCTTAAGCCTGAGGAGACGTTTATTTTAAAGCACATATAACGTTTCAGATTCATGCTGGTGCTTGCTAGTAACCAACCAGATCAGTTTGACTGGGCCATTAATGATCGCTTGGATGAAATGGTCAAATTTACTCTTCCGTCTACAGACGAACGTGAACGATTGGTGCGAAAATATTTTGAGGAATATGTTTTAAATTGTGCCACAAGTGGACGGAAATCTCGGTAAGTTGACATTATGAACAATTTTACATGAAAATTGAAACTTTTAAAACTTTGATTTTTCTTTCAAATAAAGGCGACTTAAAATTGACAACTTTGATTTCAACTCTATATGTCGATCGATTGCTGAAAGAACAGCAGGGCTGTCGGGTCGAGAGATAGCAAAACTGGCTGTTTCCTGGCAGGTGTGTTGTACGTGTGTGTTTACCTTAAAAATTGTAATTTTTCATTTGTGTTTTGAAAAATGACCTTAAGTTGACAATGGAGTTGGTGGTCCCTTTTAGGCCAGTGCTTTTGGCTCTAAAGATGGTGTATTAACAGAAGCCATGATGGAAGAGCGTCTACAGGAATCTATAGCACAACATGGACAAAAAGTTGATTGGCAAAAAGGAGACGTTATTTCGCTTACGAACCTCATGATAAAGGGTTCAAAACCTGTTCCATAATTGTTTACCATTGACATTGAGAATGGAGAGAGAAGTATTCGATAATATGACTGGCACAATATTGTGTAACTGTTCACCAATTGTGCTAACCAAATAGTGAATGCAATGATAGAGAAAATTTGTCTGTTATGTTGTCTAATTAAATCAATATTCTTTCCATTTATGTGACTTAAATTTGTTACCAAGCCTTTCATGAAATCATCATAGATCATTAAAATTCCTTTGATGTCATTTAGCAGAAGGGGACTTTCCCATGGCAGACTTTCGTAGAATCCTTACGAAGAGACGTGCATTTCGACTATTTTAGGGTTATATATGAGAATACATTGTGACGTAGCCAGCCCATTTTATTTCTCTGACTACGTAAGTTTTCGTTGATGCATCACAGGGAAAACACTAAATTTCAGTCGTGAATCTTATGTGAAGACGATACGTTAAAACCTTGTTTATCGAGTGACATTAGCACAAGAGAGCACAAAGCAAAGCATTTTCTGCAAACGCTGGAGGAAACAAAACAACAGAGCTTTTCTTTTCAGTTTGCTTTTGTTTCACTTTACTCTTATGTCAAGTTGCTTTGCTAGTGCTCATGTCTATGTCAATCTATGTGTCTGACGCTTCATTGAATTCTTTTGTATTTTGTTTTGTCTTTTGGCTTATGTTGCTAGTGAAAACTCGGCTTGAACCTGAATATGTATAAAAAGACTCGGGAAAGTCAGCTGCGTATACAAGTACTATATATATTTTTTTTTCTATTGGAATATAAAACTCATTTTATATTAAGAGCAATGAACGATCAAGGAATTGATGATTGGTATGAAGAATTTAAGAATTTAACAACTTTTACTGAGTCGTGAGCAAAATAATTGTTTGGATCATTTTCACTGTACTCGTATTATATTTAAATGAAACATTGTTAGTCATCTTCAACTTTCTTCCTGGTGATCCACACTCGTTTTCCATACGTTTCGAAGTACATAACGCTTCCTTTATTTGATAGGCCGAATAAACTTTATTATTTAATGATTTCATGTAACGAGGTAGAACAATAGACAATTGTCATTTGTATTTTAGGTATATTTAATGGAGAGCATTTTTTTAGCAACACGATTCTTGTTGTTTTAGAGAATTAGATTTGATAGACGTCAAGTAATTTGTTCAAGTACGAACAATGGATGTGAAAAGTCGTAAGAAGCATATATAATGATATGCATAACACCATGTAAAGATATTACTCATTTCAAGGTTTTGGCATTTATGAACTACGAGGCGTCAAGGTAAATACATGTTGATATTACAAGACTTCATGTGAGCAATAACTATATTAACGATTCAAAAACTTTGGTTGTATAAAGGTAAGTTGGTGTCTTCACTGCAGCAAACTACAGTTAACGACAAGAATAGTTAAAGAACAGCAAAATTTCGAGTTCTTCAAATTTGTCAGTTGATGGAATTCTGCATTTGCTTAACTATCAGGCAACAATCATGTCCATTCGCTGGAGGAAGGCATTTCTATGACGTCTACAACTAAGGAGAACCCAAATAAATTTTGAAAATTGCGTTAAAGTCATTGACGGTAAGGAAAAGAATCAAATTTCTAAATCTGTTGATAGTTTTGAAGCATTTCTCGATGAGATGATGTGAATATTAGGTTAATTATGCATGTCGTGGAGCTGGACACTTTCAGCCGTTAAGGTTAACAATCAAACTTCACAACAACAATAGCAATAAATGAAAAACCAGTCAGGTGCAAGAACAATCATTGTTATAAAGACAGAAAATTTTGTACTGTAGGATTAATCTGTTAGTTTATGCATGCATAATAACGAATAAGTAAGAACATTAATTCCACTTATAAATCTGCCTAGACTAAATTTGAACAGAAACAGCAGCAGCAAGTGCAAGGGCAAGGATAAATGGGCGAGACCACGTTAACGTTTATGTTGAAAGAATTATTCGGTCACTGGAAGGGAGTTTCAACGTGGCTGAACGTAAATTAACCTATCAAAGCGAAATTACTACGAGTTAACGACGTCTACCAGACACACCAAATATTAAATGGATATACCGGACGTAATCTAAGCATTTGATAAGCAAACAGTTTGTACTGAAGCTATGGAATTGAGTGATAGCAAAACGCAACAAACAAGAGCGCTGTGAAGACTGTGCAGATTGGTTTCTTACAACATCCTATGTCCTCAACACAATGTTTAAAGATTATATGGCTGCGTTGTCAAATATGCGGTGATATGTTATAAGTATCATAAAGCATTGAAATGTTGGATATGACTCGTGAAATCGACATTCCTAAAGAATACACCTCAAAATCGGGACGATAGGAAAATTCATTTCCTATGTATATTATATAAAAGCTAAAAGAAGACAAGTTATAGGCTGCTTTAAAGCCTTCACCAACGTCAATCCAGAAATATGTCATCCTCATATTTTACTACGACAAGAGCCATTGGAGTAATAAAGCTAATATCAACAGCAGCCGCTAAATGAAATCTGTATAGCTTAGCCATAAGAAAACGTGCTTTTGAAGAAGACTTACTTGTCTGTCTTTTCAAAAGAAGACATAAGTAATAGATATTTTACTAATGTATTACCAAACTAACATTAATATAAATGTATTTATTTGTACTATTCTTTCCTCTTTATATCTTACTCGATCACGAATATGATTTTGGTTTGTTGTTTTGTCTTTAGCTGTAAGTGTTCTGCTATAATTTTGATTCGAGACCTTAAATGGTCTATTTTTTGCATTAATTACTTCTAGGTAGGAGTGGTACTTTAAAATGACCAGGTGTCTTCAACGAACTCTCTGGTCTAGTGGATAGACACAACCTTTCGAGTTGAGAGTGGAGGTTCGAACCCTGTCTGGAATAAGATGTAACTATGCTAAGGATGAATAAGAATAGGAAAACAAGGAAATAGTGCTGGTTAATAGAACAAAATGGGATTTCTATTACTAAACTTTTCGAGAATGGAATGCGACACTTAGTATAAATTCAGAAAAAAGCTCTCTCGATGAAGAGCGAAAAGAAAAAAGATAGGATCCCATGCAAAAGCCACTCTTAAAAACTAAGTCTTTGCTCAAATTTTTATGACTCCTGTGATCAGGGAGTTATTTTTAAATTTTGAAAAGTCAGGAAACCCAAGAGCAAACAGAACGCTAATCATCCCTTTCTTACTTCCAGGCACTTGTTCCTCAGTTCGACTTTCTGTCTTCCACATCCGCCGCGTACACCTGCCAAGTGTGTTGGCAGAGGGCGAACAAGGATCTTGTGCACCGGAGGTCATTGATGTCGAACTAAACGCCCAACATCGGCCAGTTGAGGCTAACCGCTCATCATCGAAAGCTCTAGGTTTTGGAGTATTTGTTAAATTTTTCAAGTGAAGCGAAGCGAAAGGAGAAGGTCTTGAACCTTAGATGGTCTTGAACCCGAGAAGGTGAGAGCACTGCACCTGCATCTTTACCACTCGGCCAGAAGGATGAATTGGAAAACCGGCTAAAACGTGTCAAGTGCTTCTGACAAAACAACATTGCCTTCATTTCTCTCGAGTCTCACATTTTATACTGTGTTTAACTTGTACTTCGTCGTTATCATTGCAAAGGTGAAGAAAGGGACTTACTACGCATTTTGGCTGTCCAACTCAAACATTGCTGGAGAATAAATGTTATAATTGAATGGAGGAAGATTAATAAAGTATGCACAATGTCAGACATTGCCATGTGGTAAATCAAAACAACAACGCGCATGTTCGTAGTCAATTTAATGGCGCTGGGAGTTTCTAACTTGTCTGTTCAAAGTTAAATAACATATTTTTTACCATCCTGCATGATAATATTGTAATGGTTTCTACAAAGCGTATGGTTCCTACAGAACAGTATCCTTACTAATTCGTCTATTCAAGTCTTTTTGTCATTTTACAATCTTGCCATGTCTTGAGTGTCATCATTCAAAATATAGTCAATGTAATCAATAGCCAATGCGGTTTTGTCTACATTTGTGTCTGTCTTGTGTACCTTTGTATCTACCTTAATGTGATTTGTCTACCTTTGTCTACCTTTTCATACAAAGGACAAAGTTCTCATTTGTTGAACACGAAAATTGAAAAATTAGTCATTTCATAGTCGAAGTATCGAGTAGTAATTCACGCGATATATGGTAAATCAGGGCAGTGACGAGCATGTCTTTGATTATTTTTTTCTGATATAATGGCGTTGAGATCATTTGAATTCAGTGCATGTATTATAGTGTTTTTGTGAAAAAGTTTGAAATATTGCGAAAATGCGCGAATTATAGTTTTGTGTGAAAAAAATATGAAAATTTGTAAAAATGCGTGAATTATATTCTTTTAGTGAAAATGCAGTGAATTATAGTCTTTGTGCGAAAAAAATGTGAAAATTTGTTAAAATGCGTGAACTATAGTCTGTGAAAAAGTGTGGAATTTTGTGAAAATGCGTGAATTATAGTCTTTTAATGAAAATGCAGTGAATTATAGTCTTTGTGTGAAAAAAATGTGAAAATTTGTTAAAATGCGTGAACTATAGTCTTTGTGAAAAAATGTGGAATTTTGTGAAAATGCGTGAATTATAGTCTTTTAAAAAGACGTCTTTTCATAGGTTTTTTGTCCCTGCTATTAAACTCTTGTCTGTGCGCAACCAAAACCAACGATGAATAGAATATGGTTGGTGCGTATGATGATAAAAAAAAGTTCAGTTAGTTCAAACATAAAGTCAAATGATCTCAACGCCATTATATCAGAAAAAATAATCAAAGACATGCTCGTCACTGCCCTGATTTACCATATGGCATCGCGTGAATTGACTACCTTCGATTACTTCGACTATGAAATGACTAATTTTTCAATTGTCGTGTTCAACAAAATGAGAACTTTGTCCTATGAAAAGGTAGACACAAAGGTAGACAATCACATTAAGGTAGAACAAAGGTACACAAGAAGGTAGACACAAATGTAGACAAAAACCGCATTGGCTATGTTGATTACATTGACTATATTTTAATGATGACACTCAAGACATGGCAAGATTGTAAAATGACAAAAAGACTTGAATAGACTATGAATTAGTAAGTGGATACTGTTCTGTAGGAGCCATACGCTTTTGTAGAAACCATTACAATATTATCATGCATGATGGTAAAAAATATGTTATTTAACTTTGAACAGACAAGTTAGAAACTCCCAGCGCCATTAAATTGACTACGAACATGCGCGTTGTTGTTTTGATTCACCACATGGCAATGTCTGACATTGTGCATACTTTATTGGTCTTCCTCCTTTCAGTTATAACATTTATTCTCCAACAATGTTAGAGTTGAACAGCTCTAATGCGTAGTAAGTCCCTTTCTTCACCTTTGCAATGATGATGACGAAGAATAAGATAAGCACAATATAAAATGTGAACCTCGAGAGAAACGAAGGCAATGTTGTTTTGTCAGAAGCACTTGACATGTTTTAGCCGGTTTTCCAATTCACCCGTCTGGCCGAGTGGTAAAGATGCAGGTGCAGTGCTCTCACCTTCTCGGGTTCAAGACCATCTAAGGTTCAAGACCTTCTCCTTTTCTTTCGCTTCACATTGAAAAAATTTAACAAATACTCCAAAAAACATAGAGCTTTCGATGATGAGCGGTTAGCTCAACTGGCCGATGTTGGGCGTTTAGTTCGACATCAATGACCTCCGGTGCACAAGATCCTTGGTTCGCCCCTCTGCCAACACACTTGGCAGGTGTACGCGGCGGATGTGGAAGACAGAAAGTCGAACTGAGGAACGAGTGCCTGGAAGTAAGAAAGGGATGATTAGGGCGTTCTGTTTGCTCTTGGGTTTCCTGACTTTTCAAAATTTAAAAAAATAACTCCCTGATCACAGGAGTCATAAAAATTTGAGCAAAGACTTAGTTTTTAAGAGTGGTTTTGCATGGGATCCTATCTTTTTTTCTTCGCTCTCCTTCTCATCGGAGAGCGTTTTTTTCTGAATTTATACTAAGTGTCGCATTCCATTCTCGAAAAGTTTAGTAATAGAAATCCCATTTTTGTTCTATTAACCAGCACTATTTCCTTATTTTCCTATTTCTTATTCATCCTTAGCATAGTTACATCTTATTCCAGACAGGGTTCGAACCTCCACTCTCAACCTCGAAAGGTTGTGTCTATCCACTAGACCAGAGAGTTCGTTGAAGACACCTGGTCATTTTAAAGTACCACTCCTACCTAGAAGTAATTAATGCAAAAAAAAATAGACCATTTAAGGTCTCGAATCAAAATTATAGCAGAACACTTACAGCTAAAGACAAAACAACAAACCAAAAATCATATTCGTGATCGAGTGTTGATATAAAGAGTGAAAGAATAGTACAAATAAATACATTTATATATTAATGTTAGTTTGGTAATACATTAGCAAAACATCTATAGTTACTTATGTCTTCTTTTGAAAAGACAGAGACAAGTAAGTCTTTCAAAAGCAAGCACGTTTTCTTATGGCTAAGCAATACAGATTTCATTTAGCGGCTGCTGTTGATATTAGCTTTATTACTCCAATGGCTCTTGTCGTAGTAAAATATGAGGATGACATATTTCTGGATTGACGTTGGTGAAGGCTTTAAAGCAGCCTATAACTTGTCTTCTTTTAGCTTTTATATAATATACATAGGAAATGAATTTTCCTATCGTCCCGATTTTGAGGTGTATTCTTTAGGAATGTCGATTTCACGAGTTATATCCTACATTTCAAAGCTTTATGACACTTATAACATATCACCGCATATTTGACAACGCAGCCATATTATCTTTAAACATTGTGTTGAGGACATAGGATGTTGTAAGAAACCAATCTGCACAGTCTTCACAGCGCTCTTGTTTGTTGTGTTTTGCTATCACTCAATTCCATAGCTTCTATACAAACTGTATGCTTATCAAATGCTTAGATTTGGTCCGGTATATCCATTTGATGTTTGGTGTGTCTGGTAGACGTCGTTAACTCGTAGTAATTTCGCTTTGATAGTTAATAATTTACGTTCAAGCCACGTGGAGACTCCCTTCCAGTGACCGAATAATTTTCTCCCAACATAAACGTTAACGTGGTCTCGCCCTTTTATCCTTGCCATTGCACTTGCTGCTGCTGTTTCTGTTCAAATTTAGTCTAGGCAGATTTATAAGTGGAATTAATGTTCTTACTTATTCGTTATTATGCATGCATAAACGAAACAGATTAATCCTACAGTACAAAATTTTCTGTCTTTATAACAATGATTGTTCTTGCACCTGACTGGTTTTTCATTTATTGCTATTGTTGTTGTGAAGTTTGATTGTTAATCTTAACGGCTGAAAGTGTCAAGCTCCACGACATGCATAATTAACCTAATATTCACATCATCTCATCGAGAAATGCTTCAAAACTACCAACAGATTTAGAAATTTGATTCTTTTCCTTACCGTCAATGACTTTAACGCAATTTTCAAAATTATTTGGGTTCTCCTTAGTTGTAGACGTCATAGAAATGCCTTCCTCCTTACTTACATACAGGGCCATATAAGCAGCACTTTCCATGGCTTCTTCAATAGAAACACAAAGTACTCCAGAAAAAATTCTTCCCGCTACACAGACAGTTGTTATAACATGCTGCAATAGACAAGATTGTAACAATGAAAGTGAACATGTTTAAAAAGAACAGAAAAACACGCAGACGTCATAGAAATGCCTTCCTCCAGCGAATGGACATGATCGTTGCCTGATAGTTCCAGCAAATGCAGAATCCATCAACAGACAACTTTGAAGGACTCGAAGTTTTTGCTGTATGAGTGTTCTTTTAGGAGGGCCGTGTGGCATCCATTACTTTAGTTTCGTCAAAGCCATAAGATTGCCTGTCAGGAACAAATTTTGCCTTCGATTGAAAATAATATCAAAATATACAAAGAAAAACAAAACCTTTGTTGTTCCTTCTTCTCATTATTCTTCCCCAAATCTTTTTCGTCGTTTGACGTTTTTTGCATTTTAGCATTCTTTAGTAAAAAAAATAAATAATGACACTTTTTGTAACCCCTGAACATAACATTTGAACAAATTTACGATATACAAAAACCCTTTACTCCAACCAAAATTTCACCTTCAATACTTCATTTGCAGTTTCTTATATTTTCAGAAAAATTCCCTCTGTAAATAAAAGCAAGGGGATCCATGCACAAATTTTTGCCCTAAAAACTAAGTTTCGCATTCCATTCTCGAAAAACTTAGCAAGCGAAATACCATTTGCACATTTGCGAAGTATTACCTTTCTTAACCTCGTACACTCGGCTAGCCTCGCGTGGACAATCGTTCATCACAAGTTCCACGAGCACTACTCGAAGCCCAACAACAAGCCTCGACGAATTCGAACTACACACCTCAACCTGAGAAACCTGCACCTTCGCACTCGACTACTGAGTGCCTTGGACAATGATGGTAAACTTAGTCTATTTATGATAGAACACATGAATAATGTAATAAAAAAATTATATACTCTGTTAAATGACATTCAATGAAACAAAAAATAAACAATTGACTTTTTTACATAAAGACTAGAGGTAAATTAAAAAGCATAGTTGCAAGAAATAATCATTCATCGTAAGATTTGATGAACGGAAATAGATTTCCTTACTCCTAAATCCATACATAAACGATTATGCTATATAATGCTTATTTTTTATTATTATATATACTTTAAAATGATATAAAACAAAGAAAATAAGAAATAAATTATAAACGAAAGTTTAACTACCTATATTATGGATACACAACCCCTTTTCATCATTTCTTCGAGGTAAAAAAGCTTGGAGCAAGTAACTTTGGTTTAAGGTTTATAGCACAGATATTTTTCTTATCTTTTTCACTTTTCGATGAATTAACTATCGAGGATTCTTGTATCATGTCTTCATCATCTGAGTTAGACGAAATATTTAAACTTTTTTCTTCCTTTTCATCAAGATGGGCATTTGGTAATATAGATCCTGCATCATGAATTGGTTCGTTTAATGATTTCCCTCTCATTTGATCGCTAGGAAATACTTCGTTTCTTTTCACAATGTTTTTTGATTTTGTCGATTGTGATGTGTTCAATGTCACCTGTTCAATAAAATTATTCCTACAATACATCAAATTTGGAAACATCACAGTGTAGTTTATCCAACAATATTCAGATGAATATTTACCTGGAAAGGAATGAATGGATTATTACTTCCACTGTAATTCTTCAAACTTCCACTCGCGGAATTCGATCCTTTACTAAATGATTCAACTTGATTCTTGGGGAAAACATTTTCCCAACATTCATGTGGCGATGCAGCTTGTTTCTCATGGATATGTTTTTCGGAAGAGAATTCCTTTCGCATAGAAGTCCTTGCATGACTCATGGGAGAAGTTGTAGACTCGTTATTGCATGAATAAGAGGAAGGTGAGAAATTGTTGTAATTAGTAGTAGATGCCATGGGACTAGTAGGAGATGACGTCATGTTGTTATATTGCCTCGAATATGTTTCAGGGGAAAAAGACTAAAGAAAAATTATGAATCATTTGCTGAAGGATAAGATAACTGAAGTTATTATCACGCTACTAAAAAATAATTATCGAATTGTAATTCGCGATGTAATTCACGACAGAGAAAAACGTCACAATTATCATGAAATAAATTATCAGTTCTTGTTCATTATAATTATCTAAAATTAGCACAAACGATTGTGTAGCTGTGAGTTTTTCATTTTCATTTGAGATTATAGTTAAAAGAGTTGCAAGGAAAACTAAAATATTCAAAAATCGAAAATGTCAAACACTCAATCCTAAAAAATTGAAGTCTGATAAGTATCCTTCTCATGATAATCGCTCTATACAACTAAACTGGCAACTTTGCACAAAAAACACATTAATAGGAATTCTTACTTACATATAGGGCCATATAAGCAGCACTTTCCATGGCTTCTTCAATAGAAACACAAGGTCCTCCAGAAAAAATTCTCCCCGCTACACAGACAGCTGCTATAACATACTGCAATAGACAAGATTGTAACAATGAAAGTGAACATGTTTAAAAAGAACAGAAAAACACGCAGACAATGAAATAAATATTTCCCACATACCTGAGCATATGCATGACTATACGTAGGTTGACAACTATACGTAGGTTGAGGCCAGTTGTTTTGCTGGCAAATAAGAAACAACATACCTGTTGAAGTGCTAAAGAATGACAAAATATAATTAATATTTACAATAAATATAAACAGTAAAAATTTCTGTAACAATGTGATCAACCCTATGTATATGACATGGGTTAATGGGTTATTCATATGAACATTGTTTTATTCATTCAAAAAAAACTTTCGTTTTTACTCACTATAATCATGGTGCATATCGCAAAAAATCAAATCAACACAAAACATACAATACCTAAGTGAAACTGGTGTAGCCTGAGGAAGATATGACGTCATGAAAGCATTATCTGAAAGGAAAATGTCAACGTTAACAATACATCATTTGTCATTTAACAGAAAACTTATAAAATAAAATTTGAAATAAAAGCCCAAAGTTTTCATGGCCAAAATATTAAACTTTAGTTGTTGCACACCTGGATAAAATAACGACGTTTGAGGTGAATGAATAGGAGTATTTGAATTATGAGATCCATTAAGTTGCAACATTTCACGAGTCGTGCGTTCACTTCCCTAAAAAAAAAATAAAGTTTTTTTGTTAAACATGCAATAACTACGCGACTGTATAAATAATTTAACAAAATTCTCACCTTAGCTGAAAGATGTTCTTTCATTGTCTCACTTGGAACTACTAAATAAAAATGATGAATTGGCGATAAATGTAGATGATGGGAAAAAAGCTGACCGTATCTACAGATAAAGCTACCAACATGCCTTTAGTTTCATTCCGTTTAACAGTTTGCGAATTTAATGGTTGATATTCCAAATTCCTGAAAATATAACAAAACACCATAACATAACGTTCTTATTCAAGCTATGACATTTGAAACGCAAAACTTACACTGGGCTGTTAAATTGATGATTCTGGAGTGAGGAATGAGACTCCAGACTATTATAACTTACACGGGGACTCTGCTCGTTGTTATTCTGTGCTATACCACTTGGACTTGGACTCTGGCGATTGGTACTCCACAATGACGTTTGCCAAGTTTTCTGATGGTAAGCACCTTTTCTGCTTCGTTTATATTCAGCTGGAACGCCATTTTTCGGATCGACCGAGTATTGAAGTGCATGTTGTGCCTGAACAAGAGGGTTTGGTAAACCTCTCTTTTCCCGTTCAAGACGATCACCATAGGAAAGGTTTAGAAGAGACCATTCTGGTATCACATAAAGTTTATTTTCAAATGCACCTGAACCTCTAGAAGATTTACATAAATGGGAATGAAACTCCATCAATCCGCAATGAAAAAGCAAATTTAAAAATGGAAGTAGATTGTATAATTTTAACGTGTATAAATAATTGAAACAAAAAGTAGTTTCATTAGTAGTAAAAACCCTCACCTTAATGACTCTCCACCCATGCATTCTTCATCAAATAAAACTTCATAATTTGCAGGTTCGCTTTCCGTTTTACCTGAACATAAATAGATCAACATGGATAGGTCACTGTTATAAACAACAGATGACCATGGATCAACATGGATAGGTCACTGTTATAAACAACAGATGACCATGGATCAACATGGATAGGTCACTGTTATAAACAACAGATGACCATGGATCAACATGGATAGGTCACTGTTATAAACAACAGTTGACCATGGATCAACATCGATAGGTCACTGTTATAAACAACAGATGACCATAGATCAACATGGATAGGTCACTGTTATAAACAACAGATGACCATAGATCAACATGGATAGGTCACTGTTATAAACAACAGATGACCATAGATCAACATGGATAGGTCACTGTTATAAACAACAGTTGACCATGGATCAACATGGATAGGTCACTGTTATAAACAACAGTTGACCATGGATCAACATGGACAGGTCACTGTTATAAGCAACAGATGACCATAGATCAGCATGGATAGGTCACTGTTATAAACAACAGATGACAATGGATCAACATGGATAGGTCACTTTTATAAACAACAGATGACAATGGATCAACATGGATAGGTCACCGTTATAAACAACAGATGACCATAGATCACTATGCATAGGTCATTATTTCAACCAACAGATGATCAGTAACATACCTTTATGAATGCCAACAATAGTTCCCTTAAGAGCAAACGGTGCTACACCCAATGTGCGTACGTTAACAACACGATCAAACAATTGAAAATCAGCCTTAGGATCTGGCGACACTTTACCAAAAAATTTCATTGGCTAAAAATATTACAAATTTGTGAAAATTTTTTATCCGCACGTATTATATAAAACAAATAAATGATTTTAGCATACTCTATAAAGAACAGAAGGTTTGACGCGAACTTTCACAATTTTGCTGCTTCTTCTTTCTTTCTGAAAGACAAATGTGCTCATCCAGTGACACGATAGCCTGAATGTACTAAATCGGACAGAAGATATGTATTTGGAAGGTAAGAGCGACAAATAATTATGTTTCATCACCATGATGTTGAAACCATGATGTTAAACCCATGATGTTCAACCACGATGTTCAACTATGATGTTCAAACCATGATGTTCAACCATGATGTTCAACCACGATGTTCAACTATGATGTTCAAACCATGATGTTCAAACCATGGCGTTTAAACCATGATGTTCAACCATGATGTTCAAACCATGATGTTCAACCATGATGTTCAACCATGATGTTTAAGCCATGATGTTCAACCATGATGTTCAACCATGATGTTTCACGATGTTTTAATGGAAGACGAAGACTACCTTATTATTACAGGTTTATTAAAGTTTACCAACCTTTAGTTTTTCTACAGTTTCTTCAATCTGTCTTATAAGAGGTTCATCCAGAGTGGAACTACCACAGCTCACGGCCTTCTGTTTGTGACTAGGGAGAGTTTTCAACCACTTTTCCACATCAGCAAAAATTGTTGATCTAACCATTCAAATTTAAGAAAATAAATATTACGAGTATGGATCTAGGAGAAAAGATGAAGGAAAGAGGAGGGTTAATAAGAATAATGGTAGAAGAACGTTGATAAACGAATTAAAACTATTATTAATGAAGTAATTCAAACCAGCATTTATTGCAAAGTTGCACTACACTAACTTTTCATCAGGAAACACATCAGATACTTTCAATCTTTCATTGTACAAGGAATTTTTTCTCAGGACGTCAAAAACCATTGGGAATCTACGAAACAGCATTTTATTATACATTTGAAATATAGACATACACACTTTATACAATTTTCGCCTACTTTTCTTGGTAAATTGAAATCGTTCGTTCAGTTTTTTTGGAAAAACTCCAATTTCCTTCACTTCTACGAGCATATCCTAAAACCTGGGAGTACAGATGTATCATGAATAAAATAAAAAAGAATTACAAAGAAGAAAATGTGTTAAGTATTGTTATCCATATAGTTCATACATGCTAACCTCTTTATTCTGCTTGGAAAATTTTAAATTTAACCCAATATCGACTTTACTCGAGCTATGATATAAATAAATACATATATAAGAGTTTGAAACAGAAAGATAATGATTCATGTGAATGCTGACCATTTTTCTTAATTCCTCTCTTGTGTGAAGCAAAGACTTTAACGTGTATTCGTAATACGGACAAAGTTTTATTCTTATTTCAAAATTTTATGCATCGGTTTTGTGAGTTAAATTAAAATGGTCAAGAGAACTACATAATGCACAAACAAACCGAGCAAGTATTTTAACTCTGAATACATAAGACAATTTCATTATTACTTTTCCTCATCACCAACAGAAAGGAGAACTTTTCCTGTGATCTGCGCAAGTGCAAGCGTTGTGAGTCCCAGTCTCTTGGCCATAATGTGCGCGGGTATGTAGTTTTCAGCGTAGTCTTCCTTGTTAATGATGAGTGAAATAAAGTCCGGCTCAGGAACAACATTAAGTTGAACTCTGACGCGATTCGTCTTCGAGTCAACCTCGATAACCTGAAGAGAAATATAACAAAAGCAATTTAAAAAGAAATTCATTTACTTTTTTTAAGTAAACCATTTTGTTGAAAACACTCCAACCTTTCCTAAAGAACCATAATGAGGAATGGCCATCATGAAACATTCCGTATCTACAGGAAATAGCTCAGCAACTGTAGTGCACAGACCTCTAGCATCGACCTCATCAAACACATTGATATTCTGAAGACAATAACAGACATGTCGTTATCATAGCAACTCGAACATTTCCAAGTTTCTGTAGTTTCTACACACTATAACTCAGACACAAAAACTCACCTTTACTGTAACTTGCAATGGACAAGTAGCAACCGAATCAGACCATATCTTTTCCGGAATAACTTCTCCATTACTCTCGCAAACATATCTATGAAGAAGTAAATAACATCATTAGTACACACGAGTCAACACCATACGAGGAAACAAACATCATATATACTTTTTCCCCTGTATTCGATAAGCTTCAATAAGAACGTGTGTGACACCAATATCAATTGCCTTCCTTTCAAGATATCTACAACAAAAACGATAAACTTTTGTACAGTTACTACGCAATGCAAAAATGACACTTAAAAGTGGTCATGTCTGCTTACTCGGATTTTTCACTATAGACTTGTCTCCTCCAGGCAGAAGCATCGCTTTCTGTTAAATTTACTTCCATAATATTTTCAGGTAAATCTTTTGCAATGATGTATCTGTAGAGGAATTCATATGAAGAATTGGCAGTTGCAAAGAAAACACTATAACAAAATACATTCACTAACTTTTTTCTCCCATCACTGACGCTTTTCACAAACGCTTCGACAAGATGTGGCCATCCAATATAACATGGTTTTCCCACCAAGGAGTCACAAATCTCCTTCAAATTCTAAGAAATATGAAAACCCCGTCCAAAGACGGTACAGCGACAATGTATAGACATAAACATACAATAAAAGTAAAAATTGAACACTCAATCGTACAGGTTCGTCAGTTTCGTCAATCTTCAACACCATACTTTCATTACGACTGTGCATTTGGAAAACTTTGACACCAGCTTTCTTCAGTTCACCCTTTCATTAGTAATAAAAGAAAAATCACTGACAGTCAGCTGACATTGTTAAAGCTTCAAACATTGCTATAAGTTACAACCAATCACCTCACAATTAATTAAAGTAGAATAACATTTTCACTTACAGTATGCAAGAGGTGTTTCAATGTTGGAAATCCAGGAAAGTAGATATCCATTTTTACATTTCGTAGAAGACCTAAAATAAAGTTAAACATTTTTAGGAAGGCGATTAATTGATAAAAATCGCACAGCTTTTGTTCACCTTTAATTATTTTCTCAGTTGACAGGCGATACTTGTTGATAGGTATGAATTCACAACTAAAAATAAGAATGTTTTTTAAAATAAAAGTAGTTAACTTTTCATTATCATAATAAAGAATCCACGAGCATTTAATACAATTGCACAGAAACGAAGAAAGATACCTTGCCCGACAACATTCTATGTCAGGAAACACTCCAGGTAGAGAAGACGTATAACGTTCAGTTTTTCCAGCATCATAAGTATACAACATACATGAAGTATGGCAATTACGCTCGCGTTCACTTTTCTTCAATCGTTGATAAAAAGGCTCCATTGCTTCAAGTAATCTTTTCTAGGTAATAAAATAGTTAAATTTTCAAATTTATACGTTACAAACCACATTTTTGTCAGTTGTAAATTTTTAACTTTTTTGTCATTTGGTTTCTTGGTATATGTTAGAAAAAGTTAGGAGAGCCACATCATCACTTGTAAATCTGCTAGATATAAATGTTGTCAGGCCAACCTCATCAATAAAGGGAATAAGAACAACAGCCTCCCAGTCTTGTTTTTTACCATTGAGATCCGTTTCAAAGTCAACAGGATAAAATTCAATGATTGGTGACTGTTCCATAATCATAAGATTTCGAAATGGTTCAGGCAACAACTCCTTGCTTGCTGCAGGTAATACTGCAAGCAGTTGCTCAAATGGCAGAAAGGGTTTGCCCATTTCAAATACAAGGGGATGATCTTGAAAATCTTTTATATCTGATACATATGGTGCATAATGAAATGGATAGTACCTAGAAAAAACATAGAAATTTATGAATATTATAACCACGTTATACTAAAGTCAGATATTATATTATAACTACGTTATATGAATGGTCACATAAGTATGAATGATACAACGTTATATGAATGGTCACATAAGTATGAATGTTATAACGTTATATGAATGGTCACATAAGTATGAATGTTACAACGTTATATGAATGGTCACATAAGTATGAATGATACAACGTTATATGAATGGTCACATAACTATGAATGTTATAACGTTATGTGAATGGTCACATAAGTATGAATGTTATAACGTTATATGAATGGTCACATAACTATGAATGTTATAACGTTATGTGAATGGTCACATAAGTATGAATGTTACAACGTTATATGAATGGTCACATAAGTATGAATGATATAACGTTATGTGAATGGTCACATAAGTATGAATGTTATAACGTTATATGAATGGTCACATAAGTATGAATGTTATAACGTTATATGAATGGTCACATAAGTATGAATGATATAACGTTATATGAATGGTCACATAAGTATGAATGTTATAACGTTATATGAATGGTCACATAAGTATGAATGTTATAACGTTATATGAATGGTCACATAACTATGAATGTTATAACGTTATATGAATGGTCACATAAGTATGAATGTTATAACGTTATATGAATGGTCACATAAGTATGAATGTTATAACGTTATGTGAATGGTCACATAAGTATGAATGTTATAACGTTATGTGAATGGTCACATAAGTATGAATGTTATAACGTTATATGAATGGTCACATAAGTATGAATGATACAACGTTATATGAATGGTCACATAAGTATGAATGTTATAACGTTATATGAATGGTCACATAAGTATGAATGTTATAACGTTATATGAATGGTCACATAAGTATGAATGTTATAACGTTATATGAATGGTCACATAAGTATGAATGTTATAACGTTATATGAATGGTCACATAAGTATGAATGTTATAACGTTATGTGAATGGTCACACAAGTATGAATGTTATACACGTTATATGAATGGTCACATAAGTATGAATGTTATAACGTTATATGAATGGTCACATAAGTATGAATGATATAACGTTATATGAATGGTCACATAAGTATGAATGATATAACGTTATGTGAATGGTCACATAAGTATGAATGATATAACGTTATATGAATGGTCACATAAGTATGAATGATATAACGTTATATGAATGGTCACATAAGTATGAATGATATAACGTTATATGAATGGTCACATAAGTATGAATGATATAACGTTATATGAATGGTCACATAACTATGAATGTTATAACGTTATATGAATGGTCACATAAGTATGAATGTTATAACGTTATATGAATGGTCACATAAGTATGAATGATATAACGTTATATGAATGGTCACATAAGTATGAATGTTATAACGTTATATGAATGGTCACATAAGTATGAATGTTATAACGTTATATGAATGGTCCCATAAGTATGAATGTTATAACGTTATATGAATGGTCACATAAGTATGAATGATATAACGTTATATGAATGGTCACATAAGTATGAATGATATAACGTTATGTGAATGGTCACATAAGTATGAATGTTATAACGTTATATGAATGTTCACATAAGTATGAATGTTATAACGTTATGTAAATGGTCACATAAGTATGAATGTTATAACGTTATGTGAATGGTCATTCATGAATGTCGTAACTATGAATGTTATGACTATTGTGATAACAAAAACTTTAAATTTACATAGCATAGGATAAATACATGTAGAATAATATATGATAAATATAAGGTAGCATGAGATACAATGCTATAGACAGTGGTAGGTTTCTATTATTGTGAAAATTTACCAACCATCCCCAGGATGAGACACCATTAAAATAATAATGCAATATCCACTGGATGGCTTCAACATATTTCATACACAACTCTCGAATAATGTCTTGACAACTAAACACAACATGATATATCAACACTAAGATTTTAAATGTTAAACATTTACAAAGTGAGGAATTTTTAAATATACATCTAACCTGTCATCCTCTGAAAGGTTAAATTTCTCTCTATAATAACGTAGCTTATACTTTTCATGCTCTTTAGTAAAATCTCCATCATCATCTTCGTCATCCAGTTCACCTTTTTCTTCAAGATAATTCAACAATTTTCCCTGTTGCTTCCCTGTATCACAATTCAGAGACATATTTTCCATGTCGACAGATGCTAACTTAACTGGGCCATCAACTTCAGAGAGCTCTGATTCCTGTGTGCGCACAGAAAAAGATACTTTGAAAGTCATTTTGATGATTTCAACACATATTTTAGAAAAGAAACACGTAAATATAGGGAAAAACTGTAAACCCAAATCATTAGGAATTCATAAAATATAACTAACAGAAAAAAGAACATCTCCTTTCTTCCCACAAGAAACAAAACATCAACATTTTTAGTGTATAGAAGGACAAAAGCACACCTCATCATCTTCAATGTTTTGCGACGTTTTTCCTTCAAGCCATTTTAAATCAGCAGAATTGTCTTCAAAGGTTTCAAGATCTAACTAAAATAAAGAAATGTGTTTGTGACACAACCTTCTTTAAGTAGATTGTGTAGAAAAAATGTATTAAAAAACCTTGGCAATGGCCCTTGTGTATGTTTCAAACCGCTGCAAATTAAGAATGCCACCATCATGAAGATAACCTATTTAAGCAATATCAATTAAAACATGAGACAGTACTGCTTGTTTAGAAATATTTGGATATAAAAAAGCAGTGATGAATTTAGAGGAGGTGTGTGGATGGGTGTGCACACCCCGTAGCTTTCACAAGGGGTGCAGAAGGGGTGCAAATTTCCATATGAAAGATTAATATACCTTCTAATGAAGCTAAAGCAACTATCAAACTACATATTTCCCAGGGTCTCAAGTCAAACCCACAAAAAGTCTGACATTCGAATGACATAACAACACCCACAATGGAGCCACCAAAATCTAATCCAAACTTAACAAACAGAATGATATTTTATTATAATTAAAGCATCCCCTGTACAAAATCATCATAGATCCACCCCTGTAACAAAAGCTCAACTTGCTATTACATGGTCAGTGATGTTGGCAAGGAGACAGGGGAGTCCCCCCCCAAATATTTCCCACACTATGATCTTTATGCATATAACCTAAAAATGCTAGTAATATAAACTATTATGTGTATTATGTAAGAATCATAAATTTTCCAGGGGTTCAACCAGCTCCCAAAAAAAGTACAAAATTAGAATCTGGTATGTACCAATCAAAATACAATCTTAGATGGCAGATATCTCATGAAAACAAATAAAATATACAATACCATCAGAAGAAACCATGACTTCCTTATATACTCTCCACAGATAAGGTAAGGCATCCTGTTTCATACAAATGTAACAATTATTCAAATGTAGTTTTGAACAAAACAGCAGATATTTTACCTACATGATTGATGTGAAAATTTGGTAGGTTAGGAACAAAATCATTTCCCACAAGAAAACCCATCAATATCCAATCATCGATGATTTTCTCTAAATCATAACCATACGAAATTTCCTAGGGAAAAAGACAAAAGCTATGATTACATAAAGATTGGCCAAACAGCTACCTTTAACAGCAAAACTGACATAAACATCTGAAATTCACCTTTAAAGCTACAAATTCCAAATCAATATACTCTCTCAAAAGAGACAAATGCAAGAGATGAAATGTAATATCTTCAGGATTGCTTATCCTAATAAATTAAAAATACTCATTAACATGCTACAAACAAAAAATCACATGGGATGGTGAAATACAAAACTATTTGACTGCAACCTTTTCTCTTTCTTTCCAAATCGAATCTCTTCACGAAGCAGAGAAAAATGTGGATCATGACTGGTCAAACCAAGCATTATCTAAACACCAAGAGCATTCAGCACATCAGCATAAAGCAATCATCTTTGTAAGAAAATCGTAACTTACTAAGTCAGCATCAAGACCATACAAACAATGCCTTGTGTTTGGATCATATCCAGGCTGTGATCTTTCAAATCTAATAAAATCCATTATCTTATGTTCTCCTTCACCAGGTGTCTGAAAGGAAAACAGATAAACAAGTACATAAACATAAACCATTTTTCACAAAACCCAACAATCATTCAACACAACACACCTCATGACCAGAAAGATAAATTTGCAATCCTTGCCAACCAGGATCAGTACTAATTTTTTTATTTACAAAATACTTCAGTTGTTCATGGAGTCTTACCATAAACTCTGTACCTAATTTTAAAGGAAATAGATGTTGAAATAAAACAAGCATATTTCTGATAAAAATGAATTAGAAAATTTCATACCTGGGGTGATACAGTTTGAGTCAAATCTTGCTTCCATAGGTAGCACTTCACCTTTTTGCTCAGCTTTCTTTACTGATGCTTCAGCTTCACGTGCTGACCTAGAACAAAGATTTATTTAATAGCTCAGAGATATTTGTATAAAATTGCAAGACAATCTTATTTAACAACCTAAATCTTCTCCCCCTTTGTTGGTTCATCTTTGCTCTTGGTGCAACACCATCAACAGCCATAAAAAATACTTTTTGCGGTTTAATTATCCTAAACAATACCTATATAAATACAACATCCACATAAATCAGTCAATTAAGCACAACTTAAAAAGAAAACAACATCTATTATGGTCCTTGTTTACCTCGATGTATTGAAAAATATTTAAAAAAATCTGCTCCTCCGTGATTCGAAAGTGTGGATCATCATCATTAGGATGAGAGCAAGGATGAATGATACCATTCATGTCCAAGTATAGGTTATCAAATTCAGGAATCTTAAAATTTAATTTTATATATAATTAATAAAGCATGCAATACTACACTTGCAACATAAAGAATATAATGTTGATATTTTCTCATGGAAATAAAAAATAAATGTTGACTGTCACATACACAAAAGGGAAATTCTCTGAATGTGAACCTGCATGGAAACATTTTAATTTTTGTGGGTCACACAAGTGATGCAGCACATCTCTAAGCAGAACTCTGAAAAACTTTAAAGGCAAATGTTTTGAGATAATGTTACCCTAAGACACAACAAATATGCTATATTACGTAAAGTCTTAACTATTGTCAATACTTGGAGCCAGGAATAAATACAAAATGACAGTGTAAATTTTGCATGTGTGATGATGAGAGAATCACCAAATACAATAAACACGATTCAAATAATAAATGTAGTTGCAGTAAATCTTCAATGACTAATTACAAAGCTGTAACTAATCATGCTACATTATGCAACCATACGTAAATATTTTAGTTAGAATGCTAATAATTCAACAAATGCAGTATTATATTCATAATTTTTGTCCAATTTTCTATAGTAATTGAAACAAATAAATGTAAAATTTTTGATTGATACATAAAAGCTATAACTATTTACTCACAAGGGTTGCAATGTAAATAAATTACCTGATGATCTTTTACAACTTGACTAAGACAAGGATATCGTTCACTCAACCAACGGTAAAATTTTGGCACTCCCATAGTTGTTGTACTTATATATAAATAAATGTCAGCTTATGAGTTTAATTTTTTTAAAATGTACTTATAAAAAATCTAAATGCAATTAAAAACCTTATATATTGATATTTTGCAACTTGTTTATAACGTTTACTAAAAACTTTTGAATTTTAATATGCGCTCGCGCATCCGCATCCGAGCATGACCCGCTTGTTGGCGGCATACGCCGCTAGAAAAGGCTCAGAGAAATTCATTTGATTTTTTCGTTTTTTTAGAAATATTTAGCTGAAATATATCATAGTTTTCGAGGTATTTAATTTATATGTCTTTTCTCAGCTTTTCAGGAGAAGAATGAAAAACATGACAGTCTAATTTTTTGACATTTTCTTTCACGAGTTTCCTTACCGTCCCCTCCCATAATGTTTTGTTCAGAATGATGTAATGTTGTAATATCCCGGATTTCGATGTATCACCCGATTTATTTGCAATTTGCTCGAGTTTGGTGAATTTAAAACTTTTATTTCAAGATTTGCCATTTATATCAAAGACAAGGAAAATACAAATTTCTTCATTGTTTGCATTTAGTTGAAGTGAAGTTGTCTTCTGACTGAATTCGCGAGATGTTCTTTCGGTAAGATGAAATTATATTATAATCTGCTGTTAAAATGGCGCACGCAAAAAATAATTTTCTCAAAATTTTACTTTGTTGTACTTGCCATGACATTTAAAATTATATCATTTGCAACAAAGACAATCAAACTTTACAAATCCTAAAAGCTTTATGTAATTGGAGTGAAAATGTTCAATTTCTGGAGGTTTTTGTTCGCAATTATTGTCCATGCTGTAAGCGTGGTCAACACCATGATAAATGAAATTTCTAAATACTGTTTGATATTCAAATAAATGTATTCTTTTACTAGGATCTGAAAAATGACACAAGATAATTATACAGATGTCTTCGATAGAGGGCAGTTGGTTGTGTGTTTAGAAAACTGCTTGGTGGATGTTTCAAAGAAAACCTCCCAACTAGTACCAGAAAAGACCTCACAAAGTTCTTTGTTGAAGAAATGTCTTGATTGTCAAATTCTTCTTCAACCAAGGCTATTTAAATCTTCGGAACAAATTAAACAATTGTCGGACAACAATATACAGTCATTTCCACCTTCTAATTGTATCAAAGAGACTACAGGAAGTCTCATCTTGCAAGCTTCATTGTCTACTGGTCTTTTAAAAGAGGGTGTATTCTCAAATGGGGGTGATTTACTACCATGCAAAAAAAGTATCAGTGAATGTGATGCAGAAATCTCAGATGTCAGTGAAGAGAGTAGAAATTTCGAAGACTTAATGACTCTTAGTGAATTTGCAAGACAAAGCTCATTTAAGGATGACTGGTCAAAAAGTTCTGAAATCTTTCAAAATTCTTCAAATCTAAGACTTGCCCAAATACCTGATGAAAAGCTATTGAAAAGACATAATTGCAAAGAATTGCAAGTTCAATTATTCTGGATAAAACCAACTTCGCACCAAATGCAAGCTCTTCGTCATCAGAATATTTTTAAAACTTCATCTGGGAAAGATTTTCGACATGAAAGATTGAGGCCTAAAGGGAGCCTCAGGCAATTTATTCCATTTATGTATGAGCAAGCAGCAACATCAAATAGGCGAAGAAGATTATCACATTTGGGTACTGGTTATAGCACTCAAAAAAAGCATTTGCAAAATCAGAAGAAACATATATTTAGAAACAAAGATAAAAAATCAAAAATCAAATCAAAACAGAAACAAAACTTGACCAAGTTGTTGTTAAAGATTGCTCTTAAAAAAAAGAAAATGGCTATGAAAGAACGAAATACATATGCAAATAGTTTGAACAGTATTAACCAGAGAATAAACAGGCAAAACTATTTCTGGCTAAAACTGTAATGCAAAATGTTGACACAAGTGTTAAACATACTTATTACAGAAATTTCCCAAATATTGGTACATAAAGTTGTGTTTTTTTATTACATTCCAACATATTTTAATTGTTGTAAACAGCCATATCCGAAATTTTTCACACAGCAACTAAAGTGCATAGTTTTTGTGGAGACTTGCTGCATCTCGAATCTACTAAGCACAATTTTGATCGATATAATAGGGAAATTTTAAATTGTTTTACCAATGTTGATTGTCTTGGATTAGAATAGTATAACTAAGTATTAGCATATTAATATATAGATTTACACTTATTTACATCAAAATTAAGTCACAAAAATGTTTTGTTAAGAAACTATTCAAGAGGTTAAATTGCAACCCATAAAACAGATGCATTGATTACTGAAGCAATTTTTAGGTACATCCTCACCTCATATTCTCCAAAATCATTTAGCTTTGTCTGGCCCAATTGTGGATTGCCCAATTCAAACTGGTGCTCGTGCTGTTCCTATAAGCATCATCAAAATTCTTTCTAAATTTTTTCAATGCAGCTTTCTCAAGTTCTTCTTCACACATATCTTTTTCATCACTTTTTAAACCTAAAGTGTTCTGAAGATGCTGAATATCAGCAGCACTTCGAAGTTCAGGAAGGCCTAAAAAATGAATTTTTCAATTTCATAGAATGCATAATACCAACATCAAAAACCATAGTTAAGTCACACCTGTTGAAAGCATCATGGTAAAGAGATTAATGAACAAATGACTGTGTTTTCGCAGGATTAAATAGGCTTTCTCACATATTTCTCTGAATCTATACAATTGAAATCAGTAAATTGTTAAAACAAAATCTTGATAGACATGAGCACTTTTTCTAATATTGAGTTCCAGCACCCACCGTAAAAACTCTTGACATTTGTCAGCATCTGTTTTTTTGCCGTTTGTTATAACGTAAACAAAATCTCGTGAAAGAATAAAAGGTACACGTTCCCTGTTTACACCAAACTTTACTTTAAAATTTCCCAGAAAATGTCCAAAATCAATATGAACAAGCTAAAATGTAAAAAAAACATAAAATTTGAAAAACCTACAAAACCCTGAGCAACTTTTTTACAACAGAATATTTACTTGGCCAGTTGTTTTGACCATAATGTTATCGCTATGCCTATCACCAACGCCCAAGACATATGTTGCAACACAGTAACCAGCACAAGACATAGTAAATGACTCAACTGCACCTCGAAGCCTAGGGACCATGTTTAATGAAACAATTAAATAGACAATACAAGAAATAGACAAAATTTTGCATTAAAAGTTTCAACTGGATTTTATAATTTAAAGTTACTCACATATCAGGGGATTTATTATGCTTTTTTAACCAATCAAGTAAGACTTCTTTCTTGAATGCACCTCGCACAACACCACCCTCTGATTTTTGAATATTTGCTAACGTTTTTGCATCAGTTACAACTTCTATAACACCAATCTTATCGCCAGTTGGTAATACAGCATAAGGAGTCATCCTAAATGATATTTTTAAACAATAGTGTATTCTTTTCTAGCCTGTAGACTAAAAACAAAAGGATACCCCAATCGTTCTTTAAAAACAAAAATGAAGAGAACGTTTGTTGAGAGCTTAAATATTTGTAAGGTAAATGTAAAGTAAAAGAATTCCTTGGAACATTGAAGGAACCATTTCTTACTCTAAATTCAATCCTTCTCTTTGCCATAGAGTATCCATGATCTTGAACATTTGCAAAGTAAGCATATCTTGGCGAAGATCTTGAAAAAATATCGATAATTCATAGAAATATACACTTCAAACAACTGCGTACTCCTTGCTCTACTAACCATCTCCATTTTTAAAAAGCAATGTTGTATCAGGGCCCATTTCATCATCATTTTCAAATACCATCCATAGAGGTCTCATTTTAGAGTCCATTGTTTTGCACTTATCAACTCTGAAAATACCACATTGTAAAAATTTCAAATGAAGGTTATTTGTGTATAAATAAACTACACAAATTTACCTTAAGCTTTTCAACTTGCATGATGGATCTACCACAGAATGAAAATTTGAAAATGCTTCTTGAAATGTAATCTGAAGAAGGCACTCTCTCATCGTTTGCTGACATTTTTCCTTCTAATTCACACAGAAAAATTATGTGCTTGATAAGTTTAATTTCGTGATTAATGTAGATCTCATATATTGTGCATTATGATTATATTATTACATTCTATACCTTTAATGCTTGACATTGCAACAATTCAGTGATTGCTTTAAGTTTATTCATGGCTTCCACCTAAATTAGTTCACAGATGAATGAATTAGTTTGATCTAGATTTTTACTACACAGATACATAAAAGATCAAGCTGTGTTGAAGGATATTTTTTTAAATGAAAGACTTGTCAGAGATCAAGTTTATTAAATTAACTGAGTTATTGTAAAATCTGTCAATTGAAATCATATATTGATGATACTTTGACTAAAAAAATAAAAATTCAAACACTTCTTAACCAATTAAAAATTATCAAAGACCTTCATAAAAAGAACTGCTTGAAGGGCATTCCAATTTTAAATAAGTATCAGCAAAATGTTTGTGAAAGACAAATGCAAGATCTTTCATTCTCAGTTCTTTCATTCTCTTATGCATTGTGTAAATAATTTTGAAGTATGAAAACATGTAAATTTGTTGATATGATGTATCATCAAAGTATCATCAATATCAACATATGAATATGTTAATATTGATGATACTTTGACTAAAAAAATAATAATTCAAACACTTCTTAACCAATTAAAAATTATCAAAGACCTTCATAAAAAGAACTGCTTGAAGGGCATTCCAATTTTAAATAAATATCAGCAAAATGTTTGTGAAAGACAAATGCAAGATCTTTAATACATTAAAATCATTGTACCCATCTTGTAAATCGAAAACATAATAGTATACTCATTACAATGCTGGTTACCTGTTTTGATAATGATGCCATGTGTGCCACACAACCTCTGCAGTAAGCTTCAAGAAGCAAACCAAATCTCACTGAAACTTCTGGAACATGCATTTCAGCCCTTGAAAAGAAAAGTATCAAATTCATCCTTTCTTTTATATTGAGCTGAATTACAATTCATTTACATACCTAAGTAACCAAAACAAAGAATGACCAATTTTTCTATTCCACAGAGCCCTTCGTAATAAAAACTTGGCCAGATCACAATCCAAGTATGCTTCATACTTTAGAACCTAAAAATTTACAATAGATACAAACTTTTTTTGATGAAACATATAGTTCATACATTTTGTCACAGTTTTTCATTCTCTTTTGTATTGTGTAAGTAATTTTGAAGTATGAAAACAATGTGAAAAACGTTTGTGTTGTGTAAGCGATTGTTGATCAATACATACTAAGATGTACTTCCTTCTCTTTTTCAGTGGTACTACCCCTAGTGTATTTTGTGACCACCACAGAGGATGTAATTTCTTTGGCTACACCCATATGCATGCATTAACAAGATGATAATCTCTCAGTAATCATCAAATATTGTTCATTTAAATTAAGTTCAGGTTGTATTCTTTCTTTATGGTTTGTTATACATCATTCAAAATGATTATTGAATATCGCGTCTCAGAGTTTCAATTTGGGTATTTTGAAGCTGTTTAACTGATTATTTTTGTGATCAGGCAACAGTAGGAAAAAACTGCATGCTGTGAACAATAACATTGCAGTGCTTTAAAACAAATTATGCTTAAAAACAAACATTTGCAATGGCAAGTCATAAGATTGTCTGTTAAACATAAACATAAAAATTATCAAGTGATCAATATTACCCTGTTTTAAAAAGTCACCCTAGGTACTTCTATATGTATGCAAAATTAATACAGCACTTGCTGGTTATTAATGCAAAACAAAAATCATCAAAATAATGACAATGATAGTAATGTGTTATGAATGATCAATGGCACCAACTAAACTTATTCAACATATAGATGCATATGATGCTGTATTTATTGATTTTGTCTTGAATGTAAATGTATTTGGCTTTGATATTATTGTTTATTAACAATTCTAACGGATGTTAAAAGATGCTATTGACATTCCTTTCATGTCATTAATTTTCATTCAATGGAATACATAATAAGGTGACTTTTTCATCAGTTAAAGACCAGCAAATGCTGTAATAAATATCAACATACTTGGACCAACTGAAGAAGATACAAATGAAGCTGACCATCACTAAATATAATAAAATAAATCATGAGTTGGTTTAGAAAACTGTGCACTGCTAAAAAATCATAGTAACTCACGAAAGCTTTTCCAACCATTGTACTGCAAAATGTCTAACTTCCATGTCTGGATACTTGAAATCAAGTAGTTCCAAAGCTGCTTCAGGTGAAATTCTGGCCAGCTTTGTAATAGTGCATGCATCTAACAGAGAAATAAACATCAATTTTCAGGGGGGTGATCTCAGGTGGATGTATACTTCACAATAAAATTGAAATAAGGCTTGTGTAGTTTAAGTTCTTATGATGAAATTATAAAGTAAGACAGAGCATGAATGCAACTTAGTTATTATTTTAATAATACATAGCCAAGGCCCTGAAACCCTTTGCTAACCTACCATGGCACCCATAGTTTAAACTGACTTTTGTCAAATAAGAATAGATCCACCCTACACATTAATGTACCATAAAATAAAACAAATATTATTCTGAATTAATGTTCAAAATAACAAAATGATAAGCATACCCTTGCAACATCTTCATGATTATTCCAGTGGATACTCAACAAAACCTTGGGCAAGGAGTTGGGAAAATTATCTCTGCATTCAAATCTAAACAGATTTTATGTAAGTTTTGATTTAGTTCTCTAACACTGTTTAGGTGTTGATATTTTTTTTACCTAAAAAACCAAATTAGATTGTTTCTCTGCTTCAGTGTACTTTGCAAGAGGTTCGCGATTTGTAAGTAATTGCAAGTCTATGTTAGCTTTCTCTCTCTGCAAACAGTTGTGAAATAACATGGTTTTAAAGTTCAACCAACATTTCCTGGAAAGCCATGGAAACATTCCAAGTTGGAATTCGGATATATAAAGATAATCATTAATTATACTGAACTTTTTCTTTATTACAGTCAACATAATTGCAACAAAACATCATTTTGCATAATATTCCAATACTCACAAGTATATCGTTTGAATCATTTCCAGCTAAAGTGGATGCCTTTTCAAGAATCTAGTGCAAGAAAATTAGATGAGTGTGTGTTGGACATTACATGAATATCAAAAGAGTAATGCTACCATTTAATGTAGGTTGGAAACTACATTACGTTGGATTTTGACCTTAATGAAAAGTTTCAAAATACATACTAATGACATGTTAAAAAACTATTGGAGATAAGCCAAGCTTGGACAGTTTTACAAAATTTCAATTTCAATAGTCAAAGCACTGTGGTGGTTAATTCTTCAACAGGAATTACCTTGTCAAATGGTGGATAAACAACACTGGCACCAGGTCTTGCATATTGAGTAAATTCAATGATCAAACAAGGTGATGTGCTAGTATTGATATTTGACACCACAGTACCAATTGGATTTAAATCTTGAAGATTGTCTTTCACAGGATAGGCATGAAGTTTGACTTTGCCTTGTTGTAGATAATTACGAAAGTCAAATAAGGTCATGTTTACCCAGGCTAAAGGTATTCTATCCTAAAATGTAATAGACTTAAATGTCAACAAATCACATGAATCTTTAGTCAAAAGCCAGGTTCAAAAAATTTCGTCATTCTGACCCTTTTTCTCTTGGCATATATTCCAAGACAAAGTTTGGCCATTCGTGGAATGTCACACATGTTAATATCAAACTCAAGATACTCATTCCAATCTGGTGAAGGACCTTCCTTTTCCCGAGAAAACCTTTCCTCACACAATTTTGTACTTCCATGATATAATCCAGCCCGAACTCCAATCTAAAATAAATACCAAACAATAAGTTGTTGCATTAGACACAGTTATGTGGTTTTCATGAAACTGTTGCTTTTCTACCTCTGTTCCTGAATCAACAGAGATGTTGGATGCAGATTTGATCTTAAACTTAAAGTTAGCATTAATTTCCCAAACAGTCAAGTTTACTTTTGGTGGAATTGGAGGAGGAGATACTGGGTCAGCAAATGCAGGAGCATAATCTTCCACTTTCAAGGAACTTTTTGGAACCACTGATAATTCTGGCTTCACTTGCTTTGCAATGCAATCCCGAATGTACTAAAAAAATAATAACACTGTATAAGCTATGACTATAAGTTTGTGGAAAGCATAAGTTTGTGCAATTTGTAGTTTATATTGGTCAGGTGCAACAAACAAAGCATTGCTGAGATAACACTAGTTTTAATATATCAAACAAAGAGCCAAATGAAGGTGATTGACCACCTGATATTGTAAGACAGGATAATTTCCTAATAAAAACGACTGTTTTCCTTTTATTTGTAAGGTAAATTTACTCATATCACTGATAGCAAGCTTCAGTTTCTCTGCCCTCCATTGCAAAGCTTTTGCAAGAACATCACTTGCTTTCCAATCACAATGAACGTGAAAATCAGAGCATTCTCTCCTATTTTTGGATCAGTAAGTTTACAAAGTGAAACGAGGAAGTAGCCATCCTCTAATTTTGAAGTGATATGTCTTGGTAGCTTAGGGAAATCATCACATAGATCCACTGGGTAAGCACACATTGCTCTAATATGCCATTCCTTTTCCTGTCTCTTCGCAGATATTTCAGTCGCAAGTTCCGCATATGTACGTCGAAATAAAGTTGTTTCAATGTTGTCTGTATGGTGTTCAATGGCACGAGTTGTGCCCATCAGGCATCTTATTTTCGAGTCCACTAATTCTTTCTCGCGAATTCCTCGCTGTGCAACCAATTTAAGAAATGGACGAAAAGGTCTAACGTCCCGAAGAGTTAGTCGTTCGTTGTCAACCATTTCTCGCTTTCCTTTACTGCTAATGTACATAAAATTATATTTTGTCGGTTCAAGTTCGGGCAACTTGTTAAACAATGGATACCTCTGCGCTTCTTCAAATAGTTGAGCTTTTATGTCCAAAAAACATGTAGTAAGAGTGGACATGATAGGCACCAAAACGCCAGTGGGTAAGAAGCAATTCACTTCGACTTTAGCCGCGACATCTGTACTATTCCACTGAATAAAATCCATCTCAAACGAGCTTCTTACAAAGTCAGTGAAAGATGACCGAATAAAAAAAACATGACGACATACTTCCTTCTTCCACGAATAATCGAAATACAATTGTACACATAAATAATACATATACAATACGGTATTTGAGCTGTGAAAGCGCGTTTTAACCTCCCACACACACGAAAGGTTTCGATGACCCAAACACGACCTTGATCGATACGAGTATGTGGCTTCACTGCTTCACTTGCGCATATTCTCATTTTCCATGAATTCGTGTTTTTATGGTTGCCTTTTCATACTTCTTTTTGTTTCAACTTCAATTTATTTTACTGGCTTGAGAATGGCTTGTGCTTTAGTGATTAAAGCCTGTTTATAACATGAAAAGTTTGTGGTATGCAAAAATTTGCATTTAGAGTGTGTTATTGTGTGTAGATTTATGTGTCTCAGGGAAGAGATAGCAGTATCCTTTATATGCCACTAAAACTTGGTAAAGAATTGTAAAATCAGTCATTTCACATTCATAACCAGAATAAAAAAAAGTTTAGTAAATATGATCAGAAAATGAAGAAAAATTAATTGTTAAAATCAATAATTCTGACCATTGTTTATCAACTTATTGTATTTTGTCAGCAAATTTTGAAACAAATACAAACTTTAAAATTGCAAGTAAACCAAACATTTAGGGAGCATTACACTTACATGCATTTGAAATGTCATAAACCGAAGCCAAAAATATGCTTTACATCAGACCCTGATCATAATGTAATTGGAAAATTTAAAGGACAGCTAGGTAGAAGTATATTCAATTCACTTTAGATGTATTGGAGGAACTCCTTTAGTAGAATGAGCATAGAGGGATTGAACCAGATTCTACAAACCTGAAAGCTGTCCATGTGGTAATTTCCCAATAAATATTCATCCTTGCCAACTATCTTCAGCACATAGTCTTTATCACTCTCAATAGCTCTTTTTCTCTCCTCTGAGTTTTGCCTGAATACATAGACAACATCGCAAGGATTGATACCAAGTGGAATTTCCAGTTCTTCCACATCATCTCCAGGGGGCAGATACACAATCACATTATATTTATCATTGTGAAGTTTATCGAATACATAGTCAGGAAGAGGATCAAACGAAATTTCTGAAGGATACATAGATAATGCTCTGTCCTCCCATGTGGATTTTCGTCTCTCTCGAGATTCTTTTAAAGATATTTTTAAATATTCCTTTCTAAAGTTAACGACCTCCTCATTTTGTTTGCCTTCCAGTTCAGCAGGGGTTTGTCTCATTAGAAACTTTATTTTCGCATCAAGTTCACAGTTACCCTTCTCGTCATTTCGTTTCTCTAGTAGCTTCAACACAGGCCTAAATGGCCGAACATCTGTCAGTTTCAGCGTTTCATCCAACAAAGTTTCGCGTTTTCCTTTCTCGTTGATACAAAGAAAACAATAGTTCGATGCTTCATCGAGACGACTGAAGAGCGGATAATTGTGTGCACTTTTAAAAAGTTTTGCTTTAATTTCCGCCAGGGTTTCAGAAACAAGACATTGCAAAGGAACCAAAACGCCAGTAGGTAAAAAGCAATCTACGGTCAGTTCTTTTGGTAGATCTGGTGAAGTCCATCCAAAGAAAACCGTTGGTGCCATGGTTGTTTTTAATTTTATTTCTTCTATTCACAAAAAATGAAGAAATATGTTGAAGATGAAACGACTACATTGCTTGAGTCATTTTGAAAGACTTATGAAAAGCATTTCCGTAACCAGATAATGCATGGTCTGTTTGTTTGTCTTACACTTGCTTGCCACGCGTGGCGCCTCAAAAGTCAATGACGTTCAAAAGTTTCGCTTCCCTTTTCAATATCTCTGGATTATCTGGGTATAAAAAGAACTGCTCATTTACACACAGATGCTTTGAACTCCAAATTCATACTAACTAAACGTTTAATTAAAAAAAGTTTTATAAACGCAGGTAATAACAGTCTCTCGGACTTATGTGCAATCGTTTTCTCAAGCTTTATCGAACATTTTTATAACGAGATGGCTCATTGCATTTAGATATTATTTATTGAAGACTGAAGGAAAGGAATTCTTATATTTTGAATAGCGATATTTGAATATGTAATATTTAAAGGGAGAAAACGAGTGCATATGAAAATAAAGTACACATATGCAGTTAGATATGTTAAATAGCAAATCAATAATAGCAAGAAAACGTTTATGAACATTCAATAAACAATTCATTTAATCAAATACATACTTTCAGTACATTAGATGTTTGTTCTAAAAGAATGCCCCCACACTTTGATGTTTTGCATACGAAACTGCTCACTGACTTTTGACCTGTTTTATTGAATTATCACTACTTGACATAACAACCTTTGTTTTCTCTTACGTAATAACACATTCATTAAATACCAGCAACAATTCTCTTGTCTATAAATTCATCTTTTTCTCTCAGTACACGTGAAATACTGTATCATAGCTTGCTCCACTTAAATCACGTATTATAAAACCATGGATATCATAGGTTGGTTCATTTTAACAATGTATACAACTATGGATATCATAGGTTGCTCCACCACACCATATACTACCATGGATATCACTGGTTGTTACACTTAAACCATGTATACAACTGTGGATATCATAGGTTGCTCCACCAAATCATGTAATACCATGGATATCACAGGTTGCTCCAACGTACTTGGAACGAACCACTGAACTTGGAAATCAGGAAAGCTTTAGTTTCTTTGCTTGGCTAGCATCCTCTTCTTCGTCATCTTCATTTTCTTCTTCAACAAGAATTGTTCGAGGTTGCGTTCTAATGAGACAAGAAAATTTTCCAGCAAAGTTTACACCTAATCATAAAGACATACAAAACAAAGTGGGGATATACGTACTTAGCATATGCGGGACTGACCCAAAAAGGATTCTCAGCAGCTTCCTGTAACAAATACACAACTGGACATTAATAACAGAGAAAGATAGATTGAGTTGATGGGAAAGGAGTGAGTTCTAAGAGATAGTTTGGTAAATTGTAGTGTTGTTTTACCTTAGCATGTCGAAGTATAGACTCGCGAGGATTAGAATCATCGAGATTTTTTACAGCTAAATTCTTTGAAACAAACTGTGACAAACTGAGACCAGACGCAACGCGACCACCCTTTCCTAAAAATGGAACATACATAAATATCAAAATGTGGCAGAATCTTTTTATTTTGTGAAGTTGCGAATGATGGTGGATTAGAGACCTGCACCAGCCAGAGGTGTCTCAGGTTTTCTTGATTTTACTGGATCAGCGCGTTGCTTATCTTTCACTTTCTTCATGGTAGCACCACCTTGATTTTGACGAAACATTGGTAGGGCATGCGCTGTAATGATATGAATGTTGATGGTAAATAATTAATGAAATTTACACTCTTACAACATCGATAAACACAGTCATCACTCTTCACTCGAGTCTCTTACGAGTAATTATTCTTGGTGGAAGTATCATTTCGCGACTTTCACTTTTCTTCTTGGCTTTAGATATGCAAGTAATTGCACCTCTGAAAGTTGCAAAAAAAACCAACATATGAAATATCTATTTTTTTCTCAGTTTTTGAACAGAGATTATCGTACCTTCTGCTTTTTTGAGGATCAAAGAAAACTTTTATCTCTCCATTACCACAACCGATGAATAATTGGTTGATTTTTGGATGCCATAGGCAATTGACGACACTCTGAAAACACACCAACAAAAATAAAACAAAAGTTTTATGCAAAACAAATGATAAAATATTCTTACAGAATCTGCTACTGAAAATTCCATGACTTTGTTGAAGGTGGATTTTTCAAAAAATACCAATTTTCCTTCTCCCTAAACACAATGGAAATTGTTATGTGGTAATGATTATTGGAGACACGTTCAAAAACATATCTGATAAACACCTGTCCCTTTTTCACGGAGGTGCCAGTACCAATAAGTTTCTCGTCAGGACTATAGAAACAACTAGTTCTACAAAATACAAGAAAAATCTTTTTATTTAAACATTTTGCAAAATTATGTTGTCATCACAAAAGATTCTGCATCAGCAAAATTATTTAAGCAAAAGCAAAAGAAAGAAAATGTTGGCTATCACCACTCTAACTAAATTAATACCAAATTTAAATTAGTTCTTTCTTTCTGACTGTTAGCCTCTTCGTGAAAATCTTTTTCATGTAATATACGTAGAGTAACTAATTCAATTATATTTATGTTGTTTTACAAAATTACTTTTATTCATAGGGAACATACGTCAAAAATGAATTTGGAAGATTCAGCGCAACATTTACTGGCATTTTGTAACTGCGAAGATCCCAAAGTTTCATTGTGTCATCTCCTGAAATAAACGTATACATGTGACCAAAGCAGGTTCCAAGTCTTCATCTATGAGGTTATTAATAATGGACAAACCTCCTCTAGACACAAATGTTTGGTTGTCATAAGAGAATTTCAGACATGAAATGTCACTGCCATTTGCATGACAGTTTTTCATCAAAAATGTGGGATGAACCTGAAAGAAATTGTCATGAATGGAAAGTTCTTTTTTACTCAATCATACAGCATGGATAATCTAAACTTACAAAAGCCTTTCGAGTGTCCCATACATGAATTGTTCCATTCTAAGAGAATTAATAAATTAAATGAAAATGCAACACATCTTGCCATGCAAAAAAATTTTGAGTTACCTGAACACCAGCAATGATATATTTTGCATCTTTACTGTAAGCACAATGTGTTGGTATGGCTTTCTTCCCTAAAATATGTTTCAAAAATCATATTGTAGAACGATGTAGAAATGGGATTATTTTTACTATTTAAATTTTAAAAGATATGCAACTAAAATGTAAGTTGGATGTGATATTACCTTGAGCACTTTTTGTTTTTAGTACATTAATATTCTTTTTCGGTGTGTTAACATCCCACAGTCGTACAGTACTACAAAAAATGATCAATAACAATGGTTGATATGAAGTGTTGTGGCTTTAAAGTAAATGGTTTGAACCCGGGTGTATCGTTACATGTTTGTAAATGTAGATCGTCCAGGTTGGTATAGTCCTGAGAAGGACTGTTTTTTTTTACTCTGAAGATGACTACCGCTAAGGTTGTCAAAACATCAGTCAACAACAACAAAAACAGTCCTCAGGACTATACCAACCTGGATGATCTACATTTACAAACATGGTGTGGCTTTGTCAGCATAGCCATCATCAAACACAACACATCATCAAACACAACACATCATCAAACACAACACATCATAAAACACAACACATCATCAAACACAACACATCATCAAACACACATCATAAAACACAACACATCATCAAACACAACACATCATAAAACACAACACATCATCAAACACAACACATCATCAAACACAACACATCATCAAACACAACACATCATCAAACACAACACATCATCAAACACAACACATCATCAAACACAACACATCATCAAACACAACACATCATCAAACACACATCATCAAACACAACACATCATAAACACAACACATCATCAAACACAACACATCATCAAACACAACACATCATCAAACACAACACATCATCAAACACAACACATCATCAAACACAACATCATCAACACAACACATCATCAAACACAACACATCATAAACACAACACATCATCAAACACAACACATCATCAAACACAACACATCATCAAACACAACACATCATCAAACACAACACATCATCAAACACAACACATCATCAAACACAACACATCATCAAACACAACACATCATCAAACACAACACATCATAAAACACAACACATCATCAAACACACATCATCAAACACAACACATCATCAAACACATCATCAAACACAACACATCATCAAACACAACACATCATCAAACACACATCATCAAACACAACACATCATCAAACACAACACATCATCAAACACAACACATCATCAAACACAACACATCATCAAACACAACACATCATCAAACACAACATCATCAAACACAACACATCATAAAACAACACATCATAAAACACAAACACATCATCAAACTCAAACACATCATCAAACACAAACCCATCATCTCCACATGTCATAAATTTTTCACGATCTTTAGGATGCCAGCATCCACAGTTCAACATGGAGACATGACCCTTGAAAATACAAAATCATGCTAAAAAGATTGCAAAGGATATTCAAAATCATGACAAAAACACACTTTTGTCTTTGCCATATCAAACAAATATTGATCTCCTTTTATGCACTCCATTGCTTCAAAGCCGTCACGATCCAAAATCTTTGCCTGAGCATTTCCCGAACACACAAGAATTGTATCACCACTGGAACTGTACTCCAAAGAACGAATTTGATGGCAGCCACATGGTTGAATATTTCTGAATGCTGACATTGATGCACCCATTGCATTGAAGTCCCAAAACTTAATCTGTAAATGAGTTGAGTTGAAATACAACATACATGTAGCAGCTTTATTAATGAACACCCACTTACATCATAGTCATGTCCTCCAGATATCAACCTAGCTCCACTTGTATCCAAAGATAATGCTGATACCTATCAAAAAATATTTAATGACCTTACTCATGCAAAATTTCCCAAACAACTAGTGGGAAATTCCTCTTTAAATCAAAAATAAACACTTGCCGTCTTTGCACCATGTCCCAAAGAGATTTCATGGCTGCATGGAACAATTGATGCTATGCCCTTTGGAAAGGGAAAGCACAAAACTTAGCACAAGTATATAATGCAACATAATTATGAAAAGGTTTTTCATACATCCTCAGCATCATCCTCCAAATTGTCTTCATCATCACTGTCGTCATCTTTGGCTTTTTCAATCTGACTGACCTAACATCAATGTGAAAAGACTGAATCTTCCAACACTCAAAGTTTTTTAAAAAAATACAGTAATACACATGAAATAGCAGAATATTCATACTCTAATATTATCACTTGGAGTTTCATTACTTGAAGGCATAGTAACATACGGAGTTTCATCATCAGCATCTACCTCATCTAAAAAGTTATTTAACAATCAATGAGTAATTTTCCCAATATAGTTCATCGTAATCTGCCTTCATTAAACCTCTGATTTTTCTCTTTTCTTCATATGCATCTGCCACCCTTCTCTTAGCTACAGCCATCATTTCATTGATGTCAAATTGCCTAGCTTTCTTCCCTAAGAAAGAAATATGGTTATGACATTACTGCCAAGTCTTGCACTTGAAACAAGTGTGAAAAGAGGGATAAAATAAGGTAAACAAATGGACTATAAAACCATTTAATAAACATTATAATAAATTCCTACCAAAGCCAGAGAAACCCATCAACGAAGACATACTTGTTAAGAAGTGATATTTTAAGTGACGTAGTTTGCATGTAACGATCACACTATAAGAACGTGGGTCACAAAGGTCACATATCTATGTTAATGATGATTGGTTTATTTTGTCACCTGATACTATAGACCACTTTGGCGGTTTTATTTGAATAAAAACACGTGCTCGCTAAGTGAAAAACTCGGACAAACATGGCGGAAAGTCATAACAATGTCATAATTTGCTATATGAAATAGAAATATTTTTCGCTCTCTTGCAAATGTAGCGACGAATCAAACTTAGTCATAGTTGTTGTGCGTCAACGGATATACGATGTGAGTAAGCACAACAACTCGCTACAAGCTAACCACACAAGCCCGACCACAAAGCATGAAAGCACTATAACGCGCTTAGAAAGAACTAAGTCATCCCACTATTACGTGCAGGATATGACGGAGAACACTCCCTTTTAGTTATTATATAAATGCACGACAAAATATAGAATAGGACAAGAGATGAATAGAGCATAGCAAAATTCAATGTAAACTCGTATGATTAAATATAATGCAATAATAATAACCATACGTGGCGGAGTAATTTTATAACAATGGTTACGACGAAGAGGTGCGCTTGGGGAACCTGCAAAAGCGATTCGCGGTATCCTGATCGTTTAAAACGAGACGCATGTAGAAGCAAAGTATTTTTTTTACATTTTCCTGGGGAGAAATACCATAGCGACAATATTCCTTTGTGTTAATAAACTTAGATCAATGCAGAGTAAACAATGTGTGCAAAGTTCTGTGCCATTTATTTCTTTCCATTGTTGCATCCTTGTTACTGAACCATTTATGTTCCATGAGAATGAAATCATTGGGACATTTCTCATATTTTTCAATATCCTAAAAAATGTTGTGAGATTGAAAAAGTAAGCACTCTTCCCTATGTTATTGCATTGAGTACAACTATGACTAAGTTTGATTCGTCGCTACATTTGCAAGAGAGCGAAAAATATTTCTATTTCACATAGCAATTAGTCATTGTTATGACTTTCCGCCATGTTTGTCCGAGTTTTTCACTTAGCGAGCACGTGTTTTTATTCAAAATAAAACCGCCAAAGTGGTCTATTGCATGCTATATAATAGTTAGCGTCTTTACTGTTTAATTCCTATTCCTATACCTTTCTATTCTATTATGTTGCTGTTTGGATTGCACGTTTAATAAACTATATTACTGGATACTGTGTTTGTTTTATGACTGTACTTTCAACAGGTTATGGGCCCAGGACGCAAACTGTCCTACTAAAGATAAGTAATTTAAAACTTAAGCAATGTCATTTTCGGATAGCGCTCTTAAGTTCGCAAAATTGAATGGCACGAACTACCGGTCATGGGCTTTCAACATGCGGTTATATTTGGAAAGCATGGACTTGTTTGAATTCGTCGAAGGTAGTGCGATTGCTCCTAACGACGATGCCGGTGCAGATGTTCGAAGGAGATTCAATTCCTCAGCGAAAAAGGCATGGACGTATATTTGCTTGGCTATCGAGCCGGATCAGCAAGTGCACGTGAGAGAAACGATAACGGCAAAGGAAGCGTGGGACGCTTTGAAAAGTCAATTCGCCAGGGGAATCGTTACTTCAAAAGGTTCGTCTTCGTCAGCAATATTATTCGTCAAAATTTCATGTTGGAGGGAATATGTTGGAGCATATAAACAACTTAAAATCATTACACGAGCAACTAAAAGAAATGGGCGCAAGTATCGATGATAAGGAACTGGCAATGACCCTGTTGGCTAGTTTGCCAGATAAATATAAACCATTAATAGCGGCATTGGATGCTGTTGGTGAGAATGAACTTTCTTATGAGAAAGTCAAAAACATGATACTAAATGATGAAGACAGAGCCAAAGATTCCGAGACCAGAAAAGAGGATGCATTTTCCGTGCAACGCAACAAGTTTCGAGGTGGGAAACAACGTGGTGGTCAGAATGAGAACATTTTTAATCGAAAGAAAGGCTTTCGTGGCAAGTGTTTCATTTGTGACGAGAAAGGACATCTAGCAAAAGACTGTGTCCGCAGAAGAAGACGAAGCAGTTTCCAAACAGTGGCAACTCTTCAATCAATAAGGGAAACAAGTCTGCTCAGCTTGCAGAAAACGAAGAAAATAGCGAAATCGATAATGGTAATGCGTTGATTTCAAATTCATCAAGTATTACAAGAAATTCAGATTGGATTATCGACTCCGGTGCAACGCAGCACATGACTTACGATTTGGAAGGCTTATGCAATTACGTAGAATTTAAGCAACCGTGTGTAGTAAACCTTGGAGATAACCGCTCTATTTTAGCGTATGGCAAAGGAACTTATAAGGTAAAAGCTATTCTTGGCGACGGAAACAAAAACATGCGTCTGTTTGTTTGTCTTGCACTTGCTTGCCACGCGTGGCGCCTCAAAAGTCAATGACGTTCAAAAATTTCGCTTCCATTTTCAATATCTCTGGATTATCTGGGTATAAAAAGTACTGCTCATTTACACACAGATGCTTTGAACTCCAAATTCATACTAACTAGATGTTTAATTAAAAAAAGTTCTATAAACGCTGGTAATAACAGTCTGTCGGACTTATGTGCAATCGTTTTCTCAAGCTTTACCGAACATTTTTATAACGAGATGGCTCATTGCATTTAGATATTATTTATTGAAGACTGAAGGAAAGGAATTCTTATATTTTGAATAGCGATATTTGAATATGTGATATTTAAAGGGAGAAAACGAGTGCATATAAATATAAAGTACATACGTGTAGTTAGATATGTAAAATAGCAAATCAATAACAGCAAGAAAACGTTTATGAACATTCAATAAACAATTCATTTAATCAAATACATACTTTCAGTACATTAGATGTTTGTTCTAAAAGAATGCCTCCACACTTTGATGTTTTGCATACGAAACTGCTCACTGACTTTTGACCTGTTTTATTGAATTATCACTACTTGACATAACAACCTTTGTTTTCTCTTACGTAATAACACATTCGTTAAATACCAGCAACAATTCTCTTGTCTATAAATTCATCTTTTTCTCTCAGTACACGTGAAATACTGTATCATAGCTTGCTCCACTTAAATCACGTAAAAAACCATGGATATCATAGGTTGGTTCATTTTAACAATGTATACAACTATGGATATCATAGGTTGCTCCACCACACCCTATACTACCATGGATATCACTGGTTGTTACACTTAAACCATGTATACAACTGTGGATATCATAGGTTGCTCCACCAAATCATGTAATACCATGGATATCACTGGTTGTTACACTTAAACCATGTATACAACTGTGGATATCATAGGTTGCTCCACCAAATCATGTAATACCATGGATATCACTGGTTGTTACACTTAAACCATGTATACAACTGTGGATATCATAGGTTGCTCCACCAAATCATGTAATACCATGGATATCACAGGTTGCTCCAACGTACTTGGAACGAACCACTGAACTTGGAAATCAGGAAAGCTTTAGTTTCTTTGCTTGGCTAGCATCCTCTTCTTCGTCATCTTCATTTTCTTCTTCAACAAGAATTGTTCGAGGTTGCGTTCTAATGAGACAAGAAAATTTTCCAGCAAAGTTTACACCTAATCATGAAGACATACAAAACAAAGTGGGGATATACGTACTTTGCATATGCGGGACTGACCCAAAAAGGATTCTCAGCAGCTTCCTGTAACAAATATACAACTGGACATTAATAACAGAGAAAGATAGATTGAGTTGATGGGAAAGGAGTGAGTTCTAAGAGATAGTTTGGTAAATTGTAGTGTTGTTTTACCTTAGCATGTCGAAGTATAGACTCGCGAGGATTAGAATCATCGAGATTTTTTACAGCTAAATTCTTTGAAACAAACTGTGACAAACTGAGACCAGACGCAACGCGACCACCCTTTCCTAAAAATGGAACATACATAAATATCAAAAAGAGGCAGAATCTTTTTATTTTGTGAAGTTGCGAATGATGGTGGATTAGAGACCTGCACCAGCCAGAGGTGTTTCAGGTTTTCTTGATTTTACTGGATCAGCGCGTTGCTTATCTTTCACTTTCTTCATGGTAGCACCACCTTGATTTTGACGAAACATTGGTAGGGCATGCGCTGTAATGATATGAATGTTCATGGAAAATAATTAATGAAATTTACACTCTTACAACATCGATAAACACAGTCATCACTCTTCACTCGAGTCTCTTACGAGTAATTATTCTTGGTGGAAGTATCATTTCGCGACTTTCACTTTTCTTCTTGGCTTTAGATATGCAAGTAATTGCACCTCTGAAAGTTGCAAAAAAAACCAACATATGAAATATCTATTTTTTTCTCAGTTTTTGAACAGAGATTATCGTACCTTCTGCTTTTTTGAGGATCAAAGAAAACTTTTATCTCTCCATTGCCACAACCGACGAATAATTGGTTGATTTTTGGATGCCATAGACAATTGACGACACTCTGAAAACACACCGACAAAAATAAAAACAAAAGTTTTATGCAAAACAAATGATAAAATATTCTTACAGAATCTGCTACTGAAAATTCCATGACTTTGTTGAAGGTGGATTTTTCAAAAAATACCAATTTTCCTTCTCCCTAAACACAATGGAAATTGTTATGTGGTTATGATTATTGGAGACACGGTCAAAAACATATCCGATAAACACCTGTCCCTTTTTCACGGAGGTGCCAGTACCAATAAGTTTCTCGTCAGGACTATAGAAACAACTAGTTCTACAAAATACAATAAAGATCTTTTTATTTAAACATTTTGCAAAATTATGTTGTCATCACAAAAGATTCAGCGTCAGCAACATTATTTCAGCCAAAACAAAAGAAAGAAAATGTTGGCTATCACCACTCTTACTAAATAAATACCAAATTTAAATTGGTTCTTTCTGACTGTTAGCCTCTTCGTGAAAATCTTTTTCATGTAATATACGTAGAGTAACTAATTCAATTATATTTATGTTGTTTTACAAAATTACTTTTACTCATTGGGAACATACGTCAAAAATGCATTTGGAAGATTCAGCGCAACATTTACTGGCTTTTTGTAACTGCGAAGATCCCAAAGTTTCATTGAGTCATCTCCTGAAATAAAGCTATACATGTGACCAAAGCAGGTTACAAGTCTTCATCTATAAGGTTATTAATAATGGACAAACCTCCTCTAGACACAAATGTTTGGTTGTCATAAGAGAATTTCAGACATGAAATGTCACTGCCATTTGCATGACAGTTTTTCATCAAAAATGTGGGATGAACCTAAAAGAAATCGTCATGAATGGAAAGTTCATTTTTACTCAATCATACAGCATGGATAATCTAAACTTACAAAAGCCTTTCGAGTGTCCCATACATGAATTGTTCCATTCTAAGAGAATTAATAAATTAAATGAAAATGCAAAACATCTTGCCATGCAAAAAAATTTTGAGTTACCTGAACACCAGCAATGATATATTTTGCATCTTTACTGTAAGCACAATGTGTTGGTATGGCTTTCTTCCCTAAAATATGTTTTAAAAATCATATTGTAGAACGATGTAGAAAAGGGATTATTTATAACTATTTAAATTTTAAAAGATATGCAACTAAAATGTAAGTTGGATGTGATATTACCTTGAGCACTTTTTGTTTTTAGTACATTAATATTCTTTTTCGGTGTGTTAACATCCCACAGTCGTACAGTACTACAAAAAATGATGAATAACAATGGTTGATATGAAGTGTTGCGGCTTTAAAGTAAATTGTTTGAACCCGGGAGTATCGTTACATGTTTGTAAATGTAGATCGTCCAGGTTGGTATAGTCCTGAGAAGGACTGTGTTTTTTTTTGACTCTGAAGATGACTACCGCTAAGGTTGTCAAAACATCAGTCAACAACAACAAAAACAGTCCTTCTCAGGACTATACCAACCTGGACGATCCATTACACTTTGTCAGCATAGCCATCATCAAACACAACACATCATCAAACACAACACATCATCAAACACAACACATCATCAAACACACATCATCAAACACAACACATCATCAAACACAACACATCATCAAACACAACACATCATCAAACACAACACATCATCAAACACACATCATCAAACACAACACATCATCAAACACAACACATCATCAAACACAACACATCATCAAACACAACACATCATCAAACACAACACATCATCAAACACAACACATCATCAAACACACACATCATCAAACACAACATCATCAAACACAACACATCATCAAACACAACACATCATCAAACACAACACATCATCAAACACAACACATCATCAAACACAACACATCATCAAACACAACACATCATCAAACACACATCATCAAACACAAACATCATCAAACACAACACATCATCAAACACAACACATCATCAAACACAACACATCATCAAACACAACACATCATCAAACACAACACATCATCAAACACAACACATCATCAAACACAACACATCATCAAACACAACACATCATCAAACACAACACATCATCAAACACAACACATCATCAAACACAACACATCATCAAACAAACATCATCAAACACAAACACATCATCAAACACAACACATCATCAAACACAACACATCATAAAACACAACACATCATCAAACACAACACATCATAAAACACAACACATCATCAAACACAACACATCATCAAACACAACACATCATCAAACACAACACATCATCAAACACAACACATCATAAAACACAACACATCATCAAACACAACACATCATCAAACACAACACATCATCAAACACAACACATCATCAAACACAACACATCATAAAACACAAACACATCATCAAACTCAAACACATCATCAAACACAAACCCATCATCTCCACATGTCATAAATTTTTCACGATCTTTAGGATGCCAGCATCCACAGTTCAACATGGAGACATGACCCTTGAAAATACAAAATCATGCTAAAAAGATTGCAAAGGATATTCAAAATCATGACAAAAACACACTTTTGTCTTTGCCATATCAAACAAATATTGATCTCCTTTTATGCACTCCATTGCTTCAAAGCCGTCACGATCCAAAATCTTTGCCTGAGCATTTCCCGAACACACAAGAATTGTATCACCACTGGAACTGTACTCCAAAGAACGAATTTGATGGCAGCCACATGGTTGAATATTTCTGAATGCTGACATTGATGTACCCATTGCATTAAAGTCCCAAAACTTAATCTGTAAATGAGTTGAGTTGAAATACAACATACATGTAGCAGCTTTATTAATGAACACCCACTCACATCATAGTCATGTCCTCCAGATATCAACCTAGCTCCACTTGTATCCAAAGATAATGCTGATACCTATCAAAAAATATTTAATGACCTTACTCATGCAAAATTTCCCAAACAACTAGTGGGAAATTCCTCTTTAAATCAAAAATAAACACTTGCCGTCTTTGCACCATGTCCCAAAGAGATTTCATGGCTGCATGGAACAATTGACGCTATGCCCTTTGGAAAGGGAAAGCACAAAACTTAGCACAAGTATATAATGCAACATAATTATGAAAAGGTTTTTCATACATCCTCAGCATCATCCTCCAAATTGTCTTCATCATCACTGTCGTCATCTTTGGCTTTTTCAATCTGACTGACCTAACATCAATGTGAAAAGACTGAATCTTCCAACACTCAAAGTTTTTTAAAAAAATGCAGTAGTACACATGAAATAGCAGAATATTCATACTCTAATATTATCACTTGGAGTTTCATTACATGAAGGCATAGTAACATACAGAGTTTCATCATCAGCATCTACATCTAAATCATCTAAAAAGTTATTTAACAATCAATGAGTAATTTTTCCAATATAGTTCATCATAATCTGCATTCATTATACCTCTGATTTTTCTCTTTTCTTCATATGCATCTGCTACCCTTCTCTTAGCTACAGCCATCATTTCATTGATGTCAAATTGCCTAGCTTTCTTCCCTAAGAAAGAAATATGGTTATGACATTACTGCCAAGTCTTGCACTTGAAACAAGTGTGAAAAGAGGGATAAAATAAGGTAAACAAATGGACTATAAAACCATTTAATAAACATTATAACAAATTCCTACCAAAGCCAGAGAAACCCATCAATGAAGACATACTATCTTTTTTTTCATCATCTTAGAAATAAAATGCAATGCATGAAACAAGTATTGAAAATAACCATCTACAGCTAAAGTAACAAAATGATGATAAGAGGGTTGATGAACCTGGCAATGTATGTGAAGATAATCCCTCCTGGAAGCTGGAGTTATCAGTTTTCTTTGTGCTTTTTGTTTCTACATTTAATCATGGAGAAAACCATAATGGATCATCATTCAAAACCTGCCGTACGTAAAGTATCACAAAAACAGTGGAAGAATTCATGGACAAACTAGTATACACAGAACGTACCTCTCATTAGCTTCATTTCTTCGAGATCATCTTGCTCCATAGTTAAAATTTACGGAAGTTTTTTTATGAACTTTATAGGTGTAAACCATTGAGTTCTATAAGACCTGGAGGGGAAACGTCAACAAAATTACTATAAATTATTATCGCGCGGCCGCGTGGTCAAAAACATGGCGGATTTTGGTTGTCAAAGTCAGCGGAAAGACGCGGGCTCATGAAATGAAATTTTTTTCGCCCACCCGGATTTGACAACCACAATTGCGATTATATAAAATATCAATGCAAAGCACAAAAACTTTAGAAATTTTATCTTTAAAACATGCTGCAAACTTGTTTGGTATACGGATGCTGAAGAAATGCCAGAAAAGGAAACATTTCATGACACCGTTTTACCTCATTTAAATGTGTGTGTCTATTTCACAAAAACCTGAAGCATTATTTTCAATATTTTATGCTTACGGTATCGTGGTTGTCATTATTATGAACAGTAACAGAGATCCGTTTCGGGAGGGAGCGAATGTTAAAAATTTTTCTCAAAGTGGAAGTTTTGACAACCAAAATCCGCCATTACCGCCATGTTTTTGACCACGGGGTCCAGGCCCCTTTGCCCCTCCAGGTCTTTTAGAGCTCAATGGTGTAAACTGTCTCTTGGGGTCTAGGAGACAATAAGTTACCTAGGGGGTGGGGGTGGGGGTGAGGTGAAGTGGTATTGTTACTTGTGTTGAGGTGTTCATGTATTTTTGCGATCACAAATAATAGTAGGGTTTTGGTCAATAACTCTCAAAAATGTACACAAAACACTAAAATAAAATAACATATTTAATAAAGTTATATTTATAAAAGGTACCATCACAATATATTTCTGACCAATAACAGAAGTGGTTATTTTACATCACAACCAAGGTCAACTTGGTTAATTAAACCTGGCAGTTCAACTTTAATAAATATATACTAACACTATTGCTCAAAACCAGGCTCGTTTACTCTTTTTGCTCTTACTCAGGCTTTTGATGAATACATTCAAATTAATGAATTGTATAAACACAGTATTGGCTAGGCCATTAACCATGAATCCCAATAACCAAATATTCAAACACCTATCACAGCAATCATTGAATCATGAACCCATGCAATGCATCTATATTTCATGTCCAACATTGCCAAAATTAATCTCTTGTTTTGAAAGCCTTGAATTTGAATTCAACTATTTCATGAATAAGTAGAGAAGCTCTTCTTGCAAGACTTAACTTTGGGCAGTAAATATACCCATTATTTACATACATACATGTATTATGAAGCCAAGAATGAATCTATAATATTAACAATATCCAATGTCACTCAAAAGAATAGATTGCCTTTGACTTTGAGAGCTAGCATTCATAAAAAAACTGCATGGTATGTTAAGCTGATGATTTTTACCTCGCTACATTATTGATGACCAATCAAACTCATCCTCTTCCTCATCATCTATGAAATTTCGCTGTGACATATTGTAATTTGGTGGTGTTACACGAATTCCTGGAACACTAGTAGCAGAATGATAAGATCCGCCACTTGTTCCAACACTACTTGAGCTAACAAAACTCCCTGTTGATAAATGTGGACGACTACTTGGCGAAATATTTAAGTAATTCCCTTGAGTAAAACTACTGCCAGAATGGCTACTTAAACTACTGTTACTTGAGAATGATTGATTAGAAGTGGGAATGTTCCGATGGACTCCTTGGCTATTAAGGAGTTGATTAAATGATTGAGTTAGCTCTTGCCATTGCATGGGATCAACACCAAATGAGCTGGCATCCAATCCTTGCATACTTTCCATCACAGATTGCATTTGCCCCCAATCAAGATTATGCCAGTCGCCAGAGTTCATACTTTCCAGCAATGTTTCAAGGTTTTGTACAAGACTTAAAGATTGTTGACTGGTGCTTGTCATTCCAAGACTTGGATTATTGCCCATTATTGGATTTGATTGGGAAGTTGAGCCTTAGTTAAAGAAATTCATTACATTTGCATAATGCAGACAAAAAAATTGTTTCGTGTGAAATGCATGATTCTAACTATATATGAGTATGAACATACAAATGCTCTACTTTTGAGAACAAATAATAGTAAGTTAAAAAATCGATTTACTATGTTAATAAAATGATAATTTACAGTTGAATCATTGATTTACATAAGATAGCTATCTATAACAAAAATTGTCACCATATGAATGATTTATACAAATGATTGAGAACATACCTCCATAATTTGAATTATTGGCAAGACCTGCATCAAACATGGACCGATACAAACTACGAAAGGATGCACTTAAGTCTTGAAGACTTATTTCAGGTACAACTTTAGTAGGAGGTTCTCCAGTGTTGTTGTTGCTGAATGGTACAACTCCATGTTGAGTATGAGGAGAGATATGTGTTGATGTAACAGGTGAGCTGCTATATGGGGACTGAGAAGGATGTAGCGGACCTCCTGGGATAGGGGATGCATGTATAGGGGATAAGTCAGGTGACATACCACCAGGTGAATATTGGACTTCATCATCACTATACAAAAATGTCTGTAAGGGAGAGTTGAGAGCATTAGTCAGAGGTTAAAAATTAAATGGTGTTAATCAATTAATTTATCATCTATGAGACTATGTCTTCTTTCAAAATATAAGACATATACATCAAATATACACATTTCAAAAAAAAAGTAGACAAAAAAATTTGATCTCTTCAATATCATCACAATATTGGTCAAACCTCATTTATTCCCTCTAAAAAAACAACTATAAAGTTTGCAGGAATACCAGCAAACAAGACAGATTTCCAAAGTGGAAAGAGTGTTTTTAGCAAAAAATCCCCCAAAAAATGCTTATGAAAAGCAATTTTGAAAAGCAATTTTGAAAAGCAATGAAAAGCAATTTATGAAAAGCAATTTTGATATTTAACACTGAAAATATCGGCACTCCATTGACATCAAATTAACTGAAATATATTTTTCTTTCGGTTCAAAGCAAATGGACCGTAAAACGTTAAATAAAAACGGAAAATGACACATAATTTGATGAAAAAATGTCGCAGGAAAACAACGCTTACTTAAATACTTACAAACAATTTTTCAATGATAGGATGTTGTTAAAATTTTAAAGTCAAATGTTAAGAACAGGTATTTACAAAACGACATCGAAATGATGATTAAAAATGAATTAAAATCCAACGCAAAACTTAAAGTCAAATCTAAGCAACAATACACCGCCAACATCATTGTAAGTGTTTCCAATATTGATATTGTTAATCAACAAAATAAACTTACTCCGTTTGGACCACGTTTTCTACTAGATCGCAACTGCGATATGTCGTCAGAAGGACTTTGTTCTATCGCCCAATATGACCCCTTAAAACGTTTAACAAATAAATTATTGTACAAAAATTGCACATAAATTGTACATAAAGGAAGGTCATAAGAGATGAGTTAGATGACTAATTTACTAAGAACTCGGTATCACGATTTACGAAGTAAGTCGTAGGTTTAAAACAAAAAAAAACTCAAGCATAGTCAGGAGAATTATAAAACAAGCCTTCGAATGGAAATATATGTCAATAGACTTTCAACAATATTAGCAATAATTTAAGTATGGTGTCTAACAAAAACGAGTACGTACTTTGCCTGGATCATCTCTACTTCTCGCAACTTTACGGAAACACTTATTTAGGCTGAGATTATGTCTTATAGAATTCTAAAAAAAAGTAAACACATGATTGAACGAGAAAAAAACAAAAATAATGACACAGTCGCGATCGTCTTTCATGATAATATACTTCACTGCACAAGACTTATTTGTAATATTGTATCATGCAAGAATTATTAATCAAAAACTCCTACCTTCCAACCACTTCCAGCGTCTCTATAATAAGGGAAATTGTCACAGATCCACTGATATATTTCACTTAAGGTCATTTTCTTACTTTCTGAACTGTTTATCGCGAATGTTATAAGATTAGCGTATGAATACGGCGGCTTGTTCTCTCTCAACTGATGGTCGTGACCATCATGGTCAGGTAATGTCGAGTAGGGATTCACAGGTGAAACGGGGCTTTTTCGCAACGAGTTTTTATTAACACCATTAGCAATATTATCGCAACCATTTGCGTTGGCCATCGCTCCACCAACGGTTAACTTGGGCAACCAATCCATAGCAGTTAAACTACTGTTTAAGTCCGCCATCTTACTGTGGCGTCTCTATATGGCCCTTGCCAACCCCGACATAGCAGGGGGCGAAACATGAATTCATAATGAGCTTTTAGGCAATGTTTCAAGTGGCCTTTAACACAAAAACAGTTTCTTTATGTTCTGAAAGCTCTCAGTGTTTTGGAAAGGAAAATGTTAAATGAAAAATTTTTGTCAATTTCTTTTTAAAACGTTCTTCTTTACATGATGGAGAAAAAAATGCTCATGTCTTGGTAAATATAGTCTGAATGCAAAATAAAACATTTGTTGCAACAATTTTGGAATACTTTTTTCTATGATTGAAGAAAAAGGTTCTGTCATTATCTCATATCAAACGAGTGGCAAATCGGACGGAAATTGTTAAATCACCAGCAAAACGTCAAATTTTCGTGCAAAATTGCACGTTGTTTTGCATTAAAATGATCCAACTATAAGCGCAATATTTTGAGCTGTCTTGAATGAAATTTTTGTAGAACAATTATTTGCTTTCTTGATACTAATAGATAGAAAGAAGATTAAAATACTCTTTTAATGTCTTATTAATGACACAAGTTTGGTATTCAAAGACGCAGAAATCAATAGCAATCCAATAGACCTAATGCAGTGACAAAGCAGTCAGCCGGAGACTATTTTATTAAATGAATGTCATCATTTCACACTGCAAATGCATGCACGCAAAATTCAGTTAACACACCCTTTACAGTATTTGAAATCTTCATCAAAATTCTTGTATTTTAGGGGTAGAGGTGCATTTCATAGCGTCTTTATATATTTTTTTAAATTTGAATTATGCGCGTACATCAGCCAAATCTGTCCACAATGTACAATACACAAAATTATGATGTCATATCTTACTTTATGGCAGCAAACCAAACTAAAAAACAATAAAGAAAAGTTAAAAGGAGTAAACCATTTGTATTTTGTATGCACTCTGATCGATTTCCCACAAAAAAATTTTGTCACCTAGTTGTATGTTGGCTGGTGTCAAAAAGGTTGCTAAAAAATTGGAGTGAATCCCGCAAACCCCATTTACAGTGAAAATTGTGATCCAGCCTTGTGTTAGTCACAAACGTTAAATATCATCATAAATATTAAAATTTGTTCGATAGTTTTGTAATTGTTTAAGTACACAAGTTGACTTATTTTCCATCAACGCTTTGGCGTCATGTAGTTAGTGCTTTAAACGGTGATTGTTCAAATCATGGATAATTCATCTATACTTTGACAACTTACCAACTACAGCAGCGATAATAACGACAACAACCACCCAAAGTATAACACACATCTATATAAAATAAAGAATTACCACCGATCTCGAATTATTTCTTTGAAACAATAAAAGTATAGTTTATTACATACAATATGCATTCACAAAGAGTGATATTATTCCTAAAGTAAAATCTTCATAAATTAGTTGGCATACTTAATAAGACAGTGAATTGTGGATAGAATTTTAAAAATTTTCACCTTCTTATTTTTCCACCACATTTTACGAGCGATACCAGTAGCGTTTTTTTTAAACATTGCTGCATCTTCCTTTATGTTACCTATGTAAAATTGGCACACATCTTGTCTCTAAAAGGCTTCTCTTATTGACGAAAAAAAACATTGGGAAAAACAATATTATTTTATCCAAAGAAAAATGCAAAATAAAATTAGCTAGCTAGAGAAGTGCTGACTTATCTTTATCACCTCACTTATACTACCCAACTTCTTTCATATTTTACATATTTTACTCCTTCCATTCTTCTATCTCACCCCCCGCCCTTTCTCTATTTCTCTTGTTCACTAGACCTCATTTTACTTTATTCTTCCCTTGGCTCTCATGTCTCTAACTAAACACCACTTACACGATCGTTTTTCCAATTCCTCGAGTTTTTCATCTCTTGCAATAAGTGCGTTTGCATTATCTCTCATAATAGCAATAGCCTGTACATAAATGTTCATAAGTGTACACAAGTGAGAAAATATAGCAATGGGAACTTAGCACAAATCACGGAGGAAGGTGAACAGCCAGAGCATCTTTATTAATTTCCTGTGTTAAAGTGCTTTGACTTTGAATAATTAACACAAGTGACGTTTGTCTGACGTATGACACAGTTATTGTCCATACGCTTTTAATGTTTATTCCATGACCCACCTTCTAATGTTCAAGTATTACACTACTTTCAACACATCGTAAAATCCAATCATAATTATACACACCTCTTCTGTTTCCTTCTGTGTCTCCAACAGTCTAGTTTTCTCCCTGATAATTATATTGATGAATAGTTACACATCTTGCTAAAGAAGCTATCAACCAACAATTACTTAGCACACGTTGAGATAATGTACTTATTAACAGTCTTTTGGTATTGAATTTAAAAGCCATGCAGTGTCATACAATAGAGCTGATTTAGACAAGTCTGGCCGGGGAAATTAAAGCCTAGAATATGTTGAATCTAGGGTTAAGTTGCCTTGTGAATTATTTCTTGTATATTTTCTATAAGAAATTTCTCGTTCATTGAATTGAAATTTTTCATTTATTAAAAAAACTATATAAGCACACTGTTAATATCATCTCCGATGTGTGATACTATCGTTAACTACAGTGACCACTCACATTTTTGTAAACGACACCATAATAATAGTTTGAAACATAAAAAAGCATTAAAAGAAGTTGGTAATGACGAAGATAGTAAACAATAAACCATGTAGTTTTGTCAACATAGAAGCCATCAGACATGGCGCATCCCCATGAATAAACACAGCTTACGCTGCATTGTGACAATACTCAACATTACATGTGTTAACATCGGTTAAAATAAATGAATACAGCCTTCTTATACATAAACGATCCTATAACAGTCTACTTACATTATAAACAACTGAAGAGTCAACAGTCAAGTCATATACTACTTGTTGAGCCACTTGTTAGCCAGTGATTAAAGTAATACGCATGAAAGGTTGCAAAATTATGCGAAACGTGAAGTTGAAGTACATTTTTCTGACAAGAGATGGTAACTAAGTGATATGTGAATGAAAGCCAGTCCTGGTAAAATGTTTGTACTGTACATAGTTGATGTCACTGGTGCAATTGCGAGATACTAATATTTAACGTTATGTCTTAAGCAATTGGTAGTGATGACGCTTTTCACCATTTAGTGAAATGTTATTTCTTCTATTTTGGAAGATAGCCATACACAATGTGCTTAAAAAATTGCAACAGAGATATGTAATCTTAATGCTACACAACAAAATAACATTCACACAATATGGCATATCACCAACACAGTAACTATTATCAATAACCAAAGACGATGTTGCATCCAAAGAGAGGGATGCAACCTAAAAGGAGGGTGCATCTAAAGACGGGGATGCAACCAAAGAGGAGGGATGCATTAAAAAAGGAGGATGCATTAAAAGAGGAGGGTGCATCCAAAGAGGAGGCTGCGTCCAAAGAGGAGGCTGCGTCCAAAGAGGAGGGTGCGTCTAAAGAGGAGGGTGCGTTCAAAGAGGAGGGTGCATCCGAAGAGGAGGGTGCGTCCAAAGAGGAGGGTGCGTTCAAAGAGGAGGGTGCATCCAAAGAGAAGGGTGCGTCCAAAAATGAGAGTGCATCAAAAGAAGACGTGTAGAAGGTGAGCACCCCTTCCAGAGCTTGGATATTTCAACGTTTCCAAATGACGCACCCTCGCATGAATGAATTCGCGATTCGCTAGTCTACGGAGTATTAATGATCGCCACAATTCGTTATAATAGTTGCATATTGTTACGTTATGATAATTTATGCTTTTTAACTAAGTCAATGGAAGAGGGAGACGTTTGTCAACCAGAAAATTGAGCTGTACTTGCACCATTGTTTTGTATGAACTTTTCATGCACGGGGATAGTCATACAAGGATATAAATCTCATGGCATCACAACACATTTAAGCCATTAACGTAATTTCTGATTATTGTCATGTTTAATTAGTATGCAAGGAAATAATTAAATAAGTTTATTCGTACACAAGATACATGTAAGCAAAAATTTTTCGTAAGTATTCTTTGAATTTTTGAATGGAGTTTTCATACACAAAATGCATTTAATAAAGAGCCAATCCAATGTCAAACATAAAGTCTAGGCAAAAATCCTAAAGTTAATTCAGTTTTGTTTCATAATAAATGATCTTTTTCCTCCTACAATTTGTCATCATTTACAAACACGAAATGTTTGATGATTTTAAACCTACCATATTATCTAGATGTTGACAAGAATGGAGCATAATTAATACAAGTTGATACTAATGGCAAACTATTACATTGACAATAATAAATATTCAACAGAATGTAGTCTTAACATTTCCATTTCATTATTACAGTTGATATATGGTAATATTTTCTAATACCAAAATGAAAAGCAATGGTGTACAAATTTTCTGGTAGTAACTATCACTGTGTAGTAGCTACCCAAACTAAAAAAAAAACATTTCATGAAGAGACAATAGTAAATACACAATATAAGACAAAAGAATACAGTAGACAACAAAGGAAACCAAATAGAATTTGACAAACATTTTTATCAAGGTAGAGTCCTGTTCCAAACTCTTCAATCCTCTTTATTCATGTCCTGTCCAACTTAAAAATGCTTTGACCCTTGTGATTCACATCCCTATTTTCAGTATACTTCAACCACCTTATTCACATCCCTATTTTAGTGTACTTCAACCACCCTTATTCACATCCCATTTTTAGTGTACTTCAACCACCCTTATTCACATCCCTATTTTAGTATACTTCAACCACCCTTATTCACATCCCATTTTTAGTGTACTTCAACCACCCTTATTCACATCCCCTTTCTTAGTGTAATTCAACCACCCTTATTCACATCCCTATTTCAGTATACGTCAATCACCCTTATTCACATCCCTATTTTAGTGTACTTCAACCACCCTTATTCACATCCCTATTTTTAGTGTAATTCAACCACCCTTATTCACATCCCTATTTTTAGTGTAATTCAACCACCCTTATTCACATCCCCATTCTTCCACCTTATTCACATCCCTATTTTTAGTATTCCATTTCAATTCAACCTATTCCATCTGTAATTCAACCATATTCACATCCCTATTTTAGTGTAACACATCCCTTATTCCATCCCTAATTCACATCCCTATTTAGTGTTCCACCCTTATTCACATCCCTATTTTTTCCACTTATTCCATCCCTACATCACCCTTATTCACATCCCATCACCTTATTCACATCCCATTTTAGTGTAATTCAACCACCCTTATTCATCCCTATTTTAGTATACTTCAACCTTATTCCATCTCATTTTAGTGTACTTCAACTATCCTTATTCACATCCCATTTTAGTACTTCAACCACCCTTATTCACACATTTCCCATTTATTCCATCCCATTTTAATGTACTTCCTTATTCCATCCCTATTTTAGTATACTTCAACCACCCTTATTCCCATCTCATTTTAGTACTTCAACCATCCTTATTCACATCCCCTTATTCACATCCCCATTTTTAGTGTACTTCAACCACCCTTATTCACATCCCCATTTTTAGTGTACTTCAACCACCCTTATTCACATCCCTATTTTAGTATACTTCAACCACCCTTATTCACATCCCCATTTTTAGTGTACTTCAACCACCCTTATTCACATCCCCATTTTTAGTGTACTTCAACCACCCTTATTCACATCCCCATTTTTAGTGTACTTCAACCACCCTTATTCACATCCCCATTTTTAATGTACTTCATTCCACCTGATTCATGATTTCAATATAGAATTCTGCAAAAACTTACTGGCAATAACAGCAATAATGACAGGAACTACGACAATTAGAATAGCCCACATCTAAACAACAACACAATTACAGTTAACATGCAACAGAAACCCATAAGTACATACTACTAAAATCAAAAGCTTACTTTGCAGTTTTGCCACCACATCTTACGTTTCAGTCTGTGGGCATTTGTGTCAAATTGGGCAGCTCCAGCTTGAAGTTGATCTGAAAAACAATGTACAAATATAAAGTGAATAGAGACTGTAAAAATTATTTACTAACAGTGTAAAAAAGAGAATAATCTACTTTATAAAATCCAAATCTTACCAGCTCGATCATCAAGGTCTGAAAGTTTAGCATCTCTTTCTAAGATTTTATCAACATTCAATTTCATAATATCCACAACCTAATAACCAATTACCAATGAACTGATTTTTGTAAATGATTGTATGTTGTTAGTCATGAATGCAGAAGTTAGCTAAATGCAAATTCACATACAAAGAAAGAGAAATAAAAAGATGGTGATATATACAGTATCTCTCCCCCCTCCAGCACTCCATCTTAAATTGCTGTTAAATATCAGTAATCAAGTTTCCAATTATTACAATAAAGCATGGTTTTGCACACTCCAATCAGCCCTATGTTTTGGGAACACCAGAATACAACAAATGCAGAAAGCTGTTTAAAAGACTTTGAACAAAGTGAACAAACTGCTTACTCATTCAATTTATGCTTGAAATATGTGAAGAATGTAGGTGAATCGGGATTTTCAAAATCAAAGATTTTAATATAGCAACATACATAGGTAATTTATGAAATTGTGATACTCTAAACCAGATTGCCAGTCCTTAATGCATTATTTTGAACTTCAGAATGATTTAGTTAACAACAAAACCCCCAAAATTTCATAAATCTATATTGTATCATATATTTATCAGATCTATATCAGCAAGGAAAGTAACTTGAATAAGGTTGGCAATACTGATATTGGTGAGAAAGTCTGGTTGACTTAGCACATAGATACCAAGTCTCACGCTTTTGGCGTGAGACTCACGCTTTTCGACGCAATCTCACGCAACCACGCCATTCAGACAAAATATCACTCTTTCACAAAACTTCTACTGTTGAGAAAACAAAACATGTTGATTGAACCCTTATTTCAATTACGTTGATGAAAACCAAAGTAGGTCGATGAATTTTTATTATATGTTTTTGTTTAAATAAGAGATCATTGGTAATCAAGCTGCTGTAATTTTATTGAATAAATCAAGTAACGAGTCTGTTCGCATTTGGAAGAAACAAACATTCTGTTTTTGATACAAGATAATCTTAATATTAATTATAAAGTTTGCTCTGGCTACATCTCATTTTATGGTCACGGACAACATAACTTTTGGTGATAAACTTGATGGTTTAAAAACAACAAATGCTTGCCCAGAATAAAGGAAATTGCTTCTCTGCAACATAAATTTTTAAAAATTTTCTGGGGGGCATGCCCCCAGACCCCCTAGTCTAGAAGTTCGGCCATCCGAGCCTCACTATTGCCCCTTCGGGGTGATTACATTTCTCACTCCATACAAACCAAAAACCTTGGCATCTATGTTAGCATTGTAAAAAAACACATTCAATTTATGCATTTTTGGTGGCTAAACAGCCAATATTTTATGACAGGAAATATTTTATGACAGAAAACATGAAATGTGCCTTGTATTGAAATTTGACATTGTCACACTTCTATGAAGAAATGTGATAGGCCATATTAATGCAGTTTAAATATCAATAAATGTAAGTAAAAGTTCAGAGCCAATACTCGTATTCGGGAATGAATTGAGACGATCGTTTTCGTTTCAGTTACTCTTCGGAGGTAAAATATATTGACATGTGAGGTTAAAACAAACCTTATCAACTTGCTGCTGAGTCGGCTTTGATCTATCATTCGACCTAGAGATATAAATACAAGAATATAAGTTAGAAAGGCAGAGGAAAATGGCAGCACACACAATTTAAATAACTCAGTAATGGCATAAAACAATTAAACAATTTTGTGCCTAATGCTGCTTTTATTTCGGTTCTCTAACAACTTTAATGAAACTCATGGCATTTAGCGTTTCCTTACATCTTTATGCTTTGTCTCGTGGTCTTTGACGGAAGAAATATCAGATTTAATAAGAAATTCTTGACAAATTGTAGATTGTACCCTCCTAAATAACAAATACGTCATAAGTCTTTGGTAAACATAGAATTATTACGTTTTAATACGTAATATACGGTTGCCCACAAGTGCAATACATAAAATAATGAATTCAAAGCAACATCTATGTTTCAGATGCAATTTTTAACATTACAAAACAAAATTAATGTTGCCAAAGCGCACTTAAGTATTGAAATCTCAATTCAAAGTCCGCCAATGCAAAACAGAAGAGTCAAAACGAACTTATTAAAATGTTTCAGTGCAAAATATTTGTTTAACAATGCGAAATGATTATCGCGCACCAAAGCTAATGCAGGCTCATTCAGAATCAGCAAGTGTGTTTTGATTTTAAATGCTGTTATGTTTTGCTGTAAATGTGGCTATAAACTTGAAAAAACGTTCTTGTTTTGTCCAAGTTACGGCACCAAGAAGCAGGTAGAAGACCTTGAATCTTCTACTTCCTCGTGTCTATCTAAAGACTTAAACAACGAAAGCAACTTGAAGAGAAACAAAACAAAGAGCCCAGAGGGAAAATTCACAATTTTTTTACCTACAGAAATGAAAAGGAGGCTGAGCGTCGCTCATACTTTGAGCCGAAATTGAAGAAAAGAAAAGTTTGCTCAAAAAGAGAAAAAGATCAAGAGGTTTTGATCAATGTTGGGATTATGGAGTTCGAACCATGCGGTTCAGGCAGTCTCAGAAAAGTGTTCGGAAGAAAGTGTCAACGACGAAGGGGGAAGACTATGACCGGTCATTTGATCGATATCGCGGTTATGTATTGGTATATGCTGACGGAAAAATTACGCGCACTATTGCAGGTACCGATATCGAGTTTTCTCTGAAGAAATAAAAGGAAGGCCTTGGCAAAGCTTATTCAAGGATAACACTTTATTTGGCTCCAGTCTTGGAAGCCAATGAAGCGAAAGAAAAGGAAGTTCTTTTGGAAAATGAAGATGAATTCAGTAATCTAACCAACGATGAAGCTAGAATTGTGGAAAATAATTCTTTTACAGATGAGTATGATGAAGGAGATAGATCAACTACCATTAAAACTGATGATGACATGAGAGATGGAAATAATGAGAATGTTCAACTGAGCAGTCCAGTGTTGGATGTTGATGAGCAAACATTGCTATATCAGATTGAAGATTTCATGTGAGTTTGAAAGTTACTGTTCCACATACGATGCTGAAATAAAGTGTTTGCCCTGAGCCAACTTGCAGGACATAGTCATACTACATGTTGATATGCATGCACATAATGCATGTTGTTTCTTATATAATTTAGTCCAATTGGCTACAATGAGAATAGTGCTGTCGAAAAAGCTCTCAGGCTCAGCTTAAACCGCATTATGGATAACAAAAGTGATGTGTTGACCCAACAATGTCCGTCAATGATTTACAAGAGAAGATAAAGCAACATACAAAGATTAAAGTTCAAGGTCCAGAGAGAAATATTGTTGTAAGTCGTCTGAGTATTTGGCAAACAGCCATGCCTTATTTCAAAAGAAGTGGCTTCTTGTCTTCACATGGTTTGTTGTGTTCATTTATTATTAAAGAAGAAACAAAACAACATATATTTAATATGAAAACCCACTTACTTCCAACTACATTCTTTCCACTGGGTAAAGCTACCAACTCCCACGTTTTATTCTCCATCAGTGAAATATACTCAGCATCAGTGGCTTCAATCTATTCCTTTTTCTGATCACATGACCATGCTTCATTAATGTTCCTGGGTTCATTAATATCTGCAGTGAGATCATCTGCAACATATACCTCTTCATCGAATCTAACGGGGGTCTTCGTTCTCTTCGCAAATTCAGATTCTCAACTTGTTGCATAAAAGTTTCTTCATAAATTTCTCCCACTGGATTATTAGGTTCAGGATGAAAAATATTATCTTCTCTTACAGCGAGATCATCATTTTCCACATTACCATCATCAGTTTGCATAAGAGGTGTCTGCATATAAATGTATTAGCAGTGTTTGAATTTTTATTGTCAAAGTTGTAAAACTTCCATTCATCAAAAATTAAATCTTGGCTCTTGATGAATGACGTTGTTTCTGGATTCTACAATTTGAATCCTTTTGTACCTTCAGGATAACCCATAAATATGCATTTCGACGATTTAGTGTCTAATTTCTTCCGTTTGATATTAGGAATATGGGCATAAGCTAAGCAACCAAATACCTTCATGCTTGACACATCTGGCTTATATCCAAAGAATCATTCAAATGGTGTTACCTCTTTCACAGCAGTAGTAGGACTTCGGTTTCTTAAATAGGTTGCTGTACTCACGTTCTTTGGATAGGGAGTCCCATAATATATGATTCACACACAGACTTGATTTCATCTTCTTGAAAATTATTCATTCCTTTAACCATATTACCTTTAGCAAGTTTTGAAATGTTATCATATCCCAAATGCCCAAACCAACAATGCCATAATTCTCCCTGAGACATTTTCTTTGCAACATTGACTTATTCATCATCGATAGCTTTTAACACAAATAATTTTCCACATATCTCACCTTTTGCCAATAACTTTCCATTTCTTGAGATTGCGCATTCATCTCCTTGGAACTTTATTGAGGCACCCAATCTTGTCATTGCTCTTACAGATAACAAGTTTTTTCCTAATTCTGGAAGATACAGTACTTCACAAAGACTAATATTTTGGGTACGACCATTGATATCTGCCAAAATATTGTATGATTTACGATGCATGGTTTCTTGAAATCCACATAATCATATAGACAGTTCTTTTGGTATGTCATGTGCTGAGTAGCCCCAGAGTCTACAATCCAGTGGACATTATCTCCACAGTCGGATGTAATTAAAGCTTCCTAATCAAGATCAGCTTCATCTTTCTCTGCACAATGGACGGATCCTTATTTTAATCACCATGTTGTTGCTTACTCCCTCTTCTATAACGTTCTGGACAACTACCGTGAAATTGGCACCACATTGGGCACAACATTCAACACAACACTCATCACAACATTCAACACCACATTCAACTAAAATTTATCATTCAAAATGATAAATCGAAAAATCGTCTTTAAAACACGTTTTCCATCAAATAAAACAGTAAAAAACAATTCTTAACTGTTTATTATTATTTTACTGTCCTTAACCATCACAAAAAATGTATAAAAGTCAAGAAATTGAAGAAAACACTAAGATTTATATTACAGTGTACTTTCCATTTCTCTTAATTAGCGTATAACTTAAAAACTACACGGTAGAATTTTTTTAAACTTGGCCATATTGTAGATATTTTTATTGTCTATAACATATCCAAAATCTGGAGAGTGCACAAAAAAATAAGTTGTAGAAAATCATCGGCAAAGTCGGATGACACGAATGCGCGTAATATATTCTTGCATATTTAAGTTAAGAATTCCGGTTCTTTAATAAACAAAGCCTTGTAAATAAAAAACTACACGGTAGAATTTTTTTAAACTTGGCCATAATGTAGATATTCTTATTGTCTATAACATATCGAAAATCTGGAGAGTGCACAAAAATATAAATGATAGAAAAACATCGACAAAGTTGGATGACTCAAATGCGCGTATCATGATCTTGCATAAATAAGTTAAGAATTCCGGTTCTTTAACAAACAAAGGCCTGTAAATAAAAAACTACACGGTAGATTGTTTTTAAATATATCCAAAATCTAGAGAGTGAACAAAAAATTATTAATACAATTCACTTTTTACTAAATTGTTTAAAAGTATTAAACTCTAGTTGTTAGTACCAAATTAATTATGCAGTGACGTAACAGTGCTGGTTATTTTTTTTGAAAATTTGTTCTAGTTGCTCATCGCTTTAATTTTTTCAAAATTTAGTGAATCTAGTGAAGTAAATGACTTGTTTTTTGGAGTAGTCGTGACCAAATATTACTTTTATCCAGGACCTTTACGTCACGGTATAATTAGACATGTGCATTATTTATATTGTATTTTTTACAGACTTACTAGAAAATTACTTTACTTTATTGTCTTATAATTAAAAATCGGCTATTATTTTCCACAGTATTTTTTTTTCTATCGCATTTTTTTACGTTGTTGACACGATCAGAATATCGATTAATAATTTCAATTTTTCTGAAAATGTTCCTCTTGCATTCTGAACTTATATGAAGTTACTTTTCTTCGACGATTAATAGAGAATTGAACGTTATTTTTGGCAGATTTTAGTTACTACGCTCTTGCCCGTTTCCGCTTTCTTAACACGTCACTTGTAGCTAAATAGAAATGCAGTTATTAATAGATGATTTAGTATTCTCAATGTATTCTCACAGGTTTATAATGCTTTAGTATATATTTTTTACTATTACAAATCAACACTTACAGTTTATCAGCACAAGTCCTCATTTTTGTCTTCCACAGTATGTTTTTGTTGATTTTGAAGAATCTAATTGTGTTAACAACGGTTACAATTGGAATATCCATGGAGAGATTTTTTTCTGAAAATGTTATTTATGTATACTGAAAGTAAATCAAAATACGTTATTGCAATAATTGTTAGAGAATTGAATTTGGTTTTCGGCAGATTTTAGCAATTACGTACTTGGCTTAATTAATGTGCTTTTACAGGTACATACCAGTAGTTTGAGGCACAAGTGAAGCGGCTATTTTGTGCTGATCATGACATCAACGAACGTCGAAATCTGAAAAGATTTTACCATAAGACGTTTGTTAAATAACTGAGCGTGATTTAAACATTCGTTACGAATACGTACTTTGCTTATTTTTGCTTCTCCAATCGATGCTTGCATTTCAATGGTCAGAATACACACAATACATATGTAATCAGCAGAAACGCGATTCCTCTATTCCAGTTTCTAGGCGAAGTGCTAAGTAAAACGTTCTTTCCATTCATTTAGAATTTATAATTACAATTTTTTTGTGCTTTTCATTGATTTTAAGTGAATGGCAATAACATGTTCATTTTCACAACGCTGAAAGGAAAGCTGTGTGGAATTTTTTTATTTATTTCGCATGCAATAAAATATGGCTGCCGATGGCCTATATTGAATATATCTATATGTTATTTACATAAATTTTACCAAAAATTACTACATTCTACGGTGTGATGTTAGACTCAACTTCGTGATTGGTAAAAATTTTAGTCTTCAGAAATTGAGCACTAACATATATTTTGACTTTTGGATGTGCTACTGTTTGTCATACAAAAGCAATGACTTTTAGCGAGATAGTTGTTTAGCCATCTGCGCGTTTAAAAATCAATTTTAAAGTAGCCACACTATTTCTTGTCATTTTTTCGTTAGAGGCATTTTGTGCCTTAAATGGTACATGCGTGGATAAAAAATCGCTTTGTGATGAATTTGTTGAGAGAGAAATACGGGCATTGCATATTAAGTCTATTGAAAAACTGCATGCCGTATTTCTCTCATTGTTCTTGAAAAATGGGTTAAGATTTGAGAACAGGGCCGAAACTAGAACGTTAAAGATCGCTAACAAACAAAATCAGTCGGACAGACCTGAATATATGAATATTCACCACTGCCCCCCCCCCCTCACCCCAATGGACGTTTCAGTTTCGGCCCTGTTTGAAAATTCCTAACTATGCTGCGACAGCGCGTTCTGTCAGTTTGAAAAACATCAAACATTAATAAAGCAGCAACAGCGCCAAATGAAATTGCGAGAATTTTCCAAATTTAGTGGGAAAGTTCTCGTTATTTCAAAACAAGTCGCTCACGTTGCGCATTCCTCGTAAGCTGCTAGTCGCGCATTGTAATTCTTACAGTGACTGATTCCACACATCACTTTTTCTTTGCTACAAAACTTTTTTCAATGTCGTTTTTCAATTCACGTATTACTTCCTTTTCATTGTAATTAATAGCTCTTTCTATACACTCCACATTGCAAGAGCATGTAAGGTAATTGCTGTTTTCAATGTCATCTCTAGTTGAGACGAAGCATGTGTATGTACCCTTAGTATTTGGTGTTAACTTAAACTTATGTATTTGCTGACGACTTACCACTTCAGATTTATGTCGCCAAATGAATTTTTTTCCTTTTGCTAAAGTACTGCAGTACAATAAAACTTCACCTTCAACATATTGTCGGTAGACTTCGGCAGTGATACACCGATCTTTGCGCCTAATTTGTCTGCAAATTTCATTCAGTGTGTTGTCTTTCCTACCAATCAGTAACTCTCCGGCAATTTTGTTTCGGATGACAGTTATATCTTTTCTAGATGGGTTGAAAAACGCAAGCCCTAACAGATAACTGCAATACATTAAAACATACACCCCACAACTGGAAGAATCTTGCTGGTAATTGAATGATTTCTCCCATATTACCTTAAAATTCTCAACTAAAATACGTTTATTTATGATAACCTCGCATTTCCTTCGCCATTTGAGTACAGCAGCAAAGAAGAACTTGATCAGTTTTACTGCTGTCTCGTTTTGCATCCCCTGTTTCAATGGGTTGTAGTAATGGATAGAGGTCTTCCAAATATCAATGATCATCACAGTCCAATGACCACATTCGTTATCGTTTATTGGAATGATGACGTAGTCGTAGGTTTCGAGTTTGTAATCACTTTTCTTTTCAAACATCATTCTTACTAACTTCTTTTCGTCAGCGCGTTGTACCACGCAATGACGAAGCCTGGAATAGAAAAGTGTGTCGAATGTGAGTACACGGTTCCCATTCTCACGTGCAGCATTGACAATCAAATGAGTGTAAGCATTTATTATCTTATCATTCAACCACCCAGTATGTTTTACTGAATAAGTCTGGTTTAATAGTGGTTGCTCTAGTGTCTTGAAGTCTTCACCTTTAAGTTCGTACCCGTGAGTTGCGTTTAAACAAATTGTTTTATTCTTATTGAGAACGTCGTAAAGTTGTTGAATTTCCTTCCAGCGTACTTCATTACTTTGTTTTCCTGGTACATCATATTTATAATTAGGTGACTCATTTTCGTGCTGAACATTAGCCTTTTCCTCGAATGTCTCATTACAATTCCCTGTTTCATCACCTTTTTCAAACTCATCTAATCCACAACCAGAACTTATCTGCGAAAATAGAGTTAAGCCGTTTCCAACTTTTGTGAAAAAAGTTAAATATACTGTTTGTTGCGCTAGCAATTGCCACTCGCAAGTCACGTCACTACATCTGGTATCATCAATATGCAAAACTTTATTGTCATTAAAAATGAGAGCAGTATAATGACCACTTTGTATTCGCGAACCATGATGAAGCGCACAAGCACGAAGGTTGTAGTGGAAGGACTCTGGTCCTATTCTTAATTGATTTGGTAAATTTACGATCGCCTCATTTTTGCAAATACGTCCACTACCAAATTTGAATCTTGCAAAACATATAACCAGTGTTTCGGGAAGAAATATGAACTTTCGGTGTTGGAAATGATTTGTTTCTGACTTACACGAGCTGCAACAGGCATTTACTGTGTCCTCCAAGCAATTTCTAATAGCATTTTCTAAATCATCTATGCCGTTGCGTGGAGATACAATTAATGAAGTTTGTGTTTCGGGCATTCTATCTTCGAAACTACCACAGGACATGCATGTTTTCCTGGTTTGAGTGCCAATGTTGAATGCATCGCCGATGGCCGTTTCCTTTGTGTTGGAACACAGCCTTGTGAACGCTTCCTGTACGTCACATTGCTTGCCCAATGGAAAATTGTGTTCTTCTGTAAACGCGTTGTGGAAGACAGATGGATAAAAACTTGATCCCGTGCTATAATGCATCTCTTTGATGCTTTTCCTCAATGCGTTTGAAAGAGCACAATCAATTTGCTCTTTAACGTTTTCTTCTGTTTTATTTAAGAAAATACGTTTGATGGGCAAGACATACAAACATTGCAAAAGAGCATTAACCCAACAAGAATTTCTTTTGTTGATTAAACCACAGAATTTCTTACTTTGTTCTAGCTGTTTCAGGTCATTTTCTTTTGTTAAGTTGTGAATTACTACCTCCTTGCGACATTGTTGTTCTTTTGGCATTATTTTTTCGTCTTCGATGTTTTTTGTGCCGCACCCATCCATTCCTTTCCACATCCATTCGGTCCATTTTTTGATCTCCTGCTCTCTTTCGCTTTTTGACAAACGTTTCTTGCGCTTTATTTTTAGTTTCCTTTTTCTTTGACATGGATCAAGGTGTGCTTTGTTACGCGTTTTGTCCTTCTTTATCACCTGACCATCTTCATGTTTATTTTCTGCTAAATCGTCAATTTTCATCTTCGTAACTGCCACTTTGGAATAGGTACTATCTGCTTCGTTCTGTTTGTACGTCATATCACTCATAAACTTTCTTTTACCTGGTGAACTTCGCATCAATGTTGCATCTCTGTCTGTTTTATCAAGTAGCGTTTTGCTTTTGCTTTTATTTTTCTTTAAATCTGGAGTTACACTCAGTGGAATTGATGGTGATTGTTGATACCTTCCAAGCTTTGGATTCTGCTTAGGAGTTTCCGGATCTTTCTTACCCCATGTCTCTTGACTTGTGTGATATGTCATTTCTGGCAAATCACTATCAGATTCATTGTTGCTCTCAGCGATATTCTTTGTCCTCTTTTCATACCTTCTCTTTTTCTGTTTTTTCAAGTAAACATGCAATCGATCACCATAATTTCGCTCACGACGTCGTATGCGCTCATAATTTTGCAGTACAAATACGTCAGCTCTTAACCGTCTTTTTCCAGGGAAGTCTTCCTGTTTGAGATTTCGCATGGCTCCTTCTATGTAGCCTTCAGTCTTAGCGTTTGCCGATGTGAACGACAAAAACCTACAAGAGCTACTTTCTCGAATTCCTCCGTTCTCCCCGTAGCGTGTCATATCTCCTAATAAAACACCAGACCACAATGCCATCTCACTCAAATACTTTGTAATGAAGCAGAGAAATTTGGGACAGTAGGAACGATTCTCATTTCCTGGTGCTTTGCAGGAATTTTCTGAATCCTTCTCAACACATCCTTTAACTTTCCCAACGATGGTAGAAAACAAATCGACAAAAGGGTTTGAAGATGGGATCACTACACTATCCTCACAGTCGCTGTAATCCAAAGTGGTGTGATTGCTTTCCTTCTGGAATTCGGAAATGTTTACAGAACATAATTTGTCCATGTTTTGGATGCGTGCATTAACTCTTGCATATGCGTTCCTTAACATCTTTGTTTGCTTCTTGCTGCATAAGCATATAATAATGTCTTCTAAAGTCGTTTGAAATTCGTGTAGAGTCCTGGCATTCACAAGCAAGGACATGGCGTACATGTTGAAACGATACCAATTTTCTTCTTTCTCCTTAAGTTCGTCTACAGGCCGTACAAATTTTTCGGCAGAATCCAATTTTTTGAGATACCTGTGAACAATGTGCATGAAGTGACTACATCCAACATGAGGTACTGTAAGAGATAAATCATTGTCAAGACTTCTTCCATTGACTATCCTGAAATCTCTCTTGAAGAATGCAGCCATTGATTCGTTATTGAATTCCTGCAAAACTGCCATTAATAAAGCCCTTGAATAGTCAGTGTTTACCTGCCTTGAAGATGATAGATGCCCTCTATATAACTTTGACTCATCTCGCCGAAATCTTTCTAAAAATGAGCGAATATTTCCTGTTGTATGATCCGAAGTAATCATTTCTGCGACTGGAAACGATGGTTCATTTTCTACTGGATGGCGTATTACTATTGCATAATAAAGGACGCGCTTCCCGTTGTGATCAGCAACCAATGTTCCTGTTGCGTCAAGATAAGAAATATCATCCTTGCACCTATCGTGCCACAAACGCACTTGATTCTCTATCCACATGTGAACGATGAGAGGATACATTGCAATAGTATGTACGAAACCATCGTGGGCTTTTGATGGTGGAAATTCGCGTGCAGTTTCCTTTTCAACAAGCGTTCTTCTTATTTTTTCCAGAGAGCATGAAAGGTCTTTATCTTGTTGCAACAACTGTTTTCCTTCACTTGCAATTTTTCTCATGGTTTCAGGTTTATTGCCACAGCCTGTTCTATTTCCAGATGCCATTGCATCAGGGAAAACATCCAGTTTTCTCTTCTGATACATAACGGATGGCTTAAGAAGGCCACTGCAGAATTCTTCCCTGAGTTGAGCGCGTTCTTTTCCTTTAATGGGACGAGATTTTCTTTCACCATTTGTATGTTTGATGCTACCATTGTATTTCACATGAACAATTTTTTGAGGAAAATCATCTTTGCTCATTGCGAGAGTAAAGCGGCACGAACAGTCTTCAAATATACATCGACCATTAGCTTTGAAATAGATTTTGTAACGTCGCTTTCGTGAGTTTTGTTTCTGAACATAATGCCTGTCGAAGATGAAACTGCAAAATGGATTAGATAGTTGCAGGTGTCCGGCAATTATCTTAGTCCAATTTTTTGAAGGCGATTTGGTGATACATACGTGGGTACCATCTGCGACCATTCATCCTGACTTAGTGTAAACGATGCTTCTGATGGACATTCCGCAGTGAAGAATGAATCAAATGTTAGTTTTGGACAATCCATCATGCGACCTAAGGTGTCATGAGGAATTGGCAAAATGTTGACAGTTGGTGGTCTTACATGAACAGCTTCTTTTGCATCAAATGGTTTTGTCACTCCGTTCTCATTCCCAATGGCTTTTTTGTCTTTGGAAACATACGTCAAATCACTCCTTTTTAAGCTGTTGATGTTATAATTCTGTATTAGATCGTCGTCTCTTATTTCTCTGAGCGTTATTGATGCGTCATCTGGCATACCATCATGCTTCACATCGTCTGCCATGTCCTCGTAATTAACGTCATCTGGCATGTCATCGTAATTCACGTCATCTGATGAATAAGAGCAAACTATATTTTCTTCTTTCCAAGCACCTTCAATCTCAGCCTCTTGATTCTCCGCAGTAAATAATTCGTCATTAGTTGGAACATTTGGGCTGTTAAGTCTGCTAACTTCTTGTATGACCGTACATTCATTTTCTTCAGTCAACAAATGTGCATTGGCTCGGTTTGTTTGTTTGGAACTATTTTGCACATGTGGTACACTCTTGTTTTTCATCCAGCCACTTGTTTCCTCATCCGTTTTCTTTATGCATACAGGACACATGAATGAAACACCATCAAGACAGTTACTAAAACATTCTCCATCTTCTTTATTTTTCAAGTGCTCCAAACCAACGCATCTAGGATGATAGTACTTCATGCATCCTACCTTCTCAAAATTACACACTAAATACCAGCCAGTGTCTTCTCGTTGGCAAAAGCAATAAACAGCTTGTTCGCTGCAGTTCAGAGTGTACACTTTGGGGGCACGACGCTGCCTAGTAGAAACACGAATATGACTAGAGGGTGTTGCACATGCTGACTTTTTATCTTGGAGAACAGTTTCCAACGTCTTCACTTCTACTTGCATATTTTCGTCTTTCTTAACTTGTATTCTTGCAGACTTATCATTCTCCCCTAAACATGTCAATGGTGTAAAGTCATTTGTGTCAATAAATACGTTCTTATCACCTGATATAGGAGCTTTTTTCTGCATCTCCTTTTCCCGTTTCTCTTGTGACTGCATACGACTTCCCGGAATGCTAGAGCCAACAACCTACAAATATATAAAGATTATGACAGGAGTTTTACAATTGACTTGCGTTCTTTATTTTCATGCCTTGCTTGCAAATTAGCTTTGACAATAATAGAAGAAAAAATCTGCTCAGTTTATTGCTCCATAGGACTTTTTTCTTGTCCCGAATCTCCAATTTTTCACTGAATGGGGTGTCTACAAATTTGCAAACGACGGTGCATTAGCTGTAAGAAGGCTTCTGTCAACAAATTTTAAAAAAACCCTCACGAACAGATATGTGCATTTAACAACGTTTTACGTAATGCGGTTAAACATATTTTTTAGCTTCATTTAATCACATGGCTTTATTAGGAAAGGAAGATTTTAGACGTTTTCCTCGTTTCATTATCGCAAAACGTTTGTTTATTCAAATGAAGTCTTTACTGTAAGCTATGTCATTCAAACAATCACTCATGTACGAAGTAAATTAAGTTCAAAATGTTTTCTTGATGAAGATAAAACAGACTATTGAAATGAAATCAACTGAGGTCAAATTAAAGTCCGAAAAAATACAAATTATTTATGAACGCGGGAGAAACACGAGTGATGACGAATGATGACGACAAAGATTTTTGGCTTCAATTTTGCTTTCAGGCATCATTGCAGTTGTTTAAATATTGAGTTCACTGTTTGCATGCACAATCGAGATTGCATCGTCATTGTAAAATAAGGGTTAATTACACAAAGAATGTATTAATGTCTTATTCACAATAATTTACCTACTTTTTAGCGATGTTTGTTTGCCTTTGCTGTTCACTCTCGTATGCATTTTGAAACCCTCCCCAATTTCGTCGCCCCATCATATAGAGGTATTTGCGTGAATTTGCTAGATTTGGATGTCCACACTCTTCCAAAACTTTAGCCCAAAAACCATCAATTTTCCACCACTTACATGCATGTATGTTGGCACAATTCAACGATACCATTATGGATGCAATTTCCTTAATGTTCTCCTTTAGAGGAAAACATCCTGCGACTTTTGCTTTTTGAAATCGTGTCTATAAATAGATAAAAAAGTGTCCATAACGATTCATTCAAATAAACGCAAATTACGCAGAAAAGAGAAATTGTTACATACCGACATTTTTATAAACGCAATGCAGTTAAAAAATTCTGTAGTGTGTGAATGCTACCTTAGGAAATGCAAATTGAAATAAAGTGAGTAAATCATAACGGTTTTGTTAATTCGGTGCCAAAAAATCAAAAAAGGCCCACTGCTTACCTGTTCAAAAAAGTATGGTTATCAGCAATGTAACTTTCAAAAGTTAACTACAACCGATGAAATGCTTTTGAATATACTTCAATTAATGAGAATATGGAGCTGTTATTGTTCTATTGAGATATGCAAATCATCCAAAAATAGCAGTGCCGTCATTGGCTTGTTGTTGTCATCTCGTCTCAAATTCCTAACAACAAAGCATCCTAGAACATTACATCCTATCACTGTTCACAGCTTACAGACCAGCCAGTACGTTGAAATCTGAACAGTTGAGTTAAAGTTCAAAAAAAATATGTCTTCGCCAATGGGTAATATTTTTGAATAGAAGAAAGAAAAGTTCATCAATATTTTTATATTTTCTTCTAACAACAAGACTTATTTTTTATTATAGATGCTGAAAAAATTGAGGAGGCAATGCAAGGAGTAGCTACCCCAAACAGTGGGGGAAGAACCATAACATTGGACGAAGAAATGCTCCAAAGATTTCGCTGTAAATAAAAATATCCTTTCAAGTCATCTAATGAGCTTTATAAAATAGTTATATATTATAATTTTACAGTGTTTGAAGAATATTTGCGGAAAAATGGAGAGGTTCCGCCCAGCGAACAACAAGCTCCACGTACCCAAGGTGCAGTTTTATATTGAAAATAAATGTTGGAAAAACCTCATTTTTCTTAGCTGATAAAGAATTCTCTTCAGATTCTGAGCATCAGGAGAAAACAGATCAACCCATGCACCAGGCGTCGACTCAGCCTCCATTTTTAAAAGGTAATTCATCTTTTATAGAAAGTAACGCTAGAACTATTCAAGTAAAATGAGTGGGAACACTTTTTACAGATGTGAGATGCTTTATTTGTGGGCAGCTTGGCCACAAAAAATGGAGATGCCCACAAAACAACAGAAGGAAGCAACGAGGAAGAAGAGGGGGGAAAAAAAAAGTTATTCATATATATTAATGTGTATGACTTAAAAATAAATAAAAACTTTAAATACTGTTGTCAGCTAAATAGGCATGTCGTTTGATTTACAAGTTAGACGCCTTTGTTTCCAATAGAACCGGAACCGCTACTCACTTACATATTACGGACATCTGTAACCATACATCAACGATGATTTTCGATAATGCTATAGACAGATTTTGGATAGGTTATAGACAATAAGAATATCTCCAAAAATGGCCAAGTTTAAAACAATTCTACCGTGTAGTTTTTTATTTACAAGCCTTTGTTTAGCAATGACTTGAAATTGTCATCCGACTTTGTCGATGATTTTCTACAACTTATTTTTTTGTGCCACCTCCAGATTTTGGATATATTTTAGACAATATAATTATCTATATTCTGGCCAAGTTTAAAAAAATTCTACCGTGTAGTTTTTAAATTATAGGCTAATTAAGAGAAATGGAAAGTACACTGTAATATAAATCTTAGTGTTTTCAAATCAAAGGCTTTGTTTGTTAAAGAACAGGAATTCTCAACTTAAATATGCAAGATTATATTACGCGAATTCGTGTCCTCTAACTATGTCGATGATTTTCTATCATTTGTTTTTTTTGTGCACTTTCCAGATTTTGGATATGTTATAGACAATAAGAATATCTACAATATGGCAAAGTTTAAAAAAATTCTACCGTGTGGTTTTTTATTTATAAGGCTTTGTTTGTTAAAGAACAGGAATTCTTAACTTAAATATGCAATGTCATGCACGTTGCATGATAAAATCGTTATTTTTTTACAACGAAGTCGTCAAAAGAAAAACACAACGTTATTCAACAACAACAACATCTCGAATTCTTTTATTTTCAACAACACTCCCCCCTTCTGTGATAATCCCAAAATTTCAATCACGTAAAATGCACGCGCACGTCACAACAAAGCAAAATAAAAACAACTGTTCATCACATGCAAGATTATATTACGCGAATTCGTGTCATCTAACTATGTCGATGATTTTCTATCATTTATTTTTTTGTGCACTCTCCAGATTTTGGATATATTTTAGACAATATAAAATTCTATAGTATACTTGAGTTTAAAAAAATTCTATCGTGTAGTTTTTTATTTATAGGGCTTTGTTTGTTAAAGAACCGGAATTCTTAACTTATTTATGCAAGATCATGTTACGCGCATTTGAGTCATCCAACTTTGTCGATGTTTTTGTTCTATCATTTATATTTTTGTGCACTCTCCAGATTTTGGATGTATTTTAGACAATATAAAATTCTATAATATACTTGAGTTTAAAAAAATTCTACCGTGTAGTTTTTTAGCTATAAAGCTGTTTGTCGAATGTGGTGCCAACTTCACGGTTTATTCTCAAGGAATACTATTCCTTTTATATTTTTGTGCACTCTCCAGATTTTGGATATGTTATAGACAATAAAAATATCTACAATATGGCCAAGTTTAAAAAAATTCTACCGTGTAGTTTTTTATTTAGAAGGCTTTGTTTATTAAAGAACCGGAATTCTTAACTTAAATATGCAAGATTATATTACGCGCATTCGTGTCATCCGACTTTGCCGATGATTTTCTACAACTTATTTTTTTGTGCACTCTCCAGATTTTGGATATGTTATAGACAATAAAAATATCTACAATATGGCCAAGTTTAAAACAATTCTACCGTGTAGTTTTTTATTTATAGGCCTTTGTTTGCAAAAATACCTTGATATAGGAAGTTAATTATATAATATTATATTACGCGTATTCGTGTCATCCGACTTTGCCGATGATTTTCTACAACTTATTTTTTTGTGCACTCTCCAGATTTTGGATATATTTTAGGCAATATAATTATCTATATTCTGGCCAAGTTTAAAAAAATTCTACCGTGTAGTTTTTAAGTTATACGCTAATTAAGAGAAATGGAAAGTACACTGTAATATAAATCTTAGTGTTTTCTTCAATTTCTTGACTTTTATACATTTTTTGTGATGGTTAAGGACAGTAAAATAATAATAAACAGTTAAGAATTGTTTTTTACTATTTTATTTGATGGAAAACGTGTTTTAAAGACGATTTTTCGATTTATCATTTTGAATGATAAATTTTAGTTGAATGTGGTGTTGAATGTTGTGATGAATGTTGTGTTGAAAGTTGTGCCCATGTGGTGCCAATTTCACGGTAGTTTCTGGACAGTCTCTCACAAAGTGTCCCTTTTTCTTGCAATTGTGACAAACTCCTTGAAATTGTTTCTTATAATCCCTTCGTTCTTTCCCTTCTCCATGAATTGACTTGTCATTGTTAAGTCTACCTCTTTGAACAGAATAGGCATCCTCATACTTCTTTTCATCACCCATTCTGTCCACATCATTCAACAACATACCTTTGACTTTTTCAAACGTTAAGCTATCTTCCCCAACAGCATCTAATGCGGTAATCAGAGGTTTGTACTCAACAGACAGACTTGCCAACAAGGTCATCGCCAATTCCTTGTTATTTACATTTATCCCCATCTCTCGCATTTGATCATGAAGTGAACGCATGTGATTGATATGTTGCAACATATTACTTCCAGACTGGAATTTGCAGGAAAAGTATTGCTGCCTTAACTTGATTTTCAGCAAGATTGACTCTCGTGCAAATTGGGCTTTTAGGGCATCCCATGCCTCTTTCGCTGTTTTCGTTTCCCGGACATGAATTTGTTGTTCAGGCTCGACGGCCAAACAAATGTAAGTTCACGCCTATTAAACTATTCGTTGTTCGTTATTCCTTACATGTTGTGTGTCACATTTTGCCGCATTTGTCACATTTGCCGCATAGACCTTTTCAAGGTTATCGCAGCCATATTGCAGGGGGTGCAAAACATTGGGCCGAGCGCGCGGTCACGCATAGAGTCCATATAAATTACTAATAAATGCGCAAAAATTACCCTTATACATATTGGCCATTTCTTTCAAAAATATTTCTCAAACTCGTCCATTTTAATAGTCGAATTATTAGTTGCGATTTTTTACACACGTGAGTCCAATTTTGTGGTAATCAAAAAGCGGAAAGTCAAAGAAAACATTTGTTTTCTTTGAACAACTTGACCGTCGTTTGAGCGATGTTCTTCACTTCGCAACCCACGCACATGTCTACAGCAAAGTCAGCAAGTATCGCGAGGAACTGTTCTACGGCAAACTCTTATTAGTATTTCCAATTATTTGTAAAGAGACATTGCTATTTTTATTATTATGTAAGGCGACTTAACAGCCAGAAGAAGAAACAGCCAAGTATTCAAATACACACTTAAAACTGTTAGTCGATGGCAGGCCGGTGTGAAACCTTACATCATACTCTCTCGTCAACTGTTCAAATTCCAAAGGGACAGGGAGTATAGATGCCTCAGATTTTGCTGGATTTCCATCAAAACTTGTATCAGAATCCTCGGTGTCATAGGCTTGATGAGGACGCTTTGATGTCGTCCATGGTTCTCTTCCTTTACGTTTAAGCGGAGTCCTTGATTGCTCGTACTCTGATAGCGTAATAAAAATCGAAGGATAATCCGTTCCGCGGTTATTTGGGGTTCTTCTTCCCAAGGGAAAATGATTTGAGCAAACGAAAGTACCTTGTGCACCAGGCTTTGGGTTAAAGTCATCGCAAAATTTCAGCAAGTGCTTGATCTTTGTGAGCCACTAATGAAAAACTAACTTTTCTACGCGAGACCTCTTAACTTGATAATCAGGATAGCGTTAATCATTATCGCAATATCCAACTGCACAACGCGCATTTTTTACCATTTCGGCTATGACTGCTCACATCTACTCGGATAGTTTAGGGTTTAGTTCGTTTGACTTGGCTTACGAGTTCCGCATATTTGCGAACTCGAGAGCATCGCTGAAACGACGGTCAACTTGTTCAAAGAAAACAAATGTTTTCTTTAACTTTCCGCTTGTTGATTGCCACAAAATTGGACTCACGTGTATAAAAAATCGCAAATAATAATTTCACTATTAAAATGGACGAGTTTGAGAAATATTTTTGAAAGAAATGGCCAATATGTATAAGGGTAATTTTTGCGCATTTATTAGTAATTTATATGGACTCTATGCGTGACCGCGCGCTCGGCCCAATGTTTTGCACCCCCTGCAATATGGCTGCGATAACCTTGAAAAGGTCTATTGATCATGGTGGTCCGAGAAAGGAATTTTTCCATCTTTTGTTGGGAGCTATAGCAAGGGGAAGTGCAACATTAACAAGTAAGGCAGCTTCAATGTTTCAACTTTGATTTTCACCTCAACATTTTTTGACTTTGGAATTGTTTAGTGCAAGTATGAAGTACCATTTCTCCATCAATGTAACTGACCATTTGAATATGGGGAACATACATTGTAATGTTTACATACTAAAATCATTGTGTTTCTTGCAGATACAACTTGCAGTCATGTTTTGAGGTGCAATGTAAATGCTTTGCAGAGTAAAACCTATGCAGATGTTGGGCGGATGCTATCAACATTAGTTGTTCAAGGAGGTCAACTGCCACGGTTGTTGAGTAGATCAATTTGCTAGTACATTCAAGGATCCTTTGACGCTTCAACACCAGTTATTGAGGAAGTGCCTGAAAAGAGTATCAGAAATTCTCTAAAGAAGGTATGTCATATTGATCCGTTGATTGTTTAGCATCCCTATATTTATCTTAAAATTTCATTGTTTTAAAAATGTTGAAATTTTAGCTTGAAAATAGCAGCACTCAGCAGGAATCGGATGAAACTCTCAATCAATGTGAATGGCGTTATGATATTGATGGTTTACTAACATGTTTGAAGATTCAGGAAAAACTTTTTACTAAAGATTAAATTAGGCGCAATCTTAACACAAGCTTTTACATTGTAGATGGTACATTAATGCAGGAATTGGCTGATGAAGGTGTTGAGTTAACAACAGAAAAAAAAATTCATCCCGTCTTTAAAACCTGCTTATTTTCTTCTGTTTGCAACTGGTGCAACGGACACACCTACTTTAGGCTTTGATCCGTCTCCAACAATGTGCATGATGATATGACGATACCTACTGCTCAAACATGTTCAAATATGCTGTATTTGTATGTCAACAAATATACTGTTGAAAACAGCATAGCCCATCAATTGCTGATTGCATTAATCAATGGAGGAGTCTTCAGCAAATTATAAACTGATGATTATAGCAAGCATGTCAGTTTTTTATAATGCATACAAATAGTTTTATTTATTGTAAGTTTTGTTTAACACTTGTTCACATAGAACAGTTTTTCATTTATATTTAATAAGCACACTTATTTTTAAAATCAAGCTATTAAAAAAGTTTTACACTAATTAAAAAACTAAAAATTATCAATTATTTGTTTGCCTTATAGAACATTTCATTGAGCAATTTGATATAAATCTTCATACAAATCAAGAGCATTTCTCCAATTGATGGAAGGGAGTAAGTGAAGAGTATCTGTCACATGCAAAAAATATTCCTGAAAAATATTAGTTTCCACATCTTCATGGCAGTATTCCCTCATGTCTTCAAAATCAGTTTCATCCACAGGTTGGATACAATTGGCAGCTCCGTTGCACTCAGGATAATGTACTTATTAACAGTCTTTTGGTATTGAATTTAAAAGCCATGCTGTGTCATACAATAAAGCTGATTTAGATAAGTCTGGCCGGGGAAATTAAAGCCTAGAATGTGTTGAATCTAGGGTTAATTTGCCTTGTGAATTTTTTTCTTGTATATTTTCTATAAGAAATGTCTCGTTCATTGAATTTAAATTTTTCATTTATTAAAAAAACTATATAAGCGCACTGTTAATATCATCTCCGAGGTGTGATCCTATCGTTAACTACAGTGACCACTCACATTTTTGTACACGACACCGTAATAATAGTTGGAAACATAAAAAAGCATTAAAAGAAGTTGGTAATGACGAAGATAGTAAACAATAAACCCAGTAGTTTTGTCAACATTGAAGCCATCAAAGACATGGCGCATCCCCATGAATAAACACAGCTTACGCTGCATTGTGACAATACTCAACATTATATGTGTTAACATCGGTTAAAATAAATGAATACAGCCTTCTTATACATAAACGATCCTATAACAGTCTACTTACATTATGAACAACTGAAGAGTCAACAGTCAAGTCATATACTACTTGTTGAGCCACTTGTTAGCCAGTGATTAAAGTAATACGCATGAAAGGTTGCAAAATTATGCGAAACGTGAAGTTGAAGTACATTTTTCTGACAAGAGATGGTAACTAAGTGATATGTGAATGAAAGCCAGTCCTGGTAAAATAGTTTGTACTGTATATAGTTGATGTCACTGGTGCAATTGCGAGATACTAATATTTAACGTTATGTCTTAAGCAATTGGTAATGATGACGCTTTTCACCATTTAGTGAAATGTTATTTTTCTATTTTGGAAGATAGCCATACACAATGTGCTTAAAAAATTGCAACAGAGATATGTCATCTTAATGCTACACAACAAAATAACATTCACACAATATGGCATATCACCAACACAGTAACTATTATCAATAACCAAAGACGATGGTGCATCCAAAGAGAGGGATGCAACCTAAAAGGAGTGTGCATCTAAAGACGGGGATGCAACCAAAGAGGAGGGTGCGTCCAAAGAGGAGGGTGCATTAAAAGAGGAGGGTGCATCCAAAGGGAAGGTGCGTCCAAAGAGGAGGGTGCATTAAAAAAGGAGGGTGCATCCAAACAGGAGGGTGCGTCCAAAGAGGAGGATGCATTAAAAAAGGAGGGTGCATCCAAATAGGAGGGTGCGTCCAAAGAGGAGGGTGCATTAAAAAAGGAGGGTGCATTAAAAGAGGAGGGTGCATCCAAAGAGAAGGTTGCGTCAAAAAGTGAGAGTGCATCCAAAGAAGAGGTGTAAAAGGTGAGCACCCCTTCCAGAGCTTGGATATTTCAACGTTTCCAAATGACGCACCCTCGCATGAATGAATTCGCGATTCGCTAGTTTACTGAGTATTAATGATCGCCACAATTCATTATAATAGTTGTATGTTGTTACGTTATGATAATTTTGCTTTTTAACTAAGTCAATGGAAGAGGGAGACGTTTGTCAACCAGAAAATTGAGCTGTACTTGCATCATTGTTTTGTATGGACTTTTCATGCATGGACAGTCATACAAGGATATAAATCTCATGGCATCACAACACATTTAAACCATTAACGTAATTTCTGATTATTGTCATGTTTAATTAGTATGCAAGGAAATAATTAAATAAGTTTATTTGTACACAAGATACATGTAAGCAAAAATTTTTCGTAAGCATTCTTTGAATTTTTGCATGGAATTTTCATACACAAAATGCATTTAATAAAGAGCCAATCCAATGTCAAACATAAAGTCTAAGCAAAAATCCTAAAGTTAATTTAGTTTTGTTTCATAATAAATGACCTTTTTTGTCCTACACTTTGTCATCATTTACAAACACGAAATGTTTGATGATTTTAAACCCACCATATTATCTAGATGTTGACAAGAATGGAGCATAATTAATACAAGTTGATACTAATGGCAAACTATTACATTGACAATAATAAATATTCAACAGAATATTCAACATTTCCATTTCATTATTACAGTTGATATATGGTAAAATTTTCTAATACCAAAATGAAAAGCAATGGTGTACAAATTTTCTGGTAGTAACTATGACTGTGTAGTAGCTACCCAAACTAAAAAAAAAAACATTTCATGAAGAGACAATAGTAAATACACAATATAAGACAAAAGAATACAGTAGACAACAAAGGAAACCAAATATAATTTGACAAACATTTTTATTAAGGTAGAGTCCTGTTCCAGACTCTTCAATCCTCTTTATTCATGTCCTGTCCAACTTAAAAATGCTTTGACCCTTGTGATTCACGTCCCTATTTTTAGTATACTTCAAACAGCCTATACACATCCCTATTTTTAGTGTACTTCAACCACCCTTATTCACATCCCTATTTAAATATACTTCAACCACCCTTATTCACATCCCTATTTAAATATACTTCAACCACCCTTATTCACATCCCATTTTTAGTGTACTTCAACCACCCTTATTCACATCCCTATTTTAGTATACTTCAACCACCCTTATTCACATCCCCATTCTTAGTATACTTCAACCACCCTTATTCACATCCCTATTTAAATATAGTTCAATCACCCTTATTCACATCCCCTTTTTTAGTGTACTTCAACCACCCTTATTCACATCTTTATTTCAGTATAATTCAACCACCCTTATTCACATCCCTATTTCAGTATACTTCAACCACCCTTATTCACACCCCTATTTTAGTGTACTTCAACCACCCTTATTCACACCCCTATTTTTAGTGTACTTCAACCACCCTTATTCACATCCCATTTTTAGTGTACTTCAACCACCCTTATTCACACTCCTATTTTTAGTGTACTTCAACCACCTTATTCACATCCCATTTTTAGTGTACTTCAACCACCCTTATTCACACTCCTATTTTTAGTGTATTTCAACCACCTTATTCACACCCCTATTTTTAGTGTACTTCAACCACCCTTATTCACATCCCTATTTTAGTATACTTCAACCACCCTTATTCACATCCCCATTCTTAGTGTACTTCAACCACCCTTATTCACATCCCTATTTCAGTATACTTCAACCACCCTTATTCACATCTCTATTTCAGTATACTTCAATCACCCTTATTCACATCCCTATTTTTAATGTACTTCATTCCACCAGATTCATGATTTCAATATAGAATTCTGCAAAAACTTACTGGCAATAACAGCAATAATGACAACAACTACGACAATCAGAATAACCCACATCTAAACGACAACGCAATTACAGTTAAGATGCAACAGAAACCCATAAGTACATAATACTAAAATCAAAAGCTTACTTTGCAGTTTTGCCACCACATCTTACGTTTCAGTCTGTGGGCATTTGTGTCAAATTGGGCAGCTCCAGCTTGAAGTTGATCTGAGAAACAATGTACAAATATAAAGTGAATAGAGACTGTAAAAATTATTTACAAACAGTGTAAAAAAGAGAATAATCTACTTTATAAAATCCAAATCTTACCAGCTCGATCATCAAGGTCTGAAAGTTTAGCATCTCTTTCTAAGACTTTATCGACATTCTCTTTCATAATATCCACAACCTAATAATCAATTACCAATGAACTGATTTTTGTAAATGATCGTATGTTGTTAGTCATGAATGCAGAAGTTAGCTAAATGCAAATTCACATACAAAGAAAGACAATTAAAAAGATGGTGATATATACAGTATCTCTCCCCAGCACTCCATCTTAAATTGCTAGTTAAATACCAGTAATGAAGTTTCCAGTTATTACAATAAAGCATGGTTTTGCACACTCCAACCAGCCCTATGTTTTGGGAACACCAGAATACAACAAATCCAGAAAGCTGTATAAAAGACTTTCAACAAAGTGAACAAACTGCTTACTCATTCAATTTATGCTTGAAATATGTGAAGAATGTAGGTGAATCGGGATTTTTAAAATCAAAGATTTTAACATAGCAACATACATAGGTAATTTATGAAATTGTGATACTCTAAACCAGATTGCCAGTCGTTTATGCCTTGTTTTGAACCTCAGAATGATTTAGTTTACAACAGAACCCCCAAAATTTCATAAATCTATATTGTATCTTAAATTTAACAGATGTATATCAGCAAGGAAAGATAACTTGAATAAGGTTGGCAATACTGATATAGGTGAGAAAGTCTGTTTGATATTGGTGAGAAAGTCTGGTGACGTAGCATTGTAAAAAACACATCCAATTTATGCATTTTTTGTGGCTGTTTGAGGAAATATTTTATGACAGGAAACATGAAATGTGCTTTATATTAAAATTTGACATTGTCACACTTCTACGAAGAAATGTGATAGGCCATATTAATGTAGTTTAAATATCAATAAATGTAAGCGAAAGTTCAGAGCCAATACTCATATTCGGGAATGAATTGAAACGATCGTTTCAGTTATTCTTCTGAGGTAAAATATATTGACATGTGAGGTTAAAACAAACCTCATCAACTTGCTGCTGAGTCTGCTTTAATCTATCATTCGACCTAGAGATATAAATACAAGAATATAAGTTAGAAAGGCAGAGGAAAATGGCAGCACACACAATTTAAATAACTCAGTAATGGCATAAAACAATTGAACAAATTTGTGCCTAATGCTGCTTTTATTTCGGTTCTCTAACAACTTTAATGAAACTCATGGCATTTAGGGTTTCCTTACATCTTTATGCTTTGTCTCGTGGTCTTTGACGGAAGAAATATCAGATTTAATAAGAAGAAATTCTTGACAAATTGTAGATTGTACCCTCCTAAATAACAAATACGTCATAAGTGTTTGGTAAACATATATTATTACGTTTTAATAAGTAATAAGTAAAACGTATAAAATAACTTATTTCAAGTTTGTGCGTCATAGGTAGTCGTGGCCGAGCGGTTAAGGCGATAGACTAGAAATCTATTGGGGTCTCCCCGCGCAGGTTCGAATCCTGCCGACTACGATTTTTGTTAAAACTTTAAACTACGCAGAATAAAAATTATTTGCAAGCCTCCTTCACATATATTCAAAATATTATTGAAAATGTTGTTGTTTATGTTATTTAATAATTGATTATCATCAAAATGATTTGAGTAGTGAAAACAAATACCATGACAAATAACTGCAAATCAAATTGTGCCTGAGATCAGGTGTTTCAGTTTCCCTTTTTGAATAAAAATATACTTGAATGATAACTCAGGGGGGAAAATTGAAGCCGTGTTTTGTAGGTAGTGCCAATCCTTTGTAAGCAAATATGCACTATTTCAGGGGGGAGTAGACAAATTTCAGACGTATATTGCTTCATCCAATCACAGGGCATTCTTAATGGAGGTATCATTCCAGTATATTTATGATTCAATGGTTTCCCTCCCTCCTCTATAAAAATAGGTACACAGCGTGCATGCAAGTAGCACGGTTCGGATGATGTATTTAATGCAGATAAAAATAGACGAAAAATATATAAAAAATTATAAAAGTATCTTTAATGAAGTACCTTCCTTATTTTCTTTCGAAATAACAACAGTACGATACATCGTTCACTCTACCTTTGATATTTAACGCATGTTTACTTACAAAAAAAAAATTGACAAGAAACTGAAGACAGTACATAACACCAATGAACTTTTTGGGTCGACGGGCGCGGGCCGTATTGTGTTGCTGCTCTTATTTTCATCTTTGATAACATTTTGATAAGACTATATTGGTGAAGACTATTCTGCATTTTTATCATCCTATATTATGTATCATAACCCCTGCCGACATATTTTACGAGAAAAACTGCGGTGGCGTGACTTTCACCATTGACTTTCACAGCTTTTTGAACTTTTTTCTGGATTTTTTTTTATCTTATATTCCAAGATGGCGGCCGCTAATACTAAATTTTAATGGCAATACTTAGGCATAATAATCGTTTTAAAATGATTTTGTTATGCTGTCAGATTATACTGAATTAACAATGGAAAGTGATGGGAAAGTAAAAGAAATTGAAGTTACCTGCCAATCTAGAAATACAAATCAAGACACATATACATGCTTCTTTACGTGGTGCAGGATCCAGCCAGTTGTCCTGAATTCTGAATCATAATATTGATTTTGATTAACAAGTAAGAACAATTTCCACAATACCACTTAACAGTTTTAACATTTTTTATAGTCTTGCTTTTATAAAAAAAATGGGTGGAGTTGATTTATGTGATCAATATTGCTCAAAATGTAGTAATGCCTGATGCCCCAAATGCTTTGAAACAGTTTGCAGATCATTTTTGAAGTAATAAAACCCTTGAATAAGAGTGAACAATACATGTAAATTTTTAAGTTTGTTAAGATTTTACATGAAAAAGTACTGGGAACATTTTTAAAGTTAAATGGATAGGTTTTTTTTGACTTTTCAAGTCTTCGTGGTCTAAATGATTGCTAATGCTTGCCAAGCCTGCATTTTCGAAGAAAGAATGCCACCTGCGTATAGGCCACAAACAAAATATTTATCCTTTCCTTCCATTCCTTCCCATAGAGGATAGATTCCATACCCCCATGACTTTTGTTCGTTAATTTAACTCCAAACAAGGAAGTTCATATTGGATCAACTTAGTTAATTTAAAATCAAATTTATCGCTTGGAAATGCGATACAATTGTTTTTTGTTCCTGCATATCATACCTAATGTGTTACATCGAGAGCTTTGATTTTTATTTCACATTTTCTTTAATAGCATTCTAACGTCATCGTTATCATGTTTGTCGTCACTGTCCCATTTAGTGACGTCATTCTCTTGTCATCGATGAAGGACTTATGAACATAATATAGGGAAAACATTTGTATTTCACATCTAGCAATTCAATCCTATTGACCAGAATAAGTGGAGGTAAAACGCTTCAAATTGTTCATTACTCTGACGATTTTTTCCACAATTCTATCAAAAGAAATTTTATTCGCTCCTATGTACATTCGGCCATTTTTATACTTACGGATTGAAAAATGCAATTTTGTGTGTCCGAGCTACTCAACAAAGCAAGAAAATACCTGTCAATAGTTCAACGTGTTTGCCACTTCCATTAAAATTTCATTTCCGTACCTTCTAACTAAATGTTTCCGGTAAATACGATACAAAATTTACAAATATCAGCAAAAGCAGAAGATTTGTATGGAAAGATTTGAACATGCCAACACAGTTTCTTTTTCACTTCTCTGTCATTTGAGATAGAACTACTCATTAGTAAACTTATCAACATCCTGTTGACAAGACTATAGCGTACTTGTTGCTAACGAAAATAGAAATTCATTTTCATGATCTTATATGAAATATTAACATTACATAGCCTTAGACGTATTAAAATTTTATATTAAAAAACCACTTGAAATTCCACCGAACAATATTTTTAATCCGCCCAATTCCAGTTTCCCATGAAAACAATTTTTAATTACCCGTTAATGAGCTGTCTCAAGAACAAAACTGTTTATTAGTTGTGCTTTAATTACAAAGTAATTTTGAAGAGATACTCGCCCGAAGCCAACATTTCACGTTTGACTGAAAATCTTCAAGTAAAACTTTATTTATGATTTCTTGACATCACATCATTTGTGCCATTCATTTACATAGGTCATTTACAAGAGTGTAATGAAAATGAAATTTACTGTGGATTTAAGACGATTTTTATATTGCAAAAATGTAAATGTTTGACTTTAGCTTCTTTAATCATGGCTCGTTTGGTTGTTTCCAAATAAAGTGAAGCTTTGTACAGTAAACATTTTGAAAGAACTCTCTTATGACAAAACATTTGATAGCTTTGATTTCATCGATTTTTGATAAGTAAAACTGGTTTGCAATTGCAATTATCTTTCGGTTTGCTCTCTGTAGTTTGCTGTACTTAGAAATTACCGAAATTGTAGAGATTGGTCGAGATAAACCATACGAAACCACCAAATGAAACGGAGAACAGTCAATGGCCAGGTCACGTGACAATATCAGCGAATCAGTGTGCAGTATTTGTATATTCTGAAGGTCATTATAAAATAGTTTACTTCTCGGAGCAAAATTTGATGATGGCGGACGAAACCAAGATTATTTATCATATAGATGACGAAGAAACACCGTATTTAGTGAAAATATCGAAAGGACCAAGCGATGTTACACTTGGTGATTTCAAGAACATTCTTAACCGTCCTAGTTATAAGTTTTTCTTCAAATCTATGGACGATGACTTTGGGTATGTTGTATTTTAATGAGTACTACCAATACTGCCAAAGGACGCTTTGTTCAATTGTTTAATATTTTTGTTTTAGAAAAGATCAGCGTGTTTGTGAAAGAAGTATATGTTGCAAAATTATTTCTTAGGTCTTGCTAGCTGCAATGAAATAATACTGAGACAAACTCCGACTGTTTGATACCGCTCAAAGACAATGAATATTTGCGTGTTGTTACGATATGTATTGTCAATACGCGCAAGTAGACTCGCAGTATTATACTGTCTTATATTTATTGCGTTATTGCTTTACCATATATTGCTGAAGAATTGGCTTATAATTGTAACATTTAGAGCAGTTCAAAGATTCGAATCTCGTATATTGCAAAATGTTCGAATGAGAAATACATGTTTAAGTTTTATTTATTTAAATATCTTTAAGCATATGTCGATGCGGCATGTTTTCTGTCTTTTATTTAGAGTTGTAAAGGAAGAGATAAAAGATGATGAATCAGGTTTGCCTTGTGTAAATGGACGTGTAGTTGCTTGGGTAAGATTGGAATATAGGTTTTCTAATTTAATTTAACAAGAGCTGTTTTTAATCCGTCCGTTTAGTGACCTTTCTGCCTAATTTAAAATTGTGTTTTGCGTGGTCATTGCTTGCTCCGAAACATTTGTCTATCGTATCATGTAATCTAATTTCTTGTCCTATTTTGGCGTCCAATTTATAATAAATATGTTGCTATTTACGCATGAAAACAAATGTTTGTATATTTCACACGTAAATCACGTATCATATTTCGGTTGGCAAATGTCTAGCATCACAAACGGGACCTTATCTTTGCGGGATTTCTGTGTTGTTGTTATTTCAATTCAAAGGAATGAATTAATCAATGATCCTTGTAGTGCTTTATCTTTTTTTCCTACCCAACTGGCCCAGACGAAACGCCGTTAACATGCACTGAAATGACAAAAACTATCTTATTGCGCGAAACAATATGAAAACATTCTTTTATGATTTTGCCCTTGTCCCAATATTTAATATGAAGTGCTTCAGGAAATTGACAGGTAGGTATGAATAATATGCTCTTAAAAATGTCTCTATAGTCACAGATTGTAGCGAGCAAGCGAACAAGCGGGATATTATCAGGCATGTCCGCATTTTCTTTATAGAAGATGGAATTTCAAAAGTTTGCTAGAATTGCCGCTGTTTAATTCTTATGTTAAACTGTCTATTCTTCAAAACTTAAACGAATTTTTTATTGTTGTAACATTGAATGTTACAATTACAAAACAGCAAATTGCTGCGTACCTGTTCTTAATTTACATCAACGCCTATCAAATTCTCATAAAACATTTATTGCTACTAAATTGATTTAGGCAATAGTGAATTTTATGGCATAAAAAATTTAAAAGAATCTTGTTTGATTCTCAGTAACGAAATCAAGTAATTTCTACAGTGTGGTGTTGATTGAACGCTAACATAACTCTATCTTGAGTATTTAACCGTATGTTGTACTAGTATTTAGCAGTAGGGGTTGGCAAAATCGTTTACAGTTGCTCGATTTTAAAGTTAAATTAAGCTTCACAACAATTTGCTGCGAACTTTTAATGAACAATATCTTACCGAACAAACTGCTACTGAAGTGTTTTGAAATATAAATTGATCAAGAATTGACTGTTGTAATCTATTTAATTGCCACTCGTGTAAAAATGTTTCTCTTCGTCAAGCGTTTTATATGATAATCTCGTCATGCCTGGGCTTGCTTTTTTTTAAATAAAATATTTAATACATGTTTGATTATTAATTAACACTAATATTTGCTTTATTATCTTTATCAGTTGCAAAATATTCATTTAAATTCTGTTATTTTTTATTGTTTGAAATGTTCCTCATGAAATAAGACTTTTTGTTATTTGTTGGCTTGAACATTTTTTTGTCTACGACATTGCTGAAATTATTTGGTAGGAAAATGGCATGCTTGTAAAAACAAAATTTTTACTTACAAAGAATATTTATTGTGTGGCAAAAGATCTATATTTTTTCTTTCGATTTATGTTCCAAGATATTTTTCACAACGCTTTTATGGTTTAATGTTAATATCGCTTGTGTAATACTTCACATTTCCTATAAAAAGTCGGAATTATTGTTCATGTGTTCATATAGAATATATATTGTCTTTCCAATTTTACAAGCATATTTTACATATACAAATATCTTTATAAGTGTGTTTCACTTCTCAACATGCACTTGTCACCTTGCTCATCAAGTGTTGATGATACCAAAGAATGTCTCGAAGATGAAAGCAAATATACAACACACGCTTTGCTATAATTAAGTGCGATTTCTAAAGCAAAGGCAGACGATAATGTGATAATGTAATTTGTCTGTTAGATGGAGCAAGTAGTTTGTTTTGGTGTACTGTGTCAAAGGAACCGTGTTAAATAAGTTTGACCCTGAAGTTTTTTTTGCAGGGGTGTGTCTATATTAGATTATACTGTACAAACAAAAAATGTTGGTGGTTTCGAGGTTATTCACGCAATGATGTTATAGACTTAATTTATAATTTCAACCCTTCAATGGAAAATCTTTGTATAGTGTAAACGTTTTTATGATTTTTTTTTTGTGATAGCTGATGAGTTTGTTGCTTCAACAACTACTTGCCTAATACTTTTATGTTGATCACCAACTTGATGGTATTTCATTGTTTGTCGAAAGGTTTTTACAAAAAAATCGTTTCTGATTGTTTCTTCAGCTTGTAACGTCGTCAGAAGGAAGTGCTAGCGATGTCGGACGTACTGTCTCGGAATCAGGCTCGGAACAGCACGATCAACAGTCAGTTCTTTCGGATCCAGATTCGACAGGTGTTCCACGAACAAGAGGCCCTGCATCCGGGGATTCTAGACCTCCTTCATTTCAGTAAGTTTAGGGTTTTGCTCAAAAGGGCGTTTTAATTAGGATTATTGTTCTGTTTGTTTTAAATGTTAAATATTTTTCAGTGGCCGTACGGGATTAAAGTCTGTTAAAGATACAGATAATTCTGATCTTGAATCCATCTGTTCTCGTCAATCTAGTCGACATAGATCTAGACGTATGTATTTTATCGCTTCGTTTCCAGCTTTTTCTTTATTTCTTGTTTTTGTTCAAGACGTAAAAAGTCATTTTTATCACATGGTTTTCTTCATTGCAGCCCATCGTTCGAGCAGTCAGCGGTATAAAGCTCCAGTGGACGACAGTTGCGAGGAATCGTCCATATTCAGTAGTGACTTGGATACGACTAGTGTTGCCGAATCAGAGGACGATCGTAAGAGCAGGTGTGTTACTTTATGCAAGGATGAATTTTGCTCACGATCCATTAATGTTTGCTTATGATCCATGATATCCTTATGGTAGGATATCCAGCATCACAGATGGGTCTAGTGTGTACCAAGGAAGACACAGACGTCGTAGGAGACGTCCACGAATGCCACACGTTCAACGGGTGAGTAAAAGGGAAAGAACTTTAGAGTTTAGACGACAGTTTCATTCGTTAATGTAGCTAATAACTGAACACAAACATTGTTGAAGCCTAATTTTCCCCTGTTGTAAAGTTTGAAAAAGGACAGTTGTAATTGGTCCGTTGGTTGTATTCTAATTGTGAAGTCTTCTTGGTTATACATTGCGTTGATCAAGTATTTTTTGTACTATGTTCGTACAATTAGCCATTTACTGCAATCACATGTGTTTTTACTGTAAACTGTTTTTTCACAGTGTAGGCGTTGACAACGCATAAATATTTCAGTTTACATGAATGCAATAATCACTTAAATGCGAATACTTTTTCTCCTATCGATATATCATGTCAGACTTGCTATTGTTACATCGCAAATGTATATAGATAAGCACATTAGGATGAGATTCACCGATTGAGGTACTTGGTTATATTTCTGCGTATAAGACAGACGTCTTCTTTTATTGAACTTAAATAAGCCCTTGTCTTTATTTTTGCAGTGCACTTCGTTCAGTACAATTACAGAATCAACCATGTCCTTGAATATAATCACTGTCACCTTAAACATGGGTAAAAATTCACTTGAAGATCGACATATACTCTGGACTGACTAATTTTTTGGACTAATCCAATTGTATTATCGACAGATAAAGCCAATTTCTTGGGTATAAGTATTGTTGGACAGAGTGGTAGCCGTGGTGATGGTGGCATTCATGTTGGCTCCGTAATGAAGGGGTAAGAATTTTCATAATCGGAATATTTTAACCTCAAAATCTTTTCCTACGTAATGTTTTTGTTATTTTGTTTGATTTTGCAAGGTTTTTGATTCAAACTTATGTTTGACTGTTATCATGTTAGTATCACCAAGTTAACTTTTCGTTCTCCCATTTTGAAAGTTCTGCGTCATAAATATCAGATAACTTGGTAAATCAAGTCAAAACGTCGCAGCTGTTTTTTTTTCCTGTTCTCATGATCCTGTCAATTTCATTCAACTTTCGCTAGCCAGCATATGACAATTTTCAAAATGCTTAGCAAAATTCAAACACTATTTCATCGTTTGTGATACTTCCATGTTGCAAATTCTTTATTCGTAGCGGTGCTGTTGCTCTCGATGGTCGTATTGAACCTGGGGATATGTTACTACAAGTAAATGATGTGGATTTTCAAAATATGAGCAACGACGATGCTGTCAGAGTTCTTCGTGAAATGGTCCATAAACCTGGACCAATCACATTAACCGTTGCTAAATGTTGGGATCCTTCTCCGCAAGGATATTTTACACTCCCACAAAGTGAGTTGAATTATCATTGTCACAGATAAGAGTCATATTTTACGTTGTTACAGAGTAAGCCATCTTCTATCACTTGTTTGAAAAAATATAACGTTGCTTTATTTTTGTCAAGGTGAGCCAGTTCGTCCTATCAACACGGAAGCCTGGGTACAACAGTTGGCTGCAATGCGAGGTACACGATCTTCCTTAAAGTTCACCGCGTTTTAAACTTTACTTACACATGTTTATTTAGAATTCCATGCGAAAGAGATGGTGAATCAATCTTTGGGAACCATGACGTCCACCAGCTCGTCTTTGACAAGCTCCTTACCAGAATCTGATAGTAAGTCACTGTTTCAAAAGTCTGTCTACGTTGTGTTTTTGAATAGTAACTTTTCATCATGTTTCATCAACTTTTTTACCTTTTCAAAGAATTTTTTTCTTTTGCATTACCTAACGTGTGCTCTCTTATCATCTTTAGGATTTACAGAAGAAAACTTTTCACAGCTTCATGTTAACAGTGACATGAGTCTCATTGCAAAAGCTCTAGCAAGTCCAGACTCGGGTCTTGATGTCAGAGATAGAATGTGGTTGAAAATTACTATTCCAAGTGCGTTCATTGGCTCTGATCTTGTCGATTGGCTCTTTACTCGTATCCAAGGATTCACGGATAGAAGGGAAGCCAGAAAATATGCATCCAATTTACTTAAGGTACATAAGCGACAGTATACAGTATATTTCACAAAGAAGCACATGCTAGTAAGGAAAATAACATCGCACAGTAACGTAAATTCTGTTATAAACTCGGAGTTTTTTTTATTTCTTTTCTATTAGGCTGGTTATATTCGCCATACTGTGAACAAGATCACTTTCTCTGAACAATGTTATTATGTATTTGGTGATTTATGCGATAGTAAGTATTTCGCTTACCATTTTTACTTTTTGAATTCTGAACGCAGACATGACTGAAATGATTTTGTTTTGGTCTTTCTTAATTTTTTGTTTTGTGTTTTAGAAATGGGAAGCATCTCGCTGAAGGAGCACGATGGCAGCGATCAAGACACCCTAGCTCCTCTACCTCAACCTGCAAATTGGGCGAGTAGCGTACCTCCCCAGTATTCTGCAGGCTGGCGTCCCCCTTATCCGATGCCTCAGACATTCCCTGATCTTCATCCTTACAACCCGGCTGCTTTCACGGCCCCATCACAGACTGGTAGCGGTAGCCCACGAAGTATAAGCAGTGGCTCGCAGAAAAGCCGTGAAAAGGACGTGGATGCGCAATCTCGAAGCAGTGGCGGAAGTAGTACGAGCGGAAGCAGTAAGGGGGATAGAATCTCTGTGAAAGAACGTCCAGCTGTTACCCCAAATGTCCGTGATTTTGGACGTTTAGATCAAGTTCCAGATCATATTGCTGCCAGTAGAAGTAGTTTCCAAATTGCATTGTCTAATCCATGTGAACTTTTTGTTGATGTAATGTAGAACTTTAAGTAAAACAAGTTAGTTACTGTTGATCAGTGTAACAACAATTATGCTGGCTTTGTGCTTTTTTAAGCAGTATATATGTATCGTGTGCGATGTAGATAAAAAATTGAACACATTCACGTTATTAGTTATGTTATAGAACGTTATACGAAGTTATCATGGCCAGCCATGGTGTCATTGTATTGTGAAGTTCTGAAGAAAAAACAGGTTGCAATATCAAGGCTCCTGTACTCTTATCTTTTAATGTAGTAGATCTTACTAAAGAGAGTAGGATGAAATACAAGGCACCTGTTGTCTCATTTTTTGATGAAATGGGCCTTACAGCTTGCTAATTCATAGGGAAGCACTTTGTGGCTACGACTAACTTATGTAGAGTGGATGTTAAACTAAAATCTATGGTCGTAGATGTAAATAGACAAAAGACAACTTAATGTTGTAAATTTTTGTGATCTTTCTCAATATTCTTGGCTGCTTTTTTCTTCCTATTGTTATATTTGTTACTATAAAAAGTAATTCTCAAAATTGGTGGTTTATTGTATAACTTGGCAATTCGGTTGAGCCCAACCCAACAGCACTCAATACCCACAACTACAAGAAACGAATGAATTTTTTTCTCGGCAGTGTCATTATTGTAACATGCAAGAAAGGAAAACCAAATAAAATCTCGATGTCATAGTAAATGGCTTGAACATGGCAGAACTAGTATTGTTACGTGGTTGTAGAATTTGATTGTATAGGTTGGTGAAGTCCAGAGGAGAACAGTTGATTGAAATCATCTTCATTTGACTCCATCAGCACTAACATTTACACTCCTTCTCCAAACTGCACTAACCTGGCGGACCAACATTTTTGGTTGGTGCAGGCGGTGGTTAAGTGTAAATTCAAACAACAGTTATCTTACTTTGCTTAAAAGCTTGGGACTAGAAATTTCTCAAAGAAAATTATATCCATATTCATCGTAAACAGACGGAAGTGTTTAGTCTACGTTGTCTTCCGATCTTTTTTGCAACCATATAAGGGGCGGTCTTTTGTTTCACGCAGGGGCTGTACGGATGTCGAGCTGCGGCATTGCAATCGTGTAGGTCGAAAGGAACCACTCCCAGTGTAAAGGCAAACGTTTTTCATTATTTTTCGCTTTTGGTAGATTTTGGATTTGCGAAGGCTCTCTCCTAATACCCTCTAGTTGTTTCAACAGCTTTGTTTGGGTTGAAGGTGCAGTTAATTGTGCGTGAAGTCCACAGAATTTATTTGGGTAGTTCGAGTAAAGAGCACAGAACGATAAAGGGCGAGAAGTATTACGTGCGTTTTATTAGTACTAAAACGAAATGAGTACTGATATAGATAGATTGCGGCAAGAGGCCGAAACTTTGCGGACCGAAATAAGGGTATGTTGTTGTATTACATTAAACTTTTCTATCAAAATCGCCAGGCTTCTATTGCAGAATCGCTAAATTGGCGTCGCTTATATTGTTTATTGTTCGAAGAGAAACTTAAAAACGTCGTTTTTTTTCCTGTTTTGTCTTGCTTTTCGTGTTTTGGTTTGTGTATTACGGTATCATGACTTGTGTACTGTATTATGTAGTGCTATAACGTTATAGTGTCTTTGTGGCTACGAAAAACGGACTTGTTTATCATGAGTAGCTCATTAGAAATGCCTTGATAGCTGTAACATTTTTGGCGCAGCTGAACGAAAATTCATGAAGCAATCCTATTGTTGAAGAATTTTTCTTGTTAGAAAAAAACAAGAAAAACATAAGAAATACATTTGAAATCTATCGTAAAATATCTTCACCAAATGCCTGAAAATGTGCTTCCCGATGTTGCGTTTATCACTCGTCCATGCTGTTGTGTTTTGCATATGGAAATACTGCGTAGTTGTCTTAGATTCGAGCTGAAATCTGTCAAAATAATGCTTTTTTCATCGCTTATACTAAACTATAATCATTTTCAAAAGTGCTTTATTCAGTGCTGATGAATCGAGCAGTTTTCTCTCGACACTATTGTGAAATCTGTTTCAGCGGAACTGGCGCAACATTCGTTGCACAAGACCTGCATTTGGTTTGTGACGAGTTGTCATGAGAATGCAATCTTTTGTGCTTCATTTTAAGCCTTCGCAATCTAGATCATAATTTTTGGTTTGGAAATATTGCAGTTTATTGTACAAATATGTTCTAATTGGAGTTCTATTACGGAAAATTGTAACACATTGTAGATTGCTACTTTCAATCGCTTATTCGTAGAATCCATTGCTAACTGGCTGTCTGTTTTAAGTTGACTTTAAATTCTGTGGAAAAACTGACTTAAGATTTTAAGCGTGATTTGAACGTTACACTTTGGGTTTAACGTTTTCCCAAATTTTAACTCCTTTATGTGATCATATGTGACAACGTTATAAACGTCATTTTCTTGCAATGCTTTTGTTGCAGGATGCACGCAAAGTGGCTGCAGATACAACATTAATGCAGGTACTTCTTCACTGATTTATTCACAAATTTTTGGCCAACCATTCTATCAATAGGCATGCTTGTTGTATTATTGTCTTTCTGAAGGCAATATTTTTAATAGGATATATTTTATTCCAATATCTGTTTGTCTACAGGTTGCCTCTAATGTTGAAGCGGTGGGTAGAATTCAAATGCGCACCAGAAGAACTCTTCGAGGTCATTTAGCAAAGATCTATGCTTTACACTGGGCTACTGATTCCAGGTATACACAATTGTATTGATGATGCCTGAAAAGTAAAGTAAATTGGCTTGATAAATTGCCACTTACGAATGGTTCCTTGTTATAGGAATCTTGTGAGTGCATCTCAAGATGGCAAACTGATAGTATGGGATTCTTACACAACAAACAAGGTATCTGGTAACGTTATTTATAAATGTAAACCATATTTATGTGAAATTAATCATTACTATTGTGAATTCAGGTCCATGCCATTCCATTAAGATCTAGTTGGGTAATGACATGTGCATATGCTCCATCAGGAAACTTTGTTGCATGTGGTAAGCTAATGATCTCTAGTTGTGTATTAGCCGTTTCTAAATTGGAAATTTTTTCCAAATTCATGTTGATCATATTTCTATGTAGGTGGATTGGACAATATTTGCTCAATCTACAGTCTCAAGACCAGAGAGGGCAATGTTAAAGTTAGTAGGGAGTTACCTGGTCATACTGGTCAGTAGATGCTTTTGTTTTTATTTCATGATAGCAAATGATTTGTCTTTAATCAAATGGTTTTTTTAAGATTTTTGCTCTTGTTGTAGGTTACCTTCCATGCTGTAGATTTTTAGATGATTCGCAAATAATTACTTGCTCAGGAGATATGACATGGTACTTTTTAATGCTTTGAATTTGTAATTTTGTGCTGTGTTGATTTGATCAATTGTAACATAATGTATTTCATATTTTATTTAGTTGCTTATGGGATATTGATACTGGTCAACAAACAACGACCTTTCATGGTCACACAGGGGATGTCATGTTTTTGTCTCTTGCTCCTGATGGAAGATCATTTGTATCAGGTGCTTGTGATGCATCAGCTAAGGTAAAAATTTGCATTAGTCTATTGATGAATAAGATACTACTTATCATCTTTCCTGAGAGTTATTGTTGCATACATTGCTAGACCTTATTGTTAAACATATGTCTTTATTAGAGCTAACAAAATCATTGACATGACATCACATTATTATATGCATGACATCACATTTATACCAAAGAATAATGCTTGGCAGAATTTGCTTATCAGTTCACATTGCTTTACATAAATGGTTTCATAGTGAAAGTTTGAAATTACACATCATGAATGTGTTTCTTTTATGTAAATATATGTAGATCTGGGATATCCGTGATGGCATGTGCAAGCAAACCTTCACTGGTCATGAATCTGATATAAATGCAGTTGCTGTAAGTTTTTCATCAGGCTGTTATCTATTTTGAAATTTTTATGAAAACATAGTTTTCATTTCATGTAGTACTTTCCAAATGGTAATGCATTTGCTACCGGATCTGATGATGCAACATGTCGGCTATTTGATATCCGAGCTGACCAGGTTTGTGCTCTTGATTGTTACTTTGTTGTAAGATGAAAAAACTCTTACAACAATTATAAAGGGATGAAGTGGGTGTAGCTTGTACAACTAGTGATTATTTGTGGTACATTATATTTTTAGGAAGTCATTGTTTATTCACATGACAACATAATATGTGGCATTACATCAGTTGCATTTTCAAAGAGTGGTCGTCTATTGCTGGCTGGTTACGATGATTTTAATTGTAATGTTTGGGACACATTGAAGGGTGAACGTGCTGGTGTTCTAGCAGGTCATGACAACAGAGTAAGTAATCTTGGTATCACTGAAGATGGTATGGCTGTCTGCACCGGTAGCTGGGACAGTTTCCTGAAGATTTGGAATTAAATATGTAACGCTGCAATGAAAGTGATGTGAAGTGGCTGCTGAGCCAGTAGTTATGCATTTATTTTGTAAAATGTACATGAACAACACTGATCAGACTTGTCTACATTCAATGACAATACAAGGCTTATGCAAGCAAGGCAGCACTGAATATCTGCTATATGTACCTCTATTTAAGTTTAAGCAAATCATGCATGATTGCTATTAATTTAGAATGAAGATTTAGGTTAAATTAGAATTTTTTTGTGTAAATTTTATGAATTGTACAAGTTGTTTAACAATCAAGTCAGATGTATTAAGCTGAACAATGTGCTGCAATGTGATCATTACAATAATTTTTCTTTCAAATGTGGGAAAGTAATGATGAAAGCATAGCCTCTTGGCTTTTGTGATGAGACTACAATGAACTGCTAAAACATGAGAGTAATTAGACTAAAATTGATTGATAGTTGTATAAATTATTAGGTCCTTTCACAAGAAGTAAACATTCTTATCTTTAACAAAACATAGCATGAGTGTAGTCTGGAAATTTTCTCCTGTAATTTGATTTTGAAGTATTCATGTAAAGTACATCTTGTGGTGTGAATTATTGGTTGGTGGGTACCAGACACCTTGCTGGTCTTTCATTGTAATTAAAGATATGGTGGATTTGGTGATATTTGTTTTCATCAAACATGAATTGAACGTAAAATTTATTTGAGCATTGCACGTTTCTCTCAAACAGCTTGTTGATTTGTTGACGTTTTTGTTTTGAAAACGTGCTTTTATTTTTCTTGCTAACTGGACAGTAAATAAATAATATAAATTAGCAGCAGGTAGATGCGTAATGCAGAATTGTTGGTGTTGTTATTGGTAGCGGTTGACAGTTGTCTCAGTGAGTGGCCTGAATTTTAAGAAAATGTTCATCTTAAATTAGTTACAGCAGTGTGGATTGATTGAAAAAATTTCTTTGTCGATGGTGACGTGTTTGGAAATGGCGTGTTTGACAATAAACTTGATTACACCATAAAGAAGCTTTGTAATCTTTGAAATTGCGCTAAAATGACCATGTTGTAAATTGCACCATCATCCTGCAACCTGCTCTTACGTTCGTTATAGTGACGTAAGTAACAGGAGAAGACCAAAAAACTTGAACTTTTTTTATAGCACTAAACGCTTTACTTTGCTCGCATGCGGAGGCAACAAGAAACATCAGTACGAGTTCTATGAATGTTTTATGCAGTGCCGTCATGGGTTCGAATCACGTTGAGTCACCTGATTTTTTCATGTCCTGAGACGATTGCTTAAATTGTCCAGCTAAAGTGCGAAGATCATATCTCATTTAAGTACGAGTTCTATTGTTTCATTGTAAAGATGGATAATAACTGGGAAAATTCACCGATAATTCTACCTGGAAATAAGGATGAAAATGACGCTAACGTTAACACCGGTGTAAATACGTCCTCTGATAGTAGTCCTATGACTCTAACTTTTAATAACTTACAAGTTTTTATTGAGAACCGCAAGATTCTTGATAATGTGAGCGGTTGTGTGAAGCCAGGAGAAGTTCTGGCTGTAATGGGACCTAGTGGTAAGGCAAGAACTTTTTTATACGCGTAAAGTTTATCACTGACATTTTCTGTCAGGTTGGGGGCAAGTTATGTTTTCTTTTACCGCTTGTTTTCTTTTTGGAACTGCTACCATCGTAATCGATAACTTTTAATGATATTAAATCTTTTGTTGGATTATATTGTCTGGACAATTGCGTCTCGTGCTTGAGTAATTATGCGTTAAAACCACAACATAGTTATCGCCGGATTTGCAAGAAGATGACGTTTTGCCATAGTAAATAATTTTTTAGCACGGCCTTTCATAAGACACCGCATAAAAGCTTTGTCCAAAACTGCAATGTAATCTTGCGGTGGTATATCTTTTTAAAAAAGCTGGTAGATAATATATAATATACCACTCATACCAGTCTATCAATGATCACTTTAAAATAACTTAATAAAGGTTCTGGAAAAACGACTCTGTTGAATTTTCTTGCTGGCCGTCAAGTTGGTGATCAAAAATCTGGTGAAGTCTTATTGAATGGTCGACATATGAATAAGAAACTAAAGAGAAAAGTCAGCTATGTGTTGCAAGAGGATCTTTTCTTTGACAATTTGACACTAAAAGAGACCCTTACTGTAAGATTTAATAATAAATCAATAATACATGATGAAATTGTATCTGATAAAATGTCATAGTGTATCATCTTGTCATTTTTAGTACTCAGCTTTTCTTCGGCTGCCAGAGAAAATGTCAAAGTCTGAAAAACTTCGGAAGGTATAGATCTGATAAATGAAGAAATTTATGGTACAGTTTTTGATAATATTTGATTTTCATGATGTGTAAACAATATTTTATTGGTTTATGTAGGTTGAAGAGATTGTTGAAACTTTGGATCTAAAACAATGTGTTAACACAAGTAAAAATTTATATTGTATAATCATTTGCAGCTCAAAACATTAATCAACAATTTTTTAATAAATGTAGAAATGGGAAACTCTATTAAAAGAGGCTTATCTGGAGGTATGAAAACAAGACTTATTGACATTAGTTTTTTATGTTTATAAAATATTTCTTCAATTTAGGTGAAAAAAAGAGAGCTAACATTGGATGTGAACTGATTACCAATCCTTCACTCTTGTTCCTTGATGTAAATATTTATCATCAAAAATTCAACCATTACATTGTTGTATATCATGGATGTGTTCTTTATTAGCTTGTGATGGTGTTGTTTGAATGTTATAGGAACCAACATCTGGACTTGACTCAAGTAATGCTTACAGTTTAGTGAAAACTTTGGAAAATCTTGCTGAAAGGGAAGCAAAAACAATTGTGATGACTATTCACCAACCATCAAGCCAAATATTTCATTTGTTTGATAAGTTATTACTTATGGTTCATGGAAAGGTAAAAATTTCACCACCTTTACATTGATATTTTATTTTATAACCCTTCGTGTCTTTTTATTGTTATAATTCACAACCTTTATTTCAGGTGGCTTATTACGGAAATTCTGCAGATGTGCTCGCATTTTTTGAGCATGTTGGTTATGCTTGTGAAGAACATTATAATCCAGCAGACTATATATGTAAGATTTTATTTCATTTCATATAAAAATAGAGTTTTATGATTGAATTTTTTTTGTGTTTCTCTAATACTTTAGTAGAGGTTTTGTCAAGTGGTATTGAAGCAGAAGAGAAGATTGTTTCTGCCTGTCAAGAATGGTAAGATAAAAATGCACTATCCATTGCTCATAAGGCCCTAAAGATGTGTCTACCATCCTTGCTCACAAGCCTATAAAATTGTGTCTACCATCCATTGCTCACAAGCCTATAAAAATGTGTCTACCATCCATTGCTCACAAGCCTATAAAAATGTGTCTACCATCCATTGCTTACAAGCCTATAAAAATGTGTCTACCATCCATTGCTCTTAAGCCTATAAAGATGTGTCTACCATCTTGTAGTCCGTAAGCTTTGACAAACAACTCTACTATCCAACGCCATAGAGATGTTTGTTTATCATCTCATAGCGAAGGTCATAAAGAAGATCCTGTAGCCAAAATCTTAGATTGGTGTATGGTAATGCTGTCATCTTCACCTACATATCACTATCATTGTCTTTTTCACAGGATTAAAGGAACCCTGCCTATTCCTGTTTGTGTAGAAAGACGAAGCATGTCAACCCAAAGCGAAAGAAATCGTGATTCCATCGTGCTACCTTTGGACTACTGCATACAAAACCGCTCGATTTCACGGGAGGATCGTTCCCTTGACTCTGTTAGCTCGCGTACTGGGACCAAGAGTACCGATAAAAATGAACATGATGACAATGATGAATCTAATGGATGCGTGAAGACGACGCACACAACGGCAAATAAAGGAAAAATTGGGTCAGGATTCCTAGCTAAACAAGAAACTGTCGTACATATCGATACTACAGGGAACAATCGAGTATCCTTTCGTCGAAACTCTATGGAAGCCATAAAGAGAATGATGGATAATAGTTCGGAAGATAGCGATGATGATAATGGATATCATGGGTTTCATTTGGATCACAGAGATAAATGGCCGACATCATTTTGGACACAGTTCCGTGTTCTCACTCATAGAACATTTAAACAATCAATGCCGATCATTTTATCAAAGTTAAATCTTGTGCAGGTTACTATTTTGATTGTAATGTAGCTAATATTGCTATTATGGATGATTTTTGTTCTCCAAAATTACAATTTTGTAGATTTAGATTGTCCAGATTAGTTTTGACTCTGAAGATGGCTACCGCTAAGCTTTTGAACATTAACATTAACTGTCCTCAGAGGACTCTATCTGGATGATCTATATCTACAAACACGTAACCATACACACTTTATTTACCATAATGATGGTGAATTTGCTGTTTTTCTTTCTTTGCAAGAATGTTTTGTTAGCTTTGATAATTGGATTGATTTGGTTTCAAGTGCCACATAAAGAAGAATCAATAAATGACAGACGAGGATTGGTATGCTTCATCATACAAATTATTTTACTTACACATGGTGCTTGATGGCAATGTGCATATGTAATTCTAAATATTGCGGTAAAGAAGTAAAAACATGAGTATCAGCTACCAGAACATAGATTTTACATTATTACCCCGAATTAATGATGCTTTATTGCTTCATTTATGTTTCATTTCTCGAGGAACGTTGTTTTTATTTTTAATGTTTTTCAATAAAGTTTGAACGTTTTTTTTCATGCATTATTTAATCCTGTCGGGAAAACAATCTATTTTCTCCGAGATCAATTGTTAATAATTTATGCTGTTTTATTTTCTCCTTTCAGTTATTTTTCTTTGTTACATATTGGACCTTCACTCCACTGTTTCGAGCTTTACTCACTTGTAAGTAGGGATTGCCAATGATTTTATTTTTTTTAAGATACTATTACATGTTTGTTAAAAAATATTTCTTTTTTATTCTTGTTCCTTTCTTTTCCTTTAGTTCTTTAAAACTACAATGTCTATTTTCTCTCTTTATTGTTACAGTTCCTTCTGAGGAAGTCGTCATTCGCAAAGAAAGATCGGCTGGAAGCTACCGTCTGTCTGCTTATTTTTTGGCTAAATGTCTCAGTGAAATACCATTGGTTATCTGTTATCCAATCATTTTTCTTTTCATATTTTATTGGCTATGTGGCCTTAATCCGAGTGTCGCGTTCCTTGGTCAAGCTTTAAACATCGTTACTAATGCAATTTTATCTCAGGTGTGTTTTTTGTTCTTGTACTATAAGGGTTTCTTATATAAAAAAATACGTTAAATGGTGAACTGTTTATTCTTCCCTGTATTGACTTTCTAGAGCAGGCCTTCCTAGCAAGTGGAAATAGACTTGGCTTAATGAATGTTTGACGTTTGAGTTATCTTATGATTGAACATATTATGTGTCGACTGCTTGATTTGAATTGTATATTTCAAATGGAATACCTACAGCTATATATATTGTACGTTACAGTCAATAGGTCTGGCTATTGGTGCCACAGTGATGTCTTTCAATGAAGGAATCGTTTTGCGTCAGTTTTTGCTCTTACGTGTATGTTATTGGGTGGATTCTATACTGACCGAGTACCTGATTGGTTACGTTGGACTCGTTATATCACCTTTCTTAATTATTCATTCGAAAATTGCCTCATTATGGAATTTACCGGAATCAAAGATCACAGGTTTGGTAATTAGTTTAATTATTGATTAAATAAGTTTATTTTTTTCGCTTAGCCTTGATATCGACAGTATATTTGTGACGAGTGAGCATATTTATAAGAAATATCATGAAATGTACTTAACCCCTGAATATATGAATTGACATCCCTCCAATGAACGTTCTAGTTACAGCACAGTACTCATTAATGACGTTCCTTAGAGGAAAATATACGTGAGGGGAAAATTTCACGAATGAATTTCGGATTTCTTTAAATTAACTTGCACAAATCTTTTTACTTTCGTCTTGTAGTTGTGCAGAAAGAACAAGTTACATTGAATGCCAAAATAATGGTACTACAATCAGTGGAAGTCAAATTCTTAAACATCTCCATGTCTCACGGACATATGGAGAGAATTTTGCCATTTTGTTAGCATATACAGTCATATTTCACATCATTGGATATTGCACACTGCGATTTCGTCATAAACCAAAATAATTTATGAAACATAAAGTAGTTTAGATTGTGTTCTGTTCAAAATAATTTTGTGTTTGTTGTGTTAAATGTTCATGTATTTGTCATGGTGACAATGAACATTGTTTCCAATTCCAGTAACCATTAATTCGATAGACTTCAAGGATTAATGAGCAATTAAAGAAAAAATATTAAAATATTAATATATGAATTTCGTAATAATTACAGTTTTATTTCAGATTTGTATTATAAATACATATAATTTTTACATAAAGAGCATACTACATCCATCCAATGAGGTTATAGTAATATAATTTTACTCATAGGATTTCATACATGACTTTACATAGAATTACACATCACAACATGTACCATTTGTTCATTCACAAAATGTACCATTCAATGTTATTTAATTCCTTGGTAGGAGTGGGTCTTTAATAGGGAGTCTTCAATGTTAAGGAGTACATAGGATGATTCATGTATTTGTAGGGGCATTAAAAATAAAAGTATGGATGGTACATGTATGATGAGCAATTCATTTGAAAAGCTATACATGTGTTTATCAACAGTTCATTTTTTAAATGACTTCACTAAGACCATGATGGCTTCTCATATTTAAATAAGTTTAGGACCCCAATGAAAACTTTTTTTGTATTCATTGCTGCTTCCAGGTCCAACGCTTGTTGCTCATCAGCAACAAGCGTTTACCTACAAATTATAATGTATGATATTTTATATTTAACCTAAATGTATTATTAATCAGTGAATACAGTTACACTTAACATACCTTCCTCATCCACCACCAGCCATTGGTGGAGGACTTGGTCCACCTGAAGAAAACATTGAATGAATTTTAAAATTAAAACAAATGTCACATAAAGGAGCATTTTCCACATTTCTTCCTACCTCCTCCACCACCAACACGACCCATTCGTCTTCCTGGAGGTCGTGGTGGTCTAACAACAAGAGTGAAAATCTATGAGTGTCTTAGAAGCAAATAATTTACCAAGAGCCCCTTACCCTCCACCAGGCCTTCGATAATCAGTTGATTGTGAAATTCCTTTCTTTGTCATGTCAGGCTTAAAATGAACAATTGTCAACATTACTTACAATAGTTATTATTCATTCAGAATGTTTTAGATATCCATAAGAAAATGACAATGCAGACTTGGAGTCTTGGTGCACGATGGTTTCAATTCAATTGATACTTACGGAGAACATTGTTCGAAAGCTTCATTTTCAAGAGGATATATAAAACATTGCAAATGAAAAAGAATATAAGCAAATATATCACTTCTTTCATCAAAGAAAAATTTGAATACGAAACAACAAACAAACAAAACTCACAAAAGTACCACGAAATTAATAATTCCCCAAAACGTATCTTGGACGATACTAGCCCGCCAAATACTTCGGCTTTCTTGTATATTGCCTAAAGAAAAGAATTTGAAATAGAAATTTAGACAACAAAAGAAAAAAAATGAAGGAAAATGACTTTTTTCTTACCTTGCGATATGTAAGGCATTTTGAAATTATAAATTGTATTTACCACTGATCTCTGGCGTAAATGCGTAATGCTGGAGTGCGTTTAAAGCCATTTGTGTGATGTCATGCTCGACAACACTCGACAATGCTCGACTTTGGTATTGGCGGGAATTTTGATTTGAATATAGTGACCTCTTTGGCAACTTCTTTCAGCCACATTTTACTTTTTTTTTAAAAAGATACTGCATATGTACAAATAATGAACATAGAGGACTTTTCAATCAATCGTAATTAAAAGAATATTGCTGACTGGGATTGGTTACGTCTATATTTTACCTGGTATTTACAAAGTAGGCTAACGATGTCATCAGTAAGTTTTAATCATTAAAATACTAGTCTTATGGGAAAATCATTTCTGTTTATATTTTGATTCTATACAGCTAAAAATTCACGTACACCATTAATTATTTTTCTCCAAGCTATCGCTACGACTGCATCTATCATTTAGCTGTTGCTACTTCCATAGAGATTATTAATAATACTATGGAGCAAGAGGGTTTTGTGTATTTGAGGAGGTGGGGGGGAGTTAGGTGCCAGATGTATTGCAAGGTTTCTTGAAGGTGCTTAGCAAACACAAAAGAGCTAAATATGCTTTGCCCATCCTTTTGCCATGCTCGGACTCTTTCTTGAAAACTTTTGTAAGTGTTTTTGTTCATTTGTCTGAATGCAGCTAACATCAAGAAATATTATCAATTTGAAACGTTAGTAAATGTTTTCAGCAAGCTTTTATTGTTATAGTTTATTCTTATGAACAACATCCATGATTTTAAATTTACTGAATAAGTAAAAAAGCAAAACAAACATGTTTTACAAAACATGAGTGGTTTAGACCATAAAGAATTACAATATGTGATGAATTTATTGTGTTATAAATTGATTCTGATTATGTTATGTTAACTGTAATATTTTTGCAAAATCTTAACAATATATCAGAGTTGGCCACTGTAGCTTAACATCAGGGAATTGATTTTGTCCTCCAAACTGCTCGTACCATTTTTTGGACTATAAATCATGTTACAATGCCACCTCTAGTGTTCTACAGTTACCAAACCGAGAGTGCAAGTTAGGGGGGACTGGTTCCCAATAAACCCAACTGCATAACTCCCCAGAATTATATTAGCTGATACGCTTATCTACCAGAAACGACGATATGGGACAAGCTCCTACAATTTGAATACATTTTGTGTTTATTTCTTTATTTTGCCAAGGCATATCCATGGTTTGATTATTGCCTTTGTGTAGAAATAGAAAATTTACTAAATTTTTGAGAAATAATAGAAAATTTTCTAATTTTACGGGGGGATTTTCTGCATCATTTTTTACGGGGGATTTTCTGCATTTTCTAATTTTACGGGGGATTTTCTGTTTTGATTTTAGAATTTCTCTATGATACACTCTTCCCTCGAACAAATTGAGCAGTATTTTACAATAAAAAATATTTTCATAATCGATTTTCATTTGATTTAATTTGTTCAATTTGTGTTCTAAAATTGCATGCTTTATTTGGAAAAGCTTTTCTTTGTTGGTTAAAGACGTCGACCACAACTTATCGCTGGTATTTATGAGTTTGATCTTGTTTGCATGTTGAAATTTTCTATCCCGCGATGTTTCCTTAATACAATCTGTCAAATCCTTCGCGCATTAAAATATTTTCCGTTCAAATTTCATTAATTTTGATTGTTTTTTATGTTGTAATCAATGCAAGTTACATAATGAACAAATGCCTATTGTTTGACCTCTCTTAAACTAAATACTTCACTGGAACGATGACTTTGACACGTTCAATTTTCTTCTTTTTTTTTTTTGGGGATTGAGCTTTTACAAAAAGGGATAGTATTTGAAGAAAAGCGCTAACATTTTCATTTCGTGAATTATAAAAGAAATGACCACACGCAATAGTGAAAGGCCAATTTCCTTTTTATAAATCTACTTAGTCGAAACATGATGTTACACCAATAACATCGAGACTAATTCTAAAGATGTATTACCTACAGTTGACAAGTATTTTATCTTTTTATTTTCATCGTAAACAGTTGACCTGGTGTGTCTTTCCGGAGGTACACGACCTTTTATTGACCCCCGATACATCGCACGCTATTTTAATTAATCAATGCGCGCTAAATCTTCTGTCTTCCGCACAGACGCAGAATAACTTAGTTGTCAGCATCCAAGGGATCATTATTCGACTGGCTGTTTTCGTGGTGAGACGACACCAGAGAGACGCTAGCATTTTCTTTCACGAATATTGCATATTGCATATTCATATCAAATTACAAAGTATTTCATGCATCGATCTTACTGGACTTCTCAGTATTGTATACATCACGTTATTTTGCCAGAAACTGTTGCTTTTAAGAGAAGGTTTGGATCTGTGAAGTTAGACATAAGGACAGCTTGAGTGGTAAGCCGCAATGGCAATTGCTAATTACTGCACTCAAGTGGTGATTCTGTATTGGCTATCGTTTTTTCAAATCATTTATGGCGATGTTTGTGGAAGCGTGAATTTAAATGAACACAGTGTTGTGATCGTTGGTGAAATTCAAAATGAAACCAAGAGCTCGAATACTATATCTGTTCGTATCTTAGAGAATATTTATGGTAATATTAGTCACCATAAATTGGAGTTATCACAAGTGAACAAAATCAAGTCTTGTGGGCATGCGCTTAATATTGGTGATCAAAGAATCTTCGTTATTGACGCACATCCTGATCGCAAAAAATTTTCTTTGTCTGGCACCCTACCATTGGGTCTTAAACACCTGACACTTAATGCAAAATATGGTACGTTTCTTCAAGTTTGCTTTGCTCCCTTCCTTTGCTCTTGCACGTAATCATTACCTTATGTTTTACACCTGTTTAATTGTTTATATAAAGCAATTTAAGAACTTCAAACACTCACTTGCTATTAGATTACATCAATAAAGGGTAATTGGTTAGCGTTATAGTGTAGTGATGCATTATAGTTTTAAGCACTATCATTGAAATCAACCTTTCGTTACTGTGGAGAGGTTTCGTAGATTTTCTATTACACGTATCACAGTGTGAATTTTCGTCATCATTGGCTATTGTCCCAAATTCTAAACGAAATTAACTTATTAAAGAAAAGTTATTTGTGACTTTCTTGTCCGTAATGCTAACAGAGAGAATAATTATATGGATACTTATGAACGATAGAAACCGAATGAAATTGTTTATTTTATGGATATTTTGTAAGCACTGCCGGCTAAACCTTTAAATACACACGAACTATTATTGGATAGTAACACTTGCGTTGACAGGTGGTCTGTTGGGCAGGCATATTGCCGAAAAAACTAGAACTGTCACATTTTTAACCTTGAACCTGATGAACTCTTTAAAAGGGAAGTCTTTTTTCGGCCATGAGTATAGCGCTAAAAAACTTCATGATTTATTTTTCTGAATAATGAAATACAAAGTTGAAATTTGCGTGAGTTGGTACAATTCGTTGCCAACGATAGTCACATTAGGTTTAGGACGTGTTGATGAATTAAGGTGTTCACAAGCTTCAAAGATTTTTACATCATTTTTCATCATCCTCGATATGTTGAAACTAGTTTCACTTTTTTTCACACGGCATCTAAAAGTGACTTAAAAGTAGATTACTAGCAAACCGCTTGTTGGGAAAGCGAAAGTAAAAGTTTCACCGTATACAAAAATCGCTTTATTTTCCTCTCTCTTGGCTATCAGATTATAAACACAAGTCGTTTTACTAACATTTAAATGTTAATTCCTTTATCTAAAAACCAACTTGCCACATGGACTTTTCTAGCAATTGTTGTGAGAAGACATAGATGCAAACGATACTCATCTTTCCGACAGTAAATCTATTTTAAATTTTTACCCGTGCATTTTAGAAAAACTCGAGAATCGTGAATGGCTGGAGAGTTATTTTGCTGCAGACGTTGAGACAAAATGTAACGAGAATTTTCAATGTCAGAGTGGAGGATATTGTATTGTTCTTTCGACTGGTAAACCAATATGTCGATGTCCAATTGTTTGCACGAAGGAATATGATCCGGTGTGTGGTTCGGATGGCATAACCTACCCTAACCCTTGTGTTGTAAAATACGAGTCTTGTCTGAAACAAAGAAACATTACCATCATCCATTACGGTCATTGTGGTAAGTTTGTCCAAAAGTAATTTAAGTCACCTTTGCTTTCGTTGTGAAAGGGAAATTTAGATAGTTGAGAACGATAAAATGTGTATATATTTCAGGAGTTTCAACTTGCCGTGACGTTCTCACGGAGGAACTGGGTCGTGATGATGGTCATTATTTTCTTCAACTAAACCGTAAATGCCAAATTCCAGTTCGTGTATATTGTCATGGTATGAACACGACAGAACCCAAGGAGTACCTAAGTCTCCCACAAGGTGAGAGAAATAACTACGCTATAGTATATGACAAGAGATTGCCTACAAACCCTGTCAACACGAGGTATCGCTGTGATGGTCTTGTTGGAAGATTGGATTATTCCAGAGCTGGAGTGACAAGATTCAATAAGGTAAGACTTGATGTTGAGAAAATGACAATCATTACGGACGATTTTACGTTTGCTCATGTTGAATCTGGGAGATCGATCAAGTTTGGCGAAGCAGGTGATTGTTTCTCAGCTAATCCTGGGCCATGTAGAAAAGGCAGTTTCAAGATTGACCTCACAAATACTGGATTGCACGTGGACAGGACAGTTAGATGGTCTGCAAATGGTTTTCCACTCAATATTAGAATGCAAGATTTCTACAGATCAACAAGCAATCATGTCGTGTCAGCCAAATGTGGTGGCTGGTGCGGACATTGCGGACCTGATGGGGACGTAACGGTACAGCAAGATGAATGCATCAGACAAGATGGTAATTGTAGTTTTATTTAATTATATGCAAATATTTCCCTCTCATGTTCTGGCAGTATAACTAACATCTGATTATAGTCTACATCGTTTGACATTGCTATCCTTATTGTATTTGCCATGACATACTATATTGTTGGCATCGATAAATGAACCGGCACGTGAAACCTTAAACCCCACAGCTATAGACTACGAACTTTGTTGTAAGGTATCTGCTCCATGTAGTTTTTATCGACGTTGTTGTTGCAATTGAACAATATTTACTTTTATTAGATCCGTGCATATCAATTCAGTGTCCATATTATTCTATATGTTACCGTCATCCAAACTCGGAGCTTGGCTACAAATGCGCTTGTCCAAATCGTTGTTCCAGCCGGATCGCGCAAGTTTGTGGTAGTAATGGACGTACTTATGATAATGAATGTTTAATGCAACAAGCTGCGTGTAGTATGAAAACAATGATAGCACTTGTTAAACTGGGAAGTTGTGGTACGTTGTCACGTGAACTTCGGTAAACTTATTATTTGTTGTATTCTTTATTATTTTTTTCTTCGTATCCTAGTGAGCGAGGAGGCAGTGGATGTGATTTATTTGACGGACTTCACCAGTGAGCAAAGACAAACGATGCTGATTCAGACTCATTCATTTTATAAAAATCTGTTGAATTTCTTTGATTTTGAATCATCAAAAAGTCAATTGGGATACATTATGCATTCTGCTACCGGCAACTCGTCCGTTGAATTTTTTGAATATGGCTACAATCTCACCGTTCTTCGATCCTTTATTCCATACATACCAAATAATCCATACCGCAAGCCTTTGGAGATGATACTTACTGAGGTCTACAGCAACTTCAGTGCAATGCTACAGATTGGTTACCCTCGCTCTACCATCCCTAAGGTGTTAGTTATTGCTAGTGATGGTTACTCCGTTGTTGACAGGCTGGAGTTTGAAAGAGCGGCGAAGTCTTTAAAAGATCTAGGCGTGATGATTGTCATGTTTGGTGTTGGAACCAGAAACTATTATAACATTTTAAAACCAGCTGCATCAGATGAGGCGTACAGTTTTTGGGCAAGATATGAAGTTCAAATGCCGTTAATGAGCGCTAATGTTGCTAATGGTATAACTTCAGGTATGCTTTCAATACTCTTATTGTCGTTTTACTCAAATAAAATGTAGTTGCTTGTCTCGAAGTTTGTTTCTGATGCCACCCAAAACAAGTGGCGTTTTAGGAAAACAGGTTCAATATGTAATTTCCAATTTACCAATAATGCTGGAAATATTGTGTTTCTTGTAAAATATTATCTATAATATTGACAGGTTTACAAAGTTGTTTATGGAAGAGGTGTCACTATCATAGTTATTGTATACAGCATCGTATTGGCCGAGCCGAGTGCGTCTGTCCCGAGGCGAGCGACTATACAGATCCTGTGTGTGGTAGCAATGGGAGAACATACAAAAATTACGAAACTCTTATTCAAGATTCATGTCAAAGAAGGACGTTTATAACATTACGGCAGCAAGGAGCCTGTACTGTTGGTGAGTTTAATTTTGCGTATCGGATTTGACATAACTTTTATTGTCATTAATATTGCCTTCCTTCAATCTTCATGTAGGAGTTTGCAAAAGCATGATATGTAGTCATTATTCATTTTGTCAAGTCAACAGCTTGAATGCAGCGCAATGCGTGTGTCCAACTTCGTGTAGTACACGCATGGATCTCGTATGCGGTAGCAATAGTCAAGTGTACGAGAATGAATGTGAACTACGAAAATGGTCATGTAACAACAAGATTGATGTAACTGTTGCTCACACTGGACCATGTAAGTCATATTTTATTGACATCTCCTAATGTTCTTCAACTACCCAATGTATATCATCTACCCTCCAGTACAATTTTTCAAAATATTTCAGTGTTTGCTCTTTAATAATGCGTTACCTTTACAACGTTTTGAAACATTCTTTATTTTTTAAGGTAAATCCATTCCTATTGATGTTGTTTTTGCTATTGATGGTTCAAGCAAGGATCATCCCACTAGTTTCCTTCAAATGAAGAATTTTATTAGTCGCATTGTTTCATTCTTGCCTGTATCCAAGTCAGAGATAAACGTAGGTGTGGTTGAGTACAGTGACAGGCAGTATGCTGAAATAAATCTGGACGACTTTTACGACAGTAAAGCCATCATAAAAGATATACAACTGATCAAAGCCAGCGAAGGTTCATCAGCAAAAACTGGGAATGTTATCAAGTTTGTACGTGAACAAATGTTTGCCCCAGGACTTAGAAATCGACTTAATGTGTCAAAAGTTCTTGTCTTGGTGACTGATGGCAAGGAGTATTCTAACGATTATCTCCTGTCTGAAGCAGAACTCATGAAACAGACTGGTGCAAGAATACTAGCCGTAAAAGTTGGAAGTAAACCTGACACATTAAGTTTGGGCAAAGCCATCAGTCCTACAGAAAATCTTTATTCAGTGAATGAGGTCAATAGTCTAAGGCGTCTTGCGTCGCCTGTTGCAAGGGATATATTAAAAATACCAAAAAGTAAGTAAAGCCATTTTACTAACGTACTACATAATTTATTTTATTTAGGTAGTTAGGTTTTATGAAGACGTACAATTATAAAACAACAAAGGCAAAACATGTGCTCTGATTGGTCGATGCCAATGTTTTGATCAGGCCATCCAATCAAAGCACGGAAAATGAAATTGCTGTCGTGAAAATTTCAAGCATGCCTGAAGACATAGTCGATTTCTTGCCAAAATTTTCTTGAAGTGCATTTCTGGCAGTGGGAATGTGAACTTAAATTAACACTGGCTTTTAACTTGTTTCAACAAATGCTTTATAAAACTTACTTCCTCAATGACTTTTGCAGTCGTGCATCTCTTCACCATGCAGAAAAGTGAGCAACAAATTAACTACAGACATTTGGAACCGTTGATAACATGACAACCATCCACACAAACAAGTATTATACATACCTGTAAATTAGTTAAATTATTTTATACAGTTTATTGAAGTTTACACACGGCAGTTCGGTCTCAAGGCTTAATTACGTGTGAATTACAAAAAAATAGTTTTGAATGATGTCATAATACATTGAATATCAAAATTTTATTGTAATATTAAAGAGCTTATACTAACACTAATTAAATTCTAAAAGCAAAATAGTCCATAAAATGGTTCGTCTTTAAAAACAGGCAATGCATATTTTGCACACTATCTAAGTTGAATGTTGTTTGTAAGTTTGCTAAAATGGAGTCATTATACAATGTACGTCAAATAGCATAAATACTAATGTTTTGATTTTATTAGGTACGTCTGACTCTTTGTTTGATGTTGCGTTCATTCTTGATGGCTCCCAAATAAGCCGATCTGAATTTTCCGAAATAAAAGACGTTGCAAAGTCATTAGTATCAAAATTGAACGTGGGAGAGGATAAAACTCACATTGGAGTCATTGAATTTGGACAAGATGCAAGAATAGCCTTGCCCTTTAGTTGGGTGAATAACGAAAACCAAGTCAAATTGTTTATGGACACGATCCAACCAACTGGTGGAACATCTAGACTTGATCGAGCATTTACGAAGACAAAGGACATCTTTAATATAGAACAAGGATATCGACCGGGAGCAAGTAAGATTGCAGTGTTGATTGTAAACAGTGAATATAATGGTTTGGATGTTACCTTGGAAAAGGCGATGCAAGATCTGAGGAAAGATGGCATAAGAGTGTATATTATAGCTTCCAACAGACCAACTAAAGAGCGCTTAGAGACTTTAGTACATAAAGATGATATCACAATATTGACGAGATTATCATTTGTGCAGAATAATGTCGATCAATTTGTGAAGCGTATCAGAGATGAAGATGAAGGTAGGTGCTCATTTTAGATATTATCTTCGTGAGAATACTTTTTCATCGTTGTCTTTTATGTTTCGATGACACGGTATGATTGAAAAAACCATGATGTACAAGAAAGTAAATAAAAATTTGCATTTCTTATTTTTCATTTTCTTTTTACAGCCAATATTCCTGTTTATGACATTGGATTTGCTCTGGGTGCATCTGGATTCCGGCAAAGCGACCTCTTTCTTTTACAGAAAGAATTCGCGAAGCAAATCATCGCTTTCCAGTCGAATGCTAAGAGACGTTATGGTCTTATTGTATATGGTCCAGCGACAGTTAAAACTAATTTTCAACTGTACAAAAATGAGAAATCTTTCATGAAAATTATGAGTGATGTCCCATTACCAACCTCTTCTGACGCTAACCTTACGTCAGTTCTACGTCAAGCAATGAAACTTTATCAATTCAGCCCGGCAAAATCCCACAAGGTCCTGGTTTTGTTTATTAACATTTTGTTGCTTCCAACTGAAGTCAGTGCCTTAGCTGGGGCAGCACGTGATCTTTATCGTCAAGATATCCGTTTGATTTTGATAAACACCAATAACAACGCGGACCATTCAAAGTGGGTACCAGATCCCTCGCTTATTGTTGATATAGATCCTCGCAATACAAATCAACGAGCTAACATTTACAAGGCTGGAGGTTTCCTTTTCAAAGGTAATACCAGAATTCAGTATCTTTCGTTTAATACGTTTCTTTTGGAGGATTAGAAACTAATGATCTACCTTGAATAAATTGTGCTGTTCGATTTTTTGCTTTACTTTAGCACCGTGTTACGCTTTCCCGTGTCGCTATTCTGCTAACTGCATACCTCATGCAGATAATACAGTCACTTGCCAATGTCCAACAACTTGCCCAGATCTCCATGACGTTGGTCCAGTTTGTGGTAGTGATGATGTGACGTATGACAATCATTGTGACTTAAGAAGAAATTTGTGTCTTAAACAAACCGACATCATGATAAAGAACCTTGGACAATGTGGTATGAAGTTTTATGTTGTTGTTCTTTTATATAATGTTCTTCTTTCACAGCTTTCTCTGTCTTTCAGTTGTTCATTCACCAGTGGATATCGGCTTTCTTCTTGATGGATCTGGTAGCGTAGGAAAGGATGGGTTCCGCCACGTTTTGAACTTCGTCAATTTGGTTGTCACGGCTTTTCGTCTTTCCCACAATGCCACGCAGATTGGCGTCACTGAGTTCAGCAACCGACCAGTAATTCAAATACAACTCAACGAGTATCAAAACTTGAGTCTTCTACAAGATGAAATCAGTAAGATTACTGATTCAGGTGGCCGTACCAGAACGGATGTTGCTTTAAGATCTATGTCCCGGGAATTTTTTACCTACGACAAAGGTTCTCGTCCAGGTGTCCCTAAAGTTGTTGTTCTTGTTACCGATGGCAGATCAACTGGAAGTGAGCCATTGTCTGATGCAGTTAAAGGACTTCGTCAAATGGGAGCAATTATCTATTCAGTTGGCATCGGAGATGAGATCAGTGAGCAGGAACTGCACGATATAAGTAGGACAAGGAAAGATATTTTTTTATCAAAAAAATTTGATTCATTAGGCCTGCTTGCCCCAGAACTGGTGGAAAAGATCATGAAAGACCTTAGAGGTAAGTGCAGAAGGCAAATATACCTATTTAAGATTACCAAATTGCATCCGGACACTGCTCACTTAACATATTCCACATTTTCAGATCTTCCTCTATCAGATATGGAAGTGATGTTTGCGATAGGAGCTTATGGATTAAACGCTGCTAATATCTTTAACCAGGAGAAAACGATAGTGAGCTCCATTGTTGATAGTCAGGGACTATCGAGAGTCAGATATGGTCTTATTCAATATGGCTTGGATTTTGCCGAAGTTTCACGAAGTATATCTCAGTTTAGAAGCAACAAAGCATTTAAAGAATTTGTTGAAGCAACAGTTTTAAAATCACGTGGTAAATCTATCTCATTAGCGATGGACGTTGCCAAAAATGAATTCTCATCAAGCAATGTTAAACGAAAAGTTTTAGTTGTTTTTATGAATGACTTGACGGCGAAAGAAATCGAGAACTTAAAAAACGTCTCAGCCGAACTTCGTTCTCATAGTGTTAAAGTGGTTGCAGTTGTTTACAGCAGCCGTCGCATAAATAATGAGATGTTTCAACCCATTGTTTCAACTACAAATGATGTGTTTTCATGGTTAAGAGAAAATGAAACCGCGATCGTTGGAAGTAGAGTTGCCTTGCAAATATTCAAAGGTTTGTAGTGTATTTAGTTATCATGAACCTACCAATGTTTTGTTGGGATACAAGAGATTGCAGCATGAATGTTCTGTTTAGATCCTTGTCAATCAATCCATTGTAAAACAAGTGCGCAGTGTATGCGCACTGTAGATGATACAGCAGTATGTGAATGTCTGTACAACGACGTATCACTATTGGCTGAAGTGTGTGCAAGTGATGGTAGAACATACTCCAGTTTTACCAGCGTACAGCATGCATCGTGTCGTCAGGGTTTGCCACTCACCGTAAAACATGAAAAATCCTGTGGTAAGTAAAGTCATAAATTATGCATAAGGTAGCTACTAAAACATGAATGATGATTTTGAAAACAAAATTCCAGTGTGCAGTATTTTGCTTTGTGGAGCTGCATTACGTTACATTCCTCGTTATCATCAATTCATTGATTTTTTTCTTAGTCATGTGATTTCATTAGTCATTCTTGTTTTCAAACTTTCTGCTTATTTGTAAAATTAGTTAACCATTCTCCTTAGAAACGAAGCCAATCTATGATCTGTTATTCATTCTGGACGGCTCATCGAGCATGTCATCACAAGATTTCAAAGTTTTAAAGATATTCATAAAATCCATCATTGATTTAATGGATATTCATAAAACTTCCACGCGAGTTAGTCTAATAGAATACAGTGATAAGGCTTTTCTTCAATTCCCCTTGAATAAGTACTACGATAAAGCTGCTCTTAAAGACGCCATTGATGATGTGATCGCGTCACGTGGTCTGAGGACTAATACGGATCTGGCTTTGCAGTTAGCCATTGATGAAGTTTTCATCCGTAGTGCTGGTGACCGCCCGGGTGTACTAAATGCTGTCATATTGGTCACAGATAGTGAATCTACTGGTATTCTTCCTTTGTCTCAAGCTGTTAAACCTTTACGAGAGATTGGGACAGATGTTTATGTCACGTCTGTTGGAGCAGCAACAGATTTACAGGAATTGCATAATTTAACAAGCGGAGAGAAACGATTTTATCAAGTTCAAAGTGTTTATGATCTTATTAAGTTACCTTCTCGTCTCGTACGTAATATGATCAGCAACACCCGAAAAGGTAAAATTACATTTGATGCTTAAAATCATTTGTGCTATTGCCAACAAATATTTCCTAGTTCTTTGAGCCAAAACAAAAAGAGTAACATTGTCCAATGTCCTAGTGACTAAAGTTTTGTGCGTGATCACGAAAACGAACAATGTTTTACTGTGTTTTTGTCTTTGTCCTTTTTATATTCTTCATTTTCTTTGCAGATCTCTTGGAAAAGGAGTTAGATATAGTTTTTGCTCTCGGTGCTAATGATCCGAATGGTGCGCGTATATTTGAAGAAGAAAAGGCGCTGGCCATATCCCTTATGAGCCAACAGAAAGGGATTCCTACACGTTATAGCGTGGTCACATATTCCAGTACTTCAACCACAGAAATGTCTATGCAACCATCAATTGACACCTATAGACTTGAAGAGAATGTTCGCAGTCTCAAGTGGCCAGGTTCAGGCTCAGGTGTTCACTCAGCCTTAACTCAGGTCAAGTCGATATTCGACCAATCAAAACCCGGCTCGCAGAAGGCTTTTGTACTCTTTATGAGTGGCGAGGCGTCTGCACCCTTAGCAACTATTCGTGAGTTAATACAACCTTTAATCAACCAAGGTGTGCGCATTGTTATGGTTGGTTATGGTGATCAATTAAATTACGACGAATTGCTTGCAATTGCCAAAAATCCTAAGAATATTATTACTCCAAGTACTGACAAAGATAACGACACTTACAGAATTTCCTTGGCTTTTTTGAAAAGTAAGTAAAGTTTGTAGTTGAACTGTAAATTTTCATGCAATCAAAACAAAATCGAGCATTCGTACTAAATAGATTTTTTACTTGTCCTATAGATCCTTGTTCCATGATGAAATGCCAACATAAAGCTGTGTGTAAAATGACTATTAATGATACTGTGTCATGTTCATGTCCTTCAGTCTACGACTGCTCTTTAGCAGACAAAGCTCTTTGTGGTAGCGATGGGAAATCTTACCTCAATGAATGCCATCTTAATGCAGAAATTTGTCAAAATCAGAGAGATATCAAAATCAACCATATGGGAAGATGCGGTAATTATATTTAACATCAAAAAAACTGTTCACGTCAAATGTATGTAGTAATGCTATGTTAGTTAATGATTAGTGGATACTTTAATGAGCTTAACTGAACTGAGTTTTGCAGCCAAGTGTTTGAATAATCAAAGTTTACAGTGGTGTGTGAAATAGAACAATGTAAACGTTATCAATATACTAAAAACTATTCTTAAACTTTATCATTCAGGACCTGCTCATATTTTGGATCTCGCCATTGCTTTTGATGGTTCTGATAGTCTGACTGAAGAAGAATTTAAGAACCTTAAAGATTTTGCAAAGTCAGTTGTTGAGACGTATAACATCTCTCCTCTCGATACGCGTGTGGCTATACTCGAATACAGCAACCATCCTCAAATTGTCTCTACACTTCGTGATGGCATTTCTGCAACTAAAGTGTTTCAGACTCTGCAAAATCTTATTCCTACGCGCGGAGTGAATAGCCGAATGAATGAAGTCCTTGAGGAAGCTGCTAGAAGCGTGTTTAATCCTGAGGCAGGCGCACGCGCAGAAGTTCCTAAAGCATTAATTCTCATTACGCACAGCAAGTCATCAAGTCCTAGACCATCTGTTCAGGTCCTTGAACAACTAAGAATGAACGGTGTGAGAGTGTATGTTGTGGGTATTGGGAGTCATGTGGATACACCGGAGTTCGAGGGGATTGCAGCAGGAAAAAGTGCAATTTACTCCATAAATAGACCTAATGAACTGCCTGGGATCTCAAAGAATGTTGTCATGAAAATCAACGAAGATATCAAGAGACGTAAGTACTCTAACATCAATAAGATTTACTTCTGTCATTTCACGGCATTGAGAATGGTCTCATTATTTTAGAAAACGACAACAGTCAATTGGATATTGCTTTTGTTGTTGGTGCAAGTAATCCTGGTGGAAAAGAAAGCTTTCAATCTCAGATGAATGTCGTAAAGGAAATAATTGTTCAAGATAAACCAATCTTTACTCGCTACGGTTTGATAACATACGAGAGTAAGGCGAACATCAGAATGGGATTTGGGGATTATAAAGATAACTCCATAATGATGAAATTTGTAGATTTAATACCATGGACTGGAAATGGTGCGGGACTTAATGATGCATTGGACAAAGCTAAGGAGCTTTTTCATGAATCATCACCACTCAAGTCTAGAAAAATTTTAGTTGTCTTTATAACATCATCAACTGGTGCTTCGATCACTGAACTCAGAAGACAAACAAAAGAACTTCGTGAAACTGGTGTAAATATTCTTGTTGTTCCCATCGGCAACAGGCCAGACAACAACGAGATATCAGCGATCACCACCAATAAAGACCTCGTGATTCGTTTAAATGCCACCCAAAACATTGATCCTGTGCTCAAGGGGATTGTGAAAATCATTTTTACTGATCCATGTAGGGCGATTAATTGCAACTTTTACGGTGTATGCGTGTCATATGAAGATGGAAGAAGCCGCTGTGTTTGCAAGACAACATATCCTGATAATTACGAGCCTGTGTGTGCCTCTGATCTGAGAACATACAGCAATGTTCACGCTATGAAGGTTGCATCATGTCAATCAAATATCACGATCGCCAAAGTATCTTTTGGAGAATGCAGTATGTTTCAAAAATATCAAAAAGTTTTCTAAAATCACAATCTAATTTTACTTTTATAACGTTTAGATTATGAGAAGTTGAGAGTAACGGATCTGGCCTTTGCTTTGGATGGCTCTCGTCAACTTACCGTGCAAGAATTTAATCGTTTGAAGGCATTTGTAAAGACTGTGATTCAAGAATATGACGTGTCAGAGAGAGGAACACATGTTGCCGTGATTGAATATAGTGATGCTGCAAGAGTTGCAATATCGTTCAAAGATACGAAAGATTTAAATAGTTTCAAAGCAGCAGTTGATCGTGTTCGACCTTCTCTTGGCAACATGGCGTCTGTAAACGAAGCATTGAAATTGGCCAGAGAAGAATTGTTCAGTCCTATTGGCGGTAGTCGTCCAGGAATTGCAAAGGTAACATAGAATATTACAGGCAATTGAAGTGAAAGAAATTAACTATTTTCAAACTATCTTCAAAAAGATTGTATCACGAAAAAGGTACTTGTTTTGCTCACTATTTTTCTGAATTTAGGCTCTGGTTGTCCTCACAACAGATGGCAAAGACGACCCAACGACGGATGATACTGCTTTCCTGTTAAGACAAGATGGCGTTGTAGTTTTTGTGATTGGTCTAGGAAAACAAGTTGACCCGACGATGTTGAGAAATATTTCAGGGAACGAAAATCACGTGTACGTCGTACCCAGTGTACAAGGATTGTCAACCGTTGTACGTGATGTGATAAAGGATCTTGACAAAGGCAAAGGAGGTACTCTCAGTGCTACATCTAGTACTTGTTAGTTAGAAAGGTAATAATATATGAACTGTTTAATTACTTCAACGTTGTTTAATTCTGTTTTAGACTCACTCGAACATCTTGATGTTTTGTTTGGTGTTGGTGCCTCGGGCAGCCGTGCAATGGATGTTTTTGAGTATGAGAAAAAACTTGTGAAGCACATTATTAATCTTCCTACTATAGTTAGAACGCGTTATGCCTTGATTGATTATTACAACGCTACAAATATTTTGATCGACCTGAACGATTATAAGGACAAAGAAAAACTTCAAAAGCGAATCGATCTTCTAAAGTGGCAAGGAAATGGTGATCAGTTTATGGATATTTTCACTACAGTTGAAGAGACCTTTAAATGGGGCAAAGGTTCAAGAAAAGTTTTCTTGACCTTTATCAACGATCTTCAAAACGTGGATCTCAATGTAATAAAGCAGTCTGTAAAAACTTTAAATTCTGCCGGCATTAAAGTCATTGTAGTTGGTCTTGGAGAGAGAGTTTATTATGAGGAAATGCTTGCAATTACATCATTGAATGGTTTGTCTGGGAAAACAACCCACAGCGTTAAAAGACTTGGTGATCTTATTGGTGCTGCAGCTTTGAAAGGTGCGTTTCTTTAGATCTTTATAAGCTTTTTTTAATGTTCCGGTAAAGTTCACTTAAGACCATCGTTATGTTTTATCTTAAGTCATTAACCTGTTGTTTGAACATGTAAATATAGTAAATATATTCTTTTTCTTCACATAGTTCATTTAAATATTTTTTCACAAAGCTTCCAACTTCAAAACTTTCTTGCATGAAACTACAAGGCTTCTTCTGCATCACTAGTTTTATTTTTATTTCCACTTTAGATCCGTGCTCAACAGTTCGTTGTTCATATCATGGCCAATGCATCGCCAATGTTAATGATTCATACACATGTCAGTGTCGTGATGTGGACTCGTGTCATGGAAAACACAATCCAGTGTGTGCTACGGATGGAAATACATACATCAATACTTGTTTTATGAAGATCTCCTCTTGTAGGAGAAAAATTGAAATGGATATAAAACATGATGGGATATGTGGTATATATGTTGCAGTGCTTTGTTGTTTTTCGAGTTCTTATGATTTCTGAATATATTTTCGTTTATTTGCTTCTTTAGTGTCGGAAAATGTTCTTGACCTCGTCTTTGTGGTCGAAGGATCCAGACATGTCTCTCCACAACTGTTTATGCAGTATAAGAACTTTATAATATCAGTCATCAGTAAATTTGACATATCTGATACAGGCAGTCATGTTGCACTTGTTGAATACAGTGACAAGGCTTCCGTTGTTATTTCTTTGAAAGACTTTCAAAATCCAGAGTCTTTGAAGTTAGCGGTGGAAAGAGTTAAAGCATCTCGTGGTTTAGGTGTGGTTACAGACCAAGCCATAGGACTGGTAGCTAGTCAAGTGTATACATTGGAGCATGGTGCGCGACCTGGAGTACGAAGAGTTGTTATAGTTCTCACAAGAAGCCCGTCTACTGGTAGTGAATCTTTAAGATTGTCATCTCAAGCTCTCGCTGATCGTGGAGCGAGAATGATAGTCATCTATTCTGGTGAAAAGGATAACTTCAAATTAAAGAATATGACTTCTGATGGTGTTTTCAATGTACCTCAAAATGCTGACTTTGACATTCTTGGCTCAAACATCGCCAATAAAATCATGTCTGACATAGAGAAAGGTAGCGAACCTAAAATCACTCTTGACGATCTAGAAAGTTTCGGAAAAAAATTACCTTGCTTTCTTCAAGTTGATTATCCATTGATTAAAATGACCATATGAGTTTCATAGAAAATTATTTTCGATCTTTTTTTAGTTCCGCTAAGTTTTTCAAGTTAAGTTTCTTCATTATAAAACTATTTTATAAATAAATTCTTTATTTTACTACAGATAAAAGGAAAAATATTTTGGACGTGATATTTGTGCTTGGTGCCAATGGCGTTGATGCTGAAACCATATTCTCCAAACAGAAAGAACACGTGAAGTCTTTAATTGGCAAAGCTAAACACGTGAATGCTGCATTTGGTGTTGTTCAGTATAGCTTTTTTGGTCGAAAGACCCTGTCAATGACTCCTCAATCCAGTAAACAAGATCTTTGGTCTAAAGTTGACAATTTTAAACTATTGAAATATGGTATAAGACCGGAAGAAGGTATGAAGATAGCCGTACAAATGTTTAAGGATGAAGGTCGCATGAATGCTCGTCGTTTGGTCCTACTCTTCGTAAATGGTTTCGTGACAGCAAACAACCCACAATTGTCACGCATGATTCAATCTTTGTCTGACGAGGATATTGAAGTATTTGTGGTTGGATATGGCTCAAATGTTAACCAAGATAAAATGAAAATTTTTTCAACACGAGTAGACAATATGTACATTGTGCTGCCTCGTGAAACGTTGGAAAATACAACCTCAATTATTGCTGAGAAAACGCTCACAGGTTTGTACAAAATGCAGTCTGTTGATTGGATGGTTTGATGTTCACCGATGTCAACACATTGAATTTATCTGAAAATTTCAATGCGCTTTATTTTATTTAGATCCATGTGCTACAGCAAAATGCCAGTATGGCTCAATATGTCATGTTTCGTCCAATCGTTCTATCTCATGTATTTGTCCTTCGTGTGAGAAAACTTCGCAAGACACTGAGAGAATTTGTGGAGATGATGGAATGACATACGAAAGTAACTGTGCAATGCAAGCTACTGCTTGCAGGGAAAAGAAAATTATAACAAAAGCTTACAGTGGACATTGCGGTAAGACTTAAGACGAATGCATAAAATTGAATCAGCTGCGACTGCAAAAATAGTCAACAAAATTCTTTGTATTACCACTATACAATGATATCATTACTAACCTCATTTTGTAAATCAGATGTTTTTAAACGTGTGACTTCCCTCTCTATAGACCTCTGCGACACAAGAAGATGCAAATTTAACGGTGTTTGTCGTGTTGTATCTGGTAACAATACGGAATGTTTGTGTCAGCGTGATATAACTACAGTTTATGAAGCAATATGTGGAACTGATGGTCATACATATAGTAATCTCGATGAAATGATGTTAGAAAATTGTCGAAGGATGGCACAAACGGAAGTCTTGCATTTTGGTGCTTGTGGTAGGTGCTAATGAGAAGAACTCAATACTTGATGAAATGCAACTGAGTTGTCCTTTGCTTATGACTTGATGACTTGATTTTCTGTTATTGCAGTGATGGGAGAAATTTAACACTTCACGTGTTTGTGATTTTTACGTTTTTTAGTTTCAAAGCCTTACCCTGCTCCAAAGAATGCCATCGATCTTGTTTTTATTTTGGATGGCTCCAATAGTTTGACCAGAATGCAATTTGATAACGCAAAGAAACTCGTATCACGTTCCTTAGATCGTTACACCATCTCATCTGACCACACTCAGGTTGCTGTCATTGAGTATAGCAATACTGCACGTGTTGTGGCATTTTTAAATGATTATATGGAACGTAATGGACTACAGGATGTATTAGATAACCTCCAACCCTCGCGTGGTTTAAATGCCACTGTTGGTAACGCCCTAGAATTAGCCGCTGACCATGTATTTGTTCCTGAGCGAGGATTACGTTTAGGTTTTCCAAAAGCATTGGTTCTTCTTACCAATGATAGGTTGAGTGACACAGAATCTTACCGTTATGCAGTGGAGAAATTAAGAAAGAAAGGTGTTCCAGTATATGTTGTTGTTATGAATGAAAAACATGATAGTAAGGAAATAGAGGATGTTGCAACTAGCCCTAAACACGTGATCAACACTCGTATACCGGATGACGTGAAAAACCTTGGACCTAAACTAACCCACGTGATTGATGAAAGCATTGAGAAACGTTTGTATTGATTAGCTTTGTTTCTTTTTCAGAAAACTGCCAGTAATATCCTTCTTTTTTTAATATTTTTAGGTAAAAAGCTTCATGCTGTGGATATGATATTTGTCATGGGTTCTTCAGATCCAAATGGTCGCCTTATTTTTGCTAAACAAAAGATATTGTCAAAGAAATCGTAGATATTCCTTATCACAGTGATGTAAGGTTTGGTGTTGTGCAATATGATAGCTATCCATCAGTGCCTGTGCGCTTAGGCTATATTAGGGATAAGGATAATCTGAAACAAAGTATTAATACAATGACGTGGAGAAGAAATGGAATCACCCTTGCGCATGCGTTGCGTAGAGCCGCTGATCAGTTTGTCAAAGAGGGACGTTCGAATGCAGATTCAGTTTTGATCGTGTTTACTAATGGTAATCAAATTGCAAGTGAGATAGAGCTGTCTCAGGTTGGAGCTATGTTACGTAAACAAGGTATCACAGTTAGAGTTATCACAACAGATGGAAGCACAAAGAATGTGTTAAGACCTTTGGTACCCAAAGATTTTGATGTTGTAGTGGTAAATTTGACAGATCCAGTCTCGAATGTGGTGATCACTACGATAACTAACGGTTTGCTTGCAGGTAAATGTATAATTTAAAGTAAATCACTGGGGTTTTGATTGATTGTCTGTAATATTCATTTTGTTTCTGATCTATGTTTTTCAGATGTTTGTGCTGCGACGTATTGTCAACATGGTGCTGACTGCATTAGACAGTTTGATGGAACAGCAAAATGCGTTTGCAGGCAATCTTGTTCAGAAAACTACCTTCCTCTATGTGGGTCTAATGGTAAAACTTATATTAATGAATGCACAATGAAGAGGGAATCTTGTCTTTGGAAACTGGAAATATCACTAAAACATTCTGGCGTGTGCGGTGAGCAATAAAATGAATAAAACGTAGAATTTCATTTAACAATTGTTGTTTGTTATCTCTGAAATACAAAAATGTATACAGCGTCATTTACATCATTTAGATCGGGTCCTTTGATGTCGAACAAGGACGTCATAATACGGATTTTCTTTTGTTTTCTAGTTCCCAGCATTGGTACAAATCTGGTCATTGCTCTGGACGGTTCACAAAATGTGAAACCAGAAGATTTTGACAAAATGAAGAACTCAATTAAAAATATGCTTAAAATAATGATAGTGTCTCAACAAGACAGCCGTGTCGGTGTGGTCGAATACAGTGATCGTGTTGACGTTGCTTTTCATCTGAATAAATACATAAGCAAAAAGGATGTCGTTGCTGCCTTGAATAATATCCAACCTTCCATTGGTAATGGACAAAACTTGAATGAGGTAATGTATCTTTTTTTATCAATGAAGTTTTTAAGTTTCAACGCTCATAAACCGATCTTATCTCGCTATTTTTGCATCAGGTCCTTAGAATCGTCGCAGAAATGTTCACAGTAAAGAATGGTGCTCGACCTGGTCAACCAAAAGTCTTTATTCTTTTCACAAGTGGTAAATCTACTGGAACTGAACCATTGCAACAGTTTGTGAAACAGCTTAAATCTCTGGGAGTCACCATCTTCGTTATTGGTACAAGTTATGACGTTGATCGTGACGAGTTATCGAGTATTGCGCCTGGTAACAAAGATGACGTATTTGTGACAGATGACTGCAATGATCTTTCACCACTGATTTCGAAAATCGCTCTGCGTATTAGTAACCATGTTATTACAGGTAGTTTTACAATGTTGATGTTTATGCAAATCTGTCTGAGCTAATTTCTTCTTTGTGAAATTTAAATATTTATTGCAGTTCAACCATCCATGGATGTTGTGTTTGCACTTGGAGCATCAAGTCCCATTGGGTCATCTGTTTTGAATCTGCAAAAAGATATCGTAGAAAGCATTATGAATCTGGTGTCTTTAATCAATGTGAGATATGGAATGCTGGAGTACGGAAAATCTGCTAGGGTTGTATTGGATCTTGGTGGGAATCGGATACAAGTTCAAGGAGCGCTGCAAGGAATTTCTTGGAAAAGTGATGCTACTGGATTGGATGAAGTAAGTTGATAAACAATATGTTGATTCAACATAAAATGGTTTCGTTAAATGTTTTTTCCAAATAGGTTTTACGAAAAGCTTCAGAAATGTTTCAACAAAATTCTACAAGAGGTTCACATAAACGCCTGATTCTGTTTGTCACCACTCAGTCTACTTCACTGGCTCAAAATATTCAAAAGGGCGTCGATAGCTTAACTAAAGCTGGAATTGATATTATAGTGGTGTCTATTGGCAACAATGTTAAAATTTCTGAACTAGAGACAATAACTAAACGGGACAAGATCCTGTTCGTTGATCCCAGAGACTCTGCGAAAACCATAAGTCCTGGTATTACTGAACACGTTATCCAAGGTAACGAAAGTTACGATCTATTATCTGGGATTAACATATAAATTCTAACTTCTTTTTTACTTTTCGTAGATCCATGTAACAATATTGAATGTTCTTTCTACGCAACATGTGCCTTAACCTCATCAAATATAGCCATGTGTCAGTGCAATTTGTCGTTGAGTAATTCATTTTCTAAGTTCTCTCATAAATTATGTGGTAGTGATGGAAAGGTGTATGGCAGTAAGGAGGAGATGAACTACGAATCATGTAGAAAACAAGAGAAAATTGATATTCAGGAATATGAGAAATGTGGCAAGTGTATTAAAATCATCTTAATCTACATTCTACTTTCATATCCTGTATTATATATTGAGTTAATCTTTCTTTTTTACTCTTTTTACTTTCCAACAGAACAAAGCCTGTATAATTACCCATTGGATTTGGCATTTGCCATCGACGGATCAGATAGCATGACTTCAACAGACTTCAACTACGTTCGAGCGTTTATTAAATCTACCGTTGATCGATTCCCGATATCTGAAGACGATGTTCGTGTCGCTTTATTAGAATATAGTGATAATATTGATATGAAATTTGGTTTCTTGACTCACACCAACAAACCAGGGTTACTAAGAGCTATTGATGGAGTGATGTTCTCTCGTGGATCTGGGGTTTTGACTGATCATGTTCTTGCTGAAGCTAATCAATTATTTTCACCCATTACTGGGTCGCGTTCTAGAGTTCCTAAAGTTTTGGTTGTTATAACTGATGATTCGTCTACTGGAGGGAGACCACTTAGTGTTGTTGCCAGTCCACTGTTAGAAGCAGGAGTGAAAGTTTATGTCGTTGGAATTGGGCCCAGAGTGATTCCCGCAGATTGGACAGATGTTGTACAAAATGAAAATGGCGTGGTTGTTGTGAACACTTCGGATCATATCAATATTGTTAAGGATAACATTGAGAGAAACATCAGAGGATATGCTGAATCTAGTAAGTATTTCTTACTATTGTAGATTTGATTTGTATTGCTAGGATTCTGATCAAACAGTCAAAAATCTTTTTTCATAGAAATTTTCCAGAGAAACGAAGTTATTTTTGTTTTTGGAACTTCTGGTAATTCTCAAGTATTTGAGAGATCTCGACAAGTCATCAAGGAACTTATTAATCAAGAAAGCTTACCAAGTTTGAGTTATGGAGTGGTCGTATACGGTCAGAAAGCTTTGTCTGTCATTGATCTCAATTTCAACTGGAAGAAGTCCAAGATAACGGATTTTATCTCTAAGATGGATGAACCACGACCTGGCATCAAGTTCAAACTAGGAATTCAAAAAGCATTGGAAATGTTTATTGAACAAGGAAATCCTAATGCGCATCGATTGATCGTGTTATTTACCCACAGTCCAACTGATGCAACTTCCGCTGAATTGCACGCAATAAAAATGAACTTTTGAAAGCTAACATTCGATTGGTTGTTGTTGATACTGGTTCATCTAGACGTCAGTTGCTTGATGTTTCTCCAAACAATCAAGATATTTATATTCTGTCACCAACATTAAACGTGAACGTTGCCACCATCAAGGTTTCTGAGATTATCAATAAAGGTGAATATCTATTAGTTGTAAATCTTACTCTACCTCTTTATTGAGCCATAGTACTTGAATCTTCTTAGATCCATGTTCTCGAAGAATCTGTGAGCACTATGGTACATGTGTTGCAAATGCTGATGGCACAACGAAATGTCGATGCCTTGAAAAATGCTTTCCTTATGAAAAGAAATCCGGATTTGTGTGTGGTAGTGATGAGAAGATTTATGAAAACGAGTGCTCACTACGGAAACACGTTTGTCGTAACAGCTTGAACATTACTATCAAAAACTACGGCGTCTGCTGTAAGTAACAGTACAGTAGTATATCGATAACTGTATTCACAACTCAACAATTGTATTGTATTAAATCGTTGTTTTTTTGTAGCGTACAAGAAATTTGCTGACATTCTCGTCCTCCTAGATGGCTCAGCTAGTGTCAATGATCATGATTTTAAATATTTCAAAAATTTCGTCCGCTTACTTGTTAAGTCTTTCACGATTTCTCATAATGGTGTGCAACTCGGTGTCATAGAGTTCAGCGATCAGCCTAGACTAATTATTCCTCTTAATAAATTTTATGATGAAGATCAAATAAACAATGCTATTGGTTCGATCCAGCCCTCTCGGGGACATTCACGAATTGACGCAGCATTAGAGTTTGCTCGTCGTGTTGGATTTAGTTTGATGAACGGAGCTCGACCCAGTGCTCATAAAACACTTGTTCTCCTGACGGATGGGCTGTTCCCCGGTGGTAAATCACTTGATGACGCAGTGACCTCGCTGAGTCGAGCCAACATTCTTCTATATGTGGTTACTATTGGTAACGAAGAGCAAACTTCTGATGTATCGTCAGTTAAAACAAGTGGTGGATACGTAAATAGATTAGATGAAGCTAAGAAGATCAACACAGTTGTTCCTGGTCTTCTGAACAAGATAAATGAAAATTTAAATAAAGGTTAATAACTATAAGAAAATGTAGAACACCTATTTTTCATGATGATAATTAAACTTTCTTTTATAGTGACGAATGAAAAAACGGACATGATTTTCGCATTTGGTGCTGATGGTTCTTACTCTATCTTCAACATGGAAAAGAAACTCGCGAAAGAAATCATCGACTCGTTTGATACCATAGACATAAAATACAGTGTGATCAAATACGGAGATAATGCACAGACAGTGCTACCATTTAGCGACGTCAGTAGTTCCTTAATGTTAAAGCAGTTTATTGACGCAATGCCATGGGAGAAACCGGGTCTAGCCATCGATAAAGTTATCAATAAAACTTTGGCTAACTTTAAAAATAATGGTCGCCCAAGTGCTCGTAGGGTTTTGGTGTTATTTGTAAGTGGACGCTCAACTGTGGATGACCACCAATCGCTTGATCTAAAGAGATCCCTTGCAGAAGCTGGAGTGAATACTGTTGTGATTGCAATAAATATTCTAGATGAAATGGGAATTAAGAGGATCATTCCTGCAGATAAACCAATCATCAATATCGACATTAATAAGAACACAAAGAAAGCTCTTCCATCCATCATAAGTGACATCTTTCAAGGTATTTTAGTTTTACGTTGTATTGTTTAAAGAAAACAAGAACTTTAATTTGTTTGATCGACTTTTTCTTAGATCCGTGCCGTTCTATTGTGTGTCCTTCTTCAGCGAAATGTGTCTACGACAGGACAGGCGCCCCCATATGTCGATGTAATGATGAATCCTCGTGTATTGGCCAACATACGACAATATGTGGAAGTAATCGAAAGACATACAAAAGTATTTGTTTGATGAAAGTAATGTCCTGTATAAAAAATGAAGATGTTAAAGTAAAACATGTTGGAGCTTGTGGTAAGATTCAGAAGTAACAAATGCAGTTTTCATATTCTACGTACTTTTTACTGAGATGCAAATGTTTCACTCACTAAATATATGCAAAAAGTTAGAAGTGAGAAAGCTTTTCACTTTAGATTACTATATAGTACATAATTTCTACAAAAAAACCTTGTATAAGATTAACTAGAACAACATGTAGAGCGTTATTAAAGTAATAACTATGGTTGAACTCCTTTCAATGTTTTTTTATTAGTTTAGCATTTGCATTTGGTCACATATTCATTTCTTTATGAAGCTAAATAGTCATCATATGAGTAAGGCTTCACAACGATATGTCTTCTTGTTTCAGAACCAACAGTTGCTCTGGATGTTATATTTGCCCTGGATGGGTCTGTCAATATTCGTAGCAAGGATTTTGAAAAGATGAAAGATTTTGTAAAGTACAGCGCGAGAGAATACAACATCTCTGCATGAGACACACTTGGGAGTTATTGAATATAGTGATAGACCAGTTTTAAAAATCAAACTGTCTGATCATAGAGATGTGGAGTCATTTATCAGTAGTTTAAACAACATACAGCAATCTTCAGGTCGAAGTGCAGTCACTGATGAAGTGCTACGCATGGCAGCTAGCGAAGCTTTCAAGTCTTTCTCCGGTGGTCGTCCAACTGCTCAAAGGAGGCTGATCATTATAACTGGAAGTAAGTCAGCTGGTTCCGAACCAGTTCAAGAAGCTGTTATACCTGTTATACGTGAAGATATTCAAGTTTATGTTATTGGAGTGGGACCTCGGATTAATCGTAAAGAAATCATGGAAATTGTTGCACCAAATGATGATCGAAAGTATATTTTGGATGCTCTTCAACTAGAAACCCTGGTTCAGCCCATAAAAATGAAAATCCTAAATGAAGCTCAACAAGGTTATAATTTAAAATCTATTTGTCATAATTGTACGCCTACGCGTGATGTAAACGATTATTTATTCTTGCTTTTAGCCATGAATAACACTAAGCTTGATATTGTCTTCGTTCTTGGTGCTCGCAATCCATTTGCATCACGTGATTTTGACGTCATGAAGAAGATCGCTCAAGAGATGATCAAACAACCAAGACCAAGTGGAACTCTTTATGGCTTTGTAACCTACAGTGATCGAGGAATAACTAGGCTAACACCGGACATACCGAAAGAAATCCTCATGAAACTTCTAGACTTGATTCCTTGGCAAAATGAAGGTACACGTGTGGATAAAGGGTTGAGAAGGGTATTGAAGTAATCAGAGAAGGAAATCGACCTGGTGCCAAAAAACTATTGATTGTTTTTATGAATGATAAGACAACTGCGTCAAGCGACAATTTGATGAATGTACGAAGGATGGCTGAAGAGTCGGGTGTTGATGTTATTGTTATTGGTCTTGGATCGCGTGTTAGTCCGGAACAAATGGTACAACTGGTTACTGATGGTGATGATATCATCCTAGCTAACATAAACGGTGAAGTGGATTCTGCAGTAAAAAAGATAGCTGACAAAGTTGCTGAGACATCAAGGAAAGGTATGTATTGCTTTTTTGAAGGAAATATTTTTATTTTATTTTGAAAAAGGTTTGATCTTTTTTTTCTGTGTTTTTATTGCATATTCAGTTCCTTCTCCATGTGAAAAACTGCAATGCCACTTGTACACTCGGTGTGTTAATGGCAAAATTGCACGATGTCAATGTCCATTAATATCTAAGTGTGCAACAACTGGTCAATCAGTATGTGGTAGTGATGGTGAGGTTTATGTTAGTATTTGTGCAATGCAAGCTGAGAGTTGTAAGAAGAATATTACTGTTACTATGGCCAAGCCTGGAGAATGCGGTAAGATGTTGCATAAAAAATGTTACTTGCAAATTATGCATTCGTTTTGGGCCCCAGGATTTAGGGACAATATTTCTTTAGCTGTCAACATGTTTCGCATGTATGTAGGATGGTAAGAAATTTTACACATAGAGATGTTGCTATTAATGTCAAGGAATAGAGTTCATATCTTAATTTCATGCATTTCATTTCTATGTAGTCTAAGTGGTGATTGGTTTAAGATGCTTTACACTTCTCTCTGTAGGAATATCTGAGACAACGTTAGTGTTTGTTAGTGCAAATGAAAGAACAGGTAAAGAACCGCGTATTGCATGGCGATCTAGCATACCAGCTATATTCAAGTGTTCACTGGATAGTAGACCTTTCGTCAGGTGTGGAGATCTTAATGGATTGAGATATACAGGGCAATGGATTGGAAGGAATATTTCTGAAGGTCTTCATATACTTCGTGTAACACCGGTTTATGCAGATGGGAGTGAAGGAACAACAATATCTCATTCGTGGATTGTTGGTAAGGCTTTATAAATAATAATGCAAGTTGTGTTGTGGTTTCATGTAAGGATCAATAGGACGATAATTAGACATCCTTATACATTTTAACCTTATCACGTAGCTAATTATTATTACATATACACTGTTTCATCATTCTACATTTTCATGGTAGGTTTTCCTATTTTTAGATTCCACTGCTCCTTTTGTTATAATCAATCCTTTCGCATCTTTAACTCGGCAAAATTCCCCTCAATTCCGATGGACTTCCAATGAGAATGCGCTGTATAAATGTGCAATCGATGATTCAACAACGTTATTTGACTGTGGATCAGGTAGAACATCAAGATGGCAGTCGTTCGATTTAACTGATGGTCAACATACATTTTATTTAAATGCTGAAGATTTATTTGGAAACAGAGCCGCAACACAGGATCTGACGTTCACAGTTGGTAAGAAAAGACTATCATCCTGTACAGTAATCATCATTGCGGGTTTGTATCTTGTAAACTTATCCTTACCTACTCTGTTTTAGATACCACGCCTCCTTTGGTGACATTTGTTTTACCACCAGAACAAACACCAACAATGATCTTACTCAAGTGGACGTCTAATGAATTTGCGTTCTTCCATTGTGCCCTAAATGACTCTATGTATTTGGAATGTGGGGAAGGCATATCATCACAATGGCGTAGTTCTTCATTAGGTGTTGGTCTTCATACGTTGCACGTTCGAGCTACTGATAGAGCTGGAAATATCGCTACGAGAAAATCATACAGCTGGATAGAAGGTATTTATAAAAAGGATCTAAAACAGATTAGACAGATTTTGGTTAATTTCAAATATCCATAATTTTTTTCAGCACCATTCGAAATCAAAATTACAGAGCAACCTCCTCCATATGGAAATCGTCAACCTGTTTTTAAATGGACAGCCACAAGAACAGCAACCTTTTTGTGTTCTTTGGATAATCAACTTTTCAGATCATGTGGACAAGGATTAACTGGTCAATGGACTTCAAGAAACATAATTCCAGATGGAAGACACACATTTAGATTGAGAGGAACTGATAGTCGAGGAAATATCGTGGATATAACAGTTGATAATTGGTTGATTGATACTGTTCCTCCAACCATTACTTTTAATGATCCTCCTGCAAGAACAACGAGTTTTCCTTCCATTTCATGGCAGTCAACAGAATCAGCTGTCTTTGAATGTTCACTGACAATGGACGATATGAAAATTGTGGTAGTGGACGTACTGGAACATGGAATGGAAATGATTTAAGAGATGGTAGACATTATTTGTCAGTGAGAGGAAGAGACTCTGCTGGTAATATAGGAAGAACAGTAACTCATCAATTTGATGTTGGTAAGCGAAAGAATTATTCATATAAATTAATTTTAAGAAAATCAATGAAATTTTTTGCTTCATGTTATTTTGTTTTTTTCTTGAAGTTTACTTGTTTTGGTTAATTTCAAATATTCCTCATTTTTTTTCAGCACCATTCGAAATCAAAATTACAGAGCAACCTCCTCCATATGGAAATCGTCAACCTGTTTTTAAATGGACAGCCACAAGAACAGCAACCTTTTTGTGTTCTTTGAATAATCAACTTTTCAGATCATGTGGACAAGGATTAACTGGTCAATGGACTTCAAGAAACATAATTCCAGATGGAAGACACACATTTAGATTGAGAGGAACTGATAGTCGTGGAAATACCGTGGATATAACAGTTGATAATTGGTTGATTGATACTGTCCCTCCAACCATTACTTTTAATGATCCTCCTGCAAGAACAACGAGTTTTCCTTCCATTTCATGGCAGTCAACAAAATCAGCTGTCTTTGAATGTTCACTGGACAATGGACGATATGAAAATTGTGGTAGTGGACGTACTGGAACATGGAATGGAAATGATTTAAGAGATGGTAGACATTATTTGTCAGTGAGGGGAAGAGACTCTTCTGGTAATATAGGAAGAATAGTAACTCATCAATTTGATATTGGTAAGTTTTGTTTGTAAGAAAACTTCATTCTATGATTTAGTAAATTCTACTTAAAAGTTTTTACAAAATCGTGGCAATTTTCCACAAGTTTTTATTTTAAATGATTTCATTTTCATTTTGTAGATACAGTTCGTCCCATTATTACTTTTATTAGTCCGTCATCAAAAACTAATGGAACACCCGAATTTTCATGGTTTTCGTCAGAAGACGCAAATTTCGAGTGTTCACTCGATAGGAGAGCATTTGAAAACTGTGGCAATGGATTGACTGGACAATGGCGTAAGCAAATATCACGTGATGGTAACCATGTTCTTTTGATCCGTGGTGTTGATCGTGTTGGTAATACAGGGCCTTCTACTAGACATTCATGGATTGTTGGTTAGTTTCATTGATTCATAAATAATCGTACGGCTCTTTGAAAGTTTAGATTGTTTGAGGAAGTCTTGAAAAATAGCTTGATCTTTATTTTCACGCCTTTGATATAAGAAAGGCACTTTGATAACGTTTATTTCATTAATAGATACAAGAGGTCCCATCATCACCTTTACTCGTCCACCAAGGATCACGAATAATACACCATCTTTTTCGTGGAAATCTTCTGAAGTTGCTTCTTTTGTTTGCTCGTTGGATGAAGGAGTGTTTAAATTATGCGGACGTGGTGTCAATGGAACATGGGATGGTCAAAATCTTCGTGATGGTAGACACGTTTTCTCTGTGAGAGGTGAAGATGATGTCGGTAATCTTGGACGGAAATTCACTCATTCATGGATTGTTGGTAAATTATCAAATCGTTCAAATAATCCCAAGCATATACTATTATTCATTCTTATTTTTATGATTTTCAATGCTCTGATTTCTTCATGATTATTTTCTGGTTAGATGCAACAGGTCCCGTGCTTTCGTTCGTTAGTATAAGAGAAACTGCTTCACCAATGTTTACATGGCAATCATCTGAAAATGCTCGATTTCAATGTTCATACAATGGAGAAGATTTTGTGGATTGTGGAAATGGAATACGGGGGGAGTGGAGAAGAGATAATGTAAAAAATGGCAGTCATATTCTGGTTTTGAGAGGAATAGATTCAGTTGGAAACGTAGGCCAGTCTATCACATATTCATGGATTATTGGTAAGATACACTATCCATATTTATGTAAACTTAACTTGTATAATCCTTTAGATATTTCATTGAGTAATCTTTTGAAACATGTTCAGGCAAAATAGAGTTTCTGCAACCAAGACGACGACTCTTCGATCGTTTGCCCGAGTTCAAATGGAAAGCACCAACAACAATGACATTTGAGTGTGCAATCGACAACCAAGTCTATCGAATGTGTGGTAGAGGTCTCTCTGGTCAATGGAGTCCTCGTGGTCTTTCAGATGGACAATATGATTTCAAACTTAAAGCCACAGACAAAACAGGAAATGTGGTTGAAACTGAAATTACAGGATGGATAATTGACACTGTGGCACCCAAAATCCAATATGTTGATCCTCCTGCTAAGACGAATGGCTTTCCCACATTAGGTGGATGTCGTCAGAGGAAGCTTCTTTTGAGTGTTCGCTTGATAATGGAACGTTTGAAAACTGTCATGATGGAAGAAGAGGATCTTGGAAGAAAGATAATATTTCAGATGGTGAGCATGTTCTAGCTGTAAGAGGTACTGATCTTTCTGGTAACCAAGGAAAAACAAATATACATGTGTGGATCGTCGGTACGTAACACTAACTAAATTGACTTGTATTTATGACTTAGAAATGATTTTGTATTCTTACGAGTTTTTTATGATGTAGATTCCATTAATCCCGTTATAACATTTAACAATCCACCGAGGAAGACAAGTAGTTCAGTTGAAGTTACTTGGAGATCATCAGAAGATGCTACATTCGATTGTTCACTTGATGATGGAAAAGTGTTTAGGAGTTGCGGTGACGGTTTAAGTGGTCGTTGGAATGCGCATGCGTTAAAGGATGGTAGTCACTTGTTGAAAGTCCGAGCAACAGATACAGTTGGCAATGTAGGAAAAGTATTCAAACTAAAATGGATAGTAGGTAAGTGAGCTTCATTTATCTGCACCATACGAATATGACTTGCACCATAAGAATGTGATTTATAAGATCTTTGTAAATTCCTTTTATAGATGCAATTCCGCCCATCATTATATTCACCAATCCACCATCAAAGACCAATGGTTCACCGCAAATAAATTGGATATCATCAGAATTCACCAAGTTTGAATGTTCAGTAAATGCAGAGATGTATCTCAATTGTGGTTATGGTTTAAAAGGGCAATGGAGTGATGATAGTATGAATGACGGAAAGCATAATTTATCTGTTCGAGGACGAGATAGCGTTGGAAATTTGGGACAAACAATTACTCATACATGGATCGTAGGTCAGTGTGAAATTCCAATCAATTTTCATTATTATAACGTTATTTACAGTCGGAGAATATTTTTCAGAAACGGTCGAACCAATGATAACGTTTATCGAGAAACCTACTGTGACAAATCATTATCCAGTACTGAAGTGGAATTCAACGACAAATGTTTTTTTCCAATGTTCGTTAGATAGTCAGTCTTTTAGAGTTTGTGGTAATGGGAAAACAGGACAGTGGAACGGTGAAAATATTAAAGATGGACAACATTCTTTTATTGTAAAAGGACTCAACGTTGACGGTGATGTTGTAGTCATGTCAAAATTCCTATGGACAGTCAACCGAAGTACGTCTATCTTGTTTATATTGTTGAAATCGTTATCCCCTTAAATTAATGTTCTTTTCTAACTAAAATCTTACAGAAAGCACACCGACTCTTGATCTTGTGTTTGCTTTGGATGGTTCCAATGTTCTCAACTCTGAACAATTCAATAAACTGAAAGATATGATGAAAGATATTGTGAACTCCTATGTCATTTCTCCTACAGCAACTAATATAGGCGTGATTGAATTTAGTGACACCAGTGTTGTTAAAGTACCTCTGAACGAAAGCTTTAATAGCGATGTTTTACTAGCAATGATTGACAGAATTGAACAGTCTAGAGGTAATGGTCGAGCAATTGATGAAGCAGTTAAAATGGCTGACACTGAATTGTTTGACAAGAGTGCAAGAGTTGGTTCATCACGTGTTTTTGTACTGATCACTGCTGGTAAGTCTACAAGTCAGCGGTCGCTAAACAATACAATAAAGACATTACGGAGGAAGGGTGTGAGAGTGTATGTTTAAGTGTTGGTGACGGCCTACATACAGAAGACGAGAGTATTATTGTTCCTACTCACGTATTTCCAACAAGTCCTGTTCATCCTGAAGAAAAAGTTGACGAAATTGTAAAGATCATTGGAGATGATATTTCTGAAAGTAAGGGCGTGAATTCGTTTAATGTCTTTAGCTGAGAATTGAGAATAACTATAAAAACATTTTCCAACATCACTTCTGCTTTCGTCAATTTACTTATTTTCAATACTTGATTTGCTTTCTCTGAAGGATTATCCAAAAACTTGGTGGATGTAATTTTGGTCGTGGGTGCTCTGAATCCCGTGTATTTTATGAATCAAAAGGAGGTTATTTTGGAGATGGTTCGTCATCATCAAAGAACGAACTTAAATTACATTTATGAGATCATACAACGAGGATCCACTGCAGTAGTAAAGAAAGGATTACAAGAAAGAGTAAAAGACAGAGATCTTCCCAAATTAATTGCGTCGTTGAAGTATGAGGAGCCTGCCCAAGCATTCCTAGAATCTCTTAAAAAAGCAAAGTTATCATTTGAACAATATGGTCGTCCGAATTCCAAAAAAGTTTTGGTTGTTTTCTCTGATGCAGATATTTCTAGATATCCTAAAAGCATCATTGAGAAGCATGGTGAAGAACTACGTCGAGATGGTGTGAAGATCATTGGTATCGCGTTTGATGATCCTGAAGGATACATTGGCAACAACCTTGAAGCTCTTTCTGGAAGGAAATCTTTGAATTTGGGTTCCATGAAAAATGGTACTTCTCCACAGAAGACTGGAGAGAAGATCGCAGAACAAACAACAAATGGTAAAAATGTTGAAAAACGTTTCTAAAGTTTATGAAAAATGTCATTTATTTCGTCCCAAATATCTTAAAGCTTTAAGTTGTTATCATTTAAAATTTAATGAGCTGTGTTTGACTTGATTTTCGTTTCTATTGTATTTAGATCCATGTTTTGCCAGAAAGTGCCAAAAAAATACAAAGTGTGAAGAGTATAGCGATGACAGCACAACTTGTGGTAAGTAAACCTGTTGTTTATGTTTGGGTAATTTAAATTTATCGATTGTATTACATAAAATATAATTTAGTGTCGTTGGAACCGTTGGAACTTGTGATTCTTTTGGATGGTTCAAAGTCTCTTAAGGCTGAAGAATTCGATGATTTGAAAAAGTTCATTAAGAAGACCATCGATTCATTCGACGTCTCATCAGATGGAGTCCATGTTGCCATCGTTGAATACAGTAAAGATGCTCGAGTAAAAATTCCACTTACTAGATCCTTTGAGCCTGTTATTTTGAAGCGCTTGGTTGATGAGATCCAAGCTTCCAACGGTGATGAACGAAACGTGGATATTGCTATGTCTGTTGCTAAAGAAGACGTTTTATCTCTCCGTGGGGGAGCTCGTCCAAACGTGCCACGAGCGATCTTGTTACTTATTGCTGGAATATCAACGGGCTCTGTACCAATTGAAAATGCACTTGTGGTCATGAATAAAGATGGAATCAAAACGCACGTGGTGGTTGTTGGTAATTCATCTGATTTAAGTGAATTAGAAAGATACTTAAGAAATATAACGGACACTTATCGAGTTGATTTTCCCAAAAATGCTTCTACGATTGTCAAGAAAGTTGTGGACAACATTAAAAAAGGTGCCAAACAAGGTACAGTTCAAGCTTGTTTTGAATATTTCTATATTTCACCCAACTATATTTTTTTCAACTACTATCCTCATCAACGTTTTCAGAGTCGTGCATTTCAGTAAGATGCAGCAAGAATGAAATATGTAAAACTCAACCGGATGATTCTATTTTATGCGGTAGGAATATCTTGTGCAGTGTTTGTTTTTTATGCAAAAACTTATTCGGCATTCTTGAACTGTTTAAATTTTTCTTTCTTAGTTCCTCGTGAACTCCTGGACATTGTGTTTGCATTAGATGGTTCTAGCAGTTTATCAGCTGAACAATTCAACAACTTCAAAACTTTTGTTAAAGAAACCATTGAAAAGTTTGCAATTTCTAAAGAGGAAACTCATGTCGGTGTATTGGAGTACAGCGATACAATTGCTGTTCAATTCAAGCTCAATGAAATCTTCGATAAAGATTCCATGTATTCGATTGTAGACAGGATTTTACCATCTCGTGGAAGCAATGCTGTCACAGATAGTGTGCTGGCAAATACAGTTAATATGATGTTCAGTGTCAATGAGGGTGGACGACCTGGTGCAAAAAGGATTTTGATTATTCTCACTGATGAAGGAATACCTGGTTAGTTAGAGAGATCAGTTTTCTACTAGCTGAATAACTTTATTCACTTTCCACCCATTTATCTTTGTGCATGTTTGAACTTACTGATCATAAATTGTTATTTTCAATCAAGGTAAAAAACCGGTCACCTCATTGCTTGAACCACTAGAGAAGGCTGGTGTTCGTCTTTACATCGTAACTACAGGAGATAAAATTGATAGTGATGATTATGCTACGGTTGTTCAAGAGAAAAATAACACAAAACATGTTCCTGATCCAAATGATCTCAATAATATTGTACATTCTGTTGCCGATAAGATTAAAAAAGACTTTATTCAGCGTAGGTTTTTGACTCTTTACACGTACATATCAATTTTTTTGCTTACATTTGTTTGATGTTGATTCGAAATTTTTTTAGGAAATCCCATCAGCATGCTCGATGTTGTGTTTGTGATGGGATCTAGATCTCCTAACGCTTCCTCAATATTTGAAACCGAAAAGACGATTGTTATGAGCATGATCAATGAACATGTCACAGCTGACACGTCTTACTCAGTAATTCAATATGGTGAGACAGCTGTAATACGTGCTGATTTTGACGCATCGAGGCCAGATGAAGAAACGATAAAAATCGTCAAATCATTGGATTGGTTTGAGGAGGGAATTGAACTCGATGATGGAATAAAAATTGCCGGTGACGTTCACGAAAAGAAAGGTCGAGCTTATGCTAAAAAAGTGATTGTGGTCTTCTCAAGCGGTCCTGTTGCACCCTCCAACGATCAACTAAAGAATATTTTAGATCCTTTAAGGAAAAACGACATTAAACTGTTATCTGTGGTACTAGGTGACTATGTGGATCCTAAAATCAATACCATTGACAAAGTTTTAACACCAATGAAAAAGGAAGAAGATCCATATGGATCTGTGAAGCAAGAAGTATTTAATGGTAAATATTTTGGTTGCTTGACTTTATTTTATCAGAGAAAACATAAAGTCGTATGAATTCGTATGGTTTATTAAGTTTAAATTATGCCTGATAAGCAATTCTTATCATTTATTAAGACCCGTGTTTTGCTACCACGTGTTCGAAAAATGAAAGATGTTCAGTGAACCCAGATGACAAGTCCTTGTGTGGTAGGTTTTATCACAATCAAATACATACCATGACATAACATTCAAATCTGTTATTTCTGTTAATATTAATAAAATTTCTGTTTAGTTCCTGCTGAAATTGTTGACCTCTTGATTGCACTCGATGGCTCTTCTTCCCTGAAATTTCGAGGTTTTGATGACATAAAAAAGCTCGCCAAGAATATCGTAAATCGTTTCAAAGTTTCCATGTCTGCCACTCACGTTGGATTGATTGAATTCAGCAGCGATGTGAACGTTCTTCTGCCATTCAATAAGATTTACAATCCGACAAACATCATGAAAGTTATTGAGAAGACAATACCTTCAGGTGGTGATGTAACTGTTACAGACAAGTTATTGCAAGAAGCAGCTCGAACGATGTTTGCTGTATCTTCTGGTGGACGACCTGACGCTGTTAAAGTTTTTGTGATCATTACAGATAGCAAGTCAGGTGGTAAACAACCACTTTATCGTGTTGTAAAACCTTTACAAAACATTGGTGTTCGTATATATGTTGTTGATATCGGAGATAAAACTAATCCTGAGGAATTAAAAAATATCGCTCCCAGTCAAGAAGAAATTACAAAAGTTGCAACTCCAATTGAGGCACCTAAAGTTTCTAATAAGTTATCAAGTGACATTCAACGTGCAATTGATCAAAGTAAGATCTTGCTGCATTTGTGTTAAGCTGTATTACAGCCATTCTGAAAACTTTTATTTATTTATTTTTTTCAGGAACTCGTGAAAAAGTTAAAGATGTTATATTCTTGGTTGGTGGTAATACAGTGTATCATTTTTACACAGCAATTAGACTTCTTCGCAGTGTTGTAGAAAAGCAACAAACATCCTCTGCATTATTTGCAATGGTTCGCTATAATAGTATTGCAAGTTTAGAGATTCCTTTCTCAGAAAAAGATGAGTTTATCCGAGATTCAGAAAGCGTATACTATACTGCTCAGGGAAACACATTTGTCGACGGACTCAAGTTAGTCTTGAGAACGTTTGAAGAGACTGGCCGTCCTAATGCAGAGAAAATACTGGTTGTGTTTGGAAACATCAATAATGTGACTCTTCGTCGTCAAATCAAGGATATTGCACAGAAATTGGAGAAAAATAATATTCGTGTTGTTACAGTTGTTGTTGGTACACCTGCTAATAATCAAATTCTTCAAGAAATCGACACAAAGAAGATGATATCATGGAACATTCAAACCAGAGATGATCAAAATGATGTCTCCGATAATATTAGCCAAGACATTTACAAAGGTTTGTCATTTTCTTAACTATTGCCCATTATGACTTTTTGTTTGTGCAATGCCTTTTCTACAGCAGTTTGTGAATCACGAGAGCTTTAAATATTCATGGATTAACGTGTATGTTTTTATATTTTTTGTTTAACAGATCCATGTTTTGCAATTAAGTGCAACAAAGGAAGTTCATGCAAACCACTAATCGACGGAACGACAATGTGCAGTAAGTGAAAATAAGACTTAAAATTCAATTTTCTAGCATGAACACAGGTAATAATACTCAATTTGACATTAGCATAATTATGTTTTGTCACAAATTTTAGTTTACGATGATGCAGTGGACCTTGTGTTTGCTATTGAAGGCTCTAAGGCTTTAAGCAAAGGTTTTGATAAAATCAAAGAGACAGCGATAAAAATGTTGGCACGCTTCAAAATATCTCGTGAAGACACTCGTGTTGGCGTCCTCGAGTTTAGTGACACCACTTCGATTGAAATAAGATTGGATGATGATTATGATTTTGAAAACTTAAAGAAAGTACTTGCTGATATCAGACCTTCTAACGGAGAAAAGGTGTTTACTGATAAAGTCTTTCGTGAAGCTAAAGAGATGTTTACCGTTGTAAATGGTGGAAGAGCTAGCTACCCCAAAGTTTTGATTCTTTTTACTGGATCAAAGTCAGATGGAGACAAGTCTTTAAGTGAAGCAGTTGAACCTTTAAAGGCACATGGAATACATTTAATGGTCATATCTCTTGGAAATCAAACTGATCCTTCTTTAAAGATAATTACACCAAATGTCCACCAAGTGGTGGATCCTAAAACCCTTCCGAAGGAGACAGATAAAATTGTGGACGAAATATTGAAGAAAGTGACCGAAGGTAAGTATTTTTTGTCATCTATGCTGCCACATAAATAACTAATTCCTGTATAAAAGTTTTTTTGACCTTTTAGGACAAGATAAAAAAGAAGAAATTATGGTAGACATCATCTTTGCTCTTGGTGCTATGGGTGAAAGTTCTGTCGAGTTGTTTGAACGACAAAAGCTTATAACACTGAGTAAGATAGAAAAGCAGAGTTTTCCCAATACAAAATATGGTGTCATAGCGTATGGAAATCGTGCTCAGAGTCAGCTTGACATCAATAACCACTACAGCAGGGATGAAGTGAAGACTTTGATTAAAAAGCTATCTTGGAAATCAGATGGATCTCGGCTCCACCTTCCATTGGATAAAGCTCATAGTATGTATAATTATTTATCTGGGACCACTCAGGAAGAGGTCACAGGAGCAATTTTTCTCGGGCCTCTTGCTTAACGTGGTCTCCAAATGAAAAACGAGAAAGGAAAGTTATATAGGTGTCCTTAAGTCATGGTGAAAAGGCCACAAATTTGATTGTACCCTGGGCTTAATAGTTTCTTTCAACGGCTCTTCATAGTTGATAAACAATCTCTTTTCTAAAGTCTAAGCTATAATAAATTAAGTTTCATCAATTGATATTGAGTGCTGTATTTGAAAAAAATAAAATAAAAACCTAAAATCATTTCAGATATGTTCACGGAAAATGGTCGCCCTGGTTCACGAAGACAATTGATTGTCTTTATAACGGGAAATATTGATACAATCAGTGAGAAAGTAAGATTAGCTGCTAAAAATCTTGAAAAGCTTCGTGTGAAAACAATCTTCATTAAAATGGGTGATGTTGATAATATAATCCATCCACCCGATAAAAATGTTATCTCTGATGATGGATCGAATGAACCAAGCAAAGTAGCCGAATTCATTGGGGAAATTTCTGACAAAAGTAAGTTGAGAATTTATTGCATATCTAATCAAAACACTTGTTTTTGATTTTTAAGTATGACATAGAATGAATACGTATAACGAAGCTTCTAATCTCTTCTTGTAGATCCTTGTGCCGTGGCAGAGTGTAATCATTATGCAAAATGCAAAATTTTATCCAATGATATGACAAAATGTGACTGCCAATTCATGTGTAGTAATGAGCCATATTCAGTTTGCGGTAGCAATCAACTTACGTACGATAACCTTTGCAACTTAAAACGTGACTCCTGCTTGAAGAAACCAATCTACATGAAGTATCGTGGTCCTGCAGTGAGTATATTCTGTAAACGCAGATTATAAAATTATAAATTATTAGTCTCAAGTAATTTTAATTTTAATTATATAATTCTTAAAATGTGTTTTTTTTATATATACTAAGAATACTTTATGGACATGGTGTTTGCTTTGGATGGATCGGACAGTTTAAATGAAAATCAATTTGTTAAGATTAAAGAATTAGTTAAAGCAATGATCGACAACTACACAATTTCTGAGAGTGAAACCAATGTTGGGATAATAGAGTACAGCAATAAAGCAAAAGTTATTCTTTCACTAAATGCATTGTTTGAAACGGACGCCATCAAAGATAAAGTTGATCTCATCGTTCCATCTGGTGGTAAAGACACGGTGACTGATGAAGCTTTGCGAAAATCAACAAATGATGTGTTTGATGTAAAAGCAGGAGGAAGACCTGGAGCATCGAAAGTTCTTATAATCATTACAGATGGTAAATCAACTGGTAAAGAACCACCTAAACGTGCTGTGAAACCTGCCAAAGAAAAAGGTGTTCGAGTTTATGTTGTCAATATTGGAAAAGATACTGATTCTAACGAAATCAAGGACATCGTACCCACTCAAGATAATAACTTTCCTATTAAGAACATAGATCAAATTGCAGCAATTACTCCAAAACTATCAAATAAGATAAAAAATGATGTAAAGAAACGTAAGTTATACTTTATTCATATGAAATGATGCCATACTTTAGCTTTTGTTTAATGATTTGTGTCATATAACGATATGCAATTGAAGAGAGAGCTTAGAAAAACATTGATTTTTGGCCTTTCATTTTTAATAGGATTGCCAAAGAAATTAATGGATGTGATTTTTGTCATGGGATCTTTCAATCCAAAGGCCAAGACATCATTTGACGCGCAGAAACATGTTGTTCTGAATTTCATCAGCACACCGAACAATGCTATTGCTAATTATGGCATCGTTCTGTTTGGGAACGAGACAGACGTCCCAGTTCCACTTGGCTACATTGATGAAAAGAAGCTCAGAGACTATGTAAGGTCTCTCACTTGGAAAGAAAACGGAAAACGTTTGGATGAAGGATTAAAAAGAGCATTGTTAGAAATGGAAAAGAACAGTCGTCTATCAGCTCAAAAAATTATAATTGCTTTTGTGGATGGAATTGATAGAAGTAATGAAGAAGAGTTGGTTAAAGTGAAAAAAACATCAAATGCTAAAAATATTGAAATTATTCCTGTAATAATGGATGCAATAGTTGATGATGAAAAATTAAAAAGTCTTATACCTATCAATAAGAAACCAGTCACGGGAAAATATCCAAAAGATATCAGCGAAAAGCTCGCTGAAGAAGCTTTAAATGGTAATGTATTTCTTTTTTAAAGCACTGCTGATATTATTGTAAAATCCTGAACTACCCATTATTATCAAAGCATTGTTAATCGTCTTTTTCTTACTTTCATTCTCTTCATTAGATCCATGCTTTGCTGAAGAATGTTATAATTGCATTGTAAAGATAGACGATTCTACTACTTGTGGTAAGTATATTGACAAGCTGAATGGAGCTGTTACGAATGCATTAAAAAATTAACATGGATTAATTATTTCTTCTTCACTAGATGACGCTAAGTTTATCGATCTTATATTTGCCATGGAAGGAACAAAAAGAATGAAGGAAAATGGTTTTACTCAGGCAAAAGAGTTCATAAAGGAGATGATACAATCTAGTTATACAATATCTAAAGACGAAACACATGTGGGCATTGTTGAATACAGTGAAGAACCATCGATAAAGCTTCGTCTTGATGAAACATTTGATGAAGATGTAATACAGAACGTCATTAAGAACATGACACCATCAGCAGGAGAAAATGCAAATCTTGACGAGGCGTTGGATAAATCCATAAACAAAATGTTCAGTGTTTCAATGGGAGCACGTCCATCGGCTAAAAAGATTTTAGTTGTTATTGCGGCCAGTAATACAACCGGTAAAGAAGCATTGAAGAAGTCTTCAAAGCCATTAAAAGAACGCGGTGTTAGAGTTTATGTTGTATCATTGGGCTCAGATCCAGAGACTCTGGCTGTTCTTCTTCCTGATGAAACCAAGCTTCCAAAGAATACTCCATCATCAGCATTACCTGAATTTTCCAAAGAATTACAAGAAATCATTAGAAAGGATGTTTCAGAAAGTAAGTTATTGTAAACTATAAACATGCAAGAAGAAAGCAATAAATTTTACGTACTACAAAAAATAATGTGCGACACACTTGTTTCATTTGTAGAAAGCAAGGAGAAATCTTTTACTGATTTGCTCTTTATACTTGGTTCAACGGGAGATGACGCTGTCATGTGGTTTGAAAAAGAAAAACAAATTGCCCAACAAATGATTGAGAATAACAGGGAAAGCGATATTTCGTACGCAGTAATGGTGTATGGCAAAAATTTATCCATCAAATCAAAGTTTAATGAAACAACAAGTGAAGAAAACCTGAAAATGCTCATCAATAATTTAACATGGGAAGGCAAGGGTATAAAGATGGGCCACGCTCTTAAAGCTGCAATTAAACTGTTTAGATATCGTGACCGTCCAAATTCTCGTAAAATGGTTGTTGTATTTGTAAGTGGTCATCTTGATGAAGTACAAAGTGATTTAAAGAAATTGTCAGGGAGATTGCATGATGACGATGTGAAAATAGTTGTTCTAAAACTAGGAAATCATACAAATGATGAACAACTTGAGGTAATCACTCCAAGAAAAAATATTGTAACGATCAATGAGAACGAAACCAACGAGCATGCTGCCAAAAAAGTTGATGATGAGATAATGCAAGGTAAGAAGATAATTCAAGTATTTCAAAATGACATTTTGTATTTCACTCTAACAAAATTACGTCGTATTTCTAGACGCGTGTTTTGCTAAAGATTGTCTTTTTGACGGAAAATGTGCAGTAAAAGCTGATGATACGGCAATATGCCATTGTAAGATGTGCAACGATCTCATTCAACCAATATGTGGCTCGGATAACATTACGTACGAAAATGAATGCCAGGTGAAGCGCAAATCATGTTTGAAAAAGAAAATAATTGTGATGAAAAAGAAAAGCCCTTGTGGTTAGTGCTCTTATATTTTGACTTCTATTAAATATCATCACCATGCAAATCTAAATTCTTCACTTAATATTTTCATTTTCAATCATTTTAGCACAAACTCTAGATTTAGTATTTGCCTTGGATGGATCGCAAAGCATCGGTAAAAACGACTTCAATATCATTAAGAGTTTCGTACAAATGATAATTGAAGAGTACACTATTTCAAAAGCAGAAACACATATTGGTATAGTAGAGTACAGCAATAAAGCAAAAGTTATTCTTTCACTTAATGCATTGTTTGAAGCGGACGCCATCAAAGATAAAATTGATCTCATCGTTCCATCTGGTGGTAAAGACACGGTGACTGATGAAGCTTTGCGAAAATCAACAAATGATGTGTTTGATGTAAAAGCAGGAGGAAGACCTGGAGCATCGAAAGTTCTTATAATCATTACAGATGGTAAATCAACTGGTAAAGAACCACCTAAACGTGCTGTGAAACCTGCCAAAGAAAAAGGTGTTCGAGTTTATGTTGTCAATATTGGAAAAGATACTGATCCTAACGAAATCAAGGACATCGTACCCACGGAAAAGAACATACATAATGCAAATACACCGAAAGAGCTACCAAGTATTGCTTCAAAACTAGTTGAAGACATCGAAAAAGATATCAAAAAACGTGAGTTGTAAAACTATTTTGAGAGATATAGTATTCTTTGCAATTTTGTAGATTAATTACTGATCACGTATTTTAGGCATTCCTCAAAAACTTGTTGACGTAATATTTGTTGTGGGTTCTGCTGATCCAAATGGCAGAGATAACTGGATGAAAGAGAAGCGTATTATGAACGACATGATTGAGAAACCAAAAGATGCATTTGTTAAATATGGTGTAGTTGAAACAGATCCCATTGGTTCGATACACGTACCTCTTGGTGTTTACGAAGATGAAAAGAAATTGAAAGAAAGCGTAAAGAAAATGCCTTTCAAAGAACGAAGAAATTTAGACGAAGGAATAAAAAATGCTGGAAACGAATTTGAGAAGAACGGACGACCAGAGGCTCGTAAGATAATGATTGTATTTATTGATGGTAAAGATGTGTCGACTGTTGAAGAATTAAAGAAAGTGACAGAGCCATTAAAGAAGAAGAATGTGAAAATAATTCCTGTTGTTTTGGAAGATAACGTTGATAAAGACAAACTTAAGCCTTTACTTCTTGATAACAAAAAAGCAAAGGAAGGAAAAGATCCTAAGAAATTGGCTGATGAAGTTTCTGAGGAAACTTTTAATGGTAAACGACGTGAATGTGAACATAATTTTATTCACATCATAATCTTATATCATTGCGAACTTTTTACAGATCCGTGTTTTGCTGTCGAGTGTAAAGCTTGTGTTGCTAAACCTGATGATTCAACCACATGTGGTATGCAGTAAATTTGAGTCAGAAAAATGAAAAACTAGTTTTTCGAAAGAAGTTTAATATTCATATTTGTTATCGTTTCAGATATTGGTGAAGTTATAGATCTTGTATTTGCCATCGAAGGAACAAGAAGAATGAAAGAAGATGGGTTTACGGAGGCCAAAGGATTCATAAAGAACATGGTGCAATCAAATTATACAATATCTAAAGACGGAACACATGTGGGCATTGTTGAATACAGTGAAGAACCATCGATAAAGCTTCGTCTTGATGAAACATTTGATGAAGATGTAATACAGAACGTCATTAAGAACATGACACCATCAGCAGGAGAAAATGCAAATCTTGACGAGGCGTTGGATAAATCTATAAACAAAATGTTCAGTGTTTCAATGGGAGGACGTCCATCGGCTAAAAAGATTTTAGTTGTTATTGCGGCCAGTAATACAACCGGTAAAGAAGCATTGAAGAAGTCTTCAAAACCGTTAAAAGAACGCGGTGTTAGAGTTTACGTAATAGCTTTGGATGATGCTGATCCAAAAGTTTTAAATGGACTGGTTGGTGACGAGGAAAATATCAAAAAGACAAAGGATAAAAAGAAACTACCAAAACTTAACAAGGAAATGTCTGAGATTATCGAAGAGGATTTGATCAAAAGTAAGTGTTTCTTTCATTATGGAAAACATTTTTCTCTCGTTGTTTTACTTGTGTTCACGTCTCCTTGACGTTTAACTTTTGATAGGATAAAAACAATTTTACTTTCTTCAATTCAACAGAACGTAAAGAGAAAGAAATGATTGATCTTGTGTTTGCTTTTGGATCAACTGGTGAAGATGCTCTAAACTTATTTGAAAAAGAAAAGACAACTGCAAAATTAATGATCGATAATGACAAGGAGAAAGATGTTCTCTACAGTACGATTGTTTATGGACGTGATGCTCTCGTAAAATCACGATTCAACGACCAGCCGGACAAAAATAGAGTCAAGCAATTTATTGATACACTAGAGTGGACCGACGAAGGAAACAAGTTAGATCATGCTCTCGTCGAAGCCGAAAAGTTTTAAAGTTATATGCACGACCTGAAGCTCGTAAAATAACAATTGTATTTGTAACTGGAAGAGCCGATTCCACCACTGCAGAATTAAAGAAGGCTGCGAAAAATTGAATGACCAGAATGTGAAGATAATTTTAGTGAAACTAGGTACAGACCCAGATGATAAACGATTGGAAACAATTACACCGAAGAAAAACATCGTAAAGAAGAGGAAAACTGTCGATCCAAAGGAACTTTCTGAATTTATTGAAGAGCAAGTAAAGAAAAGTAAGCAATCTTTATCAACATCATTGAATTTTTTTATTGAAATAAGGTGAATGTGAGATTTATAAAAACATGTATGTTATAGATCCTTGTGATGCTATTGATTGTGATTACGGTGCAAAATGCGAGGCTCAAGTCGATGATACAACTTTGTGTAAATGTAAAGAGAAATGTCCCACAACAGAAGATTTCATTTGTGGGTCTAATGATGTCACTTACACTAACGAATGTCACCTGAAACAAGACATGTGTATGATGCAAAAGTTGATTTCCAAGAAAAAGAAAGGCTCTTGCAGTAAGTAGTGATTCAAATTTTCAAAAGAAGATTGAAATCATTACTTTTCAAACATAACAATATGTATTTGCTGTTTCTTCGTAGAACGCTTCCTTGATCTCGTGTTTGCTTTGGATGGATCTGACAGTTTGAATAAGAATCAATTTGTTAAGATTAAAGAATTAGTTAAAGCAATGATCGACAACTACACAATTTCTGAGAGTGAAACCAATGTTGGGATAATAGAGTACAGCAATAAAGCAAAAGTTATTCTTTCACTTAATGCATTGTTTGAAGCGGACGCCATCAAAGATAAAATTGATCTCATCGTTCCATCTGGTGGTAAAGACACGGTGACTGATGAAGCTTTGCGAAAATCAACAAATGATGTGTTTGATGTAAAAGCAGGAGGAAGACCTGGAGCATCGAAAGTTCTTATAATCATTACAGATGGTAAATCAACTGGTAAAGAACCACCTAAACGTGCTGTGAAACCTGCCAAAGAAAAAGGTGTTCGAGTTTATGTTGTCAATATTGGAAAAGATACTGATCCTAACGAAATCAAGGACATCGTACCCACGGAAAAGAACATACATAATGCAAATACACCGAAAGAGCTACCAAGTATTGCTTCAAAACTAGTTGAAGACATCGAAAAAGATATCAAAAAACGTGAGTTGTAAAACTATTTTGAGAGATATAGTATTCTTTGCAATTTTTTAGATTAATTACTGATCACGTATTTTAGGCGTTCCTAAGAAACTTGTTGACGTAATATTTGTTGTGGGTTCTGCTGATCCAAATGGCAGAGATAACTGGATGAAAGAGAAGCGTATTATGAACGACATGATTGAGAAACCAAAAGATGCATTTGTTAAATATGGTGTAGTTGAAACAGATCCCATTGGTTCGATACACGTACCTCTTGGTGTTTACGAAGATGAAAAGAAATTGAAAGAAAGCGTAAAGAAAATGCCTTTCAAAGAACGAAGAAATTTAGACGAAGGAATAAAAAATGCTGGAAACGAATTTGAGAAGAACGGACGACCAGAGGCTCGTAAGATAATGATTGTATTTATTGATGGTAAAGATGTGTCGACTGTTGAAGAATTAAAGAAAGTGACAGAGCCATTAAAGAAGAAGAATGTGAAAATAATTCCTGTTGTTTTGGAAGATAACGTTGATAAAGACAAACTTAAGCCTTTACTTCTTGATAACAAAAAAGCAAAGAAAGGAAAAGATCCTAAGAAATTGGCTGATGAAGTTTCTGAGGAAACTTTTAATGGTAAACGACGTGAATGTGAACATAATTTTATTCACATCATAATCTTATATCATTGCGAACTTTTTACAGATCCGTGTTTTGCTGTCGAGTGTAAAGCTTGTGTTGCTAAACCTGATGATTCAACCACATGTGGTATGCAGTAAATTTGAGTCAGGAAAATGAAAAACTAGTTTTTCGAAAGAAGTTTCACATTCATATTTGTTATCGTTTCAGATATTGGTGAAGTTATAGATCTTGTATTTGCCATCGAAGGAACAAGAAGAATGAAAGAAGATGGGTTTACGGAGGCCAAAGGATTCATAAAGAACATGGTGCAATCAAATTATACAATATCTAAAGACGGAACACATGTGGGCATTGTTGAATACAGTGAAGAACCATCGATAAAGCTTCGTCTTGATGAAACATTTGATGAAGATGTAATACAGAACGTCATTAAGAACATGACACCATCAGCAGGAGAAAATGCAAATCTTGACGAGGCGTTGGATAAATCTATAAACAAAATGTTCAGTGTTTCAATGGGAGGACGTCCATCGGCAAAAAGATTTTAGTTGTTATTGCGGCCAGTAATACAACCGGTAAAGAAGCATTGAAGAAGTCTTCAAAACCGTTAAAAGAACGCGGTGTTAGAGTTTACGTAATAGCTTTGGATGATGCTGATCCAAAAGTTTTAAATGGACTGGTTGGTGACGAGGAAAATATCAAAAAGACAAAGGATAAAAAGAAACTACCAAAACTTAACAAGGAAATGTCTGAGATTATCGAAGAGGATTTGATCAAAAGTAAGTGTTTCTTTCATTATGGAAAACATTTTTCTCTCGTTGTTTTACTTGTGTTCACGTCTCCTTGACGTTTAACTTTTGATAAGATAAAAACAATTCTAATTTCTTCAATTCAACAGAACGTAAAGAGAAAGAAATGATTGATCTTGTGTTTGCTTTTGGATCAACTGGTGAAGATGCTCTAAACTTATTTGAAAAAGAAAAGACAACTGCAAAATTAATGATCGATAATGACAAGGAGAAAGATGTTCTCTACAGTACGATTGTTTATGGACGTGATGCTCTCGTAAAATCACGATTCAACGACCAGCCGGACAAAAATAGAGTCAAGCAATTTATTGATACACTAGAGTGGACCGACGAAGGAAACAAGTTAGATCATGCTCTCGTCGAAGCCGAAAAAGTTTTAAAGTTATATGCACGACCTGAAGCTCGTAAAATAACAATTGTATTTGTAACTGGAAGAGCCGATTCCACCACTGCAGAATTAAAGAAGGCTGCGAAAAAATTGAATGACCAGAATGTGAAGATAATTTTAGTGAAACTAGGTACAGACCCAGATGATAAACGATTGGAAACAATTACACCGAAGAAAAACATCGTAAAGAAGAGGAAAACTGTCGATCCAAAGGAACTTTCTGAATTTATTGAAGAGCAAGTAAAGAAAAGTAAGCAATCTTTATCAACATCATTGAATTTTTTTATTGAAATAAGGTGAATGTGAGATTTATAAAAACATGTATGTTATAGATCCTTGTGATGCTATTGATTGTGATTACGGTGCAAAATGCGAGGCTCAAGTCGATGATACAACTTTGTGTAAATGTAAAGAGAAATGTCCCACAACAGAAGATTTCATTTGTGGGTCTAATGATGTCACTTACACTAACGAATGTCACCTGAAACAAGACATGTGTATGATGCAAAAGTTGATTTCCAAGAAAAAGAAAGGCTCTTGCAGTAAGTAGTGATTCAAATTTTCAAAAGAAGATTGAAATCATTACTTTTCAAACATAACAATATGTATTTGCTGTTTCTTCGTAGAACGCTTCCTTGATCTCGTGTTTGCTTTGGATGGATCTGACAGTTTGAATAAGAATCAATTTGTTAAGATTAAAGAATTAGTTAAAGCAATGATCGACAACTACACAATTTCTGAGAGTGAAACCAATGTTGGGATAATAGAGTACAGCAATAAAGCAAAAGTTATTCTTTCACTTAATGCATTGTTTGAAGCGGACGCCATCAAAGATAAAATTGATCTCATCGTTCCATCTGGTGGTAAAGACACGGTGACTGATGAAGCTTTGCGAAAATCAACAAATGATGTGTTTGATGTAAAAGCAGGAGGAAGACCTGGAGCATCGAAAGTTCTTATAATCATTACAGATGGTAAATCAACTGGTAAAGAACCACCTAAACGTGCTGTGAAACCTGCCAAAGAAAAAGGTGTTCGAGTTTATGTTGTCAATATTGGAAAAGATACTGATCCTAACGAAATCAAGGACATCGTACCCACCGAAAAGAACATACATAATGCAAATACACCGAAAGAGCTACCAAGTATTGCTTCAAAACTAGCTGAAGACATCGAAAAAGATATCAAAAAACGTGAGTTGTAAAACTATTTTGAGAGATATAGTATTCTTTGCAATTTTGTAGATTAATTACTGATCACGTATTTTAGGCGTTCCTAAGAAACTTGTTGACGTAATATTTGTTGTGGGTTCTGCTGATCCAAATGGCAGAGATAACTGGATGAAAGAGAAGCTTATTATGAACGACATGATTGAGAAACCAAAAGATGCATTTGTTAAATATGGTGTAGTTGAAACAGATCCCATTGGTTCGATACACGTACCTCTTGGTGTTTACGAAGATGAAAAGAAATTGAAAGAAAGCGTAAAGAAAATGCCTTTCAAAGAACGAAGAAATTTAGACGAAGGAATAAAAAATGCTGGAAACGAATTTGAGAAGAACGGACGACCAGAGGCTCGTAAGATAATGATTGTATTTATTGATGGTAAAGATGTGTCGACTGTTGAAGAATTAAAGAAAGTGACAGAGCCATTAAAGAAGAAGAATGTGAAAATAATTCCTGTTGTTTTGGAAGATAACGTTGATAAAGACAAACTTAAGCCTTTACTTCTTGATAACAAAAAAGCAAAGAAAGGAAAAGATCCTAAGAAATTGGCTGATGAAGTTTCTGAGGAAACTTTTAATGGTAAACGACGTGAATGTGAACATAATTTTATTCACATCATAATCTTATATCATTGCGTATTTTTTACAGATCCGTGTTTTGCTGTCGAGTGTAAAGCTTGTGTTGCTAAACCTGATGATTCAACCACATGTGGTATGCAGTAAATTTGAGTCAGGAAAATGAAAAACGAGTTTTTCGAAAGAAGTTTCACATTCATATTTGTTATCGTTTCAGATATTGGTGAAGTTATAGATCTTGTATTTGCCATCGAAGGAACAAGAAGAATGAAAGAAGACGGGTTTACGGAGGCGAAAGAATTCATAAAGAACATGGTGCAATCAAATTATACAATATCTAAAGACGGAACACATGTGGGCATTGTTGAATACAGTGAAGAACCATCGATAAAGCTTCGTCTTGATGAAACATTTGATGAAGATGTAATACAGAACGTCATTAAGAACATGACACCATCAGCAGGAGAAAATGCAAATCTTGACGAGGCGTTGGATAAATCTATAAACAAAATGTTCAGTGTTTCAATGGGAGGACGTCCATCGGCTAAAAGATTTTAGTTGTTATTGCGGCCAGTAATACAACCGGTAAAGAAGCATTGAAGAAGTCTTCAAAACCGTTAAAAGAACGCGGTGTTAGAGTTTACGTAATAGCTTTGGATGATGCTGATCCAAAAGTTTTAAATGGACTGGTTGGTGACGAGGAAAATATCAAAAAGACAAAGGATAAAAAGAAACTACCAAAACTTAACAAGGAAATGTCTGAGATTATCGAAGAGGATTTGATCAAAAGTAAGTGTTTCTTTCATTATGGAAAACATTTTTCTCTCGTTGTTTTACTTGTGTTCACGTCTCCTTGACGTTTAACTTTTGATAAGATAAAACAATTTAATTTCTTCAATTCAACAGAACGTAAAGAGAAAGAAATGATTGATCTTGTGTTTGCTTTTGGATCAACTGGTGAAGATGCTCTAAACTTATTTGAAAAAGAAAAGACAACTGCAAAATTAATGATCGATAATGACAAGGAGAAAGATGTTCTCTACAGTACGATTGTTTATGGACGTGATGCTCTCGTAAAATCACGATTCAACGACCAGCCGGACAAAAATAGAGTCAAGCAATTTATTGATACACTAGAGTGGACCGACGAAGGAAACAAGTTAGATCATGCTCTCGTCGAAGCCGAAAAGTTTTAAAGTTATATGCACGACCTGAAGCTCGTAAAATAACAATTGTATTTGTAACTGGAAGAGCCGATTCCACCACTGCAGAATTAAAGAAGGCTGCGAAAAATTGAATGACCAGAATGTGAAGATAATTTTAGTGAAACTAGGTACAGACCCAGATGATAAACGATTGGAAACAATTACACCGAAGAAAAACATCGTAAAGAAGAGGAAAACTGTCGATCCAAAGGAACTTTCTGAATTTATTGAAGAGCAAGTAAAGAAAAGTAAGCAATCTTTATCAACATCATTGAATTTTTTTATTGAAATAAGGTGAATGTGAGATTTATAAAAACATGTATGTTATAGATCCTTGTGATGCTATTGATTGTGATTACGGTGCAAAATGCGAGGCTCAAGTCGATGATACAACTTTGTGTAAATGTAAAGAGAAATGTCCCACAACAGAAGATTTCATTTGTGGGTCTAATGATGTCACTTACACTAACGAATGTCACCTGAAACAAGACATGTGTATGATGCAAAAGTTGATTTCCAAGAAAAAGAAAGGCTCTTGCAGTAAGTAGTGATTCAAATTTTCAAAGAAGATTGAAATCATTACTTTTCAAACATAACAATATGTATTTGCTGTTTCTTCGTAGAACGCTTCCTTGATCTCGTGTTTGCTTTGGATGGATCTGACAGTTTGAATAAGAATCAATTTGTTAAGATTAAAGAATTAGTTAAAGCAATGATCGACAACTACACAATTTCTGAGAGTGAAACCAATGTTGGGATAATAGAGTACAGCAATAAAGCAAAAGTTATTCTTTCACTTAATGCATTGTTTGAAGCGGACGCCATCAAAGATAAAATTGATCTCATCGTTCCATCTGGTGGTAAAGACACGGTGACTGATGAAGCTTTGCGAAAATCAACAAATGATGTGTTTGATGTAAAAGCAGGAGGAAGACCTGGAGCATCGAAAGTTCTTATAATCATTACAGATGGTAAATCAACTGGTAAAGAACCACCTAAACGTGCTGTGAAACCTGCCAAAGAAAAAGGTGTTCGAGTTTATGTTGTCAATATTGGAAAAGATACTGATCCTAACGAAATCAAGGACATCGTACCCACCGAAAAGAACATACATAATGCAAATACGCCGAAAGAGCTACCAAGTATTGCTTCAAAACTAGTTGAAGACATCGAAAAAGATATCAAAAAACGTGAGTTGTAAAACTATTTTTAGAGATATAGTATTCTTTGCAATTTTTTAGGTTAATTACTGATCACGTATTTTAGGCGTTCCTAAGAAACTTGTCGACGTAATGTTCGTTGTGGGTTCTGCTGATCCAAATGGCAGAGATAACTGGATGAAAGAGAAGCTTATTATGAACGACATGATTGAGAAACCAAAAGATGCATTTGTTAAATATGGTGTAGTTGAAACAGATCCCATTGGTTCGATACACGTACCTCTTGGTGTTTACGAAGATGAGAAGAAATTGAAAGAAAGCGTAAAGAAAATACCTTTCAAAGAACGAAGAAATTTAGACGAAGGAATAAAAAATGCTGGAAACGAATTTGAGAAGAACGGACGACCAGAGGCTCGTAAGATAATGATTGTATTTATTGATGGTAAAGATGTGTCGACTGTTGAAGAATTAAAGAAAGTGACAGAGCCATTAAAGAAGAAGAATGTGAAAATAATTCCTGTTGTTTTGGAAGATAACGTTGATAAAGACAAACTTAAGCCTTTACTTCTTGATAACAAAAAAGCAAAGAAAGGAAAAGATCCTAAGAAATTGGCTGATGAAGTTTCTGAGGAAACTTTTAATGGTAAACGACGTGAATGTGAACATAATTTTATTCACATCATAATCTTATATCATTGCGTATTTTTTACAGATCCGTGTTTTGCTGTCGAGTGTAAAGCTTGTGTTGCTAAACCTGATGATTCAACTACATGTGGTATGCAGTAAATTTGAGTCAGGAAAATGAAAACGAGTTTTCGAAAGAAGTTTCACATTCATATTTGTTATCGTTTCAGATATTGGTGAAGTTATAGATCTTGTATTTGCCATCGAAGGAACAAGAAGAATGAAAGAAGACGGGTTTACGGAGGCGAAAGAATTCATAAAGAACATGGTGCAATCAAATTATACAATATCTAAAGACGGAACACATGTGGGCATTGTTGAATACAGTGAAGAACCATCGATAAAGCTTCGTCTTGATGAAACATTTGATGAAGATGTAATACAGAACGTCATTAAGAACATGACACCATCAGCAGGAGAAGATGCAAATCTTGACGAGGCGTTGGATAAATCTATAAACAAAATGTTCAGTGTTTCAATGGGAGGACGTCCATCGGCTAAAAAGATTTTAGTTGTTATTGCGGCCAGTAATACAACCGGTAAAGAAGCATTGAAGAAGTCTTCAAAACCGTTAAAAGAACGCGGTGTTAGAGTTTACGTAATAGCTTTGGATGATGCTGATCCAAAAGTTTTAAATGGACTGGTTGGTGACGAGGAAAATATCAAAAGACAAAGGATAAAAGAAACTACCAAAACTTAACAAGGAAATGTCTGAGATTATCGAAGAGGATTTGATCAAAAGTAAGTGTTTCTTTCATTATGGAAAACATTTTTCTCTCGTTGTTTTACTTGTGTTCACGTCTCCTTGACGTTTAACTTTTGATAAGATAAAAACAATTCTAATTTCTTCAATTCAACAGAACGTAAAGAGAAAGAAATGATTGATCTTGTGTTTGCTTTTGGATCTACTGGTGAAGATGCTCTAAACTTATTTGAAAAAGAAAAGACAACTGCAAAATTAATGATCGATAATGACAAGGACAAAGATGTTCTCTACAGTACGATTGTTTATGGACGGGATGCTCTCGTAAAATCACGATTCAACGACCAGCCGGACAAAAATAGAGTCAAGCAATTTATTGATACACTAGAGTGGACCGACGAAGGAAACAAGTTAGATCATGCTCTTGTCGAAGCCGAAAAAATTTTAAAGTTATATGCACGACCTGAAGCTCGTAAAATAACAATTGTATTTGTAACTGGAAGAGCCGATTCCACCACTGCAGAATTAAAGAAGGCTGCGAAAAAATTGAATGACCAGAATGTGAAGATAATTTTAGTGAAACTAGGTACAGACCCAGATGATAAACGATTGGAAACAATTACACCGAAGAAAAACATTGTAAAGAAGAGGAAAACTGTCGATCCAAAGGAACTTTCTGAATTTATTGAAGAGGTCGTAAAGAGAGGTGGGTGTCTGGGGATCTATTAATTCATATTTTCAACATGTTTTACACTTTTTATGATGAGTGGTTATGATTTTATGTTTTAGATCCTTGTATGGCGCGTGATTGTAAATATGGTGCAAAATGTATTCCTACTATAGACGATTTGACGATTTGCAAATGTCCCAAAATCTGTGGCAATCTTCGTATGTCAGTTTGTGGTTCTGATAACGTTTCGTACATTAATGAATGTGTCATGCGTCGACAAATGTGTAAGGAAGAACGAAATGGTGGATTAAAGCATAAGGGCGCTTGTTGTAAGTAAAATGTGTTATGTTACATCATTTTACAAACTATTTAACAGTTTATTTTATGTTGTACAAGTTACATGAACATTTGTTTAATGTTTTATTTTAACTTACGAACCGTATGATCTTTAGTCTTTACAATTATTTTTTGTGTAGTGTATAAGAAGCGTCTAGATCTTGCCTTTCTGATTGATACTAATGGAAAAGATGCAGAAAACATTTTCGAAGATGGCAAAAAAGTGGCTGCAAAGATGTTGGACTCGTTTGACATTTCTGAAGAAAAAACACATGTTGCGTTCGTTGCATACAGTGGAAAGCCTGTTATTAAGATTCCGTTTAAAGCTATTGAGGATCGAGAATCATTGAAGCAAGATATAAAGACTTTAGCTCGTGAAGATGGCGGTGTCCTTGAAGAAGGTTTGAAGCTGGTGGCAGAAGAATTGTTTACGATAAAGAATGGTGCAAGACCATCAGCAAGAAAAAGTCTAGTCATTATAACAAACGAAAAAGATGTTCCTGAGGCAGAAGAAACGAAAAAGAAACTTCATAATAAAGGCATCAAAGTTGTTGTGTTGTTCCTTGGAGATAATATACACCAGAAAAAAGCAAAGAAACTTCCTTCAACTCCAAACCTTTTGGAAATAGCAGAAAGTCTTGAGAAGAAACCGCAAATTGTTGATGATCTCGTGGAAAAAGTAACACAAGGTACGACTTAAATCATTAAAACGAGCTTTCATGTTCAAATTGATTTTATCAAGTTCATAGAGTAATAAAACGGAAAAAGGAAATGAGCATATTACATTATTCGTTAAGTTTGAGCTTTGTTTGTTACAGAATTCAAGAGTTGCAACGACGTAAAATCGAGTGGGGCCACTGAAGATGGATTGTATCTCATTTACGTCAGCACAAATTGTAAAGATCCTATCAAAGTTTATTGTTATGGCTTAACAACTGATCAGCCAAAAGAATATCTTGAGCTACCTGCTGGAAGAGAACGAAACTTTGGTATTGTGTATGATCGACGTTTGCCAACATCTCCTGTCATTTCTCGATTCCAATGCGACGGAATTTTGAGCAATAATCTCTATCAAAATGGAGGGAAAACATACTTCTCGAAAATTAGATTGAATCTGAAAGATCTTAGTGTGGTCGTTGATGATTATCAATTTACTGTTATGGAAGGTATGGCAGTACCTTATGGAAGTGCTGGTGATTGTTTCTCAATGAATCCTCATGGTAACTGTCGTAAGGGTTCTTTCATGGTCGATCTTACCGACACTGGTCTAAAGGTGCATGATAAAGTAAGATGGAAGAATCAAGGTTATCCTTCCGATGTGGAAATTCATAACTTTACGATCCAAAAACAAGGAATGATTATCACTGCAAAATGTGGTGGGTGGTGTGGAAGATGCACTCCTGTCGGACCATTGATGCTGCAGCAAGTTTGTAGGATTCCTGAATGTGAGTATTTATGATATTCTCAATGCTTAGTGTGTCCAAAACGACATAAAATATATTGCCAAACATCAACTATATTTTTGAACTATTTATGATGTAATTCTTCTACCAATACAATTTTCTTTCTTTCCTAACAGCTTGTAAGACTCCAGTTGATCTTTTATTTGCACTGGATGGTTCAACGAGCGTGTCACAATCGGAGTTGAGCACTATGACGCAACTGGTTTCCAATACCGTTGAAATGATGCAAATATCATCAACACTAACTCGTGTCGGTGTTATACAGTACAGTGAATCGACAACGGTTTGGATAAGGTAACAAAACTATATTTTATATTAAAATTCCGTTTACTAAACTTGTGAATAAGACTTACTTGTCAAAGACGAAATTTTTTTTTAATTTGAAAAAACTTGTTGCAGAACTGTAAAAGCTCTGACGTATTAAAACAATAAAATTTTTACTTTCTCCCGTTTTCTTCATATACGTTCGTCAACATGCTCTCATTCACATAGATTTTTTAACGAAAAACAATATGTTATTTCAATTGTGGTTTCTTTTTCAGACTGAATGATGTATACGATATTGCTGCATTAAAATCTGCGTTAACAAGAATAAAGAGTAGTGGAGGTGCTACACACTTTGACAAACCATTATATGAAGCAATTTCAATGTTCACACCAGAAAATGGAGCACGCCAGAAATTTCCAAACGTTTTGGTTATCTTCACCGATGGAAAGACGAATCACGCGTTTGAAGACGCTGCAAATAAGTTACACAAGAGTGGAACCACTGTAATTGCCCTTGGCATCGGGAAATATGTGAAGGATGATCAACTAGAGGCTATAGCAAGCCCAGGATATTATTTGAAAGTGTCTTCGTTTGATGAACTTGCTCCACTTGCTGGGAAATTGGCTTCTTTATCCTGCAAAAGTAATGAAATATTTTGTATACGTTGGTAAATGTGTATAGACATTTTACTTAATACATGCATATCTGTTGAAAATACATTAGTATATCATAAAATTATTTTTGGTTTTGCAAATTTTAGGCAAAATATTTCTTTCATTTCCACTTATGGCACCTTTTTCTGTTTTAGATCCTTGCTCCAATTTCAAATGTGATTTTTCTGCTGACTGCGTGGTTAATGAAGACGCTCAGCCAATTTGTCAATGCCCTAAAAAATGTCCACATAAGATTGACCATGTCTGTGGTAGTGATGGTAAAACCTATGACAATACATGCGCACTACGTCAAGAAGCTTGTACAAAAAAGAAACGTTTAATCGTCATCAAACTTGGCTTATGTGGTAAGAAAATACTCAAAAATAGAACTTTTCTGGAAAATTTTTCTCTAATTATTTGCCTCCTTTAGATCTTTGTTCGCGAACTGCCTGCGTCAATTATGCAAAATGTGCATTAAAGGATGATGGTACTGCATTATGCATTTGTCCAACACTGAATAATTGTCCAAAGGTTATTCATCCGGTCTGCGGACAAGATGGAGTCACCTACATTAATGACTGCTTCAGAAAGGTGGCGAGTTGTAAACGAATGAAGCACATCCCACTATTACATCATGGAGAATGTGGTATGTGTCGTAGATAGAATTGTTGATACTTTAAATATTGTTGTTGCTAATTTATATTTATGTATTTATACATGATATGATCTACAAATGATGTGATAGCATCTACGTTGATATCGTAGCATCTTACTTCATCTGTTTACACTTTTCTCTTTTTCTCTTCTAAAGATAAATGTAAGACAAAGAAATGTCTTCTCTACAGCAAATGTCATGTGGATGTCGATGGAGATGCGAAATGCAAATGCCCGGATGAGCGTAGTTGTCCACATGTTGCTGATGCTGTTTGTGGCTCGGACGGTGAAACATATCTCAATGACTGTGTATTGAAAGCTAGATCATGTTTGAGAGGGGTTTTAGTGAAGAAAGTCAAAGATGGCGTTTGCAGTAAGTGAAACTTTTAAAATCAGACCAATTTTTCATACTCCATTTTACTTGATGTTTGATATCCATTTTGCGCTAATGAATAAATTTTGTGTTACTTTACTTTGATTTCCATCCTCTTTCAGATGTTTGTACGTTGGTGAAAAGCTGTAACCAATCTGCGACATGTATTGAGAATGACGATAAAACAGTAAAATGTGTCTGTCCTGTGAAGGAAAATTGTTCATCTTCTTCGCGAATGATTTGTGCCTCAAACAACAAGACCTACGATAGCGAGTGTTTAATGAAAATTGAAGCTTGTAAAATGAAACTATCCTTGAAAAAGATACACGATGGTCCTTGTGGTACATAACCTGCTATATTTGAAACTTCATTGACTTACTTGACCTTCATTAACGGACGTTTTTCTTTTTAGGATCTTGTAAAACAAAGATTTGTCACAGATATGCCAAATGTGAGACAAACAATGATGGTACCGCGACATGCAAATGTCCTGAGAAGACAGAATGTCCTTTGGTATCGTACCCAGTCTGTGGATCTGATGGTCAAAGTTATCCTAATGATTGTGAACTCAAGGTCGCGGCCTGTAAAACTGGACAAGAAACTACGCCACTTCATAAGGGAAAATGTGGTCAGTTGTGTGTTTCCAAAATGATTTCAAATGTTGTTTCAAATAAGTTTGTTCTGTAAAGTCAATATGTTTATTTTTTGTTTGTTTGAGGTTTATGTACCATGATTACGT